AGGATCGATGACTTCGCCAGATTGCTGGAAGATGTGCTGTTGAGCAGGATCGTCCTTGGGAGGGCCCTTCTTGTACCATTGCATCCAGCGGAGACCTTCGCGAGAGCCAGTGAAAGGAATGAGACCGAGACGGTGACAAAGGACCTCGTCCTGGATGATGGAAGTGTTGTCGTAAACGAAGACGTCTTCGATGGCCAGGGTAGGAATCTCGGACAGCATGATACGGCGGTATGCGTTTGCGACAGAGGCATCGATGCCGACGAGCGAAAAGACCGAATCGTACTGATCATTCTTGTGGAAGTTCACTTGCAGCTTCTTGGAGGTGGTCAGAGAGGGTCGCGATCGAGTCTGAAACGAGCATGGCGTACCTGCTTGAAAGCATCGAGGTTCCACGAGTTGTCCTCGCCGGGGTAGTGACCAGGAAAATCAGTAGAGACGACATTTGAGACGGTCTCGGGGTTGATGCCCACGAGCTACACAAGAGTTAGTGGCCGGAAGTTGACACGGAATGAGTCGCGTACTCTTCGTCTCTCGATCTCGTCTTGCGAGGGCTGTTTGAAGGATCTGGCCGACATGATTGATTGACTCGACTTTTTTCTTAACCAGCATCAGTCAAGCTCAAAGAAATTCTGGAAGCACGGCCGCCGGAAGCTGCCAAGCAAAGTTTCAGCGGAAGGGCGGAGCGGAGTGGAGCGGACGAGTGATGACCAAAGGAAAGTCTGTCGATGCGTCGTTGATTGCCCGCCGCAGCTCTACGCCTACGAGTACTCGCCTTCAGCTCTCGCGTCCGCTCGACACCCTCTCCTCTCCCCGTCTGCCTTCTCAATTGCGACACAATGGCAGCTTCATTTGCTCGTATCGCATCCAGGCGACTCTACCAGCGCCCGGCTCTGCCTCGCCCCTCGACCACCTTCCGCTCGCTGTCGACCTCTCTCCCCCGTCACTTTGCCGCCCCCGTCGAGAACCCCAATGCCACTCGCCTGATCCCCGTCGACCCTAACTTCGTTCCTGGAGCACAGAGCGCCGACACCTCCAACGTCAACTTGGCCAACGATGCCGACGAGGACCCAAACCAACGCAAGATCCGCCACTACACTGTCAACTTCGGTCCCCAGCATCCCGCCGCTCACGGTGTGTTGCGTCTGATTCTCGAGCTCAATGGTGAAGAGATTGTCCGCGCAGACCCTCACGTTGGTCTGTTGCACCGTGGTACCGAGAAGTTGATCGAGTACAAGACATACCTCCAGGCTCTGCCCTACTTTGATCGTCTCGACTACGTTTCCATGATGACCAACGAGCAATGTTTCTCCCTGGCTGTTGAGAAGCTGCTCAATATCGAGGTACCCGAGCGTGCCAAGTGGATCCGCACCATGTTCGGTGAAATCACCCGTATCTTGAACCACCTTATGTCTATCCTCTCCCACGCCATGGATGTTGGTGCCCTGACTCCTTTCCTGTGGGGTTTCGAGGAGCGTGAGAAGCTGATGGTGCGTTTATATTCATAATCTAACACGGCACATTTACTGATGATTTGCCACAGGAGTTCTACGAGCGTGTCTCTGGTGCCCGTCTCCACGCTGCTTACGTCCGTCCCGGTGGTGTTTCCCAGGATCTTCCTGTTGGTATCCTTGACGACATCTACCAGTGGGCAACTCAATTCGGTGACCGTATTGACGAGACCGAGGAGCTTTTGACCGACAACCGTATCTGGAAGGGCCGTACCCAGGGTGTCGGTGTTGTTTCTGCCGCAGATGCTCTTAACTACTCTTTCACTGGTGTCATGCTTCGTGGTTCCGGTGTCCCATGGGATGTCCGCAAGTCTCAACCTTACGATGCTTACGACCAGGTTGAGTTCGATGTGCCCGTTGGTGTCAACGGTGACTGCTACGACCGTTACCTCTGCCGTATGGAGGAGTTCCGCCAGTCGCTGCGCATTATCTTCCAGTGCTTGAACAAGATCACCCCTGGACCCATCAAGGTTGAGGACTACAAGATTGCTCCTCCTCCACGTGCTGCCATGAAGGAGAACATGGAGGCTCTCATTCACCACTTCTTGCTTTACAGCAAGGGTTACACCGTTCCTCCCGGTGAGACCTACTCCGCCATCGAGGCCCCCAAGGGTGAGATGGGTGTCTTCGTCGTCTCAGACGGTTCCGAGAGACCCTACAGATGCAAGATCCGTGCTCCTGGTTTCGCCCACTTGGGATGCTTCGACCAAATCTCAAGAGGTCACTTGTTGGCCGATGCTGTCGCCATTATCGGCACTATGGTAAGTCAAGCCGTACCTCTACACTTTCAAATACCCTGCTAACAAGCGCGAAATTAGGATTTGGTCTTTGGAGAGGTCGACCGCTGATATATTCGTTGTTCTAAAAGGAATATTCACGATACAGAGAGCGAGGAGTGTTTTGTGGTGTAAATATGCGGCGTTTTTTATATCAACTTTCTTCGTTGAAATGGTTCAACGGCATTATGTACTTGCTTTAGATAAGTTAACCCGATCCCTTTCTTTTGTATTCTCTACTGCATATATGCCGCATTTTGTTCATCTGTAGCATTTGGTTGTTGGCTCAATCGGTGGTGGATATGACAAAATGCCATTGGTGTAGGAAGTCGGCTTGGCTTCTGAGCAACCGCCTCTTGTCTAGCAAAGCTCTGGGCAAATACAGAAATGGCTCTCGGGATTCGAGCAGAGAAAATCCGTCGTCTCTCCAGACACACACCCCCAATCACAGTAAATTGTGCATTGCAGCAGCTCGAAAATAGCTTCTATCTCCTCCATGAGGACAGCAGGATAGGGGCCAAGGGCTCTTGGCCGGGTATCTGTGTTTTTCACTCTCTCACATCAATCTGGAAATCAAGTAGGCTGTAGAAATGCACAATGCTTATGAGAACGAGATGGAGTCCACAGAGAGCTGTTAGTCTTCTGACTTGCTGTGGTCATACGTCTAAAGTGCATGTCTTTGTGCATTTTGATAGCTTACACATTGCCCCTGATTCAGTTGGGGACATAGTTTATATGCTTGTCTTGGAATGAACCCAAGAGAAAGTGACACGAGATTCGGTGAAGGAAAGTGAATGTTCACAGGTAGCAGTGAGATGACGATGTCACAGTTCAACTCATTTGAATAAAGACTTGAAGCGCATCTTCTCTTGTTTCTGCGGCGCCCTTTCCTTTATCTGAATCACTGCAATACCTAGCTAGGTATGTTTTCCTAGGGGCAATTCACTTTTCTCTTTTGCTGTTCCCTCCTTTCACTTCAATGCCACCTACGTGCAGCAAACAAAGCGTCTAGCTGCCTGTATAGTCTATTTTCTCCCTCATTTAACTCGCTCTTCTGTCAAGTTCGACAGGTATCAACAAATCATATAGTGTCACGCCGTTCTAGCCACATAAGTTCACTATATCCCCAGCAAACTGCGAGAGTTCAAATCAGAGCAAGGCACCAGACTCTACCTAACACGCTCGTGATACTGATCGCACTCATAACAGACCCAACTTCAATCTTAGCTGAGATCAAGAGTAATGAGTGAGTTCTTCTAGAACGAGTGACTCGTTCTGGGTCTATTAGGCATGTCTGACCGATCCTTAGTCTGGCATTCCGCTTGACCAAGAAGTCGTCATATCTCACAAGGTCCAAAACCCTTACCAAGAATCTCGCAGACCTGGACCCAGAGCCTGGACAGAACTTTCTGCAGCAAGATGTGCACCTTGTGGGATTCGTCAACAGTACCGATGCACCTGCCACTGAAGAAGTGGCAGAGATGGCTCTTGAGAATATTCAAGTGAGATTGATTCGAGGTACACTTTAAGGTCTTCTGTTTAACACATCTCTAACTCCAGCCGTATTGTTGCAGATTACTCGACGATGGCTTGGGAGGTAACAGAGTACTTGAAGTCGGAGGACTTAGCCTGTAAATTCTGATGGCCTTCTGGAATTAGAGCGCTGCCTCAAGCATAACGGAAAATTTCACATTTCCATTTTCATCATTTGTCTTACATCCCGACGACAGCTTCTCTTCGCTCCTGAGGCATTCCCATACATCTCACTCCAGGGAGTGATGTTTTCATTCATGCTTGAATTCACCCTTTTCTGTAGTCCTCAAAAGCTCTTCAGCGGTGGTGTTTTATAGAAGGAGTTCGCTCTGCCAGATTTCTTGTTCGACGAAGCTGTTTTCTGCCGGCATGAGGTTGTTTAGTAGACAATTGTATCATGAGTATTGATTTGTGTTGCATTTTACTTGTCCATCTAGTCAATCATTGGATGCTGACTGCTTTAGTAGTATTTTCTCTCCACAAGACTCTGACATAGTCAAAGGAGGACCATGGCCAAAAAGAATCACAGGTTTGGTGGTATCAGGTTCTAAGCTTACTTTTCCCATGTGTTGTTCCCTCCACTTATCCTCCATCTCCTCACTCTTCTCCTCCAGCCCTTCGATAGTGGCCAGACCTCTTCCCACAGAGGCGCTATATCGAAAGGCATAGATGATAGATTGGACTGGCGAACGTCTTAGCTGATGCAGTGGTTCGAACTCAAGATGTGTTTGTTGTTGCGTTTGGTGTGGTCTTGATTGGTGTGGTTGACTGTCGCATTGGGTTAGCTGCGTAATCAATTGATGGTTGTGATAACCGTTAGACCAGAGTGATTGTTGGAGGTAATGGCAGATTGACTTGTATATAAAGCATGCTTGTTGCTGTCTGCTCTCCGGAGGCAATTGCGACTTTCAGACTCTGAGATGTGGGTTCGTGCTAGATCAACAGGAAGCAACTACATCCGTCTTGCAGAAACATAGCTTGTCAATCGACCTTGCCCAAGTACTCTTCGTGGATGGTATTCTTCGAAAGCACGAGTATGTATCAAGTAGTGGGTTGAAAACACTAATTAATTACTTCGATCAAGCTATCGATCTGTTGAGCGAGTGAATTGTACATAACCTTGCGACCATTCTTGTATGTTGACACCCTTGACCATCAGTTTACTCAATCGTAACCACACGACTTACTCCAACTCGGCAAGTGCGTTCTCAGCCAGCTCCTCGTATTTCTTTGGCACGAATCTCTCCGACTTCCAACCTCTGGCTCTGCCTTCTTTAATCCGAGTCTGCTTCTCCTGATTCTCTGTCTCTGGGTCTTTGAAGCTCCAGAAACTGCGGGATTGGGGCAGTCTGGTGTTGGCTTTTGTGTCACTGGTGGAAGAAGTAGATCCGCTCTGACGGCGGATACGCTCTTCTTGTCCCATAGTGGTGGTATGCTTCAAGTCGAGCAGCTGCTGAAGATGGGTGCTGATTTGAGCATGGAGAGCAGTGAGGTGGTTCAGGTAAGCAGCTTGAGCACGCGAAGCAGAAGGCTGGCCAGATTTGCAGGAGGGCGTCGGAGACGGAGGATGAGGTGAATCGAACGAATCGTTGCTGTTGTTTGCGCTGAGGTTCTCGGTCCTGATCGGTGTATCCTGAGCAGATGTTGCACCACTTGATGACTCGGATGGGGAGACTGTGAAGAGGTCGTCAAGGGGCGTCATCATGTCTTGACATACGCTGTACTGGATCGCCTTGACTGTTGCGCAGGATAGGGGAGTGAAAGTGCGTGGCCAGCTGAAGTTGATACGCTCGGCGCGCTTATTAGATTTGGTGTGAGACTGATCCAGTTCTGGGCCGAGATGAGCAAGAGATGGCTTGTCGGTTCTTTTGCGCGCATGAGTGCTTTCGAGCTTAGAAACGGGATCGTTCAGAGCAAGACCGGGTAGGGACAGTCTCGAGCTCTCCTCGAGACGATCTTTTGCTTGCAAGCATGCTTCCAGTGCTTTGTTGTAGGCTGCTTCTGCTGCAGAGATTTTGGGGAGTCTACATACAGAGTAGATGTGCATTATTCTGGCAAGACCTTCGTGAGACAATGCAGCATAGAGGCTGAGGAAGATAACATGTGCAGGTTCATCCTATCGATTGTGTTAGATGAAGCGACTTGTGGATATCAGTCTGATGAATGTTAATTCACCTGATGGTGGTCAAGTAAATCATCGCATTTGCGCGCACACTCTTTGTATTGATGATTTAGGTATAATGCTTTGATGTAGTGCAGCTCGAAAGGGAATGATGGTGTTATATCCACGCGCGGATGCAATCCTTTATCCATGTTGAATAGGCATGCCGTAGAGTAAGGAGCGAAGAAGCGAATAGAAAGTTATTGATTTTGAGCAAGGATGGGCAATTCGGAAAGTGTAAAAATGTGATGGATGCAACTTTGTGTTTATGGAACGACCAACAACACGGAAATAGAGTCCCTCGGCATACACACCACCTACGTGGAAATTTCTTGCAGTTTCATTACAGAGGCTCTTTTAGGTGGCATCTCCAACCTGGAGTCCTGTGTGAAATTCGATAGCTGCTGAAACGCAGAAAGGTTTTCGTGCAAAGGCATTTTCTCATGAGCTCCTTTGGCTGCATGACTTACACGCAACCTCATACTATTCTAGGAAGAGTGTGAAAATACCAGACTTAGCAGGCGCTATCGGACAGACAAGAAAGATCTGGAAAGGAGCCTGGCGAGGCACTCGTTCTAGAGCTGTGATTTGTCGTCCCACTCACGAATGAAAGAAGTTTCTCAGATACCGACTAGATGTCCGACGTGTAAGCAACACAGTGCTCGTGAAGTGTGAAACATATCATGGTCATCGTCAAATTCAGAAAAGAGTCAGACGAGGTTGCTGGAGGTTGGAGTCGATAGAAGGTGGAAAGCGGTCGTCGGCTTGGCATCAACTTTCTGGAGGAAGCGTCACATTCGGAAAGAAGCAGCACCATCTTGACTTCATTACATCCCTCTTATCGACGACCGGACGCTGTGCGCAAACACCTCAACGTTTGCACAACCTGTATATTAATGACCCCTTGAATGTCCAACTAGTGACATCACCATGTCTGACGGTAAGCACAGCAATCTGACCACGCGCCGCGCCGACACTGACGAGGCGACAGCTGAAATCCGACGACTGCAGCAGGAGCGCGCCTCTACCAGGGCCAATCCGACCAAGCAGTCGCTGACTGACAATGCCGATACTGATCTCTACGGAAATGGAACTGTCGACAAATATGCCGGATACAACACGTCGATCGCCGTCAACGAGGACGACGACATGGACGATGCTGATGGCGAGGACCAGAGCAGGAGACTGGTCGGCCAGTACACCGCCACTACTGAACAAATGAACGAGTACGCACATGGAGAAGTCGACATCCTCGTCGATCGCGAGAAGCAGGCCCAAATCGCCAGTCGCGAGTCGGACTACCAGAAGCGTCGCTTCAATCGCCAACTCAGCCCCGATGGTCAAAGCTACAAGGAGGTCATGAAGCAACGTGAGCTTGAGCGCGAGGAAGAGCGGGTACACAAGCTTATCGAAGAGAAGCAGGCCAAGGGAGAGGATGGCATGGATGGTGTGGTTGAACATAAGCCTACACTCAAGGCCGACGAGGATTCGAGCGAAGTCGCTGCCCCTCGTAAGCGAAAGCAACGATGGGACACCTCATCTGAGGACGCCGCTGCGAAGGATGCCGTCGTTAAGAGCGAAGGTGCTCCCGAAACCAAGCGTTCTCGCTGGGACTCTACACCTGCTCCAGCAGCTCAGACCGAGCCAAGAAAGCGCTCTCGATTCGATATGGCACCTTCCTTGACCGCTGCGACTCCTGTTGGTGGGAATGCAGGCCTTGCCACTCCTATGCACCCCTCCCAGGCTCCTGCTGTTGGCGCTGGCTATGGTTCCGATATCTCTGCCAGAAACGCTCCTCTTTCCGATGAAGAGCTCGACATGATGCTTCCTGGTGAAAACGAAGGTTACCGCGTTCTGCCATTCCCTCCTGGATACGAGCCTACACGAGTACCCGCACACAGAGTTCCTAGCACTCCTGCTTCGCTACAAGGCGGTTTCATGATGCAGCAACCTGTGGACCCTCGATCACTTGGCAAGGATCTCCCAAGCGAGCTGCCTGGAGTGGGTGAGCTTCGCCTGAAGCCAGAAGATATGGCATACTTCGGAAAGCTTGTCGACGGCGCTGATGAGAACGAGATGAGTGTTGATGAACTCAAGGAGCGCAAGATCATGCGTCTGCTCATCAAGGTCAAGAACGGAACCCCACCTATGCGTAAAACTGCGCTCCGTCAACTTACTGACAATGCCCGCTCGTTCGGTGCTGGTCCACTCTTCGATCAAATTCTTCCTTTGCTCATGGAGAAGACACTCGAAGACCAAGAACGTCATTTGCTGGTCAAGGTCATTGATCGTATCCTATACAAGCTTGATGATTTGGTCAGACCTTATACCCACAAGATTCTGGTCGTTATTGAGCCATTGCTGATCGACCAAGATTACTATGCACGTGTCGAGGGTCGCGAAATTATCTCGAACCTGGCTAAAGCTGCTGGTCTTGCACACATGATTTCTACCATGCGTCCTGATATTGATCATGCAGATGAGTACGTCAGAAACACTACTGCTCGTGCTTTCGCAGTCGTTGCCAGCGCTCTTGGTATTCCTGCACTTCTTCCTTTCCTGCGCGCTGTATGCAAGAGTAAGAAGTCATGGCAAGCAAGACACACTGGTGTCAAGATTGTGCAGCAAATTCCTATTCTCATGGGCTGTGCTGTCCTACCACATCTCAAAGGTCTTGTTGACTGCATAGGAGACAACTTGAATGATGAACAGACAAAGGTCCGTACTGTTACAGCATTGGCCATCGCTGCTCTTGCCGAGGCTGCCAACCCTTACGGTATCGAGAGTTTCGACGATATCCTCAACCCTCTCTGGACCGGAGCTCGCAAGCAGCGTGGTAAGGGTCTTGCTGGTTTCCTCAAGGCCGTCGGTTATGTTGTTCCTCTCATGGACGAAGAATTTGCCAACTACTACGTCAGCCAGATCATGGAGATTCTGCTTCGTGAGTTCTCCTCGCCTGACGAGGAGATGAAGAAGGTTGTCTTGAAGGTTTTGTCACAATGCGCTAACACCAATGGTGTTACTGCTGCTTACCTGAAAGAGACCGTGCTTGATGACTTCTTCAAGAGCTTCTGGGTACGAAGAATGGCACTGGACCGACGAAACTATGTTCAGGTTGTTGAGACTACCGGAGACCTTGGTCGAAAGGTTGGCTGTGGTGAGATCGTGGAGAGGATTGTTGACAATCTCAAAGATGAGAGTGAAGCATACCGAAAGATGACAATGGAGACGATTGAGAAGTCCATTGCCAGTTTGGGTGCTGCAGATATCAACGAGCGTCTCGAAGAGCGCTTGGTCGATGGTATCTTGACCGCTTTCCAAGAACAAACAGTAGAAGACATTACCATCTTGAACGGATTTGGAACAGTGGTCAACGCCCTCGACACTCGATGCACACCATACCTTCCTCAAATCGCCAGTACTATTCTCTTCCGTCTGAGCAACAAGTCGGCGACTGTCAGACAACAAGCTGCAGATCTGGTCTCACGAATTGCTATCGTCATGAAGCACTGCGGACAGGAGAATCTTTTGGGCACAATCAGTATCAACCTGTACGAGAATTTGGGTGAAGAGTATCCCGAAGTTCTTGGTTCAGTCCTTGGTGCACTGCGCTCAATTGTCACCGTCATCGGCATCAACCAAGTGCAGCCACCCATCAAGGACTTGCTACCACGCCTTACCCCCATTCTTCGAAACCGTCACGAAAAGGTCCAGGAAAACACGATCGACTTGGTTGGTCGTATCGCAGATCGTGGTCCAGAAAGTGTCAACCCTCGTGAATGGATGCGTATCTGTTTCGAGCTGCTTGACATGCTCAAGGCGCACAAGAAGGGTATCCGACGAGCAGCCAACAATACATTCGGCTTCATCGCCAAGGCCATTGGTCCACAAGATGTTCTGGCAACACTGCTGAACAATTTGCGCGTCCAAGAACGTCAATCGCGTGTCTGTACCGCCGTTGCTATTGGCATCGTTGCGGAAACTTGCGCGCCTTTCACTGTTCTGCCGGCATTGATGAACGAATACCGTGTGCCTGAACTCAACGTGCAGAACGGTGTGCTCAAGTCACTGTCCTTCCTCTTCGAGTACATTGGTGAGATGGCTAAGGATTACGTCTACGCCGTAACACCACTTCTTGAAGACGCACTCATCGACCGCGACCAAGTGCATCGCCAAACAGCAGCATCGGTCGTCAAGCACGTAGCCCTGGGAGTGGTCGGCCTTGGCTGCGAAGACGCCATGCTCCACTTGCTCAACCTGCTCTACCCCAACATCTTTGAGACCTCGCCTCACGTTATCGACCGCATGATCGAGGCCATCGATGCCGTTCGTGTGGCCGTCGGTACTGGTGTTGTGATGAACTACGTCTGGGCTGGCCTCTTCCACCCTGCACGCAAAGTCAGAACGCCATATTGGCGACTCTACAACGATGCTTATGTTCATGCTGCGGATGCTATGGTGCCTTACTATCCTAACCTCGACGATGAGACCTGTGATAGATTCGAGTTGATGGCGATCTTCTAGATACAAAAACAGTATTCTCGCAAGGGTTACATCGTTACATTGCTTTCTCGGAGGGCGTCGTTCGGTATGGGAGGTTTCAGGTAGTTCTTGAGTTTACTGGTCGATCAAGCCGTGCACCTAAGTAGGTAGTTTCACGAAAAACGAATGCATTTCCACGATACAATACAAACTCTCTGCCTGATCATTTCAGCACCAACTTGTTGACCTTACCGTGTGGCTAAAGTCTGTAACTCGAGGGTCCTCCAAATATAGCAAAGAGCAAAGTGTATGCTATAAGAATGCACAGTAGTATCAGCAATCAGGATAGTGCCTACCGAGAGACAACAATTTATCGACTCTCTGTAGACACGCCCCTGCTTCTGCAAAGAACTGTGCATTTTTATAGTGTACAAATTGCTCTTTGCTGAAGTTGGAGTACGATGGGAGTTTACAGACCTTAGCCGGACGAGGCTACAAACGTGACTCAATGCTCAGTCATGTCAAAGCAAGATGTAAGCAGTATCAATTGAGTTCGTAACAGAAAGAAAAGATTGGTATGAAAAGATGTATACAGAAAAGAAAAACCATGACCTAAAACCCTTGAGGAATGCCAGTTTTCCAAATACAGGTTTCCCCCCGTCTTGGTTCATTAACACAAGACACATAAACAAATAACGCCCGCTTTCGTGAATACAACGTTTCATGATACATGCTCATGAGTAGAATTGACCCTTCTGGAAACTCTCGACGCTGAGGTCGCCAGCCTTGCCTTGGACATTGGGAGGTACATCTCTAGGAGCAGCCTTGACGAGGTCTTTTTCTCTGTCGACCATAGTGTTTGTGCGGCTGTCGGCGCTAGTTGTGGTCATTGTTTGGGCACGGCTGCCAGCAGGGCTGGTCCCGCTGGTAATCTGGCCTTGAGGGCGGCGCTGGATGGTCTCAAGGTAAGGGGCAGGGAGGTATCCCTTACGGCCATCGCGGGCACGGCATTGCCACCATTCTGAGGGGTTGCCGAGGGGGTCTGTCTTGCTGAGGACAGCGACAAGGTCGCCCTTGGAAACGGCGAGATCGACGCCTTGGACGGCGTTTGCGTTTGCTTCAGGGTTGAAGTCGTAGAGGACACGGCAGAAATCGAGTTTTGAGGGGTCGAGAGGTTGTTGGGGGCCTTCGGCTTGAAGGCGACGTTGTTCTTCTTCCTCTTGGCTGCGGGCGAGGGCGCGGATGAGCTTGCCCATGAGGTATGGCAGACCGAAGACTGCGAGGATGAACATGACGAAGGGCTTCTTGCTGGCACGGGGAGGTGCGGGAGAACCGTCAGGCAGGCGGCCATTGAAGCTTGCGAAGTTGGCAGGAGTGAGCTCAGTACTGCTTGCAGGGAGTGGGCGTCCAGTCAATTTGGCAATGGCTGTGCGGATCCATCGGATGATGGTGAAAATACCTAGGACCTGGCCCAGCGTTTGCCGTAGATTGCCAAATTGTTCGGCAACAGAAACCATGGCTAGAGAGACATTAGTACGATAGCAGTGTTGATGGTATCAGGAGACATACCAAAGAAACTCGAGTGGGTGGCCATGTAGGTACTCTCAAGCATCTGGGCAAAACCACCGAAGGCACCGACGATGCTCTCGATGAGCTGGAAGGTGGCTTGTGTACTCTGGCTGAAAGACTGGGTCAGGCTCTGGCCATTGGGACCCATAGGACCGCCCATGCCACCGTAGCCACCACCGTACATGCCACCCATACCACCGTAGGGACTTCCGCCGTACATGCCGCCTCCTCCATACATGCCGCCTCCGTACATGCCTCCACCATAGCCGGTACCGAAGCGTGAGTAGGGCGAAGTCATGGCGCCACCACCGTAGCCGTAAGGTGAGGATTGATAAGGTTGAGCGCTCGAGAAATTGGAGGCGGTGCGGTCAACAACAGAGTTGAGCGACTCAGGTCGCGATGGAAGTGCAGGTGTCGCCGCTGTAGTAGCAGCAGTATTTGATGATGATGATGGGGTCGCGGCCGTGGTTGATGTGGGTATGGCGGCCGACGAAGTCAAGGCTGTGTCATGGCATGTCAGTCGAGTCCGGGGCGGGCGCTGTCTTGTCTCGCGCTGGGCAGACCCATAACGTACCCGATGATGAGGCAGTGCGTCCTCTTTCCCACGGCTTTGGCGGCGATGGCGTCGCCATATTCTGCCAAATATAAAAGATGGTCGTCTGTTGACTGAGATTCACAACCCCAGAGTTTTGGACGAGAAAGTGACGAACCGCACGCCGTCGTCGCTCCCAAGATGCCGAGGCTGTTTATGCGCCCGCTTGCCGTCGCCTCCAATTTTTTGTCACGCACGTGAGCAAGTACTCGAGTACTTCTCTATCTTTTACAATTCTCGATCATTCCATAACCATGTGAAGAAAGTATAATTTGGACTCAACATATACAGAAAATAAACCATATGCTGTGGTATCGTCTGGTCTACCAGACAGATAACTCGCTGTTTTGATATGGCTGCTTTGGACTAAATCTCCACTTTTGGCCATTGCCGAGGGAAAGGGTCTTGTTTGGTCCAAACGTCCACGCCCAAGTTCATACCACACATGCCAAGGACCGTCACCATCTCACCATTGACACCTCCCACGACGAGTTGTCAATCATTATAAGCTGTCAAAATACACGGTTGTTCTTCAGAAGGAGGTGTGTTCATGGAGAGAACGCGAGATATAGTTCTCTCTGTGGAAACCACTCCCAGTTGCAAAGTATTGTGCATTTTTATAGAAATAGGTGACCATATCAGCATTCAGAGAGAAAGGACTAGTCCGTGAACATGCTGTAACCTATGCATGGTTGGGTCGAGACTGCAGTGTGGCTAGGTCTAGACCAACGACATACATTCCAACCAGCCACTTCAATCAGCCATCATGACATACGACCACCACATGTGCTAATGATTATCACAATCTCAAAGGACGAGGCTCAGCTGTTGATGCAAGTCTTTGGAATTTCGCTAAGTACAGTCGGCATGCTAATCACTAATTTGTGCAGTAGTGACATCCAACACACCATCCTTTTCCACACGCCCAGCGCTATGAACATCCAATGCTCCTATCTGCGAAATTCCAAACCAACTAAAGATTAATAAAAGTAAAACAGAAACATAGCCTCGTCAAAGAAGTTTAAGCAGATTGACAAAAGAACATTTCAGCCTTTTTTTTTTACGACACCAAGGCGAAGAGGGAGTTCAAGGTGTTCTGGATCAAGCTGGTCTCGCATTGATTGGAGATCCATGAAGCATCGATGCTGGTGGGGACTTGGTAGTCGTTGTCGAGGACCTTGATGTGCATGTTCTCGCCGTTGAGGAGGACCATGGCCTTCATGCTGCCAGAGATGGGACGCTTGAAGTAGTCCGAGTTGCCACCCTTGATGTTGCTGTGAAGAGTAGACTTGCAGCGGAGATCACCAGGAGCAAGGACCTCGAAGATGTCGAACTCACCGCAACCGGTCGTCCAGCAAGAGCAATCAGCCTGGCCGTACTGGAGAGTGCGAGGGATCTGAGCGTTGAGCATCCAGATGGCGGGCATGTCACCGTTGGTAGCAGCATCAGTGTTACCATCAAGAGGCATCTCGAACTCGAAGAAGAAAGCCTTCTGGGCGCCAGCGAAACCGTGGTAAGCAACTTGGCCGTCACGGACGTAGCCACAGTCACCACCATCACACTCCTTGTCAGACATGATGATGACCTCGTCGTTGGAGGCCAGCTGAGTGTCAGCGAGGACCTGAGGGGAGGAGGCACCAGCGTTGCCCTGGCTGTTAGAGTATGAGAGCGAGTTGCCGAAAGTGTAGTCGAAGACACCCGAGCCCTGGCCACCATTGTGGTTCAGGAAAACGACATTGTCTACGGAGCCGGCCTCAGAGTTGTAGTAAGCCTTGCGACCCCAGGACCCAGAGCTGCCAGAGGAAGCAGAGGCAGAAGCGGAGGACGACTGGGATGAGGAGCTGGAGGAGGCCGATGCGACGACGGCAGAGCTGGAGCTGGAAGCACTGGAGCTGTATGCGGCAGGAGCGTTGACCTTCAGGAGCTTGTTCAAGAAGCCAGCTGAAGCAGACTCGGTGCTTGCAGGAGCGGCAGCAGCAGAAGTGGTGGCTGCAGGAGCAGCGGCAGCAGTAGTAGCAACGCCAGACCACTCGTTGATCCAGGAAACGGTCTGTCCATCGATTACGGCGGTCACCCAATCGCCAACACCGCGCTTCTCAACATCTTCGTCACGCTTGTGCTTGTGAGCATGCTGGTGGGCGTGGTTGTGACGGTGCATGGCGCTACGCTTGGCCTTCTTGGAAGATTCAGAAGAGTCGGCGCTGGGTGAGAAGAAAGCAAACTGCTTGAGCTTGAGAGGACCACGGAAATGGAGAGAGACTTCCTCATCAAGAGGAGACATCTCACCCGAATAGCCGTAAGGAGTGGAAGAGCAAGAACCAGAGTTGCTGTCCATGTTGGTAATCTTGTTGTAAGAGCCCTTGCCCATCATTCCAGTGTAGGTGATAGAGTCGACGGCCTGGCAATACCAGTTGCCATTGTCGTCGACGGAACCCTTGCTGCAAAGGTCGGCAGCAACTCCAGAGATGGAAGCAGCCAGGACAGCGCTGGCGGCGATGAAGTTCTTCATTGTGTTGTTGAGCGTCAACCAGGATTGCTTGGTATGGTGTCAAAGATGCGCACTCGATTATATGAGGCGAAGAGCAGTGAAGCAAGGGGTATCAAACGCGTGTTCAATGCAAACTGAGTAAAGATCGTGGCAATGTCACTAGGACACTTAAAAGAGTGACTGCTGGTCAGGTATGTTTGTTATTGGTAGTGGATGACGAAGTGAAGGAATGGGAACCCTCGAGGCGGACTCGGGGGCTGGGGCCTGAATTAAAGCAAAACCCAGCATCCGAGTATATTGAACAATGTAAGCAAAGAGGCGCTGGGGATCATGGTCATGGCACGCCTAGAGTTTGCCTTTCTTACAAGCGCCGTTATGGTCGAGTCGCAGGGTGGGTCACAATTTCACTGCACACTAGCGTGGATGCATGTGGCTTGATGGGTGCCGTTGTCCTCCATCATGTAGACAGATGTCGCGCGACAGCGATTAGAAAGCGCTATTGTTCTTGACTAGTTAAAGTAGCATTTGATGAGTTGTAGTCGATTGTTTTCCTTGTCGAATAACGACCGGCGCACTGTACAAGAAGATCATTTGCGAATCATTTACCGTGCTTCATCTTGATCGAGGAGGATCTGACCATCCCCAACTTGGTCCGAGGTGTAAGAAGTATGCACGGCCGCCGCAGGTCTGCTCGACGTTTCACCATGGAACTGACTCTGTGCGCCGCCCTGCATGTTTGTCGCGCCCGAGATTCAGGAAGCAGCGAGAAAACGCCAACGCTTGTGCTTACTGGGCATACAAACCGGGTGTCAGATGCCTCGAGAAGCGGTCGCTTGCTTGCGAATGGACAACATGTGGTCGTGACATGATAACCTTCTTTTTCTTGTCTCGGCTGCTGCAGGGACACCCGCAACTCCCACACGTGAAGCGTCTGGAGATTTGGCCCTGCAGATCCCAAATAGCCGATTCAAATACACTATGCCAAGGTTCAAGATAGCGGTGCGCATCCCATTCAAACATGACACGGGATCTCATCGACCCTCTGCTTTGCGGCAGTTGTGTGTTCTGGAGGCTGGAGCAAAGATGGAGGCAAAAGGGTGGGTCGTGGTACACTTGGTAGCCTGAGTCAGGAGTCAGGACAGCTCACGTTACTCAGATCCAAGTCTCAACGGCGCGGATAGCAACCCGATGCTGTGTTCCTCGATCGAGGCATCCCGCGAACGGCAATACCGTTACTCTACCCCGTATGTATGTACAACCATTTGACAAGGCTCTGTTTATATCTGCCGTGCTTGGATAGGCGCCCGGCATGCCCCAGATCTAAAGCACAGGATATGAACGTTGAGATGCGAGAGATGCGAAATTCAGATGTCGATCGAGTAATATTCTTATATAGGACATCTAAAATTGATAGAAAGAAACCAATAAACACCAAGAATGCCATGCGCAAAAGATTCCAGGCCAAGAGGGAAAGAAATTCTGCAGGCTCGAGGCGCTTCTCGTTTCCAAGGGGCCAAGGACTTAGCAGGGGTAAAGGGGCTCTGAGGATGCTCAAAACCGAGCCATCCCGGTGCCGAGGGCTGGTAGAAACAGCAGTTATGTCTGTCCGCGGATGTTTATCTGCAAGTGGTCATTTGTTAGCCAGATGTCTGGACAGAGCGAGCGACCAAATTGCGAAATGTGGTTGGATAGATCAGAAGTCCATTTAGATCATCGAGGCTCGTGAGAGTCTCTGACATACTGATGAAAATTATTAGTAAAATGTCCTTCGACAAACGATGGTGGTATTCGACTTACAGAGGTACCAGAAAAATAGTAATAAGACAAAATTCATCATGTAGAGAATAAAGAAAGGGGTAGTGAGGACAACATACCAGTTCAGAAGCTGGCAGTGCCTGAGGCTGCACACGAGCAAGCTCTAAGCATCAGCATATGCTTTCGCTGCGCCCAGTGGGCCATCGAGCTCTGCCAAAAGGTGTCGAATCTTCGACAAGCAAAGTCAAGTGAACAATTTGTTCCATGTTGCAAAGACAGAAGTTTTCTGCAAGCTGAAGCGCAGAAGTTTTCGCTACTGGCTTGACGGGAGAAGGTCGGAAGCTGCCGCCCACGCAAAAGTCTTGGCGTTTGTGCCTGGACGAAATTGATTTCCGACTTTGCTTCTCTGAGAAGAACTCGAGAACGACGAACGAGCAACCGAAGACCCTTCATCCGACAACTTCTACTCCAAACCGACATTCAAAATGGGCCGTCTTCACTCCAAGGGAAAGGGTATCTCCTCCAGCGCCATCCCCTACTCGCGCGCTCCTCCCGCATGGCTCAAGACCACTCCCGAGCAGGTCGTTGACCAGATCTGCAAGCTCGCCCGTAAGGGTGCCACCCCTTCGCAGATTGGTGTCGTCCTCCGTGACTCCCACGGTGTTGCCCAGGTCAAGGTTGTCACTGGTACGTTTCGATTATCGCACCTAGAATCTGCGCAAGCAAAAGACTAACACACGATGCAGGTAACAAGATTCTCAGAATCCTCAAGTCCAACGGTACGGTCCACCCAGTGTGAAGGAAAGAAAAAAGATGGAAGCGCAAGAAATTGCGACGAACCACACTTTTCAACACCACAACAATTCTGCCTCTGTTTGGTCTTTGACTGACGGAGTGATGTTCAATAGGCCTTGCCCCTGAGATCCCCGAGGACCTCTACATGCTCATCAAGAAGGTTCGTTTGCATTCCTGCCAAAACTTCTTCACCCTGATGGCTGACAATTCTCCCAGGCTGTTGCCGTCCGCAAGCACCTCGAGCGCAACCGCAAGGACAAGGACTCCAAGTTCCGCCTGATTCTCATCGAGTCCCGTATCCACCGTCTTGCCCGTTACTACAAGACCGTCGGTGTCCTTCCCCCCACCTGGAAGTACGAGTCCTCGACCGCCTCCACCCTCGTCGCATAAGCGGCCTATGACTGAAAAATGTCGGACGGAGGAACAAGCATCATACCCACATGGCGTTCAGGACATGTGTATTTGGAAGGTCGCCAGGGTTTTCGCTAGCTCGTTGCAAAGGGATGAAAAAGTAAATGAACGACAAGGGAGCCACTTTCGGCCCTCACCAAAAATCATGTGTCCGATTGTCATTTTATCTGTTCCCTCTCTGGTAAACGCGCTCGATGTGATAGTCTTCTCCCATATCGACCACTGTAATGAACCTTATGAACTCCTTCGCTATGCAATTCCCAGTAAAGTTTCCTGTTTCCGTGCCCAAGTATTGATTACTCTCCCTCGATCTCAATGCTGCGCTTCATGAGAAACTCGGCCATCCATCTCAAAGGCTTCTCGGGTTGATAGAAGACCAAGTACTTCATGCCCTCCATGAAATAGGTAGCGACGTTGTTGAGGTAGATTCTGTCAGGTGCACCGTGCTGGTTGGCCTTCTCGGGTGGAAGCGAGACTGCTGGAGGGATTGAGGATGGTCTGGTTGGAGCAGGCGAAGGAGTAGGTGCCTTGACTGGCAGAGCAGCGGCAGGTGGTGCAGTTGGCGCAGAGGCAGTAGCAGGCAATGGCGATGCTGAAGGAGCTTGTGCGACAGGTGGAGCAGGGGCCTGAGCGGTTTGCGCAGCGGACGAGTCGACGTTGGTTATGCCTTCCATGCTTGCTGGGACGGACTCCTCGAGCTTTGGGGCTTCGGCGGTAAAGGGCTGGTTGATGGGAAGTGCTGCATCGTCTTGAGTAGCTCCTGCGACTTGTTCCGGTGCAGAGGGGATGCTGTGAACAGAAGGCTATTGATCTTTAGCGGCGCATTCAAACATGCCTTTCGATGGGGCTCACCTCTGCTACTTCCTCCTTCATCTCAATGTCGTTGGTCGATGGTGCGACCATATCAGTGGACGGTTCAGCCATCTCGGTGTCTTGTCCTTGTGGTATTCGTGGGAGTTGCGATCGAGGTTGTCTGCGCATTCAATTACTGTAGAGCAGCTTCATGGAAGTTGTGCACGGTCCTTGAGGCCGTGCACGGACTTGTTGCTGGTATAGGACCTCATTGCCAGACTGTCCGGCGTCTTCTCTCTCTCTCTCTTGCAATTGTCGTCAACTTCTGCATCTTTGAAGATAGTAGATCATGCGTACTGTCGTTGATATAGGTGTCATCTTTGACAGCGATGAACCAGTCATGTATGAGTACTCAAAGGTAGGTTGCTCTGATGCGGTATCTGTAAGTCAAGGTACTGTACAGCTCTGAACCAGTCGCGTCAATCTCTGGCATATGGAGCTACTTCAATCATGAGGAGCCTCAGCTGCACTTCTCTCATTGCTCACATAAACATACGCGCCGAAAAGAGACGTACCACTTTCTGAGGACCCTCTTTCAAAAAGCCTATGTGACCGCTTGACACGATTTCACTGGAGACAAGCCGGGATCAGAACTATTCCATGATATAAAGCGTATATTACAAGGGAAGTATCTCTTACAAAGAAGGCTGTTTCGATCATATCATATGATCCAACCTTGAGAAACGCAGTGGGTTGTCTTTTTAGCATTGAAAAAGGCAGCAGGAAGTCTCACTCAAAACTCCTGACACCAAACTCTCTGCTCGATCACTTGCTGTCTCCGTCCAATCACGGCCATCGTTGGCCCCGGCGACATCATTCTGTGCAAGACAGTGGGAATCCGAACCATTCATCTTGTGTTTCACTCGCTTCTTCAGAGAAAAACGCGAACAACACAGCAAAGAGTCCAGACACCTCTCACTTCTGCACTTCCTTTTGCTACTTATTCGCTTTCCACCTCTCTGTTCCTCCATCTTTCTTTCTCGAACGTCACCACCTTTCAAGTTAAGACAACTCACACACACATAAAGACCCTTCCTACTTCTACTTTCTTCAACAAACACATCCAACACAATGCCTCCCAAGGGTTCTGTAAGTTATCTTCCATACTTGTCTCTACACCTTTCCATGTCCCATCCTTCTCAACACCCTCTTGCCTCACACATCATCTTCTTGTGTCAACGCTGCTCCCTACTTCGGGTCAATGTGGTTGCGCGCTTTTGATCACCACAAGATCTCTCAGTTTCCATATGAGCTTGACCACCCTCATCATCTTTTCATGCTATCTCGTTGCTCCTGCCAACATGAGTCTGCCCCCTTTTTCCCCTATGCATCCCAGTCTTGTCTGCCTGCCTTGCATCTATGCGAGCTTGTGTCCATCTCTCTGGATCTCCACGAGTTTGAATCTCCTTTCTGCCTTTCTATGCTCTACTTTCAACAGTCACACCGGTGCGGGAGTCCACATCCATCTTACTCATGCGTTTACAGAAGAAGGCTGCTGCCGCTCCTCCCGCCACACCCAAGGCCGAGTCTGGCGATGAGGGCGCCGTCGCTACTCCCAGCACCGTCAAGAAGACCCCCAGAAAGCCCAGAGCTCCTCCCAAGCCTTTCAGCAAGCTCTCAACTGCTCTTAGTGGCGCCGCTCCTGTAGACGTTACTTACGAAAATGAGACCGTCCAAAGCAAGGTATGCAAAAACACGTCTCGACATCTCAACCATCTCGACTAACAAGATGCAGATTCTGGCCAAGGAAGCCGGCTTCGGTCAGACTATCAAACTGGTTGCTCCTCAGCCTTTCGAGCTTGTTGCTTCGTACATGCTTGACAACGGCCTTCAGGCAATCGTCATCAAGCCCAGCGCACCCTTCCCTTTCTTGGAACTGTCTGCCCACCTGCGCGCCAGAATTCTGAAGCTCAACCTTGCCCCTACCACCAACAAGGGCAAGATTGAGTTCCAGACCGAGGCCAAGAGTGGCAACGTGAAGGCCAAGGACTACCTCAAGGAGTTCAAGCACAGAACCGCTATCGCTATCTTGAACAAGCAGGTCAGCATAATACATTCACAATCCTTGGCGATGACACGAACTAATCATGGTCATCTAGATTGCTGTTGAGGCGCGTGGTATCCTTTACGCTACCAAGCTTCGCTTCGACAACACTACTACTCTTCTCAACTTCCTCAGCATGGTCGGAGAAGATGCTCGCAAGGCTATGTCAACCATCATCATCGCCAACTACCTCAAGGCTACCGCTATGCCTTGCATGAACATGTTGGCCGACTGCCGCAACCTGCAGAAGATCACCATCGTTGGCGGTGTCGGCGTCAACAGCAACCCTCAGAAGGCTGCCAAGAACTTCTTCACTGAGAGCGGCCGCCTGCTTCAGGCCATCGTCAACGCTGCTGACGGTGACAAGAACGCTGCTCTCGCCGTCGTCAACTTCGGCAAGAACTGCTTCACCATGAAGGAGGAGGACGAGGTTGTTGGATGGGACGACGAGAACATCGAGACCTTCGTTGAAGAAGTCACCGACAAGCTCAAGTAAGCGCGATCCATCCTTTGAGCCTCATGGCACCCCTTTCCACACCCACACCTCTACCTCCTTGTTGCTGGTTTTTGTTTCGTTTCGCCCTCGTTGTCCCGCTTTCCTCTCTCGGTATTGGCAAAGCTGCAGGTGGAGCTTGGGCGTAAATCAGATCAGAGCACACAACAGCATACACAAGGAGCAGATCAGAGGTCATTTCAAGAGCAAGGGCTCTTTCTTTTTCTTTTTTCTCCCACATCACCACCACCCTAGATAAATACTGCAAGACATTGGTCTTGCAGTCTTCCCCAGATACCCCAAAGAATCAAATTGTCCCCATCATCCTTCTCTTCTCCGTGATGACAACATGCTGAGTGTTCTTCTTTTCTGTTATAGTAAGCTTATCGATCTGCCGAAGTGGTCTTGTGTTTGTGGTTATGGTCAGAACTTTGGTCATAGTTGCCATGATGTGACGGCTTTACAAGCAGAGGCAGTGGGTGACTTGCCCTCCCCTCCTGTTCACAATCGTGTTGCTGCACTTCGTGAGATGACTTGATCATCGTCATGTGATACTCTATATATGCAGCAAACATCACTGTTCTCGTGCTGATCGAGTGACTCGTTGCGTAGTAGTATTGACGCAAGGCCTTCTAGGACACAACAAGTTACTCGATGGCCTGTCTCACCGTTCGCTCGTTCTCTCTCTCTCTCCTCTCCTCCTTCCCCCTTCATGGTACACATCCCTGATCAGAAGACAGCTGTGCCTTTCTATAGTTCGAGTATCGCTTTACTGTATCACAAAAGAGAGCTCCGGAATCATGTTGATATGTAGCTGACTGCCCCTTACTCAATACACATTGTTCCTTCTTTCAGATCACTTTCGTCTTGTAGATCTATCGAGATACACGATAATGATCAGTGATCAATAGATATCCACTGAAGGCGATCGATTTGTCGACTCTCTCTGGAAACATGCCTATTCTGAATACATTCGTGCCTTTTTATAGCCCATTCATCGTCCTTCTCTGCTATGCGAGAGAAGGTTCACGAGAGAGTTTGCCCCTGAAGCTGACCCCTGTTGAGGAATTTCTATTCATTTCTTGTGTCAAAGCATCATAGTCTATGGCTATAAAAATGCACAGTATCGCTGGATCACACGAGAACATCCACTGAGAGTCTTGTACCGATGGACTCTCTCTGGACACATCGATGCCTAGGATGCGTTTGTGACTTTTTATAGCTCTTTGATTATCTAGGCCTGCCATGGGAGACGAGGCTCAAAGATTTACTGACCCCTGAACATGACCCTTGCTCAAAAGCCTGTTCCATCCTTCACGCCAAAGTAGTATAAAGTATAACTATAAAAATGCACAATTCTATCAAGGCAAGTACTTTCATCCACCGAGACTCGATATCCTGACAGGCTCTCTCTGGAAGCATCGCCAAAATTATTACGACTGTGCCTTTTCATAGATCGTGTACTACTCTATGTCACAATAGGGATATCAACACGGATGCCACTTCCTATCAAGGGCGCCGGCACTACTTTGTCAGGAGATAGAATGTCTTGATGGTTTCCAAGAGATGCAGAACGTCGAAGAGATGATTAACTTATTTTAAGGGCGTGATGTAAGTGTATGTGATGGACAGAGATCGCAGGGATGAGAAGGATAGGCATGTAACTAGGATTACTGGCATTTGGAAATAAATTTGGGCTGTAAGAACATGCAAACGGGTCAACAGACTGAGCAACTCTGCAGTATACGTTGGCCTTAGTCAGCAGCGGACACGAAGCAAAGCATCAATGGGGCTTGATGATCAATCGCATAGCAAGAACAAGGTATTTCAAATAAGGTGAGAGGCAAGATGAAGTCAATGGAGAAAATTAAAGGCAGTATTGTGGTTTGAATGGTTTCAATTCCGTCGTTACAGTCGTATCTCAAAGTACATGAGGAAAGGCTCCTTTCACAGCAGCCATTCTATCCTCAAGAAGGAGCTAGGCTCTTGCCATTTCCTTTCATCCTTAGCAGGGATTCCTCCTAGCCTTGTTCGTAACATTGATTTGTTCCGAAGCCATCAAGTGGTATGATATGGCGATGGTGTCTTCGAGGTTGTGATTGTGTTGATTGATAGAAGCGAGTAGCTTATGAGTGCTTCTCGGCCTCCTTCTCGACGAAGGGCTCCTTGTTGCCGCCCTGGCCAGTGGAGGTAAGGGTAGCGCCGGAGAGGCCACCGCCGGAGGCGTTCATGCCCTCTAGGCTGTCGCCCTTCTCAATGTCGGGCATGGGGGCAGCCTTGTTGCTGCGGTCGACACCAGTGGATGCGGCCTGTTGAGTTGCGTTAGCTTTAGATGGTTTTCAGATGAAACAGCTGTCAAGACTTACACCGCCAGCATCGCCGTGGGTGATGTTGTGACCGGCCTCAATGGCGTTGTCACCAGCTCCAGATCCGTCGCGAGGCATGTTTGATATGTGTTGTGTGGGGGGTTGGTTTTGTGTAAAGAAGGGAGGTTGTTGCTTTTTGCTTGAAAAGAAGATTGACTGAAGGACGAGATGTGTGGAGGGTTTTGTTGCTGCGAGGTGAGTTGTTTTGCAGCAAAGAGCTTGGTGGAAGCTACCTCATCGCTGACGTCAATTCTGCTTTCGTTTTCGGTTCTTTTGTGGAGAAAGCTCGTCACCCCTCTCCTTAGCACCTCACGTGCCCTACATATCGCGATTCAAACCAAAGCTTGACTGTACATGTAGAACGAGCGGATCGAGCAATTCATGGTATGCATGGGGTCTGCGAGTCGATACCATTAGAGGATGACCTAGAAATCAGCTTGAACATGGAGACACCATCGCTTTGACCACTATCTTAATAGCATTCAATTCTCAATCGTTGTAGTAGGATTGCAACGATCAATGGTGAGGATCGTGCTTGATCGCCGTACTGAGTCACGCGAAAGATACAATGGAGAAAGGAGTATAAGGCAAAAACAGAATTAAAATTAATGTTTAATCTTTGCTAAGGATACATATGCCTGACATGAGGACGACTGGCGCACAGCTGTAGGCTAACATCATACAACATCATACATCACAACCCAGTTGTTCAAGTAAGACATCATGAAGATGCTTATCCGGCCTGGTAAAGACCAAGGGCAACAACGTGAGGGTTGATCATGGAGAGGTTGAAGGGAGTAAGGAACATGTCGGTGTCGGTAAGAGCGACGAACATGGTGCCGTTGACAATTCCCTCACCACCCTGGTAGTTCATGGCAGCGGGCTGGTAGGTGTAACCAGAGTTGTTGGAAGTCTTGATGAGAGGAGTGTAGGTCAGGTTGAGCTGAGCAGCCCAAGCGACGTACTGAGGCTCACCGGCAACAGGGTTGACAGCAGTGATGTAGCTGTTGTTGGGGCCGACAGCAAGGCCGGGAGCATCCCAGGTGAAGTTGACCATCTTACCAGGGAAAGAGAGGGGCTCAGAGCGGTTGCGAGCAATGGCGGGGCCACAGCCGTAACCGGTGACGTTCAAGTTGATGCAGCTGTCCTCCTCAGGAATGGTGGAGATGCTGGGGTCGGAGGTACGGTTACCAGTGACCTCGTATGCACCAGTGTCGTTGGCAGACCAGCGGTTAATGTTAGGCTGGTTGACGATGTGGAGGGCAGGGAAGTTTTGCCAAGCAAGGCGGGTAGTGTTCTCAGGGCACGAGGAGATGTAAGGAGCAAGGAGAGTCCAAGCCCAAGACTGAGGAACACCAGTCTCGAAGTACTGGTTCATGGGGAAGAGACCGCTCATCTGGCGGAAAGCCATCTGCTGGCGGGCCTCGGTAGCGATGGATTGGGCAAGGAGCTGACCGACCTCACGGCTGTCGAGGTGGTTGATGAAACCCCAGACACCAGACTCACCGTAGCGGGTGAGCTTCTGGTTGAAGTCGACGAACTCACGGACAGTGGTGTAAGGGTAGTTGTAGGTGCACTGAGGGGGAGCGGTTTCACCGAGCATGTTGGTGAGAAGAGTGGCGTGGCCCTCCTCTTGCTGAGCCATGTAGCGGATGAGCTCACGGTCCTCAGCAGTAAGACCGGCAGCAATGAAGTCCTCCTCAGAGAAAGTGGCGAGACCGTTGTTGAAGCAGTCGAGCTCGATCCACTCCTGGTAAAGACCAAGGGTAATAGATTCGTAGTCGAAGTCGGACTCAACCATGTAGCGAGGGAGAGAGCCGTTGGTACCAAGACCACCAGCAGGAGTGTAAGGAGCAGGCTCAGGGTTCTGGAGCTTGCCATTGGTGTTGTAGTAAGTGGCAGTGGGGTTGAGGGGAAGGGTAGAAACGGTCAATCCAAGAGTGGTAGTGGTGACAGCACCAACAGTGGTAGGAACACCGGAGTAAGGGCCGTGAGTGGTCGAGCCAGTGACCATGCTGCTACGGAGAGGGGCAGCAGCGCCAGATTCGGTGCCATTGGGAGCAGTGGTGTGGATGGCCTTGACTGCAGAGTTGGTGCCGAAAGAGGTGGCGAGCTTGGAAAGGTCGACAGAGGCAGAGTCGGACTTGTAGGGAGCGTTGGCACCAGTGTAGGCGGGAACCTGGCTGCCGTACTCAGAAGAAGCCTCAGAGGCATAGACACCCTGGGAGGCAGGGGCAGCGTAGGCAGCGCCTGCGAACAGGGCCGAGGCGACAATTGACTTGGAGTACATCCTTAGGAAGATGTGAAGGTGTGGTTGTCGATGGAGGAGCAGAGAAGGCGAAGCATGGCTCCAGATATATATTCGACCTCGTCTGCAGGAACGACATTTTCGACATGCAGCGTCATCGGCGACCAGCATGCCCACGGCAGAATTGTGACATCAACACTCTTGAAAAAGACGATCTTGATCTGGGAGTGGTAGATGCCGCCCCGTTTGCCTTCGATCGAGCACTTCCGGACTCGGTTGCGACCATTGGGGTAGTTTCAGTGCACGTACAATAATATCGATGAAGATTGGCGACTAGGATGCGCCCCTCAGGCCAAGACATCAATACAACATGCCGCATCGAACTGTTCTACACATGCATCGAGCAACATTATGCATCGAGTTCAGCTCTCTGGCCCGATGAACCTTTTCTTCCATAAGAGTACGGCATACGAGTTTGAAGCTGACGACAACAGCTGCGTCTCTCTGTGTTGCTTCCAGTCGCTTCCGCGCATCGAGAGAAGTGACATTCTGCGGGTGGAACATCGAGATGGACAAAACTTTGTGTCGGGGCGCCTATGCGGCTGAGAAGTTGCAAAGAGCCTCACGGACACCCACGTCATGTACTTGTCAGGCCGTGCACTTCCATGGAAAATCTTAATCGGCATGCGAGTCGCGAAGCACCACCAGCAATCTATTTCAACCAAACCCTCGCCAACTTGACTTACGTGTGGCATCCTAAATTGTGCCGGTCACTCCACTAGTTAACCCCATCACACCTATGTTCCTTGATAGATAGCGCAGGGCTTTGTATTGCAGCAGTAACATGATCTCTCGAAGCATGATCTTATCTGATTGATAACCCAAATCGACCTCGACGGCCAGCGAGATTCGAGATCGAAACGAAATTTCTCCGCGTTGCGACTACTTCCATTGTTGCCATCTTCGACAACCTGATCAAGTCTATATTAACTTACCCAGCACTACAAGACCGTGTACTCTGTCACGACATAGCCGTGTAATCTAGTTCATGGCCTCCCTGTGCTTGACAGCAGACAGCTAGGCGAACCAGCATTCTGTGTTTTATGACGACATTTAGCCGTCATATCAATAAGTCGCAACGGATATGTCTCCGTGTCTCACCTCCGAGCTTGTCTTGCGGAAAGAGCGAGCTTACCCCAGAGAAGACTGGTGCTTGGAGCCGCCATGTTCCTGAATCCTGATCTCTCCCAAACGAGCGTGCATCACCGGACGAGCTTGTTCAAAATCCACCTTTCCGCATGCTACAGACGCCACTTTGGCATGGTCTCAACCGTTTGGTCTAATCATGGAGTTCCCATCCATATTGGGGTCAGGACTCGGGAGTGTCAAGGTCAGGGCTTTGGAGTATGACAAGCGAGCGACTTATGCGATCCTCAGACCTTGGCAGAGCTGACACTGGTGAGCTGATCACCTTTTCTAAATGCCGCTGGGGACAGCCGCGCATCTCCTATGGCCATGCTGTACTTACGTCCTCGGAACATGCCTTTCGCGATATACGCCTCCATATTTCAATGGCCTTTGCCGTCGGGGTCACTGTGAAGTACCACAAGTAGCTATGCAAGGCAGTTGTGTGGACGCAAATCATGAGCCACGCGTTCCGACTTGCCTTGGACTCTGTCAAAATCGCCTCATTCTGCGAAATGTCGCCGCTCACGACTCGGAGGCTATGTCCGGTCCACGTGTGGGATCCCTGCTCAGGTATCCATGATTTGCAAATCACGGTGTTTCCCGCGCCTCCACTTCAAGTTCGTGGCTCCCGTCAGTGGTCACCGTGAGATCGTCTTGCTAGGCCTGAGGCCTCAACCATAATTTCAATCTCTCTCTGTCAGAAGAGTCTCTCGTTCCACGTGCGAGATAGTAATATCGATTTCTGGTATCAACAATCGACGATATGGTTGATTAGTCTACCTATCTACTCGTATCTGATGGGTTGAGCTACCATCATGCTTCATTAGTCTGGGTTTCCGCACGGCTTCTCTCCTTACCACCTCCCCGTGTGCTAAAAGATGTAACGCACATGGCTATGAAAATGCACAACATTATGAGGAAACAGGAGAATGTCCACTGAGAAGTGACAACCTATCAGCTCTCAATGGACATGCCTCTTCTTCGAAAACATCTGTGCCTTTTTATGGTATGCATCTGGCTAGTTGCCGCAGGCGGAGTATGATGGAAGTTAGAGACCTGGGTATCCGGACAAGCAAGAAAAGTCCGGCCATCAATCGTTCAAAGGTCAGACGGTGTCTCTCTTGCTCGTTTATGCTGGCGTTGCCATTTGGCCGAGCATACTCAGTGCACCTGGTGCTGAGATGCGTCTGTGCTGGCAATATAAGAGACTGGCGCCTGTCTTACATGCCCCATGTCTATTTGCTTTCGACAGACAGTGCACCGCCCTATCACCTGCCGAAGACCAATGCTAACATTAAGATAGCTTCATTATTGGAGATGAGACTGAAGGCCCACAACCCGTCTCTCAGCTCGAGCCTCAAGCGGCTGGTTGAAATTTGACGTGCCGAACTCTCAGTCACCGTGCGGCTATGGAGATGCTGAACTCTCCAGAACGAAATGCTATCCACGGAGAGACGACATGCCAGGACATCTCTATGGCCATACTTCCGGTACTGAAAGCATCCGTGCATTTCGACAGCCATGGCAGGACTATGCATCTTCGTGGGAGAAGTGTTCGATCTTACCATGGTCACCTTGCCCTGCCTCAGGTCGCTCCTTACTGTTTTGCTTTCATGTGTTTTACCTTGACGCTTTTCTGTCATATTTAGTGGTGCATTCTTCGTGTCAAATTCTATCTCACCAGATCAAAGTATCTTCCGCCAGTGTTTTTTGTTCTTCCTATTCGTGTCTAGCTACAGATAATGATATCGTTGTGACCTCAGGGTAGTTCCAATGGTTTGGCGTCAAGGTAAAGCGACATTTTACTCAAAATTGTGAATTGGAGATATCTTATGATTCACACCGCCAGTCACTACATGGACACAACCGGAACCATCTCCAGGTATTTGCAACATAGGAAGAGTCTGTCAATTCATGTATTGGTATGCTTGACCGATGGGAAATACACGATGGATATTGAGCCAGGGTGTTACCCTCAACGAAAAAAGCCGAAAAGGAAAGAAAAAAAGAGAAATAATACTCGCAAGCACTCAAGCAATGGATATATGGAGGTCAACCAAACAATCAATGCATGCAGCACAGGACCACTAACAAAACACAAGATCAAGATAAGTTAACAATATTCATTGTATCGTAAGAGATAAGATATGATAAGAGGAAGGAAGGAGCAGTGGTGGATCATGTCCAAAATTTTCGACTCGTTGAACTCCAAACTTCGTAAGAGACGTCTCATTCTAATTCAACCTCCGCCAAACTCAAAAATGACCGACTACACTCCTTCTCGCCGTCGTCGACCGAATCGTCATCGAATTTAGACTCGCCTAGGTCGATCCGGCAAGAGAGCTAGCATTGGCACCATCAGGATAATAGAATGCCGAGACGCTGCGATGATGTTAGCTGATTGTGTTGTGACAAGCTTAGAAAAGAACAATGACTTACGCGATAATTACGTAGGCTGCGATGAGTAGAGCACCCTCAAGATAGTTACTTCTACCGTCAAGGACCAAAAAGTTGACGACGAATGCCGTGACGAACAAACTGATAGTCTCGAAAAGTGTAAAGTAGAGCGACATGTCGCGGCCAATGATCCAGCCAAGAATGACCACCAGAGGAGTGACGAACAAGGCGATCTGAATACTGCTACCAACACTGACACCAATGGACAAATCCATCTTGTTCTTGGCGGCAACACTGACAGCAGTGACGTGCTCGGCAGCGTTAGAGACGATGGGGAGGATAATCAGACCGATGAAGGCCTGACTGACTGGAGTCGCGTCGATCATAGCTGGAATAGCATCGACCATGAACTCGGCACAGACGGCAACGAGAGCGGTCGAAAATAGCAGAAGAACGACGGCAGCGGTGCGGGACATACGGTTGTGTTCCTCATCCGTCTCCTCTTCATTTTCCTGGTCAGCGCCCGGGGTTCGTGCGTAAGGAGGAAGGTTATCCTGGGGAAGCGTCGAGGGAGTGTTTTGACGATTGAGACGATCAGGCAAAGAGCTAGTTCTACGTAGCGCGCCCACTCCGGTACGAGGCACCATAGGTGCGCCAGTAACAGGAGAACCTGAAATCGGAGGTGGAGTAACGAATACGTTCTGAGAGAGCATCTTAGGGAGAGTAGGGCGAGGGAATGCCTGGCGAGACGAGAGCTGGCGAATACCGAAAGGCTTTCTAGGCGAGCCGGTGTCGGCAGCAGGAGCGTAGTGCACATTGTCAGAGAAGCCCACCTTAGGGACGACCTCCTTTACGGGTTGCTTGCCCTGTTTGCGGATCGAGGAAGCCTCGTCGATGGACTGCTTCTCGTCATGGCTGCCATGGCGCTTGTGGTGATGTCTCTTTTTGTGCTTCTTCTTATGTTTGCGCGTATCTGGTTTAGTGTCCTGGAACTGTAGCTGCTGTTGATGCTCCTCAACGGCTGGTCCATCGACAAAATCTCTGATGAGAGGGGGAGCGCCACGCATCTCGAGTTCGCCATCTGTATCGGCCTCATCGCCACTATTGATAGCGCCGAGAGCAGATGGGCGACGCTGAGGCTGAGGCTGAACTATCTCAGATTGCTGTGAATGAGCACGCTCCACAGAAGGAGCACTAATGACGGAAGGAGTTGTAGCAGTACTGGCACTCGACTTGCGGCGTCTGCGGTTCCTGAAGGCACGTCTGATACGCTTCGAAGTGGTATGTGACGAAGTATCTGAATCTGACGAGCTGGACGAGTCTGAGCTGTCGGATGAACTAGATGAACCTAGCATGTCGGCCAGAATACCAGGATGCGACTCTTCATCGATAATTTGCTGGGGTGTACTTTCGTACAGGTAGGCGTGCGACTTCAGTTGGAAGAGCAGATACAAAATGTAGATGATGAGAAGAATAACACTGGTGCCTCTGCTAACCTTCAGAACTGCGGTATCGGCAGCAGCACTATCCGAGAAGGAGGCATGGAAGGCTGTGGGCAGGACCAGACTGACGACACTCAAACTGAGAAGACAAGCACTCATCTGAGTGATGGTGCTATTGTAGATTTGCTCTTGAAATCTAAGACCACCAAGTGTGAAGGCCATGCCCATGATGAGCAGAAGGTTGGACAGGATGGAACCAACCAGCGAGGCCTGGACAATACGAATCTCATCCTTGACCAATGCGATGATGAAGATGATCAGCTCGACGGCATTGCCAAAAGAAACGTTCATCAGAGCACCCAGTGTGTCGCCGAGGCGTGAGGCAACGACCTCGGTTGCGTAGGCCAGCATGCCAGCCAGTGGGATAATGGCGACTGCATTGAGGGCGAAGACGACCGAGGCGTTGATATCAAGGGCCTTAACAATGATGCCAGCGGGGACGAAGATGAGAAGGACGTTGACCCAACTGTGGGTGAGGGCATCGTATGTATGGAGACCAAATCTGACGGTTCCAGCTTTGGCTCTCTTGATAATGGATGGTTTGGTAGCGGGCACATTGTCGGTGCCATCTTGGCCTCCTAGGGCGGGTTTGTTCGGTGATGCATGTTCCGACTTGACATGTTCAGGAGGGGGAGCTGGGGCGGGCAGGGCAGGCGACGTCTTGTCAGCGGTGTTGTTGAAGGTAATACTGTCATGGTGACTTGTGTCTGTGTTGACATGGTGGAGAGCGGTAGAAGGGGTCAATGAGGGTCCAGCCTTCTCCGCGTTCGGCAGATTTCGGGTGGTGGTAGGTAGAATAGGGCTGGCACTTCGCTGTGGCGTAATGTTGTTGTTGTGGTTGGAGCGGTCAGAGGCGTGGTGTCTCGCCCATGAACGGATGCGGTCTAATAAAGAAGGGTCAGAAGGTTCTCCCATCGGCGTATAATCCAAAGGGATAATTGAAGTGAAGTGAAGGAGGAGAGCAGAGCAAGTGGCAGAGAAGAGTGTCTAGGACTTAGGCAGCTGGCAATGGCATAGATAACCATCCAGGAGCACCAAGGCGCTAACGATCATCGGCGCGCCGTGTCCGCTCCGGGGTTTATGACAACGACAGAGTCATCATTCAGGTCGCATGCCACTTTTCGAAACCTTGTCACTTACGCATTTCGTCTTGAAACGTCGAGCCCTTCGTCCGGTCGTATCAGTCGTCGTAGAATAGATGTTGATACTATTCAATGGAATGATGAAGCTGTAGAAGAACCTCTTCCCTTTGTGTGTTGGCAGAAATGTGAATGCTTCGAACCACAACGCCCTTTGGCCACAGCCACAGCATTTCGTACGCCAAGTGTTTGCCAAGCGATTGATCTACCTTTTAGATGCTGCTTATTATGGACGCCCATGGCACATTCTCACGGCATGCCGAATCGCACGACCAAACAAGCAAGGAATCAGGTTCTTGGATTACTTGGCCATGCCTGCTTACAGATCTAGCTGCATCTTGTGCTATCTCACAGATTCTAACTGGTCAATTGACCACAAAGAGGACCAGGTTCCGTCTGCTATAGCTGATGGTCTCCCTACGTGGGCTGTACGCGGCTCCCTTGCGTCCGGGGCGAGATTGCGCGAGGCCTGTGGAACCTGTGGCGCAGCTCCGTATCGTGCGTATCTGATCATCCTCTGGCCCTTACGCGCGAGTCGCATCTGTCATCCATCTATCCGCTTCTTGCAAGCACTATGAGTGGCCAGACAGTTCTCTATTACGCTCCTATTCTCATCAATTCGGTCCATTTGTGCGTGGCAACGCAATTGAGCCACCTCAGTGGTATCGAAATAGATACACGGTGGGCCTGAATGTGGCTTGTCGCAAACTGTTGATCAATCAATCACGCCAATACGGATATAATTTGCCTGATAAGAAGGGCCATCCACCAGTCAATTTCCACGAAGCGGTGCAAGCCTGATTTGTTTGATAGCTGGTAGAGCTCTTTGCAGGGCAGAAAGTCGGTCTGACCACCATATCCATTTTCAATTGCCCTCTTACTGGCCAATCCTGCTAAACCGTGCTGTATCATCGTAAATACAGTCTCCGCAGCTCGTCACTTGCACACGCGTAACCTCCTGAAGTGCTTTGAATTTGTCCGCCCAAGTAACAGAGTTCGGAGAATCTGCCGACTTGAGCACAGGAGATAGCGAGTACGAGCACAGATCCAATCTCATCTTGTCCCATGGCAAGGCATAGTCATGCATGATCTTTGTGAGCTGGAACAGAAAATGTTTGTTTGCGTCGCTCATTGCTTCCAGCTTGGTTTTGCAATCCTCGTGTAGGTCGGCGAGGCCTTGATTTGCGTAGGTGAGCATGTATAGCTTGATAAAATGGTGTGCTCGGGTGACGTCGTCTCGTTCATGTTGTGGAAGTGTGGAAGGACGAGCTCGGCATTTCGCATCGTGGCAGTTGTACTTTTGTTGGAGATATCGGCTCTCAATGATGTCGCAGAGATATCTTGCTTGTCCTACAATCTGTCGACTGAGCGAGATCCTGTTCAGAGCATTTCCCAATTTGTCTCCCAAAATTGAGTCCACGAGAACAACGGAGTTCTTGGGTTTGACGGTGAGTTCTGCTGCCTCATTTGCTACTATCAAGGCTTCTACTTCCTTGTAGCATGGAGTCTGGCGAACGAGCAAAGGCTTGCTGATTGAAGAAGCCCGTGTTTGCCAAAGAGCATAGAGACTCTTGCACGTTCTGAACAATGCAGACATGTCGCGGAAGCTATCTTGAGCTCCAAAGATGGTCAATAGCACCTCCGCAGGGAGGCTGACCACAAAGTCTGCAGGAAGATTTGAGGTAGTCATATGTGATGAGATAGAATGTATACAGATTATCAGATGATAGCTTCAAAACACTCAGGAAAGAGACAAGACAATGTTGTTCAAAAATTCAGGGGGGCCACAGGAGCTGGTTTTTCCAAATTCCATCATGTGAACGTTTTCACGTTGCTTTTGATAGCGGTACCCTTCGTCATTCCTCATCTGGTCAGGGTCTATCGCGATTGGACGCTCGAACCATGACTGTTGCCGGTATTGAAACGAGATAACTGATCAATGGTATAGACAACTATGGGAGTAGGATATATTTGTGTGACAGGAGTTTATAGCATGCATGGTCTACGGCAGTCATTACCGAGGGTTACACCTGCCCCTGCACCTGCATTACCGGATCTCCACCCACTTCCGAGCTGTCAAACACGTCGGCTCGCGTCGCGTTATGTGGGAGCCATCTGCGTGTTCTCAAGAAGCATTCTGTAGTGTGACGGACCTTAATTAGAGCATCAAGCGAACCCAGTCGTGCACTCGAAGGAAGAAGCGACCTTTGGATCGCCTCCAACGAACCGCTGCACAAGCGGATATTGGCACAGCTCTCTGACTGTTCCATCTCCATGCTGACCGGTTGCCTTCAAAGTATCAGGAGCTATTCCTTCCTCGACCCACCTAACCAAATCCTTGTGGGCATCTGGTACAGGACCAGCTCCGCCTGCGCAGTGACCAACACCAGGAGCTTCAAAGTACCTATAGAAGTCAGAGACATTCGAAGTTGTTGCAAGCACTTTGTCGTAATAGTGTGAAGTTCCGTTAGGTGGAATGCGATCGTCCGCAAGGCCATGCCAGGTGATCATCTTGCCGCCTGCATTTCGAAACTCAGATAGATCTGGCCAATTCGTGCCGATAATTGAATCGTACTCTCTCTGTGAGGCTTTGAGTGCGGCGAAAAACTCAGCGCTTGACATCTTGCTTGTATCGTATGCTGGATCTTTCATGACGAACAGACTGATCCATTCTTCTGGGATGGTCTTGCCCCTTTTGCCGTTCTTTCCAACCACAATAGCATCGTCTGCTGAGCGAAGAACTGCATCGTGATTGACACCAAACCAATGAGCTTTGCCATCGGCATCAACAGGTCCAGTCCATGCTGCCTGAGCTATCGTAGCACCTTCGGATGTGAGTTCTTGTTCAATGCTGTCACATTTGACCTTTCTGCCTATAACAGTATGCGGGTCGAATTGACACAATCCAGGTGCTCCGATAATGCCGTCAGTGAGCCCATCGAGACCATCACATGCCTCAATGGCAGCAGCTCTGAATGCCATGAGTTCGCAAGTCGAGGGGTACGAGGCTATCTGATTCATGCGCTGCTGAGCCCAGAAAGCGGAGACTACAAAGGTTGGCCAGTCGATCGCAGGTGCAGCAGCTAGGATGCCATCAAACAGATGAGGAGAGCGTTGTGCAAGCATAAGGCCTTGTCGACCTCCAGTCGAGCATCCATTCCAGTAGGAGTACTTTGGTGCAGTTTTGTAGAAAGATGTGGTGACAGCTTTGCCAATGAGAGTCATATCATCGAGCGCTCGGTGCGCAAAGTCTTGCAGTAGATTCCAATTCACATTTCCCGGACTGGTCAGAGCCCAAGATGCCGCTGAACGTTCCAAGCCATGTCCACCATCCGTGCTGGCGGCAGCATAGCCCTGTCTGATCTGCGAACCCAAGTTTGGATGACCGGTGATCCAGCCTCCGCCGCCGACAGCCATAAATCTGCCATTCCAGTTCTCAAGCGGCAGCCAGACAGTAGTATGTATTGTGTCGTTTTGCCCAGGATGAGTGTAGGTCACAGTGATGTTGCAAAAATCCAAGCCATCTGCTTCCAGTACCTTCAACGTCCAAGGGTCCGTGATTGAATAGTTTCTGACCTCGTGAGCAGAAAGAGCGACGACTTCAGCACCGAAGATGTTCGGCTTTGCGAAAACATCTACCGAGCATCGATTTGAGGCGGCATGAAGTGTCGATGAATCCAATGGGATTTGTGCTTGAGCTTGTAGCCAAGCCAATGAATTACCAATGAAAGATTTCATAGCTCGCTTTCACCGAGGTTGTCAAGTGGATGGGTTGTGGGCACACAAGCAATGCAGTGGAAGGATCGAGTTGAGATGCGGAGTCGTACGAGGTTCGCATCCAGCAACGCCCTTCAAGGCTGCAATCAATTTCAACAATCACGTCAGCATCGCCAACTCTGGCGCTAACAAACAATTCATGAAGCGTAACAACATTTCTTATTGATGTCGGAGAGCTCTTCTGTGGAGACTTTCTTCTAATCAGATTTTGCGTCTATAATTGACTTTCTTAAAGCATTTCTCATTCCTTGATACCAGATCACGAAAGCCATCCCATAATTTCAGGTTCTGGAGCAATGATGTACAAAAAAAGAGGGCATTCCAGCAAATCCTCTATCGGAAGATCATGGCCTCTCTGGCGGGACCAGTGCCGATCCATTTGACGCCAACGCCAGTGTACTTTTCGATGAACTCAATGTACTTTCTGGCGTTCTCGGGAAGAGCTTCATATGAGGTGATGTTTGTACTGTCGGTCTTCCAACCAGGCAGAGTCTCGTAGATGGGCTCGACCTTGGAGAGAGCGTCAATAGTGCCAGGGAAAGAAGGAACCTCCTTGCCGTCAACCTTGTAGCCAACAGCAACCTTGATCTCGTCAAAGTCGTCAAGGATGTCCAGCTTTGTCAGGTTGAACGAGGTGTAGTGGTTAATGGCAGCCGAGTACTTGAGGAGAACCAGGTCGAGCCAACCGCAGCGACGGCGACGGCCAGTGGTGACACCGACCTCACGGCCGATAGTCTGGAGCTTCTCACCGATCTCGTTGATCTGCTCAGTGGGGAAAGGACCACCACCAACTCTGGTCTGGTATGCCTTTACAACACCAATAACCTCCTTCAACTTGAAGGGAGAGAGGGCAAGACCAGTGAAGACACCACCGATACCAGTGTTTGAGGAGGTGACCATGGGGTAGGTTCCCCAGTCAATATCAAGGAGCAGAGCGTTGGCACCCTCAACAAGCATGGGGGTGTTTGTAGCCTCAGCCTGCTGGATCATTGGGACCTGGTCAATGACATACTCGGCAAGACGAGGACGCCATTCGTCGTATCTCTTGATCTCAGCCTCAACGTCGTATTTCAACAGGTCGCCGTAGCGCTTCTTGAAGGCGGAGGCCAATGTTCTCAGCTTGTGGTCCATGTGCTCCTTGTCGAAGATCTCGCCAATTCTGATACCGGTACGAGCGGCCTTGGTCTGGTAGCACGGGCCGATACCCTTCTTGGTGGTGCCGACGGCGTCCTTGCCGAGCTCAACCTCCTCGAGACCATCGACAAGCGAGTGCAGTTCGAACAGGGCGTGAGCGCGGTCGCTGATGAAGATGCGGTCCTTGTAGTCAAGGTTATGCTTCTCGAGCTGCTCAAGCTCGTGGAAGAACTGAGGCACGCTGACGACAGTTCCGGAACCAACAAGGTTGACGGTCTCGGGGTTGACCAGGCCGGAAGGGAGAATGTGGAAGTCGTAGGTGACACCATTGACGACGATGGTGTGACCAGCATTGTGGCCACCGGCAGAGCGAGCGGTGATCTTGAACTTCTCAGACAGGAGGTCGACGAGCTTGCCCTTGCCTATGCAGAGGTTAGACGAGCTCTGTGTTAGAGCGCAGAGCGGTCTGAGTCACAAACATACCCTCGTCGCCAAACTGCGAACCGAGAACTACGGTTGTAGACATGTTGAGTCGCGATGCGTGCTGTATTTCGTCCAATTGGTATGAACGGAACTGGACAGTGAAGGCCAATTACACTCGGAAACCCAAAAGCGGTCGATGACTGTTTAAATAGATTTTGTGCGGGTTGGTTCGTTGGTCCGATCTCGCGGGGCTCGTGGGGCAGGCAGGGCCAAGGCCGTGCCTGTTGAGCGCGCATCACGCTGTTTCAGCCGCGGCCGCTGGAATGTCATTCGAGTCGTCCAATTCAAGCAGTCGCATTACTTCTATGGCCAATTGTTCTACATGTCTATTCTTTACTGCTTACCAATTGCCTCACTGAAGCCACCAAGGAATCTCCATCTCGTCTTTGCATCCAGATCCTTTTCTCGCCAGTGATTCAACGAGTCAGGGAAGAAGTCAAGAGCTCCCAACAAACTTGCGTCATGCGCTATGATCAAGAGAATGTCATCTGAAGCATCAAACTCCTGCATGCCCTCTACAGTCCAGTGATTCGTTTCGAGGTTATGGCAAAAGCCCTCTGTGGCCTCGTAGTAAGGCTCGTTTGCGCTCTTGTTGCAATGTACCTCCTGCAAGAGGTGACCAGGACAAACAGGTTGAGGTAGCGGCTTTGGCGAAGGCGAGATTTCTGTCGGAAGAGGCTGGTATTGGGAAGGTCTGAACTCTCCGGCATGATGGCAAGCATCGGCACCCATCATCACAAATGTCGCTTCCTTGTCCAATGGTGCAGTAGTGCGGGCCAAACCACACATGTGTCCAACCGTATGGCCAGGCGTATCCAGAAGGTAGAATGAGCCATCTCCAAAATAGTCGTAAGCATAGAAGCGTCCAATCTTCAGCCCAGCTCCTTCACGCTTAATATCCACCTCTCGCACATCACGGCCCTCAAAGTCGCTCTGTAGATTAGGAGAGTCCTTGTTGATAGGGTACCCAGGTAGATGAGCAGCCTTGAAACCAGGTCCAACGATAAGCTGCGTCGATGAAGGGAAGGTTGTCATATCTCCAACATGGTCAAAGTGATGGTGAGAATAAATCACACCGTCGATAACACCACCTTGGATATCGAAACCTGCTTCCTGCAGGATATCTGCAGTGTTCTTCTCAGCTTTTACAGTCCAGCCCTTTGATTTGAAGTCATTCACAAGAGATGGTGGCATGTTATCGACATCTTTACGGATTCCCAGGTCGAACACGAGGCGCTTGCCAGAGTCGTGTTCGATGAGAAAGGAGAAGGTAGGACCGGTCAAGCGGGTTTGGCCCTTGTATTCAGGCTTCACAAGCATTTCAATGGGCAAGTCGACATATGATGTACTGACACCGTGTCAGAATACAATCAAGGGCAGAAAGCGAACAAACAAAGGCTTGATACCTGTCAATGATGGATACTTTGACGAACTTGTCTGATTGTGGTATGGCGAGCTCAGGAGCTGGCTTGGGAGTTGCCAGATATTCGTTAGACATGATGCAATGAATTTATGTGAGGCGGCTTAGGTATAGGGAAAACTGATTTATAGAATGAGTGTCAGACAGTTCAGTAGATTTATCTATCGCAATGGTTTTGCTATGAATGTCATTGTTTGATACAGCGACGTCATGAGCGGGCTCCAGCGGACCGGCTCTTGCGGCTTTCGGGAGGTAGTGGAAGAACGTCGGGACAGCCAGCGAGTCCCAAGCTTTGTGCAAAAGACAGAAACTCGCTTGTTGTTTGCGCTTCGAAACTTTGCTGTTCAGCATCAGCGTCGCTACTTTCCTAGAATATTGTGGTGAGAAAAAGACGTCCGAGCTGCTTGCCCAATTGTAAAGATGTGATTGCGCAATCCGCCAAAAGGTACAGTATGCGTGTCTTCTCCTTGTTCTCTACCCTCGCCATGCAGCAGTCTAGCAACAGCTAGCTGCAACTGTGTATCTCTCTTTAGAGCAATAGATTCGCGGTATCTGCAAAGGCGAAGAGCAAAGGTATCGAAAGATGCCGTCGTTCGCAAATAAGCCGGAGCGCACTCTTGAGCGCCGATTCGAAAGGGTCGGCGTGGGTGGAGTGAGCTTGACTTGGTTGGACTGACATGCATTCAACGTATGTTACTGCCTTTGAAGCTGCTCGTAGATGTAATAAGCCGATAGATAAAAATCAAGGCGGTGTTGTGTGTAAGCAGTTCCAATCACTTCAGAATGGTGTGCGCGCCTCTTGCAGCCAAGTACTCCTGGACCTGAGCAGTGCTCAAAGTCTTGATGACAGAGTAGACCTCGGTATTGTGGTAGCGCAGACCGGTCTTGGGGTCGCTGTACGGCGCAGGCAGACCAGTGATGTCGCAGTACTTTTGCTTGGGCTTGAAGGATGGCGCAGCCTGAATGGACGTGTATGTGTAGCTCGGGGTCACGATGGGTTGCGCGGGTTGCGGATCGGGCAGAGCAGCTTCAGGCTGAGGAGTGCCGGCAGCACTGTTGTTGCGCGTGGCCTGGACTGATTGTTGCAGCAGTTGCTGTTCCTTGCGCTGGGCCTCGGAAACAATTTGCTTGACAGTCTTGTTGCGGCGCTGGGCAGGCTTCCATCTTGGGTTGCGGAAAGGCTTGTGGATCTTTTGCATGTCAAGCTTGTCGAGCAGCGCCATGTGATTGCTCTCGTCTGATGCTGTCGTGATGGGCGCCATGATGAGGGTGTTGGCTCGATATGCGGCTGGGCTCGGGATTCTGGATGCGACGAAGTTGCGGTGAAATGAGACTGGCTAGCAGCGATGTATCGAAGATTGGTCGATGACTATTGTGAGGAACGTAAACGCGTGAGAGAGCTGAGTTCGAGATGGCGAGATCTGGAGCTCCTACCGTCGGCAATCCGGGGATGCCCATCTTCTGGGGCAACCCTGACCTTATATCCGTTTCACTGTTTCCATGTCGAACCAATCTGTTATCAGCACACATTCTTTCAGAGGGGTCAACTTGAATCTGATAGAGTCGTTCGGTAAGAGGCTGCTATGCACAAAGAGCCAGAGTGTATTTCGGACATTCTGAACAGAGCTTCAAGACTCCATCATTCGATTCTGGATTTGTAATGATAACGATCAGACATTAAACTAAATGGTCTACCGAACGAAAGAAGACGACGAGAATCGAGTAACACAACAAACCGACATTAGACGAGAAAAACCGAAAAGTTGAAAGGCAACCAGGCTTGAGCCTTATCCTGTAGCATCCCATGACCCCATGTAATCAGTATCACAAGACTTATCAGAGCCTTGCATGCCTGGCCTTGAAAACAGCCACCTTGTCATCGTAATAGCGGATCTCTCGCAGTCTGAGCGTCGGTAAATCCTGTTCGTTGTCGGACAGACCAAGTTCGCTGTCCACATAGGAGTCAGTTGTATCAGAGGCCGCATCCTCACTGTCAATATCGTCCTCGTTGTCCCCGTCTTCGAAGTCTTCGTCATCTGAGCCCTCATGCTCGTCGTCTTCGTCTTCACTGTCAGAGTCATCCTCGGGCCCAATTCTGCTGCGATCTGTGCTTCTCGAGCCCGGTTTTTGTTCCAGTATCTCAAAGCACTTCTTCATGATGCCCAGGTAGCAGAGGCATGATTCTGGGCGAAGCGTCACAATGTCCACAACTTGGAGTGCTAGTTCCCTGGCATCCGGGAGGCTTGATTGGCTGTGGTTAACAAGATAAGGTATGTATAGCGATCGGAGTTTCGGCAGAGATGGAAGGCGTTGCAAGAAATAGTGCTGGCAAGATTGTCAGCAAAGGACTCATGAAAATTTTCTGTTGAACTTACCCAATCGCGATAGTCTAGCACAGCCCCCAGCTCCCTCAGACATGGCATCTTCCCCAAGAATTTGATGATCTCACGAGTGAACATCCACTGTCGCCAAATTACGCCGGCTCCTGGTAACTCTACAACACTTCTCTCGCCGCTTTCAATCAAGAGTTTGCTCAAACTAGTCCTATGTCTGCGTATAACCCCATTAAATATGGAGTCCAAAGGCACGCTTGCAGGATTCGAAGAAGTGTGCAAGAAGAACACCGATTCCAGACTGTTTGGTCGAAGTGTCTCCTTGACGAACGAGATCAATGAGGGTGTAACTTCATCCGTGGAGATGTGTTTCAGATTCAAACTGTATGTCTTCTCTGACTTTGAGTGTCTGCTCGATGGATGTGAGATGGGGTCGACCATTCCCGTCACATATCTTGGCTTAGTAGACGGACTAGACGCGAATTGGCGCCGCAAAGCTTTCCATAAAAGCTCGTGATTGTAGCAGCGGAGCAAGGTGAGAGTTGTCAAGACGGACCAATCAATGGCATTTAGCATCACAGGAATTGACAAGGGCACATCTTCCAGCTCGAGTGCGTCTAGCAGGAGCTTTTTGGATAATTCTGATGCCTGGTCGTCATTTTCTTGAGAAGAACTCTTGCCTTGTGTGTCCGGTGAATCCTTGAGACGATAAGGCAGTGAGATTGAAGGTTGCTCAATGGTAGTGCTCGAGTGCTCATGTGTGGCTGATCCGGATATCGAAGTCTTGGGAGTAGCCTGAATGTGCTCAACACTGATCATCATTTCATCGTCAGCGCCGACTTCTAATAATGACTGCGTTGTGCTTAGTGCTGCTTCTTCAGAGCTCAGAAGACCACTATCGGGAATAATAGTCGATGTATCCGATGTGTTGTCGAGGGCGCTTGAGATTTGTGAGGTGCCGATTGTCACGTTAGACCTTCGCCTTAGTCGACTCGATCGTCCAGCCCGAGATTCAACAGATCGCAGGTCGAAGATCATGCCTGTCAAGATTCCGAGAACACCGCCCAGACGCTTTTCACCAAGCGTGATGCATGACAAGACAGGATTGGCTCGGTCGACTTGTTGGACATCATCTCCTTCCCAAACGTAGTTGAACTCTCTGTGTTTCGCAAGATTTGCGATTCCAATCCGCAACTCACGTAGCTTGTCAACCGAGCGATGAATGAGAACACTCAGCTCGTCGAGGTACTGAACTTCATCGATATCTAGCACACTTAAACTTTTTAGTGGAGGCAGGATAGAGAAAGATGGATTCTCGACATGGTTCAAAGCACTCAAGCGAGGAGGTGCATCGCCTTGTTGGCGTGTGACATGGACAGGGGGACTATGAGGCTCGGCATAGTTATCGTGCCAACGAACAGCGACTCGTTCTAAACGACAAGGCTTGTCGTCTTCGTGGTCGGCTAATGACGAGAGGGCGTCCCATACAGCACTAAGTACGCCAGTGGGCATATCCCATGTGAAAGACTCGAGACTTCGCATTCGAGCGATTGCTAGTGCGACAAGAGTACCGAGCATCTTGCCGCCCTCTTTTGTGATGAGGTCTGTTATAATCAGGGTTAGCACACTTTTTTCTTACAGAAGTCTAATTCGAGCTTTGTGAGTCTGCTCTGATGCAGCAGGTTACTTTGCAACGAACCAGATTATAGAGACCAGAAGAGCAAATAGCAAACCAGCAGACGGCAACAATCAGTAATACTCACAATCCTGGACCCACTCTGATGGACCGTTGCCTAACGAGAACTTTTTGGTAAAGGAAGCAAAGTGGTTGCCGCGGCGTCTTCTTATCCGTTGGTCCATGGATTGACCACGACGACTGGCGAATACCTCCTCTGCCATGACCAGGGTAGAGAGGCCATAAGTGAGAGCATCGACGCCAGCTCGGGGCTCTGAACCAGTAGCATTATCAGGCCAGACGATGTCAAACCTGCTGTAGATAAAAGGTATAGTCAGAGCATGAAGTGTCGAATGGCAGAGAGCAAGAGAAGTCAGGTCATTAGTGTGATTCAGCTGTTGCGACAAGTCAGTCGATGTACGCCTATTCTGCTGTGGAACGACATGCCTCTCTTAAGATAGCGTTGAGGATTTCTACGGGCAGATCGAGCAAGTGCTTCGGCCGTATCGCCTTGTCGGGTCCTGCAATAAGAACGCCATCGATATCTTGTCCGAGCAGAGGAGGATTATGGTTGGTCATAGTCGCATGTCGGCGTCCACTTTGGTGACTTTCAGAGGCTGCCATGGGCTTGTCTTATGAAGGGCGCATGCCAAAATACCACCCAAGGCTTTCGTACTCGCGTCTCCAGCGCCAGAATTCACTGCAGGCCAAGGATATTGTTTTACGCAGAGGGAAGACCAAATATTTACACATGAATGATGAGACTCTGAAAGTCTGGCACCTGCTCACTAGGGTCGAATGCGCACGGACAGTCGCGGGGATCAAACGGCGCGGTTCGGGCGGTTGCTTGTTTGCTACTAACCTTTTTAGACATCACCCATCCGAAGCTATCGAACTGCACACTTGGGTTCTTTGAATCCAAAAATGGGAAATTCTCTGCGGAAACCACAGCGAAAGTATTGTGCATTTCTATAGCTACACTGTGACAGTCTTTAGCACATGGGAAGGTCGTACCACCACAAAGCCACTACCATTCTAAAGTATTACCACTCAGTCGACCTCCCATCTCCTCCAGACTCCTATATCGACCGTGTCGGGTGCATCTGTGAATGTCTCGATTTGGAACATCTCTCCTTGCGAGTCCATGGGAGTAAACATTCGCTCAATGACCAGCCACACCTTGCCCATCTCCTGTGGTGAGAGATCAATCTCGCCTGTTCGTACTCCAGCGGATGAGTCACTATATTCTCCATTGGAGCTGGCAATCAAGATTCGCCGCTGAGGTCCCGTGCCTATCTCCAATGTGACACGGATCATGCTCCTCTGCCGAGTCTGGCCCGTCTTTGCAATCTCTTGGAGCCCCGTCTGCTGAACTTGTTTAACGAAAACATCGAGTTTAGTGAGACGTTTAGGCGCGATCGGTGCCGCTAGCACGCGCTGCTGTCCTTCAAAAATCGCTTTGGCCCAAGCGCGTCCCAGTCGTCCTGCACCTTGCCGTGGGAGTAGCGAAAGCTGTGTAGCCACCATACTGTCGACTCGCAGCCTGAAGTTTCCTTTCTGCCCGGCTTCGAATGTAGAGCAGATGATTGTATAAGTACCTGCTTCGAGCTCTGCGTATTGTGCTAGGGCACATCCACGACGATAATCTTTCGAATCGAATACAATATCCTTGGACCTCACCGCTTGAACCCGAGAGCCTCGACCATGCACCAACTTCACATGAACGTGCAACTGCTCCACTTCTGTCTCGAGAAGCAATGCGATTGGTGTTCTCGCAGGAACAACAATGCTGAACTGCGGATTCTGTGAATATGTCGGCGAGTGAGCGTTGCCACCTGCACTCTCGTCCGTCCAAGCCGCGGGGATTATCTTTTGACAAGGATACTTGTTTGGTGCCTCATCGACTGTGATACGTTGCTCCGCAAAAACAGAGAGGGTGAAAGTATGAACGGCGGGTCCGAGGTCTTGCTCGACTGGAACAACCGTGTATTTTTTGCCGGCTTCCAAATTATCCAGACGAAGAAGAGTTTGTGGAGAGTCCACGAAAGGTCCGCGTTGCAAAGCCCCATCACTCAGGTATACTTTTGCGCCATTGTTGTCAAATAAGTATAGGCTGATGTATTCTGAAGGATGGTCGTTTTCTCTTCCATCTCTGAAATGCCGGCTCAGAAGAAACCATACAGTACACGGAGCTACCACAGACACACGGAATTGTTGGTTGTTGCTGAAGCTCTTGTACTTGCTGCTCAAGGATGAGGCTGACAAGTCCCAGGCGAAATGGATATCCTGACGATAGTTGAAGAGTCCTGGGTTCCAATTCAGGTAGATAGACTCGAAGTACTGCATGACACTATTAAGGTCTATCCAAAAAGTGCCGGGTGTTAGCTTATCATCCTGATTTAGCAGATCTCGCGATGAGGGAAGCACTTCTTCGTCTTCGTCATCTTGATCATCAACAGGAGACCTAGGAATGCTTCCTCGCCACGACATCCCTTCGCACCAGGGGTTCTTGACGAGCATCAGCTTCTGTCCGTTGACTTCTCTCATGTCTAGTACGGCATAGTCATGTTCTCCTGCAAGACCGATGGCGCGTTCGGTACGACTAGAGATTTTGCCAGTGCCCATGGTTATCAAGACATCGCCGTATTGATGTGACTTGAAAATACGCTTCCAGATGTTATTAGGAATGGTATCGTCACTGTGTGTTTAATTTGATGAGCGAGATTTTCATATGTGGTGAAAAGTCATCTGAACATACCTTTGCAAGAAGATTTGCTCAGGGATCCACCCGCTCAGGATCCAAAGGTCGGTTCCAGAGTTACTTCCGGGAAAATCGTAGCTACCTCGAACTTTGAGATAAGCCTTTTCGATCAAGGCAGGCCATAGAAGGCTCGGGTTGTGGCGATCAATGACATGCAAGACTCTCGATGATTTGGACACAGGGAGAAAATCGTCGATCTCGATTCTTCTGTGAGTTCCGTTGAAGTTGAGCTTGAGAGTATACTTGCCGTTCGGAGACAATTCAGGACGTCCCTGGTCAGCGTCGTACGGAAACATCATGGAGCCCAGAATCTAGTAGTGAATCAGCTACAGGTGATAGATAGTTCCTCCATTAGCGGGATGTACCTTTGCATGGCCTCTTTCACCACGAGCAACCAGAGCACATAGACTTGCAACAACTGAACAGTCCGTCGCGGCATCTTGGACGAGATCAATGGTACGCGACGAGCTCATGGTGGGACCTGCTTGTCTCTCTTGGGGTGTGTACCATGCGGGAGGCGGAAGAGCCTCAGCCGCACGTTTCCAATCGTCGAACACTTCAAGCTGCGCGGAAGAGAGACGCAATCTCGGCGTATCACTAACCATTCGTCAGTCTCAATCTTTGAAGAAGCCGATTGATAGCTGAACGCACGTGAAGCGCTCTTGACCATCTGAGATTTGAAAGTCCGAGTTCTGCGGCGCCCCAGTCCATGGAGGGAACTTGAAGCCATTGAGGTGAGAAGCTTTCAGGAGTAAGATCTGCTCTGAAGTAGGCAGTTTACGATCTGACTTCGGTTCGACTAGCTTGAGCACTCTAGTGACATCGATCTCGGAACGAGGTACCCAATCGCTAACGTGTTTGATGCGTTGTGCTTCATCAAGAAAGAATTCACTCTTTTTCCTCATTGATTTCTTAGTCTCTGAGTCTTGTGATATTCTCATAGCATTCATGGCGGTTTGAGCGGCCTCGATGGCCATCTTGAGGGCAGCATCACGGGATGGTGCAGAGGGGATTCCATGCTCAAGTGTCTAGTAGACGATCTTGTCAGCGTGTTCAGAAACCTGGATTTGTTTGAGTCACAAACCTGAATCTTTGACCGCAAGGTCGAGATGTCTTCAGAGGAGGCCATCCTCTGGACCCATTGGCAACACAGGATCTCGAACCGCGCCGACGTGTTTATTCAACTTGATTGGCGCATGTGATGTTGACGCAAGGTGGGGGCGCTCTGTCGGGTTTGGAAACGCTCGCTGTGGCTGGGAGCGCGGACCTCCTCGTGTGCCAAAGTCTATAACTACAACATAAATCCATCGTACTACGACTACGAAAGAGAGCAGACTATAGGCTATAGAAAGGCATGATTTTCTCAGAAACATGGGCATGTCCAAAGAGAGTCTATGATCTGTCGCATCTCAGTGGATACTGTTCTGTTTCTTCTTAGTATTGTGCTTTTCTATAGCTATATGCGTTACATCCTTTAGCAGACGGAGGAGGGACTGCCGCGACCCCAGATTTTCAGAAAGAAGCTTGCCGCATCCGGAACGGACTCGGAATTGACTCTTGTGAGAGAACGAGTTCTCGTTCCGCCCATCTCGAGAACACGCTTTTCTGTAATTACGAAGGATCTAGTGAAGAGCAGATCGTCTCGGACCAAATTCGTTGATTGCTCAGAATATTGAAGAAGGCACCCTTCACCTGCAGCTAAGTAATGAATCTCAATTCTCAACAGTGTCTGCAACATTCTTATCTGCTTGTGAAAGAGTAACCGAAAGACCTCGGCAAAAACAATAATTTGGGGGGTGACGTTGGTTGTAACACCGACCGAGGTCGCCATATACCACACACCTTCGAACGTACAAACAATCTTGTGCTCCCGGTTTTGAGGACCAGAACTAAACCCGAAGATCTGGTAGAACGCCCCCTTGTCAGGAATTCGGTAGTCCAGCGAAAGACACGAAAGCTATACTTCTCAGCCCGTCTGTCTATCCTTCTACCTACCAGCTACCCTCTCAAGCCCGTTCGACCGAATAATGGGCGTTCAATCCAAGGAGGCCATTCCGCCATGGGGACTGGCAATCGCTGGTGCGACTGGCGCTCTTTTCGCCAACGCTCTTGTATACCCGCTGGACATGTACGAAGCTTCATTTCTGGTCCAAGGTGTTCCAGCTGCTAATCTCCTAACAGTGTCAAGACGCGTCTGCAAGTTCAAGTAAAGAGAAAGCCCGAAGATGTATCGACTACCACAAATGACCGACACTACGAAGGCACCCTGCATGCAATCAACTGTATCATCGAGGACGAAGGCTTAGCAGGTCTCTACTCGGGTATGTTCGGTTCGCTTCTTGGAGTCGCAAGCACGAATTTCGCCTACTTCTACTGGTACTCGACTGTCAGAACCTTGTACTTGTCACGAGTCACTATCTCAGGACCTCCTTCGACCGCCATTGAGCTCAGCTTAGGTGCAGTCGCCGGAGCACTCGCACAGCTCTTCACCATCCCGATTGCAGTCGTCACGACGAGACAACAGACACAACCAAAGGGAGACAAGAAGGGCATGTTGGCAACAGCGAAAGAGGTCATCGACAGCGAGGACGGTTGGACAGGGTTGTGGAGAGGCATGAAGGCGAGCTTGGTCCTTGTTGTGAACCCAGCCATCACATACGGTGCATACCAAAGACTCAAGGACATTCTCTACCCTGGAAAAACAAGCCTCCGAGCACACGAGGCCTTCTGTAAGTCGAATTTGGCATCTTTCTTCATCCCGCACGACTCTAACACCAACAGTACTCGGCGCAATGTCCAAAGCCCTAGCAACCATTGCTACCCAGCCACTCATCGTTGCAAAGGTTGGTTTGCAATCTAGACCACCACCGGCTAGAATGGGCAAGCCTTTCGGTTCTTTCCTCGAAGTTATGAAGTACATCATTGAGCACGAAGGCCCTATGGGCCTCTTCAAGGGCATCGGTCCTCAGATTCTGAAAGGCTTGTTGGTGCAAGGACTTCTGATGATGACAAAAGAAAGAATGGAACTCATGTTCGTTCTTCTGTTCAGATATGTACGCAAGCTCCGGGCAGAGAAGCTGCACAAGGTTGCAGAATTCGCAGCCGAGAAGGCGAAGAAAGCCGCCCCTGTCGTAATGAAGTAGACGAAACATATGGGCGTTGGGGGCTAGGGTCGATATACTATTTGCAATTATATACAGACAGTAACCAATCATGTCTTCAGACCTTTCAAAGTAGCGTCCGAAGAAGACAGAAAAGCGGACAACTTTGCGATAGCAACATGTGCAGACACTGTCATGTATGATTGGGCAAGGACGAGAGCATCCTTCTCGGCAAACGAAGTGTTCTTAATGAGTCCATCTAGTACTTCCTGCCCCAAGAGGTCCGGCAGGTGATACTGTGAGATACCGAGATCCGAGAGAGATTGCGGCTGACTTTCTTTACGGAGATACAAGATGCATGCCGACGAAGGGCACTCTGTGGTGGACTCGAATGGGATTACCAGCTTTGCATTTGGTTTGCTGAGAAGCCAGGTCAATTTACGAACCACGGAAGAACGTAATTGAGAGAGGATGACCTCGTCCATGTGGCTAGGCCACTGATAATCATTTCTGTTTTTCAGACCAAACTTGAGGTCATGGCCCAGTAAGCGCTGCCAGTTCTTCTTCTGGCCAAGACTTCTCAGGAGTTGACGAGAATTGAGAACATAAGCGCGTGAAGTCTGTCGAGACTTGTCAACAGGAGCGAGATATGGCACAAGTTTGTCATTCTCATGTCGACGGAAGCTGGTAGCAAATGGTAGTAGATGATGCGAAGGCAGTCTGGCGGCTGTGTAGTTACATTGGCGAACAGAAGTGGCCAGAGCATTCGCATAAGGGTTGGTAGCTACTGCTTTTCGAAAAGGTGTCAAAGATTCAAGTGGCTGTTGTTCGCGAACAGGCCTTTGCTTGGCTGGTTGCAAAGCGGGAGACACAGGCAAGCCATGGTTGTTGATGAGAGGTATGCGCCGACCACGAGTGTTGGAAGGCGCAAGGTGAGAGTTCCATCTACACCATTGTTTACTTGACATTGAAACGTGAACCAACGGAACAGACAGCGACCGTCAAGATGGAAGATCTGGAGGACGGGATTCTGAAGATTCAAATCACATGTCATGGATGCCCGATGATGGTCGGCAAACCGAAGCCGACGGGAGCCTTTCCCTTTTGGGTTGTTTAGAAAACAAAGCTCCATCTCCACTTTCGCGTCTGTCTTCGATAGCTGTAATTGTATCGCCTTGCATTTTTCCAACAATATTTTGTTCGAGTCGCATTCGCCAAATCGTGTCTGAGCGAAGCGCCGACTAGCCCACCATGGCTTACAACTTCGTCGACACTCCGCGCACCGACATGGCCGACTTGACACGCTTCGATGCCGATGCTCTGTCTTTTTCCATGGAGCAGCCCTTTCCCTCACCCTCCAAGGACCCCAAGAACGACCTCGTACGTCAAATGAAAGCCCGTCAAGGGGCTTCACAGTCTATCAAAACCCCGCGCGCGCGGAACAGTCTAGTCAATGCCAGGAATGGTCCCTCCAAGAACGAATTCACTCCTCTGCTGAAGAGTGCCGCACACAATCGCTTTCGCTCAAGAGAGAACAAGGAGAACCACAACGACTTGCTCAACAGTGTCCTGAGTGGTCGCGCTCCTGCCACCCCTGCTTACCTCAAGCCTGGCTACGTCGAGTCTCACACACCAGGACTGCCTGTCAACAGCAGTATCATGGATCACGATCACACTGGTAGTTCTCAGGGTGAAGGTACACCCGTTCCACCCGCCATCGCAAGTAGTAGTATCATGTCTACACCAATGCCTATCCTGCCCCAGAGAGACGGTGGTCTGGTCGATCAGGGCAACGTCCTCACACTGCGCGAACAGGAAGCTGTGAGTGTTACATGTTGCCCGCACCTTGGTGATAGATACTGAATCTCAATCTACAGAAGCTCGACGCCGTAACGAAAGAAAACTTCAACCTGAAACTCAAGATCCATTTCCTGGACGAGAACCTGAAGCGCACTGGAACCGAGTATCAGCAAGAGGTCATCAAGCAGAACACCGAGTTGAAGACCGACAACACCCAACTCTCCCACGAGCTCAAGAAGCAGAGAAAAGCCATCGAGCGCGCTGAGGCCGAGTTAGAGCAATACCGCCAACAGCTTCGCGATTATGCCGAGAAGATCAAAAGGAAGCACACAGATGACATAGTCAAGGAAGAGATGGAGCGTTTGCGTCAACAAGCCGAGAAGAACCAGAGCCTGGCAGACGAGCGAGAGGAGCAGATCAACGAGCTACAGCACAGACTCAACAACGCCGGAAACTCCTCGAACGAGAAGGTCAAAGACCTGCAAGATGATATCGCTGATCTTGAAGCCGAGATTCGTGCAAAAGAGATTGATTTGGACACAAAGGATGAGCAGATTGAAAAACTCGAAAAGAAGCTCAAGGATGCACAGTCTGATGATGGCGAAGCTGAAGGTCTGCGAGCAGACATTGCCGACCTTGAGGCCGAAGTACGCGCCAAAGAGGAAGAAGTCGATTCCAAGAACGAAGAAATCGAATCGCTCAAACAGAAGCTTAAGGAAGTTCAGACCGATGATGAGGAGCTCAATGGCCTTCGCGAAGACGTTGCAGCACTCGAGGCCGATCTTGAAACCCGAGAACGCGAGCTCATCGAACACCGCGAGGAGATTGAGGAATTGAGACATCAAGTCAGAAGCGCTCAGAGTGCGGACCGATCAACGAAGAAGCTTCGAGATAGCCTGGAAGAACTGGAGAATCAGCTCAGAGAGAAAGATCAAGTCATCGATCTGAAGCACAACGAGCTGCGTGCATTGGAAAAACGATTGCAAACTTCAGAAACAGCCCATACGACCGAGATGCGAGAGATGGAAAGCGAATTGCAGGAGAAGGACTTTTCACTTGAGCAGAAGGACGGAGAAATCAGGGCTTTGCAGGATCGCTTACAAACTGCAAGAGGCAGTTGGGATGCAGAAGCCATGCAGACCGATGCTCGTCTGCAAGAGAAGGATCAGCTTGTCTACGAAAGAGAGTCGCAACTCCGTGAAGCCACTCGCCAGGTTGAAGAGCGCAACCGTGAGATTGCGGACCTCAAGCAAAGTCTCAATTCTATCGAGAACGGCACCAACGCACAAGCCCAGCAATTCAGACAGCAAGCCGAACAAATTCGACAACTCCAGGAACGCTTGCGATCCACTGAGGCCAGTGCAGGCGCCGAGCGAGATGAGAAGTCAGACATCATTGCTTCAAAGGATCGCGAGATTCGCAGCTTGCAATCGAGACTTCGCGGTCAAGAGGGCGAAGAAAGCAACGAGATTAGATTTAAGACCGAACACATCGAGCAGCTTGAAAGAGACATACAGCTGAAGAATCAGCAGGCTTTGCAGATGAACACGGAGATGCGTGCTTTGAAAGATCGCATGGCTAGCATGGAAACACCAACAAAGAAGAACTCTATGCTTAGCCAACAAGCAGACCAGATCCGCAACCTCCAGCAGGCTCTTCGCGCTCTGTCAAGCGAAAAGGACGCCGAACTGAATGAGCTCGAGAAGCATTTGCAGTCTGCCGAAACTGAATTGGACGCCCACACCAAGAAGGTTCAACAACTGCAAGAGCGACTTAAGTCAGCAGAAAGAGACCAATCCTTCGCCGGTCACATGGATGAAGATATGCAAGAGAAGCAAAAGACCATCGAGCAGCAGGAAGACCAGCTGCTGGATCTGCAGACCAAGCTTCGCAAAGCCTTGCAAGAGAAGGAATCTGAGATGATAACTTTCGAGTCACGTCTTCGTCAAGCTAAGCAAGAAGCCGAACACGAGAAGCAGCAGCTCAAGCAAGACCATCAAGAGGCTTTGGAAGCCCTCGAAGACGAAATCATCGTGTTGGAATCGAACGTTGAAGACGCACAGCGCGAGAAGTCAGCATTGCAGCAAAAGGCTCAACTCCTGGAGAGAGATCTCGTAGCATCCAAACAAAACGGCACACCAGTACGCGAACGCAACGAGCTGCGTTTGAAGCTGAGAAACGCCGACATGGAGCGAGAAAACCTCAAGAACCAGATACAAGACCTTGAGCGCGAGCTCGACGCAGCCTGGCAAGCAAAGGAGAACGGCACGCCTGTACGCGAGCGCAATGAACTTCGTGCGAAGTTAAGAGAGTCGCAAACGGAGATCTCCAAGCTTCAAAACCGCATTCAGTCTCTCGAGTTCGATCTGGAATCTGCCCAAGCCGACAAGACGATGGCTGATGAGCGTATGGATCTGCACGAGTCACTCAAAGAAGCCAAGATAGAAGCGGAAGACCTGCAGCTGCAAATCTCAGAACGTGACAAGAAGATCGCTGCTCTTTCGAAGAAGGAGGCAGAGGCCAGGGTTCATCTTGACGAGGCACGCGCAGAGATGGAACAGCTTCAGTCAGAAGTCTCGGAACGTGATACCAGAATCTCGGGCTACATGACCAAAGAAAGAGAGCTCCGCACGCAGATCCAAGAGTTGAGGGAGGCCAAAGTTCAATTACAAGAGCTAGAACTCCAACTCGGCGAGCGTAAAGGCAGCAGCTCTGGTCACGCAAGACGCGAGGCAGAACTCCGTGTTCAACTTCGTGATGCTAAGATCGAGATGGAAGACTTGCAAGTTCAACTCTCTGAAAAGGAAGAGCGCATCGAAGTCTTGTCCCAGAAAGAAAGAGACCTTCGCGACAGAATCAAGAAGAGCCGAACGACATCTGACGACACACACTTCCTCGAGCAAGATCTCCGCGCCCAGCTACAGGATGTGGAAATCGAGTGTGAGAATCTGCAGAAGCAGCTTGAAGAAAGGGAAACTCGCTTACAATCGTCTCTGAGCCGTGAAAATGAGTTGCGCTCCAAGCTCAAGAACGTCCGTGGCGAAGTCGACGACACACGAACAATAAACCAAAGGGAGATTCGTGGTCTGATTGAGGCCAAGGAGAAGACGCATGCAAGCGAGCTCAAGGGACTTGCTAAACAGATCCAATACATGCGAGCCAAGTGTGATCGTGAAGAAGCGTTCCGCAAGGATTTAGTGTTTAGCAAGCGCTGGTTTTTGATGCAGGTGGAGATGTACGGTGCATGGTAAGTTCTTTCCCAACGACTGCAAAAATAATAAGAGTGTATACTGACTTGGTTCACAGCAACAAAGCAGATCTCAAGCTGCTCGAGGAGATGGGAGTCACACCCAAGACCAAGGCCAGAGAACAGAAGCCAAGCCTCAGATCAGTGGCATACATGGTCATGGCTACTGTACGTATGCGCAAAATGCAGGAAGCGTGGGCAGGCAACAAGAAACTGCACGAGACGTTGATGAAGAAGCTGGATGGCATGAGACGGAAGCAAGGCAAGACGCCGCTACGATGATTGATGAAAATGTATATCTTGTTCGTTGACAGCCGCCGACGGCAAGTCATGTTCTATGTTTAGTTTTGGGTGTTTAGTCGGTGTTGCGGCATGGTACACTGGTTAGGAGTATTAGGGGGTCTTGACCAAATTACAAGGCATCGACAGCGATTGCATTTAAAATGCATAGATTGCGCCTCTCCATAATCTCGTGAAACATTGAGAATGTTGTCAACTTAGAATGAACCTCGCAGATAGAAGTTGGTGGTGGTGAGGCCGCCAAGACCGAGAAATACGGAAGTTTTGGGGTCGACATGGCAGCACGCACAGAATCTTTAACGCAGCCAAGTTCACATATACCAACTCCAGTCACATACAACATGGGTGTTCCTTTCGACTACGCGCCCGAGAGGCCAGAGCACATTGATGCTATCCTGAACGGACTCGACCGCTACAACCCCGAGACCACGACAGTTTTCCAGGACTACGTTGTGTCGCAATGCGAAAACCAGACCTACGACTGCTACGCCAACCTGGCCCTGCTCAAGCTGTGAGTGCCGCCTCTTTCTTTTCGCTCTCTGCTGGATTGCAACCGAGTCTGGTCTTGTTGCATGATGAACAAACACACACGTTTCCTATTACCTGACAGGCGACCGGGGCTTGAATCACCTCATGCCTTTTGATGTCCAATTTATTAGCTCTATCTGATCCGCAACCACTCCTTCTGCAATTGCGCATATCCTCTTTGCTTTGGGAAACCTCAGAACTGACATGTCTGAACAAACAGCTACCAATTCAACCCCCACCTTGGTCGCGATGAGACCATCACCAACATCCTCGTCAAGTCGCTCACCGTCTTCCCCTCGCCTGACTTCAGCCTCTGTCTTGCTCTCCTCCCTCCTCACGTTCTCGCCCCCAACCCAGCCGCCAACTCGCTCGCCGAGGCCGTACAAAAGCTCAACACCCTACACAGCCAGTTGATCGGCGCCTCGTACGACCAGTTCTGGTCCACACTCGACGGAGACGACCTCTACGCCGATTTGATTGCCGATGTCCAGGGCTTCGAGGAGTTGATGCGTATTCGCCAGGCTGTTGTCATCAGCCAGACCATGCAGAGTGTTGATCGTGCTGTTCTCGAGTCGTGGCTCAACTTGAACGGCGAGGCCTTTGACAAGTTTGTCAAGGAGACTTGCGGCTGGAGTGTTGAGGGCAGCACTGTCAGCATTCCTCTCAACAAGGAGAACGAGGCCAGAGGCACTGTTGTGCGTGAGAATGTCAAGTTCGATCGTAAGTCTTTCCTTTACAAGTGATGCCGCAATATTGGAACAACAGACTAACAAGGAACCCCCACAGAATTCTCAAGAATGATCAAGAGAGCATACGAGCAGCCCGCATAAACGAAATGGGATGTACTTGGGTGACCTGACATACGAAAGCATGGCGTTCTACGGATTTTCTTCAACAAAAAAGAGCCTTAGTATATGGGCAAGAAGCTCGAGGGGATATTTGGCAGGGAATACAACTTGATCAAAAGTCGCAAACTCTTTCTGTATCTCCGTGGCAGCAGAGAGAAGAGAAACATGGGCTAGGCATAGAAAAAAGCGTAGTAGCTGTTTATATGCCTTTCTTTTATTCCAAAACACGTTCAAAAGAAACAAGAAACATGACCGTCAACGACTTCTCGTAACAATTTGACACTGTGCATATTTGATTACAATCCCTGATCTCGAGTCTATCGTGGTATCCGGCTCTTTATTTCTTACTGCTCAACTCCTCCCATTGGACTCCGACCCATTCTTCAACGTAACCAACTTCTCCTTCCTTCTGTCCACGCTGCACACAGTCCTTGGAACACACACCAAGAATGATGGTTCCCCACTCCATGCCCTCAAGACCCAGTTCCTCAGCTTCGAGCTCAACGATAGCATAAGGAGTAAGTTGCAATTCAAACAACCTCTCCGCACCACAATTGTTGCACTTTGGCATACCCGACTTAGCAGGTGCAGTAGTCTTGACCTTTGCATTTCCAGCAGCAGCAGACTCTTGATGCGGCGCCAGAAGTTTTCCCACTGCGTCAGACTTGCTGTACAGCAAAGGCGTGCCTGCAAACTCGTATCGCAAAATCTGCTCAGGGTTTTGAGATAGACGGTCTGCAAAGCGTTGGAAGGCTTTATCCATGCTGGACTCGAAAGCATCTTTGACGTCCATGTCCGCGCCTGCTGCGCCAGAGCTTCCTTCGCCGGCATCAATGTCCATGTCTACGCGAGCTTGTGCGGGGATTTCTGGCTTTTCGGCGTCGAGGGTTTCGTAGTCGGCGTCGAGGTAGTAGGAGGGGTAGGGTGCAGGGAAGGAGGATTGTTGGGGCCATGGCTCGCGAGGGCCGGTGGGTGTTGCGGCAGGAGCTTCTGAGCTGGGCTCGGGGGTGGAGATGCGGGCTTTTGAGGCGAAGGTCTCGGAGAGAGATGGGGTGGGTTGTGAGGGTGCTGGTGTGGGAGCTGCGGGCGGAGAAGCAGGTGCTGAAGAGAAGGGGTTTGCTGGGCGTGATGATGCGCCACCAGTCGAGAAGGGGTTGATAGGCGCTGAGCCAGAGGTGGGAGGTTTGACACCGAAGAGCGATTCGCCCAGGTTGGTCTTTGGCGCGGCGAGAGCTGGTGTCTCTTTTGGTGTCTCTTCCTGCTTGGGCTGTTTGGGTTTCTCAACCTCGGCGGGAACTTCAGAGGCGCGGATTGCTCTGAAAGCTCGCACGCTACCAGCCTTCCTTCTGCATGCCTTCCTCTTACATGCCCAGAGGTATAATCGTCGTTCATGGCCGGGAAAGCGGTCGGGTAGGTCGCCGTTCAGTTGGAGTAGCAAGGTCAAGAGATTGTTGCAGTTTTTGCATTTAGCAAGATCGCCTGGTGGAGCAGTCTTTTCGTCCAGCCATGTCTGCGCAAGGTTGTCAGCACATGTATCTATGTATACTAGGTGAGTTCAGCATACCGGGTGGCCGCCCAACTGGCTGGTTGTGTCGTCTACTGCATCCTTTGTCGCATAACCGAGAAGGACATTGGTCTCGGTAAAGTTTTCGTCTTCGAAATCGGAATCGCTGTCGTATGATGCCATTTTATTTTGTGGTTGTGTTGATGTCTTGAGAAAAATTTCCCCAGGCGCTGAAGACCCGCGTCATGTTGGCTCGGCGAGTCGCGCCGACGCTTCACTGTCACATGCTATTTGAGAGGTGAAGTGGTTCGAACAAGACTTTACAGAGAGTTTGGGATGCGCTTTTGATTATTGTATGAATTTGATCATGTCTCGAACGCCTTGATATGCTTCACACCCTTCTATTGCGCATTACTGCTGTTCAAGCATCTCTCTGGTGCTCCTTCAGCATTTCGGCGACCATCTGCTTGGCCTCTGCAATGAGCTCAGCTTCCTTGTCGAGTCCAACACTGTTGCCTCTTGAGTTCAGAAGACCGACATCCAGGTTTCCAAGACCCCCGTTGGTTATGCGATCGCCATCTTCAGCAGGTTGTCTCTGTGCTTGCCCGGTCGGTCCTCTTCTTGCCAGACCTGAAGCTTCAGTTGCTGCGCCTGTAGTACTCAATGTAGGCGCCTCAGCAGCAATAATGCCCGCCTCCTCCAAAGCATATGCCTGACGGCGGAGCCGAGCCATGATAGATTGGATATATGTAAAGTAGGCTGTCGTGTGTTTGGTGAAGGCTTCTTTGTGAGCGGCTGCAGAGTTGTCGCTTTGGACGTCTACCATATCATCGCCATCGGTCGAGACAGCAGTGGGAGGGCGATTGGTCAAGGCATTGATTGCACCTCCAGCGCTGGACAGTAGAGCGGGCACGTCGGCGTTGATGGCCAACAGTTCGCGAATGCGCTCGGCGGGCGTCACGGTCGGCGGTGGTTGTGACTGCGACATTGTGATAACAGACTGAGCGTACTTGCTGGCCTGCTTACGACTGCTCCCTCAGCCCATTGAGCTGCTTCGTTGCGACCCGATAGAGAGGTTGGTCGCAAAGAAAGATGGAAAGAGTGTGAGGCTTGAGAACGGCCAGAACGCTCCACACTTCACGTCTCTTGCCAAGGCGCGTCTCTTTCCTCTCACTTTCATCGACACTATTCACCATCCATCTGTACGAGTACCGTCACCTTTGTCGCATCCTCACTTGGTGCTTCCGTTTCACTTGTATTATAGCCCGATATGTCGGGACCACCGCCTCAGCCGCAGAGGACGGCCAGTGTAGGACCTCAGAACGTTCCGCCTACTCCAGGACATCCTCCACAACAACCTGCGCAACCCCAATCACAGCAGAATTTAAATCAAATTGTGAGTACTGTATTTCTTTTTGGTGTTTTCTCGTCTTTCGTTTCCTTTCAATTGCGCCGAGAAGCTGCGACGAGTTGGTCGTCGTTTCCCTTCCTCTCTCGGCGCTCGCTCGCATATATCAAACAAGGAAACCAACGCGTTCACACAAACTTCACATATGCTTTCTCGCTTGCTTGAAATTCAATACTCTGATACATCTGGCATCTTTTCTTCTGTTGTCACTCTTTGAACCTTCCTCGGATATATATCCATATACCACTTTCCCATCTTCATCCCGAAATCACCAATCATACATCACACATCATGGGCAAAGTTAACGGTGACAAGGTACTCGAGTATCTAGCCAAGAAGGGTTATAACCGGACGGAAGCAATGTTACGACGAGAGAGCGCTCATGCAGATGCTGAAGGTCGACCTATCATCCGCCGTGCCGAGGATGCTGGTGGAGAAATGTACGAAAAGGCCTACGAACTCTTACTGCGATGGGTCGAAAAGTCTCTGGACATCTACAAGGATGAGCTCGGTCGATTACTATGGCCCATCTTTGTTCATTCTTTCCTCGCTCTGGCCGCCAACTACTACCCTCGTCAATGCGCCAATTTCTTCAAGACTTATCGGGAACAATTCGAGAAGGAACATCAGGACGACATTCGCGCGCTGCAGGCCATTAGCTTGCCAGAGCATGTTCAGAATAACCACATCGCCAAGCTCTACCGCGAAAATCATTACAGACTCACAATCACCGACCTGGCATACTCGGCCTTGTTGCAGTTCCTAGAAGCTCACGACACCGAGGGAGGCTCGGTCATCCTTAATCTAATCACAAATCACATCGAATTGAAGCACGTAGATCGAGTGGCTTCAGGAGCAGAGCGCAGTCTTGCAAGAATCCTCGCAAAACAAAGAGGTATCTCAGACGTACCTGCTGAAGACGAGGGCATTCCTGGACACAACCCTGGTTCGGCAAATACTGATCGCAATGCGCCGCCAGTCTTGGCAAAACTTGCGCTTGCGCCAATGCCCATGGAGGCAGACTTGATGGAAGATGTGAAAGCAGAGCTACAAGAGCATGATGCGCTACATCCACCTCCACCTGGCCGTAACACGCTCGTCGAAGAGTTCGAGCAGCGCATTAAGCAGGAGCCGAACGACGACGCGCCTTCACGCGACCAAATCCCATTCCCACCTTCTCTCGCTCGTGACGTCGCCATGGAAGTGCAAAGGATCAAGGAGAATCGCGATAGATTCAAGATCGAGAGCAGAACAGATGGCGTTGGCCCAGGTGTCAGTGTGACAATGTTTACCTACCACAACACCTTCGACAGGTATGTTCTTCGTCAAGTCTCTGTTGATGAACGCGCTAACAAAACACATCAGCATCAACTGCATTGAGTTCTCTGGTGATGAGAAGCTTGCAGCTGTCGGAACAGCAGAGTCCTACATCCGAGTCTGGTCACTCGATAACAAGCCTCTCGTCTCTCCTCTCGACCCTCCCACACAACAACCATCTTCCTCAAGACGCTTGATCGGACACTCTGGCCCTGTCTATGGTCTGTCTTTCTCACCATCTATTGCTCTCCCCGCAACTGCCGCGCAAACCAACGGTAACGGCAACAACGACTCACAAACAACTCCTTCTCATCCTCGCTATCTTCTTTCATGCTCCGCCGATAGCACCATTCGCTTGTGGTCGCTTGACACCTTCACCAACTTGGTAGTCTACCGCTCGCATACTTCTCCTGTTTGGGACGTCAAGTTCTCTCCTTTCGGCCATTACTTCGTCTCAAGTGGCGCCGACCGAACAGCACGTATGTGGAGTACAGCACAGATCGCTCCCCTACGATTGTTTGTTGGCCATGACAGTGATGTTGAAGCCATCTCATGGCACCCCAACTCAGCCTATGTCTTCACAGCCGCTGGCAGTCCAGACCGCAGCATTCGCATGTGGGATGTGCAGCGTGGCAGTGCTGTACGTCTGTTCACCGGCCACACCGGCAATGTGACCAGCATAGCCTGCGCACCTAACGGTAAACTTGTTGCCAGTGCTGACGACCGTGGAGAAATCCTACTCTGGGATCTGGCAACCGGTCGTCTAGTCAAGCGCATGAAGGGACACGGCCGCGGCGGCATCTGGACCTTGGACTGGAGCATTGAAAGCACAGTTCTCGTTTCCGGTGGCGCAGACTGCACAGTCAGAGTCTGGGACGTCCAACCACCTACTGTGTCCAATGCAAGCGATGCAAAGGCACTTGCTGACGGCGGCCTCAACGGTAAAGACGGAGGCGCTGGAGCTGGAGGCGCAAACACCAACAAGAACAAGAAGGCTAAGGACGTTGTTGTTTCGCCTGACCAGATCAGCGCTTTCCCTACCAAGAAGAGCCCAGTCTACAAGGTCAGGTTCACACAGATGAATTTGGTCATGGCTAGTGGAGCATACCTGCCTTGAAAGGCAACATAATCGGTTCGGAAAAGGGGTCATACGAGGGCGTTTTTCATCAAGAATTGGGAGGGGAAAAATGCTTCAGGTTTTGGCTCTCAGGTTCAAGGATGCCGCATTTGCTGCCAGGCGAAGACAGCGGAGAAGGATGGGCCTGAGTATAGCACAATCAAATGAATATATCGATTCTTATCCATTGCCCTGGCTGTCTTGCTCTGTCTTGATATCATTCATCGTCCTCAGAGTGTCTCGGGCCACAGCTAGACATTGCTCTCCCGTCACTGTGCTGTCGCCTGCTTGTTCATGTGGCAATGACATTAGGTAAGCAGCTCTACAGTCGTTCCACAAGATGTTCTTTCAACAGAAGGAATAACTGTTGCGTATAGATCAGCGTCGAACCATTTTCCTTTTAGCTGCTGATCCATCTCAAGATACAACTCCTGCTTGTAGGCGGCATAGTAAATCGACAAAGTCGACTTTGAAGACATATACGGTATCCAGATTGTTCAAAACCCACACACACAGAGTGACAAGAGTGTTTACGACGTCGTTGGCACCAAACACATGGGAGTCAGATGCTAGAAAAAGAAAAGTATGCAGTTATGATTATAGCTGCCTGATCATCCACACAATAGAAGTGTGGGCAATAAAGAGGTTATAGAGAAGTAAAGTAGTAGAAAGAATAAAAGAATCCGCTCGTCAAGTCCTTGATAAGGTATGCAGCAAAAGTGCCAGACCAATCTCATGAAAAGCGCCATGTAGAAGAAACCACCCAGTGTCAAAACCATGCCATGCATCACAAATCCTTCGTTCATATCAATAAAATGTGTTTGTGTCATGTAATGCCCCAGTGCTGTGCGCCATGAAGAAGGAACAAAGAAAGTCAGAGGAGGCCAAATGTCAAGGAGCGTCAAGAATCAGAGTGCAGCCTAGCGGCGCTGGCTTCAGACAAATTCGTACTCTGCGTCCTCGGCATCCAAGAGCTTGGGTTTGGCAGAGATATGGCCAAGGTTGTGAGCCTCCTCTTCATCGGCGTCAAGGATTTCGTACTCGTTGCGCACAAGTTTGACGGTCTCCTTGTCTTCATACTGCTCGATAGCCTTCGCGAGGGCGGTGTTGAGGATCTGGCTTCCGTGGGAAGGGACGCGAAGGTTGTCAAAGCCGTAGAGGATCTCGGAAGGAGTGGACGGAGTTGTGGCTTCGTTGTCGGAATTACTGCTGCTGTCCTCGGAGTTGCCAGCATACTCGTCGGCATCAGCGAGCATATCTTGCTTGCGAGCGATCTTTGCTTTGCCAGGAACGTAGACGGCGCAGAAGAGACCGCTCTTCTCAGCGTGACGGTAGGACTGGCTGTATCTTGCGCGTTAGTATCTTTGTTCTGATAAATCCGTCGAAAGAAGAGACGATAGCTGATGACATACGTCTTTGATCTCTTCACAGGCTTGGGGTTGTCGCCTCGGCCCTTCGTGAAGGCAGCGCCCATGCCCCATTTGGCCTTCTGTTCTGCATCGCGCTTGTAGTCCTGAGCAGCGCTGCGGAGGTCGGATTCATATGTCTGCTCAGAAGACATGGCTGATGATGGCGCGTACCGGTATGGAGTGGAGTGGACTTGTTGAGGCGGGTAAGTGATCGGCGTGGTGATGGTAAACAAAGAAGCTGAGAAGTGGAATGAGGTGAAGGGATGAAGCAGCAGTGAGGTTGTAGGTGCAAGTGTAGGAAACAGGTGTCAATGACGAGATGTTTCAAACAAAGGAAGTCAAATGGGACAAACAACAAGAAGGAGGGATGCAGTCAGATGGTCCCGATCGCTCCTGACTCACTGGGGTAATGTGGAGTTGAGGAATACCCGAGTGGAATCCGATGATGCAGATAAGGGCTGAGGCGTCGTGTTGCAACGGCGTCAGTATAGAGTTTAATACAGCTAAGACGCGACAAATGCAGATAGAGACACCGCGAGTAAGTCACTTCAGATGATGCCTAGACAGAACAAAGAACAGATCCGCATTGCTTTGATACCTACAAGTTGAGGCAGGTTCAGTCCACCGATGCTCGCTTCAAACAGGCTCCTGGCTGGCTGCGGGGAGTCGACGATAAGGGAAGCCACGTTCGTATGTTGGTCATGCGTGCCTCTACGCATCCTCGAGCGTCATGTTTCCAGTCGCGGCAAGCAGACCAACAGCAAGTCCACGGCCCACGGGGGTTTGTGACTGGTTGTGGAACAAATTGGCGGCGGCGGCCGGAAACGGGCACCTTGTTTGATGAGCTGAGTGTTGTTGTGGTCATCTAGGCAACAAAGCGCACGTCATGTCTCGGCGTTAAGCTCGGCTTCTATTTGTGGCTGGTGCTGTACTTTGTGCTTGTTGTGCACGGCGTGCATAGCACATGGGTTGATCATTCTTCGTCGTCTTCGTTATCTTGATCATCCTCGCTGAGGTCGCTGGGAAGTCTGTCTGGGAACCATCCGTAGGTTGAAAAGTCGATCAAGTACTCTCCGAGTGATCCTCGAGTCACTTGCACTCCTTCAGCTTCGATGGCAGTTGCTTGCTGACGAGCTCCATTCGCGCCTCTGGTCATTGTCAGATATGATTCTTTATGCATCCGAAGCTAAGAACGTCAATGACCTTGGACTGATGGCACCTTTGGAATTGATGACTCTTTGCCATGGCACATTCGCGTTGTTGTAGTGAGCATCTGGCTGTGCTGTAGCAGAGAGAAGTGCTTTCAATGACACACCCACTTGTCTAGCTGGAGTCAGCCTGTCCGCAACAACAATAGAAGGCTATCATGCTGACCTTGGGCACTCAGCTATGCAAAGTATCAGTAAGATAGGCTACGATACATAGGATAGCAAGTAGAGTAGCTTTACTTACGCTTTCCCAGCAAGCGAGCGATGTGGCCATAAGATGTGACTTTCCCATACGGAACTTCTCTTACTGCATTGTAGACAGCATAAGTCCAAGCAGCGGCTTCTTCAGATCGTGCCATCGTAGCGCGTGTTTACAACTACAGATTAAAGACGTGAAGCATTACAATGAATAATGTTATGGAACGATCCCCGCGCATGTGCAACGCCAAGGTTCGAGAGGCCGTCATCTTTTGATTTACGAGAGCAACACAAGCATCATCTTCTGAACATACATCAACAACATGGGTCTTGCCGACTACTTAGCCCAGAACTATCTATCCGCCGACAAATCATCCAAAGGCAAAAAGCGCAAGAGAAAGAACGCCGAAGACGCAGGCCTGATCATCGCCGACGACCATGTTAGCGGCTTAAGCAAATCACGAAATGGCGACGACGACGATGATATTCCCATGATCGTACCGGGAGGCGCAAACATCAGCAAACGAACAACGACTTGGAAGACCTTCGGTAAAGCCGCTCCTACGAACAACGAACAAGCTGCAGCAGATGCTATTCTGGCCGATGCAGCTGCCGAGACACAAGCGCGCAATGCAGAAGACGAAGATGCACCTGCTGTAGTAGGGGAAGATGAAGATATGGACTACTCGGGACCCACAATGGCATCAGGCGCCATGGCAGGTTTGCAAACGGCGGAACAGGTCACCAAAGCCTTGAAGAGAAAAGAACGCGAAGAGAAGAAGGCGATGCAAGAGATGGGCTTGGATCCTACTGGCAAAGCACAAGAGACCATATACCGTGATGCATCAGGTCGGATCATCAACGTCGCCATGAAACGCGCCGAGCTGCGACGCCAGGCCGACGAGGAAGAGAAAAGGAAGGCCGAGGAAGCCGAGAACCGACGCGGTGATGTACAAAAGAGGGAGAAGGAGGCCCGCATGCGAGAATTGGAGAAGGCAAAGACAATGTCGCTCAGTCGTTATGCAGACGACCGTGAGCTGAACGACGAGCAGAAGGAGCAAGAGCGGTGGAATGACCCAGCATTGGCTTTCCTCAGCAAAGGCACGACAAAAGGATCCAAGGGCACAAAGAGCAGAAAGAAGACATACACAGGTGCCTTTGAGCCCAATCGCTATGGCATCAGACCTGGATACCGATGGGACGGCGTGGATCGTAGCATTGGCTTTGAAAAGAGATGGTTCGAGGCACGCAACCAGAAGCAAAACATCAAGGACTTGCAGTATGCATGGCAGATGGACGAATAGACGCTTGTCGACATCTCGATTATATTACCACAGCAGTTCCGCATCCACTACGGGCGCTATATCGTCGCTATCAAAGTTCATGCCACTCATGTCGAGCGGTCTCCGATGCCAGTATTGTACAAAAGTAAGGGCTGCATCCTCGCTATCGAAACCAAAGAGATATGACTGTCTGGCCTTGCGTCTCTCACGACTACCCGGCCGTCTGTCGAACTCGTCCTCCTCTTCCATTGGGCTATCCATTTCAGCAAGTTCTTCAATCTCTTCCAACCAGTGGTTTCTGACCTTAGCTCCACCTTTATCCAGGCGGTTGTTCGCGCTGAACGGCGAGATGTTCTTCGGTTTTGGGTCCCAGGTTCGGTATGAAAGATCACCAAACTCGCGGTTCCATGGTATTCTTCGTTCTCGTTCCACCTTTCCTAAGACACCTTTGACCATGGTGATTGGTAGCTGAGGACCCTCAAGGCGAATCATGACAATGTATGGTTCTCTGAGTGGGCCCTTGACGATGTCCGGATAACCTAGATTGTGAATTATGTCCACGATCGAAGGTGAAAGTTGCATAGGCAGAGGCAAGAGATGCAAAATACGGGATGGAGGAAGAAGAGTGTACGTTTGCAACAGAGAATCGATATCTTGGCCATTGAGGTGGTATCCTGGTGGAGGAGGTATAGGCGATGTTAAGCTGGACTGAACATGCCTTGAGGCGAGGGAGTGTAATGATATGACATGAGTGCGGTAGGCATTCATGGCAGCGCGTGAGCTGAAGAAAATGAAGTAGAAGTTTGCGCGCTCCAGTGTACTTGTGTTGCGACCTGGAACGACCTTGATGATGTCGGCTTGGTCCAGCGTCCAGCCTTCGATGTGCAATCCCTGTGGGATCAATCTTGTAAAGTCATCCTCGACCAGAGTCTTGCTTGCATTTCGTAGCATAAGTACACCCTCAACACGCTGTCGCCTTTTTCTGTCTGATGCTGGGGCTGGCTCTGATGCAGCGGATTCAGGTGTGCGATTCCACCAGTTTGCATTGTTCGCTCTTTTGGGCTCACGCTGCTCTAGTCGCGGAGTCTTCGTTTTGGGCAAGGAAGCGCGGACGTCTAGTCGTGGAATGTCGCGCTCTCTTGGACGAGTCGAGGTTTGGGGTTTGGGTTGAGCTTCTTCTGGAAACAGCTCTTCCATTAAAGAAGGTGTCCGTGATTGTTTTCCTCTTTCATCCTGAGCAGAGTCCCTCGATCTGTCCGAAGCCCTGGAATGGGCGCTTCTCGAACCTCTTAAATTGAGGGTAGTGCATCTCTCATGGTATCCAGGTCGTAGAAAGGGAAGCCGGGTATTCGTCGAGTCGGAAAGGTGTCTGCTTTCACGAGGGAGCCATCTCAGGCATGACGCTCGCAGATAGACTGGTTGCGCTGCCGACATCAATCGTCGCACGTTCGAACTTGTGCTGTATTGGCCTCGAGCTTCTTGATGTGTCGCTTGCATGTGAAATGTTCACCTCCGTCTTGCCCGCATTTTCTGCTTACTCAGCCGCGGTTCAATCAAGCATTCCAACATCAACTTTGATATTAACAAACCTCTAACAAATGATAGCTGATTCTTATTGCATATAGCTTTTGATGCGGGACGATTGAATGTCCCCTGAATGATTTGATCCTCATCGTCTCCCACGAATGTACAAAGCGATGAGTAGACTATGAGACTGCACAATGCCGTTCGGAAACACTGTGATGCCCATTGAGAGTTTTTGTTCACTGGCTCTCCTTGGTTATACTTCCGCACTGAGTGAAAACATTCATGCATCTCCACAATTGCACGTGTGATAGAATCTTGCAGAGAGTTGATTGCTGCATTGCTCTTGACTCGACCAACTACTTGGGCTGACTAAGCCAAGATTTCTATACAGCTGAATCTTTACAAAAAATTCGTCCTCGCAAACCACAAGACGACAGCAGTGCTCTCAAGGTAGAAAACATGGTAGATTCTACTCTATTCACTGTAAGGCCATTGCCTCCTACGACTTCTTTGGATGGCGCCTTCAGAGTGCACCTCACAGCAAAAGACCTGGATCTACTCGGACTGAAACTGGGCGAACTTTGTACTCTACATTCTGGCGATGGCGCATCCGCAGTCGGTATCGCTTGGAGGTCCATGGACACAAGTGTAAAGCCTCAACTTCACCCTGTCAAATTGTCGGAGGCTATGCGCGATGCGTTTGGCTTTAAACTTGGTAGCCAAATCACCATTGAAAAAATCAACGCAAAAATTGCCCACGCCGATCGTGTTGTTGTCATCGATGTTTCTGACAGCGAGAAAATCGATCTTACCAAGGATGATAGAAGCTGGAAATGGCGTTGTGGTATGGCTCTGGGCAACGTTGAGGCAATCACTACTGGGGTGGCTTTTGAGGCCTCATCTCGTAAAGGACTGAGGAAGCGCTTTCTCATTGAGCACATCGAATCGAGCGAGGCCAACAAGACGCCGGCTTTGTACTTGTTCGACGACAGAAGTCAGATTGTTCTTCAAGATGAAGCATCTGCTGTGACACCTGAGGCACCTATGCCCCGTTCGATGGCCGTGACACCAGAAGGAATCGGTGGTCTAAACAAGCAAATTGAACTCCTCAACAAGCGTCTCTCACGATTGATTGGTGATATTAGAGGAAAGAGGTTGCCACCTCAGGTCCAACGCAATGGAGGCATTCTTCTCTATGGTCCCGAAGGAACTGGCAAGACATTGCTACTCAACCATCTATCTGAACAAGCACCCTGGAAGAAGGTTGTCAGAATTGATCAGAGCGCGTTAGCCGGAACATCTAGCAAGAACCAACAATCCGTACGCAATCTTTTCGCTGAAGCAGTGGCTCATCAACCCAGTCTGGTCATCATGGACAACCTCGAAGCAATTGCCGGTACACAACAACGTGATTTTACCGCAAGCAACCTCGCTCCCGCTTTGGTCGCCGAACTTGACAGACTGCGAAACACACACGTCTTGGTCGTGGCTGCAGCACACAATCCTAATGACATTGACAAATCTTTGCGCACACCTGGTCGTCTTCGCTACGAGATCGAGATACCCATTCCTGATATGAGAGCAAGAATTCAGATCCTCAAGGTCATGCAAGGAGAAACTGGTACTGCTGAGCTTGCCGAGACTATCGGAGAGCGCACGCACGGTTTTGTCGGACAGGATCTCGAAGCACTATTCAACAACGCCCTTGAGCATGCTCTTGACAGATATCAGGAGACAACCACAAACTGGCTTCCTATTCAGCGCTATGGCGATGATGATGAATCTCAACGAACTCTGGTCAACGGCATGCAAGACTGCAGCATTGTTGACAGACCTCGCACATCTGATACTGACGACACGGATGACGGTGATCTCCAGGTAACACTTGCCGATTACGAGAAAGCTCTGCTGGAAGTCCGCCCGACGGCCATGCGTGAGATCTTCCTTGAAACACCCAAGGTACTGTGGTCAGACATTGGAGGTTCAGGTGATGTGAAGAAGACACTGAACGAGGTCGTGGAATGGCCTCTCAAGTTCGAACAGCACATGCAGGCTTTGAGCTTGACTCCCCAGAAGGGTATCTTATTCTACGGACCCCCTGGATGTTCCAAGACTTTGACAGCCAAAGCTGTTGCAACCGAGTCTGGTCTCAACTTCATCGCTGTCAAGGGCGCTGAACTTACTTCCATGTATGTTGGAGAGTCTGAACGCTCGGTCCGCGAAGTGTTCCGTAAGGCTCGCGCCGCTGCTCCTAGCATCATCTTCTTCGATGAGATTGACTCTATTGGCTCGGAGCGTGACTCATCCGGTACCAAAGGCTTGAATGTGCTTACCACTCTGCTCAACGAGATGGATGGTATCGAGAGTCTCAAGGGCGTACTCGTCTTAGCGGCTACCAACAAGCCTGAAGTGTTGGACCCTGCTCTCTTACGCCCTGGTCGCTTCGACAGTCTCATCTACATCTCACCACCATCGCAGTCAGCCCGTAAGGAGATCCTGCGCATTCGCACCAACAATGTACCACTGGCCGATGACGTGGATATCGACGATCTGTCTATTCGCACAGAAGGATTCTCAGGAGCCGAAATTGTGGAGATCTGCTTGAATGCCAGTCGTGCTGCTATGCGTAGAAGAGTTGCAATTGTCACCTCGGACAACAACGCTTCAGACATCGGAGAGCAGATGAAGGTCTCAAAGGACGACTTTGACGTTGCGCTGTCGACTGCAGTACGCAGAATCACTCCAGAGATGACTGAAGGTTACGAGCACTGGCGTGATGGACTTACCAAGAAGCTCTAGTGAGATGAAGACTTTGAGCCGTAATGTAACATAGCTAGTAGCTTTGAAAAGTCTGACCAGTACTGATCCTACCAAACTTACTCCCTCCTTCTTTCTATTGTGGCTCGGAGAAGATGGATAAGCTGAAGACACAAACATATCCAGATGGGAGCTCTGGCTCAAAGATTCTGAGGAGCTGAGGGCCTTCAACACCCAAACCTCTGTTTCGATGTTTGTGCGTTCTCATAGCTATATGGTGATAGACATTCTGCACACGAGGAATTCATAGTGACATGCATTTTCACAACCACCTGACCAGATCTCGATGAAGAGAACAAGTCTACATATACTTGCCCTAAAAATACGTGTATCAGTAATCAATCGACACAACAATCACGCAAGGAAGAGCTCATATCGACTGATGTCCAATCGCCCTATATGCTGACAATCTCCGTCAAACGTGTACTGAACCGCGAACGGATAGAACCTTTGCCGGAACAAGTCAGCGATTACACTCATCGGACCAGCCACCGGATTGCCAACTCTAAAGATACGTACGTGAGAAGTCATACTTCACTCCCTTGTCGTTCAGCTGGTGAACGGTGGACAGTGGACCCTTCATGGGAACTACTCAAGTTCGAACCCTAGGGCAACACGAAGCGAAGCCTTTGAGCGGAGCCATATCCCGATTTGGATAGAAGTGCGAGGTTCAGTGCGCTTTTTGCGATATCCGTTGTATACGATTCACGACTTTACCGACATGCCAATTAATCCATGTGGGACTCTTGAGTCTTTCTAGGCCCGAAACCACCAAAGGGGGGGCAAGCGAAAAGAGTCTCGCCGTGTCTGAAGGATTGGTTGAACGACCTTGGAAAGCACCGGTGGTGGAGCGTCGGGTTTGTTGATACCGCCGTGTGTGAATTTAGAATGCAAGGCATACAACTTGAAAGAGTGTGACGTGTGGTTTACGGAGAGATACAATGTACAGTACACAATCCTTCTTCAGCCATTACTGCGATCCATGCAAAGCAAAGATCGCAAAAGATGTTCTGCTGACTGACTGACACGAATAATGCGTGCCGAAAAACATTGAAAGGCACGGAAAGGGAAACGCCCCGACGGCCAGTCGCCAGCGACCATCCTTCTACTCCACATTCGTCCGCCGCCGACTCGTGCGCCACCAAAAAGGCTCCGCAGACTGGGCAAGCTCCAACGCAAGGCTGAAACGAGGAAATGATTGTGATACGAAAGGCAGAGAAGAAAAAAACGACTGGCTCCTTTAATGGGGCTCTGCGGCACGGAGTCAATAGGTTGGGATTTGCTATAAGTAGTCTGTGACACCGTGCCTTTAGTTCAGGTCAGGTCCTAGAAAAATATCATTTGAGCATCTACACTACTACTGAGTGAAGACTATACTCAATTTACTGGGTTTAAAAGGTCAAGGATATCTAGCCAGAGAGCATTCACGTAGCAACAAGCATGTCTTCCCCGAAACCAGAGACCCGGGGCAACTTGCTTCTCGTAAGTCTCCAAGATATCAAACATCACTGCTTGTGACTGACAGGACAAAAAGATGGTCAGAGACAACTTTTCCGTATCGACATGGCTGGCCATTGGAGCTCTTTTCCAGTCCGCTGCATACTCATTACTCGGACGAACAGCTTTCTTACCAGCTATTTGTTTGTTACTGTATCGGATCGCAGACGCCTATGCCATTAAGACCGGCCTTAAGCATAACCATTACCTGGACGGTGTGATCTTGGATCACTACTCTGCCCAGTTTCCTGGAGAGGCGACAAACGGTGTAGAATCTCCAGCAGAGTCGGATGTGTGTGTTTTCATGATCGGTTCCAAAGTCAACCAGTATGTAAAAGTTGTTGTTGCGTAAGGCATGGTATTGACCACTCTCATAGCCCCTTTGGATTGTTCGCCCCTGGCTACAAAGAGTTGGGCTCCCAGTTCGCAACCATGGTTAAGGAGATTGAAGGTAAGCAACCCCATCTCTGTTTGGTGAGCAGAAACTTACCAAGAAACCAGCAAACAAGGAACAACACGGCTTTCTTGGATCGAGGAAGCTCGTCGGAGCCGAATCAGCGACGAACAACGAGACAATGACGATCATGTACTTCAAGACAGCCGAGCATATCCAGGCATACGCAACAGGACCTCTCCATCGCAAGTCACTGGTGTGGTGGGCCAAGCATGCAGCTGAGTATCCTCACCTGGGTATCTTCCACGAGACGTATCAGGTGCGAGCCAAGAATTGGGAGACAGTGTATGCGCATACGAAGCCCATGTTGGCAGGAGCAATCCAGCACAAGGTGCAGGGAAGCTTGTCGGAAAAGAGCGAAGAGGAAACAGTGTACAAGCACTCGCTCGTGTATTCTAAGGGTGTTCTCAAGACAGCCGCGGGTCGCATGGGCAGATTGCCGGGCACTTTCGATCGAAGCCTGCTGGAGGTGAAGGAAGCTGGAAAGGCAGGAGCCATGTCGGTCTGATGGTTCTAAAACCATTGATGATTATGAAAAACAAAAAAGCAGATAGATTCTAATCTCAATGACGAAATTTTCACGAGATTGATGATCCATGACTGAAAAGTGCTGAAGAACTGAAAGCGAGAAGCAGCAAGAGTGATGGAGAGCGACTTCCGCAGACGTCAACAGACTTGGCGTGTTTCTGGGGGTCTCGGATTCAAGAAGTTTCAACGTGCATTGCAACAAACGCGACAGCTCAAAAACTACAACACTTCTTATCTTCTGGTCTTCCAGGCTGTCTAGGAAGGGTCGCATCTGGATACAGCATGAGATAATAGCGACAAACATGGCCGAAACACAAGGAACCAGCCGACCGACCGTCGACGATCTGACCGGCGACAATTACTATGCCCAGCTGGCACGCAAGCATTGGCTTAATAAGACTAAGCAACCCAAGGTCCAGCGCGATGTGATAGAGAAAGAGCTGTGGGCACAATTGGAGCAAGAGGACTTTGGTTCGTTGCTGTTGCTGGAACAACTGCAGCTGTTGGACTTGTACCTCTGGCCTGGATACACCGACGATGCCTCGAACCACCACGTCCTGCTGCTGGCCATGTTGGTCAATGTGAAGCGTCGCGAAGGTCTCGCTGTATGGGACTGCTTTCAACATTACTCAGAGAACTTCTCGTCCTTGTTTCGTCGCATACTGTCCATGACCATCGACACGACCATCGCAACCACTCTCCGAACACATCTCCTCAACTTCATCATCATCGCATATCAATCGCTTGATAGTGGCATCGTCAGGAAAGAATGCGCCCCTCTGGTCAACATTGCTATCTGGCACAACCTACACAGCGAACAAGCGAGAGATGCTCAATTGGAAAAGGCTGTACAACTTCAGAAGGCTTGGAGAGCCGCAGGCAAGAGATATGATGGATCAGACGCCCCTACACAAGCCCGTTTACGCTTCGAGAGGTCATGGTTGTATTCGTTGACACTCGACTTCTTTGATCGCCTGTATGACACGGCTGCCAAATCTCGCTCGGATAATGTCCTTTATTGCGAACGCTTTGTCGAATTGCTGTCTGATCTGCAGAGTCAGCTACCCACCAGACGTTTTGTCAACACCCTCTTGCAGGATCTCAATACTCTGTCCGTCATCAAGCTATCGCCCATGTATTCTGACGAGGACAATGCTCTCTTGCGCGATCTCTACAACCTTCTCCAACACTACACTGCCTTCCCTATTGAGGACCACAGTGGTCGTCAGTACACCTCGCTGGAATTTGATCAACAGCATCACGCCGCTTTGACCAAATTGCAAAGAGTCTCCTTCAAGCATTTCCAGGATAAGCTGAAGATTCTGGTACTGGCCAACTTTGCCTCGTTAGCCACTAGAGAAGATCTACAAAGCCATCTTACTTCTTTGTCTGACGACGAGGTTGTTGAATTATGCCGTCTGCTCGGCTTCCGGACCGATTACCCTAGCTTAACTCTCGTCACGCGCGATCGAACATTCTACATGGAAATCCTTCTTTCAGCTCACGAAAGTATGCCTATGTATCAGCAGATCATGCAAAACATGGCTGTTGTGCCCACCGAGAGCAGCATTTACGATTCCGCCTTTATTCGCACTGAGAGCTACAACGGATCAAGACCCTTGGCTATCCCAAAGTTGAATCTTCAATATTTGACCATGGGTGACTTCTTGTGGAGATCCTTTGTGTTGTACAGAGCGGAAGCCTTCTATCAGATCCGTAAAGACATTGAGGATACTGTCAAAAGGTTACAACCAAGAAAGGCTGGCCCTACTACAAAGTTTGACGGCTTCTCTAAAATGGCTATCCCCATCACAAAACCTGCTCTCATTGATGTCGCACCTGCTAAAGTCTCGGAGCTTCATCCTTCAAAAGTAGAGGTCGAGGTGACTCTTGATGTAGGTCGCTTAGGTCCCAACATTCGCAGGGAGTGGGAGACATTACGATCAGGTGACGTTGTGTTCTTGGTATCTGTCCAAGCCGGAGACACAACATCAGTGTTCAGTAATGGTGGGTCTGAAGCAGCAGATGTAGCAGACAGACATGGTGTCAAGCATGTGCGTTCCGCCGAGGTGATAGACGTGCTTGATGAGAACGGTCGCAAGCTCCGTGATCAATCTCAAGCTCAGACTAATGGCGCATCTTCGAGAGGTGGACGTCAACGAAGACTTTTGCTCCGACTTGATCCGATTGCCTATCAACAAGACAAGGAACGCACAGACAAGGGCAAACCTGACGTTCTTGAGACCATCAACCTTCTCGTGCGACGTCAAGGCCGCGAGAACAACTTCAAGTTCATTTTAGAATCCATCAAGCATCTGGCATTGTCTGATGTGCCCGCCCCTCAATGGCTGCAGGAAGTGTTCCTCGGTTACAGTGATCCCGCTGCTGCAACTTACCAGCGCTTGCCGAACAGACTGAACTCGATTGACTATCGGGATACGTTCCTTGACTGGCAACATTTGGTTGAGTCTTTGCCTGGCAAGACTGTAGAACCAGACGCAAAGTTGAACTCGAGCTTCCCTCCGCCATATGTGCTCGAGACCACAGCAGCACCGCCTCAAGAGGCTAGGCCTAGCAAGAGACGCAAGCGTGAGCCAGTCGAAGCTGCGCAAGGTCCTGCCGTGGAAACGGTCAAGGTCGGGACATACAAGCCTCCCAACCCTGGCCCATACCCTGTAGATGCTCCCAGACTAAACGGTGTGCGATTCACACCAACACAGATTGAGGCAATCACATCAGGAACCCAACCTGGTCTGACTGTAATTGTCGGCCCTCCTGGAACTGGCAAGACTGATGTCGCAACACAAATCATCAACAACATCTACCACAACTTCCCTGAACAACGTACATTACTTGTCGCACACAGCAATCAAGCACTCAATCAGCTCTTCCAGAAGATCACAGCTTTAGACATTGATGAGCGCCATCTTCTCAGACTAGGACACGGTGAAGAAGAACTCGAGACTGAGGCAAGCTATAGTAAGCATGGTCGTGTTGAGTCCTTCATGGAAAACGCCGCTGTACACCTGTACGAGGTTGCTCGATTGGCTGCTAGTATCGGCGCTCCTGGTGCTCATGGTAGCAGTTGCGAGACTGCCGATTACTTCAACCAAGTATACGTCAAACCTGCCTGGACAAAGTACTGGGATGCTGTGAATGCAGGTGCGGAACCTCAGCAGCTCATTGACTCCTTCCCCTTCCATGCCTACTTCGCAAACGCCCCTCAACCACTCTTCCCAGCAACTGCCTCTCGCGAAGAGTTGATCGATGTTGCCTCGGGCTGCAACAACCACCTCGACCACATCTTCGCATCTCTTGCCGACACCCGCCCCTTCGAAATTCTTCGCACAGCCAGGGACAAGGCAAATTACCTCCTCATCAAAGAAGCACGCATCATTGCCATGACATCAACCCATGCCGCAATGCGCCGTCAAGAAATTGCAGATCTAGGCTTCCGCTACGACAATATCATCATGGAAGAAGCAGCACAAGTTACCGAGATTGAGAACTTCATCCCTCTTGCATTGCAGAAGCCCCGCGATGGCGACATGAAGTTGCAACGCGTCGTGCTTGTTGGTGATCACCTCCAAAACAGCCCCATTGTGCAAAACTTGGCGTTCCGTCAGTATGCAAACTTGGAGCAGAGCTTATTCTTGAGACTGGTAAGGTTGGGTGTACCAACCATCACACTAGATCAGCAAGGTCGCGCAAGGCCTTCTCTTGCCGAATTGTACAAATGGAGATACCCTACCCTGGGCAACCTGCCGCTCGTCACATCCTCGCCACAGTTCCTACAAGCGAACGCTGGCTTTGCCTTTGACTACCAGTTCATCGATGTTCCTGACTACAAGGGCAAAGGCGAGACTGAACCGTCGCCGCACTTCATTCAAAACTTGGGAGAGGCTGAGTATGCCGTTGCTATCTACATGTACATGCGACTACTTGGTTACCCTGCAGAGAAGATCAGCATCTTGACTACCTACGCTGGCCAACGCGCTCTAGTCAGAGATGTACTCAAGCATCGTTGTCAGAACAACCGTATGTTTGGTCTTCCTGGTAAGGTCAGCACGGTCGACAAGTACCAGGGCGAGCAAAACGACTGTAAGCAATGTACTTCTGCTATTCACTTTGATCCAAGACGCTAACACAAAGAAACAGATATCATCCTCTCGCTCACACGAACATCACGACCAGGCTATCTTCGTGATATCCGCCGCTTGACCGTCGCACTGTCCCGCGCTCGTCTAGGTCTCTACATCCTCGGTCGCCGCGATGTCTTTACCTCAACTCCCGACCTCGCCACCGCTTTCTCTTCCTTGCTTTCCCGCCCTGTCAAGCTTACCCTTACCACAGGTGAAATGTTCCCTACACATAGAAACGTTGAGGAACAAGGCAACACAGCAGAAATGGAGGGAGTCGAACACTTGGGTCAGTATGTGTTTGAAATGACAAAGGCGAAGGTGGAGGCTATCAAGAAAGGAGAAGGTGTTTTGCCGCCGGCTAGCGGTGTCACGGATCAGGAGATGGAGGATGGCGAGGAAGTGTATCCTGAAGATGAGGGCATGGCTGAGGAGGAGGATGTGGAGATGATGTAGTGAGTCGTGGTGTTTGTATTGGTATTGGTGAATAGCGAGCATTCTGTACCACTGTGGAAAAGTACAATTCCTTTGAATCACATATCATGTCCTTGGCTTCAGCGACTTTCTTTTGTGATCCGTGGACGAAGGTTCAGCGTCGTCGAGATCTAGAGGCTTTTAAGGTGCTTGCTTGATTGTGAACATGACTCTGTTCGAATAAACGTTCAATTCTAGTCAATGGAGAGCGTCGAGCATATGTCCCATCGTGGCTAACATGTTTTGTAATTAGACTTTATAGCAAAGCCATGAGAAGGCTTGGGCAAGGAATGAACAGAGCTAGAGCGAGCAGCGAATAGTATACATGGATGTACTTCTGTTCTGAGCCCATCGTAGTGAGTATCCCCTTTAGCAAAACGTAAACCATGAGCATTCTTTCCCAGGGCTTCGTGAGAGAGCAAAAGCTAGAATGTCTTCTTGGACTTCATCGGCTGCAGTGATGTTCTGTGGTTAGACTTTTCATTATTGCGGTGTCAACATAAGTATACCGACAAGTTGGATCGTTTCGGGTGTGTTGACAGTACTATGTGATGGGACGGATGATTGTGGTTGTTCATGCCTGTGGTGGTCAGCACATGTTGCGATAGTAGATTTGTGTAGCTTAACGTACAGGGAAAATGCTGGACAGACCGTAGGGATTGCGAACTTTGGGTAAGTAATTGGATCCTTGCAGGTGTTCGTACTTTTTGGCAATGGTTTCAAGGGCCTCTGAGACGTGGATTTTGTCTCCCCAGATACAAAAATCCCAGAATACAGTCGAGACGCGTTGCGGAATCTGTGGTAGGATCTGGGTGACGAGCCCTGTGAGAAACACCGATTCGCTTGGATCCTCTGCCGGCTTGATCGACGTTCTTTGCCCCGGTCTTCCCCAATTTACCACTATTGCCACACCACCCAGAGTCTTGAAGCTTGATAATATCTCCAGGTCGATAGGGCCCCATGGACACAGCGCATTTGGATTGATCGTGATGTAGAGATGGAGGATTCTGATTTTTGCCAACGCTAAGTCACTCATAGCAGACGTAGCAGACCTGAGATTGACTGAACTTGAATTGAGTGGGAATCTGATGGTCCAGCCTGCGTGCCAGACACGATCGTGTGTTTCTTGTCGGATCTGCTTGCAAGATCGTAACAAGTTGATTCCCATCACCGCGGTTTTAGGCCCTCCAGGCAAGGGGAACTCCCTTTGCCATTTGTTAGGCACGCTCAGGTCGTAGATCATCTCCCGCAACTCAAAAGGAAGGTCGAGAAAGCAAGTGCCACCGATGCTGGTTTCGGAGCCATGAGCGACAACGCCGGGCGGAGATGACAGAAGATCGGACATGTCGAGGTGTATGCAGGACCGCTGTGACGAGTAGGGTTTTCGATGTTGCGGAGACGAGAGGGGGCCGGTAGAGAACTGGTGCGATGCAGCCTTGTTGAAAGACACGGTGCGGTTAGGTAGTGACCAACGAAGAATCTCAATGAGAGGTGGAAACTGGGAGGCAAGAAAAGAAGAAACTTCGCTGAGAAAGCGCAGAAAATGAGCTGAGAGACATGCCTTTCGGAAATTTCGGTGGAAGAGGAAAGAAGGACAGAAGTACTGACCCTCGCAAGCGTAATGTGCATGTGATGCAAGGTTGTGGTGGAATTAGGCAGTTGCAAGTCAAAAGCAACTTTCGGGACAGGCGCGATGCAATCCCAAATCGACTTCACAACACAACAGCAAGAACGACAAATAGGAAAGCAAGACTGATCCTTGATTCACTCGTCTGTGATAGAAAACACAACCTCATCCGCCTTTCCGCCCGGTAAAAAAGGAAGCGCTGCCTCGTTGAAGATGCCATAAGATTCGTGATAACAGAAAAGAGAAAAACACCCTCCATATGCAAGAAAAGTGAATTTGCCTCGACTGTATAGTGAGTCGGGCATATGAGGTCGTTGAAGGCCTGTCGCTGAAATTGAATAATCAAACATACGGAAGAAAAGATTAAGTAGGCATGGGTGCTGCAGCACCAGTCATGTCTTCGAAGGTCTCTGCCGGGGCGCAGGTGCAGAAGAGGTTCATGTCTCCGTATGCTAGTTCTCGTTAGTCATGCTTGTCATATTGGGTCATTAGATATCAACTCACCATCGTCAAGTCTGGTGACGCTAGGCCAGAACTTCTTCTCCTTGAGCCAAGGCAAAGGATAAGCTGCTGTCTCACGGTTGTAGGGTCTCGACTCCCAGTCTGAAGTCACAATATCCTTGACACTGTGAGGTGCCATCTTGAGCACGTTTCCTTCTTTGGGTTGCTTGCCTTCCTCAATCAATGTGATTTCCTTGCGGATGGAGATCAGAGCATCACAGAAGCGATCTAGCTCCTCCTTGCTCTCTGACTCTGTGGGCTCAATCATCAGCGTGTTAGCGACGGGCCAGCTCATCGTCGGTGCGTGGAAGCCATAGTCTTGAAGACGCTTCGCAACATCGATAGCTTCAATTCCAGCAGACTCCTTGAACTTGCGGATATCCAAGATGAACTCGTGAGCGCAGCGACCGTTGTCGTTGGTGTAGAGGATAGGGTAATGAGGACGCAGACGAGAAAGAATGTAATTGGCGTTCAGCAATGTGATCTTGGTGGCGTGTGTCAAGCCACGAGCGCCCATCATCTTCACGTATGCCCAACTAATGGGCAAGATGCTGGCACTACCCCAAGGTGCACCACTGATAGGTGCAATGGCTTGCTCGCCACCAGTCTTGACCAAAGGATGGCCAGGCAAGAATGGAGCAAGATGCTCCGCGACACCAATTGGTCCAACACCAGGACCGCCGCCTCCATGAGGAATACAGAAGGTCTTGTGAAGGTTCAAATGACAAACATCAGCACCAATTTCACCAGGCGAACAGAGACCAATCTGTGCGTTCATGTTGGCGCCATCCATGTACACTTGACCGCCATGCTTGTGAACCAGATCGCAGGCCTCCTTGACCTTAGGCTCAAACACACCAAAAGTGCTAGGGTATGTGATCATGATGGCACCAAGCTCATCCTTGTGCTTTTCGCACTTGGCCTTCAAGTCTGCCATGTCAAGGTTTCCGGTGCCGCTCTCACACTTGATGGTCACGACACGCATACCGGCCATGGCTGCACTAGCAGGGTTGGTACCATGAGCAGAGACCGGGATCAGACAAATGTCGCGCTTCTTGCCAGGCTGTTGCTCGAGATACTTGCGAATGACACGCAGACCAGTAAACTCACCCTGAGCACCAGAGTTGGGTTGTAATGACACCGAGTGGAAGCCAGTAATTTCTGCAAGATCGGCTTCGAGTTCATCAATCAGAGTTTTGTAACCCTTGGCTTGCTCCGGAGGGGCGAAGGGATGGATGTTTGAGAATTCCGGCCAGGTGATGGGGATCATCTCGGTTGTGGCGTTGAGTTTCATGGTGCAAGATCCGAGAGGAATCATGGAGTGGACAAGAGAAAGATCCTTTGACTGCAAGTGGTGAATGTAGCGGAGAATATTGGTCTCGGAGTGGTGTGTGTTGAAAACAGGGTGTGTCAAGAATGAGCTCTTTCTGCGGAGCTCGTCAGGTACATGGGAAACGGCCTTGTCTGCTGACAGGCCAAGATCCTTGACAAGGCTGTCTACAGTAAGCCCCGATGATGACTTGGCGGCACCAGAGAGTAGGTCAATGATAGCTTGGAGGTCTTCCTTCTCCACAGTCTCGTCAAGGGTGATACCAATGCGGTTCTCATCGACGACTCTGAGATTAGTCTTGTACTCTTGCTCAGCGAGCTTGGCGAAATCACTAGCCTTGCCAGAAACAGGGCCTCCTGAGATGACAACAGTGTCAAACAATGGGCCAGTAGTCTCAATTGTGTATCCGCACTTCGTAGCAGCTTCGGCAACCACACGAGTAGAGTTGATGACTCTGTGAGCAATAGCCTTCAAGCCCTCAGGTCCGTGGTAAACAGCGTACATGGCACTCATGTTTGCCAACAAGGCCTGTGCAGTGCAAATATTGCTGGTGGCCTTCTCGCGACGAATGTGCTGCTCACGGGTCTGGAGAGCCAAACGAGCGGCGTGGTTTCCTAGTCTGTCCTTGGAGAGACCAATCAGACGACCAGGGATCTTGCGCTTGTGTTGTTCGCTACAGGCGAAGAAGGCAGCATGAGGACCGCCAAAGCCAAATGGCACACCGAATCTCTGAGCATTTCCGAAAGCCACATCCGCACCGAACTCTCCTGGTGGAGTGAGCACGGTCAGAGCGAGCAGATCGGTAGCAACACTGAAAGTTGCCTTGAGCTTGTGTACCTTCTCGGAGAGGTTCTTGAAGTCCTGGACTCCACCAAGAGTGTCAGGATATTGTCCCAAAACACCAACCAAGTCTTCGCCGATCTCTTCCACTCTCTTGCTTCCGTCCTTGAGGATGTCGTCAACCTCAATCTTGATACCGAAACCCTCGGCGCGAGAGGCCAGAACAGCGATAGTTTGAGGGTGGCACAGGTGCGATACAAGGTAGACCTTGTTGGGGCGCTTTTGGCGGGCGGCCGGGAGGGAGTTGATCGACAAAGTCATGGCTTCAGCAGCCGCCGTGGGCTCATCGAGGACAGATGCGTTGGAGATGGGCAGACCAGTGAGATCAGAAACCATAGTCTGGAAGTTAAGCAGGGATTCCAATCTTCCTTGACTGATCTCAGGCTGGTATGGAGTATAACTTGTGTACCATGCAGGGTTCTCGAGGACGTTTCTCTTGATGACCTCTGGCACGCGCGTGCCTGCATAGCCGCATCCAATGTAACTTCTGACCAGCTTGTTTCCGCTAGCAATATCTCGGAGTCTGTCAATCAACTGGCTCTCTGAGAAACCCTCTGAACTCGTCTCTTGACCAGGTTGACCCTTGCTGTTCTTGATCTTGGGCCCTTCAATCTTCAGATCACGAGACGAGAGAATGTCTCCGGGCAAGACTTGGGTAACGAACTCATCCAGTGACTTTGCAGGAGGGTCCAAGGCCTTAAGCATGTCGATGGTATCGTCGGGCGATGGGCCAATGTGCCTACGGGCAAATGTGTCGAGAGGCGCAAAGAGGTTGGATTGAGCATTGCCCTCGCTATCGAGTTGAGTCTCGGCAGCGGTGCTCGAATAGAAAGGTCTGAACTGTGCAGGGCGTACATGCTTGCTAGGTTGGAGGAGTTGTCTTCTAGCAGACAAGTTAAGGCATCGCCTGCTGGTCAGAGAGGTGACAGAGCCTCGGCACAGTGAGGCAGATCGAAGCCTTGCGGCAGCGACCAGTGATTGTTGCATATCGGACTGATCTTGGTCAGGCTGATGTCCCTGTTGGAGGAACGTACAGAGGATACAGAGTCTCTCACCTCTCAGACAGAAGAAATGGAGCAAACAATCGTGTCCACAGAAACGACTGGATGACGCGAGTCTCGGCTTAAGCTTGCTTCACCCGAGTGGTTTGCTCGCAGCAAATCAAAAGAACGACAGCAATGAGATAGATTTGGAAGGAGGAGTCATTGATCTCAGGGACCAAAATTTTTACAAGAAACTCGCCAAATGGCACCACATGCAGCAAGTTGAGCCACCTTACTTTCTTGGTGTTCCTTCGATAAGAACTCTAGTGGCTGAATGTACGAGTAGGGCGCGGAACCCGGGATACGAGTTTCCCGCCCCACGCCCGATGCTAGCCGTGCACGATAAGGAGGGGTCGCGGGGACAATTTACTCGATCATTTTACCCTTGAAAGGAAACCCGGCGCGAACTCGAGAAATCGTCGTATAACAGAAGTCAATTGATCGAAATGCGCTGAGATGGGTATTTGAGGAGCACAGAGAAGAAACAAAATCCAACTTCTAGGAAGAAGCCATATAGTTGCCAATCAGAGGGATATGGCTGTACAGCTCGTCGTACTCGCGGCCAACCCATCCTCCGACTGCACCGCCACGGCCAACAATGCCCATACCGCCAGCTAGCCAGAGTGCACTAACGACAGCACTGACTGCGTTGATCACATACCACCTTCTCTTCCTGTAGAGCTGTCCTTCTGGTCCACTCTGTGTGACTTGCGATGGGGTGAAGTTGAGCCATTTAGCCCAGCCCCAGACAGAGTGCCATACTCCAACAGTGATAAGAGCGCCAAAGCCAACGAAAGATACGGCGGGATGTTTGGCGAAGCCATGCGAGACATAACCCAGGTTGATGCTGCTAGAACCGCCCTCGTACCACAGCGGGATGATTCTGTTGACGAAGGCATGCCCGAAGACCAGTGGTACCAATGCGTATCCTAGCGCACTTGTTCCAGACAACTTTGGCCATGCAACCATGCGTCTGTCTGACCTGTTCTCTGCGCCATATCTCTTGAGGTTTTGCTTGCGACGGTACAAGCGCAGAGCAACACCACTGCCAATGTGGGCAATCAAGGGCAAAGTAACGACAAAAGGTTCGGCGATAGGCGATTGATAGTAAGGGCGAGTAAGCAGGAGATAGCGTTCCGAATTGGCGACAGAGCGCGTGGCAAGCGGGATGAGAGCCGTGTTTGCGACATGGAAAGCAGTGAAGACAGAAAAGGCGTAACTCGAGTATTTGTGGATACGTGTGAGATACCAGACAGGCGAGTGTGCATCCAGGCCTAAGGTAGAGGTCCGTTGGACTGGCTTGATTGTCTCATCATCGAAGGGCGTCTTGTCCGAGGACGAGGGAAAGTACGAGTCTGAGGGGAACTCTTCTTCGATGGGTGAAGGCTCAAGTTCTTGCAGGGAAGGCTCCCGCTCGAGATCGTTGGCGTGCGTGTTCATGTGTGCAGTTACCTTGACTAAAGAAACACCAATGCGCACGAATCAGCGTCGCACATGTCATTGCTTACCAACTTGGAGGTCAAGATCTTATCTCTGTCTGCATCAGCGGATCTATTCACGCCTCGGCTTCGCATGAGCTTTGACTCTTGCTGCGCGACCAATCCTCTGCTTCCATCCTCGTATACAAGACACATCAAACATCTAACATGGGTCCAGTACGTCTTGGTTCTTCGATGACTGAATACCAAACTGACATGGTAGCAGCGATCAACAGTACTGCCCAGTGCACAGGTACACCAAAGCACACCGTCCAACTTCCACAGTCGCTTTCTAATACACATCTCAGACCGAGAGTGCCCGCGAGCTACGCCGCAACTTCTACTGCGACCTTTGCAGCAAAGGCTATGATAGAATCACACAACTCGAAGCCCACGAGAACGGCTATGACCATCAACACCGCAAGCGCATGAAGGAAATGAAGCAAATCACCAGGAACCCCACCGCCGCCGTTCGCAACTCTCGTGCCGAAAAGAAGCGAACAGAAAACTCGGAGATGATCAGTCTGAACTTGAACAAAGGCAAAACAGATGGTGTCAAGAGAGGGTTCAAGGATATTGGGAGTGATGCGAGTCAGGCTGCAAGGTCGACGGCGACATCAGCCATGCCTGATGTTGTTATGAAAGAGGCACCTGTCAAAGAGCAAGCTGAAGTGGAACGGCCGCTGAGATGGGACGACCTAGCGCAACTATCATCCATACTAGATCCAGCAACTCTGCCAACCGCATGGCAGCAGCGAGCTTCAAGCGCGACTCAAGCTTATTTCGCCAACATGGCCGACTCTGAGAAACGAAAAGCATACTTTGACGACGATGAAGATATACTGGACGAAATGGGTATCGCAGATGACGAATGGCATGCCGATGAAGAACAAATCTTGGACGAGATTGACATCGACCAAGACTGGGGAGACTTTATGCAGTCCGATGAGTGGAAGAAGCACAAAGACTCGACCGAGCAAGCGCGGAAAGAGAAGCTTAATCAAGCATGGAAACAAAGACGAGCTTTGCAGCAGTCGGTCTGATCTACTCATGATGCTTAGTCTAGGTTGGGCTTTACTTACATGTGCATTGGCGTTAGGTTAGGGAAGGTCATTATCACAGCATTCGGTCAGGCGTTTGATATTTTGCGGTCACTAAGTGCGTTGAATTCACAATCTGTCCTTCGAGCGCTCAGTTCATACCAAATTCTCTTGTCCCTCAACTGTTATGAGGTGACACCTCTTCAACTATATACACCTCAAGAACCCAGGTTTTAACCGCAATGATGTGAGATGAGGCCAACAGAACAAAACAATGCAGCAAGTGAGATTCGAACTCACGCCTCTACAGCTCCAGTGACCCGACACTCTCCGACCGGGGACGGCCTCGAGAAGGCCACCTTCATGCTTGTGTTTGCAAGACACATTAGTGTAGCATCTTGACCGCTAGACCATCGCTGCTTTCTTTACAAAAAATTCGAGCTGAGGAGACTATAGGCGGAGAGGCAGAAGGTCGTGAATTCGATTCTTTGCTAAGATCGAAAGAATTGGCTGTAAGGCATTATGCATGTGTTCTGATCGCATGTGACTGTTATAGAGAGAGATAGTGGAGAGAGAGCTGGGTATGGCTAATGATGTCTTTTTGATTCTAGAAATTACAACAGCTACCGCCCTCCTACACACTCTCTGTAGTGGGGTCCAGAGCGGCCTGCACATCGGAGCGCATGGCGGCCTCGTCTGAGTTGGGGTCTCTGACGTTGACGTGTAGCACATCAACATGCTCGAGACGGCCTTCTTCAGGAGGTCCAGGTGTCTTACGCTTAGGACGAAGATTGGTTCGCTGTTTCACAGGGTAGAAATAGGCACCCTTTTCGAGACGGTCACTGGCATCGTGCAGTGCAAGAGCAACTGTGTCACCGTACGCATTGTCGGCGTCACCAGCCTGTTGGTATGTTTCGTATTCACGGATACGCTGGAATTGGAAGCAGCTTTCGCCATCTGCTTCGGTGTCGTAAAGTGATGGATCATCATTTTGAGCGTCGTTGGGATCGAACTTGCGTTTGATGCCGCGAACTGAGGTTTCATGCTCTGCCAGGAACAAATCGTAGTCCCATTCAGGAAGCGGCTTAGGCATCGTGGGGTCGGCTTTGTGCGCGGCCATGCGCTCTTCATGCAAGGCAAGGTCTGCACCAAGTGGTCGCAATAGTGCTGTATCGAGGCGCTGGTCATAGGAATCTGACTGAGCAACGGGGTTGGTGCTGAATTTTACGATCTGGTAGTCGCCGGTCAATGGCAGAGCGTCCATATCGGGCAGGAGAGGGTATGCATCCAGAAGAGTCAGGTTGGGCTTGGTAGGGTGTTTTGGCTTCTTCCATGCACTTCTGTCGGCTTCAGTGATGGGAGCACCACGGATGTTCGTCTCGGAGTCGGGGCCAGTGTATGCGTCTTCGGGATAAGCAAGGTCAAAGCCCTTGACAAGTGATCTGATAATGTTGATGGGGTCGTCGCGGTTGACGGGCGGTGCCTTGCGGCGCTTGGGATCATTGCGCACGCGCAGCAGGTCTTTGGAGGTACTCGATTCGAATCTTTGGACAGCGGCGGCGTTGGAAGAGATGTATTCTGTTCTGCGCAGGAAACTGACACCATTGTTCATGGCCGTCGGCTTTCCCAGTGCTGATAGCGGCTTGAGCAATGCTCGATCTTTCGGGTGAAGCATTGGTGGGGGATCCTGGGCCATGATGGCTGCTTCATGTTAGAATAGGCTCGAATGACCGTAAGAGCGACAGTGGACATACCGCTCTCGTCTCCATCAAAGACACCTGGCAGACCGACTAGGTCGATGGGCATTCCAAGCTCAGCATCGGCCTCGATGTTGAGAGGCTGCTCTCGCGCTAACTTCAGAGCATATGAAGCGGATGTGTAGTTGTTCGATGCGATGCCAGTTCCAGGAATGTCGAGGAGCTTTGGCGGGTTCGGAGGTGGTGGTAATGTGTTGGAGTATCTGATGCGCGCAATGTAATCTTGGTGATAGACGCGTTCTGAGCGTCCGGAGGCCATCTCGGGTGCGATGGCCTTGCTGTGGGCTTGACGTGGATTTATGTGATGGCGGTCGAGGATGCCTCTCAAGCAAAGTCGCAGTCAACTTCACTTGCTTGCAGCTGGCATAAAGTCGCGATGCGCCAACGTCTGGAGGAGTTGCTACTGAACGTACACGGAATCTTATTCGACGCCGGCCTATTTCACTAAAGTCTTGTATATAGATGCACGATATAAGCTCGATCCTACAAACCTACGGAAATTACATGACTGGAGCAGTCGCTCTTACTGACATCACAAGGGTCGTTCAATACAATACAATTTTCTAAAGCATTCTCTTTCGAGACGGCAAAAACGAGTAGTAGCGACCCTTGCAACTTCCAACTGCCAATCGCGTATGCCGAATCGAGATGCCAAGACACGTGTCTCAATACCGGACTGTTAGCAACTAGGCCAACTCCTGCTTCTTTATTAAACTATTGTCACTCTGCCTCTTGAATGTGTCAATCCCTTCTCTTCATATGCAATTCGTGATGTCTTGAGTGCCTTTGTCACAAGTACCGAGCAACTACTTGCTCTTACTGGATATCACTTGCAGCAAACCTCTCATTACTAACTTTTAGTGCACATCGCTTCCAAGATGGCTTCGGATGCTTCGAGTGCCCTGCGGGAGGTCATGCAGAATACCACTGTACCTGTCGTGCCATCTCTGCTCCCTGATACCGAGCCGTCTTCTATTGGTTCGACAGCGGCCTTGATCTTGGCTGTCTTCACCATGCTACCCAGCCTTCTCCTGTGGTTCATCGCTTTCTTGACCATTACTTTACCAACATGGTTGTTTACATTTTTGTCTACGAGTCTGACATTGACTGTCAATATGACTACCGTCGTATTGATCTTGATCTTCTTTGTCTCGACTGCTAGTTGGGTCGTCCGCTATCGCTTCTTGAACATGTATTCGCGTCTACCTCCGGAGCCCCAACGCAAAGAACCTCAGGTCGAAGTCTTCCCAGATACTCAAGAGACAGACTCCAAGCAAGGTCTGGCAAACTATCTCGATGAATTTTTGAGTGCCATCAAGGTTTTCGGTTATCTCGAACGTCCCGTGTTCCACGAGCTCACCCGGACCATGCAAACAAGGAAACTTATCGCTGGGGAAACTATTCTGCTGGAAGAGGAGAAAGGCTTTTGCTTGGTTGTGGATGGCTTGGTTCAGATTTTCGTCAAATCGAACAAGGACCGGGAGGAAGATCCATCAACCGGCAGGACCACTCCCGAAGAGACTGGTGTTGATGAAGAAGGACGTATACACGGCAATCAAGGGTACCAATTATTGACCGAGGTCAAAAATGGTGCACCCATGTCTTCGTTGTTCTCCATCTTGTCTCTCTTCACAGAGGATGTCAAGCTGCGTCATGACGAGAAGGATGTCGAAGTAGCCTCAGGCCTACGAGATGGCGGCCAACCTCAGACACCACGATCAATTCGACACAGCGGTACTGCCACTCCTTTGTCGCCTATCGTCAGCCCCAATCTGACTGCTACCGGAGCAGAGCCTCATACAGTTCTTCATGGCCTTGATGCTGCATCCTTTGCTCAGAGCGCAGTACCTGCATTCTCCTTGAATGATCCTAATGAGGCAGGTCCTGAGCCCAAGTCGAGACAGGGCAGCAGCCATAGTAGTCGCAGACAATCTACCAAGCACATATCCGCCCATCCGGACATTGTTGCAAGAGCTTCTGTCGATACCACAATCGCTATCATTCCAGCAACTGCTTTCCGACGACTGACCCGTGTCTACCCAAAAGCAACTTCTCACATCGTTCAAGTCATCCTTACCCGACTTCAACGTGTCACGATGGCGACTGGCCACCAATATCTTGGCCTCACTGGTGAGGTTCTGCGCACCGAGAGGCTCATGGATGGTTACACTGCATACGATCTTCCAGACTTCTTGAAAGGAGATGCCATGGAGAGACTGAAAGGCAAGTTTACCAAAGAGAAGGAGCGTACTGGACCCGAAGAGATCTCCAAGGGAATCGCCCTGCATAACCCTCGTGCTGGGCAAAGAAAGAAGACAGCAACTGGTCTGCGTAAAGAAGCCGTTCTTCATGCGCAAGCTATGCCTAGCAGCCGTCGTGGTGGTGGTGGGAGAAGCGAGTCTATTCACACGCCTACCCGCACTAGCAGACCTGTTCCAGAGCGAGCTCCTCTGTCGCCTGACCCTGGAACAGACAGATCGGGTGTCAGTGCTGGAGATCTGCTGACCAACAACAACAACGTGGCAAGACAAGGTGGTCGCAGGAACATGGCGCCATACTCGTTACCCTTCCAAACTCCGAAACCTCTTGGAAGAGATGCCATGAGCCCTATGGCTAGCAGAAACTTCAACCCATTCGATGCTCATATCAAGACTATGCGTCGTCAAGACTCGGTGGACGAAGACATGATCTTCAGAGAATCCATCCTCGACTGTATGTTCAAGGCCATTGGACTCACTAACACGAAAGACGGACTTTCAAAAGTGGACTCTCTACCACAATCACCCAAACTTGTTTCTTATGACTCCAAACGACAGAAAGCTGTCTTCAACAATGCGTTTGGCTTCATTGATCCATTCGATCCCAATGATGGCGAAACCGAGTCCGTTGCGTCAACGGCTTTCAGCGCGACTGGCAACATGAACATCTTAGAAGACATGAAAGAGGAAGTTGAGATTGTTTTCTTCCCAAAAGGCTCTGTTCTTGTCGAACAAGGCGAGCGCAACCCTGGACTTTACTATGTCATCGATGGCTTCCTTGATGTCAGTGTGCCTCTCGAGGAGTCCGAGGCTGCAGAGTCCAATATCTTTGGTACCTCCGCTGATGCTGACTTGGACGGCGAGCCTCAAACTATTAGATCATCGGGAGGCAGAAACATAGGCAGTGTTCGAAGACCCAGCTCTCTCTCGCTCAACCCGAAGCCACCCAATAAACCACGCAAGAGAAAACAAAAAAGTCTCTTCTTGACCAAGCCCGGCGGACTGGCTGGTTACCTCGGAACTGTCTCCTCATACCGCTCGTTCATCGATGTTACCGCCAAGACGGACGTCTATGTGGGCTTCCTCCCAAGAGCAGCTGTAGAGAAGATCGTGGAAAGATTCCCAATTGTGCTACTTACCATAGCCAAACGTCTCACTACCCTGCTTCCGAAGCTCATCTTGCACATTGACTTTGCTCTGGAATGGGTTCAGGTAAATGCTGGCCAAGTCATCTACAACCAGAAAGAAGAGAGCGATGCCATCTATATTGTGCTCAACGGCAGATTGAGAGCAATCCAAGAGGGACCTGACGACAAGATGAGAGTTATTGGTGAATACGGTCAAGGCGACAGTGTGGGTGAGCTTGAAGTCTTGACCGAATCTACAAGACCAGGAACACTATTGGCCATTCGTGATACGGAGCTTGCAAAGTTCCCCAAGTCACTCTTCAACAGTCTTGCCCACGAACATCCTGGCATCACGATGAAAATCTCCAAAATCATCGCATCTCGCATGCGCGCGCTGATTGAGGATCCCACTTCAGAGCACGGCAAGGATACAAGCAGGATTGCGACTCGTAATAAGGCCTCATCGACTACGAACCTGCGCACTGTTGCAATTCTGCCTGTTACAGGGGGCGTGCCTGTAGTCGAGTTTGGTCACCGCTTGCTCAATGCTTTGAACCAGATTGGTGCTACACCACAGAGAGCCACTTCGCTAAACCAGGCGGCCATTTTAAACCATCTTGGCAGACATGCATTCACCAAGATGGGCAAACTGAAGCTGTCCCAGTACTTGGCTGATCTTGAAGAGAAGTTTGCACTGGTCTTGTATGTTGCTGACACTAACGTCAAGTCGCCCTGGACGCAAACCTGTATTAGTCAGGCAGATTGCATCCTTCTTGTGGGTCTAGCAGAAGGGTCACCTGCCATCGGCGAGTACGAACGCTTCCTTCTCACGACGAAGACCACGGCGAGAAAGGAGCTCGTCTTGTTACACGCCGAGAGATATTGCCATCCTGGTCTCACACGCAAGTGGCTGAGGGATCGTTCGTGGATCAATGGAAGTCATCACCATATTCACATGTCATTCCGTGACAATGTTGAGCCAGTTCATCCTCAGGTCAGAAGATTTAGTACTGCCATCAAACAGCGTGTCCAGGTCATCCAGGCCGAGATTCAAAAGTACACTTCAAGGAAGGTACGACAGACGCCTTTGTATTCAGCCGAAACTCCGTTCAAGGGTGATTTCCATCGCCTGGCTCGCCGTCTTCTTGGCAAGTCTGTTGGCCTCGTGCTTGGTGGAGGTGGTGCCAGAGGTATTGCTCATGTGGGTATTATCAAAGCGATGGAAGAAGCTGGAATCCCTATCGACATTGTTGGAGGAACATCAATTGGTTCGTTCATAGGTGCACTCTATGCATGGGACGCCGATGTGGTTCCCATGTATGGTCGAGCCAAGAAGTTTTCAGGAAGGATGGGTAGTATGTGGAGATTTGCTCTGGACTTGACCTATCCATCGTACGTTACCCTGCTTACAATTTGTGAAAAACTGCTAACTGAATGATCACAGCGCGTCCTACACTACCGGCCACGAGTTCAATCGTGGTATCTTCAAGACATTCGGTGACTCTCAGATTGAAGACTTCTGGCTTGAGTACTACTGCAACACCACAAACATCACCAAGTCACGATCTGAGATTCATACTAGTGGCTACGCTTGGCGCTATGTTCGTGCCTCTATGTCCCTCGCTGGTCTCCTACCTCCACTTTGTGACGAAGGCAACATGCTGCTTGACGGTGGTTACGTTGACAACTTGACCGTCGCCCACATGAAATCGCTTGGTGCAGATGTCATCTTCGCTGTCGATGTCGGAGCAATCGACGACGATAATCCTCAAGCCTATGGTGATTCACTTTCTGGATTCTGGGCTTCTTTCAATCGTTGGAACCCATTCTCTTCATACCCCAACCCTCCTACCCTTTCTGAAATTCAAGCTCGCCTAGCATATGTGTCTAGTATTGATGCGCTTGAGCGTGCCAAGACCACACCTGGATGCTTGTATCTTCGTCCGCCAATCGATGGATATGGTACACTCGAATTCGCCAAGTTTGACGAGATCTACCAGGTTGGTTACAAGTACGGACAGGAGTTCTTGGCTAAGCTGAGGGAAGAGGGTGTTCTGCCAGTGATGGAAGAGACCGAGGAGAGGAAGAACTTGAGAAGAACCATGGCGCCCCGACGTGCGAGTATCTAAACTTGCTGCGTGTGCGATTCTGGTGGCGATGCAGGTGAAATTCCCTGCAAGCCGTGTATCACTCAACATAGTGGTGGCAACAGACAATGAATTTGAACCTCTTTGTCAAGGCAAAGCATAAATAACAATATCCCTCTGCCTCAAATATTGTGACACTGGCATTCGTTCTACTATACTAATTTCATTTGATGTTTGATGTGCCAAAGACAAGGGGTGTGGGAAGCGATGATCAACGGGAAAATTGAGTATCTGCACGAATAGAAAGCGGAAGTAACGATAATGCTTCCTTCCAAGCAGCAGTGTACTCCGAACTCATGTCCTAGGTGACACAATATATCAAGAAGCTATACACAAATTCTTGAAATGACTAGATATAGCTGGAGCTAATGACATTAGTGCTACATTGTTGTTGCTCATGAGGACAGGGTGCTCGTGCTCGCAAGTCACGGATTTATGATAACGATAAGCACAAACGCCGATCAACATGTGAAACGCCACCCTCTCGCGTCTGCCTGGCCCGAACATTCTTTCTCACACGAGGAAACAACTCTGCCCAACACTCTCTTTCACTCTGTGGCAGCAGGCTGCTTTGACTCTCACAACCATCGCACTTCAGCCTTGTGCTCTCCAAATCCTAGATCTCAAACCGCGTTTTCAGCTCCGCTTTCACACTTACGTCCATTACATTTTCGCCTCTTGTTTCCGAGATCCTGGTTTTGAGATCCTTGTTCTGAGGTTTCCTGTTTTCAGCTCCGCTTTCACACTCACGTCCATTACGCTTTCACCTTCTGCTCTCCAGATCCTCGTTGTCTTCGGAATCCTCTTGCCCAGATCCTGGCGCCCAACTCCGACACTCTTTGTCACCCTCAGACCACTTAGACTCAGCCAAAGCGCCTCTCACAACTCGCCTCTCATACAACACAAAACACCATGTCGGGAAGACGTAATGGCAATCGCATTCGCGGCCCGTCAGTAGTGTCGCTCTTCTCTAGTTCTTGTGCAGCAACTGACCATGCTTCCTAGACAATCTGCCTTGACCGATTTCCTGTCTTCACACAACATCTCGGCTCAACAGATTCGTGATGACTACGAACGCCGCGTGCGCGAAGCAGCTCAGCAAGAAAACGCTGGTGAAGGCACCTCGAACGCACCACCTCCAAACGATCCAGACGCCGAAGCCGCTGCCGCATTAGCTGCAGAGGAAGCCGCAGATGCTGCCGTCGAGAAGTCCAAGAAGAGAAAGAGAAAGGAAGCAGCTGCTATTGAGAAGATCAAGAAGGCAAAGGGTGCCAAAGGTGGAAAGAAAAAGAAGAAGCCCGCCAACAGCGACGATGAGGATGATGAGGACTTCGACATTGGTAACGCCATGTACGTGAAAGCTCCTCCTATGCCCGGTCAATTCGAGAATTGCGAAATCTGCAGCAAGCGTTTCACCGTCACACCTTACAGCAAGACTGGTCCTGATGGAGGTCTGGTCTGTACACCTTGTGGCAAGGAGCTCGCCAAAGAGGGAGATGCGACAGCAGGAAAGAAGACGAGAAAGGCACCAGCTGGTAGAAAGAGACGGCAGGTGGAGAGCGAGCGCTTGAACGGTATCGCTGTTGGTGGTGCAAAGTCACTGCAGCAGCTCTGCATTGAGAAGGTCGCTCAATATCATGAAGATGTTGACGAGCTGGGCGAACTGCCCGAACCTGTCATGCTACGCTTGGCCGAGATCTTCGCAAAGAAGCGCGTCCTGAACCCAAAAACACTCAAGCTCTTCGTGCGACCTGATTCGGATGTTGTCTGCATCCACGATGCCGCTTACCTCGAGGTCGAGGACTACCAGGGCATTTGCGCTGTGGCTCCTGGACTCAAGAAGCTCGTCATTCGAAACGCTTGTCAGCTCAAGGACGAAGCCATTGAATACATGATGGAGAAGTGCGACTCGATAAACTTCATTCAGTTCTATGCTGCCAACCTGGTGTCTGATGGGATGTGGCGCAAGCTCTTCCAGCGATACGGCAAGCAACTGAGCACAGTCAAGCTCTCATGGTTGGATGCCTCATTCAACGACGACACTGTCCGCGAACTGGTTCAGAACTGCCCAAATCTCGTCCGCCTCAAGCTCAAGCTCTGCCGCAAGCTCACCGAAGAGTCCATCATCGCTCTTGCTGGTCTGACCAATCTTGAGCGTTTGTCGCTGCAGACTGGTGCCCAGCCATCGCCCGAGGCTGTCATCAACCTCGTCAAATCGGTCGGCCCCAAACTGCGCACGCTTTCCTTTGAAGACTTCCTTGATCTCGACGATGCAGTTCTCGCTCAGATCAAGGAGTCCTGCAACAAGCTGGAAAAATTCCGTCTACAGATGAATGATGTCGCCAGCGACGCTGCTTACGCCAATCTCTTCACCAACTGGAAGAACCCACCCCTTACATTTGCCGACTTCAGCGGAACTCGCGATGTCGACAACAGCAACCCTCAAGGACCCGAAGAAGCTATCGGCTTGGCTTCTGCTGGTTTCAAAGCTCTCATGGCACACTCTGGCTCAGCTCTACGCACTCTCGACATCGCCTCATGCCGACACATCAGTCTGCAAGCTTTCCTAGATGTTTTCGGCAGCGGTATCAAGTACCCTAATCTTGAGACTATCAACTTGAGCTTCTGCAGTGCTGCTGACACATCCGTGGTCGCTGGTGTGTTCCAGAGTTGTCCTGCCATCAAGAAGGTCATTGCCTTTGGCTGTTTCGATGTCACTGATGTCGTTGTCCCTCGAGGTATTGCTTTGATCGGTGTACCCAAGGCTCAGGACGCTATCGAGCAGATCGGTACTGGCATCGATGTCGCTGAAGCTCTGAGCCGCATGATTGATGTCGGTGCTTGAGGATACCTCGGCATGATCCTTCGAGGCTTCTGTTTCACGACTCTCCTAATTTGCTTTCTCTTGCATCATTTGTTCTGTATCGTCATTTTAGCATGGAGTTCTGGTGGCTTTTCTGGTTTATTCGTTCCAGATAGAAAGGGGACTGCTACATCAAGCAGTGGGGGTGGCTTTCATGATGAAGAATGATCCTTTTGCGATCACTAAATAATGCGCTTTTTTCACAATAAAGTCTACAGTATTTTTGTGCTTAGATGCGGGTTCTCACTGCTAATCATTGACATTTCGAGTTCGTCTTGCGAGTCTTATCTATCTCTAGCCGTGACAGCCGTGATGGACATTCAATTCTACTTATTAGGCATTGGGCCATTTTTAGATCTCGGAGACAGTCGGACTGTTGAGTGAGGGCAAAGATTGAGGGAACAAAGATGCGTCTACATGGCTGGACAACCAGAGCATGTGCAAGAAACGTGTAGCACAAACTCCTATATTGCATTAGCTGTATTTAATGGTCAACAGATGAGTTGCCTTTGCTAGTGAGTATTTTTAGACTGGTCGTTGCTTCCGAAGGTGACCTGTTCGCAAAAACTGCCCTCTACGTCACCGAAAGCTTGTTCCTGCGGCGCACCTGCCGATCAGGGTCAACACGGACTTTTCTCCCACCTCAACTGTCTTTGACGATAGAGTGAACGAATCATCTTTGATGACTTTCGTGTCACCCCAAATCGGGTCTTTGTGCACTAAGAGTGTCAATGTGATAGGTCCAGAAGCAGAACTCGCAATGCCGAGTTGCAGTTGGCGCGGCGTTCATGAAGATCAGGGGGATGCAAATCTCCTGATGTCTTTCAACTTGTGCAACCAGTATTCATGTTCGGATGGGGCGGCTCCGTTATATACGCGTCCTACAGATTGGAGGGGCCCAACCTGATGGCGGCAAGATTCGTCATTGGCTGTCCTGTGTATAGTATCTCATTTCTGGCTCCTGCTATTGCTTCCTTAAACTGTGTTTTCCCAGTACATAATACTTTCGTCGCCGAGACCCCTTGAACCTTCGAGGACGTATACTCCTCTTTCACAGACCCTGGTTTTCTTAGCGAGTTGATGAGAGTAGCTGTCAACACACATAGCAGCCATGGACCGATCATCTGATGATCGTGGCCGTCGCCTGCGTTCGACTGTGAGTTTACCCGATCACTAGTTTGACGCAATTAGCTGATGTTTCCAAAAGTCCTCCATTCAACAAGACAACCTCGATGTTACTTCACCAAGCAGACAAAGCAACAATGAGGACTTACCGCCCCTTAACCCAGCCATCAACCGAGTCCGGACATTCAATCAAGCGGAATCATCACCCGTCAGTATGGGTATCCGCCGCCGGGGCACTACAACGAGTTTTCGGCCACGAAACAGATCTCTGGTCCGAAGGGCCACTGGAACGAGTTATGGAAATGAGGAACCTTTTAGTCTTGCTGGACCACAAGATGTTGTCGCCGTCGCCCACCAACATGTGCCTTACGTGGACCCAGGATATGCTCAACTGAACCCGGCATACACCCAACCTATGCATTCCAAGCCGGTATGGTCGTTGGCAAAGCCCTTGCCTAGGGTTGTGAGACCTGGCATGGTGCCCACAGCTAGCGAGATCAACACCATCAACCAGCAAGTGGATAATTCTGAGATCACTGAGGGCGATGTCGAACAAGGACCGGAACCCACACTTCGTCTTGGACGCGTATCTGACAAACTTCAAGCTGTTCGAGCAGAACGAGAACGCCGGTTCGTGGAAGGCCGATCTGGATCTAAGAGGGTTGGAAGGTCTAGAGCAGATTCTTCATCCTCAATGCACTCGCAACCCCAACCCCTTCGTCCTGAGACCAGTGCTCAACAAGGCAGTACTAATGTCGATGTCCTGCCCGATGTGGCCGAAGAACAAGAACCTGGCGACCATGAGCAATTCCCGGAGTATGACGAAACCTTCGACCCTGCTCAAGCTTACCGTCCAGCCTACCGCCCGACCTACGAGTTTGATGACAGCTTTTCTGCACAGACAGCCCTGGATAATGCTCCTGATGATGATGATCTCACCCTTACCAACGACAACGCCCTCGAAGATGAAGTTTACAATGCTCATACCCATTGGAGTGTTGTCCGCCACCGCTTCCGTCAAGAACTTGCAGAGTTCCTTGCTGTCATCGTCCAATTGACCTTAGGTTTCTGCGCCGACTTATCCATCACCCTTGGAGGCGAGGCGGCAAACAACGCCATCTTCGGCGATCTAGCCTGGGGCTTTTCTACCATGATCGGGATTTATATTGCTGGAGGTCCTTCAGGTGCTCATCTCAACCCCGTCATCACAATTGTCCTGTATATTTTCCGCGGCTTCCCTAAACGACAAATCGGAGGTTACATTCTTGCTCAACTACTCGGCGCTTTCATCTCTGGGTTTATCGCATATGGCATTTTCTCGACGCAGATCCACGCTTATCTCGCTTCTCCTGCCGATGGACTTACGGAGAGGGAAGCTACTATGAACATTCTTAACGCCTTCCTCACTGGTTTGCGCAATGACAATGTCAATCTAGTGACTGGCTACTTTACCGAGTTCGTGGCCACGGCGTTCCTGGCACTTGTTGTTCTTGCCCTCGGTGATGACACAAACACACCTCCTGGTGCTGGCATGACAGCTCTCATCCTCGGCTTCGTAATTTGTATCTTGCTGCAGGCATTCGGCAGTACCACTGGAGCAGCATTAAACTCTACCCGTGATTTGGGACCAAGATTGGCTCTCTACGCTTTAGGCTTCAACCCATCGTTGGTCTGGAAAGACAACTGGTGGCTCTGGGGTCCTTGGCTGGCGTGCATCCCCGGCGGCATCGTCGGTGCCACATTATACGATATTTGCATCTTTACTGGTGGAGAGAGTCCTATCAATTACCCCAGAAAGAGAGTTTGGAGAGCTGGACACAAAGCAAAGAAGAAGTGGGCTAGAAGACTTAGGCCTTGGAAGAAGGGCAAGGGCAAACAAGCCAAGGAGGAGCAAGCACAAGAGGCAGGGCAACAGAAACCGTAGATTTGATTTTGCTTTTGTTCATTGGACTTTCTGCATAGATTATAGAACTTATAGATTTACAGATGATACAGGCTATAGAAGAATTATAGATGGACTACTAGATTCGTTCCGGCATATCTCGTTATAATAACATCCGTCCACTCGGATCCACCTGCCAATGCAAACTTGTACACTGACAACGACAGGAGAAAAAAGAGTCTATAGCTATGCGATGAAGCACTGACCCTGTGCCTGGTTCAAATATCCATGACAGCCTAAGTCTGGCAAAAGCTCAACGAATGAATGTACAGACTCCAAGGCGGCAAGACAAAAAAAAAAAAAGCTCGTGTCCAGTTCCACCTCAGCGCCGGTAAAAAGATCCTGACAGGTGGCGACGAATTGCATAGTAGATAGCAAGGTATGATGCAGAAGCAGATGAGCATCGTAGTTTCAGTAAAAGGTCGTCCAGCTTGAGAGAAGGCCGCGTGCATTGATGATCACATGGAGACGTTCTTCAAAGCGGATGAGCCAATGTTTCACTCTTCTTCAAGAGCCAGAAGGCCCGTATCATGGCTGGGTGTTCGGGTCAGTCGAGCTTCTCGATCTCTCTAACATGTCTCTGAAGGGGACGTGAGCTAGAGTTGGTACTTCAAGAGTATCTCTTCGAGCTTGAGTTGTTATCGCTGGAGTAGCAAATGGAGGGGCTGTGATCGGATCTTGACTGTCGATTGATCTTGCTCCCATCGAATCAGACCGTGACCGCCGCTGTGCATAATCATGCGAAGATGGAAGAGGAGCTTGCATATCTGAAGCACGACTATCAGATCTGGACAGACGTCCTGAATTGTATCGTCGCTCTGTATCCATCAATCCTTCGGCTCGGAACTGTTCTCCTGGTATCGTCGGATATGTATTGGCATCACGTCTGAATGAAGATGTGTCGAATTGACCGTGGCCTGGAGTGCCCATGTAGTCGCCTATCTTGCTCATGAGCTGAGCGACTTTGCGACGACCTCCTCTGTCTGTTGGGATTGTACTAGCCATACTGCGTTGAGTACTGACGTGTGTCAAAGCATTAGACTTTTTCCTGCTGTGGTTGGAGTCGTGGGTATCTGGTCGAACACTTCCATGACAAGAAGAGTTGGAAATGGAGTTTTCGTCCGTGCTGTCGTGAGGCTGGCCAGAGTCTGAATCAATTTCTGGTTCCGCAGATGCTGTTGTCAAATATACAACGAGCGATCCCATTATAGCGAGTCCTGTACCAACGATTGGCGCCCACTGACCAATACTTGCTATGGGTTCGGTTTGATATCTCACTTGCCGACTGAACAAGTTTATCTCGCCAAGGATCAGGATAACTACCACGGCAAGACCAAACAATGGCGCCTCAATGACATTGAGAAAACGTTTGATCAGGCTGTTAATAGCCTTGACTTGCTTCTCTTCCGGATCCGGGGGCTTCTCAGTTTCCGCTGCAAAGCGTGACTTCCAGTTGATCTCGAGAATCTTGTTCCACATGGAAATGAGCGTCAGGATAGCTGGAATGCAACAAGCAGCGCAAAGGAGCGTCACGGTGCCGAAGGTCAACAAAGTCGGAGCTGGTATCACATATATGTTGTTTGCAGCATCCTTGCGCATTGGAGAGAAAGGCCCGTCATCTACAGAGCATCTCAAGGTACAGTTAGTTGTCTCATAGTCGAAGTTCGCTAGAGAGATAAGACTTCCGTTGCTGGATTTGCAAATTTGAGACTTGGTGCGAAAGAATTCAACAGCAAGACTCAGCAGACCTTGACGAGCGTTAGCACTCTGACGACATGTCATGGACAAAACAAGTCCTCCTACCAGAAAGGATCAGAACTGTCCAAAGAAATATGATATTTCGACCAGGGTCCATAAAGTATGTCCGTGAATTCTTGACGGTCGCTGGAGCTGCTAGAATGCCTAAGGAGCATAATTGAAAGGCTCCATAGATGTCCATATCTACGGCACCTACAGACCTTAGCTGGACAAGTCGTGTTGATCACAAAGCAGTCAACTTACCATCGACATGTAAAGCTGCAAGTGTTATACCATGGAGGGCAGCGACAGCAGGAAAGAGCAGTACGGCAGCCAAACAGGCATCTTTTATCCAATCCGCCTTTTTGCCAAAGACGCACAGAAAGACGAGAACATAGTAACTTCGTTGATTAGTGATGTATTCTCGACTTTTGGAGTAGTCACACTTACAGCACTCTTGACCCCGGACCGTACTGTCCACTAACTGGCCAAGCACATACTACAGGCAGTCCAGGACCTGAGCCGTCTGCTGTCGTCACGTTTCGTGAGAGTAGTTCTCCAATCGGGAATATCGTTGAGATGGGCGGCATGGCCAAGAATGGGTGACGCCGCCGAGGGAGGGCCGACACTCGTGTGGTTGAAGGTCGGCTAATTACTCCGCTTCCAGAAGAATATAACAAGCTCTCGAACGAAAACGATGATGTCCATCAAGGATATTGGAGGTGAAGAAAATCGCGGTTGAAACGATGATTGAATCCCATCTTCAAATGAGGCGCTGCGCCTTCGGGGCGTGGACAACTGGCTCGGGTACTTAGGCACTTTATGGCTGCCTTCTTTTCTGGGCGAAGGAAGGAAGGTACCCAAAGCGAGGCTGAGGCGCGGGGTCAAGACGATCCTCACCGGTTCCCTGCAAACAACAACCGTTGATTGCAGCATCGGCGCAGCCTTCGAGAAAGAGGGATAAGGTTGTCTCAGACGACAAGGACATTTAAGCATACGAGATTTGGGCGTGCTTCCGCCACACAGACACTCAGCCCCCTTCGTCAGCCAAAACACTTTTGCAGTATATCCTGTCGCATCGCGCCAAATAATGTCGTCGCGACGACGTGAGTAGGGCACAAATCCTTTCTTTGTATCGACTTGAATTGTGTTTCGCGCTCCTACCAAGATCGAACATGGCCGAAGATTTGGACACTAGTCAGATCAAGGAATGGCGGTCCATTGTCACACTCATCGTCTTTCTGTTAACCAGTAAGTCGTCGTCTTACCAGTATTCAGTTATGCGTCCTTGCCAACTCGAATTTAGATATCGTGGTTCTCTTTCCGTTCAAGGTCCCGATATACGTACCGCGGACATTCTACAATGCCATACTAAACGCGCTGAGCGCCTGTCGCATAATACCTAAGCGACCTAGAAATGCGCAGGACAGAGGCAGCGACAGGGCTTCAAAATTCGTGCGCTTCAATTTTTCGATGAGTTTTTCGACCGCGCCATTGATTGCAGACCTCTTTTTGTTGGCGATCTCGGCTATTGGGCGACAAGAAGTGCATGATGGCACCGTCGGCGCTGACAACATCAGTCCTATCGACATCATGGTGTTCTTCGTTACTCTGGCTTATATCGCCATCTCCATCGATGCATCCGGACTCATCAGATTCTTGGCTTTCAAGGTGCTCCAAAAAGGAGGCAAAGTAGGCCACTTACTCTTCTTCTACCTATACGCATTCTTCTTCAGTCTGGGTGCTTTTGTTGGAAACGACCCAATCATCTTGTCTGGCACGGCTTTCCTGGCATACATGACACGAGTCTCCAGTAACATAGACCACCCCAGGGCATGGATGTATGCTCAGTTCTCCATTGCAAACATTGCTTCAGCCATCTTGGTCTCATCAAATCCGACAAACCTGGTACTTGCCGGAGCCTTCCAAATCAAGTTCATTGTGTACACCGCCAACATGATTGTTCCCGTTGTGGTTACTGCAATTGTGCTATTCCCTTTCTTGCTGTACGTTGTTTTTGCAAGTCCACAGCTTATCCCGCTCTCGATCGAGATGGAAACATTGTCAGACGAGGCAAAGAGTAAGAAGCCAGTCAATCCCAACATTCCCCAGGCAAAAGGAAAAGAACCGGAAGATGATGAAGAAGAATCTCCTGAGAACAAAGAGCTTGCACTTGCTGAGATCATGAATCCATTCTTGGACAAGGGTGGTGCGACTTTCGGATCTGTTGTCATGGCAGTCGCACTTATTACACTGCTCGGAATCAACGCGGCCAGTTCGGCTATCGGCGAGCACCCTGTATTCTGGATCACGTTACCGGCCGCGACTATCATGTTCTGTTGGGACGTTGCTTACGGATGGAGACATCGCAAAGAGACCCGCGAGATTGCTAAGAGACGTCAAGCGGAATTCAGCCAATCACAAGAAGAGCGAGCAAATAGTGAACAACGAACCAGCGTCATGTTGCAGACTCCAGGGGCTTCAAGCTCGTTCGTCCATGTCGTTCCACCTACGCCTGAGGTTGCACGCTCTGAGAAGAGTATTCGTTCAGTGGCCGACATGAGCCCAAGTGCTGGCTCGGCGATATCACCTGAGGAGCGAGACTCGACGAACAACGGACCCAGGGACAAAGAAGCATCAAGATACGCATCACACGAAACAGATTACTCACACACCGAGAAGCTCGACTCAGCATTGGACAAAGCTATCGATGAGGAAAAGACACGATCTTACAAGGACGACACGCACAACCAGCCTACATCTCTGGTCTCATTCATTGCAGCCAAGTATAGATGGTTGCAAGAGACTTTCCCTACCGTCATGGCAGTCTTGGGTCATCTTCCACTCAAGCTCGTCCCGTTCGCACTTTCAATGTTCGTGCTTATTCAGGGACTCGTCACCAAAGGCTGGGTACCTGTATTTGCGTATGGGTGGGATCACTGGGTGTCCAAAACAGGCACCATTGGTGCAATTGGTGGGATGGGCTTCCTAGGTGTTATCCTTTGTAACGTGAGTCCTCAAACAATGACCCGAAATTGTCTAGGACACTATACTGATCAACTTGTAGTTTGCAGGAACAAACATCGGCACGACCATCTTGCTTTCTCGCGTCATCCAAGCATGGCAGCAGATCCACATCAATAACGGCATACCCATCACCGACCGCACTTTCTGGGCAACTGTCTACGCCATGGCACTGGGCGTCAATTATGGTGCTTTCAGCATAGCATTTAGTGCATCTTTGGCTGGTCTGCTGTGGCGAGACATCCTCTCCCGCAAGCATATTCATGTCAGACGATTAGATTTTGCACGCGAAAATATACCCATCATTGCGGTCGCAATGGTGGTCGGTTGTGCTGTCTTGGTCGGTGAGATCTATATCATAAGAGACAACTCGCCGTACAAAATGGGTTGAAGATGTGTGTAGAAAATCTCACCTCTGGAGTTTTTAGATTGTACATAGAACTAAAAAGGATGTATACTTCGAACGACACCCAAGCACATCAATGGACAATTCGACGTGCACGAACGTTACGGAAGTCACGAACGTCTAATGCGTGTTGTGGAAAGGAACAGTGGCCATGTCAAACGCAAACAACTTTGGTCAACGGAGAGCTGAGTTTGGGATTGTGGTTTCAAGGCTGCTCAGGGTTCATAAAGTCGTTATTTGCCGCTTCGCTGCCAGTAGACGAACCTCACGAGCCCTCGACGACCGTCTCTAGTGCACACCCGACTGCTACCGCCATTAGTATTGTGGGCACACAGAGCAACAAACCTGTTTCGGCTTCAAAGAAGAACACAGCGTCGTTGATTCTACCTATTGTAACAACCACTCTGGCTCTTATGGTCCAATTTGATTACATGAAACTTGTATAGTGTTCAGAAGGCACAAGAACAAGTATAGGCAGAAGAAGATCTGATTTGTTTTTATATCCAGACATTAACCCTCATGGTCCATACCAAATCTCATCCTTAGAATACGAAAAAAAGGACATCAACAATCCAGCGAAAAACGGAGTCAACACAAGAAGTGTTACAAGAAGAGAAATTGTGAAAAAAGAAACCGTCAAAAAAGTGAAGAACTATCATTCTTCGGGAGAGACATTAGAAGTTAGGATTATCATCAAGCTCTGATTTAGAACAAGAAGATGGAGAAGACGGCGGCGGCAAGGGCAATGACACCACCCTGGACGCTGACGACGGAACCAGCACCGGTGAAGGCCAAAGGCTGGGAAGCGCTGGCGGTGGCGTAGGCAGAGGTGGTCATGCCGGAGGAAGCACCGCTCTTACCGGCGGGGCAGTTGACACCGTTGCACTGAGCAGGGGCGGACTGCTGAGGAATAACAGTGTTGATAGTGATCTTGACAGTGGTAGAAACTGCGGGAGAAGCACCAGCAGGGCAGTTGACTCCGTTGCAGCCCTGAGTGGCAGTGACGGTGGAAGTGGCCTGAGCAGGAGCGGGAGGAGCAGTCGAGAGAACGACGTATTGAGTCATGGTGGAAGTGGCGCAAGCGTTGCAAACAGAGACGACCTGCTGGACGTAGACAACAGACTTGCTGGCGTTGTCACCAGTCATAACAGGAGTAGCAGCGCTGGAGCTCTGGGTGATGTGGGTAGTGTATGTCTCGGTGATAGTGGTGGCCTGAGCAGGAACCATCTGGGTACCGCTAACAGTAACAGTTTGGCCAGCGGGGCACTCGTAGACTGCAAAGGGGTCAGCTTCTTGCTTCGATCATATCGTTCTTTCGAAAACTTACCAGTGCTGGTAACAACATCCATCTCAGTAACGGCACCGGCGAGAGCAGTGACAACGTTGGCGTTAGTGGTGTAAGGGCACTGGTAGACGGTCTCGGCGACAGGGATGATGGTGGTGACGGTGGCGGCGTTTTGGCCGGCTCTGAGAGGGCAGTCGGTCTGGGAAGAATGGTTAATAGAGTTTTCATCTAGAAAATGTTGATCAAGACGTACGACAGTAGGAGCGCAAGAGTAGATTGTAACAGTTGAAGCCGAGTAAACTGTGGCGGTAGTAAGAGCGCCTCCATTGCCGCCTGCAGGCATGCTGGTAACAGCGCCGGTTGCAGGCTCAGTAACGGTGACGGGGCCGGGGGCACCGTTGTTCTCAAGACGAAGAGCAGTGTCAAAGGTCTCGGCGACGATGAGTTCGAAGGTGCTGAAGAAGGTACAGGCGGCGCTGTTCTTGTCGAAAGTCGTGGCGACGCAAGCAGTTTCGGTGGAGCAGATATCAATGCAGTTGCTGATGCTAGTGGGAATGGTAGTAGCTTGACGCTTTCTGGGGGCTTCAATGATCAGAACATCACCGACAACACCTTGACTGCACTCAACAACGAAAGCAACATCAAGGGCAGAGTTGACAACATCTCCGTTGAGCTTGGGGCAGATTGAGTCCTCGAGAGAGGTAGCGGTAGCACTTGCCGAAGAGCTAGTGCTGGAGGCAGTGGAGTTGGAGCCAGCAGTACCGGTGGCGGTGCTGTTGCCAATGCGCGACTCGACAGTAGCGAAAGTAATGCCAGGAGCAGCAGTGCGGCTGTTCGAGGCGATCGAGCTGTAGTAGGTGCACGAGCCGTCATTGCTATCGAATGCTGTGCCAACGCAAGAAGAGTTACCAGCACATGCACCAAGACAGTCGTTCAAAGTCTGACCGGCTCTCTTAGCGAGATCAATCTCAATGTCAAAGGTGATACCAGAGTAGGTAATGTTGATCTCGAGCTTGAACAAAATTCCGTCGAAGGTGATCAAGGAGGGAGTCGAGGTGGCAGATGCAGCAGCAGAGCTTCCAGATCCAGATGCGCTGGTGGCAGAGCGGGAAGCAGAGCCAGCAGATCCAGTAGCAGATCCAGAGAGCTGAACGCTGCTAGTCTTGGACATGGAGGCCTTGGTGCTGGAGTTGTGGTAGAGAGTGCTCGAGAAACCAGCAGACTGGCTCATGGAAACACTGGAGCTGGTACCATTGCCAGCAGCATTGACAGGCATACCGTTACGAGAGGTAACCGTGGCGAAGTCGGTACCCTGTTGCGCCATTGGTTGGCCAGAGATGCCAGAGAAGAAAGTGCACTCGGAGCTGCTCTCGGTGTACGAGGTTCCGACACATTCAGTGCTCTGGGCACAAGTGTTGAGGCACTCGTTCAAGTCAGAAGCACGAGCTCTCTTGCCGAGGCCTCTCTTCGCAAGGGTGATCTTACTACCAGCGTAGGTAACATCAGTTTGAACCTTGAAGGCAACCGGACCATCGGGACCCTGGATGATAGGCTGGGCTCCGTTGGTGTCTATGCAGGGGTTAGCTGTGGGATTGATAAACAATGCTCAGAGAGTCTCACAGGTAGGAGTTGCGGAAGAGGAAGTCGAGGTTGCACTGCCAGAGACCATAGGAGTAGTGGGGATTGCAGAGCCAGTGGTAGACATCATGGAGCTGGTGAGGTCCACAGAGCTGCTGGTCGACGACATCGTACTGTTCGTTGGGATCGATGAGTTTGGGTACTGAACTGCTGCTGCTGAGCCCATGAAGGCAACAGCCATAGTAACGAATGTGTTCTTCATCGTGCTGATGAGTTAGTAGGAGGTCTAAAAGAGTGACTGAGTTGGAGTGGATGATTTCGAGAATGATAGTTGGAGCACTGGATACTTACACAAAAGTTCTTGCCATCTCGATCTTGCCAATGTTCAGACCAGGAGTATGTTGACAGCTGAGAGAGTCTGTGGCGTGCCGTCCTGATGCTAAACGAACGATGTGGCATACCGTTCTCATTTCCCACCATGGGGTAGACAGTAGCTGAAGGTCTGGGGCACGCTTAAGGTTGTTGGTATCTGGGTAACCGCTAGACTTGACAAGCGCCAAACAAGCACTTGCACGTTGTTACCTTACCTAGAGAGGCGCACAGGTTGTCATCGCTTCTCTTCATTCCATGTTGCGTACTACACTGCTTCACAACATGTATGGTTATTGAATGCTCAATCCTACATGCTGTCTGCTTCTCTGACATTTGACATTGGGGATCCCTGCTCGGTTCTCGTATAATCAATTTCATGCATCATGGCAGTTTGTTGATCGCTCTATACCCCTCGCAAGAGAGTTCACAGCCCCGTTGTATTCTGTTGTTGTTATTGTTACCATGCATCAGTCAACCTAAACGTTACGGTTGCTATATCAAGCTCTGCCGAAACTCCCGTGCAAAGGCTGTGCACCACTGAGAACTTGTTGTTGGCTTCGTGGTATGGGGGAAATTAGCAATGGGCGTATTAGGATGAAGGCACACCGTTGGTACCTTGATAAAGGAGTGCGATGGTAAGAGAGGAGAGCCATAGTGCGGTGGTTGCTTTCCAACGGCGAACGGGCGAGGTCGTGAGATCATCGAGTTCTGGTATAGGAAGACAAAGTGGGTATCTTCGATGAAATTCTCGAGGTGCCTGCGGACCAGTGTCTACCTAACTATCAAATAGCTCGCTGTCAGCTGACAACAGCACTTCCAGAAGACTGCATGATCTGCAGGAACAGAAGACAGTGCTGCTCTTGAAGAAGGGGATGGGGAGGAGGCTGGGGTGCGGCCCGTTGCGACGTTTTGCCGATCCCTCATTTGAACCGTTCTCCTTCCTCGTGCATCATCATCACCTCTCACAATCTCGGCAAGAAGGAGCCTGTGACGGCGGCCTGCAGACCATGTTCTGTTTCCAACACAGTATACAGTTCAGTGTTTTGAGGCGCAATGGAACGGCAGAGCATGTGGTTTTTTGGCAGGCATGAGCAAACACTCGCACGCTTGCATGCTACGTCCCCCGAGGGGCAAGCTGCAAATCAACAGTCAAATAGTGGGAAGGAACTGGTGGGAAATAATTGCATGTACATTCACATCGATTCGATCGCTAATCCGCCAACGCTTCGCTATAGGTACTCAAACATTTCTCAGCTCCCTTCTCAGCTCTTGTCTTTTTCCAAATCTCCACCTCGCCGCCGCCGTGAACGATGCCGACCCGCATAGTGGATAGTAAGTTATGAGCTGCGTTGGAGTGCTGGTATACACCACCATTGAATATCGCGGTGGCATCCTTGCCGATAGCAGACATTATCATTGCCTTGCCGCCAGGGTGCTCTTTGATGAAAGGAGCTATATCGTGTATCACGCCACCAATCGCCACGAGAGCCTGACCGTTGCTTCTTGCCTGAGCGACAAATTCATCCCAGCTGAACACAGGAAGCTGTGAGATGGGAATGCCCCAATCCAACGTGGCTCGCTTCTGATCCACTTTCTTCTGTAGCTGCTGCAGACGGCCCTTTTCGATCTCATTCTGTCGGAATTGCTTAAGATCATAGGCGAGTCCGAGTTTTTTCCATGACCAGATCATCCATTTCGTGGGATCATACTGCCACCATTCGATGGCGTTTCGATAGTCTGACGGAAATTCGTGGTGGAAATTGTGGTATCCTTCGCCGAGTGTGACAAGAGCTGTGATAACGTGGTCGCGAGGTGAGTTCCGATCGTCGAATGGCTGCTCGCCCAGCCAGTGAGCTAGTGAGTTTACGCAGAAGGTCGCCTGTTGGATAAAGGCTGTGCGAAGGATGCCGGCGTACACAAACCCGCCAAACCAATCGCCCCATCCCAGACCACAAACAAGAGTCGGGACGATGAGGGCCATAGTCAGGACCGACTTGATATAATGTTTGTGTTGCCACACGACAACCGGATCCTCGTTCAGATCGCTGATGTCTGATCGACCGATTCTCTTCGGATTTTGCTTCATAACCATCCAACCCATGTGGCTGTACCAGAAGCCTTTCTCAACAGAGTAAGGATCTTTTGATGTGTCTGTGTAACGATGATGGGCCCGATGCCCTCTTGACCACCATCTGATACTTCCTTGAGCAGCACCAGCCCCGGCAGCTGCCAGATAGATTTTGAGCGGAAGGGTTGCTTTGTAGCATGAATGTGCCCAAAGGCGATGGTATCCTGTTAACTTGTCAGTATGTTTCAAAGTCTACCAATCTCTTCGTGCATGACACACCAGCTGTAATGCCTGAACCACACATGACATAGTAGATAACAGCGAAGATCCCTGTGTAAAGGCGCAACGGAGTCTGAGTGGCTGCAATGAGGCCAAGGATGGGTACGACGATGATAAAGTAGATGCTCAACCAGTCCAGATGCTGGTACCAATTACTCCATGTCATTGGTAGCTCAGTGATGTGAGGCTTTTTCATGTCGTAAGCTCTGGACCTGAGTGGTTTGTAGTCTGTAGTACCGTCAGAAGAGGCGACAGTCTCCTGAGCCTGTGCCTTCGAAGTCATGGTGACTGATGGAAAGCGTCAAACGAGGCGAATCAAGGCTTACTACCTAGAAAATAATTTGAAAGGCGAATACTAGCATCCTTATAATTATTCAACTTGGGTCGCAAAGAATCATCCGAGGATTGATGGTCTGGGTCCATGCAGACCCCGTGTGGAGACACATCTGGTGACTGATCACCCTTTCGAGGCGATGTCGCGACTTCGTTGGGAAGCGCGTTAGAATCAGAGAGTCAGTGAGCTCAGGCAGACGAGTTCTCGTCCTCGTCATTGGAGCCTCACTACCTGTGCATCTCGATGGCACGATTTAACCCGGACACAATGTGTGATTAGGAAGAGCTTGCGAAGAACAATGCAGAGGGAGAACTTGGCGGAGGATTGAACATCTTGACCCGTGTACAGGTCGCGAGGATTGCCTCTTCAAGTAAGTCCACGATGTCCAGACGTCGCGGAACAACAATCTCACTGGTCGACTTCGTGCTTGAGACGATTATCTTCACGGACCCCAGTTCTTTGTATGTCGCATAATCCCAAGGAGATTCGAACATGATGCAACCTGGACACAGTCCTACCGATGTTTAGCCGAGAAGTTGTCTACATGGTGACCCTACCGAAATATCGTGTCTGATCTCATCAACTCCCACTTCGAAGGTCGTTCTCAGAAATTGGTCACAGTCTTTCTGAGACAGACAAAGATTTTCGGAGTAATAAGTTGAAGTGCCATACAAAGGTGTTCCAGATCTCTGTACCGCAAAGTGTAGTTTTGTCAATGAAGGAGGAGGTTTAAGTGAGAACAGCGTCTGAGCAGGTCGTTGCACTTTTTAACTCTTGTTGAAACCGCTTTCCTGGGAGAACAATTTCCGAATTCAAGTCATGTTCTTTTTCATATGCACTACCAGTTGCCAATTATACAGACATCAGGACTTAGAGAATATCTGGTGATTGTTGTTGGTGGGTCAGCACATGTGCTCCGGGCGGCTTTTGTTTCGAACGAGATCGGGGTCCGAGCAATCGGGGCGGGGTTGGAGCCAAACACCAACCTCCATGGATCTCTTCTCATCGTCGGACAATGTATGCATGCAATTGTCGCGGTCGCAGGATCCGTGACGCAGGAACAGCGGACGGCAGAGTGAGATGCCTGTCCAATTCGTGTACTATATCTGTAGGTGCCACCCACCCGGAAGTCGCTCTTGTTCAACATCAATTGCGGCTTCCCTAACAAGTTACTCTAGAGACGTACCTACTCTTACTCCACTGCGACTTTCTCATTCTCGACGACGATCCAAAGTTTGTCTTTATAGAAATGGCGGCCCCTCGAAGACTTCTCTCCTCAATCCCACCTGCGACGCTTGGAGTTGCAGCGGCAGCTGGTGCTGGAGTGGTTGCTTTCAACATGTCAAGATCTTCTGCAAGCCCAGCAGAACCACAGAAGAGTCTTGGGCAGAAGCCTATCTTTCCAGCAATGGGATTTGTGAGCCTGACATTGGAGGAAGCACGCATGATCAATCATGACACCAAGGAGCTGAAATTCAAAGTGCCTGGGGATGGAGCCATCAGCGGACTGAGCCCTGTGTGTAAGTGTCTCTTGCAGGAGCAGGAAGCCGGAGACACATGAGCTGATATGAAATAGCATCGCTCCTCACCCGCCACACAGCTCCTGGCTCTTGGTTTCCAACCTTCCGTCCATACACACCCATCAGCACACCAGACAGCCCATATATAACCCTCCTTGTCAAGCAGTACCCGAACGGCCGTGCTTCGACACATATCCATAATCTTACTCCTGGCCAAACGCTGAACGTCAAGGCCATTCCTGAATTCTCCTATAAGCCCAACCAGCACAAGCACCTCGTCCTCGTGGCCGGCGGCGCAGGCATCACACCCATGTTCCAGGCGCTGCGCACTGTCCTTGAGAACCCTGAAGACAAGACTCGTGTAAATTTGATCTATGCCAACAAGACCGAAGCAGATATTCTCATTAGGAAAGAGCTCGATGCTTTGGCAACTCAGCATTCCGACCGTTTCACGACAACATATGTGGTCAATGATACCGAATCTACGGACAAGAGCCTGGAAAAGGGTTATGTGACTAAGCGGATTCTTAGCAAGGTGCTACCTGCCCAGTTGAACGGCGATGATGTTAAAGTCTTGGTATGTGGTCCGCCTGCTATGTTGGACGCGATTGCCGGTGCCAAGGGCGGTCGTGGTTGGACGCAGGGAAGGCTAGGAGGCATACTGAAGGATCTGGGCTTGACGGAGAAGCAAGTGCATAAATTTTAGAGACAGATGCTGTCATGTCGCGTTATCTTTCTAGCACTAGCAAATCTTAACCTTAACCACAAAAAGCTTTTATCATTGTGTATCGTAGGAATATTCTATGGGTATCTAAGCGCGACAGAGAAGATTAAAATGTATTGGATCAGGTTTTTGACTCAGCATCGAATCTCGTTCAGAATCTGGAACGAAGATGTCAAGGCTTTTGAATCACCTTCGTACTGGCACACAAAAAGATCGTACCGGCCTTCAGCAACGACCATTTTGCTGGTATCTTTGTGGAACTCGGCCAAAGGACTCAGGCGGCAGGTGATACAGATCTCATTGCTTTCACCAGGAAGGATGATTTCTTTTGCAAAGCCGATGAGACTTTTGGGAGGAACTACGCTCGGCGTGGCACTGTCCCTTCGTGTTAACCTGCTCGAAGCATAGATCTGAATCACTACTGCTGAAGCACGGTTGCCAGTGTTCTTGGTATTGACCGTCATGTCAAACGTGGACTTGACAATTGGATGCGAGCACCAGAGTGAATTGAGTGAGAAGGTGGAATAGCCGAGGCCGAATCCAAAAGGATAGGCAGGTTTCTGTTGTTCCTGTCGTAGTCTTCTGTAGCCCCAGTGGTCGTCGTATCTGATTTCGTGGGAAGATGCATTTCGTTCTTTGTCCAGTAGTTGATATTCCGTGTCGGGAAGCACAAAGGGCAGTCTTCCAGATGGCTCTTGCTCGCCAAAGAGAACGTCTCGCAAGCCCCTGCCGTATTGTCGGCATCCATAACTGGAGAAGAGGATGGCACTTGCTTTTTGTCGGATACACACAGGAATTGTGACACTCGTGCCTGCTTCAATCACCACCACTGTTTTGTGGCCAGCGACTGACAAGACGGCTTTGGCCAGTTCAACATCCTTAGCATGGAGCGTGAGATGACTGCGATCCCGGAAACGGGACATTCGACTGTCGCCACTTTGCTTGCGAGATTTGAAGCGGTCGAAGAAGCGGCCGCGCTTCTGTTCGTTTTCGGATTTACTCGAGGGGCGTAAGAATAATACAACACAGTCGGCATCCATGACAGACTTTGTTGCTTTGCCAGCCTCACTTCCGTCCAGGTAGTCAACAGCTAAATTGTGGCGCTTCCGGAGCTCCTCAAGAGGACTGGTGCCAGGAGGACCTGCAGCATGGGAGGCTGCGTCGAATTGATATGCAGAGCTGACCCTATCCGCCAGTTCTCCCAAGACTGTCATCTTGATCCGGGAGGTTTGGTTTAATGGCAGAAAATCGCCATCGTTCTTGAGGAGCACCATCGACTCAGCAACTGAACGTCTAGCAAGACCGATGTGACGCTGGCATCTGATCACCTCGGGGTCCGGTGATGGCATCTGAGCCGCACGGCATTGATAACGGAGCTGTGCTTTCAAGATTCGGTCAGTCATAGCTTCAATGTTTGACCAATCCAAGGTTCCATGTTCCAGAGCGGATTCAACTGCGGCAGTCCTTCCTGACTTGAAAGGCATCTCAATGTCCAGACCTGCTTTGATGGACGCCGGTCCATTCTTCACCTGCCATGTGCAGTCGCTAGCCACAATCAGATCGTTCAAGAGCCAGCGTTGCCTCAAAGTCCCGTTCAACAAGCATGGGTTCTCCGTACATGCTACGCCATTGACGCGGTTTCCAGCAGACACTACAATTTCAGCTCCACTCTCGTAGAGGACATCTTTGAAGTGCTGTAGGAAAAACTCATTCATGGTCTTTTCGTCGATTGTGATACTGCTATCTTCTCGAAGAATTTCCATAGAGTTCATTGCGAAATGTCGGACGGCTACCATGGCATGTTTTCGTACGCCCTTTGCTGCTGCATTACCCATGCGGCTGATGACGAAAGGGTCTTCTCCATAAGATTGGTGTGCTCGTCCCCAGTCTGACCGGCGTGTAACATTCAGGCATATTCCACTGTAGACGTTACCACCATGAGCTCGTAATTCTAAGCCGATTGCCTCTCCCTATAGAACTTGTGAGCCTAGACACCATTCGAACATGAGTGATACACCTACGATGAGTTCTTCCAGTTGTGTATTGAATGACGCCGCCCGACCCAAAGGACTGGGAAATTCGGTAAAGAAAGATTGTTTCGCGCCATCAACGATATGAAAGCCAGGCACGCCAACGCTTGATATTACTGACGCCGGACATGGTGACGCTTTGTTGTCTGAAAGGTATTGTGTAAGAGAGCGGCCGCCTTGGAGTAAAGCAAGATGTTCATCGTCAGTCATAAGATCAGACAGCGAAGCAGCCGCCTCGTCGAGTGTTGTAAGACCATCATTGATCTGATTCACGAAGCGGAAGAATTGGGGCTGCATTGTGTTGATAGTTGATGTAAGCCACAAACATCCATGGGGCGCCCATGAGTCTTTGTATCTCGAAACATTCTGGTCATCTTCTCTGACTACCTAGTAGACATGCTTTGACTTTACCATGATGCTTTATCAGCCCTATGATTCAGGACAAAAAAGCCGAGCACAACGTGCGATAGGCCCAACAGCTAGGTATGACATACAACTCTAATTGCTATACTGGACATCTTATTGCTCTGAGAGTAATCAGTATTCAGATGACGGTGCTGGCCGATCTTGCATGACAATTCGCAAGTATGATGGTCATTCGTCCGTAGCAGAGATTTTTGCTGATCATCGCTGACGGAAAAAAGGCTGTAAGCCTGTATGTTCATCAGCAAAAGTTTTATCGTTGTCAAATTGAGTTGTTTAAAGTTGTAACGGCGATCTCGAACAAGACGTTGTCAGGAACCCAACAGCCGGACTACAATATGCGTCTTCCGATGTCAGACAAGCCCTTTCCACAGCTCCGGTCCGGTCTAAGACAACCGAATGTGACCTCAGAGGTCCGTTCTTGGTTTGAGTGCGAGATGTAATTGCGCCATCCATGTATGGAGTACGGGACCGAGGAGCGTTGCCTCGCCAAGCACAACCGCTATGTTGGCCCTATAGGACAAAATTCATGGACCATTCTGCTTCCACCTACCTCACTGTCTCAAAAGTTCTTCCTGTCTTTTAAGCGAACATTCTCGGGGCTTGGGATGCGGTGATGCGGATGTCTCTACCCAACTTTAACTTCTCGTATACACATACATTTTCAACCACAACGGTGTTGTTGTACGGGATGCTGACAGTTTTGGCGTTCATCACAGTCCCAATGCACGCTGTGTCGGAGTTGAACATTACCTTTGGACGCGGGGATTGACTTCCATGCTACAAATGCATGGGACTTGACTAGAGACACATGCGACTTCGGTTCTGCGCATGCGGCTGTCGAGCAAAACAACAATTGCGAGGATTCGGAGGCATGTATGACAGTACGAGGCTGATCCATATCTGGGAAATCGTTGCGCGCAGTTGGATTCCGTCTGTCTTATTGTACGAGCAAGCCCTATCCAGCGCAGCTATTGATCCATTGCTATAGCAAGAATGACTCAACGGTCGTAGCCCTAAAGCATCTGGAATCGGTTTCCTGGTGACATGCTTGAACCGACCAGCAATATCTTCGTTCTTGCAGTCGCAACACACAGGTTCAGATTGTAATCAAACTAATCTGCCAGCACGTACGGCCACAGTCAGCTGAAAACTGGGCATCCCGTCCGCTCTGCCATACATAAGCAGTTGAACGGCAGATTAGTACTACGGTGGGTGACCACGTGGGAATCCCTGCTGCTGTACGTTTTGCTTTCAACGTCTCCTCTTTTTGTAATAGAAGCATATGTCAATGTTTTGACGCATTCCAACAATGGTTCAAACAGGGCCTTTGGAACGATGGCTGAGCTTGACGTCTGTCGGGGTTTCTTTATTTTGTTTCTCCATTCTTTCAGCTTCGACCCATAAAACAGACTGCCTACAACTTCATGGTACTCGGTCAAGCGGCGTACTTGCATGACATGAAGTCGAGAACAGGACGCAAAAGCGGGGATACAGGAGCTATCCTTGAGCTTCACCTTGGGAGGCTTGAACTTTAGCCCCAAAATCATGCGGGGTATGTTCATGGCGGTTTCCTCGAACCAGAACACATAAAAGGCTGGAGCATTCTGAGTTCGAGATATGAGCCTTTGAAGATCAATTGCTTCTAGTCGGCAGCCTGCATTGAACAAGAATGCTATCATCACTTTCTACTATCGCACTTTCTTTGCTCACCCTCTCTTCATGCACATACGCGTCTACCTGTAACATGTCTGGAAACCTAACGAGCACCAATGGGATTGGTAGCACACCAATGCAGGTAAGAAGTCCACCAAGCTCACTAATTACTGTCATTGACATCCCAACCAGCGCCATTACATTTCTGCGACCCAAGCCTCAGCTATAGTAGAAGCAGCAGCCAAAGCAGCGGCAACTATCGTACCCCAAAACATCGCTGTAGTAGACCCATCAGGCCTTCTAGTGGCTTTCCTCCGCATGGACAATGCATACCCAGGCAGTATTGATATCAGCATTAAGAAAGCCAGAACGAGTGTTTTGTTCAACGGGGTCCCTAGCGCTGGTCTCTATAATCAATCTCAGCCTGGTCAACCTTTGTATGGGATTGAGGAGACCAATGGAGGGTTGGTGATCTTTGGTGGTGGACTGCCCTTGGTGAAGGATAACTATCTGATCGGCGCTATTGGTGTGAGTGGAGGCACGGTCGCTCAAGATGTTGAGGTTGCGCAAGCTGGTGTTGACTGGTTGACAAGCTCCTGAGCTTGCAATCCAAGATGGCCTTCATCTTGGTATGACATGATGCAAGATTTTGTTCATTTATTCTTCTTTTCTGTGTTCGAGACAGGCTTTTGTGCTTTAGCCATATCGAAAAGCTGGAGCATGCCGCTCGCAGTTCCTAGTATGATAACAACAATATCAATGACATGTATTGCCCACCAGATGTGCTGTTTCCCAATTGCACAAGTAGCATACTCGAACTTCCACATGCCCTCTTTGGCGTCGAACCATGCAGAGAGCAGACCGGCGTTTCCGCCGTAGTCACCCATCATGCTACGGACGGTGACCTCTCGGATACCGTTCATGGTTGTATTAGGTGCAGGGAACTTGGTAGAGATCCATTGTTCCTCTTCGGTATCGGCGCGATCATGCCATGTATCACATCCCTCGTGGTCGTGGCCGTTGAGCACAATGCCCGCGCGCTTATTCCCGTTTGGTAGGTTGAACAAACCGTTCAGTATCTTGTCGCTTGACTGTCGACTAAGATGATTTTGCTCGCGAATGCCACCACCATGGTGTGGTTCAAAATAGCTGAAGAAAGGAGGATCAACACAAACACCGGCTGGCTTGTACAAGGGCACATGTGTGAGCAAGAGAACTGCATCCTGAGGGTTGCGTGCGTTTGTATCATCAATGACACTGTCCAGATAGTCGTGCGTTGCGCGATGCAAATCTTGGTTCCAAGCAGGGTTGTCCAGGTTCATCGAATTGAGGTTGACCAGGTGCAACTCGGTGGTAGGATTTGACGACAGATTTGAAAAGGGGATTCTGATGCGCCAGTTGACTTGTCCGAAGGCACGTTCGAACCGGTCGATACGGTGATGATCAATATCACCAGCGTATCCGATGTCGTGGTTTCCAGCCACGTTGAGCAGAGCTGGCGCCTGGCTGGCATTCAAATTGTCCACGAAGTCCCAGACAGGTGTGTCTCCAAGCTCTTCCTCGGGCGTCTCATGTTTCCAGAAGTGAGCACCGACGAAGACTCTGTTCCAGAACCTGTCGGCTCGTCGGTCGAACTCATGGTTGCTTATCCACTGGCTGCCCAACAGGTCACCCAGCACAGAGACGTGGGTCGGCTGAGTCCACCATTTGGTGGTGCGGTATATATGTGCGAGATAGTAATCATTACCCAGCAGGTCTAGCTTCTTTCTCTGCGTCTGCAGCAATCGTGGAACATCTCTTGTGATTATGTCCTTGACGGTCCGTTGCAAGGTTCGTGCTGCGACGTCTAGTGGTTCGGTCCACAAGCGGTTGCGCAGACCTACGAGGCCGGGGAACAGAGGCGCGTTAGGGTCGGGGAGAGAAGTGTCTCCTTCCAATTGCGGGTCGCCAAGTGCGAGGAGTCGAAAAGGTGCTATGCCATGTTCTTGAGGAGCCGGAAAGTGGCAGTTCTGGAAGGCGGGATAGAGATAGAGCCAGATGGTCGAAAAGATGGCAGGGACGATCAAGGCGAGGAAGGCGCTACGCACCACGCCCGAGAGTCGCATTGATACGGCATTATTGTTGATGTTGAACGAGCTGAAACGAGTCGTGCTTTCCCAAGAAATTGCTTCGGACTTTGCAGTTGACAATCTCCGTCAACCATGGCCTACACTTTCAAATCATCACGAAGCAAGTTAACACCTTCCTCAATCTGCATACGAACATCTTTTTGCGACACAAGATTATTGTATAAGTTGTTTCATGCGACAACTTAACCACATTGATCTATGAGCCTATCAAAAAGGGTTTGTCGGCCATGCCCTCGTATTGAAGAGATGTACCATTTGAACCGACCACGTGCAGGCTGCGAGTGGCTCTCGTTCAGAAACTCTGTACCGGCGGTCGATCTTCACCTCTCAACCACAACATGATAAATACATAAACCATTGAGGCAATAATGACCGCTATGTTCCCCAAAAGCATCAATGTCTGCCACTACTCTACTCACTTCAGCATGTCTCCTGTATACTCTATCATCTTTGCCATTGCTGCTTCTACCGTATCTACTCGTGCGATCCCCATCTTGCAACCCACAGATGTCCTCCGACTAGATGCCAACGGCTCCTTTCAACTCAGTATCTTCAGCGACCTACATTTTGGAGAAGCTGAAGATACACTTTGGGGACCGGAGCAAGATGTCAAAAGTGCTAGAGTTATGAACTCTGTCCTCGACAATGAGCAGACTACTGGCCTAGTTGTTCTGAACGGAGACCTCATTACCGGCGAAAACACTTTCTTACACAACTCTACCAAGTATGTGGACTCTGTCGTAGCCCCTCTGGTTCAGCGTGGCATGAGCTGGGCCAGCACATATGGCAACCACGATAGCGACTTCAATCTTTCACGCAAAGGCATCTTCGCAGAAGAATCGAAATATTCGTTGAGTCGCACAAAGAACATGGTTTCTGCATCTGATGCGGGTGTATCAAACTACTACCTGCCCGTCTACGGCAATGATTCGGTTGTCCCCGAGTTCTTGCTCTGGTTCTTCGACTCTCGTGGTGGCAACTATTTCCAGCAGGAATCCGCATCTGGAACGCCGGTCCCACAGCCCAACTGGGTCTCTCAGAGTGTTGTCGATTGGTTTACCGAAACCCGATCTGCCTTGGAGAAGAAGCATGGGCATGTCGTACCCAGTGTCGCGTTTGTCCATATACCTGTCAACGCCATGGCAGCTTTCCAAACCACGGGCGTGAACGCGAATCGCGAGCCTGGTATCAACGACGACAATCCGCTGGCTCAACAAGGCTCTGCTTCGGGCCAAGGCGAGGTTAGCGGCACGACATTCAGCTACAATGGCCAGGATATACCCTTCATGCAAGCCCTCCTCGATACCAAAGGTCTCAAAGCAGTGTTTTCAGGTCATGATCACGGCGATGACTGGTGCTTCAGATGGGACTCAAAGCTGAAGGGTATGAACCTGACTGGCAATGGACTGGATTTATGCTTCGGCAGACACAGTGGATATGGTGGTTACGGATCATGGACTCGAGGCAGTAGACAAGTTGTGCTCACGAAGGGCAAGGAAAACGTCGAGACGTGGGTGAGGCTGGAAGACGGAAGCGTCAGTGGCAGAGTCACTCTCAATGGGACATATGGGCAGGACTCGTACCCTGCTGTGCGATCATAGATCATGGAGTTATCAATCCTAGTCGTGTACCTTTTTGTTTTCTTATGATACGAACGAAATTCCAACTGCCAAATTGGGTTTTTCATTCGCTGGATGCTCGCAAAGCACCGTGTGTGATCAACAATCTGAAGCAAGAGAGACATGATATGACTATGCAGTCAATAGTTTGTGCGAAGAAGCCTTTTGTGGGATGTGACTGCTCTTGAGTAGACTTCTCCGTCATGTATCTGACGGCGAGGCAGTTGTTGGATGCAGTCTTCAAGAGGCTGTGGATAGTGGTAGGCATCAAATACCTAGATACCAAGCAAGGGACGCTGATGATGCAGCATCATGCATGTAAGCGGACGTATAACAAAGCCTCGCCATTCCTTCTCAAGAGAATTTACCCTCATCTCTCCATTTGATTCCGCCGCAACATGTTTTCCGACACAAATATACAAGATCTCGAGACTTTATTACACAAAGGCATTGTCTGCAGGCCTGTCAATTACTTCTTCATAAAGCGCAACTATACGAACCGCGAGCTCAATACCTTGAGAAGCCTGGAGCCGGACGCAAGCAAAGCCATTGGACGTCAGCTATCAGACACCGAACGCAATGTCCTGCTCGAGTACAAAGGCAACTCAATCGCATCTGAGTCTCGGCCGTCAGCATTTACAGTGTCTATTGCGGCTCTGGGTGGAGTGTTGAGCACCATGATCATGATGAGAGCACGCAGGCGCCGGATCTGTGGCCAACTCGTCCATCGAATTCAGGATCGCCATCTGTCCTTGCGTGATTTTTGTGGTATCGCCTCTGTTATCGCTCTCCTGCTCAAACCCACTGGGAGCCAGCCTCTATCGCTCGAAATCCTCGGCGATCCTCGTATGAGTGAATTCAGAAGATCGATACAAGGCAGAAAAAAGGAGTTCGGCGGCCATGAACCAAAACTTGTCAGAAGAATGAACAGAAACATCGAAGAACCAATTCAATGGTTCAGAGCCGCGTCAAGGTCGAAATATATAGCTTCGATCAAGGTGTCACCTCCCAGGGAAATAGACCGTGAGGAAAGTCTGCCCATCACAGATCATCCTGATCATCCTGATCTAACTTGGCCAGAGGGATCCTCAAGCTACAGAAAGCAGCTCAGAGGCAACCTCATTGCGAGAGAAAACCAGATCCTGGAGAACATGAGCTGGCAAGAGGTCCTCAAGGTTCTTGAACTTTGCAATCGGGCGGAACCACTTGATACGTTTGTGTATAATCCGCCGGCTCCGATCCCTCACTTGTACGTCGAGTAGGAAACGGAAGTTTTGGATTTACATTTGCAGTACAGACAGGAGGTGCAACACAACTTTGATCATTGTCTGCTTATACTAGGAGCTCGACAACACTTAAAGGAGGAGCGAATGAGTGTGGGGCTTTGACGCTGCCTCGGCCAACAGCATCAGGTCTTGGCCGATGATTTCCCTCAAATGACGCGACGGTTCTCTTCGTGTCTGTTTCTGTCTTCATTCTTCTTCCTCTTCCTCAATGCCGCGACGAGAGACTTCTCTTTGTGCAAACCGTAGCACACACAGGAGTTGCTTCGAGGTTCAAGACCTCACACTCAAGATTGCTTCTTCCTTGGGCCCCACAGTCCCCGCCTGCACTTTTACATGCTCAGCCTCCGCATTCCAAGCATACTCGAGTACATGCATAACGGCAACTCTGGGAACGGAGAAACGTTTTCCAGCAACCAAATAGACAGACTTTTCGTTCTCACAGTATCTTCCATGCGTTCATGGCTAAATTGCGACCACGCTGAGATGCCATCCCATCGTGTTCGCACGAGAGGGGAAGGCCATAGTGTCTGTACCTTCCATGCATTCAGAGTAAAAGAGCAGCCGCTGTGTCTTAGGGTACAAATACTGGACGGACTGCACATTCAGGTGTCCTTCGTTCTGCTGCATCATGGCATTGTATCAACACCAAATTTTCTGAAAAATCAATATAAGTATTTTGACACGCTGACAACCTCGCGATGAGACTCAATATATGGTTGTTGATCTGTTCGTCGCCAACTGTTCTGGGTAGCACTTTTCATCTGGACCTTGCAGGTCTTCTCTGCTGACCATCGGTAGGCTTTACCAGACGACCCATGGCATGTCCAAAAACTTCTAATGACACGACTCGATATGATGCGAAGCTTCCAAACCCTTTCGTCTTTGCCAATGGTAGAGCTGTAAAGACACTCCTCGACTTTGAATGTCGCCAACGCGAAGTCAGCGAGCTCTTTCAGAGTCTCGAGCTGGGTATCAAACCAAGAAAACCTCACGCTGTACATGGCTCGATATCTGGTGGCAACTTGACAGTCACTGTATCTGTACATGGAAGAAACATATCTTTTACACCCACGATCACCTACCCGCCGAACGGAACCGCTCCATACCCAGCTGTCATTGCCTTCGGAGCTCTTACCATTCCTGCTCCCTCTGGAGTGGCCATCATCACATACAACAATGATGATATTGCTGCGCAGAACAACCAAAGTAGCCGTGGTCAAGGAAAATTCTTCGAGCTCCACCCCGAACTGATATCCAATGGTGCCATGACAGCTTGGGCATGGGGTGTGAGCCGTATCATCGATGTCCTAGAGACTTTGCCCGGTACCAACATCAATGCAAATAAAGTCGCCGTCACTGGCTGCTCCAGAGATGGAAAAGGAGCTTTAGTCGCTGGCGCTCTTGATAGTCGCATAGTCCTCACCATTCCTCAAGAAAGTGGTTCTGGAGGAACCAATTGCTGGCGCCTCAGTGACTACGAAAACCACAATGGTTCAACACAAACCGCATCTGAAATCGTGCAAGAAAATGTCTGGTTCGCTACACAATTCGACGAGTTTGCCAACACCACTGTTGAGACGCTCCCGTTCGACCACCATATGTTGGCCGGACTGGTCGCTCCAAGAGGTCTCTTGGTCATCGATAATATTGGCTATGAATGGCTTGGACCTTGGAGCTCATTTGGATGCATGAAGACCGCCCGGAGGATATTCCAAGCTTTTGGTGCCTCTGACCATTTGGGATATTCTATGTCTCCGAGCCATCTTCATTGTTCCTTCCCATCTTACCAGATCCCACAGCTCCAAGCCTTTGTCGACAAATTCCTGTTCGATAAAGCCTCGGACACGGACTTTTTCATCCCAGCTGGCAACATCACATTCGATGATGCACAATGGGTAGACTGGTCTACTCCGGATCTACTCTAACCACACTTCATTAGCCATGGGCCGGATAATGAACCTGCAAACCTGCTTTGGCATTTTGATCGCTTCTTTTTGACTTTCACATTTCTTCTGTCTCAGTTCATCTCAAAGCTTTCGGCCGCAAGCTTGTTCTCTGCTCACAATGTCATGGTCTCTGATCATGTTATACCCGCATTTAGCCAGAAGGGAAGCCTGTAAGCGAAGCTTTTCGCGTATGAAGATCTTCTTTCTCCTGTTCCTGTATAGTGTTACCCCGCGATTAGGGCACATTCATTGAGCTCACGCTACTGGTTCCCCGTGGGGCCAATGTGTTTAGCCTGAACATATCTTGGAAGCTATCATTAGTTCGACGTTGGTTTGTACATGCTGTGCTGCTGTTCCTATAACGTTGGAGCTCCTCTAACGTTGGAAGCATGATTCACACAGTACTCGCCTAAAGGACAACATGTTGGGTAAGTGACTCCATCCTTGCTTTAGGCTGTGAGGGCATTCGCTCTACATGCATTGGCACAGGCGAGGGAACCTGGTGATACTGTTAGGTCGACACCGGTGCCCAGCTCCTTGTTAGCAAACAGCCTATGACCGAATGTGATTGATCGCACTGACCGTAATGTGCTGGCTCAATCTGCTACATCCTACCCCAGGCTCTCGAAAAGCACTGATGATATCGGAACTGCATCTCCATACACAGATTTCGGAGAGATCAAGGGATCGCTGCTCAGTGTTCCAGGCTTTGCAGCTACTACCACTCCAATCTCAAGACCGGACTGTGTTTTCCTAGGACGCAAGACATTGGGACGACGCGTCAATTAATCAATTTGCAAGCAATGGCGGCAGGTCTGATACAATTCTAGACATTGACAAAATGCGAGGAGCGAATTAACGAGATTTGCTTGCTGCAAGAGCAGGCAGACTTGGACGGTTCCTTACATTCAGATACTCCTGAATATCAAGCTATGGCAGAAAGCCTCAGACGGTACTTGTTCGACCGGTCTGCGAGCGGAGTGAGTAGCTTCATGTAAAGTGAACATCAGCCTGAGGTATGGTAATGTTTAGCGAGGGAGCAAGCATTATCAAGCCTGCTCGATGCACTTCTAGCCTTGTATACTGAATTGGCATGGAATTGAAATATAGTAATACTTGATGTCCGCGAACTCCACATGCAGGTGCTTCCAACTTAATTGGTCTCAATTGATCGGTCGCAGCCAGCCACAAGCATTAATGTGAACTACCTTGTAAATCTAGACGAGGCTAAAGGCACGAGAACATCGCGTGCAGTCGTAATAGGGTGCTAGAACAAGCTTCGGACGGGAAGATGCCGCTGCGTGAAACAACCTGAAACTTCGCTAAAGTCTGGGTGAACTGCTGAAACCACTTGACCAACAAAATAAGCCGTCGCAACGAGGCTGAGGAACAATTCCTATTCGACAATAGACTCTATAAGCATGGTTCGTCAAGTGTACTCCTCGTGCCGATCACGTAATTTTCGCCTGTGATTAAGTGTTTTTGCCTAAAGCCTTGACATGTGGAACTCGTGAACATAGCACAGCATTGAAAGGATCCATCTGACCGAATTGACCCTGTGGCCGTGACAAAATGCGAACATGGTATAAGTAGGCCACTTGCAATCGCCTTCGACTCAAACTCCATCCCATCCCATTCCATACCCACATTGTCACCGACTCTCCAAAGCATCACCATGAAGTCTGCTATTGCTGCTATTCCTTTCCTCCTCATGGGATCCTCCATGGCCGCTCCTCTTGAGAAGCGCGCCTGTCCCAACATCCACGTCTTCGGTGCTCGTGAAACCACCGCACCTGCTGGTTATGGATCCGCCGGCACTGTTGTCAACCTCATCTTGAACGCACACCCCGGCGCCACGTCCGAAGTCATCAACTACCCAGCTGCTGGAGGCAACAGCTATGCTTCCTCTGTCCAGGCTGGAGTCAAGGCTGTCACCAACCAGATCAACAGCTTCGCTGCTTCTTGCCCCAACACTCAATTGGTCTACGTTGGTTACAGCCAGGGAGCCCAGATTGGTGATGACGCTATCTGCGGTGGTGGTGACCCCAACCAGGGCATTTCCAGCACTGCTGCTCCTATCTCAGCTGCTATCGGCAACAAAATCAAGGCTATCATCTTCATGGGCGACCCCAGAAACATCCCTGGTGGCCCTTACTCCGTCGGCACCGCCAAGAACCCTGGTGTAAGTTCCATCCACTGTCGACTTCCAGGCTTTTCGCTGATCCTTTGTGTTTTAGTTCGACCCAAGACCTTCGGGCTACACTTGCTCTGCGTATGCAAGCAGAATCCAGTCTTACTGCGACTCTGCCGACCCTTACTGCTCGAACGGAAACAACCCCAACGTCCACCAAGGCTATGGTCAGGAGTACGGTCAGGCTGCTCTCAAGTTCGTCAACAGCAAGCTTTCCTAAATTGTTGTCGCTGGTCGACACGATATATGAAAAAGTGTTGGTGTGTCAGCAGGTTAGCGCACATAGGCAATGCAATGAAATTTGGCACATATGGGAACGTCATAACTTGGATGCTCCACAGAAATAATTCGCAAGGCCTTTTGTGCGTGTGTGGATAAGCAATGTCAAAGCTGAGAAGCTGGTAGGGAAACTGCCCCTGTTTGTTCCGAGGTTTGCGCGGCCACCCCTTTCCACCTGCCGCGTCTTCTTACCACATCCCATTCGAAGCTTCAAAACCCGCCGGTCACGCCAAGGACTGCGCAGCGGGGATCTTCGCTTTACGAATAATTCAAGAGCGCGCTCGGCTGAAGAGCACTACTTGAACGTGATGCGTTATAGACCATTTATCCTGTCTCAACCCGAGGCCAAGAGTTTCCCCTCTGCAACATAGTGCTCATCCCTAGGTTTCTCCATGAGTCCTTGACTTGGCATCAACTCTTCGGTGTGCTTTCATCCGTATGTCTGCAAGTGATCAGCAATCATGCATGATCATACGGCCATTTGGCATTCTCGTGTCCATGGTGGAAAGGTACAGTATAAAGGCGTGGTCCATGGCCTTTCATAATCCCACGATCCCACGACCGCACTCTCGTCATCTGCATCATGCGTTCATTACATCTTCTAGCATCCTCGACTTTGGCGTTGCTAGCCAAAGCTGCCCAAAATAGCGACTGTTCGGCCGACCTCGACTCCTTGAATGTCACAAACATCGATGATGTTCGAGGTAACCTGCACTTGACCGCCACCACACAGAGTGGCATGAACATCATCTGGAGCAGTAGCAACGAATCTGTTGTTTCCAGTGATGGCGTTGTCAAAAGACAGAACACCACCACAGAAGTTCAGTTGACTGCAACAATTGATTGCAATGGGTCACCAGCAAGCCGACAATTCTCCGCCTCTGTTCGTCAGGCTGCTAAGATTGGTGCATTCGAAGGCTATGCTTTCGCATATTTCACCAACAACTCTCAATCTGGCGAGAACGTCTATTTCGCAGCTACTAACGGCAACAATGCCTTGTCCTGGACAGAACTCAATGGTGCACAACCTGTTCTCAAGTCGATTTTTGGCACAACTGGACTACGCGATCCGTTCATTCTTCGCTCTCATGAGGGCGATACTTTCTACCTCATCGCTACTGACCTGTCTATCGGATCTGGAACTTCATGGGGTGATGCAGTCAAATTCGGAAGTCGTTATCTTGAGGTCTGGGAATCTCACGACCTTAAGACCTGGTCTGAACAGCGCCATGTACTGGTTTCACCTGCTGAAGCTGGAAACACGTGGGCACCTGAAGCTTACTACGATGAAGATATGGGTGCTTACGTCGTTTTCTGGGCTTCTTCTCTGTACAACTCTACGGATGTTAATCGTGTCGAGCCGACTTATCACCGTATGTTGTATGCAACTACACGAGATTTTGTTACGTTCAGTGAGCCGCAAATTTGGCAAGATGTCGGTATGTCACGTATTGACTCCACTGTCCTCAAGTCAGGTGACGTCTACTACCGCTTCACCAAGGACGAAGGGGCTGGCGAGACTGGATGTACCGATATAATTCAAGAGAAGTCAACATCACTCAGAGCGATGGCAGATTCCTGGGCCATCGTCGATACCTGCATTGGAAAGAAGGCTGGCACACAGGGTGTCGAAGGTCCAACAGCATTCAAGTCCACCCCCGGCGATGTCAATGGCGATAACTTCTACTTGTTCGTTGACGAGTTTACTGGTCGAGGCTACATTCCTCTCCAGACCAAAGACATTGCGAACCCCGACTGGACAGTTCCAGCATCGTATAAGCTACCTCCTAGCCCTAGGCACGGAACTGTTCTGCCTATCACTGCTGCTGAGCTCGCTAGCTTGACGGCGAATACAGCTGACACTTCTTCGATTGCTAGTCGTACAACTAGGGGCTCACCGGTACTCAAGGGCTACTTCGCTGACCCAAACATTGCTGTGTTCAACAAGACATACTATATCTATGCCACTACTGACGGCTTCCCTGGCTGGGGTGGCCAGGTATTCTATGCCTGGAGCTCGCCAGATCTCGTAAACTGGACTCGTAGTGAAGAGCCGTTCCTGACCCTGAATGGCACCAACGGCAATGTTCCATGGGCGACTGGCAACGCTTGGGCTCCCACGATCATCGAAAGATATGGAAAATATTACTTCTACTTCAGTGGACAGAACCCCACCTATGATAGGAAGACCATCGGTGTCGCTATCGCAGACTCGCCCTCTGGTCCTTTCACTGCAGAGCCCATCGCCATGATCCTGAACAATGAGCGTCTCACCACAGGCCAAGCTATCGACTCTGATGCCTTCTTAGATCCTGTCAGTGGTAAATACTACTTACTCTGGGGCAATGGCAGTCCGCTCCTCGCTGAATTGAACGACAACATGACATCAATAAACTGGTCTACAGCGCAAGATATCACCGGTCTGGTTGACTTCCGCGAAGGCCTTTTTATCAACTATCGCAACGGCTTATATCACATCACCTACTCTATTGATGACACAGGTTCCGAGAACTACCGCGTTGGCTATGCGACCTCTACTTCTATCACGGGAAACTATACCTACCATGGCGTAGTGTTGCAGAAAGATGTAAGTCAAGGCATCTTGGCTACTGGACATGATTCGATCATCAATGTGCCTGGTACGGATAAGTGGTATATGGCCTATCACCGTTTTGCTATTCCGGGAGGTGATGGCACTCATAGAGAGGTGACGATTGACGAAGTTACGTTCGATCCAAAGACTGGGTTGATGAATACTGTTGTTCCTACGCTGAGTAGTGTAGAACCTTTTGCTGTTCCTGAAGAGTAGGGTAGGAGCATAGTGGGATTCATGATAGTGATCTTTGCCTAGGCCACAAGCTTCCTCGTGAGACTAAACACTTCTTTCTCGGCAGTGATCGTGCACGGATGTGTGGTGTTCCGACACGTGGACATCTATCTGCTGGCCTTATAAACAATCGGCAGTGCATGGGTAGGCGTGGGGAAGCCTTGCAGATCTGTATGCGGGGTTCGAACAAAGTACCATGTACAGAAATCAACTCCCATACTTTCAATGAGGGGAACTCGGATGCTGGCAACCAGCATGCAATACGACTCCCTTGGACCGGACTGTCGGTGCAGTATAAAGAAGTTTCGTTTCCTTGATGATAGCAAGAAATCAATACTCCACGTTTTCATATAACATATACAAACTTTATTTTTCCATCATGCCTGCTGCAACCAACGACAACACCTCAGCCCTCTGCTCCCTCCCTTCCTTCCTTTCTCAAACTTACGACTACATAGTCATCGGCGGCGGAACAGCCGGCCTCTGCGTCGCCGCCCGGCTGACCGAAAACCCTGACGTCGTTGTCGGTGTCCTCGAAGCAGGTGCAAACCGCATGGAAGATCCTCAAGTCTACACACCAAGTCTATACCCTACGTTAATTGGACGCGAAAAGTATGACTGGTGTTATGAGAGTGTGCCGCAAGCTGGCTGTGGAGGGAAGGTCATGTCGCAGCCTAGAGGAAAGGTTTTGGGAGGTTCGAGTGCGATTAATTATTTAATGTATGTGAGGGGGAGCAAGGAAGATTATGCTGCTTGGTGAGTGTTGTTTTGAGAGATGTTGTTTTGACCTTGGGCTCATTGAGATGTCTAGGGAATCTCTGGGTAATAAAGGTTGGGGCTGGGAAGGTAAGCATTACTTGTCGAAGCTGGATTCGACATTGCTGACCATAGAGTAGGACTTGCTCCGTACTTCAAGAAGAGTCAGACTTATGATCCGCCCAAGAAAGAACACCCAAACAAGCAGTTCATGCCTATTGCGGCCAAAGACCAGTACCATGGCAGTAGCGGTCCCATTCACACATCGTTCAATGATTACTGGGAGGTGAGGCTCCATTGTAAGTGTTTCGTGAGTAAGATCATTTACTGACAATACTTAGCCATTCGAAGAAGACTTCTGCAAAGCTGCATACGAAGTCGGTGGACAAGAAAGTTCTCTCGTCGATGCATGGTCTGGTGGTAAGTCGCAGAATCTGGGACGCGACTGCCGCAAATATTGACTTCATTGTTTTTTCGCAGACCACTTCGGCTTCTACAGCTCCCTAGCAGCCGTAGACCGAACCAACGACAAAGGAAGGAGAAGTTATGCCGCTACTGGTTACCTGCGACCAAACCTCTCTCGACCCAACCTCAAGGTCTTGACTGAGGCTTTAGCGACTAAAGTCTTGCTTGACGGCACCACTGTGACAGGTGTAGAGTTCATGCACGGCGGTCAGAAACACTCCATCAAAGCATCCAGAGAAGTCATTCTGTCTGGTGGAACCATAAACAGCCCACAGCTGCTTGAGCTCTCAGGTATCGGCGATCCTGAGGTGCTGAAGGCAGCTGGCGTGGAGTGTCTTGTCGAGAACAAGCGCGTCGGTTGCAACTTCCAGGACCACGTCCTGGGTGGTATGCTCTACGACCTCAAAGAGGGCCTGACATCTCTAGACTCTCTTCACGATTCAGAATACCAAAAGGCTATGGAGAAGGTATACCAAGAAACTGGCGAGGGACCTTATGGTAGCCCTGGCATGCTAATGGGTTTTGTATCATACGCCTCACTGGTCAGTGAAGAGGTGTTGAACGACACTATTGCTGAAATTCGCAAGAACTCGCTTGCAAAGACCGATTTCGAGAAGCGTCAGGAGGAGACTATCATCTCGCAGCTGAGTGATCCAAAGTTTGCAAATATTCAGACTTTTTGTTCGTTGCACCATCAAGGCTTTGTTTTGTCACTCTTGCTAACGGCTGCAACAGGTATCGGTGCCCAATTAGACGTTAGCCAAGGAGATAGCCAGATCAAGTTCTTCAACCCTCCGCCTGAGGGCAAGACTCGTATCTCTCTGCTCGTCTGTCTAGAACACCCTTTGTCTCGCGGAAGCGTTCACATCACTTCGTCTGACCCCACCCAACACCCTCGCATAGACCCAGGCTACCTCAAGAACGGCGCCGATGCCAAGATCCTTGCCGAAGGCATCAAGTGGATGGACAAAATAGCCAATCAACCCGTTCTCAAGCAATCACTCGGCGAACGCATCCTCCCACCTCAAGGTGCAAGCATCAAGACTGAGGGGGAGAGAGTCGAGTACGTCAGAAACCACATCTCGACGCAGTACCATCTGATCGGCACTTGCACCATGGGCGAGGTCGTCGACGACAAATTGAAGGTCAATGGTGTGGACAATTTGCGTGTCATTGATGCATCAGTGTTCCCGACTCATGTGTCAGGCAATATCATGGCTACTGCTTATGCTGTTGGAGAGAAGGGTGCAGATCTAGTCAAGGCGGATGATGAGAGATTCCTGATGAAAGTCGACTCGACGGTAGGAGCCGCTTCTATGTGATGTTTCGTACTCAAGCGGTATTGGAATTGATAATTTGATCCAATCCGTGATGTGTTCGTGGAGTACAATGGTTAAGATGCCTGACCACTCGAGCAATGATGTTACTCAGCTCAAGCACTCTACACCGCTGAGTTGCTGTTGCTCTACCATTTCAGAGAAAGGACAAGAAACGATCTTATCCACAAACTCTTTTGGTTTGACTCCGAATGGGAACACACCCTCCTTCACCTTCTGTAAACGTAAGGGAGGCAGTCCGGCACCCTCATACTCCACGATCTCCAACAAACCATCACTTTCAGTCCTGTATCTTCCACAGATCAGGCTGACTTTTAGATGCCCAGCTTCCTCGATGACAACCTCGAGAGGGTTCACGCTGTTCGTTGCACTGATAGTTTTCATTGACTCTTCCAAGCGAATGATAGCATCAGCATAGTGACACAATTCTCCGCTCGACTGCCCTGCTTCACGCCTGTTGGCAGACCGCAGCAATTGTAGCGCTCGGGTCCTGACCTCAGAATGCCGGATCTTTAAGCAGATTGCGAATAGAGTAGGAACGACTACGTACTCGAGCGAGAAGGAATATTCCTGCGTCTGGGGGAAAGGCGAGTATGGATTGTGTCCCGCTCCACTCGCAGAAGATGGCTTGGGTCCGATTTTGGCTCGGCAGGGCAAAAGATACTCCTCTACAAGATCAAGGATGACGGCGGCTTGGTCGTTGAAGCGGTCGATCTGTTTCACATGCATATCTCTGGCAGTTGCAAGGATGAAATGTGAGTAGAACAGTTGAATCTGCATGTGAAGGAGTGCCCGGCGATTAGTGCAATCTCGGTCTTTTTGCATCGATGCTAGTTCCTGCAGCCATACTCTATGCGCTTGTATGAGCTGTATTTGTCGCTGGACTAGGTCATGTCTCAGAGGGAGTGGCAAGGAACGGCTGACGCAATGAACGATACAATCAAGAACGGCCGGTCGCTGACTCTCGAGGTTCAATTTCGCAACATGTTGAGCCGCAAAAGCAAGCAACTCGGATCTCCAGGTTGACGCGGCAGATGCGAGACTGTCAAGTGCCTGTTTTGCGGAGTCAATCGAGACGAACATGCAGGGGTCGACCAAAGATCGCGTGATGAAGTCACATCGTTCTTCCTTCTGTGTCATCTGTTCTCCTTGAACCTCGCAGACTTGCGCAGCATACCAGTCAAAAGCAGCAGTAATATCCTTTGCCACTTCCTTCGACGAGAACTGCCAATGCCCAGCAGCACCTTCTCTAATAGCCCTCCTGCCAAACTGCAAGTGCTGCACAGCAAGACTACATTCATCTTGGAAAGTCTCGTACGCCACCAACAACAGACAGCAAAGCAAGATCGGCTCCAGATATCCCTTTCCGCAAGCAACAAGCTTGATGTACTTTTGGAGTGCAGCGGTAGCTTTGCAGTACTGTCTCAAGTTTCTCTTCTCTCTGATTGGCAAAGGTGGAGCAAAGAAACAATGATGTCGTTTGGACAGTCGAGCACTGGCGACGCTTGCACAAGCTGCAATAGCAAGATAGATACATGGCTCGGTGCTAGAAAGCTGCAAGGACAAAGTAATCCATCCATGGCTAGGCGATATCAATCTCAACCCAGAAGCGATATGCTGAGTGAAGAATTGGAAAGAGACGCGATCTTCCGAGATGGTGTCAAAGCTCAAAGTCGAAAGTGGTCGAGCAATCGCAAGAGGAAGCAATTCTGAGGATGCTGGAAGGAGAAATCTAGGCGCAGCTCTGTGGACTCTGCTCTTGCTTTCTTTCTCCTGTTCATAGTCATCGCAACTGCGTCCAGTAGAGACACAATTCCAACAATCAGGTTTTGATTCGTCACATTTTACTTTCCGGATACTGCGATCAGTTGTTGGCAACCACGAGTCTCTGCGTTTGCTTGATAGATCGGCCTACTCACCGACACGTTCGGCATGCGTTCTTGCTATATTTGGCGCCGACGTTACGTTGTCGCTTAGCCTTGATCTCCATCCTCGAACCTGATAGGCATGTTTTTCGAGAAGGTAAAAAGTAATTCCTGAGAGGAGAATGAGTGAGGTTGAGGATGGGGCCAAGCCCTGTGGTTTTAAGCCTGAAGGATGCACAGGGGTTCGTTTGCTACAAGCTGATTGGCTGATTTATCGAAGCAGCCAATGAGAAGAATCGGGTCAATATGAGTGTCTAAAAACGTCTTATTAGAGACTGCTGTACGGCGAGTACATCCTGAAGTCCAAGTATTGTGATGATTGGCCGGCTCGGAAAAAACAGCGAAAGAGCAGTCTGCATGCCTGGAGACACATTCTATCAACATACCAAGCCTCGAGCACTCGAATATATAATGTGGTGGGCATCAAGTTAAGCCTTCTACGGTCATCCCTCCAATCTTTCTATCCTGATCTATATTGAACTTTTCAGTATCATCACCAGAATTTCTGCGTGCAATCGTTCATTCCGCTAGTGCGTTGTCTTGACATGGCTCTGTCACCAAGCGCGACCATAGCCATCGTCATTGTCAGCTGTGCCGCTTTCTGCCTCTGCGGCTATGCCATCTGGGCCGTCATGTTCAAAGACAAAATAGACACAATCGACAATACGAGACCCCAAGGCGAGCAAGCTCTGTATATGCGCGAGATTCGGCATAAAAACATAGAGGCTTTTGCGCGAGAGATCGGGCAGCGTGGACCGCCCTGGGCGCATGATTGACCGCCTCATGGTGTCGGGAATGATCGATCACCATCGCCACGAACAAATATGTAAGAGCATGTGGTTGGTGTCATTTCGGTCTTCTTGCTAATGTATAGAGGGAACACAGCTTGATGTAGGAATCCTGTACCGGAGCAAAGAACTTCGGACTTTGGAGAACGATACGGATTGAGCTTGTGACACAACCTGACGCTAACGCGCCGTTGATTTGGGAGACTGTGATCGTGGGAGATGGGCGAGTCAGAAGACACCTCAGACAGCCGAATTGTGTTGATCGACAAGAGCTAGCATGCGCGGTAGCAAATCCTTCACTCGGAAGGGTTTTGTCTTGTAAGAGTTAGAAACGAAAATACCGGTCAAAGTGTTGATATCACTCACCACTACTTCATCCATACCAGCATCAATACACGATGCGATCTGCTCGGAACGAGCATTCGCTGTGATACCAATAATAGGCACATGCCGAACAATTTCTCCAGCTTTTTCATACTCACGAATGCGTCGCGCACACGTCAAGCCATCCATTATAGGCATCTCAACGTCGAGCAGAATGATAGACAAAGGTATCTGTTCAATACCAGTGGACTTGTGGAAGGTTGTGGTCGATAGAAGCTCAAGAGCGTCAAGACCGTGGTCTGCAACATGGACTCTGGCGCAGCCCGTCTTGCGAAGCTGCTGGGCGAGAATCTTTTGATTGATGGCGTTATCCTCGACCACTTTGCATTGTTAGTGATAATCCATGTTATGAGATGATTTTACTAACATAAAACATGAAGATCTGGCACTTGTGTCTTTTGCGCAGCTGGACCATCTACCACTCGCATATGATCCTTGATTGATGTCTGAGCGAGTTGTGCAGATGGTGGCTCAGGGGGCGACTCGATACGAGCGGTCTCCACAAAGAAGGCAAACGTAGAGCCTTCTCCTGGTTCGCTGCGTACACCAATTTGGCCGCCTTGCAATTCCACGAGCTCACGGCTGATAAACAGACCCAGCCCACTACCACCATACTTTAAGCCAAATCAGTGACATCTTCTATTGCGTGAACTGGTTCCAAACTGACCTGTTTGTATGTCTTTGGTGAAGCCTGGCTGAATCTATGGAAAAGATGACCCATCTCGGTCGGCGTGAGTCCACAGCCAGTATCCCGGACACTGAAGATCAGATAGACATTTTCGCCAACGGGGTCATTTGTTATCGACATCCTTCGGGCTAGCTTTGGACGTTTGTCTTCACGAGGCGCTACAAGCGTCACTTGACAATCGTCTGCGGTAGGCCTTGTTCTCGACGCGGCGAGACTGATTACAATACGTCTCTCGCTTGAGTTTTTGGTAAACTTTATAGCATCTGTGTAGTATTGTTAGAATGTATGACGGTACTGGATATGCGGAAATGCTTACTGGTCATCAAGTTAAGAATAATTTGTGACAGTCTGCCTGGATCCAATGCGACGTTGTCGATCGCAAGATCAACGTAGCTCTGCTGAATTTGCAATGAGCCTTGAATGTTATCATAGTCAAGTTCTGCTTTGACCATCTTCAGGACTGTCTGCACTGTTTCTGACGGCCGAATCTTCTCAGGTGCGAGAACCAGCAAATTTGAATCCAATCGACTGAACGTCAAAATCTCTTCGACGATGACCTTTTGGTGGTTCGCGCATAGGTGAATACTGGCTGCGATGTCAGAGAGTGTTTGCCGTAGATCCGGTGTCAATACACTGGCTTGCGCGTCATTCGATACTGCAGGCAGCGATGTGACGATGCTATCAGCAAGTAACAAGATCGCTCCCAAAGGGTTGCGCATTTCGTGTGATACCCTGCTATAATGTTAGCCCTCACGGTTTCTGCTCCAGGTAAAATGATTGCATACATGTCGATGAAGACTTCTGATCTCCTCTTGGTCTCTAATGCATCTTGTAGCCTCTGTTCGGCCAATTGTTTGCTGGTCGAGATGTCCCTCAACCAGACATACAGGTACTCCAAATTGCCATCTTTGTCATGTCGTTGTTGGGCGCTTATCTCAAGCCAACGTACTTCACTTGCTTGCGAACATGTAGCTTTGACACGGAACTCGGCGCTCGCGGCTGTTCCCTTTTCGATGGCAGAGGTCCAGGTCTGGTTGACTGCTTCAAAGTCTTCATCATGTACAGCATCCCGCCAGGCAAGTCCAACTTCTGCAGCCTTGTAAAATTGTGCTCTACTCATGCCGAGCAGGTCAAGACATACATCATTGACATATACACAACGACCGTCGTCTCGATGCATGCACATACCAATCGGTGCATCACGCAACATTCTAGTGAAATTCTGTTCGGTTTCCTCGGCTTTCATGGTCATAGTCTCGAGCTGTTGAGAGAGAGCTTTGGCAATTTCCCGGGATTCTAGCTGCTCCGTAGGTAGCGAGAAGAGTGCAGCTGTTTTGAAGAGCATGTCACGAATAGATTCGACGAATTGGCGAACGCTGGGACTTATAGCTCTCCTTGGGTTCAGGCCCAATACTGCAACGCCAAGGATTCGCAGTCCGTCCAGGGCCATAATGGGCAATATGTAGGCCGTGTTGACAGAACCAGCTTCAGATTGTGACACTGTCAGATCTTGAGGGAGTGTGTTTTTGCTCCGCTGAAGAACGAAGACTTCGCCAACAGAACCTTTCAAGGCTTCGAAGATACCAGACGATAGGTGTTTTTGCGGATTGTCGATGTTGCAAGAAGCCTCGAGCTGGAAGGTATCTGCACGTTGTTCCCCCAGACTTTCGGTAGAAGTGTATACAACTGCATATGATACATCCCGAGCGTTAGATTGAAGAGAATTTACAAAAACTTGCCAAAGATTGTGTAGGTCGGTGACCTTTGAGAAGGATTGCAACAAAGACTTGGAGACATCCTGGCGGTTCTTCTGCAGGACCTTTTCAGTGATCTCTGTGAACTCTGCCAGGACACCCAAGTATCGGCCGTCGGGTGACGGGACTGGAAGGAAGACGAGATCAAAAAAGCAGCTCTCCGAGAAGCCGTTTCGAGTCAAATTCAGTTCATAGTTTTTTTGAACCAAAGGTTTTCCTTTCTTGATACCAGTCTTGATCATCTTGATAAGCTCGGTACGAACGGCGTCGCCCCAGATGTCTATCATGGGTCGACCCAGTGGCCAGGGATGCAGTTCGCCGACAACAAAACGAGCTTGCTCGTTGTAAAGCATATGCATTTCATTTCCCCAGTGCAAGACGCGAGGCTCTCTTGAAGCAAGAATAGTGGCGAACATCTGTCTGAGTATGGTAGGCCATGATTTTATAGGACCAAGAGAGGTGTCTTGCCAATTGTAATTGAGGATGAGGTCGAGCCATGGATCTGCAGAAGGCTTCGGGAACAGAAGCCAGTCAATGATCAAGTCCTCAAGAGGGGCATCCAAGTCAGCGGCTTCTAGGCTAGAAGTGCAGGTCGAAGAAGAGGTTGTGGAAAGATTATCCGACTCTTGACGTTGCAAAGGGATGGTGTCTGCAAGCAGGGATTGCGCTAGGGCTTTCTTGTCTGACGACGTGGTTGGAGCATCTTCGGGAGGGCGATGGGCGTGTGTTTGTAGGTCACAAGTGATTGCAATCCAGGATGAGGCAATGCCCCTTGCTGACCAGAGTTGGTTGGCGAAGAAGCCGAGGTCATGCGTGGTACGCGGGTTGAGTCGTTCAGCGCTGCGGGCGGCATCGAGGAGCGAGGAACACCAGGTGGCAGGAGTCGAGGTGCGGGATGCGGTAGCTACGAAGGCATCGAAAGCGTTGTTGGCGTATACAATGTCGGTCGTCGCATAGTTGAGAATCAAGGTGGGGCGGTCGTCAGCTGCGACAAAGTCGATGAGGATGTCGAGCTCAGGTGGGATCTGGTTCGCCGGCGTGTACGGTGATGCAGAGGCATCGACGTCTGCCACCATGCCTGATTACAACGACTTGCAAGAACATGCGTGAGCCGCCAGCAGAAAGCTGCATCTTTCCCATGCTTGCTGATACGCGAGTCTTCGCATACCGTTATTGCCGAGGAGCTGAATCGTATCTCTGACGTTCGGTACGCCCAGCCTAGGATCCTTGCAAGTTGCAACCCACCTCCACGCCCCGCCAAGCCTGCCTTCCTCACCTTCTGCCTCGACACTTTCGGCCGTCAAACTTGTCAACAATAGGTTATGCTTTTCATTAGAAGAAATCGGAAATATCATTAATTGTTTACTGCCATGAAACTCTCAATCAAATAGGACCAGCCATAAAGAGCCACCAATAATCGTCGACACGACCACGATAGTCAATATCGCTGCTCCTGCCTTGTCGCCAGTCGTGATTTTCCTCGTGAAAATCGATGGCTGGAACTTGGGTCCAGTACTTCCTGTGCCAGCGCTTGGGTTACTTGTGCTGTTACCACCTGTTGATGTTGTCAACGGTGGAGTAAACGCATTCTCAGTGTGCACATCAAGCATCAGTGACTGGATCACTGCAAGTGCTGACATCTCCTGCCCGACGCCGTATGTGCCATCCCATACTGTTGTGTTCCACTCCTGTCCACACACCGATCCAGTGTCTCCTCCGTCGCATTGACCTGCTGCTCCTTGTGCCGAAGCCCGTAGATAGGGATATATCGTGTCATGCAGAGAAGGGATGAGTTGTGTTGTGACTGCCAACGTGCGAGCGAGGTAGGATTTGAACGACAATTGATCCGTATCACAGTTGCCAAGAGGCTGGCAGGTGACCTCGACCATAATCTTGTTGCCCATCGAAGCTGGGAAGAACGTGCTCCATGTCGTGTTGAGGAGACCTTCAACGATATCTAGCCAGTTTTGATCCGATGTCTGCGGTGAAAATGTTAGCAAATGCTTTGCCGCACAAGTGAATAGCCAGGCTTACGTGATTATACATGTACGCTGCGCCACCGATTGCGGCAGCATAGTTGTACGTCCATTGGAAATGATCCACCGAACTGCAATTGCTACTTGTTGTCGTGCCGTCGAAGATCTGGTACGTCTGGCCGTCCCAGAGTGACACACCGGTGTACCAGTCCCATGTCTTCTCAGCCCAGTCAACATATGTCGCATTGTTGGTGTAGCGAGCGAGTCGAGCAGCTAGTTGGAATAGTCCAAGGTTCGAAATCGAGTTTTTGTAGTCGTAACCTGCGTTGAAGGTGTAGATTTGCCATCGAAGACCGCCGTTGCAGGTACTAGTGTCCCATCGTGCAGCCATTTCGTTGAAGACTGCTTGTGCCAGTGAGAGCCAAGAAGGTGCGTTTGCGCTTGTTGGCTCAGGGAAGTTGAGTTCGGCGGCATCCATGGCCGTGAACGCCCAAAAGACCTGATCATCGTTGCCTTCGTCCTTTGTCTGGTTCGCTGGGAGGAAATCGTCCCCTGTTCCAACCTGGAATTGAATGGCCTGGGAAACAATCGAGTTGTAATAGTCGTCGCCAGTATAGTACCAGTAGTTGATCATGTGGCCAAACATTCCACCCGCCTCCCACCAATAGTATGGACCAGGCAATATACCAGGCGTGCCTCCAGTATCATTGCCTTTGTACCACGCCATCAATCCATTGGCAACTATCGCTGATGCATTTCGTATTGAGTCTGTTGATAGTGAGATCGTGAACTAGATTTTAGAGGCAGACGAAAGCCATGCGTACCTGCATTTGTAATGTCAAGGGTCACAGCGTTGGCAAGGCTTGCGAACAAGAATGTACTGAAGCAGAATATGCCAGATTTTGAGAGCCCTGGAGACGCCATAGATACCAGACCAAGTGAGAGTGTGGGTTGTGGTATAAGTCGACAAAATGCCAAAAGGTGTAGATTGATCTTCAAATGCTAAGCATTGTCAAGCAATGGCACACTTCTTGTTTGTTGCCGTTGAGACAATGACGACGGGTGGCAGGAGGCTGCCGGCTATCCGATTCGAGATATGCTTACGACGACCACGACGACCAATCCATTTTCAGCAAGGCTCGCGGCTGGATCATTCGTATGCAAACATTCCCTGCTTATTTCAGGTACTCCCTTTGAGACCTACCAAGTGATCAGCGCGAATTACGGAGTCTGATTCTCGATATAGTCCGTCGTGTGAATATCAGGATCAGGAACTGCTTTCGAGTGCAGATTTTCACCTGCCATGCACCATCTTCACGGCTGCAGAGAAACATGGTTTTCAACGTCCTCAGCCATGATGTAAGTGCCGTCCGCAGGGTCCGTAGCTCCAGGGTAACCGCTTTGTATTGAATGTCGTTCTCTGAGCCTACATAGGCCCCATGGGGTCCCTGTTGCGTCGTCACCAACAGGGGCGCACTGTGGGTGCGTGCGAGGGACGATATTCGAATTGCGACAGCCGGGGGTCTCGGCCCGCGTAGCTCCAGAGACAGCGTCACCGCCTTCAACAGTTTTGCCGTCTCATATCTTGCAAGTCCATGACCCTTTGAAGATGTAGGCATCATCGTATAGTTCAAGACAAGGAATCGATTATATCCAAGCCTGTTCGCTGTGGTCCTTGGTGCTCTGCAAGAGTGCTGGTCAATAATTTCGCAGACTGTTCTCGGAAATAATCAGCCGGAAATTAACTGCTGAGCAGCAATCCTCGTGTGGCAGCGGGACCATCCAATGATCCCTCCAGCCGTTGCGCTCCGCAGTCCCAGTTCTTGAGGAAACTTTGCTTAGAATAACTTCAGTCGCCAATATTGAAATGCTGAACACTCACATCTTGCTAGCAAAGACCCGATCACGACTGGGCACAGATGTGTCAAATGTGACAAAGTCGCGTTCACTCCTTTCCAAACGTCGAGCCAGCTGTCTAGCGTAATCCATGCATCTCTGCGCTGAATAAATGCTGCCGCGACTCGCGAGAGCTCTAGGCAGGATCAGGACGAATCTGCTTCTCGATACATACCGTACAGTAAGCGCCAGGATCGAAACATCACCAGCTGTGATTCACGATGCATGTGCTTTGCTCGAATCCTTCCTTGACGCTGCTGTGCCGCAGCGCAGCAGATAGGCGCCAGCCCTACAGGAATTAATCTATTGCTTGGTAAGTTGGCAGGTCATACAGAACAAGAGCTACAACGAAGCACAATGTCGTCCAATTCATCATAAACCATTTCCTGGCAGTGGGATACAAGGTCTTGGATTGAGAGATGGCCTACAATTCTCGATTGGGCGTCGAACGAGCGCTTTTTCGGAAGCCGAAGCTGACTCTGGCACTCTGTGCCAGTAGTTTTCTCTCGTTGTTCGCAGCCTACCATTTCTATACTTCAGCATTCCAACACCAACCAACAGCTGGCCTACAATCTTCGATAAAAACAACAGTCTCAGCCTGTGAGATATGGCCAGGTTGGCGCACAATTACTCCCGACAGTCCCTACGTTGATGATTCGGCGTTGTCGCCTCTGCGTCTAGGGACTCCTGAGGTGATGTCGGAAAGATCAGACCAAGGCTGTACTCCTGCAAAAGAGCGTCTGGGAGTATTCGATCACTCCAGTGGTCAGAATCGATTGGACCATCCGCCATGGAGTACAGTGCGGTGGGGGAAACTCCAGAGCACTTGCGCAAATGCAATCTTCGGATTCGAGGTTGCCAATCCAACCATATCGCAGCGAAAATTGGTGCGGTTCTCCGATGATGAAAGTCATCTCTCGACCCTTGAAACCCGCTCGACAGGTCGGACTGCAGTAGTACTGCGGACATGGGATGCATATCAATACTCCGATAATCAGCTCGCCTGGATGCGAGCTATGATAACAGAGCTTTCCTTGGATACTGGCGGCCGGTTCCAGCTTTTCATACTCGTAAATGTTAAGGACAACTCACTCGACCTATTCAACGATCAAACCTATGCACAAGTTCTGGAGAGGAGGGTTCCCGAAGAGTTCCGCGACTTGGCATTGCTCTACAACGAAGCGATCCTTCGTGAGTGGTATCCGAAAGTCGGCGAATATGGTGCTCAGGATCAGATGTACCAGGCTTTGCAGATATTCAGCCACACGTTTCCAGAATTTGATTTTGTGTGGCAACTAGAGATGGACGCAAGGTTCACAGGCAATGTCGCGAAGATGCTTATGAATGCTGGCGATTGGGCCAAGCGTCAACCTCGAAAAAACCTCTGGGAGCGAAACGGCCGTTGGTTCATCCCAGCTCTGTGGAAGGATTATGCATCTTTCTCCGCACATGTAGATGAAGAGTTCGAGGACAAAGGCATCTGGGGTCCTCATCCCTATGCGCAGTTCTACCTTGATCCACAAGGTCCTAAGCCACCGACCAAGAGGAACGACATCTGGGGCGTAGGAGAAGAAGCCGAGCTGATCACCTTGTCGCCACTTATTGATCCTGTCAGCACAAAATGGACTTATGAGTCTACGGTTCATGGTTTTGAGCCGGCACTCTACTTACCCCGTCGCATGGCCATAGTCAGTATGACACGCACATCCCGACGTCTACTCCGCTTGATCTCCCATGAACAGCGACAGACAGGCTCTTGGGTAGTCAGCGAATCGACACCTGAGACTTGGTCTTTGTTGCACGGACTCAAAGCGGTCTACGTTCCTCACCTGGTAGCTTTCAATATGGACACTCACAGCGAGACGCCAGAAGAACGAGGACTGGAGTTGGACCGTATGATTCACAAGGGACCTGCTTGGAATTCTGCTGGTGGTGAGCATGCGGGATTGCTGTGGTGCCCTGATGTAGGGTTGCCGGAGCACAAGTGGCTGAAAGCCAGTTATTTCTACTGGGCTGGTGACGCGCCCAGAGTGTGGTGGGCGTACACCAACGGGACCTGTACTTATCCCTTGGTTTTACACCCTGTCAAGTCAGACTGATGAGATGTCGCAATAGATGTATGGAAGAATGATCATTTCACAAAAGCACGAGAGTCGATCTCTGTCACCGTGAGCTGTGTTTCTAGTAGACATTTAGATGCTTCGCTAGACGAGTATTGAGACTCGTAGGAGGAGTGCTTCGCATATCTTCTCATGGACAGCTTAAGTAGTTCTCTTCAGATTAGGCTACGGTCTTCATGCCATAAGCCTGCACAGATCCTGCTTGACCAAAATGTAACGTACACAATCGAGAATTTAGATTCTAGCTAAAGAAGGTATTTTGCTCAAGAGACAGTAGGAAAAGCCCCCACGATGAAAAGAATCTAGCCTCGACCTTGCGATGTTCCTGCTTCAGTGATCACCAGCAGAAAGCTCATGCGTTCTGCCTGTAGAAGATAACTCGTAAGCTCCTTCGCTAGCTGACTTACCCGACAAGTTCGTGCGAAAAGAGTCGGACCTGTAATCAAAGGGGTGCGCTGCTTTACTACCGTCCATGTGGTGGAGATATGCTGGGAAAGTCTGAGAAGGCTGATCAAGCCATCGTTTATCTGCTTTTGCCTTGCGGTGACGAAAGAACAGGAAGGCAATGGAAGCAAGAAGTATACAAGCGCCAATGCTTACACCAACCGCAATGCCAATCTGCGAAGTTTGGGAGATTCCGTTCGGCGATGCATGGTTGGTCGAGGTTGTCGAAGGGGCCGCGATAGTCGAGGACGCATCGTTGGGCGAAGACGATATGATGTTGGCCTTTGTGGAAGGCAATGCGCCTGACGACGTCTGAGTTGATTGCAGAGAGCTGGTAGGCGAGGTCTGTACGCTGCTTTCAGAGCTCGACGAACTTGATGAAGTGGTAGACGTGGAAGTAGAACTTGCTTCCGTTGTCGTTGTTGTAGCTGATGATGAAGATGATGATGCCGAGGTCGTGGTCGTGGCTGGAGCAGCATTTTTGTCTCTTTCGTCGAAGGTTGTCTGGAATGCAGTGACTGCTGGACCACTTCGGATTTGACAGCTATAGTAGTAGAAAGACTGGGTGGATCCAGGCGCATAGGTAGTACCATAGAGAAGGAGCGTAGAGCAGTATGGGAGATATGAGCCACTATATGATAACTCCAATTAGAAAAGTATGTGTCAATTGGTCCTCGCACGCAATGCTTACCAGAGAAAGTTCGCTCCTGCTATCGCTACTCCCGCATACGTGTTGAAGTTTCCCTTAGCTCGGTAGTCCAAGCATGTCGATACATAACCACAGCCCAAACCATTGGAGCAGCAACCAAAGTTCGGAGCCGAGTTTGGACTCGAGTAATACGTGCACGACTGCTGCGATCCACAGGTCACTGCAGAGGACCACGCTCCACTCGTGTAGCCACAAGTTTCAGCATTCGTCAAGACCTCAGGAGAGTCATCTTGCCGCACTGCATGGATCAAAGTTGTGGGTACAGTCGCCGGTGACGATAGCGAAGGCGAAGGTGAGCCTGTCAAATGAGTGCCAAAGGCAGTCAACGCAGGCGTGAACATGGTTGGAGAGGAAAGAAGCTGAAGCAACACGAGTCTAGACGAGAACGATACACTGGCCACGACGGAGAGAAAGGGAGAGGCATCACAGGTGGTGCTTTTGTAAGGGCGCTGGTTCATCCAGCGTCCATGTCCTTACCGTATCTGCATGAGTTCTGGAAGCTGTCATGCTAGATGGCCAATCCTGTCGAACTCTAAGCGCTTGACAGTGGTACAGCAGCAGGAAAATTGACACCTTCTGCAGGTCGCGGCACTCCACCTGTGCATGTCTACGCAATCGTTATCATGGAATGTGGAAGGAACTGGCGTGTTGTCAGTATAATGTGCAGTCCCTCGCTCGAGATGGTTGAAGATAATGTAGGCAAGCGCGCGCCAAAATTTGACTGACTCGCGAATGTTTCGACCCAGACCGTTGGGTGCGTTCCCGCTAAAAATGGGTTTAGGAATGTGAAATCGAAACAACGGCTATATTATTGGTCTGCAGCAGCGGCAGAAATATTGTTAATATGTCGCCCTCCCAAAGTGTTATTTCAGCAGTGATGTCCTTGTTTTTTCCCACACGATTTTGATCAGCTTCCAATCTCATGACATCTTGAATAACCATCAAATTTCACTTGAACTTTTGTTCCACCAGTCATTACCACCCAGCGCGAGATGTCTTTTTCACAGCCATATATGATCGCCCCTGTGGTATACGAATTTGTTTGGGCCGTCGACAACACTCCGAAACAGACATCGACATACACGACGACCTACTTCGGTCCACCCGGATCTCATACAGCCTACGACCAAATCGTCAATACGGCTCTGCCTTCACCCTGGCAGATTGAGACGATCGGTATACCATATACCATCCTTCCTGGAGGAGTCTCAACACAACATGCCTCAGCGACAGTTGCTACGCATAGGCCCACAAACCCAATCCAAACCGATTATACTCTTGTCGCACCAGCAAAAGACTCATCTGTTCAGACGTCTGCGTCGCACGAGGTGCCTTGTCATGAAGTTCTGTCCGGTCGACTTCACGAGTCATACCTCATATATCTCCAGGTTGTTCTTGTGTGTCTTTTCTGTGGTGGCTATCTCTGGTCCCGCTGCCTGAGACGTCGCAGCCAGAGCGCTAAGCTCGAGGGCGGAATCTTGAGTTCTGAGAAATCAGCGATATATGAACTTGCCTGATACTGCATTTTTTTTTAGATGCCCTAATCGCGAGAATGACAAGACCTGTCGTGAATGCTTTCTCCGTCGCGTGTCAGGTGTGACTGCTCTTCATGAATCATCAGAAGGTTTATATCGCAACAACAGGTTAGCGAATATCAATCTCGCTGACTGTTGAATATTCGTGCGCATGTAGGGGCACGGAGACCAAACGTGTCGGATGTTGTTGTATTCGTGGTCTCAGAACGACGGTGGGTCGCACGAGGGTCAAGTCGACGGGGCCAAATTTTATACACGCCACGACTTTTGGCAAGCAACCTTGCATCTCGAGAATCGTCGCTTCCGGCTTCGCTCACCTTTACAATGTGGTCAAGCATATCGAGGCAATGCCTTGATCGTAGTATAGAAAAGTCTTGACCCACGAAGGAAGGTACTGACATGTGAACGTGATGAACACGTTGGCTTGGCTACTCCTCATCATCTGCGTGTGTCCTGCTGACTGTTTGCACGGCCCCCTGTCTCTCAGCTCCTCAGTCGAACGACCCCTGGCCGCTTTCCTCATAAACACAGCATGTCGCTGCAGCCTTCCCCATCTACAGGTCTTGCTCAGCCGCAGTGTCACCAACGCCGATAACCCGACTTACTCAGGCTGTGTATCACATGAAAATTGCGAAAACAGTCAAAGGTCCAATTCTCAGCTGAGGCAGGCTTTTGGGGCTGAGGCATACTGTCTACATGCACGACTGCGGTAAGCTACAGCAAGAGACGAAAAAGGCAGTTTTGCATGTGCTCGCTCATCCTTTTGAGTCGGTCTGACATTATAATAACGTCGTCTCATTCTGTTTTCTTCGACCTTCCTTGATCCTGATTGTACATAACTCAATTTCTACTATTGACGCACTACCCAGACGTCCTCATCTGCACACTCGCCTATAATATCACAACCCTCTACATACTCTGACACTTTTGACAATGCGACCTGCGTCGGAGCCACAAAGACTACTAGTCTTCTGCGATGGCACTTGGTGTGGTCCGGAAACTGATACCCGAACCAATATTCAGATCCTGGCAGAAATGACTGGCATCGACATGAAGAACCCAAGAGGATCAAGAGAACTCGAGGACCCAACACGAAAGCTCCGAGCAAAGTACTTCAACGGCATCGGTCTGGGAAGCACCTTCTTCGCCTACCTTTTCAACGGCGCGACTGCAAATGACATCGGAGACACTTGTGTTGAGATCTACCAATACATTGCGCAGTACTACCGCGAAGGAACAGAAGTTTGGTTATTTGGTCTGAGCAGAGGTGCCTACACAGTACGATGCGTAGTAGGCATGATCAATAATTGCGGCATTGTCAAGAACCCATCTCGTGATCTTTGTGATCAAGTTTATCGCGTCTACTCCTCACCATACGACGCTGATAAGCCATCTTCAGCACAGAGCAAAGAGTTTCGAGACAGAGCAAGCTGGAATGTCGCAACACCAATCAAGTTCATGGGCCTTCTGGATACTGTCGGTAGCATCGGCATTCCTTCCTTGGACGCTGGCAATGGACCTTCCTACCCTACCCTGTGGGACCAAGTCGTTTCAAGCAGCGTTGACCAAGTCTACCATGCTTGCTCTATTCACGATCGTCTGTCACTCTTTCAGCCGTGCTTGACCAAGCGCGACCGTCGTAACGGCAAAACTGCACCCACTATCCATGAGACATGGTTCCCAGGCTGCCATTACGATCTTGGTCGTCAACGCTTTAAGTTCCTGCGCAGCAGGGCAGTCGATCCTCTGGAACGTCTTCTCGTTGCAGTTCCAAATCTCCTCTCTGGCACTATAGAGCCCGACGGCGTCTTAGCTGACGTCGTGCTTCGCTGGATGCTCCAAGGAATCAACCACGAGATGCCCACTCAGACCGCCATCCCAAACATCGAATCCAAGATCGCAAAGCTCGAATTACAGATCAAATCGGGTCATGATGACGTTGGTTCTGGCGACGTCTACTCGCCTCAAAAGTCGCTTATGTACGCCCCCTTTGGCAGGATCATCTCATTCTTGCCTCAGCCTCGCGCGGTCTATGACGCCATCTCCGTTCTCATGGCTGTTCGCGATCGACGTATTCCTGATGAAGGTGCGTATGTGTTCCCGTACAAGGACAACTTTGAAGGTGGAAAAAGGAGCATCGAAGAGTTGGGCCAGGTTACCAAGAAGAGATATCCAAGTCGTACATACGAAAGCTGGCAAGCGTGGAGCGCATACTTCCCACAAAAAGACGACCCCGTGTTTAGAAATGGCGATGTATCGGGGAACGGCAAGACTGTAAAGGTTGACGAAGAGCAAGTAGGTGGTAGTGAGCAGTGAGCCAAAAAGTAGGATAGGGGTTTGGGTTCGTCTGTCGCTTCTGGAGTTTGTTGGTTGAAATATATATTCTACGTAACTAACGGTCCAGGAGGTACATCGTTCTTTCCATTCATTGGTCTTGGTCAACATCATGCAGCACTGCAGCTTTCCACAAATATGACGCGTGAAGTTTTATCGTTGCAAAGCATGACATCTAATTACAGCCAGTGAGGTCCGGGGAGCTCCTTCCTCCACTTCACAACACAACTCACAAGGCCAACAGGCTGCGAATGCTACTGCCTCAATGCAAAACGAAAACGGAATCTCTCGATGACTCGAACCCATGCCCTCCCAATCCAACCTCTATAAATCATCGAAACACAATTTGCCGTAACAAATGCAGCGGTAGCTCAATGGCTAGAGCGCCTCTCCCATTAGATGGCTGACCAGCATCATCACCTAATTCCTCCTGGGCGCCTCGGAACCGGGGACGCAGGGCGGTTAGAACTGATGAGCTTGCACTCTAATGTTCTGCGCAAGGGAATTGGGATGGATCGAGATGGAGATGTGAGTTCGATTCTCACCTGCTGCAAATTATTTTTCATTTTTGGTCAGTCGAGTTTTGATCGTTCTCGCTCTAGGGGTTGTTATAAAACAGCTAGTAGAATGCACGATATCAATCTCGCCAGAAGCTTTGTCACAGAGAAAGCATTGAAGGGGGTCTGTCTTCTCTGGAAACCACTTTGTTCGCCACGTTATCATGCATTTTCATAGCTATGTTGTGACAGTGTCTATGTCACGGAGAGCTGGGGACGCGGTAAATCAGATGTGCCTGCCCCGCCAAGTAGGTAGTACCTGTCAATCGTCTTCATTCTCACCAAACACAGAATATGTTTTGGATCCATGCATGACTCCAGCCATATGGTCCTCTAGTCTTCTTTCTGGAGCAGCAATTATCATAATCCTAGAAGAGACCCGAAAAGGCACCAAAAACAATCAATTTTAAAGTAGATGTAGCAATTTTCATTCATGTATACAGAAAGAGATAATATAAACATTAGCTTAGTGAAAAGGACCGTGGTAACCTTTTTCCAGGTATCATAATTCTCCAAAGGACAGATTTCCTCCCATATCGTTTCCTATTTTGCATCTTACAATCTTCCCAAAGAATTCACAACCTTAAGCAACGGTGACGAAAGCACCGAGAGCACAAGGGTTGTAGTCGTTGAACAGGTTAACAGCAACCGAATCAGCAGTGCTGAAAGTGTAAGTAACGAACTTGCCAGCAGCGCAAGCGCCAGACTCAATCATGTAAGCATTTCCAGGCTGAGGAGCAAAGCTGTAGATAACCTTGCCATCCTTGGAGACATCGATCATGCCAGAGCCAGACAAGCTGTAGCCCGAGGTGGTAAGATCAGAAGCCTTGGGGAGGGAGAAGTAGGTGCTGCAGGTCTTGCCAGAGTCGGCCTGGGGAATGTCAAAGCCGACGTCGGTCTTGGTGTCCTTGTTGATGGTGATGTTGTAGCCGTTGACGCCGTTCACGCGGAGGGCGTGGGGGTACTCGTAGGCGCCGGCCTTGAGGTCGAGAGGGCACTTGCCAGTTGCGGAAGGAGCAGGTGCAGAGGAAGCAGGCTTAGAGCTCATGACGGGAGAGGAAGCGGCACTGGAAGTCATCATGGGAGGGGGGTTGGAAGTCATCATAGAAGAGGCAGGAGCGCTAGAAGAAGCCATGGAAGTCTCCTGCTGCTTGGAAACAGTGACATACTGGACCTGAGTGACAGTGACGGTCTGAGCGAGAGGGCACTCGCAGGTAGGTGCAGGCCCAGTAGAGGCAGGGGCAACGGGCATCGAGGATGGGGCCATCGAGGATGCGGGCATCGAGCTGGCAGGAGGAGCAGGCTTCGAGCTGACCGGAACAGGCGAGGGAGTCATAACAACAGACTTGGTAATGGTGTCGGTCTTGACCTGAGTGGTAGGGCAAGGAACTGTGAGGGTAGTAGATGCGGTCACAGTGATAGTCTTGCTGTTGATGGTAACAACAGTTGGGGTGGGGCACACAGTAACGTAGTCGGTGGTGAAAACTGTGGTGTAAGTGGTCATCTCGGTCCAAGTCGAGGTGGTGGGCATCATTGAAGAGCTTTTTGTGGCCGAGTAGGGGATGAAAGTAGAGATCAGACCACTGGTGCCGAAGGGATTCTGGCCAAGGCATCCAGCGTAGTTAGCAGCACACTGGGCCATGTTGGCAGAAAGTCCATCAGGACCACGGGTAGTTCTGCAGGTGTTGTAGGCTGCGTAGCAAGCACCCTGGCAAGCTGCGTTCTGAGCAGCGCAGTAAGCTTGATTGGCAGAAAGACCATCAACTGGTGTAATTCTGCAGGTGTTGTATTGAGCAACACATCCAACGGCAGATGCGCTGGGAGCAGGGGTGGTGCTGGCGGCATTCACGGGCTTGGTAACGGTAGCGGTTGTGGGGCATGGCACGGTCAAGGTCGTCGCCTTTGTAACTGTGATAGTCTGGGTTCCGACCGTGACGACGGTGGGACTCGGGCAATATGTCACGAAGTCTGTGGTGTACACTGTAGTGTATGTAGTGCTTGAAGGAGTGACCAGAGTCAAGTGGCCAGAGGTTGAGATACAAGAAGCCCCACCTGGGTAAGAATGGGCAGGATTGCAGGCGTAGGTCGTCATTGAGGAGTTCGAAGCACTGCTCGAGGTCCAAGAGGAGCTAGGGGACGAAGAGGATTGCCATGAGGAGCTGCTAGAAGGCTTCCAGCTCGAGCTTGACTCCCACTTGGAAGAGCTTGAAGACTTAGTAGAGATCCAAGAGGAGCTGGAAGATGTGGTAGGCTGCTCCCATTTAGAAGTGGAGGCGGTGGAGGTAGTGTTCATAGGCCAGGCAGCAGCGAGGGTGGTGAGGAACGAGAGGACCGAAACGGTCTTGATGGAGTTCATCTTGAGCGAGAGATGGAGTGAATGACTACAGAAGAAGAAAGTGCTCGATGCTGATGATAGAAAAAGGAGAATCGATTGCAGGACGAGAATGCCTTCTTATATACCATTCACCTCAGGATATCTCAGCAGACTTTACATTTTGGATAAAGCATGTCAATGGTAAAGACGGAAGCTTTGCCCGGCACGCTCGCATCAACCAAGACTCAACCATCTAGGGCTGCATCAAGCAAGCGCAAGATAGCGGAGAAGAAGGATTGTGGCATTCCCGTATTCGTGAAGGCGGAATGGCAAAAAGGTTCTTTGCCGATGAGTTTCCACTTACGACATCAGATGAGAGGAATCTGTATGATACAAGACTATTTTTGTCGACACTGGACTGCTTTGGCTTTCCAAGAAGTATACCATGGCTGCTTTCCCCAGGTGTTAGTAGCTTTCTGAACTTAGCCGTTGCGGTTAGGGTAGGTCGTGCGCCAAGGGACCGCACCGAAGGTTAAAGCCACGATTCCTATCTTTAGACCGTTACAAGCAAAAATCTGGCGGAGGATTCACACACGGGCAGAACCATTTGATTTAAGCATGTCTTGGGCTCGTCATGGGCTTAATCTAGTCGGCATTAGGCATCTGGAAATACGACCCGGGTCGAAGCGGCTCTCGATCGCGGGGTTGCATTTCAAAGTCGTCAACTTGAGGAATTGGTAAACGCGGAGGGTCTCAGAGCGACGGGCCGAGCGATGTGTGGAGAGGTGGAACGTACAGTCGTAGAGAAGGATCGTGAATCATTGGTATCCAATTGGAATGTTCGTGACTTCCACTCCTCTTTGCATTTTGTTGCCTGATGTCTTCTAGTCTTGCTCTGCATGGCGGAGAGCAGCCCGTACTCTCAAGAAAGCCACAAAACCATGATGTTGATTTTGTTCGTGATGGTGGATCTGGAATTTAGCTTACGAGAAGATGCATCAATGTGCTTCCTGCAAGGCACGGCTGAACAAACTGATCAGTAAACCAGCTCTCACAGGTTCAACATGCTGAGTGGTATTCGGATTCATCGATCAACGCTGCAAGCCCTGTAGATCATCAGTCTAAGAGGAAGTCAGTCCTTCGATAGAGGGCTGTGCCTGCTTCTCGCGAAGTTTGGTTGATCCTAAAGCCTCCCACGTTGTCGCCGCGCTGCGGCGCTCGCCATTGAGAGCTACATCTGTCACAACGTGCCAATTCTTGGTACGGCATGGCATGCTTTGTTTTTTTTCGCATTGATCCTGCTTGGTGTACTGGCCTGTACCATCGTCGATACTTTGATCTCGTATGCAGTGCATTGCATTCATCCATACGAGAAGCCATAACAATGACAATTGAGTATTCCTTGAGCCGCGATCTCCAGTATCGAGTCTCCAAACGTCTTTGAGACATTGGCGTTGAGAGACTACAACGTCCACGGCAGAGCGTCATGAGACAGCGTTTGCAACCGCGGTTCAACGCAGAAGTCGTCGTTATGTCTCACAGACACGACGTTGAGTGCGGCAAAGAGCCGTGAAAAGAGCAATGTCTTGCTACAGTAGATGCGGCATTTCTCGAATGAGATAGGGTATGTCGGGTGTCAACTATGATCTGCTCGCTGAACACGAGGCGAATGCGTGGGCGAACGCGTACTGGTACGCGCCGGGAATTACGGCTGACACGACTTCTGGCCTGTTTGGATATGTGCGCTTCCGAAGCCTTGTCTTTGGCGTGACCCTGTTGGCGACGTGAGAATATCTTTGTGGACTCGAAATTGATCCTCGGTACAGGTCGGTGAGGCAGTGGGAATTAGTCACACGGAAATGTAGGATACTAGCATTTTATTGTGTCTTATACTGTGTTGCCATTCTCATCATTATGTAACTCTGGGGAATTCAATGAATCCATGGACGACCTGTGTCTATCGAAAAGCGGCGAAGTCTTGAGCGAGCAAGAGCAGAGGCCATATCTCTAGACTTAATAAGCAAGCCAAGCAGCCTATTCAGGAACCCATTCGACAGCTTGAAGGTATACTGACCGTGATATCGCTGCCAGATGAATGGTACAGGGTCGTAACAGAGACCTCCAGCGATCTTTGTCGGCAAATCGCGGATCACAACCGTGACCCGATCGAGGGTTCAAGCCTCTGAACCATGAACATTACCTGCCTCCCTCTCTTTACCCCTCTCGATAAAGAGTTCACGCCTCCAACCAAACCATTTAGTCATTCGCTTGGCAATGCTACGCAACATGATGGGGTTGATGGTGGGTGACGGATGTGGGCGGTGAACCACGATCGTTCTGACACCCTCGCATCTTTCCTCGTCCTGCTTGAGAGTGATGGCACTGCCTTGACTTTGCAGAATGGAGAAGCCAGCATCGATCATCGCGCTCAAAAAATGCTGCCATGAGAAAGAACGCTGCGACTCTTCGCCGCAAGATGGAAACATGTGATGGAAAATTGTCATGTTGTCATGCTTGACGGGAATGAGGCTGATAGGAGCTGGAAGCTTGGAAGGCGGGCTCGAAACAGGTGGTGGTTGTGGTTGGAGCAATGTTCCTGATGCCTCCGGCTTCTTTTGACGCCTTGTCTTATTGCTGCTTTGCAGAAGCGATGGAGCCTGATTTTCGTCACCCCAAACAGTCTGCATCTCCACAGGAGTGACAGAATGGCTCTGTTCATGCATGCGGCGCTTGTACTCCTGGTAGCGAACATCGTCTCTTTCAGCTGCGACTTCCGCAAGGTATTCTTCACTCTCATGAATACGCATCATAGCAAGGTCCTCGTCGATACTGCTTGACCAAACTCCATTTTCGCCTAACTTCTTTGCCCATTGCAACCTGAAAGCCTGCCAGAAACGATGCAAAGAAGCACGTGATGCAGTTGCTTGCTTCAACCATTGCTCATTCTTCATTCCCTTGGGCCAAGGGTGCTTTGTGCAAAAGTCGTCCAGGTATTTCGCAGTGGCGTCTCCAATGGCTTTACCTTTGGTACTGTTGCTCTTTTTGATCCAGTTTTCTCGGCTTTTGGTTTCCTCAGCAGGAATCTTACACGTGCGTTCTCTGTTGAATGATCGAAGACACTGGATGTTGGTGCTGATTGTGTTCAGAGCAGCCATATCGGAAAGCTCATCGACAAGGTTCTGATCCATACGCGAAGCCTCCTTGGGATCTGTACGACAGATATAGTCGATGATCCTGAAGTTCAGAGAGGGGTCCATTGTGAAAGGGCGATATTCGTCGTGTCCCATGCAACTGATGCTCCAGTACAAAATGTCTTGTGGGAACCAGTCTTTAGTGGTGAATTGTCTGTTGAGGTGATGGTCACGACCGCTGCCAGTGAACTCGAAATTGCGCTCAAAGCCACGCTGGTATATCAAGCTCGAAAGATTGATGAGGACGGCAAACATCTCCAGACACAAGTCTTGCACAATTAGGATTGCCTACGCGCAGGACATGGTCAGCATCATCTCACGACTTCTGCCAACCACGTTAGTCAACTTACATCGTTGTAGAGTGCTCGAGTGGCATCGGATGGATTTTCGACAGATGCCAACCAGGCACGCTCCATCTTATCACATTCAAAGAGCATCTGACGCCAGTAACATTCCCTTATCAAAGGGTTGAGGAAGACCTGGTCGACGACGTGGGGCCATTTGTCACTATGCTTCATTGTCTCGAGGAAAAGGGCATTTTTGTATGCTCGTGCATGATGCTGGACGTAGGCGGGATCGGTCTGAAGCAGTTCAATGTGGTCTCTAAGGACACGATGACGAGACTTGGCGAGCTCATGAGTCTCGACTGGATCGAATTTTGGAGGGCTGCAGAAAGGTCTAGCGGATTCGGTAGACCAAGCGAAGTTGGAGTCGATACGAGAGAAGCCGGCGTTCACAAGCTGATTCCACTTGTTGTGAACCCGTTGAACCGGAGGCTCATTGGCCTCATCGAGGAGACCCGCAACACACTTGCGAAGAAAGGCCATCATCCTCTGCTGAGCCTGGAGAATGGTGTAGGCTTTGGTGAAACCGATGATCTGATAGCGGTGTGCTTGCTCAGCATTCCACTTGACCAGTTTGCCGAGATCAGGGCCTTGCATAACGACGCAATGAGGGTTGAAGGTTTGCGTGATGATACCGAAACGCTCAGCTAGATCGGCATTCATGTCGTCAAACAAGATCCAGTCCTCGGGTTCACGTGTAGTGCGGTGGTGCAGTAGAGCAAGCAGGAGTGATGGGTCTTCGCTGAGCATGTCTGAGTCGAGATAGGGTAAGAGCCAGGTGTCTTGATAGGTCGAGGTCATCTTAGTAAGCCTGCTTCCGTGGAGAGATTGAGAAAGCCATTCCTTGACCTTTGGGTCGTTGATGCCTTGCAAAGAACGCATCAGCTCAGAGTTGAAGTCGCAGTTTTCTGGGCTGCTGCGCATGTGAAGTAGATGGATGGCGGCGAATTTCTTGTCAAAAACGTCGACATTCTCTGACAAAAAAACAGAACGCTTCTCACGCGACTTCTTCTTCCAGCGCGTGACAAGAAAGTCAGCATGGTCTGCAAGGACCTGTCGGAGGAAAGTCAAATCTTGACGAGCGTCACAGACGAGAGATGAGACAAGCTGAAGAGCCTCCTGATCGGTGACATGAACAGTAGCCGGAAAGTACTGACCACAGCAAACCTCACATTTACAGGCGGCGAAGGGTAACTTGGGGGGCTTTTCCACGTCGAAGACCTGGCCGACGGCAGGTTTGGTCTTTTTCCAGTCCGGGTGGGGAAGGATGATGGCGGTCGGTTTGTTACGCATGAGAGAATGTCGTATAGCCCAGAGTTCATCATCACCCTCCTGTTTGTTCTCACGTTGCTGCTCGAGGATCTCCTTCCAGATGTCCATGGACCGGGAAGATTGGAACGCGAACTTCTGCATTCTTGCACGAAGGAAGAGTGCAGAATGCGGCAATGGAGCTGGCACAGAGCTGAAGGTGATCTGGTCAGAGTGAATTTCGCGATGATGAGAAAGGAAGTGGTGAAAAGTGAAGGAGAGCGCGCACAGGGTGTAAAGCGCAGAACAAAAAGCGCAGAATGCAAGATGCAGAGGTGAGAATGGGATGGAGCTGACGTTAAAGGGCAAAGTCGTGCCGATGGAAGAGAAAGAGAGAGGGGGGAAGAAGAGGAAGAAGTGAAAGTGAGGAAAAGTGCGGAACAACGAACGATTTGTGTTTGATGGAAGGCGCATGCAGGCACCCGTGGCGCGCGTATGGAAGTGACGACTCACCTCCGTTAGCGACCGAATCTGGAACAACACAATATAGCAGAAAACTCCGTTATCCATGCCGCTGTATGTACCTGAACTACTAAATTAATGGGTATATGCCATCCAGATAAACACAAACAAACGCGCCTATATTAAGCCTTTGTGATCAAAGGTACGGGTCGACCTCCAGACGATAATATGCATGCTCCTTCTTTTTTTGCCATGCTTTGTACGCGCGCCAACTCTCGAAAACCAGGATTGAGAACATTGTAAAGGACATGGCGGCCATGATCAAAGCAACAGGTGCTGCAGAGAGGGTCTTGCTATCCGACGTAATGTACATGTTGTTGATCTCGTCGCAATGAAATCCCTGAACAAGTCATTAGCACAATGAAAACAATGTCGAGGAAAGTCGCTTACCTTCGTGAAGGGCAGCTCCATTGCCTCCGAGACACCGAGCACATTTTCATCTACATCCAATGCAATGACACGTACAAATCGGGTCACGCATCCGCCAATCCCGACCTCTGTTTCGAACCCTTCCTTTTGGGTAATGCTGGTATAGACCCAATCAGCATAGTAGTCTCCACTGATATCATTGTGCTGCAGCGCATATGATACAACTTCAGTAGCTCCATTCCAGGACACAAAGAGACCGTCTCGCTCAGAGTTGTGGACCATCGAAATAGGCTCGCTCGGCAGCCCTATCCAGGGATATCGCATCACATGATAGGATTGAACAGATCCATTGAGTATGGCAGCCTCTGTTCCAAAATGATCGTCGCAAAAGAGCTTGCCTGAGGCAGAGTATGAAGACCATACCGATCGTGCACCCCAACCAATCAAGATGCTTGGATCTTGGTTGGCATCGGCAGTAGGAACAACCTGCAAGCTTCCTTGACTGTCGGCAACCAACTCATTCGGATGGAGATACTCTCGGACGACACGAGCTTTGTAGTCGTTCTTGTTGATCTCGCCATCAAGGACAGGACGAGTGGGATAAGAAACAGCAAGAAGCAGTCCTCTCGAAGCCATCCCAGAGTCCCACGTATCGTCGTTTCTATTGTCAAAAAGACTAATTAAGCGCGTGGTGATGCCTTCTTGCCTAGTACCAAAGTCCGCGACCAGACTCGGGAACTCGTCAATGGAGTGGAATTGCGCGAAATGCTGAGAGGAGAAATCAAAGGCGTGATCGTCTGATGTGAACATGTTGCGCTTGCCTCCAAGCGTCCAGATCAAGTCACCAGTCTGGCCATCGATATAGCTTATAGAGTGCGTGTACCGAGCTGAGACGAGATAGTTGCCCAGGTCGTCCTTCTCGACCGAGTTGAGATGATACCAATCCCAATGTGTGTGGTTGGTTGCTCCCTCCTCTTCGTAGCGTGGATCATGATATGATTCGGATGTATCATGATAGTCTGAGGCACGCCATTGGAAAACGAGACTGTTGGTCGATATATCAATCTCTTGAAATAGGCAGTCCCAGATGTATTCCAGTTTTCCTTCCTTCTCTTTCTCATATTGCTCATATATACTGATGATGGCGGTATCGTTCGGTGTGAGGCTTAGGGAATGCAAATCGGCGCGTAGGTCGCCCAAGGCAGAAATCTTCGAAACCAGATCGTAAGACGAATTCAGCAGGTAATAGTCTCCTTCTCCATGACCCCCGACGGTATCATCGCCTAGCCAGTAGGTCAGGTGTGGAGCGCCCTGGTATGTTTGCACATCAAGGTTGTAGGGTTGTCCTTCCGTCTTTTGCATCCATACAAGTTCTCCTTGGTCGTCGAGTATTACCATACCACGACTTTCGTTGACGGCGGTACCTCGAGGTGTAAGAAATGTCAGCAGACCATCCTGACATGCTGGTGAATCGATCTTGTGTGCCACAGCCGGAGACGTCAGGTCGGTAGACTCAAACGTTCGATAGGGATAGTGGCCATAATCGTGTTCCCAAGCTGTCAAATCTGTAGGATCGTAGTCGAAGCCAACGTCGTCTGCTAGTGTGTAGTATGTCAGTAGCGATAGCTGAACCAGCAGCAAAGCAGCACAATGCATATCCGTCCCTTTCTTGGCCAAGACGTTGCCCGAGATTCGTTCAGGCACCCTTACGCAAGCACAAGGGGTAGGCTTCAGTCAAGGATAGGGCTCATGTTGTATGAGACGGATGAATACAACAGTCGCGAGTTGATCGCGGCCGTATAGAAGAGGGCACTCGAGGCCTAGGGAGCCCTGAGCCCTGTTGGCCCATGAGTCGGCACTGATGATGCTTGTATCTCTAGTTTTGCATCAAGGAGTGGTTGGGGCCCGTCGCCAAGAACAAGTCGGCCGCACCTTCTCATCGCTCTTTCATTGATTCCTACTACGACGACACGAATTTTGCGGGCGGAAGTGGTATGTTCTGCATCAGCTGAACAGCGGCAAGAAAATGATATAAATCACAACATGATACGAACTTAAAGAAGCCTTCTAGAAGTCAGAATACGAGATCCTCCAACGAAAATGCCAAGACTCCACCACCCGCGTCATATCGCCTCGATCGACCCGACAGATTTGTTTCATCAATTCGCAATTCTCTTCTAATCAATTGTTCCCACCGCCTTTAATGCCGCGATACTCACGAATATATAGGGTCATGATGTGTGGATGGGCTAGCGTAGGGGCTAAATTCTGTATAACAATATCTTTTGGGTTGTGATAAAGTCTGTCAATTAATTCTAGAGCCAAAAAAAAAAACAGAAGCGAATATATTGCATCTCAGCAGCCGTTGAGGAACACCGTCTCCTCGGTCCTCTTGCTCGTTCATCAAAGAGCGCCATGTCTAGCCTTGATAATATCGGCAGCCTTCTCAGCAACGGCATAGACAGTAGCTTGCAGATGAGTACCCGGGATGAGTGGCATAATGGAAGCATCGACAATGGTAACCTTCTTGATACCATAAACTTGGAGGCCAGAATCGACGACACCACCAAGATCTCTCGGCATCATAGCACATGATGAAGCAGGATGAGCAAAGGTGGGCAACACAAGACCCGATGCAATCTGCGACTTGAGCTCATCATCAGTCTGGTACTTAGTGCCTGGGGTGAGCTCGACCGGCTCGAAGACAGACAGCGCAGAAGTGTTGTAGATCTGACGAGTGTAGCGAATGCTGGCAAGCAGAAGGTCCATGTCAACGGGGTTCTGAAGACCGTGATAATCGATGATTGGCTCGCCGTAAGGGTTTTTAGGGTTGATGTAAACAGTACCACGGCTGGTAGGCTTCTGAAGAGCAGTGATAGCAAAACCGCCACCCTGGAAAGAGAACTCATACATCGAGGCATTGTCAGAGTTGAACTGTTGAACCTGGATCTTGCGTTGTGCTTCGTAACCAGCAACGAGTTCAGGGTAATCAGAGTATATGGCAGGGAGATAGTCGGCGGCTTCTTGAGAAGCGAGCTTATTTGCGATTGTCTTGTAAGTGTCCGGAGCAATCTTCGAAAGAGGCAAGAACGCAGCACCGTTTCCATGAGCCTGTGTATATGGGCCAGTCTTGTTGGCAACATATTCGTCGTAAGAAGTAGCGTTGAAAGTTGCATTGTTGGTCAAAGAGTTTGTGTTAGGAGTTGTGTCGTTGTTGAAGTTCCACATCAGGTACGCTGCAGGGTGGTCCTGGAAGTTGTTGCCAACACCAGGAAGGTCGACCTTGACTTTGAGACCTGCTTCTTTGAGCACGCTAGCAGGACCTACACCACTGAGTTGCAGAATTTGTGGAGTGTGGATGGCACCAGCGGCGAGAATAAGCTCCATATCGGCGTAAGCAGTGTAGGTCTTACCAGTGTCTCTGTCAAGCAGCTTGACACCTTTGGCTGTCAGAGTAGCGAAGACGATCTCTTGAACTTGTACGCCAGTAACGACCTTGAGGTTGGGACGAGAAGCAATGGGGTCATAGTACGCAGAACGGGCTGAGGATCTTGTCTGATACTTGGGGTCGGTACTGGCAGGAACCCAAAAGTGTCCAGGCTCGCCGAGAGCACCTTCTTGCACCTTGTTGATCTTCATCTCCTCCATGGCATCCCAGAAAGCGGGCATTTCAGGATACTGCCACTCAGGTAGAGAGACTTGGACAGGTCCATTGCCATAAGCCGATAGATCATAAGTGTAGTTGTACTTGTCGAGAGTCTCCTTCTTGTTAGGAGTGAAAGTGCTGCTCTGTTTGCTCAATAAGCCATCTATTGTGACAGTATGGTGACGAGAGACGCACCTTCTTGAAGTAAGTAAGCAAGTTGCTCCAGTCCCAGCCATCATTACCAAGCTCGCCCCAAGCATCATAATCAGGTTGAGTACCACGATCATAGCCCATACCATTCACGATGGAACCGCCTCCAAGGACCTTGCCAGCATAGGCTACGAAAGTTTGGTTTTGAAGATTCTCTTGAGGGGTCGAATTGATCTCGAACATGTCGGGATCATTGTACGCGGTACCATAATAAGGCCACAGAGTTTTGGTTGAGTTGTCATTGTAACCATACTCAAGGACGAGAACAGATTCTGGTCATTGTCAGTCGAGCTTCTTGTCGGCAAAATGAAGCCATACTTTGTGCTTTCTCTGAAAGTCTGTTTGCAACGACCAGACCTGATACACCACCGCCAACAATGATATAGTCGTAAGTCCCAGTGAGAGTCTGTTCGCGAGTGGTGGTACCAAGGACCACGTCAGCCGACAGGAGAAGCACAGAAGAGATGACTGCTGTCAAGCGAGTCAGGGAAGAGAAAACAGGCGCCATGATGTTTCAAAAGGAGTGTATTTGAAGAGAATGAGCCCCTCAGTAGAGGCGTCGAATTCCAGGATGAACCAAAGTACTTATGTCTATTGCTCGAACGTAAAGATCCACAATTTTCATATACTGGCATATCCGCGACTCCTGCCCATGCGAACGAGGGCTTCGGTAAACGAGATCTCTTACATAGATGAAGCTTTGATAGCAGCTATCGGTGTATGAGGTCCGTGGCGATCGCATCGTATATGGCGTAGCTTAGTTGATACTGAGGCAAATGCCCAGTGGATAATCACATGTTGACTGTCGGTCGCCAGGGTACAGTAATTTCGTAGTGCATCCATGTCATTCTTCCGCCTATGAAGGTTTAAGATGGAAGAATATGTTGAGCGATGGCCACGAGAACATGATGATCCTGTTTCGGAAAGAACTTGATGTGGGGAAGCTGTGACCGTTGCCAAGAGCTGACATCTCTCAAGTTTAATATCAGGCAGCAAGCTTGTGCTCTCTTCAACCTTCAGCTTCAAGTGTTCTAACCTCACGATTATCGAGGCTTTAAAGTCGCTACTTCCGTACGGCGAAGGAGCCGTAACACGTGGTGTGACACATCCTCTTGTATGTGGGATGCACGGCCGAAGGAGGCAAGTCCTTTCAAAGTGCCGGGAGCTCTGTTCGTTTGACGAAACCTCCGTCCGAGCTTAGACCAAAGAATGCTTTAGGGCAGTCGATCATTGTTCTCGATTTCTACCGAGACCTCGTTAAGAAGCAACCCATTGACCACAGACACACGTCTCGCAATCGGATGGCGTTCTTTGCTCCAACCATGGCTCGGAGATCGCGTGGTTGCGATGATCCCGCTATGACTTCTTCTTCGGAATGCTTGGTCCCTGCTATGGCCCTATGGGTAGCCGCACACGGCATCGCCGACAGCCATTGCCCTTTTGAAGATGCTGGCTGAGGGCTTGCTGTTTCGAAGGATGGTTAAGCGAGCCACCCGGTAGCCTCGTCCGCCAGACGAGATCTCGGATCTTGTAAGTTCTCAAGCGGTATGTCTGGAAAGGGCCATAACTCGGGTCGATCAATCGCTTTGACAAGGGTGTTGTGGTGGCCAATGACTACAAGAACCCTGACAAGCCTACATCTCATTAATTTACCTGGTATCTTTGCCAAGTGCAAACTCAGGGCAGCTTGTTGGTTTCGAACAAATCACCAAACCATTTGGTCTGGACTTGGTCACAAAGCCTCTATGCCGTCGCTGAGTTGATTCTGTGACCTTTTCTCGAGCCCTCTCGTTGTCCAGATCGCACCTTCGACGGCCATGGAAAGCCGGCAGAATGCGATTGTTGTTCCGGAAGTCATATTCGCCATTCTTTCTGGATCCATCGTATTCTGGAGAGTAATCAACAATGTGGTCTTGAAGAGGTTGTTTAGGCTCGCAGACCTGCTCATATTTCTGGCTTTGGTAATAAATGTGTAATGCTCCAAATCTCCCAAAGGCTGACGTCTCGTAGGTGAGCAACCTGGTAGCCTTGTCATGTAGTTCGCTGTCGACACAATATGGCTTGGGAAGACACATCTATGATCCATCTATCACACCTGAAATGCTCGAGACATGTTTGCGATGGATTTGGATTGGAGAAGCGACAAATCTGATTGCGATGCTCTTTGCCAAACTCAGCATTGCTTCTTTCCTCTTATACTTGGACTTCGCACCTGGATACAAGATAGCCATGTGGATCACAGTTGGTATTGTTCTTGTCTGCAATGGGGCTGTCGCTTTGACGTCGATCTTTGGATCTTGTGATCCGATATCCCTGAACTGGGACATGAAGCAGCCAGGCCAGTGTTGGGACCCTGTCATAAATAAGATCTGTACTTACGTTCAGAGTGGTATGGATGCCCAGATACTGCGGTTCAAATGATTGGCTAACTGTCTCCAGGCTCCAACATCGTGACTGATATATTGTATACATCGGTGCCGATCTTCTACCTCTCGACTGTCAAATTGGGTGCAAACGTTCAGTGGGGACTGCGTATTGTTCTGCTGTTTGGCTTGATGTATGTTCTTTGATTGCGTTCGGCCGAACATAACACTGACTGATTAGTGCGACGGTCTGCTCGATCGTGAAGATTGCAGTTGCTGGAAAAATGTTCAACACGCATGACGCTACATGTATGTTTCTGGCAGAGAAGCTATAGTAACATGCTGACAAACTCAACAGGGGACGCCGTCGACTTGTCTATATGGAGCACAGCAGAGGTCAACGTGTGCATAATTGCGGCCTGCCTACCTCCCCTCAGAAGCCAATTCGACTCTTTCTTGAGACGCTTCTTCGGTCTGGCATTCTCACGATCCACAAACCGCAGTCGTCCGACTTACGGCTCGCATTCGATTGCACTCCAAACACAAAGCAAGTCTCATCGAACAATCATCGAGGTCGAAGCCCAAGACTTTGGAAGCGAACGTTCCATCCTTCCACCTGATGATGTAGAAGACGGAATTATAAGAAAGACCCGACAGGTGCAGGTCAAATACGAAGAGCACGGACGAGATGGAACATATTCGCCGGAACTATACGCTGGTCCAGGTCGACAGTAAACATTTCGGAGACGGAAGCTGGGCATTCCCGAAATTCTATACCATCGTTCAAACATGCAATGAACCCTTTCACAAACGGCTTTTAACCAGCCTCATTACCTGTAACCGTTTTGCGGAGATGACATGCGGGCATAGAAATGACGACTTGACCGGCGAACTCGCAATTTCTAGGTCAAAAATCGATTCGAGATGATCAGTAAAGGTAAGAAGTACTTTGTTGATATTTCTATCAGGATATATACATTATTTGTTGGGGATATAGGTCGTAGCCAAGTATAAGCACCAAGACCTCAAGGTTTCTTTTGATGATGCGGCTGTTTCACAACACATGTGCCGTATGATGCGTACGACCCTGGCAAAACGTCTGACGTGCAGCAACGTTTCTCGGCGGACTTAACGGTCGAATATTGCCAAAGTGATCGGCAGTAACATTATTGCCCAAAACAACCCGAATTGTGTATGGCGTCTGCGACATTTCGTTGATCTGTATTGCGTGGCTCTGAGGCCAAAGATCCGTGGCTATCAAGATTTGGGAATCTGTGGTGTATGCCGGAATGGCCACTCATGGCGAGATGTCTCGCCGTGGCGCTTGTTTTGGTGTAGAAGTAGAGGCTTGGAGAGACAAGTCATCGTATCCTCCTTCACTCGACTTCAGGTTCGACCTTCTTCTCGTCGAGGAAGGCCTCGCGCTCGTGCTGAGCCTCAATATCTTGTTCGTCCTGTGCAGGAGTCTTTCTGAAGAGTCTGGAGACGCCGTTCCAGCATGCGGAAACGACGGGGGCGATGAGGTAGAAAACGATCGTGCTGAGAGCGACTGCGGTAGTCAAAGCAGCGATGATGGCGGTCGAATAGATAAGACGCATGACGAAGGACTCGGTAGCATGTCCGAAGAGCGGAAGGCCGAAGAAGACAAAAGTGACGTGGAAACCGCTAAGCATTGCGGACATGAAGATGGAGGCGGTATTCTCTTTTGAAGGCACGTCTGATTCTTCATCTTCGACTTGAACACCCTTGGGGTCCATGGCAGCACCGAAGCCATAGCAGACCATGAATGAGAAGGCGGTGATGATGCCGATAGAGAGCAGAAGCTCAGCAGCACCCCAGATAAGGGTCATGGCGAGGTTGAAGATAGGCATCTCGTTGTTGTAGGCAGGAAGAGCGTCGATGGTGTGGGAATACATGTTGGGTGGGTGGAGAAATATATGCTTCTGTCGGATGTTCGTATGATGTGACAAGGTGTGGCCGACGTTGGAATGTTAAACAACAGACAAAGGAATGTGAGGTCCAAGGTTTATGGAAAGAGAATGAACGTGGACAAGAAGTACACAAGTACGAGCTGATCGGCGACGCTTTCAGGTAGTATACCAATAGTTACTTATTGATTCCCATGGCGGGAATGACGGTCTTATATCAGCCAGCCACGCCGTTGGTACATCGTTGTATTGTCTCTGCCAGGAGAGCTTCAGCCGTTGCACGTTTGAACAGTTTCAACAGGGGGAAATTGTTTTTCTCATAATCCATGTCGTCGAAAGACTGAAATAGAGTGAGTGATCCACTTGAGCCGGAGCACCAGGATAAGACTGCTTCCGAGTCAAATGTTCTCAAGTCATCAAGAAAAGATGTATCTATACTCGAGTACAAGTGGGCTTCTCTTGAGTCGAGGCGTTGACGGCTGAAATCTGGGCGCCGAATATGCGGGGAAATACTTGGCTTGGCAGCTCGATGAGGAAAACGGTCCGTGCAAACTGCCATCCACTTCCGCTTCCACAACGGATGCATTTGAGCTTGTCAATGGACGCAGCTGAGCCTGTCAGTTTTCTGATTTCGGTCATCTGCGTTGTGGCATTTCGCAATCTCACTGTTGCCAGCTTTCGTCAGCTGTTTCCTGACTCTCATCAGCCTTGGATGGTATATTGGCCTCTATCATGACTGCAGTCTTCTGCTCAGCATGATGTTATGGACGAATGGTAAAGAATCGATCAACACGCAGCACGTCACCATCCAGACAGTAACGGCTTACACGAGGTGAGACTGTGGGGGATAGCGATTTGGTTCATTCCTATCAGTGAACAGCCATGACCTTAACGATATGTCACGAGCAATGACAGTCTGATGAACCGCTGGAGTTCGACCTTTAGATGATAATCTGATAAGCCAAAAGAAACAGGCAGGTTAGATGTAAGATGAGTCGAAACATCGTCGAGCAATTTCAGAACGACCAACGTTGAGATCAAATTGCACGTCGTACGTCCACGAAGCACATCATGCGGGTTGTACCTGGACCTGTGTGATCTCCACGCCGTTGGAAATATCGAACGAACACATTTAAAAATCTGCTTCCCGACACCCGTTTTCCGCCACGAACGGCCACGGCCGTCCGGCATTTATCTCGTTGTACTTCTCAATGCTTCTCGTGCATATCTGCATATCCGTCAGAGAGTGACATCAAGTCGTTCTTTGTCTCTGCACGCATACGACAATAATGGTACTATCTGTTGAACAAAGTCAACTTGTTTGCAGTTTGTCCGGCGCCTTTATGCTATATCAAATCATGTTTCGCTCATGTCCGAATATATCAGCTGAGATCGAGCATTTTCCAGAAAGAGGTTTAACCAACACAGCTGAGTCAGGTGCCAAGTCGAAACCGCCAACAGCGACTATATATCAACGTGGCTCTGTGCCACACAGCCTATGAACGCCTGCAGACCGTTGTACACGAGGTATTTGAGGCGTTGCAAATAGGTAGACCCTGTTAGCACCAACAATCATTGGCAGGATTGTTGTGGTAATCTTTTCCCCTCATGTGCTAAAATACTAACACATGCGGATACAGAAATTGCCAAGACTATCAAGATACAGGATGACGTCCGATGAGAAGCTGCAATTTACTAGCTCTCTGTGGATGCACATCTGCTCCCAGAAACAGTTGTGCACTTCTATAGTCTACTTTCTGCGTCAACTGGAGTATAAAGAAAGTTAGAGGCCTTGGCACACGGGGAGGTTGGGGTCGATATCGTTCCAGCACGGATATCGACATGCGATCAAACTCACAACAGACATCTGTCCATCGTTTCCGCTGATAGACCGCTCGGACTTGTGCTTCTGTCTGTATAAAGCTACCATGCTGAAGCCAGTGGTGATTTCTTCTACCGAACGACACCAGTTTGAGCTTGGTGCGAGCCTCATAGATGGAGCCAAGTACATGGTATAATCACATCATTCGAACAGCACGGATATCTGTTCAATGTCTTTCACAAGCATCGCAAAGCTACATACTATTATACGAAAACGGAGCTGCTAGATGTACTGCAAGCTCTCGAAACACGAGATATTCACGAATACCTGCTTGGATCTTCGTATGATTGGGAAAAAACCCCGGAGACCGCACTTGCAGGTTCTAGAGAAAACCCGAGGGTCGAGTCATGGCGGACAACGATCGGTTGTCACCACCCCTCACCCACTTCCGATGATGATCATCCCTGAGGGCTGCCGTCCTCTCTCGCAAGACCACTTTTGTGGAATATGTCAGTACTATAGTCCTTGACTGTCAATAAAGTTGTTCTCAGTCGTTAACACAACATGTGTTGATATATACAACTGACACCTGAGGAAGACAAGGCATTTTCGGAAGAGGGAAAGTTCATGTGCGGAACACAGCCGCCAACCCTCCTGCCACCCCGCAACCTGTCAACCCCGCCTCAGTCGATCTTCTCTATAATGAGGAGCAAGTACTTGCCAAGTATGTAGCTGCCTCAGAAAAAGAGGAGTCAGCTATGTTTTCTGGTGTCAAGGAGGATTGCCGGCTGAACCGGAGCAAGAGTATCCGTTGAGGGGAAGTAGAATATAAGGACCCTCATGTTCTCCAGTTATGAAAACACACCATAACACTTTTTCACACCTTGAACAACCATTGCAATCATGTCGACTATTGAGACTGTGAACTTGGAGGAGACGACGCCAATCATCCCTAAGACCTGCAAGGCTGGAGTGGTCGTAAATTCTGGCCCTGACTTTAGCGTATGTTGTCCAATGCTCTCCATCACGAGCCATACTAACAAAACGATCTCAGATTGAGGTTCAAGATGTACCTGTGCCTGAGATTGGACCTGAGGACGTGCTCATCAAACTTAATGTCACCGGTCTATGCATGTCTGACGTTCACTTCATGATGGAAGACTGGGGCATGCCACCCATGTAAGCTTTGTCGAATTCATGATAGGAGGGCAGATACTAATCAGCAACAGGTCCCAATTTGGCACCAAGTGTGCCGGCCACGAAGGCGCAGGCGTCATCGTCAAGGTTGGAGAAAGAGTCAGGAATCTCAAGGTTGGGCAAAGAGCAGGACTCAAACCCATCCAAGATGTCTGCCACACATGCGAATACTGCAAGTCTGGTAGGGAAACATACTGTCTTGGTGTCGTAATGACTGGTCTCCACATTGATGGTACGTTGGCGTTTTCTGCATTTTTGTTCGAGCACATTCGCTGATATGTCGAAAGGCTCTTACAAGCAGTACATCGTTTCTCCTGAACGCTACACTTCGCTCATCCCTGACGCTGTTCCGGATGAGATCGCTGGGCCCATCATGTGCTCTGGTAGCACTGCATACACATCCATCAAGGAGTCCGGTCTTCGCCCTGGCCAATGGGCCGTCTTCCCTGGTGGCGGCGGTGGTGTCGGTATGCAGGCTGTTCAACTGGCTATTGCCATGGGTCTCCGAGCTATCGTCGTCGATACTGGAGCCGAGAGAAAAGATGCATGCCTGAAGTTTGGCGCAGACGAGTTCATCGATTTCAAGGAGGTCGAGAATCCTGTCGAAAAAGTTTTGGAAGTCACTGGTGGTGGCGCTCATGCCGTTTTTGTGACTGGTAAGCATAGTGGTCTGACTTTGGGATTCGTACTGACATAGTCATACAGCTGTTCAAGCATACCCTACCGCACAAGGTTACCTTGGTCATAGAGCGGGTGCTCAAGTCATGTGCATCGGGTTGCCACCTGCCGGCAAGTACAACATGGATGTCAACCCATCAACTCTTGCCTTCCGCAACCAGTCCGTCAAGGGCACACTCGTCGCTGGCATGGCTGATGTGGACGAGACGATGGACTTTGCTCGCCGAGGTATGACAACATCTGTTGCAGAACTACTCAACAAGCACTAATGGGACTGGTAGGAAAACTTCGTCTTGAGCCCACGGTCGTTGGTCTTTCGAAGTTCAACGAGTCTGTGCAGAAGTTGAAGAACGGACAAGTCGCTGGGTATGTTTCCATGGTCCCACCTTACTCCGACGTTTTGCTGACTGATAGTGACTAGTCGAATTGTCGTCGATTTTAACAAGGAGTGATAACGTGTACGTGTTGGTTACTGGATTGGAGATTTTGGCCACTACTATTGGTAGTAGTTAGGTTTTGGTGTTGCGCAAAGACGCAGCGTTCACGGTCTTGTTTTGTATGACTGTCAAGTAAGCATTCGAAATCAAAAACATCCCCCCTCAAGCGATGACCTCGAACAACAATGTTGAAAGTCAGATAAAAGTGACATATCTGTGGCAAGACCTTTGAGCAAACTGGTATCAAGCTTCCGACGCGGTTGGAGGAATCTGATGTTCGCTCCTGTCAAGGGATCGCAGTACCTTTGGCACCGGAGTTGTCTGATCCTCCGAAAGATCGTTGAAAGTCTGCAACAAGCCATAGAGGAGGAGAATCGGAAGCAGGCACCGATAGGTACAATCTACTGAGAAATGATGCTCTGAGCAGACTATATTAACATATTAGCAGAAATACTAGACTTCAGACAGTTCGTTTAAGAGCTCCACAGCCGATGAGCGGATGCAAGGCATAGGTTTCATCGCAGGAGCATCTAAAGTAGACGACCCGACAGACTGCGACACAGACATGCGTAGATCGTGATTGTACGGGTTGAATCGTTGCTGGGCTTGTTATTTAGACATTGTTTGTTGGTCGTCCTCGTAGTATAACATCGTATAGAAACACGAAGACTGTCCATCGCACGTTACTTTTATATAGGTTTGCAAGTAGAACTTGACACCAGCAAGGTTAAGAGGCATTTTGACAAACCAGGAAATCGTATACAACAACTCGCAGACGAAGGCTGGAAAGAACGGCTGGTCGCGGTGCTGAGGAAGTCGCGCCAAGACGATCGCGCCTCACAAATTGGGAAATTTTGCGGCGTGAAAACCAGGTATTATTTGGTCATACACAACCAGTCCATACAATTTATAGAATGGCCGAACAAAAGACTCCTGCCGGCAAGGTTCACGCTGTCATTGACTACGAAGATCGCTATGTGCAGCCCTTAATACTGGCTGCCCTCAAGGCGCGCATGCCGGCCGACGTCTTGGTCTTGACGCACAACATTTCAGACGTACCTGCTTCGGATGCAAAGTTATTACAATGGAAGCAATACGAATCTCTGGATCTGGACCATGTGATGGAGAATTCTCAGACAAGCTTGATGAATTCATACATCATCAGAAAAGCTCTCATCAGAAAGCATTACCTGTCTACCACTGTATCCCATTGGTTGACCAAGAACCCCGAATCTTGTCTGCGAAAGAATGTCAAGCCCAGTGTTGAATTTGAGTTGGACTTTGCTGAATTCCTGGATGATGCTTTGGTCGAGGCTTTTGAACTTAGAGAAAGCTTCGAGCAAAATGAAGGACTTGAAGACTCGGAGAAGCAATGGTGGATCCTGAAACCTGGAATGAGCGATCGTGGACAGGGAATTCGTCTTTTCAACTCTGAAGAGGACTTGACTGCGATTTTTGAGTCTTGGGAGGAAGACAGCGATGACGAGGAAGCTGAGCTCTCCGGTGACGAAGACGAACAAAAGGTAGACGATGAGGAGGATGAAGGTAATGGCTTGATCACATCTCAACTCCGACACTTTATCGCACAGCCATACATCCACCCGCCTCTGTTGCTTCCAAGTCCTTTCGCCTCGGCAAACCGCAAATTCCACATTCGCACCTATGTTTTGGCAGTAGGAGCCTTGAAGGTCTTCGTTTACAAGCCTATGCTTGCTCTGTTTGCTGGCAAGACATACACTGCTCCTTGGGAGAGTGAAGACCCCAACGAAGAACTTGCAAGTCACCTCACAAACACATGTATGCAAACTGGAGAACGCGAAGGAAGCGTGCACGCTTTCTGGTCCTTGCCTGACGATGTTCCTGGCTTGCCGTCTGACTGGAAGCAAAACACTTTCGACCAGATCTGTAAGATTACCGGCGAAGTATTCGAGGGAGCCGCCAGGGGCATGATGGTCCACTTCCAACCTTTGCCCAATGCTTTTGAACTCTTTGGTGTCGATTTCATGCTGGATGCAGAAGGAACTCCCTACCTGCTCGAGATCAATGCTTTCCCTGACTTTGCTCAGACTGGAGATGAGCTCAACAGTATTGTACAGGGACTCTTTGAGGAGGTAGTCGATGTGGCCATCAAGCCTTTCTTCGGCCTGGCGACAGAAGAGGAGTCGGCATCGCAAAGAGAGCGCATGGCTTTGGCACTGGATATCGACTTGGGCAGGAACTAAGAAGAATCCATTCGGGAATCAAAAGTTGATCCACCTTGTCATAACAGTCAACATCAGAGAGCGGCCCAGTCGCTGCTCTCGAAGGAGCATGTTATATCAGTCGGCACTCTGCCTCTTGTCAACTGCATCGAATTTTTACAGGAAAGCTCGGTTGGGAAGCGATTCTTCTGTACGGACCGTCGCTCTTCGAGGCCCCTGGCCGTCGCTTCTGGAAGCCTTGTGAGCTGGCCTCTCGATGCCTTTCGAACTGACCCCCCCGATGCCTAGTGATGCTGCTTCTCAACGCCTCGTGCTGTTGTTCTCCGATACTTCGTGTCTCGTCGTGTCATACTGTCGTGCTGTCTGACAAACAATCGCATTCTTGTCGACTGAAATGCTTCCGCACCCCGTACCGTCGCGCCGGAGCACCTCTGATCGTTACTCACTCGTCGAAATCTTGTGATGCTGCTCTCCAAAGCACGACATCATCATTTGTCCACTATCACTCTCAGTTTCCACACTCTCACACCATTGTAGCCTATATAGATACAAGCCACCAGCCTTAAAGTCTTCCATCAACTTACCCCTTTGAATCTGAGATCTAATCATGGCCCACAACTCGACCAAAGCCAAGGCAGACACCCAACAATTGTAAGCTCTCAGTAGATCAATCTCAGCACAAATCACGCTGACCATTTGTACAGTCTGACAGACTCTGATTTCTTCGACAATGTTGCGCTCTGCGACGTTCAAGTCCACTTCTCAGGCACCTATATTCACGCCCACAAGTATCAACTCGCAAAATACTCCCCCTGGTTCTTTCAAGCTTTTACCAGCGCATTCCCTGTAAGTCCCTCTCCTGAAATCCATCAGCCAAGATCCTCACTCACACAAGCACAGGTGGCCACCAGCAACACTATCGACCTCGGCTCCGACGACTCCCCTTGCCTAGTCTTCTCCCTACTCCGCCACATCTACTCCCTCTCCTACCTCGAAATCCTCTACGACCCCAGCAACCACTTCCCTCAAATCCCCAGCACATCAACCTACAACTTCCACCTCTCCTACAACCTCGAAATCTTTATCTTGGCGGATAAATACGATGTGCCTTCCTTACGCACTCTCGCCGTTTCTGTATTCATGCAAGAACTTCCCAACACTTTGGTCGATGTGGTATTGGGAGATGTGTGTCAGAGGATCTTTGGGATTGTATGTGCAGATCGCACATTACAGGAAAGACTCCTCGAGTTTGTTTTCAAGAAAATCAGGTTTTTGGTGCTCCATAATAATGATTTTATGGACAGACTATTCAGAAAGGAGTTGTTCGGTAAGGGAGTGACGAGGAAGGTACTTAAGGCAATATTGGCGATTAGGGGATGGGATAGAAATAGGATTTTGAGGAGACAGCATCAAAGAGCCGTCGAGTTGGCTAGGTCACTAGGCGTGAGAGTGGCTTATTAGGGTAGAGAGAATGAGAATCGACTCGGGAGCATAATATATGTGTGTTCGATAATGGGGTCGATGTCGATGACTGCCTATCCCGATATCCAAAACTCTGCTTTTTGATGACTGTATTCAGTACTCTATAGATGATTAGTTGCAAGGCTGTGAAGCTATATTGGTCTTATATTGATTGTGGCCTTGTAGACGACATGGCATTATATAGCCTCTAGTAAAAACTCCCTTGCGTAAACTCAGAAACGTAAAAGTCCCCCTTTGCTTTCAACCAGAAGTCACACGAATGCCCCCTTACTTGTGCAAACTACATATATTCCCGACATCGTTGTTGCCTCTCGAATTGCCATCAAAATGCATGAAGAGTTATACAAGAGACAAGAGACCAGTGAAGGCTGAGACAGAGACACTCTCTCACTGGACACAGTATGGAATTTGCAAACGACTTTGCATTTCTATAGATGGAAAATGTAATATATCTCACCTAGGAGAAGTCATTCCGACCAGGACCGGGTAGTTGTTTGGAGTGATACTTCTCCCACAGCGATGTTGCAAAATTTGAGGCTATAAAAACGCACGATACTGTTCGAATCAGGGCCGTGTTTAGTAGGAGCTAACGAGATATCATATTTCAGTGGACATCGTTGCTATTCGGTAGACTATCTTGCATTTTCATAGCAGTATATTATCACAGGTGTTCACATGGAGAGACTAAATCATGATTGAGAAGAGTGACTTGTGATTGCGTTGCAGCATATTTTTATCTAGTAAACCCAACCTGTCCTCGTTAAAACCCTGGGGGAAAAAGAGTGACAGGGCTATGACTCCTCAGGTTTTCTGGCCATGTCAGACAAAGTCTCCAAGTCGCGCGAGATTGTGGTTGTCGACTGCGACGACGATGTTGCTGGTGATGTGGTCGACGACGATGTTGATGATGTGGATGACAACAGTGTTGATGATGTTGTTGTTGTGGTCGACGCTGAAGTGGATGGAGGTGAAGTGTATGAAGAGGAAGTGGACGACGACAAAGTGGTCGAAGCCAGCGTTGAGGTGGGCGGACCGACATTTAGATAGTCCAGGATTCCGTCGATTTCGACTTGTCTGCATGGCATCAAGTAAAGATATGCTGGACGCTGATTGGTATGGCCACAGCGCCAAGCCATTTCGGCACGCAATCTATCTTGTGCTATTCTTTCCCAGCTCCATTTTGTTACTACTTCGCAGAGATCTTCAGCTGAGGGTCGGAAGCGGCGTAGACCCCAGGCCTCCTTTAATCGCGAGACGGGGTATCCTGTCAGGGTAGCAAACTCGTTGAACGTGCGGAGTCTGCGAGCGTTGACATACGAAGAAACGCGACGACAAAAGACAGTGATTTCGACCAGCTGCTCTTGAAGGTACGCGTAGTCATCGAGAGACAATTCGTATGGACAGCAGTTGACTAGACGGTCGAGTCTTTGGTAAACTCGAACAGCTCCATCGAGTAGACTTGTTTCTAGAGTCAGTGCTAGGCCGATTTCATGGCGGGATAGCCAAGTAAGGTAGCGCTGGAGACAGACCTCAAGATTCTGGTAGCGAGGAGACTCGAGAACATCGGTGCTCAGCTCCTGTTGGGTTTGGGTGAAGACAGACATGATGTGATATGGTGTTGATGGTATGATGGTGATGGTCGAAGTGCTGAGTGGCAGGTTGTTTGCTAGAGCTTGAAGTGTCGAGAGTTGGAGATGTTTGTGCTGAAGAGGAGAGAGAAAAGTCGAAACACGCTGGGGATTTTGTAGAAGCGTGCTTTGGTTTAGGCAGAAATTATCTCTCTCGTGGTCTCGCGGGCGTTGTCGATTGGAAGACTTTTTTTGAGGTTGACGGTTCGTGATGCGTAGTCGACGCAAACTTGCTCGTGTGTGATTTCATGTTTCCTGATTGGAAGATATGGCATCTTGATCATTTCAGAGCACGACCTCGAGTAGAGCCTCTGACAGTACCTCTACCGATGCCGCTGCCAGCTCTTGAAATGCCTCGTCCTCGACCACCTTGACCGCCGACGCCAACATATCCCGGAGTTGATGTCGAGGGTTGCCTGGTCAAGCGACTGGATGCAGTGCCAACCCTACCCCTGAGTTTTGAGCCGCGAGTCGCAGGTGGTGGAGCAGCCTTCTTTCTCTCTTCTTCCTCGGCACGTCTGATGGCAGCCTCTTTCCTGGCTTGTTCTTCGGCAGCACGTCTTTCGGCTTGTTGTTGGCGCACGAATGACTCGTTCTCGATGTCTTGCAAATCTTGAGTCGCGCCTTGCCAGTTTGGATTCAGGAGCAGACGTTGGTTGTGTTCGGTTTGGGAGAGGATGCGTGTCCAAGTATCGAGAAGAGTCGAGGCCGAATGCACAGTGCGATTGACATTCTACCAAGTGTTAGCCAGAGAAGAAATAGTGTATAGAGGGTTCATGCGTACATCCATATTGCCCTTTGCTTTCTCCAGACTCGTCACGACATCTTCAATGACTTTGTTAATCTGTCGCACACTGTCCAACTCTTTGCGCAAAGCAGCCTCACGCGATTCTGACGTCTCTGGTCGAGGAGCGCTGGGCTTGGAAGGGGTGGGGCCCAGATCGATGTCCATGTCGTAGTCAATGTCTCCGTCGTCGTAGGGAATGTCGTCGTATTCTTGGTCCACGTCGTCATTCAGGCGCAATGCGCCTACATCTGGAGGGTGCGACATGTCTGCCTTGAGAAAGTCACGATGTTGCGAAGGCGCAATTGAGAATTAATTGGTATGGGCCAAACCAAGGTGTTTGATTGCTTGTTTGCACTGTCAATGTTTACTCGGCTTCTTTCTGCCAACTACCAGAGTCGATTGTTTCAGGACTAGGCCAATGGGAAGTATACCATCCATTGGCTCTCTTCTACTGATAGGGGTAGTATTTTGTTCTCCCTGTTCCTCCTTCTTCCTTTTTCCTGTCTTCAATTATCTGTCCATAGCATCTTGTAGCATTGAGATAATAACAAAGACGCGGAACAAGCCACTGTGCACGGACCAGGTATACCGGTCCCCTGCCACTTCCCAGCCACGGCGTTTCTGACGAACGAAGTCGCAAGTCAATGCCAGGGATATCGTGACATCCGCCCTTGCACAACTGCACAACCTCTCCACCTCATTCCCATCCTACTTGACTTGTTTACCATAACCAAGCTCTGTTTGTATACAATACACCGCCTGCGCCCACCGCTTCTTGGATACACACATCGCTATACACATCAGTACTACGCGCCTGTCAACAACTCGCGCCCATCTCGTGTTCCCGCGCGTTCGACCTTGTTGACTCCCAAAACCAAAAGTCGCAAGCTTGCCATAGAGTCAGGGTCATCGTCAGGACGATACATTCGTCCGCAAACGACAATTGAGTCGACCCGCTTTGGCGCTTCCGTTTGTTGTCGTCGAAAAGACACGTCCAGCTTTCACTCTCACACCTGCCGCCATGATGAGAGACGCAACAACTCCTCCACCTCCCTCGTCGCGACTGCGCACTCCTCCGGCTCCCAAACACGGCGCTGGCTACCACTCATACCACCCCTACGAGCCTAGAAGGTCCCAGAGAGTTCACCGCCTGCACAACACCCACGACAAGCTCTCTCAATCCTCATCGTCGTCGTCGTCGTCGTCGCGCAAGTCGACTCTCCAGCGCACCACATCATCGCAAACCCTCTCGCCTCCCTCGTCTCCTGTCGCCGAGCCATCAAGACCACAACAAACACCTGCCAGACCTACGCCTGTCCGCCAGTCGCTCTTCACACGCAACAGACCCTCCAACACCCCCAACGTCAACCCCTTGTTTGACATCTTCGCTCCTCAACCACAACTTCCCACTCCGTCGTCCATGCTGCCCACCCCCAAGATGACCCCTCGCAAGTGCGACGCAAACGCCATGCAGTCCACCGCTCGCATTCTCAACTTCAAGCCTGTCACCGACCAGCCCGCCAAATCCACTCCTCGCAAGAAGACCAAGTCGCGTCTCACCCTTGACGACGATGACGATGTTCACGACGAAGTCAAGGTCTTTACCGACGTTCAGGACCGTGTGCCTACCGTGGACCGCACCGAAGACAACCCCTTCATTGGCCCCAGAAAGACCAGAGCTCGCACCCGCGCCCAGACTGCTCCCTCAACCTCAATCGACGTCGACATGGAGGACGCCCACGCTGACGATGATGAGGGCATTCTCTACGTCTTCCGCGGCAAGAAGATCTTCCGTCGCTTCGAGAAGTCTACCGATGAGCCCGCCAACTCGGATGCCTCTACCAGCTCAACCAAAAGCTTGAAGCGCCAGGCTGGTGTTGTTGCTTCCCGCCCCTTGACACGCTCATCCTACAAGCCTCGTCTTCTCTGGCCAACCGCTAACAGCGATGGCGACGCTGACGAGGAGGCTCTGACCGACATTGATGAGGATAACGTCCCTTCTGCTGAGTCGGCTTCCTTCGAATCTGCTCTTCAGCCGACAAAGACTCCTTCCAAGAAGGCCGTCGGCCACCCCGCCACTCCCCCTTCGTCTCACCGCCAGTCTCGCTCTGCCGCTCAGCAGATTGCCATCTTCGCCGACCCTCACAACGAGCTCAATCGTGCTCTCGCTTCACCATCCGTCACTCCCCAACCCCAGAAGGTCAGCGCTGGCCCTCTCTTCTCCAACTGGCCTCGCAGCAAGAACGCCGATGAGAAGGCTGTTCGTGGTGAGAAGCGTCACCGTTCTACAATGTCAGAGCCTGATATGCCCACCAAGCGCACTCGCTCCAGCCTTTTCACTTCCGACCGCCCTTGAGCATGCATTCGAGCCTCATTGTTTTTGCTCAACTTGACTTCTTCGACTCATCGTCCTTTCTTTTCATTTGTCTTCGACTGTTTCTACTGCGAGCATGACGCAAAAAGCGTAGGGATACTGGGAGTTTATGGTTTCAATCAAAGGAGGTCTGATGTTCTCTTACATCCTGTCTCTTCTGCATGGTTTCATGGCGTTCACAAGAACTTCGCATGGCATTTTCTACATCCTGCATCCTTCTGCATAACACATGGTTATCGAAGAGGAGGATGTTTTTTCTTGTTCACCGCTATGTTCTTTCTGCTTTTTCTCAGATGTCCATCAACTCTCCTTCGTCGAATGAGAGGTTTAGATAGTCTACCAGACCGATCCTGTACTATACCCTGCCCCAACAAGGCATACAGAGATCTCGTGTCATGAAATGAAATGAAATACACAATTGTGTCAACATATAACATTGTTGCCCCTGTCTTGCTGTTATTTGTGAAGATTCAGAATGGTATCAAGAAGGTAGGGAGCGTCAACTGAAAGACATGATCTTGTCGGTTCTCCATGGACGTCCCTTAATCACTGTCAAGTTTGTGCGATTTATAGTTGGGTAAACTGCCCTATGTTGTCTGGGAGTGGGGAATAACCTTTCGTTAGTATCATGATACAAGTAAGTCGACTACGAGCTGAACACAAGAGCAACATTCAGTGGATACTCCCTACTTTTTGAATAATTCTATGCAATTTGATAGCTCATCATCTACTCTTGTGTCAAGTACAAGATGAGATGAAAGTAGAGATGAGCTGTTATTTCTAGAAGTCACCAGGGGGTACTGTGGGTTTTGGCTTGGGTATCGAGATCATTGAGAAGCTTCACTATCTTCGAGCTTGTTGAAATATCTGCTGTACTGGTTTTGAGCTCAGTTTTTCGTCTCTGCATTCCTTTTCTGTTGGATCACATTGATATAACGTCAAGACGGCGTTTGCGAGAGCGTTCGTACGCGAGAGAGCCGGGCGGCTCAAAGCCGGTGACGACAGGAGACTGTTGAAGTTCTTGTCTGTGCATTAGAGGTGTGGGCGCCGGCAAGTGGTTGTTACTGGGGCCTGCAATGTCCGATCCATAGTAGTTTACGACCTGATTGTTGACGGGCATCGCGGCGGAGGTAGGTGCTTGTTGGGCAAATGACACTGGAGCTTCCCACATATTGCCGCTCGATCCCGTATTCCAAGTCCTTGCTTGGGGTTGTGACATCGCGGGAGGAGCAGAGCCGATGACTGGATCGAGATCGGCGAGCAAAAGTCGAGCGTAAGGACTGTTTTGTCCTATATCGGGAAATGTATGAGTAGGACAAGGCTGAGGACAGGCACTGCCGTATCCATGTGTTGCGATCTGCCAAAACCTCATTTGTTCAGGCCTGAGACCATCCACTGGCACTTGATGCGGTCTTGAGGTGGAGATCAGTGGAGGCAGGCTAGAAAGCTGTTGTATCTCATTCACAGCCCCATTCACGATGTTGCTGGCCTGCATGTCGACTTGTTCATACGCGAGCATCGGATCGTACTCTAGCGCTTGATTCCAAAATACTCGATCGAATGACTCCGACGCAGCACCAGGTCCAAGCGGCATGGACGAGAAATTCGATGAGCCAGTGAACAGAGCCGGAGCAGAAACTGATGGTCCTGGCGCATAGCTATCCATTGTCGGTACTTGAGGTCCTGCATGTGCCCATCCAGGAACAACCGGAGTTGGGGCTTCCTCTTCTTCTCTTGCGGTTGTTCGCGTCGGGGATCTCTCCACCATCGGAGCTGGTGGACTGATATCGTGATCATCATCATCATCATCTTTTTCTTTTTCTTCTTCATCATCATCAGAAAAAGAGAAAGAAGCAAACACCCCTGCCCTAGACATCCAAGACGGTTTTGCAGCAATCTCCGGAAGTTCTTTTTTGTCCAAGTGAGGCCTTCGTAAAGGCAGCTTTGGAGGCATGTTGATCGTTGATCCAATACCGAGTATAAGATCTGTTTCTGGTCATGCCGCGTGTGATCTGGTGGTGAGAACCAAAAGTTCAAGAGCTTCCAGTGTAACAGTCCTGTGAGATGAGAAGAAAGTTGACGTCGGACATGATTTGTAGTTTGAGTATGAGTCGAAGAACGATGACTAGATGCAAGAAAATTCGAGTGGTAGACCTGATAGTTTATACTAGAAGAACAGTCTTGACTCATATTGTGAGACCGATGGGATGCCTCGCGTGGATAATGTACTCTTCAGCATCTCATTGTCAGTGTAGCGGAGTATAGCGAGGTCGCAATGCAGAAAAGTGAAAGCTTGGCTGAGAACTCCATTGAGGCCATGTGCGGTGGAAGATTTCTCTAGGCAGTACTGGTCCTATGATTCCACTGCGCATCGTGATGGGGCAAAGATTTGGTATGCACGGTTTAGGGAGCTCGAGCTCCATACCTGCCAATTTTTAGTGCGCAAGCCTTCACCTTTTTTGCAGACAAGACCTGTATTGAGCAAGTGAGTCTGCAAATAAATGTCCACAACATTTGCGATGAACTACAGCAGTGCATGCTGTATTGATTCCTTCCAGATGTGCATTTCGTCGAGAGTGCGTAGCCTGTGATTTGAGAGTATTTGCGGTCTCAAGGCGATATGAGTCGAACAGTCGGCTCAATACGTCAACAGAGATGAGTCCGATGATTCTGCAAAGGAAGGCTTATTAAAGCCTTAGCTAAATGACATGTCGAGTATGCATGGCAAGCCCGAAGGACAGAAGGCATGAAAGCAATTGACCTCCCGGTGTCACTGCCCACGACGTTCTGCCGACGACGGGCACCAAACCCAATCGGGCACGCGCTTTCCGCCTCCAACTTTTGGCAACGAGCTCTGCTCGACCACAATGATTCTTTTCAATGGAACAACAACATGCAATAAATACTGTGCCTCCGGCAAACGGCACGCCGGCTGTACCGTCAAAAGAACAAGCTCTCAAATCGCTTGCTGAAGGTGGTAGTGGCGATGGCTCTATTTTCCAGCAGCTTACAAGCAACCCGTTTTTTACTGCTGGTTTTGGACTTGCAGGTCTCGGCGCTGCTTTGCGAATTGGACAGCAAGGATTGAGAAGGGGAGGAGAGTTGCTCAAAAGACGTATGCTGGTTGATCTTGAGATTACCAGACATGATGAATCTTATCCATGGGTTCTTAATTGGATGACACGACAATATCAAAAATCACTTTCAGAATCTACTGAAAATGTGTATGTTGGTCTTCAATCCCATGATTAGACTAGTACTGACTTTAACAGAAAACCTGGAATGATGGAAGCTCTTATACGACGCTTCACCCCAGGCCTCCATCACCTTCAGATCAAGACAGCGTCCCAGAAGACTCCAGGAGGCGCATCACATACACACTTTTCTCTGGTTCCTGGACATGGAAAACATATCCTCAGATTCAAGAATGCTTTCATTGCTGTGGACAGACAGCGTGAAGGGAAATCTTTCGACGCTCAAGGGCAGCCGTTCGAGACTATCAAACTTACCACTCTATACGCTCACCGACACATCTTCGAAGACATGTTCTCAGAAGCACACCAGTTGTCTATGCAGAGTATCGAAGGCAAGACTATGGTCTATACCTTGAGGAACATGCAATGGATGCCACTAGGAGATGCCAAGCGGAAACGACCTTTTGATTCGGTTGTGCTGGAAGAAGGAATGGCAGAAATGATCCGAGACGATGTGTCAGAATTTCTCAACGCGAGAACTTGGTATCTTGACCGCGGCATTCCGTATCGCAGAGGCTATCTCCTGCATGGCCCACCCGGGACTGGAAAGACTTCGTTTGTACAAGCATTAGCCGGCGAACTCGACTTCAATATCGCCATGCTCAGCTTGAGTCAACGTGGTCTTACTGATGACTTGCTCAACCACCTGATGCTCAACTTGCCGCCGCGCACTTTTGTCCTTCTCGAAGATGCAGATGCCGCATTCAACAACCGAAGACAACGTGACGAAGACGGCTTCAGCGGTGCTACAGTCACCTTCTCTGGTCTACTGAACGCTCTTGACGGCGTCGCCAGCGCAGAAGAACGCATCGCCTTCATGACTACAAACCACATCGAGCGACTCGACGAAGCACTTATCCGACCGGGCAGAGTAGACATGACATTGCGTCTTGGCGAAGCGACACTTTGGCAGATGGAACAGATGTGGGACAGATTCTATGCACCGTTGGACACTGACGGCAGCAAGAGAGCATTGTTCCTTGAGCGCGTTCAGCAATATGGTCTGGTCAACTCTGTCAGCACGGCCGCTCTACAAGGATTGTTCTTGTACAATAAGGATGACCCTGATGGTGCTGTGAACATGGTTGGACAGCTACTCATGGCAAAGACACCAACCATGGAGGTGCCCAAAAAGAGTTAGAATGTGTAGGATAAGGAACTTGTATGATATGATTGTTGAAGACCTCTCTCATCACCTTATAGCGCGTACTCTGTGTTGCAAATGCTGTTCGCCGAGACAGCAACCAGCATAGATCCGGACTAACCGAAACTCACTCAATCCTCAAAGCTTTGCCTAATTTGTCACCACCAACGACTAGCTGCTGCCTAACAACACCCTGACCTCTATGTGAGATAGGTTTGAGTCCACTGAGGAGCAGAAAAATAGCCGTGGTGGTGTAATGAATTATCCACATCCTACTCTCACGCAAAGGGCAGACACTTTCTTTGGTCTCAACGCTGTGTGGCTCAAGGACGGTTGGTCCTGAGCTCGATTTTAGTTTGATTCTCTTTCTGATTCTTGTATTGAAACATGACAATGCTTTTAGTACGTATACGTAATTCTACAGTAAATGGCTGTCTGCTCCCTCGATTTCGGAGTTCCTTTTCAAATCCTTGGGATAGTGTAAAAGCCGATGTCTGGGAATGCGCTACCAATAGATATGGGTAACAATGCAATACTGCATCAGACAAGCTCGCTCTACGCCTTGAGACGAAGACCTTGCAAATCCTCCTGCGCATCCTTGATCAAGAAGCTGTGAGGTTCGACATTAGCAACACCGCCTTCCACTCATAAAGCATGAGACAGACAAAACTCACCTATACCACCAAAGTGTCGGGAACACGGTCATCAAATGCCACAAGCTATGCGCATCAATGGCACCCCACCAAGGCGGGAAGTCGAACAGCTCCAGACTCATTGCCAGAATAACCCATGCGACAATCATACCAGGCCAAGCCGCCCACGTTCTTTTTGTCTTCTGGTATCTGCTGATACTGAACCCGCTCCAGATGATGTTCTGGATGATCCCAACGACGACGTTTGCGGCCATGTTGTAAGTATAGTCGAAACGCCAGAAAGATAAATAGCAGATGTGCGCCAGGTAAAGCGTAATACACAGCAAAATCCAAGCTCTGAGAACACTAGAACGTTTTGGTGTATCCTTGTCCAGACGGAATACCCTCACCACCGAGAGAAACATTCCATACATGACAGACGCACCAGCACCGAAGTAATCTAACTTTTCTGTAAGGCTGAAGTCTCTGGTGTGGAATATACAACTGAAGATCCAGCTTGCGAGTCCGAAATACCCAAAACCCAAGTAAAATTTGCGGAGTGGGTAGCTGGCCGGGACCTTCTCACGCAGCACTTTCATGCCATGGTCATGAGCCAGGAAGTTGAGCAGTGAGAAGATGACAGAGAATGGCTCTTGCATGCCTAGGAAACGGTAGAAAGGCCATTTGCCATGGAATTGAAGGACGGGTTCGCGGTAGGGAGGTTCGCGCGCGAGGCGTTTGTCAGTGACGACATGTTGGCAGGAGTAATCGCATTCGGAGGGGCAGTCCCAGAGGAGGAGGCGGTGTTGCAGTGCTGTAGGTAATTCAATATAAGCTTCTGTCGTTTCTCTATTCTTGTATGTCCTTTATTTCCTTGCTCTTTCTTGTTTCTGGATCTCAGGGGGTCGGGTCAGGGCTTACAGATCGCTGGACCGCCAGGTTTGCAGTTAGTCGCTGTACATGTCTGTGATGCTCGTGTTAGCCAGCAGCTCTCTATGCGCGTCTAAAGCTTCGGTCGCAAGTCAAATATCCATACCTTCACACAGTCCTTGAAATCTGGCAATCTGTCGCCTAATGATGCACTGGCAGTTGCAGCCAGAGCAACCACCACGGCAGCTCTTAGTGCGTTGCCTCGAAGATGCATGTTTGTGTGTCTGGCATGCTTCAATACCTCCTGAGATTCGGGCTTGTACATGCCGAGCCTGGCCCTGACTATGATGACAAGCGCGCGCCAAAATAAGCCGAACTTAGCTGTTTTCATACTTTTCCCTTCTTTAGTCTAATGCATATAAGAGGGTCCCTATTAAAGTAATTATCTATAATATGGTATTCTTACTTATATAGTTTTTAAAATAATTTTTTAAAATTCTATATATAACTATAATTATTTTTTAATCTTTTATTACTATTTCTAGTAAAATATATTATTAAGAAATAAAGATAGATATAGATCTAAGCTATATAGTAAACTATAGATAGAAAGATAAAAAAGTAGAAAAATAGTAATATAGTCTTATCTTACTATAGTAATTATACTAAACTACTATTTTAATATTATTTAATTAAAGATTCTTAGTATTATATATACTATATAAAGTAGCTAGTTATTTATACTTAATAAAGGCTTTTATTTTTTTAAAATCTTATAGTACTATCTTATACTTACTTAACTACTTATTAACTAGAATTAAAGTCTTATTTTACTATTCTTTATATAGTTAAAAAAAGTCTTAGGGCTTTAATAGCTAATTAGATTAGTATAGATAGTAGTTTTTTAAGCTTTTTTTTCTTTATATTTTTTTTATAGATTAGATTAATTAGCTATCTCTTTCTTTACTTACTTAGTTATTATAAGGTTCTAGATAGTCTTTTTAGCTAGATTAAAAAAGCTATTAATTAATATAGTAGACTAAATTTACTACTATTACTAAAGCTAGCTTATAAGACTACTAATTTTAAAGATTACTTTTACTATTTCTATACTATCTTATAGTATAAAAGGCCTTAAAATAAGTATTAAGTAGTATTAGTAGTTAGCTATAGTATCTACTAAAATAGTCTACTATAATTATATAGACTAATAAATAGCTTTAAGAATATTAGTTATTTTAAAAGGATTTTTACTAGTCTTAAATTAACTAACTATATATAGTAGCTAGTACTTATAGTAGTAAGCTTTTTAAATATAGATAAAATCTTAATCTAGTAGCTAATACTTTAATATAGTATTTAGTAAAAACTAGTAGATAATAGTAATTTAAAAAGACTTTAGTTTAATAGCTTTTATAGTAGCTATATAAGCTAAAAAGTTATCTTTTAGTAAAAGAACTTTTTAGCTAGTTACTTACTAATTAAACTAGTATAGTTACTTAACTATAATATTAGTCTTTATCTATACTTTACTATTCTAGTATTAAAAGAAATTAAGTAAATTAATATTAATAGTATTAGTAGTATTAAAAGCTTAATATTATAGTATAGATTTAGGTATATTAGAAAAAAAAATAGCTATAGTTATAATTATATATAATAGGCTATCTATAGATAGGTAGTAAAACTAATAGATAGGTTTACTAATAGAATATAGCTTAAAGAGCTATAATTCTATAGATAGATAGATAGAAAGACTTTTCTAGTTAAATAATAGTTAAACTAATAATTAGTTATAAAAATTATAATAGCTATTATAACTCTAGAATAGGATTATTCTAGTAGTAGCCTAGACTCTAGATTATAGCTCTAGGATCTAGAATCTAGTAAAGTTATTTTTATAATAGATATACTTAAAGCCTTATTAATTAAGCTAGCTTTACTATAGTAAACTTACTTTACTATACTATATCTCTTTTTAAACTTTTTAAACTAGCTATTACTAAATTAAGGTATTTTTATACTATAATAGACTAGTAGTTAATACTAGAGATAAAAAGCTATAGTCTTAATAAAATTATTTTATATTAGTACTTAAGTCTAAATTAAAGCTACTACTTAAAAAAAAATAGGCTTTAAGCTCTAGCTAGTACTATATATAGAGTCTTTTAACTAAAAGACTCTTATTATACTAGTCTAGCTTATTAAAGTATACTAAGAGACCTTTAAAAATAGTATCTTATAATAGTTAATAGCTAGATTACTATTTAAACTAGCTAGCTAGCTATTATTATTTAAGTATATAAACTTAAAATATAATACTTTAGCCTTAGCTCTATAGTAATATAGATCTCTAGCTAGTAAAGAAAAGTAATTCTAGAAGTCTATAGAATTAACTAAAGATAGAGATACTATTTCTACTAATAAGAGTATAACTATAGTATATAGTATAGTAATTAATTAATTAAAGAAAGAGTATCTATAGGTATAAGTTTTAGCTAAATAGCTTATACTACTAAGGCTATTTTACTAAGTCCTATCTATAACTATTATAGATATATCTATAATAGAATCTTACCTTATTATAATATAGTTATAATATCTATAAGTATACTAGGACTATACTATTTTTAACTTATAATACTATTATATATAGTAATAAAGAATTCTATATTACTTAGTAGTAATTATATATTACTAGTAAGACTTTAGATATACTATAGTATACTTAATATAATAATAATTAGCTCTAGAAATAGTTATATATTAAGAGAGTAAAAAATAATAATAGTTATATAGAAAAATTAATAAATTATTAAAAATAGTTATTTAATTAGAAATATTATTACATAGATAATTACTATAATAAGGACTCTCTATATCTAGAATATATAGGAATTATCCTTATAGTAGCAGGACTTACTAGCAGGTTATAGAATTTAGCTATAATATGATAGCTAAGATTAGCTTATATTAACATATCTACTTAGCCATTAATTTAGGGTGAATAAATTCAAAAAACAGCACAAATTACATCATTGGGCGTCTGGCGCAGTGGTAGCGCGTCTGCTTTGCATGCTGAAGGTCTAGGGTTCGATCCCCTAGTCGTCCATAGTTTTGCTTTTCTCGTGAAGGTGTTGAGTATTTGTTTTGCTCGAACAGAGGCCAGCACACATTGCTGGGGCGGCCTTGCTGATGGAGAAGCCAAAGACGGGCTTTTGAGCAAGGGTTACAAGATTCCGTTTGAAATGACAAATCTCTGTCACTACGTCTAGTCATCGCATCACATTTGATTGTTTTGTTTCCTTGGCTTGTCTAAGCCCTTGTTCGATACAAATGAGTCTCTCGTGAGCAGAGACCGGAAGGGCGCTGATAATAGATACCCCTATATGCTCTAGAACATCAAGCATGAGCAGGATATAATGCACAGAACTTCGAAGCTCAACGAAGTTAGTTACCTGTGTTTAAGCCCGGCCGTTGAGCTTGAATAAACAATCAACAAGAGATGCTTCCATCAGACGCCTGGAAGATGCAAATCAGGATGAGGTTCCCGAACCGGACAAGCGCACTCGCAGGTATTGAAGTCGCTGAGTCCATGCCTTCGACCTAGCAAGGAGTGAGAATTGGGTCACTGAACACATGCCTCTTTCCACTATCCCCTGGACCTTCTTCTGATATTGGGAGGGGAGTCTGGACTTGGGGATAGGAGTATGCCAGGAGGTTCATTGACCTGGCAGCTTTCTCTTTGCGGAGGTTGCTGCGACAAGATGAAGTATGATCAGGGCAAAGCTCTGTGGAAGGGGGTACGTGGTTGGCCCTGCGATTCGCAGTCAGCAGCTTCGGTTTCACCTCAGCAGCTGTGTTCGCCTTTTCCTGAATACGCCGTGTCGATGTTTTGATGTAGTGAATCCGAAAGGGACATCCGGACGAACGAGGAAAGAACGTAACTCCGGAGATCATGGTTCCTTCGCTGAGCGCTGTACTTTTGTCAGATAAATTTCTGAACATCGCCCGTAACACTCTGATCATGCGGCAGTGTCAACCACCAGCTCTCGAGTTTTGAAACCTCGTTCGTTCATCGATGGTGCCGCTGTTACTACCAAGGCAAACACAGATCACGCGGTGACTTGTTAGAAAACGCACAATGTGCAGAAGTGAGAGGTAGCAATCGTAGCCATGACCGTTGTTGCTCTTGTTTGGAATGATGCTGCCCTTAAATACTGGTTAGAAGCCAGGCGTCAAGGCAGATCAGTGGTGTTTGCTTGGGTGCGGGCCCTAGCTTATGAGACGTGAGATCTGCTGATGGGTGACTTGCTTGAGGATGCAGCTTTGAGCGTTCTATCGAGTATTTGTCGGGGCAACAGAAGTGCTCTGGTTTACAAGCTCCGTATAGCCTGGAAATCGTCATCTGCGTAGTGTTTCGTATTCTGTGACGGTGAAAAGCGACACATATTAGAAAGACAAAAGGTGAAAAGAAAACTTGGAAATAATTCTTGCAGTCATTGCGCATGTTGATTGTATACCTGCTAATCTCTAGCATTTTAATATCCATGCTCGTTCGTTGTCTGTTCCTCGTGACCTCGATGCACGCGGGCATGCTTATTATACAAAGTCAAATCAGAGGTTGTCCATCTCACTCCGCATCGGAGTGTGAGACCATGACATAGGTGTCCACCATAGACCTTGTCTCATCGGGTGGAAGGGTTGTGTTGGTCGTGGTTCGAGGGTCTTCTGTTGGTCTGTGATCTATTGTCGCAGTCTATGCGGTCTGATCGACAGCCATGCCATCGGCATCGTCCTCAACAGCCTCTATGCGGCAAGCTGATGGTACCGAAGCTTCCTTGTCAATCATTTGGCGCGATACGGAAACAATGTTGTCTTCGAGCAGATCTTGGCCGAGAGTTTCGATGTCTGCGATGGGTTAGTTATGAGCTTGATAGATAGGACGAGACTACATACGCTTCTTGGGGTCGACCTTGCCGACGTATCTTGTGCGTAGTTGATCCTTGGTCAGTTCGGTCTCTTCCTTGACACGCTTCTCGTAACCTTCGGCCAAGCTGACGAGCTTGTTGAGCTTCTCCAGTGTGCGATCACCCTCAGCCTTAAAGTCGGGCATCTCCAGGGCTTCTGTCCAGACACTCTTGTGTAGGTTCATGAGCATAGCCTCTTCTCCACCCATCTGACCGTTCGAAGCACCAGCGACGGCTGATGAAGCACCGTTTCCTGAACCACCACCACGACCCTTGAGGTAACCGACGGCGATACTGTAGTAATGACGATTGAGACCGTGAATCAGAGCTTGGATGGAAGGCTTGTTGAGATGGCCGACGTTGGAAGTGGTTTGGCGAGGCTCTTGACCAAGCATGAGAGTCTGTGGATTGATGAGGCGGAAGGCGTCGATGACGACCTTACCCTTGACGGACTGGATGGGATCGATGACAACAGCCACGGCACGAGGGGTGAGTTGTTCGAAGGATTGCTGAGTATTTATATCAACGCTAGACAGCCAGCAGCCGAAACCGGGATGTGAGTGGTACCAGCCGACGACAGTCTCAGGACGACCAGTTTGACGGAGCATGTCCATCATTTTTGTTTGGAAGACGGGGTCGACAGCTTCGACTGAGACACCAGTACCGCTTTGAGGCATAGCAAAGACATCGACGACACGGACAGTGTAGTCATCGACGAATTCACCGAGCATCAGACCCATGACTTCCATAGGGACACCAGCTCTTCCGTGGCGCAGCATCTTGAGGAGAGCGAGAGATGAGATGTAGACGGTTTCGGAGTTGTCGACGACATTGCCGTCCTGCTGCATACCACCAGCACCGCCTCCCATGCCCTGAGCGGCGGCCAGCATTCGCGAAAGGCGATCCATGATGACGTTTTGTGGTTGTGTGTGTCTTGTCCTTCTCTTTCAGTATGCGCGGAGGATGGATGTGAGATAGGAGCGAGCTCAAGTGAGAAATGGATGGAGGACGACAGGGAGATGGATTTGTTTAATTGAGAGTGATGGAAGCAGCAGCTCGGACGGCGACTCTCTAGGCGATGGACGATGATGCACGCCGCCAGCTCGACGACCTCCGACCTCCGACGCGACTTCCAATTCTAGCTCAAGCATGTTTGACGTGTTTGCACCTTCCCCGAAGCTCGGGAGTCGCGCTCGTAGAGTCGCAAGCCCGCCGAGCATTCACCTTTAACCATCAAAAGTCCTTGCCAGTCCGCCAAATCAATCAATTCGATCGCGTCGCATTCTTTTTGTCCATATCGCCTGCGCGTCATCCTGTCTGCGAATACCATATCTCCACAGCTCCGACCACGATAGCTTCGTTCAACTAGTATCGACGAGCCGCTGCAATGGCCAACTCGGCCCAGTATGGCCCTCCTCTGGACCCTCCTCGCGCCGCAAATGGTGCTCAACCCAAAAAGGTCGCCTACTTCTACGATTCTGATGTCGGCAACTACGCCTACAATGCCGGTCATCCCATGAAGCCTCACCGTATCCGAATGGCTCATAGTCTGATCATGAACTACGGCTTGTACAAGAAGATGGAAATTTACGTACGCCATCACCATCCTTGTCGCATAACCTGTCCGACCTGCTAACCATCTTCTAGCGAGCTAAGCCTGCTTCCAAGTACGAAATGACCCAGTTCCACACCGATGAATATGTCGACTTCCTCTCAAAAGTCACTCCAGACAACATGGACAGCTACGCGAAAGAGCAAGGAAAATATAACGTCGGTGACGATTGTCCCGTCTTTGATGGTCTCTTCGAGTACTGCGGTATCAGCGCTGGTGGCAGTATGGAAGGTGCTGCTCGTCTCAACCGTCAAAAATGCGACGTCGCCGTCAACTGGGCCGGAGGTCTGCATCACGCAAAAAAGAGCGAAGCCAGTGGTTTCTGTTACATCAACGACATTGTTCTCGGAATCATCGAACTTCTCAGATTCAAGTCGCGCGTTCTCTACATCGACATTGATGTCCACCACGGCGATGGTGTCGAAGAAGCCTTCTATTCGACCGACCGCGTCATGACCTGCTCGTTCCACAAATATGGAGAATACTTCCCTGGTACTGGTGAATTGCGCGATATTGGTGTCGGCAACGGTAAAAACTACGCTGTCAACTTCCCACTTCGCGACGGCATGGACGATGTTGCGTACAAGAGTGTCTTTGAGCCTATAATCGCAAAGATCATGGAGTTTTTCCGTCCTGATGCTGTTGTTCTGCAGTGTGGTGGTGACTCTCTGAGTGGTGACCGTCTTGGTTGCTTCAACTTGTCCATGCGTGGTCATGCCAACTGCGTTAAGTACGTCAAGAGCTTCAACCTGCCTACTCTGGTTCTTGGAGGTGGTGGTTACACAATGCGTAATGTCGCTCGTACGTGGGCTTACGAAACTGGTCAACTTGTTGGTCAAGAAATGGGCCCTGAGCTTCCCTACACCGACTACTACGAATATTACTCTCCTGATTTCGAACTCGATGTTCGTCCCTCCAACATGGACAACGCAAACAGCCCAGAATACCTCGAGAAGATCAAGTTGCAAGTCTTCGAGAATCTATCACGCACAAGATTCGCACCTAGTGTTCAAATGACCGACGTACCACGCTCACCACTTGTTGTTCAGCCCAACGAGAACGACCCTGACAATGAGGGTGACACTGAAGATTTGGATGAACGTGAGCGTCGCCTTGATGACAAGGACGACGATGAAAACCCAGACTCTCGCTACACCGAACGCAAATGGGATGCTCGTATTGAGCGTGACGATGAGTTTGAAGATTCTGATGATGAAGAGATGGACGCTCTTCTTGGTGTCAAGAAGCAGCCTGGCCAAGAACGTCAACGTATGAAGATTACCGACCACAAAAATCCCTTCGCCGATACTGCCGAAGGTCCTATTGAGTCTGGAACTGCCACCCCTATTGACAACACAATCCCACCAGCTGCTGCTCAAGCCGATCAAATGGTTGTCGAGAGAGCACAAGAGGCAAATGCCGCTGTAGGTGATGCTATCATGGCTGCTAAAGCTTCGGAAGATCCCCATGCTGTGCAGCCGGCTCTCGGCGAGGAAGTTGCTAGCAACGGAACTCAACGAGCACGATCACCGCCCAAGCCGGCGTCAACCACTGTACAACCTCCTGCAGCTGAGCCTGAGGATGTCGAAATGGGTGAAGATGAAGCTCCCCAACCACCCACAAACGCACCGAACGCAAGCAACACGGAAGCAGGCGCGGGACCTACTGCTACACCTCCACCAGAACCTGTAGTTCCCGAAGCTGCCACATCAGCTCCCGAAGACGTGGAGATGGGAGATGGTGCTGCCGAAGCAAAAGAAGAAGGCCGTCAAGAACGCGAGGCGGAGGATGTTCAAGGCGAGATGAAACGTGAGGGTGAGGCCGGTGGAATTAACTAGAATTTTCGCACTCCACCACTCCCTTTGGCATCGCGTTCGCCTATATCGATGCCAAGTAGCCCACCTTTGCCAGAAGAATCTGTCCCTACGCGTCGTTCAGTATTCTCTCCTTCATGGTGGGATGAAAACATTGGCGAGGATTGATCATCAGGAGTTCGGCGTACTGTTCCAGCTTGGAGCTGCATTTTTTTCCATCACAGCACGGAGTTTGCTGGTTTTACTCTTCGTTAGAGTGGCTGAAATGGCGAATGAGGACAGCAGTCGCGGTGTATCCTTGGATGTCACGAGTAGACTACGATTGAGACGTAGAAATGTTTATCATGTTCAACTTTTACGATGCGAGTCTTTCTTTTCCTGTTTAGCATTTGCTGCTCTTCTACAGCAACGTGTGGTCCTTCTCAATGTGGAAACTTGAGCCGCTTTCGACACCAAGCCGAATTCGGAAGGTTCAAGCGGTATCGCGAAACCCCGCCTCGATGATAACCTCGCGGGCAACTCTCGGGTGAGGAGTATAAGAGTTGTCGTGTGTCCTTCTTATCTTGTCCGTTCCATAGTCTATCATCTTGGGAGTATTCCAAGCTCAAGATCCGAGTCGGTGCTCAGAACCACAGCATTATATCTCCTTGATTTATCTACCTAGAGTTCGAGAGCACGTTCCAATACCATGTGGCTTTTTGGGTCTTCCAAGCACCGACAGATATGGTAAGCGGTACTCGCTACAATGGCGACCGAACAACACTAATGACATGTCACCTCTCAGTCAACGCAAACAAGATGAACGTGCTTCTCGTATAACGAATCTGCCCGAGTCATATCAGTCTCTCATCTCGTCCTCAGAACGCAAAATCTTGGATGCACCCATCGAGGAACTGGTCGAGGATGTCCAAAAATCGATCAAGTCACCTATTGATGTCCTGCGTGCTTATGGCAAAGCTGCCGTCAAGGCACAAGAAGCCACGAATTGCGTTACTGAGATCATGTTCCCAGATGCCGAGACTTGGATCCAGGATGGCAGTGTCAACCTGAAAGGTCCTCTCGCTGGAATCCCTGTCTCGCTTAAGGATTCGATTGTTGTTGGTGGCTTTGATGCTTCTGTTGGTTACTCGGGTAAATGCTTCAAGCCTCATGCTAAAGACGGCGCTATGGTGCGTCTGCTCAAGGATGCTGGAGCTGTGCCGTTCGTCAAGACTGCTTTGCCTATCACTTTGCTCTCTTTCGAATCAACGAATGATGTTTGGGGAAGATGCAAAAATCCTCACAACAGCAAGTACAGTCCTGGTGGCAGTACTGGAGGTGAAGGCGCCTTATTGGCATTTGGTGGTTCGAGAATTGGCATTGGATCTGACGTTGCTGGATCTGTTCGCGCTCCAGCTCATTTCTCGGGTTGCTTCTCGTTGAGATGCTCGACTGGAAGATGGCCGAAGTATGGTGTCGACACTTCGATGCCTGGTCAAGAAGGTATCCCTAGTGTCTTCTCGCCTATGACGCGAACACTCTCAGATCTGGTCTACTTCACAAGAAGTTTGATTCAATGCAAGCCTTGGACCTATGATCAGAGTGTGCATCCCTTGGCGTGGCGTCAAAACAACTACGATGAGTTCAAGGAGAAGAAAAGACTCAGAGTTGGTGTGTTGAGAACTGACGGTGTTGCCGACCCTTCTCCTGCTTGTGCCAGAGCTTTGCAGACCACCGTGGACGCACTCAAGCAACAAGGACATGATGTGTTCGATCTCACTCTCCCCGCTGCACCATACGCACCCCTCGACGCCCTGTCCATCGCTGCTCAACTCCTCAATGCAGAGGGTACAAGAACATACTCACGCTTCTTTAGCGCCGGTGAAACAAATGACCCAGGAGCTGCTAAATTGACTTTCTGGATGCGTCTTCCCTCCCCTCTTCGCTGGCTGTACGTCAAGTACGTCCGTTACATTCGCCGCGATGCTGTCTGGGCTCGTCTCCTGGAATCTTTCCACGAGAAGTCTGCATATGAGAATTGGCAGTTGGTTTACCAGCGCGAGTCATTCAAAAACTTCTGGTTCGATTGGTGGAATGGTATCAATGCCGATGGCAAAGGCGATATGGACGTCATGATCACACCTCCCAATGCTACTCCTGCTGTGCCTCATGACGGTATGAGAGATGCTGTTTCGTCTTGTGGCTATACCTTCCTCTTCAATCTTCTCGACTACACTTGTGGTATCATCCCTGTCACCAAGGTTGACGCTGCTAAGGACGCTCTTCCCAAAGATTTCGTCATAAATGCCAATGGAGTTGCCCAGGGAGCGTACAAGCATTACGATGCGACTAAGATGGCTGGCTTGCCTGTGGCTGTTCAGGTCGTGGGTAGAAGACTGGAAGAGGAAAAAGTTCTTGCTGTCATGGAGAGAGTAGAGCAGGCATTGAAGGACAGCGGAAGCGTCTATGAGTTATTGCAAGTGCCATAGAAGGGTATGAGCAAGAGGGTGAGGTTTGAGCAGTCACAAAGTCGTATGCTTCTTCCTCGATGCTAGCTGATTATCTACCTATCGCAATGCAGAAACGAATTTTGTTTTATGACAGTATCCGCTGAGAGTGACAAGATCTCTCTCTTTCCTTGGTCAACTGCAGAAAGTAGGATACATTCTTGCATCAGCACAGTTCAACCCTTGTCATCAGTGGTCGTTGAGATGCACCTTCCTACCAACTTAGTACACCAATGTCAAAATCGTTTCAATATCTATCCACCCTGCTCTGATGTCAAAACCAATCGTCCAAAAATGTCTGCCCACATGGCTTCGAATACTCTCGGCACTGCTATTTACTTTGAGTTCCTCGTCACATTGCATCCAGAAGTCGAAGCCACCCGCACCAAACGAAACTCCTCAGGTTCCGTATCGATATGACAGGCTGTAACATCGCATCTCTCGTGGTGGCTGGGATACTAAACGGAAATACTGCACGAGTAGTTTGATTAACAAAGACGATGAGAGGAGCGATGTGTAACGAACTTTTACCATCATCTGTGAGAAGGTAGAGCTACCTATATCCATCGAAACAGAACGCTCCAGGCTCTATAACAATCGAACAGACTGTAAGGTCGCATTGTTCATGTTCACGAGAATAGTATACGGAAATATTGCACGAGTCATCTAAGGTGTTAAGACGATGGGAAGAGCGATATATAACAGTATTCAATGTGGCGGTACCCGGCTCATGAAATCACAGTTTGCTATTTCGGTACTGATGAAGATGATTCTTGGAGCAGGAATAGTGATGGTAGTGGGTGGTCATGCTGGAAGGAATATGTTTGACTGCAAGACGAACGGATTAGATCAAGGAAAGAGACTCTTTCCTTTGATGTCACGACTAAGGTATGAGGTTTGCAAACGCCATATAGATATTTTAGAGCATGTTTTATGAACAGTGAGATGGTGTGCTTGAAAAATGCTCTGGCTCAATGAAGTTTGCTAGCATCTCCTTTTGCTCAAGAGTTGTGTTCTTTATCCCTCCAAAGAAAGTTGTTAGGATATGCCGATATCTTGAAAGAAGAAGGAGCGATGGATGAAAAGGATCAAGACAGATCAAAACGGTCCTTCTTTCCTTCTTGCTCAAGGAATCTTACTTATACTCGTGCAGCATTGATACTATATACGCTAGAAGTATGGCGAGTGCGAATAGTCGGTTGTCTTTGCAGGTGTCTCTTACGAGATATCGTATCAGTACTGGGAAATCAATACCACATTGTCAGCGGATACATCACTTCCACCAACATGGTGGAAGAGCTCCTACTTTCAGACTGGCTGCCCAGTATCATGTCATGCCGAATTGGTCTCACATTGGATCAAGAAGATCATCCAAAGCATGGCACGGTATAGCTCTCTTGTGGTATAGTAAGGGTAATGCCTTACGCCGTTGATTCCGAGGACAACACTCCTGCTGTCCACGCTGTCTTTTTTGACATCAACCGTGCCATCGAGTCTGTCCCTGCCCAGATTGCCTCTCCTGGACGTATCAATAACAATGAGACTGAAATCCTTGTCCCTAACTACTTCAAAGATGATTAGTTTGGCTCCGAACGGCGAGAACGAGGCTTTGGTCCCGATTGTATCGAAGGACTCATAAATGCTCTCACCAGAATGCAACGCGAGTCTTTCCATCTATCCATTCATCCGCAAGAATTTCATGGGCTTCGGCGGACGGGTCTCGGCGGTAATGGAGACCCATATCCAAGAGTGTGAAGTCGTCAGCAGTGACGGCGTGGGTCCATCAAACAACGCCTTGCTGATCAGTTTCGGACTTGGGGCATCATTTCAAGTCACTCTATGATTATCTTCAAGTACTTTTTCAGCAGTTACCCTCTGCTGCAGAGGACAACCCACTTCACACACTGTCACAGTGCAAGAGTCACAGAGCTTGTTGAAGTCTTCACGGCACCATCAAAGAACAAAAAAAAAAAAATAAGATCCAACCGCATCACGAATCAGAATTGAACTCACGACCAGCAATATTAGACGCATTACACCTCATATCAGACACACTAGAGGTTTAATTACTGAACAAGTGTGTACGCGCGAATCGGCTTTTCTGCTCAGCCAAACACACCATACGCATCATCTGACTGAGTAGGTAAAAGCAGGGCAATTTTCGAAGGTTATATAGTCTAACTCAGGATTGCTACTCGCTCGAGATCATCTCAGCGCACCCACACTCATGTTATCGTAGCTGCACTTTGCATTTGTGTTTTCTTCAAAGAGGAGACAATGAGCAAATCGACAGGTGCATCGATACGTGCCTTCTACTTTTGATAAGTGGAACCTCCGTCTCGTATGTATACAAACACGGAGCAGAGTGGCAGCTACTGTTACTATGTCTTCGAGACCATCATGCGTACAAGGAAGATACCAGGTTCAGTCACAGTGTTTTATCTACTCAGTTGATCGGCTGCAGTGCAAGTCGTGCAACAGCTGCAGGAAGGTTGATGAAGATCGGACAGATTTTATTCTCCCTACCTACAATAGAGAACATCTTATATATATTGTTAGACGATGTGGAAATGCTACGAAAGCATGAAGGATGTATATCTTGAGTTGGGCAAAGATAGGGTCTTCGAGGTATGATATTGGCGATGGTATAATTTCCGGGAATTTGAAGAATCCATCAACCACCCGCGAATGCTGTCCATATAGAACCAGATATCTTGCACGACAGTGTATATAGACAAAAACATGATGCTCAAGTTGAGGAAGAGGCTTTCTTTTGGTCTGGAGCCGAGAGGTCAAATTTTCCGTCTCTTGTTGTTGTTGTTTTGGCGTGTTGCATGCTACACGTCTGATATCTTCCTCCGAACATCACCAACCATTCCATCACACCTTCTCATCACACACTTCATACACTCATCACTTTCGTGAAGCACATCACGATATCATCAACTATCATCACCGTCATTGTCAACGCTCTCCTTGCGATTCCCAAGATGCCATACACATACAAGTCGATCATCCCATACGACAGCCCCCTACTTGATGTCAACAAGCCCCTCGACGTCCCTGTGTGCATCCACTGCAATGAGCCTCTTCTGGACTCGAGCCAGGTAATAGTCGAGTGCGCCGACTCTTGTGGCCACCACAAGTCTCAGTGCGTCACCTGTCTCTTGATGGAGATTGATGATTGTTGCATCGAGGTAAATGCGACACACGTATCCAGGCATAACACAACTAACATCTTCACTAGATCTCTTCCGAAGTTGCTGGCACTGTCAGTGCTCTACTCGAAAGCAAAGTTTTCGAAAAGTCTGTCCCGGTGATGGAGATTGACTTCTCGATTCGCGACTATCTCGAGACTGCCTTAGGTTCTCGCATCTGGTTGAATTCCTACACAAACCACGCGAACCAGGTCACTGGCGCTGTTGCTACTAACAACATTCCCGAGTATCTCAAAGTTACTCTTGACGACCAGCGTCCCTGTGATTCCACCTTCAAACCCACTGCCATCGAATCAAATGTTGCCCCTGAGAACCACCACGAACACAACACCACCTCTTCTGATGGTCACCTCTGTATCCACTGCGACTCTGAGTGTCCGAATCTAAACGACGACCTTCTCGAGTTGTATCTCCACGAGCCTGAAGCGGCTACTGCCCACTTCTCCGCGCGGGAGGACCTCACTGTCGACCAACTTCCTGATTATGTTGACGAAGACGAACTCTCCACCCCCAACTCCGAGATCGAGATCATCTGCAACGACCTTGGTTGAGAGCTTTCCGAGACCTCCATCATCCACAGCAATCCATGCTTAACAACCACCACCGCTTCTCGAGCCTTCTTACCAAGATAAAAGCGCAAGTGCGAGCGAACATTGATCGACACGAGCAAGTCCAAGTCCAACTCCCACTTTCCTTTTTCAAGCATAAGTGCTCAGAAAAGTAAGCTCATATCGTGTCTCTAATAGCATATAACTTGCTAATTCATGTCCAGAAGCATGAGTTATCACTTTCCTTATTTACCAATTGAAGTCACAACTTGAGCGAATGCCCGCGAATGCCCCTTTGATACATCATGTATGTCTTAGGCGGCTTGGCCACTCAGTCTTTCTTGTCAATAATTGAGATTATCTCTAAGCGTCATGCAGTCAGCACATCAACAACAGGCTGAGGAAGGAAGGGTTGCAGGTGCGAAGACATGAAATATCTCGCCAGTAACCACAGAATGCACATTCTTTTCTATCCCATAACATAGTCCATCTTTCTTGTGCCAGTGATGACTATTTTGCCTTTCGCTATTGCTGCCTCCCTGGCTTACAATCTTTTACTTTGCTTTCGTTGTTCTCTAAGTTTGTCTTAACAAGAAACTTGCTGTGTGCTAGTATCAGCCGCAACCACAACTTGCTCGTATCGTTTATAAAAGAACCACTCCTTTGCCAAACTTGCCCCGATACTATTTCCCCATTGCAAATGAGCACATCTAGCAGGAATCTCGTTCTCTGATTGATTCGCTAAGGGCATCCCATTTCAATCTACGCGCTTTGCGCTTCAAAGTCCTCACGAAGCTGAGTAGAGCACCTTGCAAGAAAAAAAGACCCTTCTACACCTTATGGGGTTTTCTCATCCAGGGGTCTTGTCCTCTCGCCATGTATTGTCGTAGAACTCTACTATACGCGCAGGAGATGGCTCTCACTGCCATCATGTACACTGACCTGAGACGCTCCTATGCACGATGACCCTTAAGACTTGTCCGGGACGTTCCTAGCCAGTCGATGCGCTCTCCGGATCTCAGATGTTCTTCGGTTTCATCGGCAAGAGCGTCCTTGAACGGTCGAAGCAACGATAGCCGGAATTAATCCACGCAGTTGCACGTGCGATAGACTTGACGTTCGAACCAAAGATCGCTTGGTTGGTGATCCTATCGAAAATTTGAAGGCTGTACCTTTCGACTACGAAAAAAAAAAAAGGATAGAGTCATGAAGCTGTAGATGTCTCACGTACCTCAACGTAATTTGCCTCACTGAGTCTTCGTGTTGACATAAATGAGATCCTTCTAGTTTTCTTCTTGCCTACTTCTTTCTACCACATCAAGCACTAAACGAAGTTGTCCTGACTCTCCTTCTGGCTGCCGCTTGGAAAACTGACTCCTGATCTTGCTGTAAGTTTGAGAGCTCTCACTTCCGTGGAGGAAAGGTCAGGTCAATAGATTTCCAATCCCTTATCCATTTCTCGTCCAGGCCTACTGCTTCTACGTATCATTTGCCATCTCACAACTCCACTATAGACCCAAAGGTTTGCTTCCACTTTTATCATGTCTGTTGACCTGAGACGCTATCATGCATGTATCTGCCCTGCTACTCTGAGCTCTCAAACGCGACACGACCAGCCGTGTCTGTGATCGAGGTTCAGTTTGTCCCACAAGCAGTGAGCCCTGTCCTGCGAATCAAGACGGCGATGTATCTGTTCCGCCTAACGATTGTTAAAACAGAGAGGTTCTTTATGCTTTCTTATACATGTTTTTAGGACACAAACTCACTAGTCGTCGATATGAATTCTGGCGCATGGAGGCAATAACCATATCATGCCTGTGATGATCACACGCTAGATTTATTACGTTACTCACGTTCGATAGAATTTATGCATGATAGACGAGAAGACAAGTTGTTCTCAATTCAATGCTCAAACAATATCTAAAAGAATTCTATGAACTCAAACAAAGGAAAATCATGTTTACATAATGAGCTCATTGCCCTTGTATTTGAACAAAGGCGAGCTCTTCTTCGAATCATCCACTGATCTCTCTTCAATGTCAGCAACACGCTTGGGGAAGCCGTCGAACGACTTGGCGTAAGTGGCGACAGAGTGTGCAATGAGCTGGTATCAATGTCAGTCGGGTGTGTTCAAAGTGTTAAAATGCGTGTTCCTGCTTACCTTAGTGTTTACTTCCCAGGCAGTCAAGTCCAGGTTGTGGAGGTCGTCGCAAAGTTGGTGGTAGCAAGGATCATACTGTGCTCCAGCTTCACCACCGAAAATGCTGGCCTCCTCCTTGGTCTTGATGCCCTCAGCACCAGTAGCAATGCCACCGCTTGGAATGCCCTCCGTGAGGAAACCGAGGTAATCACTTCTGCCATCAAATTCAATGAAGGTGTAGTTGAGACCTTGCTCCTTGTACCAGTTTTCGTAGAGAACACGAAGCTCGCCTGAGCCGTTGGGGTTTTCCTCGTTGGTGGCGTTGTAGATTTGCAGAGCATAATTAGATGAAGCCATCATATCGTAGTCCATGAAGAGGCGGACCTTTTGGTTCTCGGCAGCAGAAAGGTGCTCGGCGTAGTAGGTTGATCCGAGGAGGCCTTCCTCTTCAGCGGCCCACCAAGCAAAGCGAACACAGTTGTTGACCTCATACTTGGTAAGCTGGGTGGCGACTTCGAGGAGAGAGATGGTGCCAGAACCATCGTCGTTGATACCAGGACCAGGGGCTACACTGTCGCTGTGGCCACCGAGCATGACACAGTTCTCGGGATCACCAGCAGTTGTCTGAGCGATGACGTTGGTAGTCATAATCTCATCGACAGTCGCGTCAATGTAAGCAATGGCATCAAGCTTCTTTGTACCGTTGGTGAGTCTTTCGACATAGGGTGCTGCGTCTTCAGCGGAGAGGCCAAAAGTGGCTACGTGATCGGGTGAGGGGTTGCCCAGGGTGCCAGAGAGTTCACCCTTCTCATTGTTGTAGACAATGGCAGCATCGGCTCCAGCCTTGCCAGCGTTGGCTGACTTGTCGCCAAAGGAACAGGTACCACGCTTGATGAGTGCAATCTGGCCAGTCATGTTGCGCGGGAAGTCGCTGAGCGAGCATCCTCCATTGGGAACCAGGAGGACGTCACCATAGACGGGCTCATGACGCTTGGTGGCAGGAGTGAGAGACATTGGGGTTGCTGATTTGGGAACATCGTATCCGATCACGAGACGAGACTCGATGACATTACCACTAACAGCCGGGAATGTCTGGTTCGTGATGTTGTAATAGCTTCCCAGCTTGGAGATCTCTGAGTAGATGTAGTCGATAGTACCAAGGTGTCCTGAGGAAAGTATCAGTATTGGTTGATGAGCTGTCTGATGGGAACGTGCTCACCCTTGCTGCCAATGACTCTGGTTGGATGGTTGTACTCGGGAATACTGAGCTCGGCAATCTTGTAGAGGTCTTCGGCACGGGCGACCAGCTTCTTGATATCGATATCCGCTTGGAGCTTCTTAGTGTCGATGGCAGTTCCATTACTGATGTCAGACAATGCTGGAGGAATAACTGGGCTGTATGAAGGATGAGAGTCATCTACAACAAGTGGAAGTTGTCTAGCCGAAGCGGCTGCAGCAACGCATGCAAGAGCGGTACATGTCCGAAGGATAGCCATGATAATATAGAAAAACAAGTGATGATGTTGGTGGATGTGAGAAAGATGGTGGAGGGATGTTCGAGTAGTCTTTATACAGTTGAGCACATGAGAAGGTGCTGTATTTAGGGAAGTCACGAGTATGCTTTTGATAAGGTTGTCATGCAGAACGCTCGTACCTTGCCGATCATTGCCGAGATCGGTCAAGCCTATTCCGCGATAAGGGTCATGCTTGACGCCGCATGCCTACTACTCTACCCTCTTTTATACGCCTAGTCTTCTCTGAAACGGATACAAGTACTGGGGCGTGTTAGCACCGCTCATAACCATGGCCTCGATATCGCAGCGACATTGCTGAAATGAAGCTGTTCGTGATTGAAGGCAGGAAAACACAGCAAGTATCGCCCTTGCCCGACCAAGAGCCAAGGACTTCTTGCATATAAGATGCTCCTGGGCAACCACACCTCTTATAGAAGGTGTTCAGAAGTGTGACCAAAGGACTTTGAAGTTGCCCCTCTTTCCCAAATGCTACCTTCCTGAAGTTACCGTAGTTTTTCTAGGCAAAATCCACTCCTGCTGCGACGTCTATTCATGACCTTCGAGTAGACATTCTTCCGCCTTGGCTGCTTGCGATTTGGAGGTGTGATGGTCAATGGGATGGCCATTTGGAGAAGGAGCTCAAGCAAGCTCGTGTCGCTTGGAAAGACTTGCTTGGTCTGCCTTATCATGCCTTGGCTGATCGCTTGGCCTTCCACTCGACAACCAGATACTGAGTAGGTGTTAAATTTATGAGCTCGAGGCTCAGATATGATATGAAGAACAAGAGGTAGAAGTACACCATGCTACGCTGTCAGCACTTGAGCAGCGCACTAGAAACCAGAAAGTAGAGTAAAGCAAAGATGCTAGAGCAACGCCAAGGACCATGCAACCATAAAATGCCAGCTTTGCTCTCGCCAAACGAAGAGCAGGCTTTGTGGAGTCTTGTTGATAGCCCATCAAGCTCTCAGCCAGGTCTGGAAGTACTCGCAGTTCTTCGCATTGACAGGGCCACCATCTTCACAAAGATTGAAGACTGGACACCTTCCGCAAGGTGCCTGGCTCAACCCATTGCCTTCAACCTCCTCGACTGCATCTGCCACTTGTCTTCCCTGCATGATATTCTTCATGGCTTCCGTAGCTCCAAAGACGCCCTTGCAAGTTCTGTAGCCATTTCCAATTTTTTCAATACGCTCGTCAAACACCAGGACATCGAGCAGATTCTGTAGATCGGATTCGGCGAGTGCTGAGCTGTCCTTCAGAAATCCGGCCTCTGTAATGAAATGATGGATAGCGGAGACAGTCGGATAACCACGCCAGCCTGCCGGGTAGGAGATTTGTGTTTCGTAGCCGCCTGCTCTGCGTGACTTTGGATGTGAGCCTTCAATGTCTGCTGTGTCATTTCTCTTCCTCTTCTTTGAGATTCCGTCGGCATCAGGAGTGGCTTCGCGCTTGATATAGACAGTCTTCCAGCTGTTTTGTGCGATGAAGTGGATCACAGCATCTGCGGTGATAGCGATCAATTCGACATCCAGTTCGCCGTCGCTGAACCATGGTCCTCCAGTGACATCTTCGTTCGGGCTCAGGTGATAAAGCATGTAAATCTTCTGGGCAGGATTCTTGATCGACTTGACGGGCTTAACGAGCTTCTTGCTCTCGAGTGTCTTCATGGCTTTCGTAACGGTGGTTTGATGGATATTGGTACGCTGTTTGATTGTCTTTGTCCATGTGCCATTGGTGCCGCTGTTCTCGATCTGGTTGTATACCATGCGTTCATCGTCGTTGAGCGTGACAATCCTGATTAGTACTGTCAGCCTGTTGCTTCCAAAGCATATGGTGCAGTGTCAAGTACGCACTTGGCAGCATCATCCTTAGTGCGCAGCGCATAACAGATTTTGCCCTCCATTTGCATCAAGCGGATCAACTGCGCATCCATCAAACCTTGCACCAGCTCCAACAGCGCTTGAGCACTATCCACCACTCCCATCTTGAGCAATTCATCCTGTCCAAAGATTTTGGCGCGTCCTTCTGGAGAACTGAGAGCCGCATTTGTGCAGCGCTCATAGAGCTCTGAGCTCGACTCTTCCAACTTTGCCGCCATGTTTCGTCAAGTTGTGCGCGACAATAAGTTGGGAAGGTGAGTTGGCAGATGATCGAGTCGCATGTGAAACTTTGTGACTTGGATCTGCGAGAGGGAAGTTTTGGTCGGAGCTTGTTGCACTTCCGATGCCGATCCTTTTACGCTTCTTGCGTGACCCTGTCTGTCTTTCTCACCCTCCACCTTGCGTTTTTTGGCGCGAATAGAGAGTGAAAGATAGTCGAAGTCCGTATCTAAAGGCATACCAATCTTCTATCATGGCTTTCGTGATTAGGGTTACAGCTTCGCTGGCAGCGAATCAAGAATGTAAGCAAAGCATGAAATCGGGGAGCGATACTCCAATCTCAGGTGGGCGGACCTTAGTTTTAGAGCGGACTTGAAGAGAATTGAAAGAAATAGATGATATACAAAAACCTCATGTGTCTTTTGCGATCGCCGCTAACGATGAAAGTTACAAGAAGGGTTACTACACTATGCTACACGCTGGCTATTATTGAATCGAGAGATGTTTGCGAGGCACCTCTGATCACCGTCAAAAGCTTCTAACAAATCCATGTTGATCCCTTCGATGCCCTTCAGGTCCTTGTGGCCCACCTGGTGGTGGACCTGGCTGTTGTTGCTGAGACGGTGGAGGTTGCTGTTGCATTGGAGGTAGACCTTGGCCCGGATGATGAACAGGTTGATGCCATACTAGACCGCCAGGACCCTGGAGACCAGGCAGTGCAAAGCCAGATCCCCAGTGTTGCGGTACATGTTGTGGCAACTGTTGAGGTGGTCCTGGGGGAGGTAGAACGCCTGTGGGTGGATAGGGCCCTGTATAGCCACCAAACTGCTGATGTTGTGGGTGTTGATGCTGATGTTGCTGCTGCTGCTGGGCTTGTTGTGCAGCAATCAAACCGCCATGCTGCGACATGTACCGCGCGTGAGCTTCAGCGGCACGATGGCGCTCAGCAGCCTGTGCTTCTGCCTCACGGGCCTTGTCCTCTGCTTCTTTGGCCTTGCGACGAGCCCACCATTCAACCATACTTTTCGATCGCTTCTCACTACGAGGGACTTTGCGCTTGGGGTCGATTGGAGCTCCTCCTGCTGTGGCTGGTGCAACAGGGGTTGTATCGATGGATCCAGGCGTAAGGCTCGTCTCTGCGCTCGCCGGCATGTCAGCATTGACGCTTCCAATACCTGGTGTACCATTGCTCTGGGCTTTTGGTACGCGAGGGCCTTTCGGGATGCCAGCATCTGATCTTTTGTGGTGATTCTTACTACCTTTTGGTCGTCCCTTTTTCTTCCCACTAGCCGTAAGCGATGGCCCGTCTTCGCTCTGCGGATCAATCTGCGATTCGTCTGCTAGTCCTGGCGTGGTTGTCTCCGTTGCAGGTTGAAGTTCGAGTACAGGACTGTTCTCTCGCGTATCTGGCGGCACACTGCCTGCGTCTGAGCCTGACATCTCATCTTCTGATGTTGTGGCCGATACTGCAGCACTCTCTTCACGAAGCTCTTGCAGACGCTTTGCAACCAAACCACCTCGTCCGCCACCACGCCCACCTCTGCCGCCTCGACCTCCGCGACCGCCCCGCCCTCCTCTTCCGCCCCGTGTAGCTGTTTTGCCTCGCTTTGCCATAGGTTCATCCGCTTCAGGGGTCTCGCTCATGGCATTTGCACCTCTCTTCCTTCCCATGACTTGATCAGTGGAAACAACACCATCATACTTGGCGACCGGTTTCCGAGCCCGTCTGCCAGTGACAATCTCTTCCGGAGGAACAGCCGCAGCAGCTGCGGAAGCCTCTTTGTTGGCCTGGCCACGAGGTTGACGAGTACGTAATTCTCTGCCAGAAGCATCTCTAACGACTTTCTGGGCGATAGGATCTTGCATGCCGACTTTCTTCGCATCAAACACATAATCATACAACTCAGCTTCTTTCTGATCCTCATATATCATAGGGTCAATCGGGTTGCGTTGGCCAGTTGCAGCCTTACGAGGAATGGCGGCATGTGGAGCAGTAATCTTTTCAAGCTCGAGATATTCGTCCTGCCACGCACGCAATGCTGCTGCCGTGTTGGCGGCCAGTACATATAAGTTGTCCGTAGATCGTTGGCCTGGCAGAAATTTGGTTAAAGGCCCAATAAAGACGTCTGGTTGTGTCATTGGCTCGAAGAGTTTGTTATACAAAGCTTGCGCTTCATCGTCTGGCAGGTTGGGATCTTCGAATATCTCATCGGTGAAGGGGGACGGTAGGTCATCATCACTGACAATGTCCTCCTCTGGTGCCAGAAGAGGTAGTTCTGGCGAAGGCTCGCGAGAAGGCTGTCGTGATGCTGACTGAGCACCACCGCGTCGTCTTCGTTTTACGGTGCCACCTCGTTTTGACAAGGTAATGCCTCGAGGCAGAGGCTGAAAGTTGTTCGAGATGTGGTCATCGTCATCAGCATCGTCATCCTTTTCAGGATCATCGACGTCCGATGCAGTATTGTCCCCATTGCCATTGAAAGAAGTGGTTGCAGGGCGATTGAACGAAGAATCCTCATGTGTTTCGCTTGCAAGTTGGCCGGTGCTCTCATCAGACTCGGGCTTCTTTTTGGTCTGTCCGTTCTGGCTGGATGCTAGACCAGTGAAGAAAATGGCCTCGTGAGCACTCTCACGACGAGCTCTCCGTGCAGCACGGCGATCGTTAGGACTTTGAGGCTTGCTAAAACTTCTTGCTTGGTCCTCGGCTTGATAAGTCTCTAGAATCTCCTGATCAATACCGGAAATGGCAAATATGCGATCATTGATCCATCTGAGAGACACAGGATCTGTTTCGGCGTAGTTGGGAACCTTTGCTGTGATAGTAGAGTTCATCTTGTCGGGAGAGGAATTGTTGGTTGACCTAGTGGTGCGAGTGAGAGAGGGGCTGACTTGAGGTAATTGAGGTTTGCTGTGAGTCCTTGTACGCATTGTTATCAATGTTGTCGTTAGAGAATAAAGATAGTGACTCTATTGTCGTGGCAAGCCGAGGTTATAAAGTCCAAAGGAGCTTATCCAGGAGATAAAAATCTTGAAGGAATGATCAAAACAACTGAAACACCACTCAAGCCTCGAGAGACTCGAGAATCAAGTAGTAAACCAAGTTGGAGTGATGTGATGAAGAAAGCAAAGGAGGATAACGTTTAAGCGAGCAAAATTGGATCGACGAGTTTGAGGGAATGCCAGGATAGAAAAAAAGTTGGCAAGAACAAGGCAGTGATTTGTACAGAAGACCGAACAGAAGTTTCTGACGCGACTGATGGTATTCGCAAAGGCAGAGATGGGATATAACGAGAATGATAGTCTTTTTCGAGTTGTGTGATTGATTTCCAGACTCGTAGTCCCAAGGCCGGTTCCACACGACACGACAGCAGCCAATGACAGGGCTGGCGACCAACAGCGGGAACTAGCCGAGTCTAAGCTAGTGGCTTTCCCCAGCTTTGGACCTGGCGACATTCGAGGAACAATCAAGCCCCCAGCACTTGTCCACTTACAATACAAACAACCATGTCCAAGAAATTGACCGACGAGGAGCTGCTTGCTCAGTTCGAGGATATCCCTTCGGCTGACAGCACCGCTCCCGCGTCAGCCAAGGCCCCCTCTGGTACTGTCGACGATGACGATCCGCTAGCTGAGCTCAGCGCCCTGGCAGCTGCCCGCCCTGTTTCCCGCCCAGAGACCCCTCGTCTATCCACTGGCACCACCTCTACAGCCTCGGGCACCAAATCCAAACCTGAACACACCCCTCAAAGCTCCGGCCCGCCGAGCGGACGCACTAGCGAAGACCGATCCAAGGCACGCAAGAGTACCGAAAGCGCTCGCAGCTACCATCAAAGTCAAACGCCTAATGGTCAGCCCGAACAGAAACAAGAGACTCAGCAAGAACAAAAGGCACAAAGCAGCGGTGGTGGCTGGGGCTTTGGCGGATGGGGAGCCAGTGTCTTCAGTGCCGCCAGTGCTGCTGTCAAGCAAGCAGAAGCTGCCGTCAAGGAGGTGCGCGGCAACCCTGAAGTCCTCAAGTATGCTGAACAGCTGCGTCATAATGTCAATGTCGAGAGCTTGAAGGCATATGGAGGCAACGTGCGCAACATGGCTCTGCCCACCTTCACCTCTCTACTTGAGACAATCGCTCCTCCCATTGCACAGCACGAGCGCCTGATTATCCACAATACACACGATTTGCAAGCATACCCCTCTCTCGACCCCATCATCTACGAGGTCTTCTCGCGCGTCATGCAACAAGTTGAAGGCGGCGACTTGCTTGTCATCCAACGAGGTTCAGAATCCCGCCAACGTGGCCGCAGCTCTTCTGAAGTCGCCTACCGCGGAAACATACTCGGAACAGGAAGTGGTGCATGGACCGATGGTCCTTGGTGGCGCGAACAAGCTACACAACGCAGTTTGGGTGCAGTCAAAGGCCTGACCGAAGGTACCAAGCTGTGTCGCGCCAACGCTGAAGCCTACGCAAACGACTTCTTCTCCTCGCGCGGTGGTATCGAAGAGGTCGCAAAACAAGCTACACAGACCCTCTCAGAGTCCAACCCTGTCCGCAGCTCGGACATCTTCCTCGCCATTCAACCCATCACACAGTCGGCTGCCAAAGAACTCTTCGCAGCTGGCCCCAAGGCCGACGAGCCTAAGAGCGACGTCGTCGAGCCTGACGCTGACGAGGAGACCACCCTCTTCGCCATCTACCTTCACGATCCCATCCACTCTCTGTCTTTCTCTTCGCTATCGCAATCCTTCCCAGCACAATGGGCCCAATGGCTCGACGCTTCGTCACCCAACCCCGAAGACCCCGACACTCTTCCCGACAGCATTCGCGAGATAGTCGAATCTGGCGGGATTGATCCTCGTGAATGGGTCTCAGAATGGATCCAGGACACCCTGCATCTCGCCATCGGCGTTGTGGCTCAAAGATATGTAGCAAAGAGAATGGGAGTTGGCGAGGGTGGTATTGGCAAGGGCAAGGCCAGACAAAGAGCAGAAGAAACGGACGCTGCTGGTGAGGCCGCTAGAGCTATCTAGAGTTTCTTGATGATTTTCCTATCGTTCTCCTACATGAATGGCGTTTGGGAGGAAGGTACGATTGGTACTAGGCAGCATATTTTGATTAATGACCATCTCTATACTTTCACTTGATCTCTCCCGTCGACGTAGGCATCTGAATCATCATCACAACATTGACGGGGGCAGAGTGATGCATTCTTCCAAGATGTCTTTCAATTCATAGCTCTATCGCGAGACTGGTATAATCTTCCAAAAAGGTGTCCTCCCAAACTGTGCTGTCTTCCAAAAAGCAACAACACATTTACTGAGGAGGCAGAACCTCGAAGGTGTTGGCAACCTCCTTCTCCCACGAGAAGCGGTCCTTGCCGTAGATCTCAGCAGCAGGGCCAAAGTTCTTGCGACCCTCGGAGAGAAGACCTGTGCGCAGGATGATCTTGTCGTCGCCAAGAGCGGTCTGGTGGTGGTAGACGTGGGTCTGGTTGTCATCTCTGTCAGCAAAAGTGTTAAGATGAGTGAGCGGAGAGCATAAGCTTACAGTGCAGTTGGGGCAGTAGTAGCAGTGGACGGGGTTGCCAGAGTCACCCTTGTAGGTGTAGTTCTTGAGGCTGTCGCCGCCCTTTGTGATCTTCAAGGAGTCCTTGGGGACGATCTGGTTCAGGGTGTAGGCACCGCCGGAGAGAATCTTGCAGGTGTTGCAGTGGCAAAGAATGTGAGACGAGGTGTCCTTGTCGAGGGAGGCGGTCCACTCAGTGGCACCACAGTGGCAGGCTCCGTTGTAGGTAGACATTTTGATGTGTGTAGGGTGTGTGGTTGAGTGAAGTGGTATGGATTGGTTCACAAGTGATAAAGGAGAAAGAAGGAGAAACGAAGTGACAGGGACGTGGAGCTAACAGTCAATTAATACCCGAAGGCTTCAAAATGGCTATTTGAGCTTGACATCAGAGCTATGGCGGTCTTCTGGAGTTCATTCGGTCTTTTGCCTTTTTGCTTTCCCCTCCTTTTACGAACACATGGACGAATGACTATGTGCGCTCGGCATTGCCGTATGTATCAGCTTACTGTAATAACTTGTATACCTCAGTCTAGACTTTCTTAACAGTAGAATGGCTCCCATCTGTAAGCATAGAGCTGGCTGTTGTCTCGTAGGATGTGGAACGAATTCCAAATCACAAGAGGAGTTCATTGGTCGGAGCTGTCATTGAGCGGGGTGAGCAATCGGCATGACGTACCTCATTTGGCCAGAGCTCCTTGAACCATGGAGACGCGCTCCGCTGAGAGGAAGCGGTCAAAGATCATCAAAGAAGAAAGATGGAAGTTTCCACACGTACAATTCTGTCAAAGTTCTTGCGGCTCCATTGACCTTCGTCACGCGAAGTTGAGCGTGCCTGCGATACATTGAGGACTACAGCATGACAATGAAGCCTCGAGCTTTGGCATCGTATCAGCGTTGGCCGTTGCAAGCCCATATCATTTGGAATCAGGAATCCTGGCATGCAGATGCTCAGATGCCTGCCATGCCCTGAAATGCATATCCTCAACCCTCAGTTCACGGACGTGTATGGATGCAGTAGTTTCTGTGCTTGACACGAGCTTGTTTGGATTCATGACTTCGTAAGTTTCATACTCTTTCTGTTACTAGCCTTTCTCGCTCTCTACCTATGCCTTTGAGGGATCGCTCGAGACTGTCGATTCGACAAGCTTAGCATCCATCTTCTTGCGCTGCTCCTGGAGCTTGCCCATGAAACCATCGTCGGCAGTCTTGTTACCCTCGTGGTCCCACTCCTCAATGTGCTCTTCGATTTTTCCTTGACCGTTAAGCTTGAAGGTCAACTTGCTGTTGACAGTCTTCTCGGTACCCTCCTTCTTGAACGGAATCGGCGACTTGAAAACATAGTGTTGTGTCAAGTTTAGTTGCAACTCAGAAGGTGTTGATGAAGCGAGAACTGCGACCTCTGGAAAACATGTTAGCGAATATCGTTTCCTTCCTTCATTTCTCGACAACCAACCTTTGGTATCGCTACGAGCAAAGATCTTAGGCATTCCATTGAATTGCGACATGATGCTCTCCTTGCCCTTAGCAATACTGACGGGGTCATGGAAGATGGCAGTCTCAGCATAATGAGAATAACTCTGCTCATTTGGATCCAATTGGTACAGCTTCAGGATGTCTGTGATGAACTTTTGTTCTTCGAAGGTGGCCTCCCTTGTGGCATGGGTGCCTTGCGAAGATTGCGTGAAAGACATGTTCGTTTGTGTAATATGTGATCTGGTTTGTTGTGTCAAGAGTCAAAATCTGAGCCTCCTCTAAAGCATTCAAGTATCGTCTGCTTTGTTGGCAGGAATCTCCAGCAGACGTCATGGATCGAGGAGGATCGACATGGAGGCGGCTCCTGGAGAAGCCTTCTAGACGTCAGTGGACCCCTGCTACAAGACCCTCTCGCTGTTCACTGTCATTATTGTGCAGCTTCCAGCTTGCAACACACAAGGTCGTGTGTGGCATGGTACCACCGTGTACAGTGTTGCTCAACATGCTTCTGTTGATTTTCATCAGCGGGATCCGCGTCAATGAGATCGGGGCCAAGGTCCACCCATCACAATGAAAATCTACCACCTTGCACGATGCATAGAAATTGACTCGCACATTCCCTGCGACCAATGTTACACAAAGCTAAGTATCCCTTGCGGTTCTATTCTGTCTGCATGTAGCCATCACCCGCAGCTCTAAAATACCCTTGGAAGTCCATGTCCTTTCATTTTCCTTCTCTGGCTCAATCTCAAGCTGTCGCTTTCTATGACAATCTGCTCAGGATAGGAACCATCGCGAAAATAGAAAGCGACTTTACAGTGCGCTCGAGCAATGTCGCCGCAAAGGCATCTGCTTCTGTAAATACTGCGAGCGCAGCACATTACCGTTGTACGAAGATGCACGCATCCAGCTGCTGGAAGACTGTTGCAAAGATACTCGACTCGCAGAAAGTTCTTCCACAATGCTTTTCAATCCTCTAAACAGTCAACAACCCTTTCGTTTTATGGATCTACCTATCGAACTTAGTCTTCGCATCTGCGAAATGGTCTTCAAACCCAGTAAATACCAAGAGTGATCCCCAAGACATGGCTTCCGATATGATCGAGCCTGGTATAGTTTCCACCAACCGACGAATCCGCAAAGAAGCCACTTCGATTTTCTATAGCACAAGCTGCTTCCGCTTTGAACTCCCAGAATTTTACAACAAGCGCAAATCCATCGATTTTCTGGAGGGCGAGGATCGTTTGTGGTTGACACATGTTGAGAAATTCAAGAAAATGAGACGTGTGCGGCAAATCTGTTTCCGGCTGTGCGATAACGTGGATATGCATGATGTGTGCATCGATGTGTCTTCGCGACATCACACAATTATGCAAGATAGAGAGACGGACAATCGGATTCAACAGCGTTGTCGATGTGATACGCTAATTCGTTGATCAATCGAAGCAGAAATTGGTTGGCGAAGTTCAATGGTGTATAATGTATTACAATGGAAAGGTTAGCAATTTTACATCATGGTTCCTCTTTCTTTTTCCGATCCTTCTCTTTTCTTTTTGGAATCGTCCTTAGCTCAGGGACTTTGCTTGGCTTGCTCGTCAGGATATCAAGCAGTGCCATAAGTCTGATGACCATGCTCTCTCATCGTGTTATTCACATCAGCACCAGGCATCAACACTTCCCTCGCCTCCTCAGCCTCTTCCTCCAATCCCTCACGCTCGATGGACCTAGACTGATACCACACATAACCGACCAACACCACACCAACTGCAAAAGCCGTAGAAAGCAAGATAATGTTAACAGGGATAGGGTTGTTGTGGAAAGCATGATGGGTAAGAGCATCCAGTCCTTGAGCCGAGAAGTTGAACAGACCAGCAAGACAGATGATCAGACCGTAGACCTTGCCGAAAGTGGCGAAACCGAAGACCTTGGCTGAGTAATCTGACACAGCTGTGTAGTACAGAGGACGGTAGATGACAAAGAGGATAATGTTGGCGTATGCGGAAGCAGTGTTGGGGATGACACCAAGAACACCGATTGTAGTTGCGATGGTGACCAGCAGAGTCAGAGTGAAGACCGTGCTTGTGTGGTCGAGAACGAGGCCAATGAAAGGCACAGCAACGACACCGCCGAGTGGGAGTGCGATATCGAAGAAAGAATTGATGTTCTCAGCCTTTTCGGGGCCGACAAGGTAAGAATATTGGGTACGAATAGTGGCGACAAAGTAGTTGATTCTGGTCATCTGAATGATGGTGAATAGCGCGATGAGGATGAACCAGGGTGTCATGATTTGCTTGAATGCAGGCTTGCCGTGAAGAACGCCCCAGACGCCGCTTGTTGCCTCGACTTTCTGCTGTTGCGCCTGTTGTTCTTCCGCGCCCTTGGTACCTAGCAATTCTGTGATCTCGCTGACCACAGACTCACGACGTTCCTGACGAAGAAGAGCACGTTCCTCGTTGGTGATGTCTTGGTCTGAGTCAGAGTCGACTAATGGTTCTTCGGCCTGCTGAACCAGTTCTCCAACGGTCTTGTAGCTGTTTGAAGGCATAAGGAAGATTTGAGCAACGAGAATCAGGGCGGGTACAGCAAGGTAGATCAAGAAGAAGCGCTTAGTGTTGAAAGCGCCATCGGTGGCCTGGAAGATGAGACGGTAAACAAGGAAGACAGCCGAGCTAGTGTCGAAGGCGCCTGTCAAAAGTGCAAGGATAGTGCCCGAGTACTTAGGGAAGGTGTTCGAGAGCTGGAAGCTCGAGATGAAGATGAAAGGACCACCAAGAGCGAGGAAAAAGTAACCAGGAATCCAGAGATCGACGCTCTCGCGAGCATCCCATGCAAAGGCCAGAAGGGCAGAACCGATGGCAAGAAGGAAGCAGCCAATGATACCAGCGACTCTGGGACCATATCGATCCAGGATAGTTCCAACAGGCAAAGCGCAGACATTAGTACTGACAGCGGCGACGGTGAACATCAAGTTCAGTCTCAATTCTTGCTCGTAGCATACCCATACACCTTCCTCAATCTCTTTTGGCGTGCATCGATCAGCATAAACACCCTGCTCAATCAGAACAGGCTTGATTGCAGCATATCCGAAAACCACACCAGCAGCAAACAAGCAATACACACAAGCAACAGCAACTTGGGCTATTCTCTTGATCTTGCTGACTTCAAAAGCAGCAACGGGTTCCTCATGCGCAACATTCGGTGTCCAGCTGCCTACAGGATTAAAGCTCAACTTGCGGCGCTCAGAACCAGTAGGTGAAGAAGCTCTGGCTCCCAGATCATTTGGCGTCGTAGAATTCCAGTGATCCCGCAGTGTCTCCATACTGCTTCTTCGCTCGAATAACGACATCGTTCCGTCGTTTGGTGCAACTCGGGATTTTTATATATCGGCGGCTGGATAGTTATGGGCTGACGTAATTTCTCTCACAGAATAGGTGTTTCCCCGCAGAGGATGAGGGCACGCGATCAGATTGCCAATGTTTGACGAGTCAGTCCAATATAGGCGTGTAGGATGACGGAGGGATGACCATGAGACAGAGAGAATGAAGGGTTGGAATTGTTCGCAAAAAGCTGACCGAGGCAACTACATGTTTATGAGAGTTGGTTGGAAGGAAATTTTTTCGGCAAGCTGAACTGCATGCTTACCCACAGTTGTGGTTCTACAAATGGATAGGACACGATAAGAAGCGGCTTTCCAGAATGCATGTTCGTTTCGTCCAATCACGGCTTTCGGATCACGCCGACGAAAGACTGTTTGACTCGATGAAAACTCGTGGGGCTTTCGAAAGTGTGGGGCCATTTGCTCTTTGCAATCAAGAGTCAATACTATTCGTGATTTCTATTAGGAGTCGTCTTGAAGTTGTGCCTATCTTTTCTGATGTCCCTCCGTATTAACCCGTCGCAATGCGGAAACAATGGAAACGACTGTATGCGAGAACCGCTCTATGCCTAAGGAAAGGACGAAGGAGGACAAAAATGCAAAACAAAAGAGAAAAAATCACATCTCCGCGCGATTCGCCCATCTCCGATACCACAATTCATGCCGTCGCAGCAAATTTTTTCAAGGAGAAATTGAACGAGGGTCTGGCCCTTCGTTCAGCTTTTTCATTGGCAGTCGCATCTCCGGTCAGGTCAACGTCAAACTGTTCAAGCAGCTTCGATCTTCTTGGGAAGCAAACCAGCTCTCTTGCTTTTGAACCACAAAGTCGGCAGCAAGATACATGAGCATGAGAACAGAATGCTATAGATCAATGTCAGCTAACCAGCCATAACATGAAGCACATGCACAAGACCCACCAAAGCGCAATGCACAATCCCCAGATTGCCTTGGTTTCAAGACAGTTGACTCTGGTTGAGCCAGCCCAGACATACAAGCCGATACTGCCGCCCTGTTTGACGTTCTGCACGAGACTTTGCAACCAGGACGCAGCGCCTGCTGCATCAACCTTGGCATCCGCATTGGCGATAGCGAAACAATTAAGCAGACTGAGTGGCTTGCCGAGAGTAACCGAAACGACGATGAAAGCAAGAAGGAGAAGACCATCAATGGCAGTCATTATGAACAAGCCTAGATTTGCTTGGGCCATGTAGAATGGAATGCTGATGAGAGTGTACAGCGTGGCGATACAAGTCTACCATCCTCATCAGTATGAATTAGGATTTTACAGCATGGTAAGGATCACTTACAACACTCAACGTTCCAACGATCTCTTTGGGAGGCTCAAGACCAACACCGTTGATGGCAGCTACGAAGTTTGCCGTCAACCCGACAATACCAACCATTGCGACCAGACTCAATCCTCTGACACAGAGGAAGGTCTCGCTAAGAGGAAGAGCACCGTAGCTTGGGACAGGCATAGTTTCGGTTTTGGTAGTTGCTGATGAATGAATGGGCAGATGAAAATGCAGAAGGCCGGCCTGCGGTAAACACTCAAAGCGAGTGGGATCAAGCGATGCAGAAAGATCGAGAAAGATGCGAGAAAGATGCGAGAAAGAGCAGAATTTAATATGCTAAACAAGAAGAAAAAGCAGGAAGAGAAGAAATGCTGTGTTTGTTGGATTTTCTGAGACTGAGAACAAAGAAAGGCACTGAAGCAAAGGTCTTAAGTATTGGCTTCTCAGCTACACAGCCTACCTCAACATACAAAGCTCAGACAACCAATCCATGTTTCTTGCTATTCTGGCTCACCTCGTTGAGAAGGTGGAACACGCTGTCTCTCTTCAGTTGACGCTGCCTCGTCCAATGGAACACAGTCTTGGCACGGCGCGTAAATATAGCGATACCCGTTTTGCTTGCGTCGACTGGACAAAGTCTTTGAAGACGATCTGTATGACTGCATTCCCTGTTTCTTGCATACTGAATTGATCTGCTGCAGATTGTGGCGGAGGTTAGTTGCTGTCGGAGAGACGTCTGCAAGCAGATCCCGCCGAGGCGCTGGGCGGATGTTTGAGGGATGTTCAGTTAGCAGTGTACTATCAGATGACTGACCAATAGAAGATCATGAACCTGTCCAAGTCTGAAAATAGGTAATACTCCGCAAAAGCTTCGATACCTCATGAGACCAGAACAAACAAGTCAATGCAAAGTCCACTGGAAGGAGCGGGTGGAAGGAGCGAAGAGGGGATGAGAGCGACGAAATGCATTGTGGAAGTCATATCATGCCGGAATGTAAAAAACAAGATGGAGAAGAACACAGCTAGCCACGAAAAGCCAGCAAGTAGCAAATGAATTAAGCAACGACCCAATTGACCTCCCTCGCATACCCATCAACGCCATCACCATCCCAAGCAACACCGCATTTGAAATCAGTCTTCGCGCGCTTTTCAGATATGACCCGCACGCCAGGATTAGCGTGTACAATCAATTTTCGGACTAGCGACGAGCAGAACCGCCCGTCTACTATCATTGTCAATAACCAGCAGAGCTGCTCACAGGTCCGTAAGTTGTCATCGGCCAGAGACCATCCCCAATCAAGGGCAAAGGATTACTGCCGTCTCCGACAGGCATGACGCTGCTGGGATCCACACCAGGAGGCTTCTGGCCCAATGCCAACAGTGCGTTTGCATTCTGAACGTCGAAGCCAGGGTAACCTGTTCCCATGATACCGAGCATATCATGAGTGAAATGGCGCCAAGCAGCGGGACCCATCATCATTTGTTGAGGTTGTTGCTGAGGCGTAATTGCTGCTGCGGTGGTTGCGGTCGTGGTAGGAGAAGCGTAACTGTTGTTCGGTGACGGTGAGGTGAATGCTTGGAAGAGATTTTGTGTCGTTTGATCGTGAGAAGCCATCTGTTGCGAAACGTTTTGATTGTGGGCGTGATTAGCTTGGTGCAAAGCATGGCCAGCATTATGAGCGGCGAGTTGGGCAGTGAGGTCGGACTTGATATCATCGCCATTGGTGTACGCATTGTTGTCGACAAAGGCAGGATATGCTGGTGCCGATCCTCCTGAAGGATCAGGGTATGCGAATCCGTTGTTTTGATAAGGCTGTTGAGCTTGCAGACCGTTCTCGTCTGGGCCAAGGTAGGATGCGCCGGCAGTAGTATCCGTAGGAGGAGCGCCATTGGGATCGGCAGGAACATATGCTGGAGCATAGCCTGCAGGAGCATTGTAGCCATTGACACCATCTTGTTGGCCGTCAACGAGCGCGGGCGAAGAGTGAGCAATGTTGGCTGAAGCGACAGCAGCACTTGCAGTCTTTGCTGCAAGGTGACGGTGGATGTTATCAATGGAAGCGTTGACAATGTGACGGACGGCATTCTGGAGTTTGTTACCGCTACCCATCAAATGGCCAATGTCACCAATGATGCTCAACCACTGCTCCATGGTGTCTTTGAGGGCGTTGAGATCAGTCGACGTGATGTGGTCCTTACGCTGGTTGTAAGCGAAAAGAGTGACAAACATGGCAGAAAGCCAGACAGTGGCGTTGAGCCAAGTAGTGTCGAGGGCTCTCAAGGCACGCATGCTCTGTGCGATATGCAGTAGCTTGGCGCTGGCATCTAGACAGACGTCCAAGTTCTTGTTGTTGACATCGGTGTTCTGAGTACGACAAACGGCAGGGTGATGAACGAGCAGGTTCAGCTCTTGAGCACCAAACTGCAGGTAGAGCGAACAGGCTCTGTCGTCTTGAGCAGTCTCAGGACCACCAGAGAGCTCGATGGGGATGCTCTTCAAGAAGTAATCAAGATCACGCTCGAGTTTCTGAATGGTGAGCTCATAGGAGTGAGGAGGAGCGCGAACCGAGTAAATCGAAGTCTGGACCTGGATGACGAGTAGGACCCATTTGAAGTTGTGACATGCGACACGATACGAGCACTTGTGCCATTCGTCGATGCAGCTTGCCTCGCTACCAGTGTTGTCATCGAGAGCCTTGGGAAATTCAACATCAAAGTCTTCCAGACGCATAGCCAATGGGCGACCGAGCTTATTGCTGATAGATGTGTGGATGACCAGAACACTCCAGAAGACACGCTTGCGCATTTCGATTTCATGTTCGCTGAACTCAGGGCTGGATTTGCCCCAGGCGCTGACAGATCTGTGAAGACCCATTTCTGCACAGAGGTTCAGCGTAAGAGTAGACATGAACCAGGCAGCTCCAGGCTTGGTGAAGTTTCTCAGGTGCAGACAGATCAAAGCAATAGCCTGGATGTTAGGCAGGGTACGCTTGGCCATCAGATCGGGAAGGAAGCTGGCAGCATAACGGTAGTGGTCAGCCCATTGAGTTGGGCGGCTGTTTCTGACCGAAGACTGGAACAACATCATGGCGATGATCATGTGTAGCTGCACAGTCTCACTAATATCTGGCTGATACACTTCATCTGAGTTGAGGCGGTCGACCATTTCCAGGACGTCGGGCTTGTGGACGATAGGCGCATGGCAGTTGACCGAGATGAAATACCACTCGCAGAGGGCTTTGCATTCACGGTACGAAGGGAACGATGGTGGGGGCGGACGTTCTTGAGACGACTTGAAAGCGATGCTGAGGAAGTTCTCGTATGATGTGGGTGAGAAAGCTTCGTCATTGTCATTGGTAACAAAGTCGACAAGGTCCAGCTCCATACCGAACAGGGCGACGGAGGTGCCCTTGATAGGGGACAGCCATTCGTTCGCGCCAGAGATTCCAAGGTAGTTGTCGCCAAGGGAGCTGTTGCGATAGTCGGGCAGGGCAGAAGCGCGGACACGAGACTTTGAGGGGTCGAGATGGGTATCGGCACCAAGGACAGTTGAAAGGTCGAACATCTGTTGAGGCCAGGCGTAGGCAGGCTGGCCACCACTACCGACAAAGCCCATAGGCATGATGGGTGCAGGACGAGGGTCGATTCCAGACTCGATCAATTGTTGGCGCAAGTCGTTGATGTGTTGCTTCAAAGCCATATTTTCCCCTTCAATGTGCTCGGTATGGCCTCTGGAGGTGGCGCGACCAGTGATGCGATCGGTCGTCTTGCATTCAAGGTTGTTGGCGATGCATGGTGAGCATCCACCTGGTCGAGCATCACATCGGATCTTTCTGACCTGCATGCACTGTCAGTAACTCGACGACAGGACCGTGGTCTTGATGGTGATGGAGTCTCACCTTGCATCGGTCGCAGGCCTGACCAGTTCTCGACGTCGTCGTCAACTTCTTCCTGACGGAGCGTGAGAAATCGCCATTCTCCGACTTGGGAAGCTTGGCCGGCGTGCCATCAGCGCTGCCTTCAGAAGCGCGTTTGCTGCTCATGCCTCACTCAAGACGGTATTCGCCGTGAGCAAGAAGGACGCGGTACAAGCCGTGAAGAGGAAAAGCTGAGCCTGTCGAAACTTATCAACAATAAGAACTCGAGCAATTCAAGTCGTGCAATGTCCGGGAAAATGATGGTTGCAATGGCGGTGCGATCCTGCGTGCTTGTATAACGATGGTATCGCCTCCCGAAGATGACATGAATTTTCTCTCTACCAACTTCATTATCCAAGAGCGCCAACATGCCGATTCCGCACGTGACTAGCACGGACCACTTTCCTCCATCGCTCTTTCCTTCTACAACCAACCATCACTGCACAGTCAGATAGCAAACGCACCTTCCAATACCATCTAAATGTCTACTCTCGAGACTATTGCTCTTCCTCACTTGCCGCAGCACCACCTCTGCGTTGGGCTGTTCAAGGATGTGAAGAATGCTGCTTTCCTCCGCCAGCAACTTCTGGCTGGCAACGCCGACTTTGAATATGCTTTTCTTGATGCTTCTGTTGTATGTCGCTCTTTCTTCAACATATAGGCTCTTTCTGATTTTGGTAGGTTATCTCTCGTATGCAATTCCTCGCTGCTTCCTTCAGAGGCATCAACGACTACGCAAGCAACCGCATGAAGAGTCACAACGTTCATTCTGAAATTGTCTTTTCTTTCTCACCCAACAACAATGTAAGTGTATTCTTCTACAGAGTCAGTGTTTGTAAGCTAAATTTGTTAGATTGCTGAGTCGTTCCGCCGCTTTGGTATCTCCGATACAACTCAGAATGTTCTGGCGATCAAGGTTCTATCTCCAGAAATGACAGCTGAGTCTGTCAGCCAACATCTCCTGCAGAATATTGAAGGCGAGCCAGTAGATGTATCGGATGCCAATTTCGCAGAAGTGGCTGATCAAGCACGCCTCCGCAAGATCTACAAGCTCAATGTTCAAACCAAGAAGAACGCTGCCACTGTTTCTAAGGCATCTGAGTTCAAGGAGCTCGAGACATCCATCCTCGGAGTCATGGCTCTCAAGGGTTCATGAGCATCCTTCCCTATCCTCTCAAATCAACATCATCTGTCAGCACTGACTAGCCGGGCTTGGCCGCTCTCCAAGCTGTGTGTCTGACTTAGATTGCGGTTCTCATAAGGAACTCTGATTCTGGTCAGTGGGGGCTTACATGAACTGATGGTCTTCACCCCAAGTTCGCAGACAGTTCAAGTCGAGCTTCTGCGACGATGCTCGCCACCTATGCGGTCGCATCGTCGGCATGACTCTACCCGGGATCTTGAACTGCAAGCTGGCCACGATCAGATAGTCGACCACGATTCACGCCATCGGCGACGAGAAAGACTTAAATCACAAAGCCGTCAAGCAAATGTCCGCATATTCCAGCATTGTGCTCATATATCCTCCGAAGTTATGGGCAAGGCACCAACATTCGAATCAACTTTGCATCCTTCCTCTTACAAAATCCCTTCATGCTCACCACTCTAGGTGAAGTTGATATCAGTCTATATCTGGCCATGTGTGTTCGCAACCATCGTATCGCTATATATTGCCCCTGCCAGAACCAAACGTTATTATCCGTCGAGGACAACAGAACATGAGAAGTTCACAGTTACGACTCTTGGTATACAACATGAATAGTCTACGATGACTATGGAGCAAGATATAAGAGACGACGAAATCATTTAGTTGTAGCGGTGCACCAGGGGTGGAATAGCGGTAACATGATTCCATAGGCGGGTGTTCGATATTGAAGGTGTGCGGTATCATTCTCTCTCCCTTTCTTTCGATTGGTGCGCTTAACAGTTGTTTTTCTTTGCCGACTTAAGATTCAATGCGTGTTCGCAAAGGGACCGCGAAGATAATATTCGAAGCCTTACACCCCTGGTTACTGTTTGTTACGCCGGAATCGTGTCTCTTGCGTAGTTCGTCTCGGTATGTTGTGTTTTTCATGACTTTGACCTAACCGAATCGTGGTCATGTCGTTAGGTGGCTCCTGCAACCCAGAGATTTACTCTGAAGCCTACTCCCCATGTGCTGCAGACAGTCGCAGTGTAGCTATATGGATGCACAATATTTTCGTAAAGAATATGGGTCCCATAGAGAGAATACCAAAGAGGGCTACCTCAATGGCTAGCTTTATATTCGAGTCGCGACTGTGCAATTTGGTAGCTTGCAACAACTCTGTCATCTCGGAAGGGAGAAGGGGTCAGGTGCAATATTATGGCTGTTTTTAGCACCCGGTGAGGCTGTACTTGTCTTCTCACCTCTTGTCGTGTGACTGTGTGATCATCTTGCATGTGAGCCCTATAAGCACGCGTGTTGAAAGATTCAGCCCCGCTCGTCTGAGGTGTCAACTTCGTGGAGCCAAGAATGTCGTGATGCTGGTTATGAGGATAGACAGGTAAGGCCACCAAAGGATCGATTCTTCTCTTGTCCTACGTAATCCAGGAGGGCCAAGGGCGTCAAAACATACTTGGCGGTATTGGCATCTCGATTATTGAAGACTGTTATGAAGCATGAATGTCAGAAAGTACAGAATATTGTCGGGTCTCACGAAATCTGAAGTGCCGAAAGCTGGAAATCGATTCTTTCCTGGAATGGAGAGTGCATTTTGAGCTGAAGCCGGTCAGCCGTGGTATGCACGTTACGCACAACGCCATCAGGGAGCTTAGCAAAACTCAAAACGAATTCCTCGGCTCGGTCTGTCTTGTTGGAGACTTGTTTGGGCAAAGGAACATACAGCGACACAGCCAAAACGTGGTTCTGTCAGAGGTGAGAAAGGACGTTTCGCACCATCCTCAGGCCGCGCAATACTCATTTCTTGGAGCGTTCGCAGTGACAACTAAAATGCAAAACACAAGCCGCTTCACATATGTTTGTCCCTGTGAGGAGAGACACAATATTCAGCTGAAGCGGCAAGCCACGTTCAATAATGGTTTATGAGTTTTCCAACCTTCGAGATAAGGCGGTAATTGTGCAAAAAGTATCCTGCAAACGAGTGCGCCACGCGAGAGCTAAGGCGAGCCAAAGGCTTGACTGTACTTGGCAATGCTTGTCGTATGTCGTGTGCCAAACGGGTGGATCAGACAGGTGTTACGTTTGTGTTTTAGGCAAGGGCTAGGAGTGTGGTCTCGAGCCGTCTGAGGATTGTGATACAAGGGACGAGAACATGGGTAGGTACCTCATGCCGCACCGTCAGCGTTATCTGCCAGTAAATAGAATCGGTAGAAGATGGTGTCGGGCGCAGGAAGGATGGTGCAGGAGATTGTTCGGAGTGCGCAGTTGCCGGTTGGGGCTGCCCCGAAACAGGCTCGGCGGCTGCGGGCAGGCCAGGTTTTAGCGGCACTCGCTCTCCGATGACGCCGATGCACGAAGAATTCGATGCAAGGCTACGCGGCCACATCAGAACGGTTTCGAGGGGCTGGCCGGCCGCGACAGCAACTAAAGCCATTGATCTGGAAGGAGCCTTGTATTGACTTTTCCATATCTTTTGCGCGACTTTTAAGTTCAATGAGAGTAGGGGCTGCCTTCTTGCTTTGTATTTAGGCGCGCGATAAGCCCTCTTGCTTTGCTTGCTTTGCATTCGTAATCCAACCCTTGTCCCTCCAACAAACAACCAGGATTATCTGGGAGGCCAAGGAGGATTCGTCGATCACCCACCTTGTTTGGCTACTTCTCACACGACCTCAAGCAGGACAAGTTTCCGCCAAACACATTCAGGCACACGATCAGTTTCCCTCCTCGGTTGTTTCTTCTTACACTTCCGTCTGTCCCGTCTTCCGGACCATCTTCTGTGCCTATTCTTTCTTTCTCTCCAACGTTATCTTCACACTCGATCACTCCAATAGCCATGCGTCTGATCAACATTCTCTTGGCCGCAACGGCACTGCTGACTGAATCTGATGCTCGCCCCATGAAGATTCCAACAGATGACATTGCTCGCAAACGTGATGCTGATTTTGCAAGCGTGCGAACTCGCCTCACCAAGGACTACAGTGGCAAGGCTGGTGACCCAAAAGACAAGTACTTTCACGAATCAACATTCCACCCTCACATGGACGGTCGGTTTGGTGACAGAGTCCTGAGCTACGATGACCATCGTTCAAACCTCACCACCCTCATGCAAACATACCTCTCAACCATGAACGACATTGGAGCTGAAACCTGGATTATGCACGGAAGTCTTCTGGGATGGTTCTGGAACAGAAAGATCATGCCTTGGGACTCAGATGTTGATGTTCAAATGACCGAAAAGTCAATGGGGCACTTGAGTGACTTCTACAACATGACTGTCCATCACTACAAGCTGCCTGGCTTCCCTGAAGGCCGTGACTATATGCTCGAGATCAACCCACACTGGAGGAACATCAGTACGACTGATAAGCTCAACGTTATTGACGCTCGCTGGATTGATATGAGCAATGGTCTCTTCATCGACATCACCACCCTTCACCACAACAAGACCGCCGAAGCTCTTGGTATTGAAGGAGCCATGATGTGCAAGGACAGGCACCACTTCAACTTCACCGACATCTTCCCTCTGCGCGAGAGTGTCTTCGAGAATACCCCTGTCAAGGTTCCATACGCCTACACCGATCTTCTTGCCGAAGAGTACGGCTCAAAAGCACTGGTCAAAACAACATTTGAGAATCATCACTTCGACCAAGAGAAGATGGAATGGATCCCTCTCACGTAAGTTATCACCCCCACTCTCCTTTGTTGCTCCAAAATCCCGTATGCCACACAAGGCAGGGGCTCATGAAGCAAAAACAGGCTGCAACAAATTCAGGCATTGAAGGCATCATCGAATAAGTCCTAACATTTTTGTGTCATAGCAACCCAAGAGTCAAGATTGGAGCGACTGGAGGTGGCAGACCCAACAACAAAGTCATCTACGCACACAACGGCAAACCCGCCAAACCCAACACAGTGGCGGGCAGCAAAGTCGAAGCTGCCGCTGTACAAGGTCAACCTCGACTCAACAGACCTGTAACACACCCATCTGACATGGCTTCATGATGATATTTGTACATGCACTCGTTTTGCTTTGTACAAAGAGACTCATCTCGAGTCTTTATGATGATTGCGCATTTTTAGCGACGGCGCTCGGGGTTCTTTTTTTTTTTTTCTTGCAACAAAGCACCTGCATAGCATCTCTGCTTGTTTTTCTTGTCTATACACGATACCACACGACGCATGTCAATAGCATTCTTGTATTTTCTGCAAGTCGAGTCTATTGCCTTCTTGCACGCATAGCAATAGCATACCACAAGCATAGCATCACGAACATACAAAGACTAATCCTCTATTCATTTCTATTTCTCATTTCCCTACTGTTGACCTTGACCGGTGCTCAATGAAGTACCTAGATTGCAAGGTTTCAGCGTCTAGACGCCACCGGCATCTTCTATCCGAATGGCCTTATACACAATCCGTTTTGGAGGGGGCCACGCAATCAGACACTGGTGTTGTCTGCTGCGGCTGACAGATTTTCGTTGTCGCGTGCCTCGCGCTCACCCCTGTACATTTGCCTTCTTCTCGAAAATCGATTTTGTGAGATATGCTCTCGAATCTTATCTTCGTCACTAATTCTTTTCGGAGCCGTGCCGAAAAAAAAAAAGGTACCCGTAGCCTCGGCTAGAGAGGAAGTTTGGACGATCTTTTGCTTGTTATGTGTGTATTTTCTTCAGGGTTACTGCCTCCCGGATCGACAATTTCTTCTTTTGCTTATTGACAGCGGTGATCAATTTGTTTCCCTGTTGTTCACCTACTCTCCTTTGGCGAGCACTTCGCAAAGCAATCACAAATACCGAAACCACTGACTAGCGCTATATCACGTCCAGAACATTCAGGTCTCAGATCCTTCTCCCCGCGGGATGTTTCTCCATGCTATTGCCGGATATGACGGATTCAGCTGGTTTTGTGCAACGGTGACCAAGCTGAGCACAGTGCTTGTTTTGGACAGACAAGCAATTTAGCGGGTGCGACAAGCCTTTTTCTTTGACAACGGTGCTCATTTTGGGGTGCAGGAACGGTGAGCGGCGCATGGGGGGGAAAGAGATAGGGTCTGGGGAGCCGGGGATGATGGCTCGGGTGAGACTTGAGTTGTTTGGACTGGCGAGAACGATATGTGCAATTGTGCGGACGGATGATGGTCTGGATGCGGTGTCGGAGACGATGCAAGGGTAAACCACTCGTCGTTGGTTTGCGCTCTAGTCATGGTTGTTCTCTTAATGTACTCGTGCGTGGATCTAGATGGTATCAACTGTGATACAAAACTATGATGAGATATGAATGCATTGATAAAGTACTGATCGTGATATGCAACCCTCCTATGCTGAACCTTTGCTCAATATGCGAAGGATCCAACTGAGATGCTTCTATTCAACGCACGATACGAAACACAAACAGAAAGAGTCGCTCGGACAATAAACTCTGAATAGCTGTATATATCTCGGCATCCACCCAAAAATGGGCGTTCTACAGCACGCCTCCGGAAAGTAAAAATGAACATCAATTTGTTACTCAGCCGAGGGGACCTTGTCCAACCAACAGCGGAGCAAATACAGCTCCCAAAACAGGTCTTGCGGCAAAGTTCAAGCCTGCAGGATAATCTCCACTTTCTGTCTCGTAAAGATCTGTGAGTGGTCTATTGGTTGGTGTCTTGCCAATCCAAGAAGCGATTTTGGAGATAAAGAGCTGTTTGGTAGAGGTTGAGGCAATTGCAGCGACGAACATTTCCCAGTCTAGTTTGGTGTAGGTATGACGAGTATCGAGCGGAACTGTCATGTCATTAGTTGAAGTAAGAAAAAGAGAAGAGGAGGGAGACTTACCGCCATATTGCATTGCAATGGATGGATAGAAAGCTGATTGCATCTTGTACACGCTGCGAGGCACCAGGTTCGTGCCTACCCAGGTATCGGCGTAGAGATTGTAGAGCAAGCCGTGAGTATTTGGCATATTATATGCCAAGGTTGTATGTGAAAGCGACCCATTCGTGCCTTGAGCAATACCCAGTTGCTGCCACCTGTTGATATAGCTATGAGCGATGCTGGTGAAGTTTTGAGCATCTTCAGTGTGACCGGTCAGGTTTGCAATCATGGCCATAGCTTCGATACCAATGATGCCTTTTAGTGCCAGATTGGTCTGGTTTGCTAGCGAACCTGCAAAGTCGTCCGTAGAGATTTGGTTCGAGGGAATCAAAGAATCATTGACAAGATAGTTATTCCATTGTTTGAGGAGAGTGTAGTGCTGATTCAAGTAGTCTACGCCGCCACTGACCTTCTGAGCTACGGCGAGAGCCATGACCATCATGTTGCCACACTCTTCCAGTGGCTGTTCTTCAGCATTGCCGTCGTTGTGCCCAGTAGCATTGGGGAAGACACCTAGATCATGAATCGCGTATGCGTTTGGCCAGTTGCCAGCCTCCTGGTTGATGAACAGTGGTTCAAGAAGTAAGCGACCGAGATCTGGGTTGAAGTATATGAAGAGTGGGAAAGCAGGGAAGATGACATCGACGGTCTGCATATCACCATTACTGCTAATCTCCTTCAAGAAGAGGTAGTAGGAATCTTGCGAGCCAGCGAGCTGTGTAGTGGCAAAAACTTGACGGACTGCAAGACTGGTGATAGTGAGATAGTCTTGCCCTGCGTTTGCCAACGAATCTGTAGCGACCTGGTCATCAATGCTGTTTGCAGCTGTCTGAGCGTTGGACCAGTCGTTGTAGAAGAACGAAATCAGATCGAGCTCGCTCGAGAAGTAGCTTGTCCAGAGTGGTGGCAATTGCTCAACTTTTTCTTTCTCATATTCGAACTGGATGGCTTGCTCTTGTGCTAGAGTCAATGTAAATAATGCCGATGCTGGACTTCTTCCCACATTCCCGAGGTCAAGAGCAAAAGCAAAAACTGGCCATTGGTCGCTGATTGCTCTGTAATTAGTGTTCAGGTCGTTGTCGAGTGTTCCGTTGTCAATGAATGCTCCACGAACGTCTACGTCGATACCGCCGTTGGAGTAGGTCATGCCGGCATGATTGCATGCATAAATCCAGTCACCCCAGCTCGCTTGGTCCGAACTCTCGCTGAAGAGTTGCTGTTCCTGGCGATAGAAGCGATGATAAGTGATGCCACCAGCGGGCGCAATGCCGGTAGCAGTAGCAGATGATGAGGGTAAAGCTGCAGTCGTCGAGAGATTGGAAGAGGTGATCGAAGATGCAGGAACGGTAACTGTCTGCATCGTTGAGTAGCTTGTAGTCCAATCACGCTTGGAAGCAGCAGGTTTGATGGTTCCAAAGTCCCATTGTGCAATAGCAGACCTGTCTCCAGATGCCCATTCAGCAGAGACATCCGAGTATAGCTGAACATTGTGTTCGGCACCATCGATCGAGAACACTTCAACGTTCATGTAAGATGCCGGGATGGATTGGCGCTTGAGGTCGGTAGGTTCGACTGGAGAAAGGAACGTCACATTCAATCCCACTTTCCCATCCACTGAGAATGTAAAGACGGATCTGGTCGACGTATACTCGAAATTCGTTTGAGTAGCAACAGCTGGTCCATTAGGAGCACCCATCCAGGTTATTGCGGCGCCTCCATCAACTTTGATGAGACCTCGAATCTGTCAACGTCTTGTTCTCTGGGAGCATCTCAGAAGACTCACCTGTCCAACCCGTCACCTGGCCTCTGTTGAATGTCAATAGATTGGCTATCAAGCAAATGTCTAGAACTTACGCCCAGAATCTCGGCCACTGCCCAGCAAGCTGCTGTATGTCAGTGATATGCTAACTTCTGGCATGGATTAGTGCTTACATATCCACCGTTGCCGCCATCACTTCCAGCCTGTTGCCAGGTATTGAGATATGGGTTAGAAACAGCAAGAGGTATTGCTGGTGGCCTGGTTGGAGAGAAGGAAGACTGAGCTAACGCGCTTGATACCAGCAGAGTTAAAGATGCCAGAGACAACATCTTGTCTCTGTATAAGAATGCAATGTACTGGGGAAAGCTATAGAAAATGTGGAGAGAGCATGTCCTTTTGAAGTGATTCTTCTACAGGCTAATAGGATAGGTAGACCAGTGCAGAAGATCGACAAAGGGCATGACCAGTGATCAGGAGGATGCGGAATGTAACATCGACTGAGTTTTGCATATTCAACGGTCATACTTATGTGCTGTCATCTGGCGCTGATTTCTGTGTAGCTGCCAAGCTAATTCATCTACTTCTGCAAAGATCCACCTTAGCATGGCACCCGGCATGCCCGTATGATGTGCATCTCAAAGGTCTCAGCGGTCAAGATTGACAAGTGGCTATTGTTCTAGCAACTCATCTGATCAATTCTCCGAGGACAAGTAGAGTCTCGGACGACCACTTGTGGGCATGGGAAAGAGCTTGTCCCAATGTAGCGGTGTCGAGTGCCAAGTGACGGCATCTTGTTAGGAATGAGTGCCATCTTCTGCTCTAAGGCACTTTAATTTCACTGCGAATGACTCGAGTCAGGAGTCCAAGTTGTATCCGTTTGAGAGCCATGGCTCAATGGCAACGAATCAGAGTTTTGGATGATCGACGACATGGCGGAAGTAGAGCGGAGTAACTAGCATGCATAGAGGCATGTGATCAGAAGAAAATCAACAATAGGCGATCAACGGTAAAGATCAAGTGGTATTACTCTCCGGTGTTGCACTGCAGCACGCCAGCGAGATACATCTCAAGGTCGGGGTGCAAAGAGTGGTGTCGAATGTAGGAACAGACGTCTTGGATGTCTTGGGGATGGGTGGACAGGGTCACAAGAAAGCTTGGAATCTTTCGGTCAAGACTTTTGGCCAGCCGAGGCTGTCAAGCACAAAGCAATCAGACAATTTACCAAGCTCTTTCCATCATTGGTAATTGCACGTGTAGACATTGCACATCATGGCAAGCCGCGGCGAGTTGCTGTATCCTGAGGACGATCGAGAATTCTTAGAACCTTATCTCCCTGCGGTTGACCGTGGATCAACAGATTCAGCCGTGCCTTTTGTTACACTCACCTTTGCAACATCACTGGACTCGGCACTATCTCTGGCTCCTGGTGTTCAGACAGCATTGTCAGGTCCGCAGTCGAAAGCCATGACTCACTACCTCCGCTGCAGACACGATGCTATCATGGTCGGTGTAGGCACTGCAATTGCAGATAATCCTAGCTTGAACTGCAGAATCCAAGGAGTTGGTGGTTATGGTGGTGAAGGCTTGACCGGTCAGCCTCGACCTGTGGTTATCGACCCTCAAGGAAGATGGCAGCTGACTTCTGAAACCAAGATTCTGAATCTTGCCAGACAAGGACGAGGTAGAGCACCGTGGATTGTGACGGCAAAGACACCAAGTGCAGAGAATGCCAAGTTGCTGGAAGAAGTTGGAGGATGTTACATTGTTCTCAGGTCACAAGCACAAACGTCTGAAAGCAAGACATCGATTGCTTGGCTGGATATACTGCAAACAATCAAGGAAAGAGGTATCGAGAGTATCATGATTGAGGGAGGTGGGGTTATCATCAACTCGTTGCTGTCGACAGAGAATGCAGACTTGATCAACTCGGTCATTGTGACCATCGCACCTACCTGGCTCGGTCAAGGCGGTGTTGTCGTGTCCCCACCCAGATCAGAAAGCAGCAGTTTGCCAGTCGCTCGCCTTCAAAGAACAAAATGGCAGCAACTTGGCGATGATGTGGTTCTTTGTGGAACTTTGAAGGTGTAAAACATGGCTTTCACTCCCATCGCATATTGATAAGCCACCGCACTGTCTTAGCTTCCAGCAATCAAACCTCGCCTAAGGAAACACCGCAGGCAACTCATCTTTCACTTCTTTTCGGCCAATTGCATGCTTGGCCGCGGCTTCCTGCAGCTTTGTGTTGCCAGGCGCACTTCTTCACTTTCGGCGCCTCTCAAAATTCTCCTCAGCTCCATCAACGCGTCGACACAGCTTCAGCTACGATGCACGAAAACATCAATACGCTTGCGGACGAAATGCCGCCGAAGTCTAAGACGACAGAGAAGGTTAGCAAATGGGGCACTGGTAAGTATGACTGCATGCGCGCTCTTGTAGCTCACCACTGACATGCTTAGGCCTCTTCGAGAACGACGCAGATCTATCCATCGTCCGTGATCTAACACGAGAGTCGGGCTTTGAAGAGGCTGGCTCAACCAACTTCCTCTACCTAGGGCACCCGAAAGCACATGAATATCGCAGATGGTTCGATTCTGGAGCTCTGAACAAAATGCTCAAGAAACGCTTGTCGGTCGACGATACCACAATCTTTGCAGGCCAAGATGACAAAGATTCAATGTGGCTCTATCCGCCCAACAGATGTCGTGGCTATCATCTCTGCTTGCTTGGAGCTGTCATGATGACACTCGGCTGCAAAATTCGACCCGACTTCCGCAAATCTTTGGAAGAACTGCATACCAAAGTAGGCTTTTCTCGCAATGCTCAGGTCCAGCTTCGCCATGCGCTCAACATCTATGTTGATGGTACCGCCTACGACTTCCGATCCAAGTCTCGTCCTGTTGGCCTCGATAACGACGATTGGGCATCAGACAGTATGTGGGGCGATCTCAGTGAATCTCTGTGCAAGCTGGATGATAGCGTCGACCCTTTCATGAAACAGCTCGCACGACAAATGTTTGGTCCCCTGATGAAGTGTGTTATTGCTGGTGACAACGAGAAACCTCAAGATGCCTGTGGCTATTGTGGCAACAAGAAGGCGGACGATGGCTCGCCCTGCCAGCCCTGTTCTCAATGTAATCAACGACTCTACTGCAGTCGCAAGTGGTATGCTTGGCTCTTGTCTCATATAGGAAGATCACTGTATGCTGACCGTATCATAGTGAGCTTGCACACCGTCCTCAGCACAAGTTGGTCTGCAACGACCGATTTTATCGAATCATGGGCAACGCTTGGGCCAAGGCTCAGAAGGCTGCCATCGCAGCCGAAGCACAGGGGTCTTCTTCGGCCAGCGAAGAGGGTGACCAGACGACTGACAATGCCAGCCGAGTCAATACTTCATCGACAGATGTCACTTCTGCTTCGGCTTCCGCTTCTGCATCAATTGCCAACAGCAGCGATGACTTTGACGACATGCCTACGTGTGGCAACTGTGGTGTGGAAGCAACTTTTGAACAACCGCTTCTACTGTGCAGAAAGTGCAAGAAACAGCACTACTGCAACAAGAAATGCCAAAAGTCACACTGGTCTGCCCACAAGAGGCTCTGTCTGGCCTCGACCACAACTTGAGATAGTTTCTTCAGCTCAGTGCTAGCTTCGGAAGACCACCATAGCTTTGTGTCTCGGTCAGCAAAGGGCCGTCATTCGATTCGATGCTGGTCAGATTTCGCTGCAGCACATAGTTCCATCCATAGCTCAAGAATCAAGACCCTCTACATTTAGGTCCAAGCCCTTTGAGCTTCGTTCTGCTGTCTCAATGCTCAATCATATCGAGCGTGAAGATGAGACCATTGATTGTTTCGAAGCTTGGCGATCAATGTCTGGAACACATATGTCTTAGTTCACCATGTCTCTCGAAGATGAATGCTGCTGTGTCTCCTCTTGAAGACACAACACAGCCCCAATAACATATATCACAGGCATCCAACCTTGCCATTCTCGATCATCATCTCAACAGCACAATCAAATAAACTCAACAAGCAACATCAAACAACTTTTGCACTCTTTTTCATTCCCACAAGATCCACAACCAACCACCCAAACAACCCACCACTTCACAGCTCAAAATGCCTCAAGCCTCCAGCAACAACACTTCCAACTCCTCTTCTGGCAACAACACTCCCAACTCCTCTTCTGGCAACAGTACCCCATACTCTCCAGCCAGCACACCTCAAAGCGTCACTTTCATCATCAGTCCTCCTACTTCGCCTTACCCTACGCCTGCTACCCCTTGGTCTCCTTATGGGCAGAATCCTTTTTATGACAAGTGGAAAGATCGCTGGGAGCTGGTGCCAGAGACTGACGAAAGGTTGACTGGATGGATGAGAACGAGACCTGGTGAAAGGGAAATCGGTAAAGATGTGGTAGAAGAGCAAGATGGATAGAGGGAGGTTTGGACCATTGAGAAGGGGGCGTAGATGGGAACTTTTCGATCTGGGAGTTATGGAGTCATGGACAGCGGCTGTAACATTAGAGAGTACGGACGATAATGGCAAGGCGTTGATTTGTCGCTCAAGAGAAAATGCAAAAGAGATATCGAAGAGCAAAGACCTGATATACATTTTTATACACCGAAAAGCAAGAAAAAAGCAAGCAGTCATTCATGCGTGCCGTTATAGAAATACATGTTCGTGTGATGGAGATTCGCTCTCAAATCTCACACGTAGGGGAAAGCATGACTCATGGATTCCCGAGTGCAATTACGTTGAATGAAAGACGCGACAGAGTCAAGGAAGTTCTACTCCTGTCTCTTTGCTGTCTCGCTGGTTGCAGGGGCTCCTGATGCTGAACCCCAGCCGAACCAACTCTTCTTCATGTCCTTGCTCATGTTCTCCATGAACTTCTTCTCTTCCTCTTCCATCTCCTTGAGCCACTTCTCGCCGTTCTTCTGGATCTCGGCTTCGAGGCGTTGGTACTCGCGTTGACCGCGCTCACGGATCTGGTCGGACAGCATCTTGCCTTGGGCCAAGCCCTCAGCGACGGTGGTCTCGTTGTCTAGGGAAAGACCACCAGGCTGAGCCTTGATACCAAGGGCTTTGTTGAAGAGGCCGCCAATCGAGCGTTGAGGACGGCGTGTTTGCTCTTCGGCGAGCTGCTTCTGGAAGGCCTCACGAGCCTTGGCTTCACGAGCGGCGAATTCTTGAGGGATGTCGGAGCCAGCGAATGATTCAAGGACCTTGCGGGTGTCTTCAACACCCATGGTAGCGACGTACTCGAGGAAAGGAATAAGAGCGACGAGGTCCTTGGCGTGAGGGTCTGATGGCTTGCCTTCCCACTTGGGCAGGACGATACTAAATATCAGAGTCAGTACGTGTAGATCAATGTGAGGCAAGTGAGAAACTTACGCGTTGTTGGGGTTGTTCTTGACGTGAGCGGCCTTGGTGTCGATCATGATGACCTTGTCGAGGGGACGGTTCAGGTAGTTCAGATCCTTGATGTATTCGCCATTCTCGTACTTGGTGGCTTCACGGAACAGGGGCCATTGAATGATGTGGAAGGGGTCGAGCTTCTTGATGACAGGATCGGCCATGGCAACAGGGACTGAGGTGAAGAGGACCAGCTCGTAGTACTGACTCAGGTACTTAAGGAAGTAGTCGACACCAGGACGCTTGGCAGTACGCCAACCGTGCTCGCGAGACCACTCGCTGTGGATGAGCAGGTCTTCGAGGGAAAGAACCAGGGTGAAAGGAGGGCGTTGGGCTTCGGGGACCTCAGGAAGCAACTTTTGGAAGGTAGGCTCGGTGTAGTAGGCAGCTTGGCTGCTCATGCGGTTCTTGACACGAGCGTACATGCTCTGGGGTGCCCATCCAGTAATGTGCTCGGGCTCGAGGCCTTGAGGGGTCTCGTCGGCGCCATAGGGTCTTGTGAAGTATGCGGTACCAGCAGCGGCAAAAGCCAGCAATGAAATGTAACCGTAGTTGGCCATCTTGGCGCGACGCTTGTCAAACGAAGTCTCATAATCCTCGCGACGGTATTGCTCCTCCTCGCCATCTCCTCCACGTCTGCCGCCGAAGCCAGCAGCTTCGGGGGTGGACTCGGGAGTCTCTTCACCAGTAACCTTCTGCTCAGTGGGGTTTTGTGTGCTGGCGTCCTTCTTCATGAACTCGAAATCAAAGGTCGAGGGAATGCCATGGCGCAGATCAGGCAGAGGTCCGGAGGGCTGCTGCGACTCGGTGGGCTGTTCTGTCGGAGCGGTGTTTGCATCTGAGGACTGTGGGCCGGAGAAGGCAGGGTTGCTAGCTTCTGAGGCTTGGGTTGAGGAAGTGGTGTCGGGGAAAGGACCAGGTTGCTCTGAGGGAGTGGTGTTTGCGTTGGGAGAAGCCTTTGTGCTGGCAGAAGCATCTGGTGCTACGGAGCTATCGGCGGCAGGACGGACAGGTTGCGAAGCGGCGGCGGCAGGAGCAGCGAACTTGATGCCATCGGTGGCCTTCCAGGTCTTGTCCTTGGGGAGGTTGGTGCCTGGTGAGGTTTGGCGGGCAGAGGTGGTAGGAGATTGCTTTGCTTGCTTGGGAGCAGCAGCACCAGCAGGAACGAAGCGGCTAGACTTTGCGGTCGAGCGAGCAGAAGTGGAGAAGTGGTTAATTGAGGCCTTTGCGGCACGTTGCGCCGCGCGCGAGAGCATTGTGAGTTGAGGTTATGCGCGGTTGTGAGAAGATGAGTCTTGGTTGCGCCCGCGCTGTGAGTGAGATACAGTGAGGTATGCGACTCGTCGAGTCTTGTTGCGTGGGAAGGTGCGACTAAGATGCAGCAAAATAATGTTGAAACGACAGAAGAGGAAGGAACGGGAAAGTCTTGAAAGCTCTCCAGGTCGGCGTCTCCAAAGCACCGATGACTTCATCCGCCATCAAGACACTTGGAAGGAATCCTGGTGTTCGACAAGTCACGGCCGTCGAGTAGAATGCTCTGATATCCTCTATGCAGCCCTGGGAATGCTTGTTTACCCTTGGCCGCGACTTCTGGCCTCGTCTCAGTCATGGCCGATCTTGGTATGGTTGATGGTCCTTTGCGCCGCCCTCGGCCATGCAATGACCAAGTCTGAGGTCGATGCCTTGAGGTTTGTCACATGTCATGGTTTCATCTGATCCTGTCGCAGTTGCTTACTCAAATTCAGAAAGGAAACACGCTCCGTCTTTTACCATGGTCTGACCAACTATCGCCAATTTGCTTACCCGGACGATGAGTTGCGACCACTCTCGTGCTCCCCCTTGACACGCGACCGTGCCAATCCTGCTCACATCGAGGTCAATGATGTCCTAGGCAATTACTCGCTTTCCGTTGTAGACAGTCTATCTACTCTTGCCATTCTCGCTTCAGATCCCCTCTCCGACACCGACGACTACAACGCCCTGCATGACTTTCAGCATTATGTCGGCTTGGTCGTAGAAGAGTATGGAGATGGCTCGCCTGGTCCTGCTGGTCAGGGTCGGCGTGCAAGAGGCTTTGATTTGGACAGCAAAGTCCAAGTCTTTGAAACTACAATTCGTGGCTTGGGCGGCCTGCTGAGTGCCCATCTTTTTGCCATTGGCGAATTGCCCATTCGTGGCTATGAACCTGACATCAGAGACGATGGAATCCACTGGCCGAAAGGCTTCGTCTACAACGGCCAGTTGTTGCGGCTTGCTCAGGATCTGGGCGAGCGACTACTACCCGCTTTCCACACCCCGACTGGACTGCCTTACCCTAGAGTCAATCTTCGCTACGGCACTCCTTTCTACGAGAATTCACCTCTAAACAATGATCCGGAGCATGGACAGTGTGACAAAACTCAGAAGCCAAAGGGCGCTCGTGAGATCACAGAAACATGCAGTGCTGGCGCTGGTAGTCTGGTGCTCGAGTTCACTACTCTGTCCCGTCTGACTAATGATGATCGTTTCGAACGTCTGGCTAAACGTGCTTTCTGGGCCGTCTGGGAACGACGGAGTGCTTCTGGTCTGATTGGTGCTGGCATTGATGCAGAGACTGGCGCTTGGGTTGGCCCTTGGACTGGTATTGGGGCTGGCATCGACAGCTTCTTTGAATATGCCTTCAAGTCGCATGTCTTACTATCTGCTCTGGAAGAGAAATCATACAATGCCACTGAAGATTCTCCGGAGGCCTTTCTGCAGACCTGGAAAGATGCACATTCTGCCATCATGCGACATGTCTACCGTGACGCCTACTTCACGCATCCACACTACGCCCAGAACGATTTGTACACGGGAGGGCCACGGCTTACTTGGATAGACAGTCTGAGTGCTTACTATCCTGGTCTCCTGGTTCTTGCTGGTGAACTCGATGAGGCCGTTACTGCTCATCTTCTATACACTGCTCTATGGTCGAGATATGGTGCTCTGCCTGAAAGGTGGGATGCAACTACCGGCGCTATTCATGGTGGTCTGAGATGGTGGGGCGGTCGACCAGAATTCATCGAGTCTACGTGGTATCTCTACCACGCTACGAAGGATCCTTGGTACCTTCATATCGGCGAGATGGCGTTGCGCGACATCAAACGCAGATGCTATACTAGGTGTGGCTGGGCTGGTCTGCAGGATGTTCGAACAGGCGAACAAACTGACCGAATGGAGAGTTTCTTCCTGGGCGAAACTGCAAAGTACATGTATTTGTTGTTTGACCCGGACCATCCTCTTAACACGATCGACGCACCTTGGGTCTTTACGACAGAAGGTCATCCGCTGATCATCCCAAAGACCAACAGGACAATCACAAAGCATCATCCCGACCGAAAGGAGAAGCAGATGAGAACGGTGCTGAAAGTTCAAGCGGAACAGTGCCCGATGCCTCCGGCCTTGCTTCCCCTGACAGTGTCATCAACTGCTGCCAGGTCAGATGTCTTTCACGCCGCTTCCCTGGCGCGACTCCATCTCATGCCAATTGGGAACAAACCTGGTGCTCCTTCGCTGGATTGGGCTTCTGATCATCCCAGTGTGACTATGCTTGGACCTGAATCTCCAAGCAATTTCACTTTTTACCCCTGGACTCTGCCTCTCAATCTAATTCCCTCAAACGGCTACAGCACCAAATTGTCCAACAAACCAACCTTTGATCTTACTTTCCCCACTGTCGCTGGTACTGGTCTTGAGATTGGAACTCTTCAGAAGATTGACGGAGGTGTTCTCGTCAACTCAATTTCCGGGCTGAGATTTGGTATGGTATTAGAATCACCAGCACCGGAAGAGCACGAGTACAGAATCTACACTCTCGGTAATTTTGCGCTTGGACGTGACGAGCACATTGCATTGAATCGGGATACCTTGTCACAAATCAATCCAACAGATCCACACTTTACGCGTATGCGCGACGTGGAAGCTATGGACCTGATTATCGATGTTCCTCATCCTGAAGAATCCATTGTCGAAGCTCTTACGTACAACAACACTGCTTTGAGTGATCACGTCTTCGACTTCAGTCTCGACATCGATCTGGATGCATTAGATGCCACCTCTAGTCCAGGTGAAATGGTTCTGGATTCTCTCCCGAAAGCTCTTTTCGCCGATGTCCATCGTCTAGCAGAACAACTGGATGGACTAGTTGGAGTTCTTCCAGATGCCGACAGTATAGATGATGCGCTTCGTGATGCAGCCAAACAGCTTCGATCAAAATCCACCGCTGCTTTGCCATCGTCCTCGGAAGCATCTTCTCGACCGAAGAAAGGCCTGCAGCGCTTCACCACGCCAGCAATGCTACCTATAGGGCCTGGCGCTGCTCCATTACCAGCAGCCATAGATTCCTCTCCTGATCCTCGAAGTCTTTCGACTGGCAACCTTCCTTACACTACCATCCTCATCATTGACTCTGATCTCTGCAATTCTTCTCCTATTCCACTTGATCTCGTCACGACCCATACCATTCTCATAATCCGTCGTGGCGGCTGCAGCTTCAGCAAAAAGCTGTCTGCTATTCCTTCATTTCCACCTTCCGCCAAATCTCTGCAATTGGTCTTGGTCGTAAGTTTTGGAAACGATCAAGAGACACGACCATTGGTGGACGAAGTACAAATGACGCCCAAGGGACTACCAAGACGTCACCCCATATGTCTTGCTCTTGTCCCAGGCGGTCAAACTGTTTGGGACACTTTTCTGAGGGGAGCGAGTACTGTCGGTGTTGTCAATAGTAACGGTGCTATCAGTACCCTGGAGAGCAAGAAATTGGAGGCTGCACAAGCTGAAACAGGAGCCACAGGAAAACAGGCAATGGAGACTGGTAAAAAGTCTAAGAAGACAAAAACAAAAGTGAAAGCAAAGGAAGCAGTCCAAGAGATTCCCGGCATTGGTGTCAGGAGGAGGTATTATTTCACCAGCAATGGTGTGCGGATTAGCAATCTCATTGTCACTTGAGCTGAATGCCAATGTTCATATCCTTCAGCATTTTGATGCAAGACCGAAGTGACTTTTCCCGTTCTCGTTGGTCTCAGCCATGCCCGTGACAAAATCTGTCTATATCGGAGAAATTCAATTCTCTCGTAAGAAGTTGCTAATATAGAAATTGGAAGTCACTCATGTTACGCGGTTTTCAATATGCTCACCTGATGAGGCGTTTTGCTTGTGAGTCGGCGTGGTTGGCCTTTTCAAAGCATCTCCGCGGCTGGATTGGCGAGCAAGCCTCAACCGGCAAAGTGTATATCTTTTTTCCAACCACCACTCATCACTGGACTGTATGTGGAACAACAGATTACTGAGTGCGCTTAGAACTGCTTGAGTGCTTCATGTCGACTGAATGCATGCGAATGGGATAATTGTCTGTGTTTGCAGCTTCCTTGCCCTTGCCCTCGGAGATGCTCTCGCTCTCGCAAACGCTCGGGTGTCGTTCTCGGGAAGGAACCGATCAGAAAAATGCGAGCCAGCTCCTTGCACGTCACGCTTGATATTTTGTATTTTCGATGACCAACGCGCAATCTGCCCGCAGCCCTGGTCGGAACCCTCAGGAGTCACAGAAAGGATACAGTACTCAGGGCAAGTTTAGGGATGTTGCGGGAGCTGCGGTCTCTTGTCCGTCCAGTCCGAGTGGTTTTCGGCTCTGCTACATATAAAATGTCATATCTACGTTGACCTCATACTGCGTACAGCTAAGTTTTTTTTATTCTCCAACTCTTATCAGCACCTTGACTGCAACAACGTCGGCTTATCCTTATACCAAGCTTCAGAGGCTATAAGACAAGCAATCATCAGCAACATGTCGTTGACACCAGATCAAGTCAAGCTTATCAAAGCGACTGTACCTGTCTTGAAGGAACATGGTAACACCATCACCTCTCACTTTTACGACCTACTTCTCAAGGAGAATCCATCACTGAACGGCATCTTCAACCAAACAAATCAGAAGAATGGACATCAAGCTGGTGCACTGGCTGGTAGCTTGTATGCGTACGCATCGCATATTGATGACCTAGGCGTGCTCTCCCCAGCGGTTGAGAAGATTTGCCACAAGCATGCGAGTATGTATGTGCAGCCTGAACATTACGATGTCGTGGGAACATATCTTTTGCGCGCCATGGGTGATGTGCTTGGTGCAGCATTGACTCCTGAGTTATTGGAGGCTTGGGGACAGGCTTACTGGCAGTTGGCGAACATAGTAAGTACATCTTACTCTTGCATTTTTCTCTTGACCTCAGCGTCTAACAGAAGGTATAGATGATCAAGCAAGAAGACTCACTCTACAAATCTGCTGCTCCTTGGACATCCTGGCGCGACTTCCGCATTGCCAAAAAGGTCCCTGAATCTGAAGAAATCACATCCTTCTACCTGTCTCCTGTAGATGGAAAGCCCTTGCCTTCTTACCTTCCTGGTCAATACATCAGTGTGGCCACCTCAGTACCATCACTCCACCACGATCAAAACCGCCAATACTCACTCTCCACCGCACCATCTTCTGAACACTACCGCATCAGTGTAAAGCGCGAATCTTCTGTTCAAGAAGGAGATACCACTCACCCAGCCTACATCTCTAATATCCTGCACAAAGACAAGCAACAAGGAGATATTCTACAAGTCTCGCATCCATACGGAGAATTCTACGCTGATCCCAAGGAAGAAGGTACTGGAGCTCTGGTCTTGATTTCTGCGGGTGTGGGTATTACTCCCATGGTTTCTATCCTCGATACTTTTGTCCAGGAAATCAAAGATCGTAGGATTAGCTTTGTGCATGCGACGAGGTCATCTGATGTGCAAGCTTTTGGACCGCATATCAGGGATGCTACGTCCAAGCACTCTGGCATCACTTCTGTCATCTTCAACAAACATCCCTCGGCAGATGCAAAGCAAGGCACAGACTATGACTTTGCTTGCCGCATGGACTTGGACAAAGTCGACAAAGAAAAAGATCTTTGCATCAGTGACAAGGCAGCTACATATTACATCTGTGGCCCTGGAGGCTTTATGCGGGATATGGGAGATAAACTCAAGAGTTTCGGAGTTGATGAGAAGAGAATCAAGTTGGAAATTTTCGGAACTGGCAATTTGTCGTGATGGGCTTTGGTGAGATTGAAAAGCTATGTATATCCACTTTGATGTTGGTTTGTATGAATATGACTCTGCGAATTGACGGCATGGTTTTGTGTGCGGGTTGATGTTTGGGAAGTAACACAATGACTCAGGCCATCGGCTCCAGAGCTAGGTCAACGTCGAAACCTCCTGCTTTCAGATATACGTTCATTGTACAGATGCCACGCTGCTGTGACGCAACAGGCATTAAGGATCGTACGCTCTAAGAGTAAGTCATCTTTTCAACAACGGTCACGGACGTGGTTCGCGCATCTATCTCGACGGCGGCTGGGAGCCAGATGTGCGAGCACAGCAAATCATGCCATCTCCTCATCATATCTCTTCTGAGAGGCTGTTCCAAGTCAGTCGTGAGGAGAGAATTGTAAGTAGACAGGCGGCAATTTTGTAACAATCGTTTCTGCCTAGGCTGTGACTTTTTCTGTGGTCTGTTTGTCTGTTGTTTTTATTGATCAAATGTTCAATTAAAGAATGTAGTGACTGAATGAGTGGTTTGAGAATGGTCAGTATGCAGGGATAATTTGGCATATCTTTGGATGTTTGTGCAGAGTTGTGCACTGCTTAGCGTGAAGCTGGCTTTCCTCCATCACCATTAGATATGTCTGTCGACCATCCCACAATCAATGACGCTCTACGCCATAATACTCTGGCGGATTCTTCAGCCTATCATCTTATACGGCCGCCTGAACACACACATGATCATTGAGTGACTTTCTGGGCATGCAATTGTTACGTGCTTGCGGACAAAAGGTTGCGCACCCATTTCCTGGAATACATTGACCAAAAACACAACCTATCGAATTTCAACACCGCGATAAGCTCTATGGGCCCGAAATTGCAGAATCGTCCATAAAGAACCTCATTCAACATCCTCAGCAAAACAATTCGACAGAAACGTATTCGGAACACCTTGCTTTCGCCTCTTGGACCTATAAACTGCATGTCACAGCTATCACCCTGTCTTCACGTGCTCAACGCACGTGCCATATATTGCCAAGCCGCCAACGCATCGCCTCAGCCCTATCGTTCTGCCCTAGCGTCAAACCTTAAAAAAAATTCTCTGCCTCACCAAACAAACCACCACTTCATATACCACACCATAACAAGCAAAAAGAGATCAATTGCAATCGATGATTAGGAATAGCCGAAGGCGGGGCTCGAACCCGCGACCTTGAGGTTGTACTTTATCGAGATGATAAGAGCCACACGCTCTACCGATTGAGCTACCCCGGCAGGTCTTGTTTGATCTAGTTCACTGGTTGAACTGGCGCTGATTGCTTGATTGATGTCGAAGGAGTGCTTGGGGTGGGATATATACTCTCAACAGCCTGCGATGGCCATAGGTAAGTACTTGTTCAAGAACAATACCCATCCGTAAGTATGGTTTTAGAATCTCTTTTGCTAGTCTCCCTCTTTCATAATGAAAATAGTGTCTAGCACCTCTGTACTTCACGGAGACATGCATTGAATTGGCAGTAGTAAATAGTTGCAACAAGGTTTGTGTCCATTGAACATACAGAAGCCTCGATGGCACAAGTCGCTCTGCATCAAGCGATAGACGAAACGAGAAGGCTAGTCGTGGCCGTTGACCGAATGCGTCTAAGCTCGAGATATCGCTAGAGGTCACGGCTAAGTTGTCTTTTCAGAAGATGCAGTATTATCGTGTATAACACATCTCGAAAACTACATGGACAGCAAGTCATGCCAGTATCCACGATCTCGAGACGCAGAAGTACATAGTATGACCACTGATGTCTGGTCTAAGGGTTTCTTTTAGATACAGACATAGGCAGATGAATGATATTCCCTCTCATGCATGATTAGATGGTCTTTTACACAGTCTAAACATCTCGTGGAGCACCGCTTGGGCAACGACTTGTGCTATTGACAAGGTCTCTATAATCACAGATTCAGCTCTACATATTAACCTCCGAACTATGCTACGAAGGAATTCTGGTCTTATAATTCGTCCTGTCAATTGCTTTGCTTGCTAGTGAGTTTTACTCGGCATCCACCATGTCTTCATCCTCACCTCCATCTACGGCGATACTCTCCATACCTCTGATGATCTCCTCCTGCAGAACTCTCACCGCAGTTGCTGCACCCCTGACCTTTGCCTCCTCCCTACTAACACATCCTCCAACATCCACAACCTCTTTCTGACCCACAAAAATCTTGCAACTCCATTCTCCATTCCCATCACTCGAAGCCACATATTCCACGTCCTTCTGGTTGGCCATCAAGCCCAGCCTTTCCCTCGGAAACCCGACCTGTACACCCTCATCCAAGAACCTATCGAACAACTTGAACAACCCGAGTTTTCCGACAAAGGCTTTGCAGGCAGAGAGGTTGCCAGAGGAATCAATGTAAATGGCTCCCAAGACTGATTCCAATATATCTGACATCCATTTGCAGGATTTGTGGAGACCGAGACGAAGCAAGTCTGGCCATGGATACTCGTGTCCATGTTCCAATTGTTCGAGAATTTGAGTACGGAGAGGGATGTATCTGTCCAAAGCTGCTTTGCGCTGAACGTGTATACTAGGTCCACAACGCAGAAAATCGTGGAGATGGTAGAGGTGGACTGCTTCTTCTAATCCCACCTCTCCGGTCTGGTTGGTTGTTGGCTCTAGCCGAGATACCGGGAGGCTCAGTTCCAAACAGCAGATTCCTAGGATGTGGGCATTGGCTAGTGCTTGTCGCATTCTATGCATCTCGTGGTTCTTGAGTGCTGGGGTTGCGGAGAAAATGGTGGGGACCAGGATTTGGTCTAGTATTGCATCGCCTAAGAACTCTAGTCTTTCGTAAGAGAGAGCTTCGGGTGAGGAGAAGGAGGAGTGGGTTAGTGCTTCAAGCAGTAAGGATGGATTGGCGAATTTGTAGTCGATGAGTGTCTCGACAGTGTCGAGGAAAGGCGGGACGTTAGACAGAGCAGGTGTCTGGGAGAGTAGGGAGGATAGGCATGTTGTATGGTCTAGCCATTGCTCGTTGGGCAGGAAAATGCGAATGCAAGCTAATGCTCCTTGAAGGCATTTATCCATGTAAGCAGCACCGATCAACGCTTCCACGACGTCTGCAAGTGTTTTTGTACTCCTGTCGACGGTCTGGTCGTTCTTGTCTTTCTGGTCGGTGCAGAGTATTGGAGGCTTCCAGTGATTACCTGTGAACTTCGTTGTTGAGATGAATCGATCCACGCCACTGCTCAAAGCTGCACGAGATAATGATGCATTGCCATTCGTCCTTCCCTTCTCAGCTGTTAAGTAGCTTTCTGGCCATTCAGGGTGTTGAGCTGCCAATTGAACGTGTGTGCAATACTTCAGCACTGCGTCGCCTAGATATTCTAACCTCTCGTAGCTGGCAGTAAAGTTAGCGGCGCCTGATGTGGTCGCCTCGATGATGAGTTGAAGATTCTCGATGCCAACAGGCTTGAGGAGAGTATTCTGCAAACGAGCAGCAAGAACAGCCGTCTCGACTCTATGCAAGATGGAAGGAATGCAAGCAGCGAAGAATGAATATCTAGCTGGGAGGACGTTGATAGTGCATTGAGCCATAGCGAATGTTTCGCGAGTAAGTCGATCCTTCTTCGATTCCTCGGCAGGTCGTGTGAGGAAGTCGCGCTTCTTCGGGAATTTGGTGACTTCCAATATTTCCTGGTCTTGGCCTTGTATGCTTTGGAAAACGTAGCTTCGTCCTTGCTGCACGCTGACCTGCACGAGACCAACGTCTGTTGCATTCTGCACCCTCGAAAGTTGCTCGATTGCTGGTCGAGTCTTTCTACTCAGTGGAGTCACCGAAGGTTGATCCAATGGTTCAAACATTGCTGCGTACCTGCCTTTTACACTTGCAAGGTCGGCAGGTGCAAACACGGAAAGAAGCATACTTTCTGTGTCTTTCTGTTTTCGGTTGGCCTCCTCCTCACTGAGTTTGCACGGTTGACCAGGTCCAATGTTCGCGACACCTGTGATGTGCATACTCCAAAAGAGAGCAATGTCGTCAATTTTTGGGCACTCAACAGGCAGGAACATCGCCATCGGAATGCTGGGCTGTCCCTCTATCTTGAGTTCCACTACATGCTTGAACCATAGATCTGTTGTACCTAGTTCCCATGGATCATGTCTCATTGCGACTTTGACGAGGCTAGGTCTGTTCTGGCGTGCTTGGTCTGGAGTCTGAATGTGGGGAGGGAGCAAATGGTCGTTAAGAAGACCACCACGATGCAATGCTACGCAAGCCTGGAAAGCTGCATCTTTCATCGCTGCTCTTTCCGTCTTCCAGCTGTGTGCGCTGACAGCTGTTCGATACTTTTGACTCACTGAAGAAGGCAGAAGGACCTTCGCAGTGATCAGATCTTCTGCGTCTGTTCGACACTCGAAGACTGGTCGATGATCGACATGATTGGCTGTCTGAAGGGTGGCGCAGAAATGGTTGAGATGCGACTTCGCATTGTCGAGGGTGAGCAAAGCCCCGGTCTTCTGTACCTTATACTTTCTGTCTTCTGTTTCGTGTGTTTGCTCTAGTTGAACAGCTAGTTGAGCGTTTCTGTACTCATCTTCGTATGCTGCTTTCATCCGTTCTTCCAGTTGATGCCATTTGGCTGGTTCACCTTTGTCGTCGCCATCGGCCAGCAAAATGATGTACTTCGAGTCCTTCTTGCGTGCTCTACCCCGTCTCTGGACGAAGGATACCAAGTTGAGAGGAGCATCGAAACAGATCACGGTTTGGCATGAAGATATGTCAATACCTTCTTCGAGTACGCTCGTTGCAATGATCAAATTCTTTTTGCCTACCCTGTAATCATCAAGAGTCTGTTGCTGTGCTTTCAAGTCGTTGATGTCGCCGATATTTGATTTCTTCTTGGATGAGTTTGAGCCTCCAACAAAGGTGCCAATGTTGAAGATCTGTGAGCACTCTGGATCGGAAGAAAGAAACTCTGCTAGAGCGGCGACAACAGCTCTTTGCTCCACAAAAATGATTCCAGTAAAAGATGATCCGGACTCCTCTTTCAAGATGTCCAAGAGTAGTCGAAGCTTGAAACTCACAGTCGTGTCTGAGGAGACTGCATCTACACGTAAGTTCGTGAGGATCTCGGCAAGATGACTCTTCTCCTTGTCTGAAAGTTCTGGCATCCATAGATTATTGTCTTCTTGAACTCCTGCAAGAAACTTGTCACGGCAAGCCTGAATATATGTTTCTGCTGCGGACGGACTGATGTCTCTAGCAATGACCTCTGCACGCTTTCTCAGCGCCCTCAGCTGGTCTGTGCAATATGTCTTTCTTGACATAAGCACTTCATCCACTTTACCTTTCATATCGGGTCCTCCGGTCTGCATGATTTCAACAAGGTATGGATCTTCGCGTATCTTGTATAGGTGAATGGCAGTAGTAAGGGCTTCTCGCAAAGAGTTTGGTGTGTTGGGAGCTTCTTTGCTCTCAAAAGTCCGTTTCAGGAGCTCTGGGATATGCACATATTGCATCAATTCGGATCTGTGCAAGCGTGGTGTAATGGCATGACTATCCATGTTCGCTTCGAGTATCTCTAAACCTCCAGCTTTTGCGGTCATCACTGGACTAGCACTTAAACCGAGGATTCTGGGCACCGGATATCCATTATCTTTAGCTGGGCGATAGAAATGCTTCATGATCATGTTAGAGGCATGATTTTTGGTGCAATGGTGTGCTTCGTCGAACACACACAACGAAAGCCTTTGCATTGTAACAAATCCGTGACAGAGAGCATCGTATAGAACGCCATATGTGCTGACGATGACTTTCATATCCTTGAGAACGCCGTCCCAAACTGTTTGATCAGTCCATCTGTCAACGCCATCTTCGCTGGTGAGAAGTCTGGTTTGGTATGCTGGCAGATTTGTTGTGATAGATCTGTAATGCTGGTGACAAAGAGCGACTGTAGGTGCAAGAAACCAGACAAGTTTGTCTAACTGTTCCATTTCCAATTCCGCTCTTGCTCTGGCAAGGGCTCTAGGGGGCGGAGTGGCCCTTGTCAACTCTTCTCGATGTAGTTTTAGGTGTGTTTGCGTGACTGGACTTACATGTGTGTTTTACCAGCTCCGGTGTTTAGCACAATGATGGTGTTTCGTTTCAAACTCTCTGCCAGCATCTCATCCTGGTAGGCTCGTAGCTTAAACACTTCGTTGTCGTCAGTATCAAGTGATCTGACAAGAACAGTGTCTTTTTCAGACTCTGGTACATCGTCCAAAAGCTCATCTTCTCTCGGTGATTCTGTCAAGACATCGTTCTCAACACGCTTAGCATCGTTTATGCTTTCCGCCAGCGAGGGTGATGGTGAAGACGAGTCTGACATCGTTGGTTCATTCAGACTACCAGCTAGCTGTTGAATGCCAGCAGAGAGCGCTCGAAATAAATACATGTTGGCGCTGACACGTCACAGACCAGCTGTTGCGTGCCGCAGCCTGCAAGGTGTTGCGGTAATGTGAATGAGAGTGAGCTTTGACCTGCGCAGAGAGATAGACGTTTTGCATAAAATTGTGGATTTTTATGATAACGTCTCACCAGTTATGCAACACGTCTTTTCACAATCTCGAACATGTAGAAATCGAATTTTGTCAAGTGAACAACAACAATTGTAAAGTGCTAAATGTGCGAGTTTTGGTATATATACAACAATAAACAGCATCATGGTATCTAAACGATTTCATCAACAACATGCCGACCTCACCATTCACCAGCAAAAGTAACAGTCTTGAGCTTCAAGAACTCGTTAAGACCATTCTCATGGTTGAAACGTCCCCATCCAGACTTCTTGACACCACCGTGAGGCAGACCTGCTTCATCGTGCACAGACATTTGGTTGATGTGCACGGCGCCGCTGTCAATTTGTCTGGCGAGTCTGATACCTCTTTGCAGGTCTTTGGTGAAGATGGCACCAGAGAGACCGTACTCGGTGTCGTTGGCATAGTCTACGGCTTCCTCATCGGATTCGACGGTGAGAAGCGATACCGAAGGACCGAAAGACTCGGTGTAGTAGAGATCCATTTCCTTTGTAACATCTTGCACGACGAATGGGCGAAGATGGTGTGGGTTCTTCTCCTTTGAGTTGATGTCTCCGTAGAGGAGCTTGGCACCCTTCTCGACAGCATCCTTGACAAGCTTCTGGTTCTTCTCGACGGCTGGCTTAGCAACCAGAACAGGGGCTTCACCAGAGTCGGGGTAGATCTTTGCGATGGCACCCTTGAGAGCTTCTGAGAAAGGTTCCAGGATAGACTTGTGGACAACAATACGCTCGGTGGACATGCAGATCTGGCCAGCGTGGACGAAAGCACCGAGAGCACATTGGAAGGCAGCATTCTCGATCTCTGCGTCGTCGAGGACAAGAGCCGATGCCTTACCACCGAGCTCCATGAGACAGGGCTTGAGGTTTTGACCGCACTTAGCGGCGATGAGAGCGCCAACAGCGGTGCTACCAGTGAAGTTGACCTTCTTGATTTCAGGAGCTTCGATGAGAGTGTTGGTGACAGCAGGAGCGTCTTGAGTACGGTGGTACAAGACATTGAGACAACCAGCGGGCAGACCAGCCTCGTGGAAGACACTTCCAATAGCCCAGAAGGAGCGAGGAGAGAGCTCGCTTCCCTTGAGGATACAGGTGTTGCCAGTGGCCAGGGCGTAGATGACAGCTCTCAAGCCGAGAATGTAAGGTGCGTTCCAGGGCGCAATACCCAGAATGACACCGTAAGGCTCCTTGAAGACCAGAGCACCACCATCTTGAGTCTGGGGGATCATGCCGACAATGCTACCAATGCGACCAGCAACGTCTCTGAACATCTCGACGGTTGTGGGCAAGTTGAAGCTCTTGACAATGAATTCAGGAGCACCCGTCTCTTCCATTTGGTAGCTGGCCAGCTCGTCCAGACGACTCTCCATGATGTCTGCTGCCTTCAAGAGGATCTTACGAATCTCGGTACTCTTCATCTTCTTCCATGATTTCCAGGCGCGTTGGCACGAGCCTACGGCTTTCTGAGCATCTTCGACGGAAGCGGCAGCGCAGCTCCAGAGCTTCTTGTCGGTCTTGGGCGAATTGACGTCGAAAGTATTGCTGGTAACGACTTCCTTGCCGTCGAGCCAGAGAGGACTGTAAGGTTTGGATTAGTCATGTTCGTAGACAAAAATCTTGTGACGTGGTTTGGACAAGTACCTACACTGTGTAGTCTGCCATTGTTGTGCTGTATGTGAGTATGCGACGCAAGGAATCAGCAGCAAGCACTTGTGAACAAGTCGAGGGTGGCCTCGATTATCAATTAATTGATCAACCCATGGTCGGGGTCTCGCATGACAATTGTAGCGGCAAGAGAAGCGGGTCTTTGATGTGGGGGCGCGTCGGTTTGTGCTTTCGGCAATCTGGGGCTCCTTCTAGCTCACTTACCGTCTCTCTCTACAAGACATGCCGCAAGGGCATAACATATGAGTGTAGAAATCATCATCACGACCCCTCAGACCGGCAGTTGCAACAGAGAGTTAAAGTTTGCTGTGAAACCTGTCACAGAATCTGATAGGTCCGTCGCGCCCGGCTGACATGCGCCCGCCTTTCAAATGAGCAACGATATGCAGCCTTGGCATGGATTCACATGGGCAATCAAATGAGTCTATCCTCATCAAACCTGGGGACAACGAAAATCGATCAATCAAAACTTTTTCAAGAATTCATTTCAATGCTATATCTGCTAGAGAAAGCAATCTAGCTGTTCCAAAATGGTACCTTGGCCAGCCAAGCAATCATCAAAGTCGTGTGTATTACAATATTAGGTCATCCAAGCGTGTCGAGAAGCACATCTAAGAGCGCTTGCCAAAGGCCTTGTCGTAGTTGACAAGGGTGAAGCGGTACTTGATGTCGTTCTTTGACAGACGCTCAAGGGCACTCTTGCAACCCTCTTCGCTGATGTCGACAGTCTCGACCCACGACTTGATGTTCTGCTTCGAGGCGAGCTCGAACATGGCCTCCATCTCGGGGCGGTTACCAATGTGCGAGGCACCGATCATGCAGCCATTGCCAGCGAACTGCTGGGCCATAAGGGTGGGGATGGGCTTGTCACCGAAGCCAACCATGTGGAACTTGCCCCAAACCTTGAGGATGCTGAAGTAGTCGTCGAGGTTGAATTGGTCCATGGCGTCGGCGGTGTTGATGACGAAGTCGAAAGCGAACTTGTAAGGCTCGTTCCAGCCCTTCTCCTTGGTGCAGATGAACTCCTTGGCACCCATCTTCAAGGCATCCTCCTTCTTGCTGGGGGAGTGAGAGATGGCGTAGACCTCAGCACCAAGAGCCTTGGCCCACAAAAGAGCGAAGTGACCAAGACCACCAATACCGATAATACCAACCTTCTTGCCGGGGCCAGCACCCATACGGACAAGGGGAGAGTAGACAGTCAGACCAGCGCAGAGCATAGGAGCGGCGATCGAAGTCTCGAGGTTGTCGGGGATCTTGAAGACGAAGTAGTCGTTGGCACGAATGTGCGAGGCATAACCACCTTGCGAGATGGTGCCGTCGGGGTAGGGTGCACCGTAGGTGTCAATGGAGTTGGGGCAGTAGTTCTCCTGGTCGGCCTTGCAGTTGTCACAGGTCAAGTCGGCGCCGATCTGAGCACCAACACCAACTAAATAGAGTGTTAGAAAGGAGTCTCCGTAACCATCAAAGAGTTGCACGAACCTCTGTCTCCGACCTTGCAGTTGGTGACCTTGTCGCCAACCTTGACAACCTTGCCAATGACCTCGTGGCCAACGCAAAGAGGGAGAGGAGCGTCACCCCAGCCTCCAGTGATGGTGTGAAGGTCGGAAGCGCAGACACCGCAAGCCTCAATGGCAATGTCGACATCGTGCTCCTCGAACTTCTTGAGCTTGAACTCGCCCTTCTTGAAGTCGGACCTGGAGGAAGTCGGCAGTCAGCACCCTGTCACTGTTGCATAATCATTGTCATGTACTCACCACTTCTTGTGGTCGTGGATCATGAAGCCCTCAGCAGTCTCGGGGTAACCCATGGTTGCGATATGTGAATTGATTGAAGGTTTAGAAAGAAGAAGTGTAGAGTAAGTTGTGAGCGAGAACAAAGTGAGGAGGTGCAGCTCGAAACTCTTTTGTAGGCGGCAAAATATTGGGGCTGCAAAGGAGCATTCTCCCAAGCAATTGCACGCGGGTGATCTCATCCAGCAGCTACAAGCACACTCGACGTAATTGATCAAGCCGTTTCTGTCACCGCGGAAACTTTGGTTGACAACAAGTAGAATGTCTCATCTCCAGATCTCATGCTTGGGTCGTAGAAGCTCCCTTCTTCCTTAGCTATCTACCTATGCTAAACAATTCATGAAGCGCTGTCTAGCAGCTTGTCCTTTGAGTCTCTTGTGAGCTCAAGGCGATCAACAGCTCCATCCTGGCTTGGGGTCAGTGGCGGAAGAATTGGAGGGGCACTCATTTTGCCTGATTTAGTCCACCAATGACAGAATGATGTAACGAGGGGCATCTAAAAAATGGAGATGCGGCTGCGAATCTTCGATCGGCTGGACCCAGAAACAGATGAGCCGCCATACCACCGGGAGGAAGGCCGATCATGGTTGCTGAACGACATCGTAGTAGTCGCCAAGGCCGAATCCTTCTCTTCCTCTAGTTATCTCTTGAGAACAGCCAAGAATTGCTGAAGAAATAATCAGAGGAGCTTGGAGGGGCTCTGCGTAGCTGAAGAAGCACGTTCCGTCTTGCGCAGCGAGCTTCAGCTCACCCCACATGCTCAGACATGAGTTTCATACCACATCTCGACAACAAACTTCTGCATCGATGCAAACTTTGACCAAACATGAAAACAACAAAGCTCGACATAGCATGCATGCAAGAACTCGCATCTGCTGTATAGGCACCAAACACGCTTTTTCGATAAAGCGATGCCAAGGGCAGTGCCTGTCGAATTCTCGTTCCTTTGGTCATCCAGATAGGCAATCCGAAGTACAGCCAAGAACATCCTGACCTGCTGATTCGATTGTCGACTTCCAGAACGATCTCTAGCCGTACGGGCCCCAGCAGACTCAGCTTGAGGCATTGAGCCGTAGCTTAGCAGTGGCGGCGCTAGAGGGGAAGACCCTAGCTGTCTTCGACCTACTCATGGAGAAATTGTTTCCGCGAACTACTACATCAAAATTAATCGAGCATCAAGACGTTGCTCGGTCATCTTCGCAATCCAGATGAAAACATTTCAACAGTAGAGGAACAGCATCTGATGAACATCTCATGATGTTCCATCAACAATGTGATATGCAATGCCCCGGATCTGCAAGTGCGGGGAACTGAGGGGTCGTCCTTGAGAGACATCTCGGATGTCCAGAGATGGAAACCCATCTTGTAGAACAGCACTAAAGCAGTAAGTCACACGAGCGAGTTACTCGTAAACACATATATCCAGCAGGATCGTCATTTCTACCACAACAGCTTCTCGAGATTGACTTTGCAATCACCAACATTTCATCTAGCCATGTCTACAACTTTGAGTAAAGTGGACTCTGCTGTCATGCAGGGACATTCTAAGACTAGCACAATGAAGGCGCTGCGTATTCATGGTAAAGAAGACCTCCGCTTGGAAGATATCCAGAGCCCTCAGTGTGGAAATGGTCAGATCATGATCAAACCAGCTTGGTGTGGAATTTGCGGCACTGGTCAGTCAAGCAACACCTACATTGTAGCTGAAGACTGACATTGGAACTTCAGATCTTCACGAATATATGGGTGGTCCTTCATTATGTCCGACTACTCCTCATCCTATCACCAACGAGACTGTGCCTTTGACGATTGGTCACGAATTTAGCGGCATCATTGAAGAGCTCGGACAAGGTGTATCAGACAAGTATACAATCGGACAAAGAGTTGTCGTACAGCCAATCATATATTGCGGACAATGTGGATCCTGTCAGGATGGCATTCCCAATTGCTGCGACAAGAATGGATTCGTCGGGCTCTCAGGCTGGGGAGGAGGTTTGGTAGGTATACCATATTCTAACCACGACTCTTGCTGACATTTGACCTAGGCGGAACACATTGTAGTTCCAGAGTATTGTGTAGTTCCTGTACCTGACAACGTGTCCTTGGAGTTAGCCGCGCTTGTTGAGCCATTAGCCGTTGCATGGCACGCAGTCAACATGTCCCCAGTCAAAGACTTCAAGAAAGGTCAATTCGCCTTGATTCTTGGTGGAGGCCCAATCGGTCTTTCTGTTATCCAAGCTCTTCGAGCGCACGGCGATGGTACCATTATCGTTTCAGAAGTCTCTACCAAACGCAAAGCTTTTGCAGAGGAGTTTGGCGCAGATTTTATCTTGGATCCAACGAAAGATGACATTCCGGAGCGATGCAAAGAGATCTGCGGTGGTGTTCGAGGTGTGGACTGCGTATTCGACGCGGCAGGCGTTCAGGCTGGACTCGACTCGGCGGTGCTCGCAATGAGGGCTCGAGGCACTTTGGTCAACATTGCCATCTGGTTAGTGTCACAACCTGGGATTACTTGACCGCTCAATCTCGTGATTGCGAGACGGACTCTTGATCAATACAATGTACAATTTTAGGCTCTTACTAACCGTGTACTGTAGGGAGAAAGATGCGAGAATCATTCCAAACCAATTTGTCTTCCGAGAGAGAACGTACAAGGTTAGTAAGTTCGATGTGTTGTACAGCGACACTACTAATAAGTGGTAGGGCGTTGCAACATATGTCCTCGGAGATTTCGATGAAGTCCTCCAGGCGATCAGCTCTGGCAGGATGAAGCCAGAAAAGATGATCACGAAAAAGGTCGAGCTCAAAGACGTAATCGAGGAAGGTTTCTTGACCTTGCTGAAAGACAAAGACAACCATGTCAAGGTTTTGATCAAATCAAATGATGTCGAGTAAGCACCGCTAGCAAGCTGGCTTCCTGGATGTTCATACGATCGCGATGGTACAGCCGACAAGGAGAAGGTTGGTATTCTTGTCTCCAAGTAATTGCATGGATATTGGCTCTGTACATGTAGTCATGAGGCTCTGAGCGCTCTGATGGTGGATTTGGATAACATCATCGAGGGGTATCCCGAGCTTTCAATCGAATTAACGTCACGTTTTCTCGGGTATTCCATCCACAAGTGAGTCTCATGCGCGTCTTCTTGACCTCAAAGGGTGCGGTGAGTGCGTGCGTATGTGGAGATGGGGACGTGTATGGCCAGACGGATCGATTCGGATGATCTGCGGTCATCCCGTCCGGAAAAGAAGCAAGTTCCTGGGGTCATGACCACAAGCCGAAGACCCGATCCACGCGAAGAGACAGCTATCGAAGCCAATCATGATTGTTCACGGCGTAATACCATTTATCCCTAAGCAGCTGTGCAGGTCGTACTCGAAGACCTTTTGATCGCTCCGAGGAATCTCAAGGGGTTGCAGCCACTGCCGCGAATGGCTTGTAAGGCTGCATAACGATGAGCAAGGATTGTAAAATGAGAGCTCCCTGTTTTGATTGATGTACAAAGTACCTGCTTAACGAACGGGTTCCCTTATGCATGTGATTTGAGTGAGATGAGATTACAAGAACGACTCGTCAACAAACATTGGTCAAGCATTGAAAGGACGGCATGTTGCTAGGAATTTTCGCAACAACCACATCGTTCTCGGTTGTAGGAGTTGAATACTGCTCAATCCATGCTCCTCTTTGTTCATCGACGTAACGTGGCTTGAAGCTTTGGTGTTAAACTATGTTGTAAACACAAGGAAGTTTTGTCTGTTAGAGGCCCCAAACCGGTTGCTGCATATGGTCGAACTGAATCCTGAGCACTGACTCTTGGTATGCCGAACGTAGCTTTGATTGAGATTTGCAAGTTTACTGACGGTGTACAAATTTCTATCGGTGGTGCAGGGAGGACGAGTCGGGAGACACGATATGATCCCCAGATTTACGTGTGGCTTGACGTGTGGCTTTCCAAATCGAAATTCGACTGTGCTCAAGCATCCCTGTCGCTAATCGTTCCTATACTTCGGCAAGAGAAATCCCATTATTACTGTCCTCGCTACTCACGCGGTGAGACAAGAGTAGGACCATGATCTTTTCATGATGGCAGCAATGCCGTTGCAATTGTTCCTTGTTTTCGATGCATTCAATGACACGCAAAAGGCACGCGGAAGGCATAATTATGAAGTAATTTCTCTGATTCGCAGGGTCTCTGCCGCTGCACGCTAAACTTTATTGACAGCCACAAACCGTCCCTTTGCAACCGCGATGACGATTCACAACTGGAAGTGACGTCTGTTGCTCTTGTGCTTTCCGTGATGCCCTACGTGGTGTTGCAGGTTTTGACGTTCGCCGGCTCATGCTGGGGGAAAGCACATATTAAGAGCTTCCTGCCCTCGTTGGCACGAATCATTAACAAGCGACGAACTTCCAGAACCACCACTATTAATCTACTACCTCCTAATATCCTCTGACTCCTGAGGATTATCCCTTCCAAGCTCTTCTATCAAAGTTGATCCTCCAATCGTCATGGGTATCTTCAAGGGAGGCGCCCTCCGTCTGTTGCAGACCGCTCTCTATTTCCTCTGTTTCTGCTGCGCTGGTGCCATCGTCGGCATCTTCAGTTACTTCCTTGCCGTCCTTGCAGACCACAACCTCGACATCCCCACAAGATGGAAGGCCGTTGAAGGTCTCTCTGGTGTCATGACACTGTACACTATCTGCACCGTTCTTTTGACCTGCTGCTTGGCCGGTATCGCCTTCCTTTCCATCCTTGGTCTGATCATCGACCTTCTCTGCATGGGTAGCATGATTGCTATTGCTGTCTTGACCCGCGAGGGCTCCAACAGCTGCAAGAACTATGTCAGAACTCCTCTTGGTAACGGCCCTGCCAACAACGCAATCGCCTACACTCAGGGCAGCCACCACTTCGCTCCTCACCTCGGCACTGCTTGCAAGCTCAACAAGGCTGTCTTTTCTCTTTCCATTGCCGGAGCTGTTTTCTTCCTGTTCACCGCTCTGATGCAGCTCGCTCTTATGCGCCACCACAAGAAGGAGAAGAGATACGGTCCCAGCCCCTCCAACGACTACACTTCTGGCAGCGCTCCCGCCCGCGGTCTCTTCGTCAGAAAGCCTAGAAATGTTCCTGCTGAGGATTACGTCGAGAAGGGTGTCGTTCCCGCCGCCCCCGTCGCTGGCCAGACTGTTCGTCCTTCTCACGACACTGCCTACTCTGGTAACACTGCTGTCGGTCCCAACCCCACTGTTATCCAGAAGGAGGGACTTACCCACGATGGCCATGCTCCTCATGTCGGTTACAACCCTCACGAGAGCACCATCCCTGCCACCACCACTGTTCCTCGTTCTTACGGCAGTGAGCGTAACGTTGGCACTATCCCTGCCAACAACACCTCCGACATTCCCGCTGGTGCCATCCCCAGTGTTCACGGTGGTTACTACACCGCCCCCGGTGTTGCTACCTCTCGTGACTTCTAAGCGACTCGCTAGTTGCTCATCATCTTGTACTCTTACCTCGATACCCTACAAAACTTCCACCGACTTGCACGTGAATGCCTTAATGTTTATCACGATGGGCATTGGCGAATTACGGCGGCTGTACTATTATCATGAAGGATGAACTGGCGTTTGTTTTTTCTCTCTTTTGTTCTTACACACTGATTGGAGAGGGGTTGCCATTCTGTGTGTTGTTACGATTATCAGATACCCTTTAATTATACCTAATCAAAAACATCTTCAAAATCAATACTTTGCCCTATCTGCTCCTGACAAGCAACATGTACTCATGGGGTATTTGTATGATTGCCGCCATCTACTCATGATGTTCGAGGCCGAGATTATGGACAAATCCTTGGAACTGTCGTTACTGGTGTAGTTTGGTATTCTTCCAACCAATGTATCATCAAAGTATGGCCTTACACCGTCATAAAGCTGTTAACACCTGTTAGAAGAAAATTGTCCCCAGAATTTGCTGGAACAATGTTGGAACGAAAGAGAACAGAAACGTGTGTGGTATACGCAATAATTCTCAGCATCGACGCTTTCTCAACCAACAACTGCATATTACTCAGCCACAAAGATGCAAGACCTCTCATCCTGCCACTATGTAGTAGTTTTGGACCTATAGAAAGACTTGTACATTGTCTGCGAGCATTTGAAGCACCATTGAGAGAGTAAATTGGAATTCAGATGTGGAAACCATTGTACAGGGTACGACCCTGCTTCGGAGACCCACTTGCAGCAAACCCGGATAATCTTGGTAGAACACCTTGGAGACCTCGTGACAGACTTGCCAATGATGGAAGATCGAGTCCCTACGACTTTCGAAAGCAAGGTATCTGCTTGAAGCAAGATAAGTGTATTGTCGTCAGTGAGCGCCAATAAACATTATCAGCGGTATCCGCTCCGCCCCGCTGACAGCGCCGAGCCCACACGAATTTCTAGACTTCTTGCAAAACTTCGAACTACACTTTCTTTTCTGCATCTTTCGAAGCAAAAAAAAAACACTCTTGAATGCCTCTATGGAGCAAAAGTATGTCGACGCCCGTGTGATTCGAACACACGCCCCCGAAAGGATTTGATATCGGAACCTAGTTCGAGTCAAACGCCTTAACCACTCGGCCAGAGCGCCAGTCGGTAAGTGGCAGAACTTGAGCATTTTGATATCGAGAAATTCACCATTACCTGACCATCGTGAGATCGCCTCAACGCCGACCAGGATCACTCTGGCACTCAGATACACTCTATGACCAATCGATGTTGCGGTTGAGAGGATTCCATGCCACTCTTGTAGGAACTTCGAAGAAGTTGTACGTCCAGTGGGTAGGACATCCGTATATCATCGGTGTGAACAAGCAGGTTTTGTGTGAAGACCAAAACACTCTGCCATTCGGACGCCCTGATTTAGGATCGACTGCTCAAGATCGTGGTTGACAAATCGCGAGGAGCTTCTCCTCAAGCAGGAACAAAATGAGGTCTGTAAGTGCCGACTTCAACGAATCTGTCAAAACAACCTCAGGGCCTAGACACTGTAAGTTTGAAGATCATGAGTAGCCGTGGAGGCTATAATAAGAGTACAACAACGTCGACTCTCGTTTCTTTTGAAGTATCTGTCTTAGTGTCATACTCATATCATCATCAACTCTGTTATATTTCAACCACGTTCGTATCTTCCCAGTCGTTAACCGTCATTCGTACATCACAGTTTCTGGGGTTTCTTCCAGAGGCACATGGAAGAGGTTCACAAGACATCATCCTCATCTCCTCTCTGCAACGACGAAAAAGCACCAAAGCGCAAAATATCTTGTTTCCGCCGTCACAGATACCGCACACTCGCCGCCGTGGCAGGCACCATCGCTCTTCTCGGCATCACCCTCGGTGTAGGGCTTGGTGTCGGGCTTACGAATGCTGGAGAAGCTCCCAAGCAATCTTCAACTGTGGCAGCAGCAGCTGTTGCTACTTCGTCACAAGGGCCAGCATGTCAGGGTGGGCTCCTGGGCGCGTTAGGAGATTTGCTCACCAACACCACACCAATTTGGCAACCTCCTCCCGGGGCATCTTGGCAGATTGTACTGAGTAAGCCCGTTGACGCTACAAATGCTCTATCGCCTGCTCTTTCGGTCTATGATATTGACATGTATGGCAATACTGCTTTGACTATCCAGCAGATGCACTCTCAAGGCATTAAGGTCATCTGCTACTTTTCAGCTGGCAGTTGGGAAACCTACAGACCAGACGCTGGGTTGTTCGCACCCCAAGATATTGGAACTAATCTCAATGGCTGGCCGGGTGAGAGATGGCTAAATACCCAAAGCAAAAGCGTACGGGATATCATGGCAAACAGGATCAAATTGGCAGCGGAAAAAGGTTGCGATGCTGTTGATCCAGACAACATAGACGGCTTTGTGAGTTTGTCACCTCCGGCGCGACCAATCATTGAACTATGACTACAGTACTAATCGGATGTTACAGGAGACAAACACTGGCTTCCCTCTTACCCCAAGCACGGCTCTCGACTACCTCACCTTTCTCTCTTTGACCGCTGCATCCTATAACATGGCTACCGGTCTCAAGAACGCCGGCACGATCGCCAAAAACGCTACCTGCCTGGTCGAATTTGCCATTATAGAATCTTGCAAGTCTTTCTCCATTCCTTCCTGGTTTCTCAAAGCGTGTTACTGACATCTTCCACCAGGCATCAACAACAGCGAGTGCAGCATCTACCAAAACTTCATCGCAGCCGGCAAACCAGTTTTCCAGATCGAATACCCGCTTGGAGCTCCGGGTTATGTGTCTTCGCAAGCATTGGCAAGAAGCTGCAAAACCAATGGAAACGTTGGGTACTCGGAGATTATCAAAGGCAAGGACTTGGGTGGATGGGTTGAATTATGTGACGGAACCGTGTTTAACACTGCCACGTACGGATAGAATCAGAGAAGCGGTATCATCGAAGCCATGTGATGAAGTGTAAGATAGTCGCCAACTCGAGATATGCAATGGTTGTAGATAGCATAGTGTATCAACATTTCAGATTTAACCACACCTCTCGAGATTCTCGTATACGCTGTCTCGCGATTCAATCACTGCAAGCAGAACATCCGCCTCGCCTGGCTCACAAGTTCAGAGCAGGAGATAAACAAGGGGCGAAGCTGTCAACCTATCAAGTGCAAAGCAAAGGCCGTCATTTTTAGGAGAGTACATGTCTCTGTATGACAATTGCCAGTATTTCTTGCTTCAATCACCTAGACGAAGAACAAATTCTTTCTGGAGGCGGTTTGTGGTATAGCGCGTAGCATGCGTTGCTGAAGACCCTGCCTCTCGTCCTGACCAGTCACTAATCAGCATGATGAAAAACAGTCAATGCTGTGACGTCCACTCCCAACAGCACATCAACTTTCCAGGCTACCCTCTGTTAGACTGCTCTAACAAGACAGTCGTGTCAGATCTCGTGTTCAATACGACTCAGACTTGGACCGCATTTGCGAGACCTTTATGCCCGTTGTTCACAAACTCCAGAAGGAGCCTTCAAGACTGGCTCTATGGAAACTATATCTCTAGCCGCTTTGCCGTAAGATCTGCTGATCTCCTTCATCCAGGCTTCTGTATGTCTCATCCCTCTTTGTCAAAAGTCTGTGGTCGCCTGTCTAGTAAACGTTTACAGTTGACTAGTCATGTCTCCAGAACAAATTCGTTCGACTCACCTGATGTGAACAAATTCTAAATCACTAAGCGTGCTTTCTTCTCCTGTACTGCTGAACCTTCGTCCTATTATGGAAAACAGGTGCCGTCCTTTGGTGTTCGAGAAGTGGAGTTCAAGAAGCGGTACTTAAGAGGTGGAGTCCAAGAGATCGAGTAGAAGCTTATCTGCTGAGCCTGCTTTGATGCATCACACCACGTCCCCACAGATACCCAGCCTCGATCAGATCGGCAGGGACAGTGAAAGCTTCACCAGTGGCATGAGCGATGGACAAGGCGGCTGAGCAGTCACGGTTACCTCTCTTCCAACAGAGAAGGGACAGTGGAGGAAGTCGCAATCCTTGACCAGATCCTTAAAGCAGAAGCCTGGCGATCGCAACTCCTTGCCGAATGAGAACCTCACAATATGAACTCGGATGATGGCACGTTTCTCTCAAACACTGCTCTTTCGGTTGCAGAACAACTATCTGCTACATTTTCTCAACTAGATCAAATTTTTAGACAATACATTACACGTTCTCTCCGCCTTTCTCTCATACATAGCACGCATTCAAAAGGAGCCCGTTCTCTTTTCTCCAGACGCCCTAAGCGACTGACACTGGCGACGACAATTGCAACGTAACAGGATTTCCAGTCAGTGGCACCCAGATGACCAAAGGCTCAGATCCGATTGTCTCCCTGACAAGACCAGGAGAGTTGCTTGTAGCGCCGACCGGAAGAGTCACAGGAATGGGAGCGGCACAAGTGTTCCCATTAGCGGTAATAGTGACAGACAGGATAGTCTTGCCATCAGGAGCGTATTGATAAGTCAGATTGGGATTGCAGTTGTCGCGAGTCATGCGGTTGGTAAAATCGACAGCTATATCATCGTGTTTGAGGGAAATGATGGGCCAGTTAGTCAAGCGTGCCATCTCTTGAGTCACGACTTCGACCCAGATCTGAATGAGCGAAAACTGTCCAGTGATAGAACCGATAGTGGTAGTGTTGACATCTGCATTACGGAGGTTGGATTGATGGAACATGAAAGGATCGTGGTGAAGACCCATCAGATGGCGGACGTTGGTGGTGCGCGCATCGGCGAGAAGTTGGGTAAAACCACCCTTACCTCCAGAAGTATTAACCCATTCTGCTGTAGTGCAATCAGGAAGGTCGCAGTTGAAGAAAATTGTTGTTGCCCAACGCGGAATAATTTCGAGTCCAGCGTAACCATTACTGGCGACTGTACTGATCAATGGCCAAAACTCGTTTACTTGGTTCATCAGTACAGCTCGAGTGTTATCACCGACCGCAGATGTTATGCCATTTGTCATCCACGCTCTGATTGCATCGCCATTATGCATTCCAGTAATAGCAGGAGGAATGAGCCCATTAGGTGACCACCTCGCGGCTTGGTTGATTCCTGTAACATTGAACCACGCCTGGTTGAAGGTGATCTCTTTGTAAGTATCATTGAAAGTCGCATTGTTCAGAGATTCATGAGTGAAAGTATGAGAGACATGTGCGAAGGCATTTAGGTTTTGTGGGTCAGACAACCACTTGTACAAGGGGTCGATCAAAGAACAATCCTTGGTCCAACGATACGTTGTAGGTGTGGCAGGCCATATATCAACACCAGTACCGAGTGGCTTCTGAAACTCGAGTGGAGTTGAGTCCATGGGCCCAGTGTAGATAATGGCAGGATCAGGCTGACAGACTGTTGAGTTTTCGAACGTGATACCAGCAACAATGTTTCCATTTCCATTGTGGCCGAGCTCCATGAAGTAGTTTGAACCAGCAGGAAGTCTTGAATTGAGCTGAGGCATCCAGTTTGCGAGTCCCTGGAGGTCTGCTGCTCTCAGTCTGAATAACGCATTTGAAGGCTGGTAAAGAGCCGTGTTCAACATCACATCGTCGACTTGGGTGCTCAGGTGTATGCGACGATATCCCACAGTCAAACCACGTGTGAGCCAGGCAATGTAAGCGTGTTGGAGATAGTTCGAAGTCAAAGCCCAATTTGTGGCCCAACTTGAGAACCAGACCATCTCTAGACGTGTTCCGTCCCGGTGAATCACGGCTGCTGAGCTGGAGTTGGTGAAGGTCCCATCAGAGCTGGGTGCAAGACCTGCAATCTCCCAAGTTGTGTTTGGGTTGGTGATGGTTGCTGGGTAGTGCCATATGCCTTGAGTGCTAATGGTGGCACCTTGGACGAGATTGGCAGTGGGAAAGGCACTTGTGTTGGTGAAACTCAGAAGTTGCTCAACACCAGATCCACAGCACCCAGCACCGGCAATAGTAGGCACAACATCAAACATAGGCCCAGGATAAACATCAATACGGACCATTCTCACACCAAAGCTCGTCTGGTAAGCGTAAAGCGCTTGAAATTGAGCGGCAGTCAGAGCACTGGCCCAGTTGTTGTTGCCGTAGTCGTAAGATACCTCACCGAGGATGATGATACCACCGTAGTTTCCTTGAGTTGCAGACGAGTTGAGTGTCGGAAGTGTTATGCCAGCTTGTGGCACCAGCTGAAGCTGATAGGGAATACCATAGCCATTGAGACCCGAAGTTGCCGAATAGGATGATGCTTGATCGCGGGCAAAGACAAGGATTGTGTTTGCAACTGTCTGGCCGCCTGTAGAGTTGCTGACTTGGGCATTGACAAGATGCAACAGGTGGGAGATACCAAGGAAGATGGCACTCACTGCCCATGTCGGACGGACACGATCGAAAATGGGGACAAGCATCTTTGCAGTCGAGTTGAGGGACTAGGAGATCCCAAGTCTTGGTGCGGAGTCGGTTTTGTTTCCTTCCAGCGTCCGTAGCCGGCATTTTCTCGTGAGTGCTCGTACATGAAGTTTGCTGGCACACTGCTGGTCAGAGCATGCTGTCGCCCCTCTCTGCTGAAGTATAACGACTTTACAGCTTCTCAAACCCCCTCTCAAGGCCACTGCGTCGACTCCGTTCCCTGTGGCAAATTGCCATTTTTGACCAGAGTCCTCGAATAACGAATGCCTGATTCGGCCGCAAGACGTTGTCTGTGGCACTTGCATCATGTAGGTGGTGCGGTGGTAAGAGCGAAGCCTGGGTGGTATTTGGTGGTAGTCGACGCAGCTTAATTGTCCACGACTGATTCGTAGGTGGGTGGCCAGGAGGCAACGATGCACCTTTTGTGCGACGATGCTGAAGTCGACAACTGATCTTAGATAGTGCAGATGTAGCATTCTTGTTCTCTGGGTGATTGGATCTATGCTATGGGCGTTGTCCATGCACCAAGGCGTCGTGGGTCATTGCATTATCAAAAAAGAAAACAACCTCAATCAGGAGGACAAGCCTTCGCCATTATTTGACACGCGATATGGTTCGAACAGGAATCCAATGTTGACGACGACCATGATGTGAAAAAGGACTCAAGACTGGAGCTTTGAGTGTGGGAGAAGGAAGTCAAGTTGGCACCGCAAGTGGGGAAAGAGCCCAGCGGCTTGTGCAGATTCTGTGAATTATACAGTGATTTTGTGGATGTTGTGCATTCATAATTAATACCATACACACTGATGATTAAATAATTAAACATTGTTTTGTCCCAAGTCTCATCGTCCACATCAACAGCATTACCAGATTTGTAGTACAAATCAAATAAACAGAAGAAGACCCACAAGACCTGCTTGTGGTCCACCCCCATTCAGTCCATCCAGGAACTCAGCATTTCATATCTGCATTCGACTGCCCAACCTCGGAGCAGAAGGTCGGCCACATCGAATCAAAACTCGAATACTGATCATTGACGATCAACAAGCCTGCGTAGTACCCGGCATCTACAAGCTCATCGACGTCTGATGCCATGGTGTGGGTGCCAGAGGGGTAGCTATGCAACATGACCGTGCTCTTGCTCCTCTGTGCTTGCGGAATACTGGAATTACCTCCATTCATCCAAGAATCGTAGGTGTTCTCGTAAGCATTGATCATATCGGCAATCTTGTAGAAGGAAGAGTCAACAGGGACGCCTGGGTTCGTCCAGACGAGATTGCCATGCTTCATTGTCCTTTTGACTTTGTTGTAGATGGTGGCCATGTAGCTATAGTGGTCCATGGTAGTAGGTGACTCGTCCACAAAGATACCGCCAAGTGAGATGTTGTAGTTCGTGTATGTGGACCAGCGTTGGTACGTATCGATGTCTGATGATATAGCTGAAAGGGAGCGATTGCCATAGCTGGTGTGCACATATCCAAGCATGTTGGCGTTGCTGTACGTATTTAACTGAGAGATGTTGGCGATGTAGTTGGAGTCTGGAGGAGAGCCTCCAGGCCCATTGTTGGGGTTGACGATGATATCGAAAGTGACTTGAGGATTTTTGTTCAGAGCGTCGTAAAGCGGTTGCCATGTCCCTGCTGATGGGTACATGTAAAGAGGAAGCGCGACATGCATATTCATAGCCATTGTTGAAGCTTTTTGATCGCCCACAAGTAATCTCTTCAATCGAAGTTGTGAACGCGATCTGAATGAGGCTATCTTTTCTGGCAGTGGCATTCTCAATGATATATAGTACACAGTCTGCTTTTGCCAATATCAATTTGATTTGGAAAATGTTGTTCGTTGCAGAGATAAGCCGGATTGAGGGAAGCCGTTCTGAGCAGAAGATGTTTTCTTCAAAACGGCTATGTGCATAGGCTAGAGAGAGCGAATCAGATGATCTTGTACCCCTGGTGTGATCATTTGACTTTTCGAATGTGGGTGAAGAGAGCCCCTTCGGGACTTACACGCACTATAGCACAAACGGGTTTGAACAGGGCGACACTTGCAAGTTGCAAGGCGGCCCGTGAAGTAGTATGTGGGGTGGTTAACTGGGCTTTAGTTGAAATCGATCACTTCAAACGCACCTTGTAGAATCCCTATGATATCAGAGCGCAAAGGTTGAAATAGAGCCGTTGACTTGGGGATTCGTAAAGAAAAGTGTTTCCAAGCATCGCTATCATCTTCATGCAAAACAAATACAGATTTTCTGGCCAAGAAGAAACGGACATACGAACGATATGAACTTTGACAAACTATATACCCCTTGATCCCGAACACCCAATAACCAATTCATCCCATTGTCGACATCCCCCTGTCATACGTACCCAATCTATACTTACGTGGCGGCGGATGAGTATTAGCTTTGAGGAGATCCAACTGGAAGTCTTGCCAACGCGCTTTAGCATCTTCTCCAGTATCGCCAGCGTCATCGTACTCGAATATGTTCGACTCGCCAAAGGCTGAGTTTGCTGGTGGATGTCGGCTGAGTTTGTGAGCTGACCGACGAGTTTCTGACCAACAACGTTGTATCCAATACATCTGCTCATGCTCGCGAAGATATCTCTGGCCGTGAAAACTGCGGAGAACGACATCTCGTAGTCTGAGGCCTAGAGCACGACGATCCTCTGCTTTCTCGTACATCCTTGCGAGGATCCACGCGACGTCTTCGGGCTTGAAAATGTCCGGCAGAGGTGGCGGCTTGATCTTGTCAGTCGTATATTGCGCCCAAGGACCTAGCATGCTGAGTATACTCAGTTGCGCCCTTGCCAGTGCTTCCGGATCATTCGGAGGTACGACTTCACCGTAACGTCTCGTTGGGTCATCAGGATCGGTGAGAACCAGAGCAGTTGCACCAACTTCTGTGGCGACGATAGGGATGCCTGACAGCGCTGCTTCCCCGATAGCTAGAGGAAGACCTTCAGAGAGAGAAGAGTTCATGAACAGCCAGGCATCTTTGAGAACTTCTTTTGGTGAGCCAAAGCCAGCGAGTGTGACATTAGCGCTGAGGTTGCGGGTGTTGATGAGAGTAGTCGTCTCCAACGCATAACTCGGTTGTCTGTCTTGAGCACCATAGACAAGCAAACGATAATCGGTAAAGCCGTACTTGTTGACAATGACATCTGCCGCCAATACGGCATTCTTCACGTCCTTGATGAACTGAACATTCGAAAGCATGACGCATGTCGGGAGCTTACTGCGTGTCTCGGCGACCGGCTGGAAAGCATCCATATTGCCAATACCATTCACAATGGGATCAATCTTGCGCGCGAAGAGTTTCTTACTACCTCGTAGTCCTTGATCCGTGCCGAGATCAGCCTCCCAATCAGGATTGAACACTGAAGTGCATGGCAAGACAATATCAACATGAGTATATGCCAGGTGACATGCAAGCTTGACGCCAGCAAGAAGCATAGACTGGACTGGAATTGGTAGTAAACATTGCGCTGGACTGATATTCAGGCATGTCTCTCGCCATAAAATCGCATGGTCCCAGATACCCCAGGTAGTTCCACGGCGATATTTGAGAAGCATACCGAAGAGGCTGCTAACTCCGTGATGTGTGCTCTGAAACACAGTAGGACATTCTGCCGGGAGCTCGACAGAATAGATGAAGAAGTAACAGATGTACAGACCAAGAGCATCCTTGAAGTCGCTGAGAGAAGCTTGTTCGATTTCTAAGCAATCTCGGAAATTACCAATATTTGGGTCTTGGTAATCGATGAGCCAGGCTTGTACCCATGCATCCCAGACGTCTTTGTGGTTCCAAGTCTTGTTGAAATCGCATTTCTCGAAGAACCTGTTCATCTGAAGAATCACATTACTGAATGTGATCAAATCACCGCGGGTATAATGCCTCATTCGTGCGCCTTTGACGAATGATGTGAGCAGAGGGATAAAGATGCCCTTGATATCTTCCTCTATTCGTGTCCCATAAATTCTCTCGTCGATTTGAGTCTGTAGAAGATTGACGAGCACGCCGTGATATGCTGTCTTCCCATCTAGGCCCCACAAAGGCAGGATCTTCAAGGAGTTGATATTATTCTCAATCTGGTAACGAGGAATCCCAAAATCGTTGGCGGACTCGGCTAGACAATGGCCTCGAATCGTCTGATGTCCATTGACCAAGTCGCGTCTGCAATTAGAAACACCACCTGGATTATCGGGCCAGCAGCCATTGTCAGAGAAAATTACAGATGTTTGGGTCGGAGTATCATGATATGCATCCTCTGGACGAGCTGTGACTTGATTTGCATCTTTGCCCAAGCCCATCACAAACAAGTCAGACACCTTGATGAGAAGGGGACAAGTCTGAGATGCTTCTGCAGATGGTTTAATAGCAGATTTGATCACATCCAGATTTTCGTCAAGAACGTGCGCAGCTTCCAACAGATGACCGGCGTCTCGAAGATCCCAATATCTTTTCAGAAGTGGTTCTTTGCGCAAAATCATCTCATCTAGAAAGCATGCCGAGACTGCATCAAGATAAGGTGGCTTGGCCCAAGATGTCCATAAAGCCGTTCTCAAAACGGAAGTTGGTACTCGTTGACGAACGACTTTCTTCTTGTTCTCAGAATAGCCGAATGGCACCAGCGACATGAAGCGTGAAGAGGGCTTTGACAATTCAGCTTCGTGCTTCGGGAACCGCGCCAGCCAACGTAAGGGATGGTGCACAAGCAAATCGATGTGGTCAAAAGATATATCTTTCGGCTTCTCGAGCAGGCCAAATTTATCTTCCAGAATGGCCGCAGGAGCATCTACGCCAGAAAGCACCATACCATTCTCTTTTGTTATGGTTGTTTCGAGATCTGGATCTCTTGCGTGCTTGTAGACCCATTTGGTCTCATAAATCTGCCCGTCTAATTTTGCCACGAGTCGCCTGATCTTGTCAGATGGAGTCCAATTCTCGACCTCTTCTGAACCGGATCTGGGCTGCACGCTCCAGTACACGGTTATCACCGGAGAAGTGCCCTCGGCATTTTCCTGTGTATATGTCGCTCCAAGGATCTCTGCATTTCCCTTAGGTCTTTTTTGGTAGACAAATTCGAAAGAGAACTCTGCGTCGCCACGAAACAGCTTCCCACTGACCACGCGACCATGTTCATCATAAAGAGACTCGATTTTAGGACCGTCTGCCGCATGAACGATTCTTCTGCTCGGCCAGCGTTTCCATTCTTTGTTCTCATACTCGAAAGTTGAGGTCGTTTTGCTTTCAGGACTTCCGGGATCAGTCTCATAACGAACAATTCGGTAAGCTTCGTCGTAGAAAGCCAAAGCTCTCAATGATTGCGACTCGGGTAGATCCTTGTGAATGCCATCAAAAATGGAGACTAATAGATTGCCACCACCATCGCGAGAGAGGAAACCAGTGATTTTTGAGAATGGTGTGTCTACTGTGATAGTATTCCCATGTAACGTTCTCGGAAGTCCACGATCCTTCATTTCCAGGAAAGAAGACATTGATGGCTTGCCGACAATCAGAAACAGGTAGGTAAAGAAGTTTTTGAGAAACCAGCATGCTTTCCAGACCTTCAGCAATATCCATAGTAAAGGCTTGCGTGCTGGATTGTTCCTCAGCGCAAACCATAGTTCTCGATTAGCGTCTGACGCCCCACCTGAGATGAGAGCAGTCCATTTCACGATCTCGAAAATCGTTAGCCCGACCGTCGTGACACAACGCTTGAACTTCGTCACTGCTCCGAACTCTCTGCCCAACACTGAGGTCAATTCTGGATCTCTGTACGAGCCAGCAACTTTGAAAGCGTTATCTGATTCCTTGCTGATGGTTGCCTTCTTGCTTTCATAATCATGCAAGCATCGTTCCAGCTCTGTATCGAATTGTTGAATACTTTTCGATTCTGCAGCTAACCATGTCCGGACAGCGGCAGAGATATGACCGGTGTCACCTAACACGCGCGATATTACAAGACTTCGTACATCATCCGGTATCTTGGTCCATTGTAGGTTGACGTCAATGTCAAGACATAAATGCTGAAGAATTTTGCGGTGCGTAGTATGTGACAGATTGCATAGCGTGTCGGTTTGAGTTTTGAAAAGTGTCGCCCAGAGGTTCACTTGGGACTTGGCGCTAGTCGAAGGGCCTTTCTCTGTCTTTTTACGGTCTCTCTTGATGTTCTTCATAGGTCCATTGATTCCAATAGTTAACGAGGAGAAACAGCCAGTAAGGAAGAACGTGGCAATCGCAGCTGAGACGCTGGTGATATTCAAGCCTATAACAAAGTCGTAGAAGAGATCCACTGTCGAAGGTACTGCTCGAAGTATGCATCCGACAACAAAGCCCACAGCGCAGCATACCAGCACTGCCACTACATGAGCTTTTGGGTCTCGGGTAAAACATCGATTGAACTAATGAGAGGTTAGCTTGCAAGATGCACTACTTCAGACCCCAATCTACCTGAAACAAGCATACTCCTGTATAGCCTGAAATGTATAAGAAGTACAGAATGATCGATCTATGATCAACGACAAAGACCCACAGGAGTATGGTTACGACCCCGAAGTCGATAGCCAGATAGGTCAAGAGTTCCATTAGTGCGTTTCGATAATGCTTGTTGCGAGCCCTTGAAATTGTTAGTATGGCTTTGTGATACTGACATGAAGGGAACACACCGTTGCTGATCAACTTTGGCCTCAGCATACGCGTCTAGGTCGGCAATTTTTGTCCCTGGCAGTACATCCATGAGGGGCCAGTACTTTTGCAAAACCAAGTCAACCGCAACGGCACCAAAGAGGAAGTAAAGAACTCCGAAGCAGATTCCGTAACGCGCTCGATCGTCGAAGTATGTCACTATCTCTGGTCGTCTCGCGCTCATAACAAGATCGATCCATCGATCCATGAGTGCGCCTAAGAACAAGCCAACATTTTGTCCCAGCTGCGCGAGTGTTAGCAGAATTTAACGAATGGGGGATATGGCTGACCCAAGACTCACATCGTATTTCGAGTAACGAAAGGTGATGAATTGACTGTGCTCTTTGAGGCCTCGCACCAATTGTCGCTGATTGGTGAATGCGAGTTCAAGCTGCACAAACCAGGTTGTCGTATATATGGCAGGCAGTTCTGCCCCGAGAGCCTCTTTTTCGAGCAGCCAGAGCGCATACGGATGCCCGATGCCCATTTTCTTGACGAAAGGATCGATTTCGGGCTCAGGATTGAATGCTCGACGAAAGAAGCTCCTGTTACGGAATCCATGTACTGCTAATCGAAGAGCGAGACGAGCGCGGGCCGCAATCTCTTGCGAGTCGCCTCCGGACGAAGACTCTTGCTCTTTCTTCATCTTCGAGTTGTACCACGCTAGCAGATCCTTCTCTTTCACTGACGGTACTTTAGCCAACCAGGTGGTCCATTCATGAAGGAGATTTCGGAAGGTAAAGAGGAGGGCGATAACGAAGGTGTATATGATGAGCAGGTAGATCAACAGATCGTGTCCGTTGACAAAAGTGGTGAGTATAGGTGAAATGAACAGTATAGGTATACACCTCCACATCGCCGTACGACCAGAAGTTAGAGGGCAACCTAGTCGATGCATCGTGGCAAACATGCCTGTTAGACAATTATTAGCGGCGTCTCAACATCGGTTTCTCACACCTACCTAACAAGTTTAGGAAGGTCGTCAGAGCATAGAGATATATCAGATATACAAATCCATCGAACCAGGAGACCTGAGCACCAAAAGCGAAGAAGCCACAAAAGGCAACAATAGTGGTCAGTACGAAAGCCGCCGAGAAACGCTGGACAATAAAGTACGACATGTTGTCGAATGCAAACTGTACATTTTAGCTTCTGGAGTGAGCGCCTTTCATGATTTCATGACTTACATTGTAGAGATAGAACCCTCCAGTGCTGCCAACCCAACCAGTGATACCACCAGTCATTAGCAGAGCAGTCAGAATGGCATAGTTGGCCACTTGTATAGCTCTAGGATCCATGAACACCGTAAGGTAGAGACCTCGACCGACGAATGTCAGCAACAGGACGTCAATCATAGCTGGGAAACAGAAAATGGACAGGGCACCAAATGTGCTGGCGGCGTCAACAAGGTATTTTGTTGACTCTGGCTCATCAAGCTTGAACCCAGGTGCCTGTCCAGGCAGGTCCACAGGCGAGCCAGACCCTGTCATTACTCCATGGCCTTCCAGCTTGATTCGAGCTTCGGTATTGGAATAAGCAGTGAAGACATCTTTACCATCCCATGAATTAGGTGGAGGCGGATGGAGCGTCAGGTACTCGTAGTATCTATCATAAATGACCTCTCCCAGCGCTCGTGGCTGGATGCCGAAGTAAATTTTGCATTGCGAGCCTAGAACCCATAATTCAGAAAAGACTCCAGCTTGGTCACGCTGTTGCAAGAATAGCGGACATCGGTCTGTCGTTTCGATATATACGTCCTCAAAGGCGAGCCTACGCAGAACACAGAAGTATATCAATCCATAAAGATCTAGTACGCTACCAGACGGTCGAGTAATACCAATGGTATTGTAAGCATCGATAAGCGGAGCTGACAGCTGGTTTAAGGTAGGTCGATCGGTAGCAAATAAAGCATCCTGAAACTTTCGGGCAAGGAGCTCAGAAAGCTCAACCAACTTGTCCAGCTCAGGAAGTTGGCGGGCGCCTTGCTTCGCAAAATGCTCAAGACGCATCTGAATTAGTGTTCGCATACTCAATGAGCCGTCGAGGCAGGCTCGGGAGTGTAAGGCTGTCCACCTGCTTCTTCTACTATCCTCGAGTAAGGCATTGACGCATGTTTCGACGATCACCTTGTGTATTGTATGGTCGATTTTGCTCAGCCGAATCTGCTGGATGATGGAAAGTAGTTCGGCTTCCGTGCATTGGCCCAACTCCTGCTGTAAGCTTTTCGGAAGCTGCGCGCCAGGGAAGAACAAAAGTTGATCCTCGTAACATTGAAGACGACCTATCCCGTTATGTGCGAGAAATACATGCCAGATCGTGGCGGCGTCGTAAGCGTTCTTGAGTGAAATGTAGATATCAACGACATCGTGGCCATATTCTAGGGAATCATCTGAAAGCCCAATCATGTGCCCGCCATCGTCAGGAAGGCCGAATCCACTGTCAAGACCCCTATAGATCCTCACACGCCCCTCGGTAAACTTATCAAGCAGCTTCTGCAGCAGTTCGGGATAAGATGAGTTTTTCAGCGTTGTGTTTAAAACTTTTGAAATTGCCATGATCTCGATATCTGCGTAAACTTGCAGCATGTGCAGATCTTTGAGGCGGCGCTGGGTTTGTAAGATGCGTTCATATTGCTCCTGGGTAATCTCGTCTCGGAGGTTGTAGCATCCCTTCTTGCAGAGTGACGCGCCGCAGCTTGTCACATTCCAGATGCTATCTCTTCTTAAAGCGTTTGAAACGTACTTGGGGCTAGATACATCTTCCAGCCGCTCATTCTGAACCAATAGAAGGTCGGGAGGAAGAGGCGCCAGTGAAAGCAAATTTTCCGCTGGACTCAGAACCTCGGACAGCTTTTGAGTATTCAAAGATGTGGTATCCACTTCCGTACTCAAAGTATCCATGATCACGGGGTTCTGCGACCAGCATTTCTGCAGATTAACGATCTCGGGCCTTTTTAGCCAGTCAAAGCCACTCAGACTCATCTCTATACGTGTATTGTTTTGTGAGACGGCCTGAACTTGAATAACAGCTCCAAAGAAGTCTGCCAGCTTGAATGCCCGGCGTAGGGTCGCTGCTGAAGGTCTAATCATCCAGACCTCGAGGAAGCCCATGAAGAAATCCGGACGATGTTCCATTTGACGTTTGCATCTCGCAATGCACTCTCGCACTTGAACTGCGCGGAAAAAGTCTCGACGCTGACCGTCAGGTAGAATACACGCATTCTGAATCATGAAACCATCGATGAGCGCGAAAGAGATTGAATCGACGATGTCCAGGTCCGGATCACCTTTCAGAATCACCGAGACGTGCAGGTCTTTCAAAGCGATCAACAGCGTATTAATTTTTCCAGCCGAGTCATCGCGGCTGTAAGATAAAACGACTCCTTGTAGCCCCTGTCTAAGTCGAAGGCTATTGATTGATGCAGCCCTGCTTTCGAGAGACTTATCGGAAAGCCCGGGTGTAGACATCAACGCACCATAGAAGATGGTCGGACCTTGCGTTCCTGACTGCAACTCAGCTGAAGGTCTGGGAGGGTGCATGGAGTCCTGAGCTGTAGTGGGCGCCGTACTACCAAGAGAGTATTGCCTCGAGCATCGCGATGATAGTGCACCTTCATCGGTGCCATTGGCGGACTGTGCACTCGGCTCTTCATGGCTGTGTACCAAACCAATGGATTCTGGCGTTTGCCGCTCTGATGTTGTGTCAAATTTCCTCTCGCCAGTCAAGCCAATAACGTGTAGATCGAAGCTGGATCGGAATTTGTGAACTGGTATCTCATACTCGGACACGCAGAACGTCTTAACTAGGGATAATTTGGGCAAAGAGAAGACCGCGCCAGGCATAGCTTTCTCAGAGACGACTGGCCTGTCTTTCTGTGTATTTGGCGATGGACCCTTGGGCCGTGTCCACGCTCTCGGGAGCTGAATCAACCTCTTGATGCTAGGTGTTAAAGAGCTCTCTTTTAGACGATGCTTCTTTCGAAAACATATTATGATGAAGCTTGAGAGCCCAAAGACGAGGAAGGCACCCCCAAGTGAAATGACAAGGATTTGATACCAGTGCAGCGTGAGCTGCGAGCCTTTGAGGGTCGCATTCCAGTTGATCAGGAATCTCGTGCTGTTGTCGACACTGGTATCTGACCCAGTCAAAGAGGGCTGGAAGAAGGATGCCATGACTGTACAGTATCCAGGCACTCGCAACTTATGGATTGAGTGCGCGTCGACACGCCTTCGCAAGAACGACTGAGCATTGCGTGCCAATGCTCTTGAGATGGAAAGAAGATTCGAGTGATTCGAGTGACGTCCGTGAACGTGCCATCAACCACAAAACGTACAGCCGAGCTTCATGGCATATGCCTCTTCAAGAGCAGCATCGGCGAAGTATAGCTATTTTAAAGTTAGACCGCACCTACCTTGATCTTGTTTCTGAACCTTCAGCGAACACAAGATCTTGACCTGTTCCCACCTCTCTGAAAATCTACTGGGTTGCTTGCATAGGCGGTCCGCGATGTGAGTCGAAAGCTGAGGCCTTATGTTGCGCAAATTGAACTCAAGCAAACGGAGAATCTTTAGCACGTAATCTGCCGCTGCATGGCTAACATCAAGGACCCGAATGGCCTGCTTCGAGACGTCTCACCATCATACGATATTGATGATGTCGGCTTTCTAGCGATGCGACGTAACAGAAGGTTGTTCGAGAGTTGAAGTCGAAAGTTGCAAAGCGGTGTTGCTGATGCGGCTCACTCCACTTTCCTCATTGGGACGACGTGTCTGTCTGCCCTCGCAGCTTCCCCATCCATATTTTCAGACCCATTCCAATCACGCTCTTAGATTCACCAAATCTTTTTTGACAGACGAGCCAAGTCTCCATACATGTGGACCCGGTCTGAGGTCAATTACGAATTGATTATCCATGGTCAATATGCTCCGATCCTTGGACTGTTTGTGGGCCCGCTAGACAAGAGGACGCTTGCTTAGACGTTCATCACTAGAGATGCTTCAGCGCTGGCTTTGTACAGCCTGCTCGCGAGCGTTTGCTTGACTTTTGAGCTCCATCACAACTTTGCCTGACTGGTCTCGAAGTCTAATACAGCTCTATCAAACCGCAGCAGTCGCGAGATCGCAGATCTGACGACTGGAAGATGGAGTCCATGATGCAACAGAGGGACATAGCTTCTTTGCCGGAGCTATGGAGAATGTATCTTGAACCTGACATGTTGCAAAACTCGATGAGGTGGCTGGACTCTTAAATCATCCTTACACCAGCCAGGAGGGAGCAACAATATCCCTGTGCCAGTCGAAGACTGATCCGATATCTGTGGCCACGCACAACTGCACAAGGAATATTTCAACAATGTCATCTACCAACCGTCCAGTCGACGATTCGCTTCAGAAGAAGGCGGAACGCTTTCGCGCAGAGATCAAGTCATTCCCAGTATGTCTTGTCACGGGAGGAGCAGGCTACATTGGTTCGCACACAGTCCTTGAGCTGCTCAATGCAGGTGTTGCTGTCGTTGTGATCGACAATCTTTGCAACAGTCATATGGAGTCTCTCTGTCGTGTACACTACATTGCTCGAACCGAGTCTCAGCGTCTTCAACAATCGGAAGCTGTGCCTCCAATCTTCTTGCATCAAGCCGACATTCGAAGCACACGAGCCATGAACCAAGTCTTCGAATTCTGGCAGTCCGAGAAGATCAACACTGAGGGGATCGTCTTCCCTGTGAGCATTGGCGATGTCTCTGCGAATAAAGCCTATCCCATGTTCGAATATGTTCTCAATCCGGCGAAGAGAGTTCAGCAGAGTCAACAAACCAAAGATTCGTCCACTTGGGGCAAGATCACAGCAGTCATTCACTTTGCCGCTCTCAAAGCTGTCGGAGAATCCATTACGAAGCCCATAGAGTACTACGAGAACAATGTCGCCGCACTCGTAATCTTGCTCAAGGCCATGAAAGCTCATGCTGTCAACGTGCTCATCTTCTCTTCCAGCGCCGTCGTTTATGGTGTTGGTCATGAAGCTGGTATCACAGAGGAAACTGTTCAGGTTGCCGGCAAGGGCACTGGAGGTGGCCTTCTCACCAATCCTTACGGACGATCCAAGTGGATGTCAGAGGAGATCATCAACGACTGCTGCGTTGCAGACCCCAACTTCCATGCCATCTCACTACGCTATTTCAATCCCACGGGTTCTCATCCTAGCGGACTGATCGGCGAAGATCCCAAGGGTACACCAAACAACATTGTTCCCGTAATTCTCCAGGCATATCAACGTCGTCGTAGTCGCGTTCATGTGTTTGGATCTAACTACGACACTTCTGACGGCACGGGAGTGCGCGACTACATCCATGTCAGCGACCTTGCCATGGGTCATCTAGCAGCGCTACGTAAAGCCACAAAACAGCCTGACCCAGTGCCTGAGGGCGAAGAACCCTACAGCCAAGATGCAATCATCAATTACAATGTCTACAATCTAGGCACCGGTCGAGGATACTCTGTGCTCGAGATTATCAAGGCTTTCAGCAATGCAGCTGGCACATCCATCCCCTTCACCGTTGGTGAGGCGCGCGCAGGGGATCTGGGTACAGTGACGGCATCACCAGAGAAGGCAGCCTCTGATCTGGACTGGCGCGCTGAATTTGATCTGCAAGACATGTGCCGCGACGTCTTCAACTGGGCAGCCGCCAACCCCACTGGTTACGAAACTTTGCGCCGCTTGTCAACCATGTCGGGCATGAGCGGCTCAGAAATGCGTCGCCAGTCGGTAGCTACTGGACTTTTCGAACGCGAAGAAGACTTTGACAGCTTCATCGTGACTAGTCTGAATTCGATCGATCGAACCAGTCCTACGGTGGACACCAGCGGTCGCCGCAGGTCATCGCATAGTATCAACTTTACCGGCATGCTCAAGAAAGTGTGCTCCACTAATCCTGAGGATGAGGAAAGTCAGTTTGGCGGCAACTACGCTTTGTCAAGTGGTCATGGCCCAGGGCATGGTGCAGCTCCAAGGTTCACAATGGCTTGGGGCGAAACACACAAGACCGAGACGATTGTCGAGGGCGATGAAGAGGAAGAAGATCTTGATCTTGGACCAATGTATAGTCCGTCAACAAGCAAGACGCTGCCAGTGAGATCGAAATAGATCTTGTTGACTTTTGAAGACAAGATATGTGTATATAGACTATTACACTGAAACATTTGTCTTTTTCCTTGCTCAGCAACACTTGTTTGATCTAGATTCAATTGCTCATGGCTTTGTTTGCATCATGATGTGACAAGGTAGGTACCTATCCATCTGCGTTCCGCGTACAAGATAGAATCGACGTGCGGAGGAGGCGGCCATGCGAGTATGAGAGCACGACTTCGATCCTACTCCAGAAATGACTTTGATTTCTGAACACAAAGCATCCTTCGAATCTGGCAAAACCATGGTAGAGCATCACAGCATTCACTTGTCGCAAACATGGATGTCAGTGGGGCAACCCTGCCCGAACTAAAGCCCTTTACCCTTCCTTTCCACCGTCAACAACAAAATACCTCCCCACCTTCTTCTTCGCAGCAGCCGTGACATCCCAAGTCCTTGCACTCTCTCCCTCTTCCGCCTCTTCTTGCCTCCTCCTAATCCTCTTATAGTACTTTCCCTTGACATCCTCATTCTTGAACGCCTCTTCCAACTCTTCCAAGCCTATCTCTTGCTCCTTCCTCCCTGCACTAGTCTCGTCTCGAAGACTTTGTAACGGAGTAATATTTGTAGCATCGACTTTGCGGATCTCGGCGACAAAGTGCAGGTGGGAGTGTAATGAGGAAAGCATTTTTTGTTCTTCGGAAGAGTCTTTTGGAGGTGGGAGGGCGGAGAGGCGGAGGAGGTGGTGTAGTTGAGCAGAGGTGATTGTCGGTGTTTGCGAAGTAGAAGAGGAGGAAGGGAGTAAAGTGTCTAGTGACCAGGTTGGTGCTGCGAGTAGAGCTTCGACGTCGAGTTTTGAGCGTGTGGGTCTTGTGGTGTGGAAGTTTGCGCGGTGGACCAGGTGGCGTGGTAGAGTTGTCCGTAATGATAGAGGCGGCATTTTGCTTGGTGTATATCGTCTGGTTCTTTGGAGTGCAAGGTGTATAGAGATGAAAGTGGATGGTAAATAATTGGGAGAGTCGGCCAATCACAGCGGGGCAGGGTCCGGATACGTCAGCGCCGACTCGGTGCTTGTTGCTGCTCAAGCACCCCCCAGATACCACAAAGACAACATTTCTCTTCGAGCTTATACATCTCACATATTCGCAAAACCATGGCTTCCTCACTCGCAGCCGAGCAGGATCTGCTCAACAAGGTATGTTTATTCCTATTGAGAGCTGATCTCATGCATACTCTTCATCTTCGAACCCCTTGAATTGACACGACACCCCAAAACAGGCAATCAAGCAAGAAAAGAGCGCCTCAGGCGGCTTCTCCTTCTTTGGCGGCAAACAAGAGAAATACGAAAAAGCCGTCGAAATGTACCGCACAGCCGCAAACGCCTACCGCGTAAAACTCACCTCCATCGACGACCCCGAAACCATTTCGCTTGCAGTATCCCAAGGCGGTTCTGCACTCGAGTCTGCCGCCAGGATCTGTACTGAGAATCTGGAAGAGCCCCTTGATGCTGTTAATATCTACAACGAGGCGTTTAAGCTGTATCACGAGGTGCAGCCAGAGAAGGCGGCAGTCATGTTGGAGCAAGCTATTCAGAAGCAAAAGCAGTTGGGAAGATGGAGACCGGCGGCTACGAATACTGAGAGTTTGGCTACGCATTACCAGCAAGTGTTGGGCAACAACGCAAAGGCTATTGAGGCATACAAGGATACCCTCAAGTGCTACAAGCAAGATCCCGCTCCTGCTCTTGAGAACAAGATTACTCTGGCCCTGTCGGACTTGCAAGCTTTGGAGGGCGACTACAGAAGTGCTATCGAAGGCTACGAGACAGCAGCCGACAAGGCTCAGAACAACAACCTTCTTGCCTGGAACATCAAGAACTACCTCTTCCAAGCTGGTATCTGTCACTTGGCCACCGGTGTATGTTGAGATACTCCTTGCTCTCGAGCATACATGAACTAATCTTTTCGCGCTACAGGACATGGTAGCCACATCGCGTGCCTTCGACGAATGGCGCTCCAAGTACGCTCAGTTCACCTCAGCCCGCGAATTCCAACTCCTTAACGACCTGAAGGAAGCCGTGGAAGGTGGAGACCAGGACCAATTTGCAGACCGCCTGTACCAGTTCGACCAAATGCAAAAGTTGAACAAGTGGCAGACTACAGTGCTGCTGAGGATCAAGGAGAAGATTGAGAGCCAGGATGAGGACTTCTCTTAGACCATTGAGGAGAGAATGAAAGATGGAAGGAATGAAAGACAAATACAGGAATGGGAGGCGTAGGTTTTACTCTGGCGTTTATACCTTTTGATATCCTTCATAGTTTCTCTATTCATGGTCACGGTGACCATCATGGTCTCGACATCCACCTTGCAGCACATCGAAAATGTGGCTTCTTGTTGCTTGTAATATGTTTTGGTATCACTTAATTTGTCTTGCCATTCTCTCTTGGACTTTCCTCGCCTCCTTGACTGGCTCCAAATATACCAAGACCCCACCAAGCCTTCTTTGGCGCTACTTCTGTCTTTGCTGTCTGTTGTGCATGTTGTATCGTTGACTTGGCTTCGTCTTTTGCGTCTTGAAGGTGTTGCTTCACTTCTGCTCCAATGGACTTGTTATTGTTTATGTCTGGAGTCTCGTGGTCGGCCTTTGTTGGTGGACTATGAACAATTAGGAAGAAATTGAGGTTATCTGATCGGGAAAATATTACATGGCGCCACCGTGTTGTTGCTGGAATTGTTGTACGTTCTTTCCTTCTCTTTCTGCTGCTTGCTTCTGCAGCTCTGGTTGGAATGCTGCGACTGCTGTGATGGGCGTTAGCAAGGCATATCAAAGAGGCCTTGAGAGAAGACGTACCAGTAGCAATACCGCAGACGGTGGCTAGTGCGGGTGCAACCAATCTATTCATTGTTTCTGATTTCCTGTATAACACAAACCACTCGGGTTTCGATGATGAGCTCTCGAACTTCTGTATTCAAGTCTTGGCACTGGTGACGTCGGGATCTGAACGGTCGCGTGCCGAGGCGCGTCTCGTTCGCCATCTCGAAATTGGCAAACGCGTCCAGGTCGCGTCTCCAATGCAGAATCATTGATATCTTTTGATAATGGTAAAAAAGACATGAAGGCGAGGTCAAATGAGCGAATGGAGAGATCGAGGCTATGTCCCGGACTCGGATGAGGACGACATTTCTCTGGTCGACGACAAGGATGCCAACACAATTATAACACCAGCCTCGCCGAGCACAACAACTATACACAATCAGCGATGTGCTTCTGTCGAGCTGGTTGACGATCAGGAGAACGAGAATGCGAAGAGTGTGTCGAAAACCCAGGAATCCATTACGAATGCAACGACTGCCGAACCTGTTCAGGCTTCAGAGGAAGAAATTGCCCGGGACACCACATTCGACCTGCCGCAAGATGACTTCGATGCACGACATGCTTCTCAGCAGCCTTTGGCCGGGCAACCAATAGTCTTGATCACCCAATCCAGAAGGGCAGACTCACCGCCAGAGAACAACAACAATGTCAGGACGTATAGCCGCAAATCCAGACCTGGAGCTTTGAAGAGGATCAAGAGAGTCAACACCAAAGATCGTGTACAAGAAGATGTGCAGGAAGATGACGGATTCATGGATATCGAGGAGTTGGTCACGGATCAGGTTGGACCAGGACAGGCTCCATCTTCTTCAGCTCCTCTGGTCGCTCCTTCCCAGTCCGAGCGACGCTTGTCTGTCTCGAGTTCTGACTTGTCAGACGTCGATATGCAGCTCATATCCTCTCCACAACCATTCTTTCCCTTACCCGCAAGTACGGCACGAACGAATGATTCGATCCCGAGACTTCCTAGCCAGCCTGAGGCAGGCGCCCTTGAAAGTGCCATCACTTCTCTATCTGATGAACATCTCGCCGCCCTTACCGCTCAACAACCACGACGCAACCTTCGTGCACGGAAGGCCATTCAACTACATCCCTACCTTCTCGAAGTCGAGCAGTACCGTCGTGCCCTCAAAGCTCGTGGCCTAAGACCCATCCAAGTTGCTACGAATAGTCAGCGTCCAAGAAATCAGGATGATTCCCAGGATGACGAGTTTCGTCAGGGAGAGAGTCAGCCACGACGACCCCAGCACGAGCACACCCAGGAATCAACTCCTCCAGACTCTTCTGCCTCGTCTGTCCACAATCAGCCGCCACGTCTTGACTTGTCCAACCTCATCGCTGGAGACGACGAAGACGAATTTCCCGACATCGATGCTGCTCTCCGTCGTCATGTCATCGGTGGTACCCAAATTCATTACAAGCGCCGCAAGACTCTCGAGACTCCTGACACAAACCAGAATGGACGCATGCTACCTTCGTCAAGAGCTAGAGGAAAACTAAAGTCCTTGAGTCTTAATCGCGTCCTTTCAACTACAAGCGGAACTTCCAACCAGGATTTACTACCACCATCACCCCCAAGGACATCGAGTCCAGCAAATGCGGAGCCTACACATGTCGCTCCCCCTCGCTTCAGGCTTCCACATGGTGTTAATCCTACAGCCGTTCCTACACCACTTCCTTCTTCGCCTGAGCCGCCGGCCTCCACATCAGTCAGACGCCCTCGTCAGGTAGTTATATCGTCCGACGAAGAAGCTGTCAGTCATCAAGGTTCTGGTGCAGAGTCCAGCTCCTCATCCGAATCGGATCAGGTAGACAGACAGTTGTTGCGTTACTCGCGGAAGATTAGGGGTGTGCTGCCTGCCTCGTACCTTAAACTCGACAGACAGATTAGACAACGATCGCCATCGGTTGTCCCTTCTGAAGCTCAGAATGCAACACCGAGACCAACAGCTCCTGTCAGAGGCGTTGCTCAACGGAAGGTGACAAGCGCCTCTGCCACAACAGCTCGCCAGAACAGCTATGTGATATTTTCTGACAACTCCGAGTCAGATAGCTCGGTTCCAGAACTGCCAGCTTCTCGACTGCTCCAGACTAGACTGCCATCACCGATTACTGGACGCCCTTCAGGTCGGCCTTTTGAGCCATTGGAAGTCGACGAGCATGACGAGATTGATGATATGCTTCCGACGAGCGGAAGAGCTCGCTTCAGAGAGCCCGGTGGCAAGAAGAAACAATCTAAGCTTCCAAGCACGTTCACACGTACGAAGTCTTCTTTAAATCAGGCTCAATCAGGTCAGAAGCGAAAAGCTCCGGCTCATTCAAGAGCACAGAAGTCAACCTCGCGTCATGAGCCAGGCCCGAGCATCAAAAGAAAGTCAGCTGCAAAGAAGCCAAAGCCAGTCAAACTGAGTATCCTGGATGCTACCACCTCTAATGATCCAAAATCACCACGAGCAGTATCTAGACCTCAATTCGTGCGTCTCGCTGCTCGTCAAGCCCGGAATCGGCCTGATCATGGCCGGCACAGCCCATCCAACAAGGACATCCGTCTGGCTACGAGGGAAGATACCCAAGATGCCCTCGAACCGTTACTGTCCTGGCGAGCAGGCAATTTGAATCGCAGTTGGGTTCCTCCACCTCAAGATTCGCGTTCCAATGCTAGTGCTCATAACGTCGAGGACTCAACATTGACTGAAGTGCCAAATGATCAAGAAATCTCAGTGACAACAGGTGGTTCACAACACCGCAGGCCTGGTCAACCGCGACCGCTCATGGTCACGAAGTCGAGACAGTCTCGACAACTCCAAGAGAAAGGCAATCCTGCGCGAAAGCGTACGGCTCAAAATTTGCTGCGAGCAAATCAGCGGAAGCTGCTCGAACGTGATCACCGCATGCGTCCTGCGCAGCTAGAGAGCGTAGCCCAGAGCACAAACCTTGACCTTGATCCGCTTACCTTCGCTGCACCTCCATCCCGCTTGATGGAGATATTCGCTCGAGACAAATGGGATCAGCCAGCTTCTAAGTTCAGGCTTGAGCGCTTCCTCAAGGACAAGGGCGACTTGCCGGAAGCTTCTGTTCCAGAAGACCCAGATACGAACATGACAGGCACTGATAATGTCGTCTCACACTCACGAATCCGCAAAAGACTAGCTCGACGAATTGATGTCGAAACAACTAGATTTCGTCAGCCGAACGAGCCTCTACCAGCTGATGTTCCCTCTGGTCCGACTCAAGAGCTAGAGAACACAATCTTGGATAATTCTCCTGAGAAGGCAATTCTACAGGGCCTGGGTCCTTTTGGTACTTGTTACCCTACGGACTTCGATGTCAGACCGCTCGAGGTTGGCACCTATTTCGCTACTAGCACATTCGTGGGCAGTGGAGACTTCAACGATTGTTTGACGTTACGCAAGCGCGACCTTGATGTCCCCGCTGGTCGAATCACTGTAGAAGTAGCCGGTCGCTCTTTGCATTGGAGTGCCTGGAATGAAGACGTCTCTGCCGGTCTTGATCTCATACTGTCAGCTTGCACAGAAGATCTACACAGTCTCGGCGGATATGAGAGCACGGAGATGCGACGAACTGCCATGGAAGATACCACTGCGCGCTTCAACTATTTTTTGAGATCTATTGTGAGGTATCTCTCAGGCTGTCTTCACTTCCTGGATTCCATCGATCGATCCTCTAGCTTGAGCCGCCTTTCCCGCTTTGTCGATGAGTTTGTAGACATGGTCGAAATGGAAACCATCGTTCTGAAATCCCGCCCGGATATACAGACTCACGTTGACAGACTCATGGTGGATTCACTGTCATACCTGCTCTGCTTAACTGTACAATCAGTACGCATATCGCAACATCCTGCTGCTGATTTCAGGTTGCAGGCTGTTCTCATGGAAAAGTCTGTTCGCTTGAGCACAAAGATCATCGCCGCAGCGCTGCCGCCGAGACTCACTCCTGTCCGCGAGTTTTTAGAGACAAATCGTGAGCACGCTCGACGCGAATCTGGAATCCAGGCACATGATATTGCTATCACGAGCATTGTCGTTGTCAACCATGCACTTACAACTGTCAACGCACCCACCAAGCTTTCCGACATCATCAGCACACATTTAGGTCGTTCAATTACAAAGGCGCACAACATCCACTCCCTTGATCAGATATGGTACGATGCCTTTTGTCTTCAACCTCTTCTGGAGATCGATGCGAAAGGCATTTTCCGACCAAGAAGCAGGTTTTCATCAGCCAATGATAACTGGAACTTGGTAAAAATGCTCTTGCAGCGCACCTTTGAATTGTATCCGGCAACCAGCAAAGCGCGCAGTCCAACGCTCAACGAGTATGTACGGGCATGTCTGACCAGGGTATATCATCTGATCACGCGCTGGAGTTGGCGCAGGTGTGAGACTGCACTGAGTACGATATACGACTTCTTTGCTGGCAACAACCTTTCGCAACTCCATAAGGAAGAAGGTAAAGGTTCACCACGCTTTCTCGAAGACCTTGACACAGACCCGACGATCGAGCTCGAAGCATCCGATTGTGCATTCCACATTTTCCTCAAGTTGCTTGTAGTTGGCTTGCGGGGTTTACAAGGTCTCTTGCCTAAGAACAAAGTCCGAGGTTTCGCATGGAGATTTATTCCCAACCATGGCCGTACGTACCGGAAAGAGCAGGAGGTCACTCACATCGCACTCAATGCCTTACGCAATCATCATGACTTGCTTTGTACACTGTATTGGGTTATGCCAAATGGCTGTGGACCTCGATTGCAGATGATCAAAGACTTGGTCGACCATGATAACTCGCATCGAGAAGCTTGTCGGCTTAGCGTCCATGCCTGGGGCATGCTTGCTCGTTACCAGCTTTCGCAAAGTGGAAAATTCAATGATCAGGATGTCTTGGCTTCATGGTACAGAGACATGGTTTCAACCACGATATCTCAATATCGACTTGCCAGGTCTGAAGCAGAAGCACAGTATACCGCGGCGAGATCCAGAGGGTCGTCTGAGATAACGCCTGAGATGCTCGAGATGACTGTCACAGCCAATCAACGAAGCATTTTTGCCATTCTGCAAGATCTGCTATTGGCAATGCGCAATGCTCTCAAGATCTCAAAGTCATGGTCTGCTGTTCGCAATGTCACCGAGCAATCTAATGTGATCGAGGTGCTGAAATTGTTCGACATGGATCAGCCCAGACTTTCCGTTGCTATTGTTCAGGCACTGGATATTGTTGATGAACTGCTTGTCGCCAAAACCAGGTTATGCAGACCAATACAGCAAGAAAGTCAGCCAGGCAGTGATGACAGCCAGGACTATGGTGACTGGTCCTTCATGGATCAGGTCATGGAAGAGCCAGGGAACTCAGAGCCGAAGACATCAGAAGTGGCGTTCCTGCAAGAACCTCTCGCCTCACTTCTCTCAACATGCTTTGGCTCGGAGAAGAGTCCTGATGATGCGCTTCTCAAGAGGATTGTTGATGTCTGGATCGCCACTGCGCAGCAGTTGATCAATGAGAATGTTCTTGACTGGTCAAGCTTCCTAGATGTCTACAGCACATCTTCATGGTTCCAGCTCCGAGAGACCGAACAGAGGCACAAATACACTTGCTATTTCCTTGCGTCTGTCATCAAGAGCGACAGGTCAAGCCTCTACAACCATCGAACTCTTTTCATGAAAGCTTGGTTCGTCGCGTTGTTCGAGCGCGAATCGAAGCTCAAGTTCCAACACCGCCTTACGGCAAGTCTGCTAGAGAAAGCCACCTCGGAGCCATTACTGCACAATCTGCCATTTGCTGCCAACTATGAGACTGGCGAGTATCGCATCACCTCAGCTGAGTTCCGTGAGCGGCGAATCAGTCTCATCAGTAGTGTGCTGTCAAATATGCATACCTCACTCAATCCCTCTCATTCATCGACGATGTCAGACAGCAAAAGAGAGTATGTTGATATGCTTAAGGCTGCTATGCAACACATGCGCAGTACATACGAACAACTTCAAAACATGTCTGGTCGACTTGGCGGTTCATCTTACGACACTGTCAAAGGAGCTTACGTCGAATTCGTCCAGTCAATCATATCGCTGATGCAGCAATACACATCGGACATCTGTCCTATCGATCCTTTCTTTGTGGACTCTGCCGCTTTCCCTCTTCCCCTCGATGACCCGACATATGTCAAGGCAAAGCTCAAAAGCTATGATTCCAAACTGGAAGACAATCGCGCCCGCAAACAACTTGCTGTCTTTGTTCAAACAGTCAGTGAGCGCGCAGCTTCTGAGAACCAGCAACCATATCTCACCAAGCAGATGCATGATGCTCTGATCGGAGACGCATCAAGAGGACTCAGGAGTGTGGTACTAACGGCTCTGCTACCGCCGTACATTCACTGTTCACACAGTTCCACTCCAGGCAGTGTCTTAGCTCTGCCCCTCATTGAAGCTAGTGCTGCGGTCATCTATGACATAATCTATGATCTAGACCTTGCTGACGAAAAAGCCGTGGATTTAGACGTCGACGCCATCAGCTCTGTTCTCACGACAGCATATCACTTTGCCATGTCAATCCCGTCTCAGCCAACATTGCAAGACGTCGGCCCTTTACGTCTCCTCGCAGCGATCTTCCATCTTGCGGAACAAAGTCTCACGTTTGTCGAGTATGTGCACCGCGCTACTGGTAAGGCAAGTGGCGCCATGGAATTGCTCCGCCGTCTCATGGCATTTGGCGAAGAGTTTAGCACCCGCGTCATGGATTCCTTTGCGGACGTGCAAATTTCGCCTGATGCGCCAATGCTCGAGGGTATCTACTGTCCTTGGCAAGATACGCTTGACTTTGCTTCACGCAATCTTGCCGAAACACTCGCAAGAGTACCATCACGAAACTGGGAGACAGATTTTGGAAGCGTTGAAGAGGAAAGTCTGAGAGTCGTAGCTTCTTTTGAGTTATTCAGACGCAGCTACAACGTTGTTGTGTGTCGTGGCAAAAATATCGTGCAAAGTGCTGTCGATGGAGTTGAGATTGAGGAAGGTGAGGACGAGGAGCTTGAGGAACAAGATATACAGAGACAAGGACTCGATGAAGTGATGACTGGTATGCAGGGTCTGGGATGGGAAGGCTTGGTGTAGTGTATAGATTAAGCTATTGCTATTATGATGTTATGGATCTTGCTTAAAGCCTGTCTTCTCGAAAAATGTATTATACAGCAATTATTGCACTTTCCATTATTGAAATTGTGAATAATGAATTCAGGAAGGATCCCAGCTTCGAAGGGCTGTTTCTTGAGTGGTTATAAAAATGCAGGAACGACTGTTACGTACAGAGTCTCTACATTGAGAGCGCTCTTTTCCTGTAATCTCAGCGGGTCTGTGCTGGAAAGGAGAATACATGCTGCATTGTGATGGTTATACTTCAGATGCTCCTCGTGATTGGAGATATCCAACGTGTCAGCAGCGACCAGTGCAGGCTCGGAACTTTTGTTTACTGCTTTACACTCCTGCGAGTCTCTCTGTCTCTTGTGTCCATTACTGCAATACGACAGCCTAGTTTACGACGCCGTACGTTCTTAAGAGATGACATGTCTTTACGATGCGGACATGGACGTGAGTTGCTCGTTTGGGTCGGTAAGGTCGAGGTCTTAGGAGCATGCCAGTTCTGTCATGATTCAACTTCCATTGCCATCTCCCTGGACGGGAGTGGGTGCGTGTTTGCAATGAGATCTGGCTTTCTCTGAAAGGGCTTTTGTAGGATCGGGAAACAAGGTATCTTCAGATGTCCTTGTTCGAGATGGTATGAACCATAAGAGCGGTTTTTAGATAAGAACGAGAACTGGAAGAAACGTGGTCATTGTGAAAGAATCCAAGTGTTGGTGGCTGGATCCTAGTAGAAAGTGTTGGTCTTTGAGATGTGTCAATGCAATGTTTCTTTGGGGCGAGACAACACTCTCGTGTAACTATACTCGCTGTCACAGATACGCAAGCATCGGCTTTGAGGAGGAGTTGGTAGATCGTGTTCTTTCAATGTCACAGCTTGCCCGTCCAAGACTATCCACGATACCGTCCCTTTGCGGTTTAGTCCTCGAGATCAGAAGGCACAATCAATTTTGATGCTCGGCATGGGGTTCTTTCGGGTGTGAACTATCAAAAATCTGCACCGACAATCGCCTCTCTAAGCTTTTTAGTCAGCGCAACGCGGAAAAGTCAACAAGATGTCTGGAAACTGGAGTTGGGAAACCGGCGACATACTTGAGATCAGTATGTCTGTTAGCAGAGCGATACAGTGACTAGCACTAACATGTTAGCAGATGAGGATGCAGTCTTACTGAATAACACACACATGCCCTGGGGCGATGCGAACATGTGCTTATGGATCATGAAGCAGCTCGCTCAAGAGGGGCGTTGGCATATGGTTGAGCCTTTCTTTAACCTCCCCAGTCGACCACTCGACATCAGAACTGTCAACCAGAGGCTAGAAAGCGGCAACTATGCCAACGCCGCAAACTTCCAGTCGGATCTGCAGGGCATTCCAACAAGCTTTCTTACAGAAACTTTGAGCCGTGCACGCGAGAAAGCTAGCGATCTCTTGCAAGAACTGCCCACACTGTTCAAGAGGAGACAGATGCAGGATACCCGATTGAGAAAGAGATCTCAGCAGCAGCAGCAAGCACCACCACAACAACCACAGCAGCAACAACAACCGCAGCAGCAGCAGCAGCAGCAGCAGCAGCAGCAGCAACAACAACAACAAGGACAAGAACCTACCAATTCCGACGCAGCTCCTGCTGCGAATCAAGGTGAAGCTGTCTCTGTTGTGGATGACAACCAAGCTGCTTCTTCTGAGACTGCCATCAACCTTCAATCTCTCGCCGCCGCTGCTGTTGCTGCTGCCGAGTCATCTTCGTTGCCTTCTCCGAACCAACGTCGTTCTCTCAGCATTCGTCCCGCCGATCCGTCTGCCCCTTCACAGATTCAACCCCAAGCTGGAGAAGCTCAAGCTAGTGGCACAGGCACTGCCGAACCGGAAACAGAGGGTAGCGAAAGTGTCCCTGATCAGAACGTCGTTGAGCAACCAACCAAGCAATCGGTCAAGAGAACTGCCAGTCCTCAAGAGCCTCCCGCTGCAAAGAGACCTCGTCAAGATGACTCCAGCACCAAGAGTGTGGTTGCTCAGCCTAGCGCGCAGAACCTTGCCTACACCCCTGCCCTCCACAATGCTATCGAAGCAGCAATGGTCAGAGAGGCTCGTATCATTGCAGAGATGCAGAAATCCGCCAATCTGGAGGGTGACAGAAGGAAATACCTGCAACGCGCATCACTCACCAAGAAGCAGAGGGTCAGAGAGACCATCGAAGGAGAGCTCAAGAGGGACCATGTCAGGGCCATTGCAGCATCCATGCATGAGGAGATCCACAAGGCATCCATGGGTATACTGGACCGTCTTATCGCAGAGGAAGTCGAGTACAAGCAACAGGAGAAGTTTGACCAGCAGCAGAAAGAGATTGACGAGCTCAAGTGGACAGTTGGTCAGCAGCAGCATACCATCGATGAGCAGCAGAAGCTCATTGCTAGCCTGCAACAGACTGGGCCAGCAAATGACGAGGAGATGGGGGAGGAGACCATAGAAGAGGCCAGAGCCGGCAAGAAGAGACAGCATTGAACAGTCTGTTACTTGCGGTCATATTTCTTGAATCGTGGCGAGCAGAAGAGCTGACTTGATAGATAGCACGACTCCGAACCATCAGATGCGCTAGGGTGTTGAGCGTCGCCGAGAAACCATACGGAGGCGGGCTCTACCAAACACAACAAAGAGGCGGCATAGCAATTGCTACAGAGCTGTCATCGCAGATGGCATGCAAGCACGGAAAATCATACAATGAAATGCACGAAGAAGAATACTGAGAAGGCAGTGGTGGGAAGGATGAGCAAATAAGCAGATGGGAGGTTTGGACGAAGACAGCAAGATGGCGACCTGCAACTGCCATCACATGCTTGTCTCTAATGAGCTCTTTAGCAATTTCTGTTGCCCATGAAAATGCACGAAAGAAAGTCGGAAGGTGGTATGAAGGAACGAGAGAGCAAGCGCGATCGTCAGGAGATGTCATCCATCTTTTTCTGGGGAAGCCGTGACACAACGATCGTCATAGCAAACGAGCAACCCTTCAATTCTACTTCTTTTCTCTCACTTCCATTTCAACCTCTCAAACACTTCAATAAGCATAGAGAAAATACATGCGGCGTTACTGTAACCTCCTCACAACCTCAGTTCGCCGCTCTGCCCTCAGAACCTCACCACGCATGGCTCTCTACAACAGCCCAAACACCACCACCGCCGCAATGTCCTCCACCACACCCAACAAACGCATCTTCGCCCCCGGCGGCACAAACGACTCCCAACAAGCCCAACAATACACAAAAGGCAGTCTAGACGCCTCCCAACTCGACGCCAACCCTTTGACTCAATTCGACATCTGGTTCCAACACGCCAACGCCGAAAAAGTGCACCAGCCAGAGACCGTAACGCTGAGTACTGCCGAACTGCCTTCAGGAAGGGTTAGTGCGCGAATGGTGTATTTGAAAGAGTTGGATGAGAGGGGGTGGGTGGTGTACAGTAATTGGGGCACGAGTAGGAAGGCAAGTGATGTGAAGAGTAATCCTCAAGCTAGCTTGACGTTCTGGTGGCATGAGTTGGAGAGACAGGTTAGAGTCGAAGGAAAAGTGGAGAGAATGACTAGTGAAGAGAGTCAAGTCTACTACGACACGCGCATTCGAGGCAGCAGGCTGGGTGCTTGGGCCAGTCAGCAGAGCAGTGTCTTGAGCAGTCGCGAAGAGTTGGAGAAGCAAGTCGAAGACGTGGAGAAGCGATTTGATGGTCAAGACAAGATTCCTGTCCCTGACTTCTGGGGTGGTATTAGGATTGTGCCCGAGATGGTCGAGTTCTGGCAGGGCAGACCCAGTCGCTTGCACGACCGCTTCAGATACACGAGGGACGAGAACACTGAGTCTGGTTGGAAGATCGACAGACTGAGTCCTTAGATAACAGGCAATATCATCTGTCTTGTAATAGAAATTAATATATGTGTATGATATGGTTCCTCTATCTGAATTCCATGTATCATGTCCGTCATGGTGCCATTGACGAGAACTAACTCCTCCTGACTCAAATGTTATCCTTCTCTTTCATGGTCTCTACCAAATCAGTCGAGTCCCTGGCCTTACCACGCAATCCAGTCTCCGGATCCGTGATGGAATTGCCACGGCTACCAGCGACATAAGTCGGGTTTCCTGCCTGGAACTCTGCAGAGTGTTTCTCTGCATCCCAAGCAAAAGGCGTCGAAGCCGAGAAAAGAATGTTGACCTCTTCCAGTGTGCGTTGATTGGTCTCTGGGAGGAAGATGTAGACCAAAGGTATCGAGATGACGTTTGACGCAGCAAAAATGTAAAAGGTCTTTTCTCCAATGCTGTCGAACATGACGGGACAGAGAAGAGTGAGCCAGCCATTACCAATGGACCAGCCGACAACTCCCCAAGCATTGCCTTTGGCTCTGACCTCCAGAGGGAAAATCTCGGCGGGGATCAACCAGGGTACTGTCAGCCAGGTTGCACCAAAGACTGCGGTGTAGATGAAGGTGAAACTGGCTGCTGCTGCTCCATATCTTGCAGCCAAAGCAGTGTTTCCACTGTTAGCAGCATTAATACCACCGCGAGACATTCCACCGATCAAGAACATGGAGATGGCTTGGGCCACAGCACCCCAGTACAAAGTCCACCTTCTACCGATTCTGTCAAGCGTGAAGACACAGACTAGGGTAGCGAGCATGTAGGTAGTGTCATTGAGACCAGACAACCAACCACTCTTTTGCGCATCATATCCAGCAATGCCAAAAATGGTAGGAGCATATACAGTGATACCAGCAATACCACACCATTCTTGAAGAATCTGCAGCCAGATGACAATCTGTACTCTGCGACCAGTGTGCAAACTTCCAGAGCTTCCATGGCCAAAGTCGAGTAGCATTCTCCAGTAGGTGTTTTGCTTTGACGTGCTTCTCTCCAGTTGAACAATGTTGATGATGTCTTGAAACTCAGATTCGGCTCTAATCTTGTCCTCACCTTCGTCGCCACGAAGACGTGCGAGAATGTGTCTTGCTTCCTTGTCACGGCCAACCTTGCAAAGCCAACGGGGAGATTCTGGGAAGAACCAGATGATACCGAAAAGTGCGAGCAGAGGGATGATTTGGAACTGTCAAAATTCAGATTAGTACTCCATTACCAAGATAGCACGCCTAAAACTCACAGCAATAGGGAAGCGCCACTGGAACGCTCCGCGACCTCCGTCGATAAAGGACAACCCAAACTCCAACCAATATGCCACAGCAACACCAAAAATGTTGAGCGTGAATTCGATAGCAATGAACATACCACGCGAGGTATGTTCAAAGCACTCTGTACTGTAAACAGGCACAATTGCATTGAGGATGCCAGTACCGATGCCATTTACCGTACGCGCGCAGATCATCCAGACGTGGTTTTGAGCCGAGCATTGCAGAGCGGCTCCCAGGATTGCCCAGATGGCACCGAGTGCGATGGTACGAACACGGCCGACCTTGTCTCCTACCCAGCCACCGAGGAAGGCTCCAAATAGTGTTCCGAGATAGTAGACGGCGACGATACCTCCTTGAAGTAGAGAGTCATCTACAACAACCCTCCCAGTAGCCTCGTCGACGTGCCCAAAACCCATGAGTTGAGCGTAGTCAGCCGAGGTGTTGACACCACCCATCATACCTTGGTCATAACCTGAGTATCACGTCAGTATCAATACCATACGAAACTCGGTCTCAACCACCTACCAAAGAAAAAGATGGACAGCGCAGCAGCAGCGGCGATTGCATTCAGCAGACTCTTCTTGTATAGCACATTGGCTATACGAAATCCTGACAACTGATCCATGATGGCGATAGTAGCGTAAAGACTCTCGTCTCCAGTGTACTAAATCCTTGATATCCAGAGAAGAAGAAAATGACAAAAGGCGTGCTGGTGGTGACTCAAAAGAAACCAACTCTCTATCTGAGCAAGTTTTCCAGCTTTCGACCTCTCCAGTAGTCCAAATATCAGAGAAAGCAAAAGCAGCAACGAACTCTTCCGAAACAAAGAGCGAGAGACATGCCTTCTATATGAATCACCGCAAGGCCTTCATCCGTCGGGCATACTACCTCACCCGGTAGCATCAATAAACAGCAGGGCCACACACATCATCAGCATCCTCCACGACGGCCAAAACCAGTATTCCGAAGCGCAAAGGCAACTGCTCCACAACTCCATCTTTTCTCCAACTGGAGAGACAAGCGGTGCAAGAGTGGATACTCAGGGCGACGATCACCTACCCGGGGCGACAATGCCGAGTCACGTCTTGGCAATGCAAGCAGCAGTTTTCGACCGTCGGCTAGTATGACAACTCCGCCACTACCTCTGATTCTCAGCTTCTCAGCTTTAGAGCTTAGCTACTTTGTAACTTCGTACAATCGCGAGTTTCCTATTTACTAGTAAACCCCATACAAATCAGAAAGCTTGGCATTATTTACCTTTTATTATAATCTATCTAAGGCGTTCCTTCCCTCTTACTATACCACTACCGCTATCGCTACCGTCGCCGCTACCTCGTAGTTGCTAATACCGTCTACTATAATGCCACGTAAAGCACTTAATCTTAAGCTATTAAAGGACCATATTAAGAGGTAGATTAAGGAGGGAATAACAGTTAATAGCGTTATATAGGAGCTAGCACGTTAGGAAGTACCTATAATAAAAAGGACACTAGAGCGGAGGCTTTAGTAATAGGGTATATATACATAAACTCGCATAGATCATACTACTATTAGCGCATGCGTTAAGGAGCTCTTCTAGAACTTCTAGTTTAACGACGGCACTATAGCTGCTATCCTTTAGCTCGATAGTTATAGACTAGTTACTCCTCGTCTTATCCGAACTATACGTATAGAGTAAGGCCTCCCTTAATAGATACGACAATAAGAGTAATAAGTAGAGCTTAAAGGAGCTATTCGAGAAGTTCTTATTAAGGAGTATTATAGAGGCGACATCGATAACCTTAGTAAAGGCATGCTATATGCTTATATGCGCGAAAAGCATTATATTATAGGTAGGTACGTATTTCTCTATTACTTCTCTATTATAGCTACTATAGCAGCGTCTATAGCAAAGATTATAAGCTAATAGTTCTTAGTAATAGAGACCGTCTCTATTGGATTACTTATTCTTTAAACTTTGAAGGGTATAGTTAAGGCCTCTTCCGCCGCTAGAAGAAGATTAGAAACCGCCGTAGTAAGGCTAATTTACTAGGGCTAAACTATATATGGTTAATAGATGTACACTATAAGCTCGAGCGTTAGGGTATTTAAATATATGCTACTATTAACCACTTTTTAAGGTCTATCGTATAGTTCTACGCTAGTATCTCTACTCGCTTAGTAGTATCGGTCCTTAATTAGTACGTTAAAACTGTCGTAGAGCTTAGCTATATACCGCTATTTATTCGCACTAATCATGGCAATAAGACTTTAATGCTAGCTAATACGTACTATAGCCTTCGAGAGCTTAAAGCTAGCTAGGAGTTATTATTTGCTAACTACTTTAAATACGGAACTAGTAAGTAGAACTAGCGTATCGAATCCTAGTAGTTCTAGATAATAACAAGTAGTATTAGCGCATAGACAGCCTTCTTTAATACCCTTCTATATAATAGTCGTTACCTCTTCGATAGGATTGCTTTCCTTACTATCTACATGCTAATTATACGACGAGCTAGCTCTATGTTTGCTGCTATCTAGAACTACTATCTAATCCGATCTTAAAGCGACCGTCCTTATATAATTCCTAGCTCTCTAGAAGCACTATATCGCTAGCTAGAGCTATTTTAAGCTGTCGAATAAGGGCTAGTAATTAATGTTTAAGAGCTTAAGCTATAGAACCGATACCTCAAGGAATTCGACAGTAATAAATACCTACTACCTTATATAGTTAAGTAGTGCCGCATTAAACTAGCTCATTAATTTCCTAGTACCGAGGGCATTATTAAGGCTAACGGAATTAATTAGATTATTATCGTTAACGGAGAACATTGCCGACTATATGAATAAGCATACCTATACCTCCGTTAGGCCATATTTAACTATAAGCATGCCGGTAATATTAATCCGACGCTCTACAAGTCTAGTCGACTACTTAGTGCTACTAATTAGTAACCGTAGCATGTAGGGCTTACTAAAGTGCTCTAAGGCATGCATAATATCCTACCTAAACACATTAACGACGATTCTTATAATCCATTAAATATCCTTTAAAAGATTATCTAATCTATACGTAGTTTACTACACACACTGCTATTATACTACTACTAATAAAGCTACTAAGTTTTTTCCCGATATTTTAATAGAAATTAAGGGCAACATTTGCGTAATTTACGCACTATAGTGCTAGTAGCACTGCTATAGCAAAACACGCTAATACTATAAGTAACAGATATTAGAAAATAACAAATATTGCTTAATATCTGTAAGCTATTTAAGGACTACTCTTACTAGCTAACTCGGTTAACCTCCATTATTTCTCTATTTATCCATCTATTAATATAGTATCCTATTAGAGCCGTTTCTATCCTAAGGATAGTTAACTATACTTAAAGTACCGCGACAAGTAGCACTATCCGGTCTATAACCTTATTAATCTAACGCCTCCTATTAAAGATTATGCCTCTTCTTCATCGTCGTAAGTACTATAAAGTACGTAAGTATTAACTATAGGAACCACGCTAGCATCTACGCTAGTCGCCGTATCGTCTACTACTCGTCGTCCTACTATTATATATGCTAATCGGCATAACGGCTAACGTATCTTTCTAAGAAGACCTCTAATTAGAGGAGAGTAAGCTAGATAGTCGGCTATTAGTGTTACTCGAGCTAATGCTAGTCGTGCTTATGCCGGATTAATACCTAAAGCAATTACTAGTCCCTCTTACCCCTTCTCTCGTAGTACGCCATCTAACGATAGAGCTACTACTCTAAAGCTTAGAGCTATAAAAGAGTAGACACGTATCTCGTTTATAGCATACACCATATTAACTACTCGCGACGAACATAGCTTAAAGCTCTAGGCTCCTCTAGAGCTACCTATTTAATAGGACTAGGCCTATAACGAGGCAGAGATTAATAATAAGATATAGGCTACACTAGTCTACCGTCGCCGAGGCTTCCTTCTTTAATAGGCTCTTAAAGTCTATCCCTATAACCATATTACGCTTAAGGACTACTTCTTAGTTACTAACTTTGCTACTAAAGGGCGTAATAACTAGTCCAGTACTAATTAGCTAATGATGGTTAATCTACAAGCTTCTTAGTGCGAGTCTATTACTATAATGCTATCTCCCTTTCCTAAGAACATTAACAAGCTTGTTGTTATTAAGCTATGCTATAAGCACTTCCCTAAGCTAAGCTAAAGATAGTTACCTAAGTAGGAACCCTCTTCGCTATCTTACTTTATAATAGTGAGTTTCTTAGTCGTAGTAGCAATAGCAGTTAGAGCAGCAAATACTAACATTAAAATAGACATTAGCAAATATTAATAAGCGTAGAACCGTACTTTTAACTTAAGCCGAGCTTCTAACTTAAGATGACCCCATTATTATTAATTCCCCTACTACTACTAAGCCTATTCCTTCTTCGCTAGTCCCCTCTCTATCTCTAGATATAGTAGAGCATATAGCTCGTATAGTTAAGAGCCTTTAGGATCTTCGTCGTAAGAGATCTAAGTTAATATATAAGTTTCATCTACCTCCGGCATATAAGGCCTTATTTAACTTCGAACTAGCTATTATACTAAGCTATTAACCTCTACAACTTCCTATTACTCCGTCTAGTCTTACAACTCCGTAGCTTGTTAATAGAGAGTTTATAGACGAAGATAGCTTATTTATATAATAGATAGAGCATACTAACGAACTAGATGTTCCTTAGTAGTAGTAGTCCTCTTAGTAAGAGTAACCTTCTTAGTAAGAGCAACCTTCTTAGTAAGAGTAACCTTCTTAGTAGCAAAGACCTTAAAAACGTAGGCATAAGCCATTAGTACCTCTATAGGTAGTTACTCGTCGCTAAGCTTAGTTCTAAAGACGGTAAATATAGATAATTTGCTACTACGCTACTATTGCTATTACTATTACTATTGCTATTATAATGTTTCCTATGTTAGTCTCGGTTAGCATCTTAGATATATAGTGTTATTAGTAAGGCTATGTCTATATATTATTATTTAGTCCCATACTAATATTAAATAGCGGTTTAGTGGCTTAGTAGTAGCGCACTCGCACTTCGTCGCTATAGTACTAGGCGCTACCCCTTACGAGGATTATAACTCGTAAGTTAGTACTTAGCGAATACGTTATAAGAGGTCGGGGGTTCGATTCCCTCCTAAACTATCTTTTTGCTTTTTTTTTTATTCCACTTAATATTATTACTTAAATAGCAATAAAAGTTGTTATATTCTTTATCGTAGTGCCTATAGTAGTATAGTAGCAAACCCTCTAACTTCTTAGACTATTATATGTTAATTATAGTTTATTTACTTCACTTTACTTCTTAGCTTTTAAAACTCATCTTTTACTACGCGCACTCCTTCCTTATAACTACTACTACTATAGTAGTAGTAATAACATTAGCACTAACATTAGCATTAATAATAGCTCGCTCTCGTAAGTCCCTCGAGGCCTCTACTCGTAGAGAGACTCGCGCTAGCGCTAGAGCTAGTTAGACTCTTACTTCTCGCCGCTCTCGCGGTGTTACTAAGCCTTCGGCTACTTAGTTAGCCACTCCTATAGAGGGCGTTAGGCGCTCTTAACGTGGTAAGAATAAGGCCTCTTAATAGGCCTTACTAGTTACCTCTTCGGAGGTAGCTATATCGCCTACGTAGTCGGTTTACGCTAATACTAATAGTAACGACGAGGGAGTACCCCTCGTTAAGAAGCTAATAAAGTCTGTCTATGTTTTAGACGACGACGATAAAGAAGAACCGTAATATTACTTACTATACCTACCATACTAACCTTCTAACTATATAGATAGTGCTCCTACTGCCCCTAAGACTAAGGCTAAGGGTAAGGGTAAGGCTAAGGCTACTACTGCTCCTCTACCTACTCCTAGCATCCTCCCTCTGGCCCTTAGAAGTCTTTATAGACCTACCATTAAGTAATAATGGTAGTCTATTACCACTACTCGCTAGGTAGAGTTAGTCGCCTAAGCTACTAGTAACGACAAGACCGCTACCGCTACTACTCTTGCCACTCTACGTAAGTACTACGACGCTAATGCTATTATGCTTACCGATGTTAGTAAGGACGCCCCTACTAGTTACTACACGTAGTACTAGGATAAGAAGAAGGGTGCGCCGAGAAGGGACTACCGTATGTTTGCTAAGGAGGTAGAAGGTTAGAGTAGAGCTTACGCCTTCTATAGATTAAAGGGTAGATCTCACTATAATGCTAATCTCTCTAAGGAGGAAGAAGAGGTAAGTATTTTGCTATAGATACTACTACTCATACTGCTAACCAAAATTATAGACTCCTACCGCTACTCTCGAAGAGCAAATTAAAGACCTTAAGGCTAAAGTTGCTCGCCTCTACAAGAGACTAGCTAACGAGGTAACCCTTAGATAAGACCTCCTATAGCGCGTTATTACGCTTAAGACTACTACTGCTCCTACTACTTCGTAGTAGATAATACCATTAAATAAAGCTTCTTTCTCTGCTAACTATTGAACCTCTTCTATATAGTAAAATTTGGTGATACTATGGCTAATATTACTAATAACCAAAGCTCTGAAGTTGAGAAGCCGAGAATCCGACGTAGTGGCGGAGTTGTCATATCAGCCGACGGTCTTTTCCCTATCCTTGGTTTGGTTTCGCAAGTCTCTTGCTTCCTTGCAGCATCTTTTGATAGATTAACGGGAGGCGTATCGGAAGGCGTTTTTGGCTTGAGGTTGCACTCGGAATGACGCTGCCGTGGGTTGCGGTCCGATTGTTATATCCGCATATCACGACCTCCTCGAGAGTATCTTCAACCATCCATTTTCTCTCGAAGAACCACCAGACTAGATCTTACGCATCATCACCCCAAATTCGAAACTTGTCGACTAAACAGACCTCTGGCGTCGGATGGAATCTCCAAAACCGAGTCAGGCCAAGTCATGCGATTCCTGCAGACAAGCAAGCTTTCGACGCAAAGGATCGACAGGGCAAAGCCAAACGCGATTTCTTCCGACGTTGCATATCATTCTACAACAGGAAATTTGAGGTGTCATTCCCGGTTAAATTGGTAGAATAGAAAGAAACCGCATGTGAGAGCAAAAATCACCCGGATATGATTTGTTCAACAAGCTGAGAATGCTCAAGCTATATACATGCATCGCTAAAAAGTTCTAAGATGCTGATTCGTATGATGCTTCTACTAACAAACAAGAAAAAGACTGTGGTATCATAGCAACAAATAACGCCAAACCGAACACTCAGCATCGCTCAAAGACGCGGTACAAACCTTTGAGATCTGCCACCTCGATGACTGCTTTTCTCAGACTCTTGGTTGCGACCAATCTTGTTCTGAATGCAGGGAACATGACGTTCTCGATTGATCTTTCAAGCTGAGCGCGGCGTTTTGTGGCATCTTCTTGTGCTTCTTGAGATGCCTGTGCAGTCACTGAGGCAACAGGTAAAGCCTCGGGCGAGTAGAACGATGCCAGCTCGCGCAAGAAGCTGTCAAAACAGTCCTTTTCCTCGTCCCAGTTTACGTGGGGACCAAGTCGGAGCAAGAAGGTTGGAAGCTTGGCCAGACAGGGCATATAACCCTTGAGCATCAAAGGAATACTAAGCAGCTCGCCATTCTCAGAGATGTCAAGTGCGAAATACTCATTGAGCATACTGCGGCTTTGCACTAACTGGTCCAAAGTAACTTGCACGACTTCATTCCAGTCTAGCTCCTGGTCATCAATGGGCGTTCGAGACCGCTCGTACTCCGCTCCTATGCGTAAGAGATCTGCGACACTCAAAGGCTCTTTGAACTTGATGGTACCAAAGTTGCTGAAGTCTGAAAGTCCAACTTGGTAGAAGAACTCCGCACTGATCATGCCGTAGTCAACCAAGAACAGCTTGACTCCTGATTGAATTGCAGCAATTCTCTTGGCAGTGTCGACTATGCCCACGAAGGTCAGGTTCGAGAAGACGTCGGATAAGCTCTGATGCATATCATCCCGCACAGCAGCGCGAAGCTCCTTGATCGAGGTAAGGCGAATCGTGGTATGCTCCTTTTCGACAAACTCATACTCTGCTTCTTCGGTAGGACCACTTTGGCCTTCTGCCCTGCTTCCCTTGCTCGGCGAAGAAGACAAGGTAGGAGGAAGCATGGAAGTAATCTTGCGAACACGCGAGTCCGTCCGTACAAGATTATTTTCGTATGGTTTTGGGGCTGTTCGTGAGCTCGTAGATTTAGTGGAGCCTGTACTGTCCATATGCTGGAGCAATGGCGTTGAGAATGATAACTCGGGCTGAGTTGAGGCTGCGGGTGTAATCGGTGTCGTCGTTTTCTTCGGTCCTAACAAGGTTTGTGTCATGAAGGTGCGGCTGGTATCGACTGAGCCCAATCTGGTGCGGATCTCGTCTTGAATGATCTCGATGATCTCTTCTTGATTCAGAAAACCCACCTCACGCTTGGTTGGATGCACATTGACATCAACTCTAGCAGGGTCAATATCGAGACTCAAGTAGACAAATGGCTTTCCTCCTTTCGGTAAGAATTGTGCGTAAGTCTGATCAATAGCCTTGCGGATTGCTGTCGATTCAACAGAACGATGGTTGATGAACAGCAAGAAGGTAGACTTCTTGGCCGAGTAGTTGGCACTGCTGATGAGGCCTTCTGACTTGAATCCCCAGCGATCATTGGCGACCTCGAAAGATACCAGATCATTTGCCACTGCGCTGTTGAATACAGTGCGAATGCGGTCGACCGTACTAAGGTGACTTTGTACATTGAGACTTGTTCCAGCCTCGCCATGTTTCTTGCACGAGAATGCAACACCTTTGCAGTGGACAGAGTACTTGCCAATGATGTCCAGAATCTTGGCGTATTCTTCACTGCTAGACCTAAAGGCTCGCCTGCGAGTCGGTACGTTGTAGAACAGATCTTCAACCTGTAAGATGTTAGCATAGTCAGCTAGTGACACACGTAAGAACACTCACAGTGATCTGAGTTCCTTGTTTGCCCGCACAAGCTTTGGGGTCTGCGGACTGTCCAGGCTTTGGTGGTGTAAGGTTTTCATTTGTGTAATAAGCCTTCCAGGCGCAACTCGACTCTCGTGTCTTGGTAGTAACAGTGAGATGTGCGATATGACTGATACTGGCAAGCGCCTCGCCACGGAAGCCATATGTGCCGATCGAAGTAAGATCTTCAAACTCCTTGATTTTGGAAGTCGTATGTCGCTGACACAGTAAAGGCAAGTCGGCTTTCTGTTCTATTGTTAGAGATGTCAGAGAGCATCAAGACAATGTCTATTCATTCATACGTTGATTCCATGGCCATTGTCGCTGATTTGTAATAATTTCAGTCCTCCATCCTTGACCAGAATCTCAAGCATAGTCGCTCCGGCATCAACAGCATTCTCAATAAGCTCTTTCAGGGCATTCCAGGGCGAGACAATGATTTCTCCAGCAGCGATCTTGTTGACGACATCTTGATGGAGGGCACGAATGGGTGGCGGTGCTCTGTTGAAAGCTTCATCTGCAGTTCTTTTGGTGCCGCGTGTCGGCGACGGACTGCGACCAGTCATTTCCACATCTTCGCTGTCCGCCATTGCATATAGACACTTTCAAAATACTGTTGTCGCAGTAGTGTAATAGAGTGGAAAGTACGCTGGGTAGACGCGTTCGCTTGCGTCACAATCGCGAAAACGCCGCGTGCACGGTGCCGCGACTGCCTTTTTAGGATATCAGAGTGCGACTCATGCGTTCCCATGAGAACAGCAGACGATTGTTAACACATAAAAAGTTCTATTCATCAATCAACACAGGCTTGATATCATGTCCTGTGTTCTAATTCTAGGTCGTCATTCCTCCCTGCTGCTCGACCCTCAGCCGACGTATCGCTTGTCGGTGTTATTCCTATATCAGAACTGGATGGTAACCGAACATGACGACTTTGTCGCTTCAAGAAGAAGAGTCGACTATTGATCCAACCAGCCGTCTTTCTGATGATGTTCCACAGTCGATCTTGTGCTTCTCTTAAAGCGGAATCATCTTTGGGATTCTCGTGTGCCTCCGCTTGGAATTGATATTTGAGACAGTCTTTGACTGTGATCAGACCAGTAAGTCTACCACGATATTCGACAAGGATGACTCGAGGTCCAAGTTTCTTGAAGAGTTCCATGACAGTCTCTAAAGGTAGTCGAGGATGAACTGTGATCGGCGTCGCATCGATGAACTTGCTGAGGTCCACAGTCCCCTGATTCGATGTCGCACTCAAATAGTCCAAATGAACCGCTGGGTTCGGTGTAGATGGGGTGACCGGTACGTGCCCAGCGACTGGAGTAAAGAAGCATTTCGTGCGTGGTGTCGCCATCTGGTCACGCCTAGCTCGGTCAAGAGCATAACGAAGCTCAGTTCGGCCAGCATATCCTACCAGCATCATTGAGGTTGCGTCTTCGACAATTGGATAACCAGAATACTTCGTGTCATCCAAGAGTTTCTCAATATCTCGAACTTCCAGACCAGAGACGGGCAAGGCCTTCAGTTCGCTGGTCATGGCTGTGGAGACAGGTACACCAAAGGCGTGATCCTCTTTGTTGTCTAGGAATGGCATACCGTTGAACCAAATCATCCGGTCTGCGATACCTCCTTTACCGAAGCGGTCACTAACCGCTTTCGTAACACCGACAACAATCTATAAAAAGAGTCAGCGTGATCGACAACGAGAAAGGGGTGCTCTGAACATACCATGGTAGGTAGGATATAAGTCAGGGCTCCTGTCAATTCGAACATGATGACAACGACAGACACGGTGATATGCATGATTCCGGACAGAGCAGCCGCAGCGCCCAAGAATGCGTACGTGCCCGGAGTGATACAGGGCATGTCAGGTTGACAAGCTGAGAAGAATGCAGCATTTGGAAATGCTTGTTGCATCGCCTGAACCAAGATACCCACCATGCGACCGAAAGATGCTCCGATGGCCATGGAAGGCACAAAGATACCTGCAGGTACTTTGCATCCGTACGATATGATGACAAGGAAGGTGCGAAGAACTGTAGCTATGAGGAGGGATAGGACTGATGTCCAGCGATTTTGACGACTGCTTGTGGTCAGATAGGTGCCAACATGTCTCAAGTTTCTTTGCACTTACTCGCACAAGCCATCGTAGTCGTGCCCTCCTTCACACTCGAGGAAGAGGATCTCCATGCTCTCTGTCATGTCAATTCGCAAAAACTTGTTCGGGTAGCATAAGATAGCTGTTGCAGTGGCGAGAATGGTGGCCTCTAGAATAGGATATTGGCCGAGATAACGCTTTCGGAAGGCTTGCATTCGGAGGTTCCATTTGATGACCAAGGCACCATACAGACCACCAAAGATGCCAAGAATGATATAAAAGAAGATTTCGAAGAAATGCCACTGACGATCGTAGCTGACTGTGAACATGACGAGTTGTCCTGTACGGAAAGGATTCATAGCCTTGAAAACGTGAGCTTGGAATACTACCACTGAGAAGGACACAAACTTACGGATAGTACTGCTGTTGCTACCAGAGCACAAAAGTAGCTTCTCCACAGAGTCTTGAGCGGGAAGTAGTTTGACATTTCCTGATCGAGAGTGATTAGCTACGAGGCGATACATTGTAGCCACAGTAGTCGACTTACCTCGAGAGAGAAGAGAACACCTCCAATAGGACTTCCGAAAGCCACAGCGACACCAGCAGCAGCACAGGCACTGAGAATCTCTCGGGTCTTTGCAGCATTTCGGCGGTACTTATCAAAGAAGCGAGAAATGACATTACCTGTGCACACGGCATAGTGAACACTGGGACCCTCCTTGCCAACTGACAAGCCAGAAGCGATGGCAAGAGGGAGGCCGATGGACTTGATGAGTAGTGTCCAGAAGCCGAGGAAGCCTTTCATGACAAAACCTGCAATGATGCATTTGATCTCAGAGATACCAGAGCCGGCGGCGTAGGGGGCATAAGATTTGACAAGTCGAGCGGATGTGAAGGCAAAAACGGTCTTTGTACACAATCAGAATATGGCAAGAGGATTATGCGAGGAGCAGAGCTTACGGAGAAGAGGATGTATATTATATAGCGGAAAATGACATGAGAGCTCCAAGGGCGCCATTCTGCGCAGCCTTGTCGGCGTCAGTACAGGGTAAGTCGAAGAGATGGAGATATACCAACCTTCCTCAGCACCCCAGCAACAGAAGCTCTCGTTCAAGTAGAAAGCAGTTGTACAATGACCCAACTTGATATCGGACAACCATTCAGTGATTATGTTCAAGAAGGCAGCATTCATACCAATGGCTGTGCCTATCAGGGTAACGACCAGCCATGCCTGACCAGCATCGTAGGCCTCCCATAACCTCCTTCTCCAACCTAGACGACCTTGTCTTTGTTGGAAGCCAGCTCTTTCTTGTCGCTTGGCCTTGCGTCGCTGCTGTTCCCTAGCTGCATCCCTAACCCAGTCTATGGTTGTAAAGTCTTCATAGCGCTTGATCTCGTCAATCTCATCGGCGACGACTTGGTCCTCGGGGTTGACGCGAGTCGTGTCTCCCTGTTCGGCGGCCGTGAGCGATAGGGCTGAGACTCTGCGATTGAAGGAGCGCAAGGAAGCCGAGGGCGCCAGTGAGGGACGGCGAGAGGGTGGATGAGAGTTCATTGCATTTCTATCGGGATATCATGCAGCCATGTAACTTGCGATGGCCTGCGATGCGACGGTCGATCAACAAGTCGAGCAGTCCCCGGGCCAGACCTCGACCACTTTCGGAAAGGGCCGTTGTCGCGCGACGGCCAACCGTGAAACGCGTCACGCTCCTGCATCTTCATCTGTGACCATCAGATACTGCAATCGAAATCACTTTTGGATAGCAACACCGTCAACATGCCCTACAACAACACTCCCATCACTCCTTCGACCGAGATCACCGGCACCGTCTCCCTCCCACGTCAGTCTAGCAGACTATACAAAGTCTTGTCGCAACTTCTAACATTATGAACAGTCGCCAGAGTCAAGAAGATCATCCATGCCGACGACGACATCAACAACTGCTCAAACAATGCCGCCTTTGCCATCACCGCTGCTACTGAGCTCTTTCTACAGTACCTCGTTGAGCAGACTCAGAATGTCGTCAAGGCCGAGAAGAAGCCTAGAAGGAACATTCAGTACAAGGACGTCGGTGAGTGCTGCTATCCTTCTCACATCCACACTTCCATTGTTGACTTTTCCTCCAGCCAGTGCAGTTGCCCGTGTAGACAACCTCGAGTTCCTGGCCGATGTCGTCCCCAAGACCGTTACCTACAAGGAACACAAGGCCAAGAAGCAGAGAGAAGAGAAGGAAGCTGGACAGACCACTCTCCCTATTGTCGCAAACACTGCCACCGCTACTGCCACTCTCCCTACTGCCGCCCTCCCTGCTCACTCCGACCCCATTCCTGCTTCCGTTCAGGTACAGCTTATCGATCCCATGGATGAAACTTCTTGAAACGCCATTTCCAAATGACTCCACGCCATCCCACATCATCCCTTGGTGACAGGGTCTTCGCGCACACGCTGGTCGTCAATCACTCAGACACTCAGCACGCACACAGTCGACATCCAAATCGCTACGTACATGACACCTGCCATGTTCTGCGCTTTGTTATAAAATACAACCACCAGCCAAGTTGCTCTCACGCGTTGCTCATGATGAGGAGGATTCCGGGCCCGCCATGATGCCCGTGCTATCATGAGCTGTATATTGTCCTTGACTGGCTGTTTTTGCATGCGCTGTCCGCACCACGAGGGGACACAGTACCAGTACCGCTGTGTTTGCACATTAGCAAACAATGCCTCAGATCCATGGCCACCACGTGCTAGAATCGTTATCATGAAAGTATGAAAACTCAAATCACTTTTCTGTCACATTCCACAGCCCTGCTCCGTGTTTGCTAACTGCTTCTATCAGCGTATAACTTTCGCTGCCCGCACCTCACCTGAATTCAACTCCTTCCACATGCTTTCTTTACACCTCTGCGCTGTTTCATACCGTGGCAGCATGTGCGTTCCGATGTATATAACGTCGCCCTGGTGCATCATGGATGCCTCTCCCCTACCGACCACAGCAATCCATTTTCCAACCATCACAGCTTCTCGATATATACTCGACTCGACCTTATACATCCTGGTCAGTTCAACATTATACAGCAAGACTCAGCACAATGCAAAAATATCAATGTACTTTCAGTTCTTCTAACGGCAAAGGCAAGCAACCAATGCCACCTGGAAAGTCGCCTAGCAAGTCTCCCGGCAAGTCACGGCCCATCCCTCGCGCACTTCCACCAATCCCGCTCTGCAAGTGCCGCGATCGTGTCGAGGAGCCAACCTTTGTACAGAGCGAGAGACTCGAATGGCCTCTTCTCCGTCAGAAGATCGAGCGTGTCTTCCCTCGCTCTTCAAACCCCATCATTCCTTGCGAGTGGGGCCACGAAGTGGTCAGACAAGACGCCAATGGCAATACCTGGGACCTTCACTACCTGAAACTCAAAGAATGCATCACTGCACCCTCGTATATGCCTGTTGCCCCTGAAGCCGCCCCTAAAGTGCTCTTGCGCGGTGAGATGGCAACCAGAATGTCTGATGCCCTGGAAAGTGTGATGAATATCCTGGATCAGATGCCCTACAACTGGAAGTATGATTCTAACACCAAGCTTCCCGTTCACGCTGAGGAGTTCCCTGCTTTTGAGAATAATTGCTCGATGTGTGGTCTCCCTCGCAAGGACCCCAGATACTTGCCTCCCAAGCCTCAGACTAGCCACAAGCTCAACCTTAAGCGCTAGATGGAATCTGGTCCGCCTGCCAAGGGAGTGCGAAAACCTGTACATCGCCCCCAGATAGTCAACGATTTGACGAAGACATGATTACCAAAACAGCAAACGATGACATGAATCGATATGATGCTCTACTACAACGACAATTACCAACCTTTGATGGCCAAAATGGTGGCCGTGATCAACTCTTAAGCGGGTGAATAATGGACAGGATGAATCAGTCCTTGAAGAAGCCGAAGCACAAATGGGATGCTTTCAAAGGAAGGTTGAGATGTATAGTCGATTTCAAAATGAAGATACTGACAGAAACCTTGGTTCCATGCTCTAATATCAGTCTTCTCAATTCTTTCGGATTATCTTCTCCGTCCTTTTGTTGGCTCATCTACATCTAAACTTCACGTCATTCAATCCATTAGCTTTCGGTCGAGTTTACAGCATTGGTGCAACAGGGCTATCTACAGGTCATCAATCTCAGCTTTAACAAGTCGAGTTTTTGTAGCAATCGTTGGTTGTGAGAACGTGCAGGACAAGATACTTGAGGCCACCAGGTGGTGTCAGTCACGCAGTCGAAAGAAGCAATCTTAGTATCATACTCAATCATCAATAACGACAGAACCCAATATCCCCTACCAAACCCAGTACCTTCCATATGTATTCCCCCATCCAACCTACCCAGCCACTGAAGTCCTATAACACCACTCAAACACCAAATCAAGCCCGATACGAAACACTTGGACCACTAGTCACTCATATACTCGGTATCACCTTCCGAGTCGTCATCTCCTAGGGATGCATCATCATGTGCTCCCTCCTCCGCATCTTTGTCTTCGATATAGTCAGATACTTTCCAGAATGCAGTAGGGCCAGCAGGCCCATGACGGTCAAAGTCCTTGTCGAACCAGTTGCCGAGTACGCCTCTGCCTGAGCGGATGCCGCCGACTTGGATGCCTTCGCTTCGCCAGCGTTCTTCGCTGTTTGAGGGAGAGACGTTAGCGTGTTGTTCTTGATCAGTAAGCATGATTGTGTAGCTCTCAACAGGAAAGATGCAGGATGACGAATATGTTGCTGCCGATGTCTTCATCACTACAAGATATGGGTTTTCAGCTGGTGAGAAAGACCGGGCCAGAGCATCTCTCGCTGTCACTGCTTGTAATTGCGATCAAGGATTCAAGAAGGTCGAGGTCATAATGCCCGGATGGAAGATGACTGAAGGTGTGCTCGCGGTCATTGATCTTTTGCGGTGGGGCAAAAAAGCCTCTCACCACGCAAGCAGCCGTCTTTGATGTTCAGCACAATCTAATGCCACAGCAAAAGAGTTACCGTAATCATGCAAAAGAAGATTATGTTCCGGTGCGGGGAATCGAACCCCGACCTCCTCGGTACCTTGAATGCAGTAGCAGACAGTGAAAGCGAGAAATCCTAGCCGTTAGACCACACCGGATGGCATAAAGTGGTATAGCAGATTTGCGAAAAACAAACTTTGGTGGAGAAAACAACGTACCTGTGGAATATGGAAAATGTCGTCCAGCGAATTTCACCTTCTGGCGTCTGTCGAACCGTACCTATACATTTTTGTCAATTATTCAGACTCAATGACGGGACGACTTCGGGACTACCTCTGATCTGCGAATTTGCGTTTGCATCCCAGCTTGCATGTAAACTCCAGCTTGTACCTGTGAAAGAAACGACAGGGTAATCTTGACCGTCTTCAGGCCCAGGAGGTTCAATTGCGGATACCCGAAGTTTGAGGCGGATAATTCTGATGGCTTCTCGAGTATTGATGGGGTCCCGGGGCTGATCATCAGGTACGCTGTGCAGGAAGTTAAAGGCGAACAGGTCGTGGTAATCTAGGAAGCAGACGACGCGCATCCACTCTCCAGTAATGCCGTATGGATCCTGCATATCAAGATCACCAGGCGGACTCAACTCCCGTACTAGTCCCTTCGGCTGAGCAGAGATGTAAGAATAGGGAGAGGCGCCGTCGAATGGCTTGTCCCATACTGGCTCGAAGACGTGTGGTGCTCTTCTGTTGAAGAGCCGCATGTTGTATCCTAAGACGACCATTATCGCCTCAACTTTTTCCCAGTCGACTTCCTGACTTCCGTCACTCTTGAAAGGACCCCACATAGTTTCTTCTGTGTATCGTCGGAGATCGTAGACTATAGCGCGAGCATAGTTGTTGGTTGGGGTCTGGCGAAAGTCGCCAGCTGTATCTGGATGCCAGAGAACCGAGTATGATGGTGAGGGAGAGTTGTCATCGCTGTCTTCTTGTACAAGCATTGGTGGGATCTGGCAGTCGATGGGGACACCATAAAGACAGTGCAGCTTTGCGGCAAGCTGGCATAGCTCTGGTGTGGCTGCTGGTTGCTGTGTCAGGTTTCCAGCATGTTCGAAGAGGGAGGATGCAGCGAGAAAGGCGTCGATGTTGTTCTGCGACTTGAAGAGATCGGCAAGAAATTGAGCATTTTTGGTGTTGTTCTTGACGGTCAAGAGTGGTGCGATAAGAGGAGCTGCCCAAGCAAATGCCTCGCGCTGTCATGTGTCAACTTGCTGATCCTACAAGACTCATTCCGAGGATTGCTACAGACCTTTGTTTCGAGGTTGTCACTCTCAAGTAGCTTCTGCAGCGCAACTAGGTTGCGTACCGACGACTCCCAACAAGGTTCGGCTTCTACTGGGTGGTCCTATCTATCATATCAGTGTGGGATATTGATAAAGCTCATTCACTCTTGCTGACCCATGAGCGAAGGTAGACACTCCTGCAAAGTATTCTATTGCCATTTACGAAAGAGTTGAAGGCACGGCATGTCGCACTTAATGCCGCAAGGTCGTGTCCGTCAACCTCACCCAGGATGCCCTGAAGAAGCTCGTGCGAAAGGTCCAGAAGACAGGTCATCCTGATAGCAATGTCTGAGATTATGAGGATAAGAAGAGGAAGGAACCAAGATCGGTTACACCGCACCTGCGTCCATGCCGCGGACTCTGTGCCTTCCCTTCCTAGAATATCGTGATCGCGGCTCGCCCACCCTAATGTATGAGCGATGCGGGGAATGCGGCCGTCGTCGGACTTAACGGCTGATCAGCACTTTGTCCCTTTGTCCGGTTAAACTTGGTTAAACGTCATAGATCTATTTTGGCTTTCTTCCTTCTACGCCCAAGATATGTCTATCTCTCTATCCATCTACAACAATGTTTCTAACGAAGTTTGTAGTCCAGGACTAGCAAACCACTCAAGTCAAAGATCGAGTCCAGCTACCTCTTGGTTCTGGTCAGAGGCCATGCGCGGTTCAAAATCAGAAATCTTGCCTACTTCCAAGCCAAAAACCCAAGACTTTGAATCGATGGCTCAGAACAGATTCAAGCACGATAATCCACTTTGAAGACCCAGCAGTACTTTTCAGCACTTGTGATATTGTGTGGCACTTGGATCTTCAGAACACCGGCTTCTGACTTCGACCATGTCAAGCTAGTATTGCTCTGGCTACCCACAGCAGTAACCACGTCTCCTGGTATGATCGGTATTGGTGCGTCTACCATCAGCGTCTCGTTGACCGGCTGCTTGAGAGACAGGATGTAAAAGGCATCTTGAGTCTGCGTGAATCGAATGTCGCCAGTCGAATCCTCGGGCGTGATGAACCAGTAGGTTGTGTTGAAGATGGCTTCAGCATGAGCGTTGATCCACTTCCCAGCTGCTCGCAGATTATCCTGTTCTTCCTGAACGATAGTGCCATCTGCTTTTGGTCCAACGTCGAGCAGGAAGTTGCCATTCTTAGACACCATATCGACGAGGTCTCGCACTATAGTGCTAGCATTCATGTATGCAGAAGGTTCGGTTGCTCGGTTGTAACCATAACTGTACGGATCCATGCCTTGGTTGCTTTCCCATTTCCTGGCTTGCACAGTTGAGAATGTTGCATACTCTGGCGTGTCAAAGTCTGCTGTGTGAGCCAGGCCGCAACGGGAGTTCATTGTGACTTGTCTGTCTTGAGTGCGTGCCTTGTTCCACCACGCTGCAGCGAAATCTGCTGTTCCATTCGCTGCCCCACAATCACACCACATGATGTCTGTAGAGTAGTTGTAGGCGAGTATCTCCATTTGAGGGACCATAACATCGGCAATAAAGTCTTCGACAGGAACATGACCTGTGTATGGTTCTTCCACTCCGGTATATGGGTTTCTAGCTAGTATGCCAGGCCAGGAAGTGGAACTGTTGGTGGCCAACTGCGAAAACCCATATGGTCCAAAGTCAGGGTTGAACCACTCTGGTAGCGAGAAATATGTTCCTCTACGTAGAGATGGTTGGTGTTCCGCAGCCGCATCGAAGAGCTCGCCCAATATATCTCGTTTGGGTCCGTAGTGCAAAGATGACCGATTACTCGTCAGACCAGTGTCGAAATTGGCGAATCCATCATGGTGTTTTGTTGTAAAGACAAAGTACTTGGCCCCAGCTTCTGCAAAGAGATCCACCCAAGCCTTCGGATCAAATTTCGAGGCAGTATAGTTCACGAAACCGTCATCGTATTTCCAATCAGGCCCGAAAGTTCGTAACCTGTAGTCATAGAAGTCTGAAGCATCTGCTTGAGGATGATGTGTGGTATACCACCAGAACCACTCAGCATAACTCTCATGTGGAGTCGAATTGCCCCAACCAGGCACAGCATATGGGCCCCAGTGTATGAATATACCGAACTTGGCGCCATCATACCAGTCGGGAGCCTCATGGTGCGCAAGGTTATCAAGATCAGAAGTCCATGCTGAGAGACCGAGGTTTACTCCGTCGAACAATTGGGTCTGCTGAAGTGATCCGTCGTCCAGCGTAACCGACACCGTGCCCTTCACTCTACCTGTGACACCAATGTTGACTCTCTTCTGGTCTCCAGGACAGAGTCTCTTGACCTGGCCCGGGACGATCGTCGTAATATTGCCGCCCGAGAGGGTCAATTCAAGTCCTCTGCCTGACACACAATTCGTGCCTGCATTGTTTACTGTAACCTCGACGATCTGAGTCCCGTTACCAAGCCATTTTTGAGTGGGACGAACAGATTGAACAGACACCTCAGAACCTTGCCAAAGCGAGATTGAAAAGACATGCAATCTGCCAATAGTAGTATTGGTGGTCTCGGGGAGCGTTATCGAGGCCAATTGCTTGTCGTTAGACAAAGCATAGCTATATTCGTAGATGTGCGTGGTATTGAAGTTCGTGCCATTAGCCGTGTATCTGTAGGGAAGGATGATCTCCCCACGATTGATGGTCAGAAAAGCAAACCATGGCTCGCTCCGCAGTTCTGATGTTGAGGTGGTGTTGTCTTTGTGGGTAAAGACTAAATCGCCAGAAACTGTCTCGAGCTCGACATCCGATGCTACAAGTACGGAGGCCGAAAAGTATTTCCCGTCAGGTACCTTGATGGTTTGACCGGTACAGAGCACATTATCCGGTTTTTCTCTCCCAGTATAGCCAGGAAAGTTATAGGTAACCCCACTTTGTGTAGAAGTATACGAGCCATTATGGCCGACTGCGGGTGCAGGGTATGATTGGTTCAAAGGATCAAACGCTGCTTCTCCTGGATATGTAGCAAAGGCTTTGTTGTTAAAGTAGGATGTGAGATCGAGCGGTACAGACTATGCGAATCGTCAACACCATGTATAATCTATCGGATCAATAACTGGTTTCACCTTCGAGACAAGCCCAGAAGGCTTCACAGAAGCTGCGACAGCAGCTACAGCATAAGAGGCTAAAGCTATGCACCATGTTTTCAGGTCACCCATTTTTGAAAGTCGCTTCTCAATCGTTGGTATTGTCTATAGAATGTAGACGATATTACTCGGCTTCTTCTAGTACATCTGGCCATGCTGCTTATCTTTCGAGATCAAGATATGGGTCCTTGACTGATGCATCGTGTCCTAGCATAGCCCTCAAATCAGTGGCACAGTAGCATCGGCAGCTTGAATTGAGTAAGTGACCAGATCTTTCTGCTACCCTGCCCGAGTTACCGTATCCTCGCTTGGTCGTATGTAAACAATGATCGACGTAGCGATAGGCCAGCGGGAAGCATATTCGCACAATTTTCCCGCCGGCAAATATGGACGACAGGCCGAAGAAAGCAGGCCAGCTATCATCAGGAATTTGTGCTTTACCGCGTCACTGCCATCTCATCAGAATAACAATCGGTCACGCTTGACAAAAGGCTGAGTTGCACACGGGTGCAGCTCTGGTTGCAAATTGGAGAAAGAGCGATTGCCCGCACGTCAGCGTGAACGACCGAGCGCAATCTTCTTGGGAGGGGCTGTCTTCGTATTTCTCCTTCTTCAGCAACCTTATCTCACTTCGTACTTCTGCTACCTGGCTTATCATGGGCTTCCAAGTTCGACATGAGATGTTACTTGTGAGAGCGATGCGACATTGACATGAAGTGCAACCTTGCTCCAGTGATCTTCGGAGGGGAACGTCGCGCGGAGTTGCAATGCAGTGTACACCTAGCAGGGTTGTAAGTGTCGCACCTGCCTCGAGATAAAACGTGCTTGCCATGGAAGGTAGGTCAGTTGAATCATTCGACGGTGTCAAGAAAAGCTGTCTTCCCTTGGTCGCTTGACAGTTCAGAACATGTTTTCGAGACTTGCTCCAACCTTGGCTGCAATATTGCCTTTAGTCAATGGGCAATTCAACAACCCACCTGGCGTTGATATATGGTGCGGCAAGGCATATCGCGACACGTAGGCCATCCCGATCCATTGAACATCATAAGAGTGGACTGCTTACAAAACCAGAAATGCGTCTTTCAATCCAGGTGGCTGGTTCGAGGATCCTACCAAGTCTGATATGCCACTTGTGGATTTCAAAGCTAAACCTAGAATGAGCTTGTATCTAGAAGACGATATGACCTCGACCTTCATCATCGATGCACCAATCTCTTGGTATGTTGGCCATGCTCTGCCAGACAACACCTCGATACCATCACACCACAGTTCGGAGATTATGCTTGAGATCACGACCGGAAACACCACACTAGCTCTGAACAAGACATCAATCCAGCTCGGATCCTCGAACAACGAGATACCTTTTGATCTGTCCTCTCTGGCGGCCATATCTGAGCCACATAATATCACGGTCCTCGGTACTCTTAAAGGACATGAAAACAAGACATTCACTGCTACGACTCAAGTCACTAAGCTTCCCCTTCGTTCCGATAACGGCACAGCTACACGGCTCGACAACCTTTATGGTGGTCTCTCGGTACGAAAAGGTCAAACGAAAGAATGGACGGCTCTCTTTCCTTATACCTACTATGTCCAGTGGAGTCTGTACTGGTACGCCAACCTCTCAACCTTGGATGAGTTTGCAGCCATGGGCTATAACGTCATCCATATCGTGCCTACCGGTGATCTAGGCGATACGCCCTTCCCTTGGGACAAGTTCCAACCTTACCTTGATCGAGCTGATGAACTGGGCCTGTACTTCATGTACGATGTCCGTTGGGATTATACCAACTTGACCACAATGGTCGACCAAATTAATCATCTACATAGCCATCCCTCTATCCTTCTTTGGTATACAGCCGATGAGCCAGATGGAAAATCTGTGCCTCTTAACTCGACCCTCATTGCCTACGACACCATCAAAGCAATCGATCCATATCATCCAGTATCACTAGTGTTGAACTGTCGAGACTTTTACTACGCCAATTACGCAGCAGGTGCAGAAATCGTAATGGAAGATGTCTATCCCATCAGCACCAATACCTCATATTCCACTGTCTACAACACACCCTGTAATGCAACCTACGGCTGCTGCGGCTGCGACGACTGCGAAGGCAGTTTCACAGACATCTCTACCCGTCTAGATGAATTCGCACACAAAGACACCATTCTAGGTTGGAACAAAATCCACTGGGCAGCTCCTCAAGCCTTTGGAAACGAGACTTTCTGGACTAGATACCCCACTGCTGCTGAAGAAGTGGTGATGAATATGTTGAGTATCAACCACGCAGCCAAGGGAATTGTCATGTGGGATTTTCCTACTAAAGCTGAGATATTGGATGTAACCAACAGATTAGCTGCTGTATTGACAAAGCAACCGGTAGCAGGGTTTCTAGTCGGTGCGCCTTTGAAACAAAGGCTCAAAGTTGTCGGTGCCGGAAACATCGATGCTGCGGCTTGGGTCAAGGATGATGAGATCCTTGTGTCTATTGTCAATCTCGACTACAGCAACACGAACGCTAATGTGACGGTCTCATTGCCAGAATTCGTCAAGGCTGGAGGGAACATGACGAATCTTTGGGGTGATGGTTCTTGGTCGATTCATGACAATAAGCTACACATAAGCTCGATGATGGGGTTGGAAGTCTCCTTGCTGTTGCTCAAGCGTATGTGATGCGATTCTCGCCATCAAGTCTTTTGTTAGGAAGCCGAACTCTAGAGAGGAGATGGCAGCCATTGACTTTGATCTATACAAAGACTACCAAAGCACCTATACCAGATGATATAAACTGGAGAGCTGCGAGAACGAAGAGGAGCATACAAGGCTAGATTCTGGTTTCAATTATCTACAGATACTATGGTCATTTGTAGTAAGGTTACTCCTGATCTCGAGAAGTAACGTCTCTGAGTATTCATCTCGAGTCCTTGCATCAATCTATGATCTATGCTTGAATACATTGCATCACAGATCGGCATCTTTACGCACGTAATGTACAGCTAGCATTGACTGACCTATCTGATTTCTGTCTATCTACCAGAGTCCTCGATATCAACCCTCCACAGCGACAAACAACCCATCTAATCTCCTGTCCACCTTCACCAGTTCCGCAACCTCTCGATCAAACTCATCAACATGTTCTTGTAAAGCATCTCTAAGCATCTGCACCACATTCCTGCACTCCTCTCTGATCCGCTCAAACTCATTTCCAGCAACGCCTTCCTCTCGCATCCTAATCCATGGCACTGTAACACATTTCAGCACCTCATGCTTATGAACAAGCATCCTAGGCCATGTGTTGAGAATGATGGCTTGCAATGCTAGAACGGACGACAGCAATAAAGGGGGTGATGCAGTAACAAAAGGATGGGTAAGGATAGAAGAGAGCATGGGCAAGATGAAAGGAAGATGTTTGACAGAGTCTAGACCCAATGAGGTCATAATAGCGGTCAAGTTTGTAGTGGTGACGGTGGTGATTTTGGCGTGTTCAGGGCAATAGGTAAAGGTCATCAAGACGCCTTTGCGAATTAGATTGTCTAGCAACTTCAGGCGCTGAGATTGAGTTTGTGAGATTGAAGTAATTGAAGGGTCCTCGAAGGCATTGGAGAGTGAGATCAAGGCTGGGTAGGCGACAGCAAGCAGTCGAGCACTCTCGTCTTCGGGTGTTAAGGTAGGCAGGTAGCCTAGACACGGCATCAAGGCTTCCTCAAACACATCACCCAAACCAGTGCGCTTCAGAAGTGTAGGCGGTGTCTTGTCCAGCAAGAGTTTGAGCAGTTCGCAACCTTGGGCCTTGTATTCCGTGTCGATATCGTCGAGCATGCTGAGTAACGGCGGCACTATCGCGTGCCAATTCTTCTCGACCAGTCCAGTGTCTGCAGCGACAATAACCCAGCGAAGCAAGTCTAGCGCATAACTATCTCTTCCCTTCCATGTCTTTTCATCTTGGTTTCGCTCGAACTTTTTGGGTAGGACGGTGGTCTGCACCTTACGCCCTTGACTTGTTACCTGCTGCGTTTGTGTCTTTGCAAACAGCGGGCGGATGGTAAGCTGGAGAAAAAATGTCATGAGATCTGATGTGAGCTCACCAGGAGTTGGAGATTGGTCTTTTGCAACGCGGACTTCTTCGATGGCTTCGGCAGTATCCTTCTTGCCAGGGTTGCGTAACTGCCAGCGCATCACTACATCAAGGGCATCTTTCATCCATGGACCAGTAGGAACACCGAGAGCTTTCGTCAAGGCTTTGCCGTCAAGAATAGGCTTGAGAGCGTATGCGTCAAGAAGATCCAGTTCCTGGACGTACTCGAGGAAGTTCGTGAAAGCAGACAGGTGGGCTAAAGACTGTTAGTTTTCAAGACCAGATAAACGCACAGATGGAGACTCACATTTGGCTGCCGAGGGATCATCAGCGACGTTGACCAGCAGTGCGAAGGCTGTCTGTGATCTCCATGTAGAACCCCAACGACGAATCGCCATTCCCAGGTCTTCGCGTGCTGGACGCTTGCGTCCATTCGAGTCGCTGACCATCATAGAAACCTCAGAGTGGTTCTTGATCGAGCTGGTAATGACATTGCATACATTATTTGTGGCTTTAATCCCCTCGCGTGCAACAGTAGTGGCAACAGGTGGTGGTGGCTTCTTGCCTTCGATGGCTGGGGGTGATGGAGCGTCTTTGTAGGGTACGATCGCGGACAACAGCCAGATCAAATATCTCTCTTCGGCGTCGCGGACGAGAATATCGCTGCTCTTAGAAGCCAGGATCTCTTGAACAAAGTTGACGACAAAGCTCCAATTATCAACATCTGGCGTAAAGACCTTAGTTTGATCTTGAGCAGGGTCGGAAAAGATAGTAGAGTAGAGAGTGAGTTGATCAATCAGGTTCAAAGCCATGAGGGGATCGGGGCCTCTGAGCATCTTCTCAAGTTCGACACCGACTCTTTCGCGGCTGATCTTTGCTTGCAAGGCACTCTTAATCTCAGCATCCTTCATCCACTTGCAAGCTTCGGCTTCGATTGTGTAATTCAATCTGCTGGCAAATCTGATCAACCTCAGGACGCGCAGAGGGTCATCCTTGAAGGTCTGGTACGGCTCGAGGGGAGTACGAATGATCTTGTTGGCCATGTCGGTATGACCTTTAGCAGTAAAATCTTCAATCTCACGGGTGGTGATGTTGTAGAACATGGCATTGACAGTGGCGTCACGTCTCAGGGCATCCTCTTCTGGTGTGCCAAACTCCATCTGAGGATTTCTGCTGTCATCGCTGTAGGTCTCCTTGCGCAGGTTGACGAGATCGATATCGAGGCCCAAGATTTTTGTTGTGACAGTCTCCAAATGCTTCGACTTTTCTGGGTTTGCCTCGATCTTGTGCAGACCACCGACAATTTTGCTCTTTCCAGATTCAGCCTTCTTGGACTGAGACTCGTTACTGGCGACACCTTCCAAGCCATACTTTTCTGGATTTCCAGGAATTTCGAGATACTCCTTCAGTCTCAGACCAAATTGGAAACCAGTCATTTTGTTGATGGCTACATCGATGTCATGACTCTCGACGCCGAGCAATTTATCACGAACCCAACCACCAGTCCATCTTAGGACAAGAGGTTGGTTTGCCAACTCATCAGGTAGGGGCACTTGACTTTCCGAAGCATGTCCAGGAGAGTTGTCGATATATTGTGCAACATCAAGAAGCAAAGTGCGTAAGTTCTCCTCAACTTCGGTAAGCTCCAAGACGCGAGAGTTTGTCGACATGTTGGTGGCAGTGTTGGAGGAAGTGAAGTCCAAGGATAGCTTTCGACGCTTGATTGTGTGTTGTTCGGGCTCAGGCGACAGGCTGGTACGAATCAATGCAGGAGACATGCACTTAGTTGAGAGACATGAAATCGATAATGGCCGGGCTAGAGCAGTAGGCCTGGGACGGGCAAGTTGAGTGCGGAAGAGTTGGGTGACCAGGGTACACGAATGGACGATAGACATGCAGTTTGAAAATCAGAAAATTGGTCCAGGCAGACTTTCAGCGCATTTTAATCATGTGTAGTTGTTGATTGATGCGTGTCGGTCACATGAAAGATGGTGTTGCTCATTTTTCGAGCTCGGCAAAGCTTCCGCAAACAGAAGGCGCAAGCGTGAGCACATGGAAACATGACGGATGCTCCGTCCACATGCGATGCCATCACCGCCTTGATCATTTCTGAGCGCCCTTTTCTTCTATGCACTCCTGCAGCAGCCTGAAACCACCAGGTCACTGTCCGAGTGTCAGCGACACATGACGTCCACCCCTAGCGATGCGGGCCTCCTGTCACCGCGAGAGAGCGACTCCGAGTCGTCCACTTCATTAGCCCAAGCCGCCCAGAGAACACTACCCAAACTATCCTTACCCTACCGCCGCTCAAACGCTTCAGTCGCCAGCTTGTTCGCTTCCACATCCTCCGCCCAACATTCCCCCACTGCCTCTGGCACCTCGACACCGCCCGCCGGTGTCGTCAATGCCTCCGTCTTCTCTCCTCCTGCTTCGAGATTGGCCAATGCCTTGAACTCGCCCTCCACTGCCGCCCAACCAGACGAGGCCCGTCAGCTGGTCCTGCGCGCCTTTGCTCCTCGTGTTTCTGTCCTGGCCTCGGATGATTGTCAAGAGCTGCTGCGCCACAAGGGAATCAATGGCGGTCTGTTGGAGTTGCTACGCCCTTTCGGGGAAAAAGTAGGCGGAAGAGTGGTTGTCAGGGATAGCACTGGTGCTAGCAGACCATGGGACGACTTTGGAATCAGGTTAACTGGCGTTTCCGACGGTCTTGAAGCCCCGAGACTGGATCCCAATCCATCTGACCTGCCCGAATACCGTCCTGCGCGCTTGCGTACTGGAGGTGATGTCGACCAGATTGACGAGCTCGTTTCTCGTCACCTCCACTATGCTCAGGATCAACCAACAGCTGGCGACTATTTCTCGGCACCCGAAACAAAACCACATCCATCACAGCTCACGCCATTTTATACCTTATACCTTCGAAGACTTCTCTCTGGAATACCTGTGGCCCCTCACGAGACCTTCTCTCACCCTGTAGCTCTTGTAATAGCCATCAGCTCTCGAAATCCCGCCCCTATAGACGAACTCCGCACTCTATATACCACCTCCAACACAGGCCAGTACAGACCACCACCATGGGTTAATAACGAATTTCTACGATATTATGTTCTCATTCATGACGAAGACCATGACGACATTACAAAGTCCACCGCTCTATATGAACAGATGAAGCGTCACTTCGGTCTGCATTGCCATCTGTTGCGTCTACGGAGTAATGAGTGTCTTCCTTCAGATGATGACAGCATGAGGCTACCGTCTTGCGAGTGGCTCTCTGCTGGAGAGGAGTTGGGCGAGATAGCTCACAGAGGTAAGTTGCTGCAACCAAAAACGCTGGTCCAATCATCTAATGTATATACAGAGAGCTCCGAAGTTGACGACGATCCTACCCCATACATCTTCGAATCTGATGCAGCAGCCATCAGAGCGTTCGTTCGCGAAATGGTAACGCAATCAGTGGTGCCTGGCATGGAACGCTTGTCAGCCTTGTGGAACAACGAAGTCGCTTCACGGCGACGAGGTATCGCAGGAAAGATTGGTATGGTGTCCAAGCGCTTCACGTTCGGTTTCTCAGGACGAGGCTCTTCTGGCGGCATCGGCGGATCCAACAGCAACTACGACGCCCTTCAAGGATTTTACAAGCCTGATACGCCGGAGGCTGTATTACGCAAACTCGCCGACTACGCTTTCATGCTCCGCGACTTCAAGCTCGCTCAGAGCACCTATGATCTTCTCTGCACAGACTATAAAAACGACAAAGCATGGAAACACTACGCTGGCGCCAATGAAATGGCCGCTGTTACAGCTCTTCTATCAGCACCCATCGTACCCTCTCGCACTCGGGTTGACTCTCTAGATCAATTACTAGAGACAGCATACTACTCCTACCTCACTCGCTGCTCTGCCCCTTACTCGGCCCTACGCACATTAATCATAGGCACAGAGCTGTTGCGCTTACGAGGCGGCTCAGCTCTAGACGACTCAGCCCGCTGGGCAACCCGCATCCTCGAAGACAGATTAGTAGGCAGCACAGGCCACGCCCTCCTTCTCGAACGCATCGCCTCCTGCTATTCCTCCCGTCGTGGGCACGGAAAACTAAACTCCGGCTCACGACACCGAAAAGCCGCTTTCTACCACGTTCTCGCTGCAGAAGCATGGCTAAAACTCGACAAACCGCGCCAGAGCGAGCAAAACCTGACTCTTGCTACGGAGATTTATGCAAATAGTTTACCGCCCTCAAGTCTTCAGATTTCGTCGTTTGAGCACTTGGAAACGTTTTTGTTGCAGCTTAAACAAGCGGTTGTGGAGAGTAGACCTGCTACTAGAGATGATGGCGATGCCACTGAACAGCAGAAGAATCAAGAAGATACACTGGCGGATGTGGAAACGATACAAGAACAACCTAGCAGTGGTCAACGAAGCCATGCTAGAAGTCTTAGCACTAACACTGCTGCTGCTCCTGCTGCGGTATCGGGCTTGGATCCGTTGGGTGTGGCTGTTTTGCCCCCTCCACATAGTCCTACACTTGAAGAACGACCGGATCCTGCTAATGATGGGTTTGAGTAGAATAGGACGGTAAATGAACGTCATCTGTCCCTTTGTTTTCGGGCTTGTAAGCAGTAAGGCATAGATCGAAGTTTATATTTGCATGGCGAAAGCGTGTTTCATGGTTCTTATAGGAACGCAAGCATCAACTATTGGGGCTGTCTGGGATATAGCTGGTGTCTATAGAGATACATATCTAATTCATTTTCCTTTGGCAAATGATCATTGATTCCTTCCCTAGCTGCCCTCCGCTTCATTCACGCTCTCGAAAGATAGAGAGAGAAAAGTCGGAGAGGAATTGAATATTCACAGCACTCGATGGGAAAGAATGCTGTCACTCCTATGCCTATGCCTTCCGATCTTCCTACCAAGCTAGGCAACTCATGGAATGGGGTATCTCGACTTCTTGCCTTTGGTAGAGCTCCTAGGCTCATCACCTCCACCGCCCAGCTGATCCAGCAGATCCAATACTCCGCCACCGCCTCCAGACCTCGCATTCTCCTTCTTCTCTTTGGTTTGTCTTTCTCTCTCCTTCTCTTCCTCCTCGGCTTTGAGTGCTCTTTCTCTTGCTTCCATCAGAGCTCGTTCCTGGGCTTCGTGGTATGCAGAATGGGGTTGTGCGGCACTGGTGTCGCGTTCGTCATCCGAGTCATCGAATTCAGAGGTCTCGGCGCCAGAGTCGGGAATTGCGCGTAACTGAGGTGATTGCACCAAGCCGCGCGAAGGAGAGCGTAGAGTCTCGGGACTCTCACTACGTGCGCTGCCGAAACTGCCACTGCGAGCACTGCGGCCGCTACGGCGACTAACATCTGAGCGGGCGGAGGTCACGCGACTAAGGGGCTCTCCGTCTGCTGCGATCTGGTCTGGACGATAGCCTATGGCCTCGGCAACCATACGGGCTTCTTCTTCGGCATCGCGCGTTTCCAGTTCGGGAAGTGCACCTAGACCGTCGCCAGGCATGATGCTCAGGCGATGTAGGGGATCCAGGGTATAGCCTGCACCATTTGCAAGAGTGTTGTCGCTCTTGTCGAGAATGTCGCGGTACCCACGGCGAGTGGGATCTTCAAGTCTCTGTCGCTTCTTCTTGTCGCGCTTAGACGAGGGCCGTACGACAATGACGGGGACGGGCGAGTGTTGGAGACAATACTTCGACACGGAACCTGGCAACAGTCCTTGAAAGCCTCCCAGCGATCGGCCCCTTGTACCGACGACTAGTATGGCGGGTTCATAGATTCTGATCTGGTAGTTGGTTAGTTGTGTGTTCGTACAAGTAGTTGTGACTCAGGGATCGGCATACCATGCGCTGAATCGTGTCCTGGATCTTGCCAATGGAAAACTCCAGAATGATGTTGATAGCCTTGTCCTCGGTGTTCTTCTCTTCGATACGCTCGAGCATGCGGTTGGCCTCCTTACGGTAACTGCGCTCTCTGCCTTCTCTGCCGCTTCCGCCACCAGCCCATCTGGCTGCCTCTTTACTGTCCTTTTCAACGACTCTTAGACAGACAACTTCGTCGCCATCGTCGACAAGTTCATCAATCAACCATTCAAGAGCAGTATCGGAGTAATCGTTGGTATCGGTGCCGCAAAGGAAGGTACGCGAGCGCTTGGTGTATTCATATTCGCGATGCTTGCGGCTCAGCGTCAACGAGAAATCCGAGGCGTCGCGGTTGTCGAACGTGTCAAAGGAGACACGAGGTTTGAACTGACTGGTCAGGGTTTTAGTAAGGGCCATGTATGGAAGTGCGGTGCGAAGGAGGGTTGACTCACGTAGGTGGAGGAGGACTGCTGAGTCGTCTGGTGGCCGAGGTCTCCTTGATGGGTATTGGCCTACGACTGCGGCTGCGACTAGCTTCAGCGGCTCCTCCAGCAACTTTCACATTCGGCATGAACTGGACAGAAGTTCTTCGAGCGGGGTTGCTGTCGTCAGAGCTGTGGAAGCGAATGGGCAGGGGGCGGGGCTTGTCGGCCGCGTTGTAAGAGCTTCCTCCAAAGGCCAACGATTGCGACGGAATATCTGACGTTTCGCCTTCAGGAGCATTCTGTGTAGGCGTCGCCTTGGGCGATTGTATCGGCGACGGGTTCATGACGAACAAGTCTGCTTCGTATGATAGCAAAGAGTGGAAGTTGCGGTCGGCAGGCACGGTATTAATTAATGAGTTTGTCGATACGACGAAGCAATAGCAGTCAGGGATGGTGATGATTCGCTTTCGGAACAGTAATATGTGACAGAGCCCGCGCCCTACAGAAGTCGCATGTGTTATGGACGAAAGGATTGGATGCGCTTTGATAAAGTCGGTCGCTGACTACCTGATTTAATGATGCGGTGATGCGGCCAAGGCTTGTTAGCCCTTGCCAATGCCACCTTCAACGGTATCTAAGGCAGTGCTCTCGGGGTTGTACATCTATGTACCGACTAGATGCCTTCTCTCGCCAGCTCTTCTACATGTACAAATATCTGTGTTAAGCATTCACGTGCTTAGCTATGCCGTTCTCTAATCTCGCTCTTCTCACCTTGCTCGCCGTTATGTGATTGACAGTGTCGAAATGTGGGGAAATCTGGAACGTGCTGTTGCTGTCACCCATTTGATTTCACATGCATCGTTGGGCTTTGTTTGCTGGCTTTCTCCAATCCGCTCATCAATCGAAATCATCCTAACAAAAGACAGAGACTTGTCATGCCAGCAGCGACATCCAGTGAGAGCCTGACACATCTGCGACTCTCAGTTGACAATCTTAGAAACCTCAATAACACTCTGCAATTCGATAGTATATTGGTGGGACCGACCATTAGAATGGGATGTCATCTCACAACCACGCCGATGCACGATGATTGGGCGAAAGCAGATATCGTGCTCCGGCGAGCATACTCAGATTGCTCTCCCCTGTATGCGAATCTCTTTATAATTTAAGATACGGTGTTCGATCAGGGTGGGCATACGTTGACATGCAATCAAGGAGACAAGTACTGTTCTTGAGTTCTTTCGACGGGCTCACACAGCACGTCCATGAACATCGTCTGCTACTATCGCATCCTCCACGTTGTCGAGATTAGTATAAGCGACACTTGACAGATCGCAGAGGATATCGACCATCCTCGACGAAGCGAGAGTGTAAAGGATACCACATCGAAGACCCGACTCGCGCGGTGACTGTCGGTGACAGATCTCGTCGGAGACACGGAGCCAGATGAGAGCGATTCCATCGCTGGGGAAGGCACTGAGGTCGACTTGCATAAAGGCTGCCATGGTGTGGTTGCTCTGGGTCATGAAGCAGGATTATATAGTGATGGAAAGCCTGTTGATTGCAAGCGCCCTCGTGTGATATGCCCTGTCATTCACAACTGTCAAAATGCACGATTGTTTCCGAGTCGGGGACGCGTCCAGAGAGAGTTGGCTTGATGTCGCTGCTGCTTTTGGGCGGTAAGGTTTGGCGCATTGGGTAGTCTTCTTTCTGATCAATGGGCGCGAATAGGGACATAGAACATACCAAAGTGGAAGCTGTAGACATGAATCGTGCTTCTTCTATTGCATGACGTTGAAGGCCGTTGTAAAGCAGCAACTGTGCCTAAACTGTCTCAATATAGCGCTTAAACTCCCTGAGCACGCATATGGTCAGTACTAGTCTTGTGGCTGAGAGGAGGGTGACTTACCAATCCGTGACTGCCTCGTCCCACAGTCTAAGTTCATGTTCGCGAGTGCCGGCAAAGTGATCAACAAATTCGTCGCCAAACACTTCTCTCGCAATACTGTCCTTGCTCTTGAACTTCTCGGTGGCCTCTCTCAGACTCTTGGCTAACCGGACACCTTTGTCTGATGCACCGCCGACATCCTCGCCCTTGCCCAAGGGTGGGATCGGGATCTCAAGCTTCTTCTCTACACCTCTCCATCCCAATGCGAGGATGGTTGCCAAGACAAGGAATGGGTTTGTGTCTGCACCAGGTACACGGACCTCGAAACGAGTGGATTTAGGAGAAGCAGTGGGAGGTGCGATGAGACGGATACTGGCAGCACGATGTTCCAAGCCCCAGCTTACAGTGACGGGTGCCCAGAAGTTCTCGACCAGACGCTTGTAGCTGTTGATTGTAGGAGCGAAAATAGGCATGACATCCGGAAGACCTTCGATCAGACCAGCGAGGAAATGGCGACCCAGATCAGATAGGTTCTTGACATCCTCGTAAGGAGCATTAGGATCGGGTTCGCTGCGGGCAAAGAGGTTTTGCTTGGTTCCCGGGTCGCATAGGGAGACGTGCATGTGGCCACTGTTTCCTGGCAGGTTCTCGCGGGGTTTCGCCATGAAGCAAGGTGTGATGCCAAACTTGCTAGCGATAGACTTGACGGTGAGCCTACAAATGTGTTAGCTGGAGCTCGGAGCTACAAGGCTTTTGTAGCATACTTGAAGAGGGCTGCTCGGTCTGCCATGCCTCTGATTTCGCCGAACTCGAGAGCAGCCTCAAAGACACCAGGTCCACTCTCTGTATGCCATCCTTCAATGTTGCATCTGAACTTTTCGCAGGCATCATAGACGCCGTAGTAGTAATCTTGGTTGTGGACCGGTCTTGTCACACTGTATCCAAACATGCCTTCAGTCAGGGATGGCAGAGCAGACGGTACGTTCTCCTTGAGGAACTTGGCTGTGCTAGACGAGTTGCGCTCGGGAGCGGTAGGATCGGAGGGGGACCTGAACTGGTAGAACTCATACTCGGCTGTACACATATCACAGTCAGCCTCTCATTCATCCGTATGTATGTTAGACATGCGCACCTCCTGCCATGGCACTCATGCCCTTGGCTTGGATCTTGTCGACAGCTCTTCCCAAGACACTTCTTGGACAAGCCGACACAGACTCGCCTTCTGGTTCATAGAAGCTGACCAGGAAGAAGGGAATGTTGTTCTCCCAAGGTATCCTCCTGAAACTGGCCAGGTCGACTTGAGCTGTGAGGTCTCTGTATCCATTCTCCTTGTTTGAAATCTTGAGTTCCTTGAAGTAGGTCTGGTCATGCATGTCCCAGCCAAAGATGACAGAGCAGAAGCCAAAGCCTGACTTGGCAATAGAGAGGAACTTCTTCTTAGAGACCAGCTTGCCTCTCAAGATACCGTCAATGTCGCATCCTGCCAGCTTGACGCTCGTGTCATTCTTCAGAAGCTCTGGCAGATCTTCGAGCGTAAGAGCTGTGGGATCGTCTGAGATGGCCATGTTGCAATCGACTATCGGGGTGCTCGATAAGTCGAGGGTCTGAGAGGTCGCAGGTAAGACGGTGCGTGTTGATAATGGATATCTCCTGCAGTTGCAAAGTTGGCTGCATACGCAACATGAGCCCCCGAAGATAAGCGAATGCGGGGCGAGCTGCAGCATCGCTGATCAGCCCTCCCTGCGTTTCGTCAGGGTCATGCTGTGACGCCGATCGAGTCTCTATCTTCAACATTCACGTGCTGTGCTACCGAGGACGAATGCAAACTGGTTCTTTCCTCGACTTCAACAACATTCGTTATGGTCTTGATGTGGTACGGAGAGTTCAGCAATCAGTTACATCATACCATCCAGCTCGATCGACCCCACAAAAGGGCGTCTACCTTCGTGTTCTCTTGAGCTAAAGTTTGTCACTCCCAGATCTATGTGAAGAAACGATACTGTATCTTTAGCAGGCATCGAGTACTTGCGATAAGCCAATCTGGGTGTTCAACACTGCGACTGTCTAAAATCGCGAGTATCTTTCCTGCCTGAGCCTCATTGTCGTTAGCAGTCGACTGCAGATGATGTGCGACGTGACCAAATTCAATACCTCCCTTATCACGTAAAACTAACCCGATTTCGGCCCGGCCGGCGGAGTCACTGACCGCAACGATAGCGAGTCATCCCTTGGCAGTACATGAAACACATGTTCAACTCCAGATTTCTTCTTGATACATTCAACATCAATCGCCTCTTGTCTTCGCCTGCTACGTGTCTGCTCGAATAAGGTAAGCATTGGTTCATATGGATGCGCAAGCTCGGTGCTAACTTTGGCCAGAAACTACAGCTACATCTAAAGCTTCATTCACATAACTTTTTGATAAGATTCTATCTACAATCATGAGCGCTGAAGGTAGAGGTCGTCTCGCTGGCAAGAACGCCGTCATCACTGGTGCTGCTGGGTAAGTAAAATTATACTTCGTATTGTCCATGTCTTGCTGCGTGGTTAGCATTGGTATGAGCACATCTTGCCACTATCATACAACCCAACTACTATCAACTTGAACAACATCGAAAGGGTTCATACTAACATTTGGGTAGTGGCATTGGTCTCGAGACCTCCATTCTCTTTGCCCGTGAGGGTGCATCTGTTCTGATGTGCGATATCTCCGCACCTGCTCTCGAGAAGGCTCTCGCCAAGGTCAAGGAGATTGTCCCCAACGCTGCCGGCAAGATCGAGACTACCGTCTGCGATGTGAGCAAGGAGGCTGATGTTGCTGCAACTGTCGAGAAGCTTGATCCATGGGGTGGTCTTGACATCATGTTCAACAACGCTGGTATCATGCACGCCGACGACGCAGGTAAGTTTCGCTTGAGGTTTTGATCAGAACCTTTAAGGCTTACAGAGTTGTAGACGCCATTGATACTCCCGAGAAGATTTGGGATCTCACTCACAACATCAACGTCAAGGGTGTCTGGTTTGGCTCAAAGCACGCAGTGCAAGCATTGCGTAAGCACAACAAGACCAAGGGCTCCATCATCAATACCGCTTCCGTGGTCGCGCTGGTGGGAGCAGCAACTCCTCAGCTGGCATACACAGCCAGCAAGGGTGCTGTTCTTGCAATGACTCGTGAGCTTGCTATCGTGCACGCACGTGAAGGCTTCAGATTCAACGCTTTGTGCCCTGCTCCTCTCAACACTCCTTTGTTGCAGGACTGGCTGGGTGACGACAAGGCCAAGCGCCAGCGTCGTGAGATTCACTTCCCTACTGGACGTTTCGGTGAGGCTATTGAGCAGGCTCACGCTGTTGTCTTCTTGGCCAGTGATGAGAGCAGCTTTGTCAACGGAACCGACTTTGTCGTTGACGGCGGAATGACCAAGGTATGTTGCATTCGATGTCCAGATTACATGTTGGCGCAGTGGCTGATTTTTGATAGGCATATGTCACTCCCGAGGGTCCTCCTGCTCCTGCCCCTGCTAACCTCGCAAAGTAAAGTGAGCCAGGGTTATTTTCATAAGTGGTTGGCGCATGGCTAGTTCTGCATGGAGCAAACGGATGACTTGATGATTCTTTCCTAAACAGCAAGATTATACAGTTGAACGAGAATTCGCATTAGACCAAGACTATCATCTATCTTGCTGTCTCTGCTTTGGTCCAGCGGACCAAGTGTGTGAGGGGTAATGTGCTGCCGCTTGTGGCATATCATCTGTTTGTGTCGTACAGATGTGTGAATCATATAATATTTGGATGAGAGGTTAGAGAAGGGTCATACGCAGAGTCAGCGAAGAGTATTTAAACCTTCTTGGCGTTCTCATAAGCGCCCTTGGGGTCCTTAGCGATGGCCTCAAGCTCTCTGCCCTCCTGCTTGCCAGCCTTCTTGAGTTCCTCGGGGATAGAATCGCCCTTTTGAGCTTGTTGCCAGAGGAGGATACGCGAGACCTGTGTTGCGCCGACGCAGAAGAGAAGGAAGTTGACGGAAGCGAGGCTGTATCATAACAGTCAGCACTTGACCATATAATTTCAAAGGGACTTCGATTGGACGTACAAAAGGTTTCTGGGCTTGATGACGAAGCACCAGCGGGTCCAGATCAAACCAGTAGCCATGAGGGCACCGTTCTGAGAAAGAGAAAGCGACTCGACGGGACGAGCAAAGTCGGCAGCACCAGCAAGAACGAGACCCCACTTCATGATGGGAGCCCAGAAGTGGACGGTCTTGGGACCGACGGGAGACTGCCAGAACTGTTGGAAACGAGACTGGTTTGGCGCAGGGTCGACATTGGTCTCTGCTGCGGACTGATAGGTGCGTCTTTGAGCGATGGGCTTGCCGGTGCGGGCAGCCTGTTGGCGGAAGGCATTGAAGAAACGGAGACCGGCTCTGGACGACATGGTTGCTGTCTTATGTGATTGAGTGGAGATTGAAAAGAAGTTGCGCTCGAAGGGAGAGAAAGAGCGTCGCTGCTGGTTTCGGTGATATCTCGAAGGACCCGATGCCGCAATGCGGAGCAAGAGCGGAGTTTGTGTCAGCGCCTGCCGTCTCTGCCAAAGAGATGCGTTTGCTCTGTTTGCTTCGTAGCCCTTAGGTCAGCAATACCGACTCTCGACTGTCGCGAAAGTCCAAGAGGCTCAATTGGATCATTCAACTCGACTCTCACACACAACCATGTCGCTCAAGCAATCGTTCTCCAAGGCGCTCAAGGAGCTGCGCTTCCACCACTGCCAAACCTCAGAACACAGCGCCGCCGTCCGGTAAATTGCCATCCTCTCGCGACCTCCAATTCGATGCGCAACCAGAATCCTGACTGCTGGACAACAGCTCGTTCCTTACCCAGCAATACCCTGCCATGAAGAAGGCCAACCCTCACACCCCCATCTTGATCCGCGAAGCCCTTGAAGTCGAGCCGAGAGTCTGGGCCAGATACGGTTAGCACACATACAACACAACCTCTGCAATCATGGAATAATGACTGATCATGCTGTCGAATAGACTTTGGCAAGGAGAAGAGCGCAAGCTTGAAGGGTATGTCTGGAACGGAGTGCAATACGACAGATCGACCAGTACTGACAAGGCCTACACAGGTCTCGACAACAAGGCTATTGAGAGCAAGATTGCTGAGCTGGTCCAACAAGCTCAATAGATACCCCCGTTCGAAACTTATCATCGTTCTTCTTGCTGTACAAAATTTGCGACTTCGTTCTTCATCATCTTCCGAAATCTGCATCGATCATGACCATCTACGAATCGCAATTGCACTTGCGAACAGGCAAAATGATATTGAGACTTTGTTTCTAACGAACCGACAAGTATTTACGATATCAAGCTGTAACATTGCCAACTTCTCCAAATCTGAACTGCGCCCAAGACATGCTGCCCTGAGGCAGGGTCCAGAGCTGCTTTCCGTTATCGCCACCGGCAGCACCTGCACCAATGTGGATAGGCAGCAAGTGTTCGAAAGACGGATGCGCTCTTCTGGCATCACTTCTGCGCAACAAGTCCGCCATTGCCTTTTGTCTGTTTTCTGGCTGTAACAATTGTCAGTCAGGTGGTTTCTTGCCATGATGGAGCATCGAGGTCAAACATGCCTTTTGTTCAACAGCCTCTTTTAAAGCAGCGTCAAAAGTGATACTATAGGGCATGGGAGCTGGTTGCTGCATAGCCTTCCACATGTCCCTCAGGTTATGCACAGCCATGCCACTGACGATCACCAGGATGCCTTCCTCTCTCAATCCTTGAATAGCTTCTCCAAGCCTGTAGTGCTGATCTGCATCATCGCTATCGAAGAGTGAAACTTGCACCAACGGCACGTTCAGAGGGTTGGTCTTGGGGTCGAAAGCGACAGTAAAAGGTGCAAACACGCCATGATCCAGACCTCTGGAAACGCCGTTTGCGTCGATGTTCGCCGTCTTCAACGCAGTCAACACGCGGGAAGCGATGTCTTTGCTACCGATGTTTGGGTACTTGACTTTGTAGTAGTGGTCTGGGAAGCCATAGTAATCGTAGATCAAGTCCGTGAGTTCTGCCGTGTTTACTTCGATGGTGTTGGGTGATGCTTGCCAGTGTGCTGAAAATACGACCACGGCTTTTGGCTTTACTTTCTGCGTGATCTCTTTGCCAATTTCTTGGAGTTTCGAGTAGGCTGGATGGCTATAGTCTTCCATGATGTTTGGCCCGCCATGCGAGAGGAAGTAGACTGGTGTGCGAGGCATCATGGACTTCGAGTATGAATGTAATTTGCTTGTGGCGACGGTCGAAGTATTATTTAGTAATGGCGTAGGAGCACCTCTTGTGATAGTCCTGGCCCAGCGAAGTAAAGGTGCTGAGAATGGGAGTAGAGCGATAGCCACGATTAGACCGAGGATTGAAGTTAGCAGTCCGATGCGGGTGTATTGCATTGGCAATCCAGTTGATCGATGGAATTTTTATATCAAGTAAGGATTTCTATTCAAGATGATTTTGGAATCTTATATATCTTCTTTGGTATAAACGGCACTAATTCCGCTGTTGCTTACAGAGGGTTCGGCGTGCTGGCCTCCGAGCTTCGGATGCTTGGTAAGATGCTGATAGAGAACGGTTGTTGCGACTTATCGTTCGGAAGTCTCTTGACTGGTGCGCGTCACGAGCTTGAATCTGAACCCGAGCGACGACATCTAAATCATACAACAAAAAATCAAGTTCATTTGACAGTCACTGACAAGATGGCTGCGATCGTGCTTCCTGCCGCCAGAAGGCATACCTCTACTGTCATTGTCATGCATGGTTTGGGTGACAGGTAGGCTCAAAAAGCTATGGTCCTTCAAGGCCTATTTTACTGACATTCTATCAGTGGCCACGGATGGTGAGTGTGGTAGCTCACCGTGGATGCATGCGATCTAATCCACTCTTGTGAAGGTCGTTCCTTGCCGATATGTGGAAGGGCAAATTCGAAGAGACCTCTTTCATCTTCCCCCATGCACCCGAGATCCCTATCTCTGTGGTATGTGCAGGATGATTTGATATTCTGTAGCATCGGACTGACAGACACAGAACATGGGAATGAGAATGCCTGGGTGAGATAGCTCGATCGACATACCTGATCGAATATCCAGCAGTTGCTGACTTTCGACCGTCTGCAGTTGGTACGACATTGTAAGGCCTCGCAGTTCAGCAAATGTTTGCACTCTCCCCCCTCAGTCATCAAATACCCTCAAGACATACCGGCCTTGCAAAAAGACATTACTGACTAACTCTGCTCCACAGATGTCTTTTGACGACATTCAACAAAACGAAGACGAGGCTGGCATTACCCGTTCACAAGCGTACATCCACTCTCTGATCGCCAAGGAGATTGAGAAGGGCATCCCTTCCGAGCGCATCGTCCTCGGTGGTTTCTCTCAGGGTGGTGCCATGAGTCTTATGTCAGGCGTCACTGCTCCTACACGGTTGGGTGGCATCTTTGGTCTCAGCTGCTACTTGCTTCTTCGTGGCAAGCTTAGAGACATGATCCCCAGCGAGAACCCAAACAAGGTATATATATCTCCAACCTCGATATTGATATCGATCTATGTCTTCTTATGTTTCCCGTGCTAATCTGAAACAGCAAACACCCATCTTCATGGGCCATGGAGATGTTGATCCGGTTGTTCAATATGCTTGGGGTCAGGCCACTGCTAAGACTCTTCAAGAATGGGGCTGGAACGTCGATTTCAAGACGTACAAGGGTCTTCCTCACTCAGCTGCTCCGCAAGAGATTAACGATCTGGAGCGCTACATCAAAGAAAGAGTCCCTGATCTTGGTGACAAGCCTCTTCCCTCCAAGGCCTGACTGGATCAACATGCTCCGTCTGCTGGTGTCGGAAGGATCTGGCTAGCCATTCTAGTGTTGTTCTGCTCTCTGGTCTTCTGGAAATGGACGGGCAGACGTAGAGCTGAGGGCAAGAAGGAATAGACATCAATTACAAGCCATTGTGCCATGACTTATCGATCCTGTTCTGTGTGTGAGTTGGCTTCGAAACACACCCGCTCTTGGCCGTCGCGGTGATTGTGAAGGATACTCAGAAGACAGGCACTTTACTTGCGACCCATGTACGTGCATGTATATCTGCAGAAGTACCTTCTAGATAGCCCCATGGTGCTCTCCAGAAAAATTGTAGGTGGCTACGGCTCCAGACATCTTGTGTTTCATCAGATCGGCAAGATATTGCCGTATGCAGAAGCATCAGAACAGAGTAATTTTTGATTCTCGGCCCGCAGTCTCACGCGTCCAAGTACTTTATCCCAAAACCTTGAAACAAGAATCTGATATGCCCTGAATCACGACCCAAAGAGAAACAATTGTCCGAGATTTGACAGCTTGTGACAGGCTGAGGTCTCTGTGTTTCGGCATCGCTCTTGCCCTCTTGCCTCGCACGGCCCCCTCTCCCCACCCTCGTCCGTCTGTACCAACGTTTCAAACAAAGCAGGTTTCCATCCCATCTCCTTTTTATCAAGGATCAGGATCCAAGAATATGCGCGAAATGCGCCATCGTTGCGCGTCTGAGATGCAACTTCGTTTTCTGAATCGTCCCTGCCGGTCGCACCGAGAACCTGGTGCGCGGTCTGCCATTCGCCAGGACGTGCTCTCCCTCATAGGGCGGTGGCCCCTCTATTTTTCGATCAGAAGTCCCAAGCCACAACCGTACTGCTTGTGATTTACCCTGTTTACCGTCCAAGGATGGTGCTGTTCTAGTGGATGCGTAGGTCCTTGTTCCCCGCCTGTGGTAAATAATGGTGTTGGTGTGGCCAAGCGGCACACATCATTTAGCATGGTGTGGCCGACCTGCTGGATGTAATTGCGTGGTCCGCCTCGTGTCGTGAACCTCTGTTCTCGATTTTTGTCTTTCTTCTGACACTCAGACCTTCTTCTTGTTTTTGCCCTGTCCCGTCATTTGGAGCTGCTGGCAGCATCGTTGCTAGAAGGTATAGATTATCTCGCACCGCACAAGGCCGGTCTTCACCATGGAACTTCACGGGTTGGACAAGGCGGATTTTGCTGCCATCATGCAAGAGCCGGTCTCTAGTCCCGAGAGGACGTCAAAACGACAGGTTCTCAAGAACTTTGCTTCCAAGCTGAAGAGAAGCACCAGCAGAAGAGGATCTCTGGTGCGCTGCATACCACATCGATCTAAGTTTACATTCCCCTAACAAACTTATAGAACGAGCATTCTCTCAACCGGCGTAAGAGTCAGCTTCTACAGGTCCCTTCTGTGATTGTCGAATCTGAACCCAATATTCTTGCTGAATGGGGCAGCAAACGCTCAGCTGACTTGCCTCGCCCATCGAAAGATTCAGTCGTCGGACAATACTATGTCGGCAACACTGTAAAATCAACGCACAAATCACCTAGGTCGAGCCCAAAGCAATTGAGCCACGATGAGCTTGTCAACTATTTTGCTGGAGCACCCGAATTCGACATCAAATCACTCAGACCGAGAGTCAGCTACCGATGGAAGCTGGATGAGGAGAGTTGTGAACCACAGGACTTTGTCGATGTTGGTCACAGTACCTTCGAGGCCGCTACTCTGAGACATCGTGAACGAACACGACAACTTCGAGACCTGGTTGCAGAAGACGCCGACAATCAGATTCCTATGATGGAAGTGCCGAACATGTTGAGCTTGAACGGGATTGAACCTGGAACGATCGGTCTGGAATACTTCTTGCAGATGCCTCTGGCAGACAGTAAGCGCTCTGCTGAAGACGAAGACGACGCCTTCAGGCCTAAGAGGCAATTGCTGGTTACATCACCAGAACGTCTAGAGCTCAGACCGCTTAACCTCGAGTACTTGGTCCAAAGACTGGGAAAGATTGGTGATAGCCGACATTCTAGATCCAACAACCAACACCATGAGCGAAAGCGTAACGAACAAACAACTGCCGAACTTCACAAAGGACTGTTTTCCAACTTGCTCACAGAGCCTGAAAGGGAAGAAGACGATCCTCCATACACAAATCTCGAAGGTCAGGTTGTGGCGCTTGCAAGAGTGTTGGTGACGATTAAACTTTGGTACGACTTCAGTTTGGTGGAGCATCGAATTCGTCTAGGCCAAATCTTGTGGCCATCCACAGAAAGTGATGAGGAGTCGGTAGTCGAAACTGAGGAACCATCAATGCCCAGCGAACGCGACATTCTGCTCCTTCAGCTCGCTTTGGCTTGTGAGCTATTGATTCGTGTCGAGCTTTCTGGCTTTCCAACATCTGGCTTTTCACGCAAACTGCGATGGGATCTTGTATTGGCACAACGCTTCCTCGACAACGTTCACATTGCACCAAAGGCAACAGTGGATGATATCCCTTCATATCGCAATAGCGTCATGTCGATTGCTACTTTTGTGACAGCTAGAGAAGACCTGGAGGGAAATCATGTGGAACCAATCATGTACCCGAGACACGAGAAGAGGCAAGTGGCTGGTTTGCTGAAATTTGCAGAAGCCTTGGCCTGGCCACATACAGAGGAGATAGAGGACCGCTTTGCTGAGCGAGTAAGAAGGCACTCGCGTGACGCAGGCAGGTATGGTGTTTACGGTGCACCCCTGGGAACGCCGAATCAAACTTCCAGTCAAAGCAACTACTTTGTTCAGCAGAAGCGACCGCAGGTCAGTCGTACATGCACAGCACAATCTTTACAGCTCCTGCCGGCTTCAGCATACGGCGCTGGCACTTTTGACCTCGGTGGCTGGCTTTCGAGGTCGTGGTTGACGGGCTTTGTGCTCCCAGGTGAATCCACTTCACACCTGCTCATCTCGACTCTGTTGGAGAACTCGCCCTCAGCGGTCGCTGCGTTAGGCGATGCAGCTAATTTGTACCAAGGCTTCGTCTACAAATCACGTAGCTACTGGAGTAAGAGTTGTGTAGTGGGTAGAGTCATAGCAGCTGCCAACGGAGCAGCTGACTGTATGGGCTGGATATCATGTAGCAGCGCACCTGTGGACCAAAAAGATGGATGGGTCAATCTCGAAGTCAAAGATCTGCCTGGCTCTACCACTCCTCCCACCACAACTCTGGCAGCCGACTCGGCATTTGTGCCTGGCGAGAAAACCTCGGTCGCAGATGTCGAGTTTACCTGGCCTGTTGACGGCTTTGCAGTGCTGGGTAACGAAGCACGATACCTCGGATTCAGTCTGCTACCCACAGGCACCAGCTTCGAGCTCAGTGCTTCACCCTCAGACAACCCTTCAGGCGATAGCGGCGCACAACTGGCACCCATCCCAACCGCGGTCGCCTGCCTCGAATTCGGCACGAAGCGCAGCTCGCGACCAGCCAAAGTGACACTACCACTCCTCTACGACGTCCATTTCATCTCCGCGACACCATGTTTCCCCAACATCTCGAGACCACCATCACCAGTTACAAAAACATCATCGACAAAACCTCGCTCGGGCTCCAAAACAGAAGGTCCATCGAACAAAGAGTTGCCATCGCCACCAACGCATCCTCTGCACTGCTCTTATGCTGTTGATGTCGTTCCTGCAGCTACTATTCTGGCCGATGATTTTACAGACACCGTGCATCTGGGTAATGAGACTGTGGTCTTGGATTGCAGAGGTACTGGAGAATTGCAGTTGCTAGCCAGAGCTTGGTGTGCCAAGGTTGGTGAAAACGCTGTTGTGGGTAGAGTTGGCAAGACGTGTTTGGGATGTTGTGTTCGAGAGGCGAGTGGATTGGGTGTCAAGGTTGTGATTAGAATCTGAGAAGCCTCTTGAGACGGCGAGTGATTCCACTGTTCAGGCCTGGATGGCTTGTTTTTCATTGTGTAGATACCCCATTTCTTGCGTTATGTACTTGTTCATATCATTCTGTAACATTCTGTAACATTTTTATTGCGTCGCACCGGCATCTCCCTCTTCATCAATTAATACCTCGACCACAGGCACATCCACCCTAACAACCCCATCCTCCTCCCTCCCAGCCACACGCCTAAACTCCTCAAAAGCCTCTTGATCCCAACTACTCGCCCTCATACCATCACCCGCAAACCTCAACGCATCCTTCAACCACCTCCCTTTTTTGTTTCCAGTCTTATCCACTCTCTCAACCCAATGCCACAAACTCGGATCTCTGAAATTGATATCAGGAGCTGCCTCCCCGGAAGCACGAGAAGTGATGTGCGCACGCAAGCCAGCGGCGAGTAAATAAAACACAACGCTGGGATTGCAGTTATGGTCCATGACTGCGATTTTTAGGGTTGTGGTGTCGGGGACGACGTTGATGGCAGGTGAGCAGAGTAGAGCGACTGCAGTGTAAGAATGTGCGGATATTGCTGTTGCTAAACCTGCTATAGCGGTTTCGCCGCGAGAGGATGATGTCCAATCGATGCTGCAACCTGACCAGATGAGGTATTTCAGAAACTCTAGTTTTGGTGTTGTCCAAGGTTCGTGGAGGAGAGATTGGGGAAGTTGGACTAAGGAGAAGAGGTTGAGGTAAGGCAGGCGAGGTTGGTTGTGTGGGTGAGAGAAGTTGGGGACTGGGAGGGTCGGCGCTTCGTCTTGGTCGTTGTCGCTTTCGTCTGTGTCTGAATCAGAGGGTGACGAGCTGCGTGATGGCGGTGATTTTCTTTTGTGTATTTCTTGTATGGCGTCCTTGAACAGATCCCAGGTCATCCACTTGCATTGTAGCATGCGAGAGACTGCGACAGCATCTGCAGCCCTGTCTTCGCTAGCACTATCCCTAGAAAGCGTATCGATGGCAAAGCGAAGATAGGTGTTGCGGTACGATAGATCGCGAGCAAAGACATACGACGACAAAGGCAAGCTTATGTTGTTGCAACATTGAAATATCACTTGTACAAGCTCGGTAGGCAGTTGCTCAAACTTTGATAGGGTTGGATCTCGCTTTGTTTTCTTTTTGCTATTGAGAGAAGATGTGTTATTTACTGCATGAAATCTGACTGACAGACTTTCATGATGACAAAGGAAAACTATCATTGATGTGCCGATACTTACTTCTTCAGGGGTTGAGAGCTGGCTTGGTTGAAGCGCGCAGTCTTCCATGGTCGGTCACGGTTCTTGAGCGACACGTCTTTACTTTCAGACAAGCGACCTCGTTTGCGACGACCACGGATCCTGATGGGGGTGAGATCCATGTTGGATGGAGTACTCATGTGTCAACCAATGGTAGAAGTGTAGATGCCTAGACTATCAACTCAGAGTTAGCGAAAGTTCCAAAGGACAGTGCTGTATTGAGTGTGATGGTTGTAAGAGTTCTCAGTGATCTTGGTGTAAAATCGATCAGCGCCGAAGCTCAATTACTATCTAGTGCTAAAGGTTTTTAATCATTGAACGAGGGAGTGTGTGTTGTGATGTGATGGAAGAGTGCTCCTACCTATTGGACCAAGCAACTTATATCTCGTTGATTTGTTGATGCAAAGGCAAGTTTGTACTGAGCTCAAAGTCAGTGAATGATTCGAGCAAGGTGATGTTTGATAAAGTGAAGATTGGGATGAGTGTCAGAATATGTAAGAATTGAATCTCATAGCGTATGCGCCGTTTAGAGAAACAGGCGTGTAACTCCGGTCACATACGTCAATCGCAAATTATATCATCTTTCGGAAGAGTGCTGGGGATGGCGTGCAGAAGAAAGGAAGCGTGGATATAACATACCTTCACATGTTGTTGGTGACGAGAAAAGGAAAAGCAGAGAAAATCTCAGAGTCGCGCGCAAGCTAAAAAGCAGACAGCAAAGCTGGGGGTCGGCAAGCGAAGTTAAGCCGGTGCTTGGCGACTCCCGCACACACACTTCGCAAGCCCGACACACACTTTGCGAAATAGCATCCGACGACAATATCCACTCAACCCTCTTTTTACTGTACGTCCGAACCGAAGAGCACTGCAGTCGCTGCCACATCCATCGCCCTCTGGAACACTTCATCTGACTCTACTCGCCAGAACAAACAGTCAAAATGGGTGACGCAGACATCAAGGCCAGCCAGTGGAGACTCGTCGAGGTCGGCCGTGTCGTCCTCTTCAGCACCGGTCCCTACGCTCAGAAGCTCGCCGCTGTTGTCGAGATCATCGACCACAAGCGCGTACGTGAACTCCTCCTGCCGACTTCCTGAAAGAACGCCCGACATCGAAATATCCACATTCGCACAAAACACACCTCCGAACGCCTCCTACCCCAAATTCCGCATATCGCAAATTGCGCACAACACGAATAGACAGTCAGCAAGAGCGTCAGGCTGACAGTGTATGAAATAGGTCCTTGTCGAGGGTCCTTCCTCCGACCCCAAGGCTGCCGTCCCCCGCCACTCCGCCTCTCTCTCTTCCCTCTCCCTGACTCCCATCGTCATTGAGAAGCTTCCTCGCGCCGCCGGCCACGCCGCCCTCAAGGCTCTCTGGGAGAAGGATGGTGTCGACAGCAAGTGGAACAACAGCGCCTGGGCCAAGAACCGCGAGCGCTCCGTCAAGCGCAAGCAGCTCACCGACTTCGAGCGCTTCAAGGTTATGCGCCTGAGAAAGCAGGTGCGTGGATGAAAACGATCGCATAACACAGTCGAGCAGACCGACTAACAATACACCAAACAGGCCCGTTTCGAGGTCCGCAAGCAGTTCGCCGCTGCCCGTGCCCAGGCCGCCAAGGCATAGATGGATGACTCTTCAAAAAAGGGGACGGATACATGGGTTCAATGGGAGTAGTGGGCTTTGGCTTTTTGCAGAAATGAAAGCGGGAATCTTCTTTTTCACACTGCTACGCTGCTGCACATTCGATGCTGCCCTTACGTGTTTCCAGCAGAAGGTACAAGACAGCTTCTGGGAGACTGACGGAGGGCCACAAGAGTCCTAGCATCGACAAAGTCTATCCAGCTCTTTTTCCAAATGCTGTGGGAAAAAAAGGAAAAATGCTTCAAACACCAAAATCTTCAGCAACAACGCTTTTTACGTTCATGAATTATTGTACATGCTTGACTTGTAATCTGTGATGAACCAAAAGTGCATGTAAACAGTGAATTGACACCTTGATACTCTACTGGGCGCGTGGAGACGAATGCTGGCCAGTGACGCAGCCAATTCGACGTGAAGCCAGCACCAGCCAAAGTGACAAAATTCACCGTGGGGCAGCTTCGGCAATTCCAAGCAAGCACGCGGCGCATCCAACCTCATCCCAAGGCCACATCACTCAGTAACTGCATATCAGAATCGTCAATTTCGGTGAGTACAGGCGAAGCTATGCGCAAATTTTGCACCTCTCAATTCTGCAAAATCATTGAACGAGGCTCGATGTGTTTTCCAACGTCCAACAAAGAGCTCTCGTGCGTCGTGGCAGCAACAGTCGACTGACGCGCAAATTCGCCCACAGATCCTATAACCAGCCAAAATGTCGAACCCCCGTGTTGAAGAAATCGTCGACGACAAGCCCGAGCAGCAGGTCGAGGTTGATGACAGCAGCTCCGACTCTGAGGGTGAGGAGGGTGGTATCCCCGCCGGCTCCTCCGTCACCGTCCACTCGCGCAACGAGAAGAAGGCCCGCAAGGCCATTGCCAAGCTCGGCTTGAAGAAGATTGAGGGCATCACTCGCGTCACTCTCCGCAGACCCAAGAACGTAAGTACTAGTCTTGTAATCCTATGCCAATTGGAAACAGGAAGCTAACCCTAGTCTAGATCCTCTTCGTCATCAGCCAGCCCGATGTCTACAAGTCCCCCAACTCCAACACCTACATGTAAGCTTTCACTTCATCTGTCAACACTCTCTAAGTACACTCGACTGACACGCGACACAGCATCTTCGGTGAGGCCAAGATTGAGGACCTGAACTCGCAAGCCCAGGCTGCCGCCGCCCAGCAGCTCTCCCAGCAGGAGGGTGCCGCTGAGCACACCCACGACCACTCCGACAAGGGCAAGGCCCCCGAGGTTGAGGCCAAGAAGGAGGAGGAAGAGGAGGATGACGGTGAGGAGGTCGACGAGACCGGTCTCGAGGCCAAGGACATTGAGCTCGTCATGGCCCAGGCTTCCGTCAGCAGAAAGAAGGCCGTCAAGGCCCTCAAGGAGAACGACAACGACATTGTCAACTCCATTATGGCCCTGAGCATATAGATAAAGTCATCTGTCTTGAGTAGACATGACTGAAGCTTGGCTCAAACCCCTAACACTTTACATATAAAAAGTTTCTATCAACGAATGAATGTTCTCGTTGTATTCTGACTATTGTTCCTGCCTGCTCGCATGTGAAATATTCTTCTTGCTATCAAATGTTCAATTGCATGCCGATATCGAAGTCGTAGAGACTCGGGTTCGAGGAAGGCGCACGGACATTTTTGCCAAGAATGGAAAGAGCGACGGAGACGCAGCAACCTCAGTCGATGTCCGCGAAGGCCAACGGATACCGCCTGCATCGCCGTCTCTCTCCCCTCTACCTTCCGTCAATCCAACCCATCGTCACAATGGCCGTCGGAGTGAGTCATGTCGCCCTTTTTCCACCGTCCTGTCGCCTTTCCGCTTGCGCCGTCGCTCCCGATCCTCGCTCTGTCGCCAACATAAGCTAACACCCTTCTTCAGCGCAACGCAGCCCTCAAGCTCGACTGGGCCAAGCTCTCCCAGCAGCTCTCCCTCAAGGGCCAAACCGCCAACTCTCTTGTCGCCTTCAAGAAGCGCAACGACGACGCCCGCCGCAAGCTCGCCCAGCTCCAAGAGCAGCAGCAGTCGATTGACTTCGCCCACTACCGCGGTATTCTCAAGAACCAGTCCATCGTCGACGACATTGAGAAGCAGTTCAACGCCTTCCAGCCCAAGAAGTACGACGTCAACCGCCAGATCAAGGCCATTGAGGCTTTCGAGGCCCAGGCCGTCAAGGCTGCCGAGCAGACCAAGTCCAACGTCGATGTTGAGCTCAAGGACCTGCAGAAGACATTGAAGAACATTGAGGAGGCCAGACCATTCGAGGACTTGACCGTCGTGCGTATACCCGGATCTATCTGCCCACGAGTTCCCTCATGTCTAATAAACACATCTAGGACGAGGTTGCCGCCGCCCAGCCCGAGATCGACCAGCGCACCGAGCAGCTCGTCAAGAAGGGCCGCTGGATGGTGCCCGGATACAAGGAGAAGTTCGGCGATCTTTCCATTCTGTAGAGTGGTTATATCTTACTACTTCCTTGTATCTTCTTTTGCTCTCCGCCACAAATTCCCGCCATATTTCCCCGAAACACGCTCATCAACACCTGTATCTTTTGCCGGTCGAAATGGGCTGCAACCAAGGCAAATTTACTTTGTAGCATAGACAAAATCGCATTTGCCCTTTGATCAAACGAAACAACTCTGCTTACGAGGAGAAGCAAAATTCCTGTTCATATCGGGACATCATTGACGAGAATTCTGAATAATTTTGGAGCAACGACTAAATCACAAGATTAGGTGAGTTTCGATTGATACTGGGAAATGAGTTGCGGCCGAGGTAAGTCATGGAAGAGCCGCAAAGCCGAGTCAGAATACCACCCTTTTTCTTTACACAGATCTCGTGTTTCGTTGTCTCAATCGTGCCTTCTTTCGAAGCTCAAGCCTTTTTTCCTCTTGTGTTCGGTCGCTCCTTCCTCTTGTACTTGGTTGCTCCTTCTCTTTACAAGCCTTCTCTTTCGGGTCGTTTTTCCCTCAGTGCAAACTTCCACTTTTAAAGCCCACCTTACAGTATCTTATATGTCTTATTTGACCAAACATCTTGACTATTTTCATGGCATTGACCCGATAGAAGCTTCTCACTATCATAATCCCCTACTTCGATGTTCTATTATCCATCTTTTCGTATCGTGCAATGAAGACCCTGCCTCATATAGAGCTCGACATTTCCTATAACCCCATCAAGTCAGTCTTGGTATTGAAAACATCTTTCACAGGTATACAATCAAAATCTGATGATCTGTAATTGCAATATCTCCATCCACCATTTTTGTTTCTTTTTTCGCTAACGTGAAAGAATAAAGATTTACTGAGGTGAGGATGACCCTGACGCAATTTTCCTGTTGTCATCATTCTTTTCTTGTCAAGTCAAAGGGATGGTTCATGAGCCTATGACTGTTGATATGTCGGTGACTTGCTATTCCCTCCTACTTGCTTAGGCTGTTAGAAACGTTAAAAAGCTCCATGTCGTGGTCTTACTATGTTTTGAGATTCTGTCGAATTGTGCCGCACAACCTTGTCAAAACGAGCACATCGCAATTCTGAATCCTGGCTAAGATCGTGTCTCTCTGTTCTCTCGATCTAGTCTTCTTCTATCCATCGGTGAACTATCCTATTCACTATTTCTAATGTGCGCTTCTGTAATCTCTGACTTCTTCTTGGTTCGATAGCACACGTATGATCAAAAGCATTTAGCCACAAGTGCATATCAAAGAGAAGGTAGAATCATGGAAGACAACAGAAGGAGAAACGAGAAAGAGTTTCAAGTCGACGAGATGAATCCAAAGGAGTGGTAAGAAAAGGTGTGCACATTAGAGGAAGGAACGACTAAGGCAAAAAAAACCTTCTAGGGAAGGAGCGATCTAGAAAAGGAGCGATCGAGGGAATGCGCATAGCATAGGAAAGACCGATCGAGGGAAAGAAAGAAAGAAGTGGAAGGAACAAAAAACAGAGAAGTAACGAGCACGCCTTCCCATTCTACAGCCGACAATACGAGAGTAACAAAATAAGAATCGACGTCAGTTTGAGGAGTTATCGAGTCTAAACCTACCAAAGTGGTGGAAATTGCACTCTTCGAGCCTTCTCTTTCTCTTCCATCGCATTCCTGGCCTTTGTACTTCCTGAAAAAGTGTAGAAACGCCTCTCATATTGTCTCCGTCCAAGAGTTTTTGGGGTATCATCCGTTGCATTCCATGTTTGTAAAACGAGTGTGGGTGTGTTGCATTTGCTCATAGCTGTACTTGCAACATCAGTGAGTCTGACTGTGACTCTCCAGAAAAAGTAGAAAAGACAGAAGAAAAGTGTAAACCCTGGTGATGAGTCCAAAGAACATCGCAAGGGCCAGAAAGAGGCAACAAAGAACAATCAAAGTGTCCAAAGTCATCCAAAAGTCAAGTAAAGAGCACTGTCAGCTTAACCAAGCAAAGCATCCTCACGGCGCTGCTCAAGACCAGGCAGAGCAAGAACCTGACCACCCTCAAAGGCAGTGTTGTCTTGCTCAGCACCTCCAGTGGTGTCCTGCTGACCACCAGCCAGGTGTGACTCGCCAAAAGTGAGAGCACGGTTGGTAGGCAGGACGCGGCTGAGAGCCTCGTAGACAGCACGCCATTCAGCATCAGCAGCCTCCTTCAGAGTGTGCATGTCTCTCTGTCTGTGGCTCTTGTACTGGACGCTGAAGTGGCCGAAGGTAGAGTCGCCAGCCATCTCAGAGTCGAGCAGCTCGAGGCAGGAGTCAGGGTCGGCGATGGCGTTGCGAGCGAAGGCGCCCTCAGGGTCGGTGGCTGAGCAGAGCAGGGCAACGATGTAGGCAAGCAGCGAGTCAGAGGACTTGGGGTTCTTGGACAGAGCCTCGAAGGGCCACCAGCTGCCGGTCATCTGGTCGACGGGAGTGAAGGGGATCATGCCGAGCAGAGCACCGTAGCCTTCGTTGGTGGTGACGTTGACAATGTAGGTCTTCTGTTGAACGCTGAAGCCGGGGTTGCCCAGGCAAGCAGTGAGGTATTCCTGCAGCAGACCGCGGTGCAGCAATTGAGGGTGGGTGTTGCGGCTGACGGCGTTGATGAGGACGCGCAGCTGGATTAGAGCACACGAAAAGAGGGAGATGCGCTCGCGAATGGTGATGTGCTCGGTGGCGTGCCATGGGTACTTGTGCATGATGGAGATCATGGTCTCATAAGTACGGTTGACACAACGCTGAGCAAAGGGTGAGCGCTGAGGAGTCTCGGCGTGCTTGGTGATCATGACCATCTCCTCACTGGTGACAAAGCCCTGGAAGCCTGAGTTGTATGCCTCGGTAGTCGAGTAGATGACAGGAGTATTGCCATTCCAGCTGACACACTTGGCGCGAGGGAACAGCTCCTTCATGAGAGCCTCCTGGCTGCTCAGCTCCATCTCAACATGGCGGTCACCAATGCGAGGGTGGCGGTTGTTCATGCAGCGCTGGTGGAAACTAGCAATAGCAGCCTTAGCCTCATCCTCAGAGTCCAGCTCAACATAAACGTCCATAGTCTTGCCAGTTGAACGTTCCATGATGATGTGGATAGCGAAGTAAGCAGTGCCTTTGGGCTGAGAGGCAATGCGGGTGCTGCGGCCGAGAGCAGCGAGGACTTCGTTCTTGGTAGTGGCATAGGGGATGTTGCCAATCTTGATGACGCCGTTGGTGCTAGGGCGTGACTCGGCAGCAGTGTCAACAAAAGGCATGTGCTCGTACACTTCATCGAGATTAGGAAGAGCGCGATCCTCAGGTCGAACCCAGTCAGGATCAGGGCGCACCTCGGGAGCCATGACGGCCTGGCTGCGGATGACAGGCTGCTGCACAACAAGCGCATTGCCGGGACTCTCGCCGCCAGGAGAGATATATCCACGGCCATCGGATGGCGATCGACTGTCCAAGCGGTGAAGGGCACCAGACCTGATGGCCTCGGCCATACGAGCAGCGTGTGTCTGCGGCTGCTGAACGATGCTGGGCTGAGGCTGCTGGGCCATGTTGGACTGCTGAGGAGCGCGGCCCCATGTATAGGCGGTACCTGCGTTGTTGGCAGGGCTGCCCATTGTAGCACGAAGGACGGCGGCTTGGGGTGCAGCAACGAAAGGCTGGTGGTTGGCAGCGGCCATGAAAGAGCCATTGCCGTACACAGGCGGGTGAGAGTCAACGAATGGATCAGCCTGAGCAGGGATGCCACGGTGAACGGGCATGCTGGCAGTCATCTGATGAATGTTCATCTGTTGACCAGATAGATGAGGACGGTCCATCTGGAAGCCAGGCATCTGAGAAGTCTGGAAATGAGGACCGTTCACCTGTGCGGCATTCACAGAAGGCTGGCTCATGTAAAGAGGGTTCATGCTGGTGTGGTTCATCTCAAAGCCGTTCGAGCGTGCGTCGTAGGGATAGTGAACATCGGTAAAGCCGTTTGTGTGAGCGCCGTTGGTAAGGTGACCACTACCAGTGAAGCTGTGGTTTATGTTGTTGATAGTCTGGGGGACAGAGCTACGCATGGCATGGCCAGCTTCATAGTCACGAGAGCCAGCATGGTTGTTGATGCCGTTCATGCGGTGCATCATGTTAGGCATGGTGGGCAAAGTTGAAGGGCGGTCCATCTGCAGAGGCGACATCAAACTTCTGAAGTAAGGGTCAATGTAAGCGGGCTCAGGGCGTTGAATGGGACCAGGGACCTGCTGCAGATTGGCAGAGGGCTGGGCAGTAGCGAAACTCTGGTGCATCTGAGCATGCACGCCGGAAAACTGCTGCTGAGTGGGAGCAGCCTCAGAAGTGTCAGCCTCAGGGGCTGGGGTAGCAAGCTCACGGAACGCGTGCGACGCCTTGAAGACGCTAGGCTGGGGAGCATAGATCTGCGATTCGGTGCGCCCATGACCAGCTGGACGCTGCTTGGCAGGAGGCTGCTTAGATTCAAGGTTGTCCTGACCCTGGCCACCGACAACATACTCGGGAAAATTGGCGCCAGCAGGTCTACCAGGGTTGAATGAAGGGAAGCGAGTGTGCTTCGACTGCTGGGACTGGTGATGCTGTTCTTGAATGCTCTGGGACTGACCAGATGCGACTTGTGGAGAAGTGATGTGCTGGGCACCGGTCATGGCGTGGGCTTGGTTGATGGCCCCACGGTTCGTAGTACCAAGCTGGGCCTCATCTCCAGCCGGTGGAGGGGGAGAGGCGTGGGCAGCGGAGTGACGCATGTTGGCAATACTCGCGTTCAGGGACTGAAAGGGGGACGGAGTCGGAAACGGACCGCCCCAGATTGAGTTGATAGTGCTGGCGGGAGACAAGCTCAAGCCTTGTGTCCAGGAGGTCAGATCTTCAACGCTCGGATCGACAGTCGAAGGGGTATCGTCAATCTCAAGGGTGGTGGTGACAGGCTATCTCAGTGTGAGCTGAGTGCGCAATCGGAAGGAGGTGCGCAGTTGAGCTCGGCAATGACGCGTGATCTGCTGGGAAAGGAGTGCGCAGTCGCGAGAAGGGGGAAGCACGCGTGTTGATGGGAGAGGGCAGGAGTATACAAGAGATAAAGGCAGATAGATGGTCAGGGGAGGAGAGTGTGAAGGATGGAACTTACCTTCAAACACAGCGCACAGCGGACAGCAAGGTCTTCTGGGTGCTGTAAGAAGTGGTCGTAGCAGACAGTGTGTTCGCAGGGAACCAAGATGTGACTGGGAGAGAAATAACAGGCAGGGCATTGTGTGCCACCGATTCGGCGGTCCATGCTTGACCAGTTCTCGGCGACGACGGGGTCGCCGGGGCGGCGAGGAAGGGGGAACATGAAGTCGGACGTCTGACGAAGATGTCGGACGTAAGTGGCCTCCACCAGCTTCTGAACGTAGCTTGCTGTATGCGAGCGCCGGTGAGAGACGCGTGATTGATCTCCTAATGCTGTTGACATTGGGAAGTGTCCAAACGCCGAGCAAGTGACCAAGGCATTGGTGTTTTGATACGCCTCTGACCATTCGGCAAGTTCCATGCCGCTCCAACCACCAAAGTGAACATTGTCCTCCTCTTCATCGATGAAACATAGATAAGAGAGATAGCTTGTCCCAAGAGCAAAGGAGCTTAAATCCATGGGTGACGAGATCAGAGTATATCACGAACAGAACAGAACATAGCACAGGATTGAGGATGGTCAGGAGAGGTCATGCAAGGAAAGTCTGAGGTATACTACCGTTCCATGATACAAGTGCCTACAAAAGTGTTGGTAGCAGAAGGGCCGTGCGCATGAGTTGAATGAAAGCATGCTGACACCAAGCAAACCGACTTTCCGCAGAGATAGCAGTCTCAGATGAGGCATGAGACAAGAGCGATCGTTCCTTGTGTCCGTTTGAGAATCAATGTCCGTCCAAGGGAAAGGTATGGTCATAATCGTTTCTGGTCGGATTGGTATCTTTGGGAATCTTCTATGTAATGCAGCGCCAAGACCAGATACAGAGACCTTGGGGCAGCACAAAGCAACGTGCAGCTGGATCAATCGAACTGGATTGGATGAGTACAGACTGACAAACAAGAATGAGTAGGGTCTTACAGGAGTCAAGAATGATTCGGCAACGAATCTTGCTCTGGCGTTCAACTGGAATGTGTTAGTCAAAAGTGGGCATTGCTAGACAAAAAGGGCAGCGTACGAAGAGCTTCATTTCGGAAATCTCCTTGTCAACCTCTTCCATGAACTGGATGATGAAGTCGACAAGCTTGTGCTTAAGCATCTCCTCGGTGTGGAAGTTTGTAATGAGGAAGGAGATGTCGTATCCCTGTTGTCGTGTAAGGTCAGTACGGGGGACCATGCGAGGTATATGGTCAACGGACCTTGACGGGTTTCCTTCTCAGAATGAAGAAAGATTCGGCGCGCTGTGTCAGGAAGCGGGTGAACTTGTGGACCAGGATGTGTTCGATCTCGTCTGCCTGCTTGATTCTAATGCTGACACGGATGCTGTTGATGGAGGGCTCGATCAAGACACGCTCGTTCTCGTTGCGGGAAACGGTCAAGGGGTTCAAGAGGACTTCGGGCGAGGTTTGAGCTTCGATCTCGGGGACATTATGGCGTTCGGATGCTTGGGAAGCGAAGTTGGACAGCGACATGGCGGCCGTCAGCGACGACCGCACGCATTGCAGGTATGGTCGGAGTGATTGCGACTGGGCATTGGTCAGATTGAGAGATGTCTACGGCATTGGAGGGGGCCATGAGACGTACCATGATGGAATGTTTAGAAGCAGCACTGTACTTGGACAAGGAGCTGTCGTCCGGCGTTCGCTATGCCACGCTTCCCCGGTGACGCGCCGCCCGACGAGGGGTGAAGTCAGGTCCAGCACGAGCCACTTTCCCTTTTGGTTTTGTCTACTTCTGGCTGCTCTTCCATCTCACCAACAAGGCATTTGGTCCATCAAGCATCGTTTTAATCGAGTCATGGGCCATGAACATCGGGTTGCAGCCTTTCTTCTCTCAATAACGATTCAAGCTTCTATTTCAACCATGATCAGATCACAACCGATCACATCCAGACTTGCAGCAGCAGTTCTGCTATTTCTCCCACTGGCAAGCTGAGATAAAGAGATAAAGATAGACTTCGACAGCCGGAGCATATTGAGACCCTTGACTTGAGGGTAGCACAGTACGCTGATATAGCTGTACCAAGAGACGCGGCTTCTGACATCGGTACAGCCGTTTCCGAGAGCTGTTCTTACAAGACGCCTCTCTGGCATTACCAGAACCTGGAGCTTCACGATCATCTGATTATATGCAGGCTTGCAAGAATCTGGTTTGCTCTCGGGCTCCGTGCTAGATGAGAAAGGCATTAAATATATGCGTGTAGAGCGTGAAGAGGCCGTGAATGAGCTCCAATGTCTCCTCCGATCCTCGGCTGACTTCGGGGGATCGGCAACAAATGCCCCATGTTTCGCAATTGTTCATATTCTCAAAGAGAGCCAATTGTCAGTTGTTCGACCTTTCCATCGTGTTTCCTGCCCAGTCCCGAAAGCCGACCTATCAATCATGTTCAGAACCGGATCGGCAGCCGTGAAGAGGGGTAGCTCCTTCGCTGGAGCTGCTCTGCGCGCCCGCAACCAGACTCCTCGCCTTGCAACCCTCCGCCAGTTCAGCACTTCCTTCCAGATGGCACAACAGACCAGAGCCGAGAGCGATGCCTTTGGCGAGATCCCCGTCGCTGCCGACAGATACTGGGGTGCTCAGACTGAGCGCTCTCTGTCCAACTTCAAGATCAACCAGCCCCATGACCGCATGCCCCCTCAGGTCGTTCGCGCCTTTGGTATCCTCAAGGGCGCCGCTGCCACCGTCAACATGAAGTTCGGCTTGGGTATGCCGTGACCTACATCCTTACACAACATCACCAATTCGGTACTGACGCCTCTCTCTGCGCAGACGAAAAGCTCGGCAAGGCCATCCAGCAGGCCGCCGCTGAGGTCGCAGCCGGCAAGCTCGACGACCACTTCCCTCTGGTCGTCTGGCAGACCGGTTCCGGTACCCAGTCCAACATGAACGCCAACGAGGTCATCTCCAACCGTGCTATCGAGATTCTGGGCGGTACCATGGGCTCCAAGAAGCCTGTCCACCCCAACGACCACGTCAACATGTCCGCTTCCTCCAACGACACCTTCCCTACTGCCATGCACATTGCCGCCGTTCTCGAGATTGAGGAGGAGCTCCTTCCTGCCCTCCGCAGCCTCAAGGACGCCATGCAAAAGAAGCAGCAGGCTTTCGAGAAGATCATCAAGATTGGCCGTACCCACTTGCAGGATGCTACCCCCTTGACTCTCGGCCAGGAGTTCTCTGGCTACGTTACCCAGCTCGAGTACGGTATTCTGCGTGTTGAGTCCGCTCTCCCCCGTCTGCGCTACCTCGCCCAGGGTGGTACCGCCGTCGGTACTGGTCTTAACACCTTCAAGGGCTTCGCTGAGGACATCGCTACTGAGGTCAGCAAGCTCACCGGCCACGAGTTCGTCACTGCTCCCAACAAGTTCGAGGCTCTTGCCGCTCACGACGCCATTGTTGAGGCTCACGGCCAGCTCAACACCTTGGCCTCCTCCCTCTTCAAGATCGCTCAGGACATCCGTTTCCTCGGTTCCGGTCCTCGTTGCGGTCTCGGTGAGCTCAAGCTTCCCGAGAACGAGCCTGGTTCATCCATCATGCCCGGCAAGGTCAACCCCACTCAGTGCGAGTCCTTGACCATGCTCTGTTGCCAGGTCTTTGGTAACCAGGCCGCTGTCACCTTCGCTGGTTCGCAAGGTAACTTCGAGCTGAACGTCTTCAAGCCCGTCATGATCCGCAACCTCCTCCACAGCTCCCGTCTGTTGAGCGACGGTATGCGCTCTTTCGAGAAGAACCTGGTTGAGGGTCTTGAGGCCGACGAGAAGAGAATCGATGCTCTCCTCCACGAGTCTCTCATGCTTGTCACCTGCCTTAACCCCGTCATTGGCTACGACATGGCCTCCAAGGTCGCCAAGAACGCTCACAAGAAGGGTCTCACCCTCAAGGAGAGTGCTATGGAGCTCAAGGCTCTGAGCGAGGAGGACTTCGACAAGACCGTCCGTCCCGAGCTCATGCTTGCTCCCAAGGAGAAGAAATAAATGTAGATCATGAAGCGACTTGTATAATATATATTTTCTGATATCCACCTGAATTTTGAGAAAGTTTTCTCGATATCACATATCTCAAGCCTTCCAGTGCGTACATCTTGCCTTAATTGATCGTGCCCTCTGGAAATGGTTCGAGAAATAAATGCAATTCGTGCACGGACGCTGCTTCTCCTTTCGCGGAGACCAGCCTCATCCCGCCGAGCCTTGAGAACAATTTCCTTGTTCGAAATACTCGAATAACAATACAACGAAAGAATGGAGGAGGCATTGGACTGGATCTCTGACAACCAGGGCACAGTCGCCTTGACTTGGGTTGCTGTAGTGTTTGCCACTGCTGTTCTGTGGCTCACGACTAAAGGAGAATCTGAAGCTGCTGTGGACTTTGAGGTGCCACTGCCGAAGCAGTGTGAGTCTGGTTGGCAAGGAGAGGTCCTGCAGGAGCCAAGTCTGAAGGTTTGTGTCTCTCTTTGTTTTCTTCTGATCTATTTTCGGCTTGAAATTTTTTCTTTTCTTTTTTTGCTTCTTGAGAAAGATCTGTCACAGATTGAGCTCTGCGATATGGAAGTCACGAACGCGCTCAAAAAGAACGATGATCCGATCTGGTATCTCTTAGTTCTGTTTGGGGCTTTTTCAGATGCTTCCAACTCACCAAAACGATCGTTTCCCCCAGTCAAATGATGCGTAGACTCGTATAAATGTGACTGACATGACTGTATGCAGATCTCAGGTTCTTCAGCTGTTCAGTGTTACTGCCCAGCAACAGGTCAACTCCTCGGCGTCATCAATCCTTCTACTCCAGATGGCATTGATAGAGCTATTTCACGTGCTCAAGAGGCTCAGCGCACTTGGGCGCTGACAACGTTCTCGCAACGTAGAAAGGTGCTTAGAACACTCTTAAAGTAAGTACTGTCGATTTCTGCTTGATCGACACCATTCTGACTGAGTATAAGATATGTCCTTACTCATCAAGACGACATCGCCACAGCAGCATGTCTGGACTCTGGCAAGACACGTGTAGATGCTCTGTTCGGCGAAATCCTGGTCACAGCGGAGAAACTCAAGTGGACGATTGACCATGGCGAGAAGGCTTTGCAACCCTCTTCTCGTCCTACGAATTTTCTCATGATGTACAAGTCTAACTCGGTTGTCTATGAGCCTTTGGGCGTCGTGGCTGCCTGCGTTAGCTGGAACTATCCTTTCCACAATCTATTGGGACCTATCATCTCGGCACTGTTCACCGGAAATGCAATTATCGTCAAGGGATCTGAACAGACAGCTTGGTGTTCTGTCTTCTTCGCGGATATCGTCAAAGGTGCCCTGATGGCTTGCGGACACAGCCCTGAACTGGTACATGCTGTCACTTGTTGGCCTACTACAGCAGAGCACCTTACCTCCCACCCTGACATTTCTCATCTGACCTTCATCGGCAGCAAGCCCGTGGCTCACCATGTCTGTACTTCAGCTGCCAAAGCTCTGACCCCAGTGGTGGTAGAGTTGGGTGGTAAAGATGCAGCCATCATCCTCGATGCTCCCAATGGCAAGGCCATGGCAAAATCCGAATTGCAGAGAATCGAGAGCATCATCATGCGTGGTGTCTTCCAATCTGCCGGTCAGAACTGTATTGGCATTGAGCGTGTCGTCGCCATGCCTCTTGCCTATGACTACCTTCTTTCCGTCCTGCCTCCAAGAATCCGCTCCCTCCGTCTCGGAAACGCCCTCACATCTACCGAAGTCGATGTCGGCGCCCAAGTCAGCCCAGCCAACTTTGGAAAACTCGAATCTCTTATTGCCGAAGCTGTATCTCAAGGCGCTGTCCTACTTGCAGGCGGTAAACGCCATTCTCACCCCGAATACCCTCAAGGCCATTACTTCACACCTACTTTACTCGCAGAAGTAACACCAGAAATGCGCATCGCACAAGAAGAATGTTTCGCACCTATTTGCTTACTCATGCGTGCAGAAACTGCCGACCATGCCATCAGCATCACAAACTCGACAATATACGGTTTGGGTTGCAGCGTCTTTGGGCCCGCATCCTCACCCTTGCAGCACGTAGCCGCCAGCGTCAAAAGCGGTATGGTCGCCATCAACGACTTTGCAGCCTACTATGCTGTTCAACTTCCCTTTGGCGGTGTAGGCGGCAGTGGATATGGACGTTTTGCAGGTGAAGAGGGACTTAGGGGTTTGTGTAATGCAAAGAGTGTTTGTGTTGATCGATGGCCATCGATGATCAAGACTGCCATCCCTGCTGGTTTGGATTATCCTATGAGAGGCACTGCATGGGAGATGGGTAAGGGTGTTGTTGAGTTGGGGTATGGAGAGACTTTGATGCGTAAGATCAGAGGGTTGAAGAGGATGCTTGGAGGCATGTAATCCCTCCCATGCTTCTTTGTGTTCAGATATTCGTGTGGCATGAAAGGAACAAGATGACAGACTTATTAGAGCATATATCCAAAAACTGTATCGAACATCATGTAAATCACAGAAGCAAACGGCATTTTTTCATCGATCGTCAATGGAGTCACAGAGCATAAATGAACAACAAGCAAAAGGCGGTGAAACGATCTGTGACCGGGCGCACCAGACAGAAGACAGAGGTTTCGAAAAGGTAGATAAGAGTAAGATAACCGCCACTTCAAGAGAAGAAGCGACCGAGAAAAGTAGTAAGGAACGTCTGAGTCAAGTATGATGAACAGGTGGTACTTGTTGGAAGGCAAAGTCATTGTAAAGTAACATCAATTCATGAGGATAATTATCTAGTAATACAACGCTGATCCATATCTATTCATACAATCGTCAAAGTCGAACAAGGGTATAATGACTTTGAGAATTTACTGGGCAACAGCAGAGGTACCGTTGTCCGGGCCAGGGAGACCCTATGGATTTGTTAGCAACAATGACCTCTTGCTTCGTGGTACTTGAAACGACTCACCTCCTCATCACCAGGCTCCTGGTAAGAGCCCTTGGGCTTGGCGGCACCACGGGTGCGGCCATCGATGATGTTGTCCTCGTTCATGGCAGCCTTTTCGTCTTGCTCTGGTGGGATGTTAGCTCGATGTTGGGTGTTTGTTCCAGGACATAAAACATACCAAGAACCTTGTCAGAGTCGGCAGTGTCGGGGTCAATGGGGTCCTCAATGGAAGCCTCGTCCTTCTGGACGGGGATCTCGCTCTGGCCGGTACGGCTTTGGTAGTCGTTGTCGCCAGCGACGCCAGTGGAGGTCTCGGGTGTGTACTCGGCAGACATATTGATTATGTGTTTGGAAAAAGTAGTAGAAGATTTGTTGTAGTAGTGTTGAGAGTGTAAGATGGAAATTGGAATGATGAGAAGAGCAAAAAAAGCAGCAAGCAGATTACGATACTTATACCTTCCTTGACGCATCCTCCAAAGTACCCACCAAGCATACAACAGTGATGCAAAGACAACTACCTCATCGTCGTTTGTTGTGTGTCAATGCAAACGATCAACGCACATCGAACATAAACAGGGCACGTCACACCCGTCATCTTCGCGTTCAGCAAGACGTGTCCAGCACCAGCAAAATATACTGACATCAATGAAGTGTCCAAAACGGGAAAGTGTATGTTGGAAACTGGACCCTCGGTGACGAACGAGGCTCTCCAGATCGTTCCATCTGGCTTCGATCGAAAAAAAGCACCAATTGACTTTCACCCGTGTTCCTTGTCGCCAACAGCAACCCAGACACGCGATCCTTCGTGCTGAGAGCGTGAAAGGGGTTGGAGTACGTGCAGAGAAGACGTCAAAGGTGAGATCTCGTCGTCATTTTCCAATACATGTCCCCGATCGGGTATAGTCTCAGATCTCCCGTACCTTGCATCGGAAAGATCTACAAGATCTCTAATCACATCTTCTCCACAGATGATGTTGTTCTTCCAGCCTCATGCAAACGAACTTCGTTTTTATTGTGATCATGCTGTGGAGATTTAGTCGCGGTTGTTGTAGTGACGGCCGAGAAGGAGACTTGATGTCTGCAAGTCGTTGCTGCTGATGGTCGACCTGACGTCAACGAATCTGCATCCTAACGGGCAACATACTCTATGTAGGAGTACTTTTACACACTGCATAGATGATAGAGAAACTATAGGCAATGTAGGATAAAGAATCGTCATGTCATTGGCCGTCGACTACAACTAACAGTAAACCCTTAACGCCCTCCTTCGCATCGCTAAACCGAAGTCCGAGAAAGATATATCGTGACAAGACTTGTAAACGGGAAGGGTATAAAACGTGCCAGCATAAACATGAAAACAACTGCGATGCGTGTGTCGACGGCGGATAGTGGTGGAGAGGTCGAACAAAGGGTCGAGGCAACTCGGGATTGGCAAGCTTATGCCTTCTTCTTGGAGGCACGCTTCTTCTTGGGAGCAGGCTTCTCATCCTCCTCGACAGCTTCTTCGGGCTCCTCGGCGGCTTCCTCGACAGGCTCAGGGGCTGTCTCGGAAGGCTCCTGAGCACCATCAGCCTCGTCCTCAGACTTGACAATCTCCTTAGACTTGGCTGTCTTGCGAGGTTTGGCGGCAGCCTTCTTCTTCTTCTGAGGAGCAGCCTCGGCCTCGGTATCAGAAGTCTCAGGGTCGGCGACTGGGGCGGACTTTTTTGCCCTGGAAGACTTTCTGGTAGGCTCAGAAGCGGCGTCAGCCTCCTCAGACTTGACGGTCTTCTTGCCCTTAGCAGCCTTCTTGGGAGCAGGGGCAGCAGCGGGTGCTTCAGGCTCGTCGGCATCAGAATGTTGCTCGGCCTTGACCTTTCTGCCCTTTGCGGTCTCTCTTCTGGGTTTCATGGTATCGTCAACGTCGGAAGTCTCCTCTGCCTTGACAGACTTCTTGCTCTTGGCGGCCTTCTTCTGAGGAGCAGGCTTGACGTCGGCCTCTTCGGCGTCGGCGTCCTCAGCCTTGACGGCCTTCTTTCCTCTGGCCTTCTTGGGTGGGGGAGCCTCAGCTTCTTCGTCGTCGGGGTCGGCCTTCTTGCGACCGCGCTTCTTGGGAGCGGGTTCAGGGGCGGAGGAGCTGGGGGCGTTTCCATCTGCAGCTTCGGCAGCGGCGGCGGCCTGTAGATACAGTCAGTGAGGAGCTCCATGATGATGAGATGGTTGTAAGAATTACCTCTGCTTCCTTCTGCTTCTTGGTCTTTCTTGGACCAGTGCCGGACTTTCCAGGGACATTGTACTCGGGATCGCCCTTCCAGTCTTCCATGTCGACGTGACCTTGGTCAAGAGCGCGGTAGACCTTTTCCTGGAATTCATGAGGAAGCTCATCGTAGCCATCGACGTATTCCATGTCCATGCCGCACTCGGCCTTCATGTTTTCAAGTTGCTTTGGAGTGACACATCCCCTAGCGAGTGTCAGCGATGGAATCAACAGGAGTCAGCTGATCAACATACCAGTGACGGTAGACCCAACTCTGATGCTCATGAATGGTGATTTGAGTGGCTTGGCGAAGCTCGCCCTTCAAAATCTTGACACCCTTGTCCTTGCAATCGGTGGCCTTGCAACCAGCGCGGTTGTTGGGGCTAACTTCTGTGAGAGTGTTAGTGACGACATAGTTCCTGGCGTTCAAGATGTGAGATGAAATACCAAGACGATAAGGCATTTTGGTCAGATTGATTGTCGTGGAGAGAAAGCGAAGAGTAGTATTGTGTTTGCGCAAAGCACAAAGTCAGGAGAACAAGGACGACGGCGCAAATTATCGACAAGTTAAAGAGAATTAACAAAACGGATGAAGTAGAATTGTCGCAGACAAGCAAAAAGACAAAGCTGTTTCACAAGGCAGAGACAGCGAGGTGAAGGCAGACGCTGAAAGAGTCGAAACGCGAGAGACGCGTCGGAGCTCGCCGTGACGTACGCCTAGCCAGCAGCAGCAGCAGCAGCAGCAAGAGCAGCAGCGTCGGCGAGTCGGAGGAAAGCGCTGAAAGTGGAAAGGGCCCTCGGGCCCTGGATTTAGGATTGGCCTTCAAAAAATGTACGACATCAAGACTCGATCCGGCAAGAGGCAACTGCCTACCTAAATCGCCTTCAACTGTTCAGACACTGGTCCTATTCTCTCACCAGCATAGAATGCTCGGAGACAACCAATGCAAAGATGCTGCGCCCGGATAGCAGGTCTGAGGACATTTGCCTGCCGCACCGATTCCTATATCAATACCCGACCACGACTACTCTCTCTTCGTCTTCAACAGAGATTTGCCCATCATAGCACCCGTCTGACAGAAGAAGCTCAAGATCAAGACTACGACAGTCTCATTGGCGCCAACAATGACACCTTCGACACGCTTGCGCCCGCCGGGCTGAAAGGCTCGTCGCGACAAGCCGCCATTCGACACCAAAAGGCGCTGCACAAGGGCGGCTTTGCATACATCGATCAGTCCAAACTCCCTGCCCGCCATGTGTCTCGTTCGGAAAAGTCATGGTTGCCCACAATCGAAGCCGCTCTGCCACCTCGTCTGCGCACCCCCGGTGCCCGCAGAATCACAGACGACCCATACTCGGCTCAAGACATCAGCCGCATCATCCACATCTCCTCTTACACCTATGACCTGGACCTGTTGACTTACTTGGCTGTCAATCAGAACCGTCCCAAGGCCGCTGTCTGGTTGGCCTCGATGGTCATCTCGCATGACTTCAAGCCTGACTCAAATCCTCCACGCGACACTAACGTTTGGAACACCTGCATACCACGCTCTTTCTCCTTGTCCACCTATACCAGCCACCAAAACGCGCCCTTGCTGAACCCGCCTTCAAGCAGACCTCTAAGCGACCTACACCCAACTCCTTCATTGGACCGCCTTACCGCAGAGCTGAATCCTCTTGAGGAACCCCTGCCCGCTATCCTGCGCCATGAGACAGTCGGCCAGATCTGGTACAGTCTGGCCAGGATGATCGTTCAAGATGCCAGCCGCGCCAACAAGGACCCCGCCAATCAAGCCATCAAGCCCGAGATTCTCGAGATCATCGCAATGCTGCACCACTCAGGTGCTATGCCCTCATCCATCTACTCGTACCAGCCACCTAATGATCCCATCTCATTGTGTCAGCCTCCCACTTTGCATCTGCTGTCCAATCAGATCATCACCTCTCTGACCGACGCCGCCTGGAGAGCCCACGAGACCAACGTTGTCGAAGAGGCTAAAGAAAGAGGTGGTGTTTATGATTCTCTGAGACCCGAGATACCTGGCTCTATGTACAAAGTTCATGTCACCGGACTTGGCCATGAGATATGGCTCGAACTGGTCTTGTGGGCAATGTTATATGGGCGCTTCTACAAACAGGGTGTCAAAATCCTCACGCGTTTGTCAAAGCTCCTGGATCACAATGCCTGGTCCGTCCTGTCTTGGAGAGAGTTGGCTAATCCCATTATTCAGTCTGGACAAGAAAAATCCATCAATTGGGACGAGGTCAAATATCTCTTCAACACTGGTATCTCTGATACTGATCAGACCGTCAACAAGAAGAAAGTCCGCAGAACTGTCAGCGCAGAAGTCATTGCTTCCTTTGTCGATGCAGCCGTATCCCATATCAGAACCGGTGTTGGCTCCAGAGGCATGTTGCCTGAAAATCCTGCTCGTTTCTTGCGAGAGATGAAGATCTTCTTCGAGAAGAATAACATGAGCCTGGGCTATACCTCATGGGATGCCATTATCTTACGCTTTTTCGAGTCAAGAGGTGTTGACTTCGACAAGGATTCGCAATTAGCGGGCAGCATCAGCTCAATCACCTCCTTATTTGGCGATGACATCTCTACAGTCAACGCTCCTACTCGTGATCAGCTATGGCAGCCCACGCCAGCCTATGTTCTGGACGGTTCTGCCGCTAGTATCGGTTATCATCACCGCCTTCTCAGAGCTCACATCAAACTCGGCAGTTTATCTAGTGCTATGGGCGTGGTTCAAGATTTGCAACGTCTGACCGACATAAACAAGGAGAGGTCGATCCAAGAATTCTTTTCCAAGCAACAAAATGTGGCAACGCATGATGACAACGAAGATACATCTGAGTTCGGCTTCCAAGGCCGCTATGGTGGCATTCATTATCCCAGCTTCTTTCCTCAGATACCAGTTCCCATCCTGGCTGATCTCATCAATCTGGTCGTGGACTCAGGAGCTTCTGAGTTAGGTTCATGGCTACTTTATTCCGAGGACTTGGATGGTCCGATCGTCCACAGTGGTCTATACAGTGATCCTATTATGGGCCCACCTCTGATTAGACTTGCTGCTGTTCTTGCTGACGAGGTTCTCATGGGCCAAGTCTTGGAGCTTCAAAAAGGTCAATCGCGTACAGATCCGCCTGAAGAAGTCTTGAATCAGATTTTGGACCAGCAGATAGAAGCAGGAAATTGGCCTTTCGTTGATAAGGCTCTTGAGAGCTTCGCTAGGCTGCGCAACTACAGTATTAGTACGGATACGACTGCGACTATGATTAAGGCGATTCTACGCGAGGCGAAATCTTGTGCTGGTAATTTATCAGCTCTCAAGAACTCTGCATCTGCAAAGGCCTTCCAGAAAATGTCCAGTTTCCGAGCCAGAGGGTTCGTTCGGGGTCACGACAGACATGATACCTTCGAACTCGGAGGTCGTGTTTGGCGTTTGCTTGCGCTTATCAACGACGACTGGAGAAAATATGCCTGGATGATCTACCCTAATATGGCAGGTAGAAATTATGTCAACTTCACACCTAGGGCTTTCAATAAAATCCTTAGTGGAGTGGTCGACACATACGGTTCTACCACAGGCAAGCAGTATCTTGGCAAGTTTTGGCCCGACTCGCTCGAGAACGAGCCTCTATGGGCGTTAGCGAATAGCGACGACAACCCAGGTGGTGTAGCACGCATGACTGCACGTCGTCAGGACACCCAAGTCTTGACCTCCCCATTCAATGACCATGGTCGCTCCGAGCTTCGTATCCGCGTTGAAGGATCTCGTGGTAAATTTGCAACCATTAACGTTCCCGCTCAGCCTGGCCTCAACATTGCGACCATTCATCTTATTTTGAAGCAGGCGCTGAAAGAAGCCGATGGTCAATACGTACTTCTACAGCAGGAGGCCAAGTGGGCATGGAGAATGATGAGAAAACTGGGACTGCCGGATGCGCGAGTTTGTCAAGAGCTAAGGCGCGTGCCTGAACTCGCAAACTATCCTGAGCTCACCTCTTTCAACAACAAAACCAAACATTCGACGTCCGAGGATGATGTCGAAGATTCTGACGATAATGATCTGAACCATGACCTCAAAAACAAAGCACAGGAGATGGAGGCTGTATACTAAAAGTTCCGTGAAAAGAAACATAGGCTTGTACATTCTGATACCCACGACAGGATTTTTCTGGGGCCAGAGCGGTCACATGGCGTTTGAAGGTGTTCTATTTGGAGGGGTCTGTAAATCCTGGAAGGCTGATTTGTACATTGCATAGCGGCTTGTAAACACTGTATCATCATCACACACATCTATCTTGTATATACCACTGTACACCACTTCTGAAACGAGATGACTCGCCAATAGTGCTCTTGCCTATCGTTCTTGATCGTCAGTCACCACATCTTTAAAGGAAAGCACGATTCACAAGAGTCGCAACTGCCTTGCTCGTCAAAATCGGACTCTAGCTCTGTTTGGTTTGACATAATTAGCAATGTTATATCTGTATCCTCTTCGGCCCGCCATTACTATCCCTGAGTAGTCTTGTCTGATTGTTCGTTTTCTTCTCATGCTTGGTAATGCTTCTTGCTTTGTTGCAAGCGCTGGTCATAGTTGTCCCATATACAGCTCGTGACCATTCTTGATAACTAAGTAAGCTACCGTCCCTCGGGTTACAGTGATCCTAGAGTAGAAACAGTAGGTTAGGCATGAACAGTCTTGCTGCTTTCACTGTGCACTTTTTTTTGAGGAAAATGAAAAAAGAAAAAAAAAAGATCAGCTACGGGGGTGACCCTGTCTATATTTTCCGACAGAACCACAGCAGCCAACAAGCTGGCTTTTAGCTTACAGGCAAGTAAATCAATCAGCAGTTAAAGGATGAGCAAGGGGAATAGCAATATCTGAAGTCAAGCTTACAATACTTCCTAGTCACCGGAATAACCCCAACCGCGGGAGAATGGAACAGGATATCTTGGTGAAGCACCCAGTGAAACTTCTGACAACGATCGAAACACTCAAAGGCCATTTTGACAGTCACAGAGAGTTGCAGAATCAGTAAATGAATCGAGAAGTATTTTCAGAAGCCAGACTCGTGATTACAACAAAGAAATAGCATGGTGTTGCCGGCGCTGTTGCCTGGAAGTTCGAGGACAGGGTGCCACAACTAGCAACCCTAATTTGGTTGTGGGTGTGAATGTTATGCCTTACGGAGAAGTCGCGACACAACAAGCAAGACATCTGAAAAGTATTGACTAGACTAGCAGGGTAAGGTACATAGAAGACTCCACTCCCATCTTTCGAATTCAGAAGCCGATAGTAACAGAAAGACAATCATGCAAGCGACACCATAGGTTGATCCATAGACATTTCCATCTTATGCAAAAGCAGCTAATCGAGACACGAAACTGGTGAATAGATAGAAACGCTGCACTGTCTAAAGCAGTCACAAAAACTAATAACGAAGAAAGCAGATCTGGCAGAAACAGCAGAGACAAAGCAACGCAGAGGAGCATTTGACAAACAATGAAAAGTGCAGGCTAGATGCAGAAAGAGGAAAGAACGATTAAACTTGTGAAAGGGAGGAGCGATCGAGGGTCAAAAAGGGAAGGAGCGATATATGGTTGAAAACAGAGGGAGTGATGGATGGTTTGAAGTAGAAGGAGCGATAGAGAGATCAAGAAGGAAAGAGCAACGAAGAAATGGAGGTGGAATGGACGATGGATGGATGGAAGGAGATAGAAGGAGCGACCTACGACAAGAAGATAGAACACATAAGAAGAGTATCAGCAAAGTATGAAAGATTGAGAGGGCAAACAGATGACGAAGAGGAAAGATGTACTTCCAGTGGAGTCAGCTATTGCTAGATGATGATATATTTACCTTGCTAAGAGCAAGAGCTTGTTCTGCTTGTAGACGAGTGCTTATAACATCGAGAACAACTCTTGACAATAACACCATGATCAACTTCCGTATGCACCCTTGTAACAGATTGAGGTCATCACAGCTATACAGCAGTTCGACATGAGAGTGACTGGGTCGAAGGCCAACGGAAAACATGTGCCCTAGACTTCTTCCAACTCTTCCAACATCCAGAAGACTCAACAGGACTTGCGACCCGTCGTCTGACGGATTACCCAAAAGGTGCCAAAGCAGCCGGCCCGCCAAAAAATGATTTTCGTACCTGAACACGGCACCTAGCGAGCCGAGTGCGAGACGTCATGCAGCAGAAGTCAATTACTGTCTCGGGGATAACCTTGCTCTCAGACTTCAGTCAAACCAATATTGAGGACCCATAGTGAAGCATCGAGGGCTTTGTAACAGCGGGAATGAACAGCGGAGGGAAATATATCTCGATTTGTTTGAGGTACGTGGTCACCGGAAGTGAACGGATGGTAGTACAATGTGTGCTGTCTAGGTTTTTCTGGTTGCTCCGCTATATCTGCTGTCTCCACTCAAGCACAAATCTGGGGAAGCGATGGTTGGACCTTGGAAGTGTAGCAAGAGAGGCTGGCTGTCAAGGCGGGTGTGCAGGTTTAGTACTGTGGAGCCATATGGAGACTTGCAGGAGTTGACGAGACGACGTCGACAAGGCAGTGGTTTTCAAGTACATGCGGTTCAAAAACTCCCGTGTGGAATTCAAGATGCCGTGTAGTGACAAGCCTAGAACTTGAAGGAAGTACAGGCCATGTCTTGCCTTGACTCACAACATCAATGCACGGAAGTCGTACGGTGCGCAGATGCCGTGCTTGCGTATTCGTTGAGAGACGAAGATGCCGGTTGTCGCTATGACCTTTGGATGACGAGAGGCATTCGCAACTTGGGTTCTTACCGACCCAGCGCATCGGGAATCGATCTTTGCATTAGATACGGCTCGTATCTGATCATCGAATGCTGTGCTTGGACATCTGAAGAGATGTCGTCGTGGTTCATTGAACACTACGCTGCCAAGCTTGCGCGACACACAATTGCATGCGTGGCTTTTCTCGTGGACTTGGTGTACTGGAAGCGCAACGAGCTTCCAGATCATATCAAATCCTTTGCGACTGAGAATCGAGGTGAAGGTTGGAAAAAGTCTCAGAGGTCAAAAATACGAGAGTTTGCCGTTCCTGTCTCGGAAGGCGCAACCCGTTGGAAACGGGTCGTGGAGGCGGTTGAAAGCGAAGACGCGCTCCCGCGACAGATCGGCAAAAGATCGTTTGTGGCCGGTAAAGGCCGTTACTCCTGTTTCTGGCTGGCGACAACGACCACAGTGGCCGGCTCTACAGATTGGCGTAGGGGGTTAGGAGGCATCGATTGCAAACTGTCACCGGCTGAATGTTGGAATCGCGACACGCATCAGACGTTTTCGCTACATCTGCCTCCTGAGGCAGGGCATCAAACGCCTGCCGAGAACTACAACGCCCTACAGCGTACAAGACGCAAGCCAGAATCTCTAAGAGGCAAAAATTCAGGAAGTCATGATATCAGGCTACAGTAATGACGATGAAGTGTGGTTGGACTTGGATTCTCCCAAGCCAGATAAAGGCACAATCGCCTGCTCGTATGCTTTGAACGTAACCAAGCCACAATAGTAAGAATAGTTGGTCGTGACCCGAGGTGGCAATACGGTCGTCAACCCAGCAAATGCACAACATAGGATACGTAGGATGGTGACACCCGGTCTCTAGTAGAGCTCACGAGTGCGTCGACCACTGTAGAGGCACCAGTCGCACTGCAGGTCTTTGTCAGCAGGAGTTCTGGTCAGACGGGGCATTGGGAGAAGAGACCGTTGTGTCTGTAGATGGTTCATTGTGCTCGAGGCAGTATTCATTTCCACAATCTCGGCATCGTCGAATGCACTTTGCGTTGCATTCTTCGCATGTACGTCGGCAGACGATACAATCCTGGTGTACGCCCTAGAAAGGAATTGTCAGACCTATGATTGCTCAGCCCAAATTCGAGGCACGTCGCGGGTGTTTATACAAGACTGCACCGAGACCGAGCTGCCAACCCCGTCGAGAATGTTGAACAAGCTGCCGGATGTCATGTTGCTTACACTTTAGAGATCGTCCACCAAGAGCACTTGGCTAGCAGACTCTAATGGACGAAGCCCGACTTGGAACAGATAATGTGCAATGTTGGAGATTCGGTCTCGGTGACAAGTCTTCAAATGTGTCTTTGCTTTTCCTCATCCCCACATGCCATCGACCACGGGCAGCATTTCACCGACTAGGCAAGTTTCAATGCAAAGATTGGAATATACCTTTACCGCAGAATTTGCGCTCAGAGCATCCAAGACCCATCCGCTATCGTCCTGTAAGCCGCTCTCGGGTGAGTTGGGATGCGGTCGCTTTGCCCGCGAAACTGGCTCTTGGTAACAATCCTCGCACCACCACTTGTTACACTTCTCGCACCATCGCTCGCGAAGGCAGTCTAAGCATCGTAGAATCAAAGGCGGCACATCGGTCCCTTGCACGATTGGCCTTTGTGCAGATCTTACCGTGCTGGCATGCAGTGGAGGAGGAGCCAGGAGTGGAAAGTTGTAGTCAGCGTCTCGATCAAAGATCGCTGGCTGTTCAGGACAGGAACCGCACGACTCACAACCTCTTGCGCCGAGAGCGATGTTCGCAAGGGCAGGCCGTAGTAGTCGCTCGGGTGTTGTCCTATTAGGATCATGTCGTGGACCGCGACAGAGGACTGCGTCGAAGGCTATGATGCCTTGACAAGCGAGCAATATGTCGGCCCAGTCAGGCGAAGGAGTATATTTGCTGCTGCCTGGAGTGTTCCAGACATCACCCTTGGTTCTCCACCAGTCATCTAGTGGTTGGTCGTGCCCAAGTGATTCGGATAGCGCTACCTCAGATCTCGAGTTCCACTCGGCACCAATTTGAGCACCCTCCGATGACATGACGCCAGTCGATATATGACCTGAAGTTTTGCTTTGAGCTCTTCGTGAGAGGGTTACTGGGGCGTCCTTGCGACCAAAAAGATAAAGTCCCTTCAATTTGGGCAACCTTGAAGCAGAGGGCCTTACGATGTAGCGAAGCACTGACTGCAAGCCTCTTTGGTTCATATTGGTGACGTCTCGGATGCTGAGGATCTTGACATTGAAGCGGTCTTCTAGAATAATCTCCCGAACAAGTTCCGCTGGTACGCTGAGGCCGTCCAGGATCAGTGTTTTGACATTCTGAAGCAAGTGCTGACGTTCGAGCTTCGAGAAGACACCTCGCAACGGGCCGGAGAAGAAATCATCTTCTGTCAGGGACTCGTCCATGCGCTCGGCACGCCATGATATGCCTTGCGACGTGTCAGTCTTCAATCTATCAAACAATATGAGCAAGTAGTCGCCGGCTCGTGACGCTCTGATTTCATCTTTCGGTGCAATTTTGTACAGCTGGAGCACTGCACGTGGCCATCGACAGCTCGTCTGGCATAATGATCAACGGATACTCCTTACACAGGAGAGTTTTGTGCTGTGCGATGTTTCATTTTCAAGTGAAACATCGTTGGACAAGAATAACTGGAAGTGCAACGGGGAAGTGATATCTCAGTTCGGGTTGTGGATAAAATTGGTTCGACATGTCACCAGCAAAATTATACAGAAGAATAGATGTACACTTACCACCTTTGTCGACAGGGCTGGAGTCAAGTAGAGTAGCGGACTTGACCAGGGCGAGATTTAGATGGCGAAACGTCTCTGGTGACTCGCAGATGGTATGTCGGAGTGTCCGTGCTGTAGCAGACAATGCCAGAATACTTCCGGCCGAAAGGTAGGGAGCCGTCTGCCGCCAGATGAGAGTATTGTTCAGAAGATCCACTAACGTTAATGGTTGTGATTCAACAAGATCCTCGGCGTCCATCGCAATAATATCGTCGATTGTCAAGCCGTATTGGGCGTCTTTAGGACTCGAAGCTTGATGTTCCTTTACGAGAAAAGTGCTTGGTAACAATTTCAATGTGTTTCAGGCCAAGAAGCGTAGTTCTAGGTGGTCACGAGTTGGGACTGAGTAGGTGATTGGCGCCCTATTCCCAGCGGCGGTCAAGGTGTCGAGATGAGATTCAGCATGGTCAGAGCACGCGAGCGTCGTCGATCGCCGAGGATCATCCATCCTTTTGGAAGGCACTAGCTCCGCGGGGCACTTTTCTCGATTCTTTGCCTCTCCAGCTGCCGATTCCAAATCAACAGATGTCCTTTGCAGTGTTGAGAAGATCGGGCAGTCTTACGCAGTTTAGTTTGGCCAGATTGAGTACAAAATGTCTTCCAAAGCTATGTCATAGTGAAAATTCTTTCGCAGTTCTACCGGAGCGGATGCTAGACTAACCTGAGTTTTATGTCCGACTGTTGAGAACTCAAGCAGATTTCTGCGATTGGCTGAGAGGCAATCAACCCCGGGCCGAGCTAGCCGGGGAGGGCTACAGCTAACTCCACATTGTTTTGATGAAGTTCACGAGGCGGTTGTATATGGGCAACATATGGGCAAATGAGGTATCCACTACTCGTGTACTGTATACAAGACATGCCAAGGATAGAATCACAAAATAGGTGCTGATACAAGTTGTGGTAAAATTCTTTCGGCAATCTATTAAACATTGCCCCCTATTCGAGACGCTCGCTATTCGAGCTGAAGCCGTGGCCAGATTGTCCTAGTTTTCCGTCGTACAAGCCGTTAACCTAGATATGCACAAAGAAAGGGAGTGATCGTAAGCATCAAGTGATGTAAAAAAAAGATATGGTAAAGGGCCGTAAATGAGCGCAAAGAAGCTGTAAAATGTGCGAAGAAGCGAAGAGAAGAGAAGTAGAGCGAGTGAGATCGACGAGAATTAGAAAATTAGAGGAGGACAGCGGCAGCAAGACCCATTGCAGCTGCGGGGAGAGCGTATCCAGTCGGTGCGACTTGGAATGCAGCGCCCTTGGATGCGCCGGCAGTAGCGGGAGGTGATCCCTTGGTGGTGGTGGGCTTTTGCTTGTAAACGGAAAGATCCATTTGAGCCTTTTGCATCTCGAAAGTGACATTCTGGGTAGCGTGGACGGTCTCGGTACCAAACTGGATAAGACCAATGTACATGTCAGAAGTGAGGTTGCCAGCGTTGACAAGGTAGTTGACAAGCTCCCACAGGTCGGCATTGATGCCATTCTGGTTCTCAGAGGGGACCCAGGAGAAGACGGCTTGCTTCTGGCCCTGCTGGTTGAAACCAGAGTACAGCGAATATTCGACTCCGCTGAGAGTGTACTTGGGTGCGTCGTCGCTGTTGTAGGTCTGGTATCCGATAGGAGCGACACCTCCCCAAACAGCCGACCACACCATGACTTCAAAAGCGGCGGCAGAGGCGTTCATCGAGGTGACATTGTTGCTGTCAATGAACATGTCGAGGGCAATATCGGCCTTGGTGCCAATGGCCATGAGGGCTTCGGTCTTGTTGGCAGCGTTGGGGTCGGCGGTGGGGAACATGTCCCAGGCGGCGCTGACGTTGAAGTTCTTGACGTTGTCCAGTCTGCTAGGCAGCTGGACAGACTCGAGGCCAACATTGGGGTACGAGTGAACCTGGTCGCGAGTCAGCAAGCTGGTGGTAAACAAAGACAGTCGGGGCTGCTCATACCCAGACATCGCGCTCAGTCCAGGACCACGTTACGTTGAATGCAGCAGCATCGTCCGAGTCGTCCAGGTCGACCTGTAACACATGGTGGTCAGTCTCGACTTTCGTGTCACACGACTAGATCATGCCATTGACTTACGGTCATACACTGGGCACCGCTGTCATCCCAACCCCACTGGTTTGAGCCATAGAGGTATTTGCCAGAGTCGGTGGTTGCGCCAGCGAATTGGGCTGCAGTAGAATCGCCATACTTGGCGCACATGGTCTTGGACTCATCCTTGGAAGAGGCGGCGGCGACAGACAGAGGAGATAGGATGGCGAGCAAAGATAAACCTTGCCCCAGAATACGGAGGGCCCTGCAGGAAGACATCTGGAGTAAACGAGTGGAGAATAGGTAGCAATTCCTTGATTTTGTTTTTGTTGAACGAAGGGACGGCAGAAAGGGCTACTGTCGCATGTATGTCACAAAGATGCCGAAGGGTCGCGAAGGAGAAATGGAAAAGGTCAGGCACTGTATCTAACATGAGAACCAAAGGCAATTTACAGCATAGCCGCATTTTCCGCCACGCAATTCCCAATTGGCTGACAGGGGCGAGTAGGGGCCAGAGTCTCCAACGTTCAGCAACAAACCACTCTTTTGACTCAGCCTTTAAGATTGCACCAATACGAACCTCTGATTGCCAGACCTCCTAGGAACAACTAAGACAGTCCTGGTCAACCGTATTTCTTATTAGGAACGATGGGCACCCGACTCGGCATTCGCTCAGGGTGAAACTGTCGTCCTGGGAGCGCCTTGAGCCTTTTGAGGCCGGCCGGATAGGCGGCGGGGATTTGCGCAAGCCAGTGCAGCAGCAAAACAGGACAAAAACAACACGGACAAGGGCAAGGAAAATCAAAGGGAGATCGGCCCTCAAATCATCCCAGCTCCTCCCTCTAAGCGCCGCACAACCAGCCCTCTTTTTCTCAACCACGGTCTTTGTGCACGGAGCTGCTGCATGCTGCGGTGCTCCTTGGCGTCGGGACTCCTGATCCGAACTTTGCTAAAGGCCAACCTTTTATCCAACCCTCTGTGCTATGCGTGTGCGCACCCGGGCCGGATTAGGCCGGTTCACGAGTTTGTTGTGTCTGTGGGCGAAACAGCAACGGGGAGGCGTTGATTTTCAACTGTGCTGCGTGTTTTGCATGCGACACCGAGACATGCCCCTCGTGCTAACGTCCAGGCCGCAGAGCTAAGCCGAGACGTACCTCTTTTCGTCCTGGTGCGTGGTTCGAAACGCGTGCAGCGACGTAGACAGGCCGCCGAGCCAGCACGACTCGCTCAATGGCCGTTTTTCCGAACTTTGGGCGATGATGAAAGAGGAGCAGCGGGCCGCTGGTCATGGTGAGTGAAAAAAACTTTGGTCTACACGAGAGCTTGTGGTATTTTGATCCACGGCTTCTGACCACAACCACGCGCGAATCCAGGCACCAAAGCCAACTGCCATGAGAGCCCTCGAAATAGAAACACTTTCTTCTATCCGCAGGCGAAGCACGCCTGATCGTCAGAAAACTCACTGACGTTCTCGGCAGCAATCTGCTTGCTGTCGCGAACTCTTGCACTGACCCCCCTCATCGGCCGCTGCTCGTTGGTCGGCGCTCGCTGTTGTGCGCACCGCCCCCTAAGCTTTTGTTCCTGCAGGGCTCCACTCTTTCTTCCATCATCGGCCCTTCACGCTTGCAAAAGCCTTCCAAAGTATGCCCTGTACCCCTGCTGCGGTCGACGCACTCCGGAGCGTTGCGTAGTAACAGTTTCTTCGTTGGCAGTTGAGGAGGAGGCTGTCGAGCTCCTATTATCCAGCACTCGTGAATGGGCAAACCTGCCCCCTGCCATGTGTAGAGCTTCTCGCGTATTCACGCGCGCTTCCGCAGCAGTGACCAGTCTCGTCGTCTGGAAGCTCCCCGGCCATAACATTTACACGACCTCACACGGTTCAGGCCAAGACAGTCCCAATCAATTTCCAACTTGTTCTACCTTATCGCGCTTGACCGTGCCCGGTCCGCCCCATGTCCCATCGTCTGGCTGTCAAATCTAAACTGGCCGCTACTGCAAGCCTGCAGATAGCAAGACCGGTCCATATGTACCCAAAGATAGTTTGTGCTTTTTCCCCAATGAAATCGACGTAAGTTGTGGAGCCTCTTCGCTTCGTATCACGGGATTTCTTCTTGTTTCCAATAACAGCATCGTTTTGGCCCGTTGTTCTTATTCGTCTCATGTTCCCCTTAGACACCTTCTCCTGCATTTTTCTACAACTTACCCCCTACGCCTCACCGGCTCCTGCTCTTGTCTCCAAGTATCCAGTCGTTACCACAGTTATCCCCACAATCTGAGCAACCTGATCTTTTCCACAACACATCAAGGACTCTGGGCATACGCTCCCAGCAATCAGCACCATGGCTCATTCAGGTAGCTACGACTATGAGCACGTCAATCCCACAAGCCCATACGGCACACCATTCGACGGTACACCGTCAATGAGTAGAAGACCATCATACGACTATCAACCTTCTCCTGCTGCTAGCACTACTCGCCTGGTCGGAGGCCGTCCTGACAGTCAGACCGCTGGCGGCCTTCAACGTCTACGACCAACCCTCGACAAGAACCACTCTACTTACTTCAATGGCTCAACAACAAACCTGGCCACTGAGAACGACTACATGATCCCTGAGAGAGACTCCTACAGTGAAGATGACAAGTCACCCTACAACGTAGACGAGGAGGATGCTTCGACTGTCACTGGCTCGACTCCTGAGACCAAGTCTGGATTTGACAACAGATTCTCAACTACAAGTTCTTTCGGCCGCGAATACACTGATGCCGACTACGTTGTCCGTGAGATCGCAAAGCACGATGATATCGCTCTCATGAAGCCTTGGAAGAGAAAGTTGCACTACATGGCTCCTCTGTTCACCATTGCTGCCATGGGCGGTTACTTCACCTACTACGCTTTCCGTATCTACTTCACCGTAGACGCACAAAGGACAAACCACAAAACCTACGCTATGGCTTGGTTCTTCATTGCTGCAGAATTTTTGGTTGCTCGTAAGTTTCATCACTCGAAACCCAGGTTTTTCCAATCCTTACAAAAGCTCAGTTCCCTCGTTCTTCCATCAAATGTACTCCATGCTCGCATTCAAGGGCCGCAAGCGACCTCAACTCAGACTTGTTGGAGAGGCTGTTCCCACCGTTGATGCTTTCATCACTTGCTGCAAGGAAGACGTTGACGTTGTCATCGACACTGCCCGCGCTGCTTGCGACGTCGACTACCCTCAAGATCGTTTCCGCGTTGTTGTCCTCGATGATGGTGCCGACCCCGAGCTGAAGAAGGCTATGGAAGATCTGAGCTACCAATACCCCAACGCATACTACTTCGCTCGTGTCAAGGTCAAGGGACAGCCTCACCATGCTAAGGCTGGTAACTTGATTGGCGGTACTGATTTCGTTACTAAGCTTCCTGGCGGTCCTGGCGAGTACATCGCTGCTCTCGATGCTGACATGATTCCCGAGAAGGAGTGGCTTCGTGCTCTTCTTCCCCACTGTATCCGCGATCCCAAGACTGCTCTCGCCTGCCCTCCCCAGCTCTTCTACAACGTTCCCGACAACGACATGCTCGTTCAGTCCCTCGATCCTTTCGTCCACGTCATGGAGCCCATCAAGGACTCTCTGGGTGTCGCCTGGTGCACTGGTTCTGGTTACGTTATTCGTCGTTCTGCTCTCGAAGCCATTGGTGGCTGGCCTACCGGTACTCTTGCTGAGGACACTTTCACCAGTTCCAAGCTTCTCGGCAGAGGTTTCAAGACTGCCTACGTTCACGAGGGTCTTCAATTCGGTACTGTTCCTGATTCATACACTGGTCACTTGAAGCAACGCACTCGCTGGACTCTTGGTACGCTTCAGTCTGCTTTCCAACAGCGTTTCTGTCTTTACGGCGACATTTGCAGAGACATGACTTTCTACCAACGTCTTTCTGGTTTCGTCTTCACCGTCGACGCTTTCTTCAAGATTTTCCTCATCATCTCTATTCTCGCTATCCCCATCGTTTTGGTCTCTGGTGGTAGACTGGTCGCCTACTCAAACAACGACCAGCTCCGCTGGCAGGTTCGTCTTGCGTTCATCTCTTTCTTCTTGATGCGCATTCAGGAATACGTCAACTTCTTGCCCTCGGGATACAGATTGGCTCTTCGTGATGGTGGTTCCATGCTCTGGATGGCTCCTTACCACGCTAAGACTGTCCTGGTCTCTTTCCTTCTTCCCAGCTGGCTCGGTGGCAAGCCCATGGCTTTCACTACCTCCGGTTCCATTAAGGGTGATATCATGGAGCGCGATGGCGCCCACCGTGCCCACGTTTTCCGCCGCCTGAAGGTCATTCTCTGGGACTGCTCGGCTTACCAGCACCTTCTGTACATTCTGTTTGTCATTGCCGCTGTTACTCTCAGCACTGTTCGCGCTTTCAAGGACAACGACACCGTTCAGGACAAGCTCGTCTACTTGCTGACTCACGCTCTGTTCCCTCCTATGCTCTGGCTGATTTGCTGCACTGCTTTCGCCATTCCTATCCGCTACGCCCTCCACCCTCCCACTATGCCCGATCGCGAGGAGCTGCTCGACAGAGACCCGAAGACTGGTGTTGCCCACCCCAAGGAGTACTGGAAGAGCCAGCGTTGGGGCAAGAGCCACTTCTGGCACGAGTTCGAGGTTCTCTTCCTCGTCGCTTACGCCATTTTCATTTTCGTCATCACCTTCATCATCAAGGACTCGCAACTCGAGGACTAAACGCATTTCCTACAATATCACGCATATTCAATCGATTTTCTTTGGGTTACTTTTCTTCTTACCTCTGGAGCGTTCCGCATTTTTCTCTTTCGTCAAACCTTTTGCATGTCTTTTGATAACTTTCAAAACTCTGGGATTTTTCTAAGGAACGGCCAATATTAATGCTGTTTAGAAGGGGAGGGATATTTTGGAGTTTGGATATGGCCACCCTCTCGCAAGCATGTATGCAACCCACATGACAATTATTCTACCTGTACATAGCCGTGTGCTGTTTTTTCTTCTCACCATGTATGGACAATTCAAAAAGTGTACATTTACATCATTCCTACATCTTTCTTTTGACGCATTTGCCTTTCGATTGTTGGGACCGAAAATTCTGCTGTGTTTCCTTCCGATTACGTCGCGAGATCTGCTTAGGCCTTGTTACCGTGGTATCTCCAAAGCATCTCCACTCACGGCACACTCGCATGCAGGCACATACGCATGAGTAGCAACATGCAGGAAAAGAGGTGAAGTTGACTTTGGCGCATTTTGTCTCACCCAAGCAACCGTTTGACTTTCCTCGCCCTCCACCCAGGGTTTCCACCACTCAGAACGCATCCTGGAGAAAGCTTGTCAATGAGAGCTGGCTGAACCCAATCCGGACGGTTTGGAGGTGGCCAGGATGTTCGGACAATCCACACCGGACATCGCAACATGGCACATAACGTCCACAAGATAACCTGGACCATGGGCGATGTCAAGCTGACTGCGTCGTCCGGCAGTGGTAGCTGAACAACCATGCATACTAGACATGCAACGCTGTAGATCTCGCATCGTACTGGGTGATTTTCGTGTGGCGTAGTGACCTGGAGCAAAGTGGCTGTTCAGGTGTTCACCCCGCTGGCATGAAAGTCCTTTGCTCGTGACTGCTGAGCAATCAAAAAAGATATGCTGTTTTCTACAATGATTCGTCGCTTCCATATCACAGCCTCTTTGCTGCCAAGTTTAGAGCGCCCACATGCAAACCAGAGTAGAATGCCTGCAATGATAACAGGATTTCTTGAGACACCGGTAACGCAAGATCGCGATATACGACCTTGATTCTTGCACTGCCTGGACATGGTATGCCCGCTTACGACGCGAGAAGGTTCAATGCCACTTCTCCATCTGCGAGCTTACTCCTGCACGATGCGAACACGACAGCGGTATATGCACCTTTTGGCGACCCGTAACAAGATAGCAGGTGTTCTATCAATGCGGATACCCAAAATTCCGACGCCTGCCGAGCGTGGATCCCGTCTTGTTCGGCATGGGTTGGAGTTGTCGTGTTCGAACTCGCACGGTTGTCGCTAGGACGACTCGAAGCTGTCCAAGTCGCGCGAGTCATCAAAACCCAGCATAACAACTTCTTGCCCTCTGTTATTTCTCAATTCAGGCGGCAAGGTGCAGCCGACACGCTGTTTCCTGATCGATATATCCCGCCTGTCCTCAACAGTTTCTAGAAGATGTCAGTGCTGCGGTAGTTTTTGTCGCAAGAACTCGACACTCGTATCGTTAGTCACTAGTCTCTGTTATAGGGTTGCTCAGCCTCGCTCCTCAAACCATGACTCTGAAACACACCTTCTGCCGACTTCAAGCCACATACTGCCATATGGCGAGGGCGACATCCAACCGTGTCTCTTAACTTCAACACATCGTTAGCCAAGAATATCACTATCATGTCTACATTTTCGTATTCGCTGCAAGTATTGGCGAGCCATGCTGTCCAGAAAACATTTCTAAAAGCCCAGTCAATTGAACTCTCGGCAGCGCAAATCGATCATTCTGTGACGCGTTTGAAAGGGATAGGTATCAGGATCATTTAGCTCATATAACACTCGTCGGCGTGCCGTCGAGCTTACGATCACTCGGATGACCATCCACTCGAGATTGTTTCTGAATTTCATCGCGCATACCAGTACATCGTACGTCACCCTCAATCAATCGCAAGCTTGCCATGCCATTATCGATCTTACGTTGACCGCGTCAACAAGGTATCTTGGTTTATCATTATACCGCGTATCCGTGAGCAGTGTCTCGATCGGGTATCTGGAGTCGTGCCCCTCGTGGTGACTAGTGCTCTAGTCTCATGGACTGAGCGTGCTTAAGCCACCATCTGGATATCTGGGATGAACTTGATTGACCAGTCTGACTGAGACGATGATAGATGGCATTACGAAGATGGCCAATGCAGAAGGAGCATGCAGAGTAGAGGTCGACTGACTTTGGATCAGCTCAACCCGAATTGGGAAGTCATAGTCTGAGGAAGCGACAATGTTGCATCTGGGGACGTTTCGCTGAAAACATCACAAGGAAAGAACGGTAGAACATGAGGAAGCAGGAGTCTTGTGAGTCGTTTTGAACAATGAACAATGAACTGTCAGAAAGGTCACCATCAGAGAAAGAAGTGACCGACAACTAGAAAGCAAGACTCCAATATTGCACCTTTGAGATACCAATCTTCTTGTAATTGGTGAGCAATCATTACATACAAAAACTATCCTTGCCGCACCATACTATCGTCAACACACTACGGACCGATACACGAGAAAATCAGTGCTCTAACTTCTCGACCATAGCTGCATCCACATCGAGCGTATTGAGCACAGTAGCAGCATCTCTCTTCTCCAAACTCTTCTTAACTGGATTCTTGGCCTCGAAAACCTCAGAGAGTTCTTCAAGAGTACGCTCCTTGGTCTCTGGCCAATAAAGATAGATGACACCGAATTCAATCAGGTCCCAGAACACAAACACCAGGTAGAAGTAAGCCCCGATGTTTGCAAATGCCGGACCTGAGCCGTACTGGATGACGGCAGAGCTGATGTTCGAAGCAAGGTTGCCGACAGCAGTTCCCTTGGCTCTTGTAGAGGTAGCCAGTGTCTCGGCGATATACATGCTTTGAAGAGGTCTGACGGACGACGTTAGCATATGGTAAGAGCTAGAGTACAGGAAAACCTCGATCACTTACGTCCAGCCGAAGGAGAAGACGATACCGAAAAGGTAAATGAAGGCGATGGTTGTGTTTGCTGCTGACTTGTTGTCGATATCATGTTGTGCAAGCTTGCTCGTGCCGCAAATAATGGCAAAACATCCCGAACAAAAAAGAATCGAGTATAGCAACAGTGGCCTGCGACCGACGACATCGGTCATACGAGCTCCAAGGATTGCTGCAAAGAAGCAAATGACGGGGTAGATGCCGTTCAACATGAGTTTGGTGCCCTGAGAAGTGATACCAGCATTTTCGAGCATGACAGGAAGGTAGTAGGACGTAACGCTGTTGCCACTCAACTGGCCGAAGCATGCCATTCCTAAGACACAAATGAGTCTTCGGCGAGCTGAGTGAGTGTTGACCAGCTCAGAGTAGTCCCATCCTTTCTTGTCGGATGCATCTTGTCGAATTTGGTTTTGCATCTCCTTGAGCTGTAGAAGGACGATTGGGTGCGATTCATCACCATCGCCGTGGTAACGGCCTAGGACCTTAGTAGCTTCTTCCATTCGATCTTGAGCACAAAGCCATCTGCAAACACTTTAGTGGGTGTAATGAGGATCAAATATATTAAGCTGACCTTGGACTCTCTGGCAAGAACCAAACACCGACAGCAACGATGACTGAAGAGACCAGCTGACACCAGATAGGAATACGCCAGCTAACATCTGATTTGACTCGTTCAGCGCAGGCCTAAATGACCCACGAAGCGATGATTGATCCAATATCTAGGGAGACAAGTTAGCAGGGCGTGGAAACAAAGTTGAATTTGACCTGAAGCTTACACCATGTGCAGTTGTAGAGTCCAGTTAATGTGCCGCGCCACGCAGGATGAGCCATCTAAGAGTGATTTAGCTGTGTGACTTCAATTGACGTTTTGAGCAGAACAACAAACCTCAGCAACGTAACACGGAGCACTGACGCACGCGAACGATACACCGAACCCAAGAATGAACCTGCCGGCGAGGAATATCCCTCTGTTTACAGCAGGGGTTTGGATACAGGTGCCAACGATAACGATGGCTGCGCCTGTAAACATGCCAGCCCTTCTGCCCCACCTATCGTTGCAAGGTCCGGTAAGGAAGACAGCAGGGATTGACCCAATGTTGTATCTATTAGGGTCGTCAGCAAAGGCAAGGTGATTTGATGGTCTGCAATCAGAGCTTACATGGCAAATGTTATGCCAGTGCTACTACCGGCAGATTTCCTGTTCAAGTCAGCATGAACGTTGTTCCATTGTGTCTTGTAGAGGCATGTTTACATGTGAAAGTAGTCAAGGTAAGTATCCATGGCGTTCAATCCTCCCATCAAGCTGCCATCATATCCGTTCAAGCAGCCGCAGAGGTAAGCGATAGTCAAGCAGCCATATAGCTTTAGCATGTTCGATGACCAAGGACTCTGTTTAATGTGAACAGCCTCTTCTGACAGCTGAACAGCTACCTTGGCTTGCTGAAAGTCATTGTCCGCATCATCTACATGTGTGACACCGTCCTTCTTGATGTCCATGGCCAATGAAGTTAGAGGAAAGGGAACAATGATTGAGAGAGAAAGATGGATAACAAGCTGACTGCCATACAGGCGCCCACTCACTTTAAATATGTTACCATGGCGAGTACAAAGTGACTCAGTATACTACCATATGCCTTCATCTGAGGAGCTTCATCTGGTAATTGTCTAAGACCAGCTGATCGTTGCATAATCCTTCCTAAAGGAACATCTGGGGAGAAGACCTGGAGATGGGTATGATCTGCAAACCTGGGGCAAGTTTGGGGTATGGTTTATCGCAATATTGATACGATACGAGACGGTAGCATGTGCCCCCGCCGGCGAGGATGTTAGTCTGGGATTGATTGAAGAGTTCAAGAGCTCGTGAGCTGATAGACCGAATTTCCGTTTGGTCGTTTGATATCTTGTACCCCGCAGATGTACCTTCAATTAACCATGGCTTTTTTCCGAATGGCTGATGAGGTGTCGGAGTGAACTCAGATGGGTAATGACACCCCCACCAGCAGTGAGATGGCTTGGAGAAGAAGACAATCCATTTCTCGTGGAAAAGCTTCTGTCAAGTTGACATCGCACACTTTCTGATCAAAGAGTTAACACTCGTTGTCTGAGTGTCAGGAAGCAGCGTCGGGGGTTGTCTTACCTGCATTGCGCCTTCCTTCCCCTCGCCTTGGCTGCTCCCTTAAGGAATTCAACCTGACTTTCTTGGGTAGCTTGTCTGTACAGAGTCAATCCTTCTATTGGCGACAAGACTTTTAGACTATGTGCTCGCCTATCATCACCAAGGTTGTAGTAGGATCCTTGGGTGTCGAGCCGAATGGGGCTCAATCTACCGAGAGGGGTTGGGCGATCGCAGGCTGACGGATGGCTTGGAAACGCCAAAGTCAGATGACGACCACAGGTCGTCGAGCTCACGACAACGATTGATAAAGTGTTTTGAGACCGAATAACTAGCAACTCAGACGGCTTGACACAACCGCCGAATATGTCTTTGCCTGGAAGCTTGACAGCTTCGGACCATCATTCTGGCCAGTCTTCTGATCTCGACATCTGCAACCCCAAGATCGTTCATCGCAATCGTCTGCCTGCTCGTTCATACTGGATTCCAGAGAAGTCTCTCCTCTTGAATGGCACATGGGGCTTTGTCTACAGCCCAACACCCAAGCATGCACCCCATCCTAGCTTGTACTCTGATGGCCTGAGCAGTCTTGTAGATGCTCTTACGGTTGATGGCGAAGGTCAAACTGCAGACATAAAATGGTCTTCAATCACTGTTCCAGGGCATTGGCAATTGCAGGTAAGCTCAACTGAATCTTGTATCAATAAGTTGCAGCATACTGACTTTCTTAGGGCTACGGCAAACCACACTACACTAACACGGTCTACCCTTTCCCTGTGTGCCCACCCTATGTGCCTACTGAGAACCCCACGGGAACATACCGTCGCAACTTCTTTGTTCCCTCTTCCTGGTCTGAGGATTCTCAAATTCGTCTTCGATTCGACGGAGTCGATAGTGCTTACCATGTCTACCTCAACGGCCAGAAGGTCGGTTATTCTCAAGGCTCACGAAATCCTGCCGAATTTGACATTACCAATTATGTGAACCGCGGAGAAGATGTCAATCGTCTCATTGTCAACGTGTTCCAATTTTGCGACGGTAGTTACATCGAAGATCAAGACCAATGGTGGCTCTCGGGCATCTTTCGCGATGTGCACCTAATATGCTTCCCAAGCAAGACCCGGATCGAAGATGTTTTCATCAAGACAGAGCTCGATGGAGAATACCGAGACGCAAAATTGCATGTTGAGCTGGACCTCACGATCCACGAAGCAGCTGAGGCAATGCTGACCCTGCGGAGCCCAAACGGCTCTTCTGTCATCAACGAGAAGATACAGCTCTCTGCTGAATCTCCTCACAGCCCACATGTGTTTGCTGTATCGAATCCTGTCAAATGGACTGCGGAGGCACCACAACTTTACTCGTTGGAAATCAATCTGCTAGACTCGGACTCTGACACTCCTGTTCAGACAGTCAAGCAAAAGGTCGGATTTAGATGTGTCGAGATCATCAAAGGCAACATCAGTGTCAACGGCAAACCGATTTTCCTGAGAGGTGTCAATCGTCATGATCACCATCCCATATTCGGTCGAGCTGTACCGCTGGCTTACATGAGAAGAGACTTGATGATCATGAAGCAGCACAACATCAATGCTCTACGTACTTCTCATTATCCCGCAAACCCAAAGTTGTACGAGCTGTGTGATGAGCTTGGCCTTTGGGTCATGGATGAAGCTGATCTCGAATGCCATGGATTCTTTGATGCTGTCGAACGACCCCTCAACTTACCTCCAGACATGGGATACGAGGAGCGCAAGAAGTACACTTTCGATAAGGCAGCCAAGTTTACTAGTGACAACGAAGACTGGAAGACTGCTTACCTCGACCGCATGGTGCAGATGGTAGAAAGAGACAAAAACCATCCGTCTATCATCATGTGGTCTCTTGGTAATGAAGCTTTCTATGGCAGAAACCATGTCGCTATGTATGAATGGGCCAAGTCTCGCGATCCAGAACGTCCGGTTCACTACGAAGGAGATGTCAATGCAGCATCTGCCGACATGTTCTCCTACATGTACCCATCAATCGAGAAATTGATCGGTCACGCGACTGAAGAAGGCGATGACTTCAAAAAGCCCATTGTACTCTGCGAATATGGACATGCCATGGGAAATGGCCCGGGTCTCCTAGAGGACTATCAAGCCGCCTTCCGCAAGTATCGCAGACTCCAAGGTGGCTATATCTGGGAGTGGGCGAATCATGGTCTTCTCAAGACCGAAGGCGACAAGCAATTCTACGCATATGGCGGAGATTTTGGCGATGTGCCAAACGATGACACTTTCGTCATGGACGGTCTTCTGTTCAGTGACCATACACCAACCCCAGGTCTGACTGAGCTGAAGAAGGTCATCGCTCCTGTTCGAGCTTGGATTGAAGGCAAGAAGTTGGTAATCAAGAACGAGTATGAATTCATAACCTTGGGCCAGTTCATTGCTGATTACAAGGTCGAGGTTCTTGGTATACGGTAGGATTATCCTCGGTGCTAAGATATGAGTAATCTTGAACTGACATTTCACAGACCTGACCGTGTTCTATCTGGTCCGATTCAACTTCCTCACATTGATCCTGGCACCGAGGCCAAGATCGATCTACCTGAGGAGATCTTCAATGTACATCGACCCAATGGCACAGAGGTGTGGTTGACCATCGACTTCCGTCTCGGAGTTGCGACTCCATGGGCAGAAGCCGGCCACAGCATTACATGGTACCAGACCCGACTCTCTGCAAAAGATGACGATTACACCTACGGTATCGAGCGACCCATCATGTCGAGCGCCATCACCCCTCACGAAACACAACTGCACTACCGATTCATCGGCTGTGACTTCCACTTCAACTTTTCTCGAGCCAGAGGAACACTGGTTGAGTGGGTGTACGGCGGCAGATCTGTACTCAAGAAGCGCGACACACCAGATGATCCTCTGCTAGCTCTAGGCTTCTGGCGTGCACCAACCGACAACGACGCCGTGGGCATGAGCAAAGAGTGGAAACGCTACGGTCTCGACTCCATGACACCCCAACTGCGCAGCTTCTCGCTTGAAGACAATGGTCCCGATAAAGCTCGCCTCACCGCTGTATACTACTACAGCCCACCAGTACTAGCCTGGGGCTTCACCGCAAAAGTAACCTACGAGATCTCTTCCGCAGGCCAACTCTCCATCACCATCCATCTAACACCACAAGGAAACGCTCCAACCACCCTCCCCAGAGTAGGTCTAAACCTCCAACTCGACTCCTCCTTCAAACAAGCAACCTGGTACGGCAAAGGCCCCGGCGAATCCTACAGCGACAAAGCAACTTCCCAACAACTAGGAATCTGGAACTCTACAATTCGCAAGCTCCAGACCCCCTACGAAGTGCCCCAAGAAAATGGCAATCGTATAGAGACTCGCTGGGTCAAGGTGTTGAATGAACAAGGCTTGGGAATTAAAGCTACGTATATCCCTCGTCCCAAGGAAAAAGAGTTTTTCCAGTGGGCGTGTTGTTTGCATGATGCAAAGGTGTTGGAGGAAGCCAGACATCCTTGTGATTTGGTGGAGAGGGAAAGTCCGTTGTGGAGGTTGGATGCTGATAATGCTGGTGTTGGCACTGCGGCTTGTGGTCCTGGTGTCAAGAAAGAAGATCAAGTGGAGTGTAGAGAGAGGGAGTTTACTTTTGTGCTCGAGCCTGCTATAGACTTTTAGAAGCTGATGTAGAAGGTGTGGTAGGCGTCTCAAGGCTTGCTTTTGTTACTTATGTTACATCTGTGATTGTTGAGGCTCACCCCGTTCACATGAGAAAGCATGTTGCTCTGTTGTGTGTATTTTGCAAAGGTCATTCTGACACTAAGATGCAGACCAAAGAACGAAAGTAAAAGTGCGTGAAAGTGGAAATATCATCTTGATCATTCTGTGATGTTAATAAGACAACTCCGGAAGCACCGACCATACCGCAATATAAATACAAATGAAGAATGCACAATCAATGTGCTAATCATATAAAGGCTGGAGGAGAGTTTGCAACTACATGTGCTTTCCTCGAGTTCAAGAATTCGTCCACCATCCGCTGTCCAGGCGAGGAACCTTTGCTCTTTGACGAGTCCTTTGTTGGTGTATAGAACGGAGGGATTGTTATGCCATCAATCATGCCAGTAGGTCTGGTTGGTGCAATGTTCTCTTTGCTGTCACTTGCATAGGGTCCTTCTGAGATTCGACGCAATGTATCGTCGAATGTATTCGGAGCTACAACTCTGCGACGGATATTGAGACTCGAAGCCTCTAGGTTGCGGTTGTTGCGATACATGACGCGAAGGTCTAAGGCCGACTTTGGAGCCTTGACGAAATCTTCTCTGCCTGCGGAGTCGATTTCGTCCGTCGAAGGACCATGGCCGTGACGTGCAGCGCGCATTGCAAGACTTGACTTCTTGCGTATGAGTGCGCTTGTTGATTGCCTTTCTCGGACAATCGATGAAGACAATGTAGACTGATCCGTATCACCTCGCTGACTTGCTTTACTGGAAGCCCTTTCAGCAACAGATGCTCCCGAGCCTGAGGCAGACCTGTTACCAGAAGACGTGCTAGAAGGATTGGTACGGCGACCTGATGCTCTGCTCGATGGCCTACCAGTGTCGATTAGAGGGTATCGCTCATTCATGATGCTGGAGGATCGAGAACGTAGTTCAGGTCGACTCTTTGACGGTTGCAACACTGGCGGGTGCTGCTGTAGGCTTTCTTTGGAATCGTGAGGGTGGCTGTTGTTTGGGGAATAGTCAGGTCCGGCCAGAACAGTATCTCCAACAGGTGCAGGCGTCATGCTGAAGTCTTCGATCTCTTTGCTAAACCAGGCTCTCCACTCATTACTCGGTTGTGGTGCGTAGGTGGAAAATCCATTCACAGGACGCGGGGGTGAGTCGAGAGGATAACGCTTGACCTCGTGCCCAGTGATTGTTATGAATGTGCCAACAGCATCGGGAGAGACGGATCTCGAGTATATACTGGGCGAAATGACATGTTGTCGAATCTCATGAAGATCAGCACCGTTGCTAAACGTTGTTGCAGCAGCGTCGTGGGATGCGTGACGGACAGCGACAGGTAAGCTGGAGTTGACATCCTCCAACGGTCGCAATTCATATGGATTATCGCCCTTCATGCAATAATTGAGAGCTCGTGAAACAACCGGTGAGCCGTCCTCCAACGCGGCCTGCCACCGGTTTTCTGATCTCTCCACACGAGCAGCGATTTGCTCATTTGATGGTGGGGCTGCTTCTGCCTGACGGCGTTTTTTGGAACGTATGCTTGGTGCCATGCTCCACCAGGACGACTTTCGAGTCACTTGATGTGGTGGGTCCGGGGCTGGACGCGTAGGAGACTCGGGGATGGTAGGTTCTGGGGTGACCATTCGGATAGTCTCGGCCGGTGATACTGGTGGGGAGTTGTTGAAGACGACAGCAGATGGCTGTGAGGGGACCTCCTCGACTACTACAGACGGCACCTCGGGGTTGTTGATGCGGTTCTGTAGTGCATCATACAAGCGCTTGCTATCTTCCGACTTGGCTCGAAGGCTGGTCTGGCTGGGACGACGAAGTGGGAAACGTAATGCTCGACCGAGAAACGAGCCAGTAGGTGCTTCCTCTGCGGTAGGACTAAGCGCTTGAGAAGCCGAAGTCTCCTCGATCGAGGGTAGGCGTTTGCCATGGCGTGAGACTGTCGAGTTGGACCAACTTGTCATTCGTGATTGTGTACCCGAAGAGCAACCAAGAGATGAGAAAGGTGATCTAGGTAGGGATATTCCATTATCCGGACCAGTCGTCGAGAAACTGTCGTCGTTTGTCTTATAGACATCGAAATGGAGATTTCTTGCTTCTACGTGTTGAGCAGGAAACTGTGACTGCACTCGCTTCGGTCTTGATAACAGCCTTCTGAATCTGCCCTTCAGGGACTCCGAGACGGTCCGTTGTTTCTTGAGCTTGCCAGGAGTTTTGTCAGACTTGATCTCCACGGGCGGAGCAGTAGAGAAGATGGCTTCGGATTCTTCGACAAAGTTGTAGGGCGGCACCGACGAGTCATACTGGATAAACGGGGCAGGAGCCGGTGACTTGGAGAAGCGTTTCCTCAATGGAGCAGCGAAGGACTTTCTCTCGCGAATCTCCTTTTTGTGGAAACCCTGAAGGTAGGCATCCCAGGCAGCCGTCTTGATCTCGTCGTCGGTCTGCAGGTCGCGAGTTTGTCGTCTAGAGGCAGTGCTGAGTCGTGACTCTGACACATCTGTCATGGTAACTGTAGGGTCATTGGAGGCTTCAAGAGCAAAGCGGTAGGGAGTATCTGGCAAGAGGGATTGTCGAGTTGGAGCGCGCGCAGGTATGGTTGCGGGAGCGGTCGCAGGTCCTGGCAGCAGTGCAGGGCGTTCGGGGCGGTCAGACTTCTGAGTGGACTTGCGTCGATTTTCATCAAAATGACTACCTTCAGAGCGACGAGAGCGACGTCTTTGAGGTCGATCTCCTTGCGAATGGCGGCACGCACGCGTGTAGGCTTCTACAGCGGCAACCTCTGCATACTTTGGATCGGTGGATATTGATGGCTCGAAGGGCCTGTGGCTGCTCGAAGATGATGACTTGGCCCGGCGTAGGCGCAGGGCAGCATCACTGTTGGCGCGGGACAGCATTGGAGCTTCCTTCGGGGATGTTCGTTGCGAGTTGTTGATGGGTACAAGAAAGCTAGGAAGACGTATGCGGCGATACCAATGCTTTGGTATGAGATGCATTTGGGTGATTTGATCGAGCATCGAGAAGGCAGAACCTACCTGTCTTTGTTGAATGTCTGCATATTGCAGAGGCAGGAGGACTATGGGATGCTCTTTCCCATTCGAATAGAGAAACCATACTGCATACAAACCATTTCACAAGTTATTTCGGACAGATACGGCCATTACCTGAGCACAATAAGATCTCATCTTGTCAAAACTTCCCTCTTGGATATGTGATAAGTATCCATACTCTGGAAAATATGAAGGACTTCATGATCGCAATGAGATTAGGCGTCGCTCTCACAATCCAGGGCGAAGAAGATCTGACTGGCAACTTACGAGTCCTACTGGCCGTGAGAACAAACTCTTGAATCCAGTTACTCACAAGAGCGAGTTGATGAATATCGAAGGACGTCAAGCTCACGTATCGCCAAGATGCGATGGTGACATTCATGGACGGGCACCTTTCCGCCGAGACGGCCGAAAATGACTCAAAGCATAGGCCATGCATCACGAGATCCTGAACCGAGGCATGCCGAGCTGACTCGAAATGGAAGGTGGCTGAATTACGTGACGCGTGTGACGCCTCGCGCCATCACTGTAGCAATTTCACAGTAGCAGGGAAGACTCGAGTTGATGTTGTCAGGAAGAACCGTCCATTCTCTCATGGGGTCAATCCATATTATATGTGTACATAATGAAATAAGAAATATGCATCTGATTATCCTCCGTAAACCGTGACAAAAGAAATAAGAGTATGCAAGACATCAGGTCGATATGTCAAAGCCTACTCCAATGCAATGTGGCTCCGTCGTGGACGCCATACACGCTCGTTCAATCATGCATAGAGACTCTACTCCTGAGTGGCGAGGAACTCCTCGATCTCCGACTCGAGCTTGGCGGTGAGGTGTGCGATCTCCTTGCGGGTAGTCTCGAACATCTCTCTCATGTCCTCGCGGATGGTGGAAGCGTCCATCTCCTGGACCTTCTTGTAGGCATCGTAGGCAGAGTCGGTCTTGGTGACAGACTTGAGCTCCTCGATGGTCTTAGCGCGCTGGCGCTGGATGTTCTTGGCCTTGTAGCTGCCGCCAGCAATGACCTCAGTGTAGTTGGCAGAACCACCACCGTTCCAGGCAAGGATCTGGTTTGCATTAGTAGTGAACAGAACAACAGGAGTACAGAGTTACTTACGTTGGCAGTGTCTGAGGGAACATCCTCAAGAGCACCAACAGTGGCGATGGAAAGGAGGTCAGCCTTGAGCTTCTTGGGGGTGATATCAGCGACGGCGTAGGCGGAGTTCTTGGAGGGCTGGAGGGAGAGGAGGTAGGCGAGGAGACCAGCAACGTGAGGAGAGGCCATCGAGGTACCAGAGATGACGTTGGTAGCAGTCTCGCTGCCAATCCAGGTGGAAAGAATGTTAAGACCAGGAGCGAAGATGTCGTTGCACTTGCCGTAGTTGGAGAAGTAGGCACGCTCGTCAGCAAGAGTGGAAGCACCGACGGTGACGGCCTTCTCAGCAGCGGCAGGGGAGTATCTGCACGAGTCGGCGTTGTCGTTACCAGCAGCAACAGCGAAGTGGATGCCAGCGTCGACGGCAGCGTTGACGGCCTGGTCGAGGAGAGCAGACTTGCCACCACCAAGACTCATGTTGGCAGTGCTGCCCTTGAAGCCCTTTCTCTTGCCCTTCTTGGCCTTCTCAACCTGCTCAAGGTGAGACTCAGCGGCGTACTCGACACCCTTGACGACATCAGACATGGAACCTGAGCCGTTGGAACGGAGAACCTTGACGGCCTTGACGTGAGCCTTCTTGGCGACACCGTACTTCTTGCCAGCGACGGTACCAGAGCAGTGAGTGCCGTGGCCGTTGCCGTCCTTGTCCTCATCGCCCTGAGGGATGGTCTTGCCCCAGGAGGCACGGCCCTCAAAGTCGACGTGGTCAACGTTGGTGCCAGTGTCGATAACGTAGACATCAACACCCTCACCACCGTCGGATGAGTAGAGGTACTTGTTGAATGTGCCGAAAGTCAAGCTGTCGCGATGAGAGATACGAGCGAGACCCCAGGGAGCGCCCTTCTCGACTGCAGGGTCTTCGGACTTGGCGAGAGTGTGCATAATCTGGTCCTTCTCGACGAAGGCAACCTTGATCGATCGTGTCAGCAAAGCTCTAATAGGACAAGGGCTTCGAAGGGTGTTTAGGCAGCAGTTTCGAATTGCCACACGACTGGGCAAAACAGCTGAAAACAAGCTTCGGAGGTGTTTCCAGGATGATTTGTGGAAGGTTGAAGGCATGATAGTGGAGAGATCGTGAGATCGTGTGTACTTACATCGGGGTGCTTGCGGATGGCCTCGATGACAGACTCGTCAAAGTGACCTGAGTAGCCCTTGAGGCCAGCCATGTTGTATGTGTGCTTGAGACCGTCGAAGACAGTCTCGAGGAAAGGCTCCTGCGATCTCTTGCGGAGCTCGAGCTTGGTGTTCAAGGTCTGCTCGTGGATGTCCTGCACCCAGGTGTGGTGAGCGGCGGCATCGTGGTGGTCGACGTGATCCTTGAAAGCGATCAGGTAAGAGTCGGGGATGGTCTCAGCATCGACAGATGAGATGAGAGGAGCGGCGTCGTTGTCGATGCTCTGATGGCTCAAGGTGTCTGCCTTGATGACAGGCTTTGCAGCTGCCAGCAGCGGCAAGAGGGTAAGACCAGCGATGCCCTTCATGATGGAGGAGCTGGATATGTATGTGGTTGGAAAGTGTATGTAGTAGAGAGGATGGGGAAGAGGGAGTGGAATGAAGGAGGGATGGAGTCGAGGATGAGTCGAGTTGATGAAGGCCTTCACCTGGATGGGCGGGCAGCTCCAATCTGGGGTCACTCGTTATCAGGGTCCGTGCTTTCCATGCATGACGTTTCCGGCTTGATCACTAGACACATCTGTTCCGCACGACCTTGAACTCATTCTGCACCATATAGGAATCTATTCAGAGCTTGCAGCAGATATGCAGATAGTTTTGGGTTGTAGCATTTAGTAGATTTATCCATAGTAAAGAACTTGAGAGCGCAAAACCATCATGGAAGGACCACAGACACTATCGGTGACTCGGAGTGGGCGTTATCGCAGCCTTGGATTTGTGGAGCTATTTCGGCGCTAGCGATCAAACGCCTAAGTTACTCGTTCGAGGAACTCGTGTGCCCTCTTCTCGATTCACTGTTTAAGGCACCCGGTGCTGCGAAACATCGAAACGCTCACGTGCGCCTCCATTGCGGCCGTCGCACCTTGCAACCCTACTGCTGCTATCTCCAGGGCCTTTGCAGCTTAGCCCTTTGGCCTATCCCCTTTGGTCCCTCCTTGGCTGGTGTATGCTCGCTCCATCCTCGAAGCCGCAATCGAGCAAGCATTCTACTTTGCGGGGTCGTCACTTGACTGCTTGTTTGACTGAGCCCGGAGAGAACGCCTTCGGCTTCCGGATCATCTGCCCTTTGCACACTCACTGTCGCTTCCGGAGCAATGACATCGTTAGCTGTTCAGTTTGTATATATCGACCAGCACCGTTGATGCCAAAATGGACAACCGATCTCCGACTTCCCGTCGGTACAGGTCATCTACCAGCAACTCTAGTCCACCATTGCAAGTGAGGACAAGTGCATTTGCTTCGCTCGTCCAACGACTATCAAGTTGCACAATTACCACCTCGGAGTCGCTGCGGAGTTTTCATGATGATCTCACTAGATTGTGCATCTTCTTTGACGACAATGGCCAAAATGACATTCAAGACCAGTTTCGTCAAATACGCGGTTTCCAAGCGGTTCTTCATGTTCTAGAAGCAGCAATCCAATATGCCGAAGCACAAGGAACCTCAACGAGCATATCACATGTAGAAGATTTTGCCCAGATCGCCATTGATGTGCTTAATATCCTGAACAAAGCACTGCGAAAGCATCATGGAAACTCTCGCTATTTCACAAAGCGGGTCTCTGACGGAGGATGGCAAGCTCTACGCCATCTTGTGCAGAGCGTTTCATCCATTATTGCGAGTTCTGCCTCTGAAAAGTCTCGTTTCAATAGTCTTTTACGGTTCTTTTGTGCTGCTCTAGCATTGGCACTTGGCGACAGTGCGTATAACAATACTCTCAAACAGCTCTGGGCCGAGAATCCTGTCGGATCAGCCAATGGAGATGCTTCTCAAGAGACAGAAACCTGCCGAAAATCTGTCTCAGAGGCGATGACCTCCGAAAGGCTGCAGAGTCTGGTTCGTGATTGCTTGGACCGAAGTGAGCGAATTCTGAACTCGGAGGCTATGACTATCATGTCAGACTTCTATTCGTTAAGCGAGCATGGGATGGAGACTGCTCCTGAAAATATAGCTGTGCTGCCAATTGTCGTTCTGACAGTTCTTGATTGCCTCATTGAAACATCGGAGAGCAACAGGATCGCAATTCACGATGCTGGCACACTATCAGTCCTGTTGCCTCGCTTGGCGGAAACTGGCATGGAAGTACATGAGGCTGCACTATTACGAAAACTCTGCAAGTCGTTGCTATCACTTGGAACACGTCGGTTGGAGGAGACAGCTCAAATGTTCAAGTTGGCCTGCGAAGATGATTCCGCAAGAGAAATCTTACTAGAGGCTTTGCAGAAATCCAAACAACCTCCCGCTATCAAATTCGATTTGTCCAACTCCGGGCATTGCTCAATAGAGCTCGCCTCGTTACCACGACCCTTTCCACCTACTGCCGGATACACGTTCTCAAGTTGGATCAAGATTGATCAATTCGATTCAGACTGCCACACCACAATATTCGGAGCCTTTGATGCCAGTCAGACCTGTTTTGTTCTTGTATATATCGAAAAGGACACGCATCAACTGATTTTGCAGACATCAGTCACCGCGAAGAAACCAAGTGTGCGATTCAAAAGGTTTAGATTTGGAGCTGGAGAATGGTATCATATTACCATAGTGCATCGCCCGTCAAGGACAAGCGGTTCAAGTCCAGCTATACTATATGTTAACGGGCGATGCATTGAAGAGCAACATTGCCCATACCCAGAAGCGCCTCCGCTCATCCCAGAACTCCGTGCTCCTGTCCCTTCGCAAGTCCACAATACCACACGACGACCAGTCCAGGCTTTCTTCGGCACTCCACAAGATCTTGCTTCCCAAGCAGGCGATCGCCTCTTGAATTTGAAGTGGTCTCTTGCAAGCGCCTATCTGATTGATGCATCTCTTTCTCCCGAGCTAGTCGCTGTTTACCAGAAGCTTGGCCCTCGGTATTGTGGAAACTTCCAAGACTGCATAGGGCCTTTCTTGACATATCGCGCTTCCGCCGAACTCAATCGTTACAACGAAATGCTGCATGCGGATAAGGATGACAAGTCCGAAATCGTTCAGGCTACACAATCTCAGGGCAGCGAGCTTCTCCCAGAAGGCAAACTGTTGATCAGCATGTCCGCCTCATCGATCGTGAATATGAATGGTTTGCTGGCAAACGGTCTCAACATCGGGCACATGTTGAATGAAAAGGCGTCAGCACATCTTCAGTCTCTGACGCGCAACGGCAACCCGATGTTACTCAACGCAGCTCGACCTTCAATAAATGAGGCCATGACAAGGTCTTATGGAGCAGCTGTAATTACTGGAAATCCTATCTTGACGCTCACTCACGGTCTCGACGACGGTAGTTGGCAGATTGGTGGCTGCCTGCCAATTAACATGAAGATTATCCAAAGCGCGTCAACAGCTGATTCCCTTGTCATCTCGGTGGAGCTTCTCTTCCAAAGCATACTGGATAATTGGCGAACTAGTGAAGTCATGGAAAAGGATAATGGCTTTGGCATTCTAGCAGTTTTGCTGAGAGAAAAACTTGGAATATACAACAGCGGTCCTGGTGGTCACAGAACTGTCCCAATCGCAAAGACCATGCAACAGAGGGAAGAGCTGGCGTTGCGACTTCTCAAAGTCGTACTGGCGTTTGTTGGCTATAACGTCAAGAGTCCCGAAAACTCATTGCTGATCAACCCAATGGCCTACCGCGTTCTCCTTGTCGATTTCGACACCTGGCGTACGATAAGTCCTGAGACCCAGAAGCTTTACTATCAGCAAATCGCAGGATTCGTCTGGAAGAACAACAACCAAACTTTCAACATGAAACGTTACAATAAAATGAGGGTCGTTCGTAGATTCCTCGACGCTCTCAAAGTTGATCCAATCAGCGCTGAAGTTTTGCCCGAGGTCTTGCATGCTTTGAGAGCCCTCAGTCTGTGTAAAACAGCACATCTCAATCACCGAGATATTGCTACGTTCATCACGTACGCGCTACATGACGACAGAGCCCTGCAGTCAACCAACCCACTACTGAGGACACCTCGGAACAGATCGACATCGATCAAGTTGTCGTCTCCGCGGTTGGCCACACCTGAGACACCCAGTCCTACGTCAACATCGCCCAGTACGCACAAATTGAGCCAGTCAAATCTTGGTATCAGCATTGTGGAGACGTATTCAGAGGTTCTCTGTGGCTTCGAAACCAACACGCACATCAAACGCTTTGATCAGCAAGTTCCGACGCGATGGATCCTCCATCTACTAGCAGAGCCTGATTCTCGCGTTGTGGGTTCTGCGCTTTCAATCATATCAAGAGCCATCGTAGAGATACCCAGCTTCAAGTCTAAGTTTACTGAAAAGAATCATGGCTTCACAACGCTGCAAGCTAGACTGCGTAGCCACTGGACGTCTCCAAGGGTGTGGATGGGGTGCTTTGCCATACTATTCGGGCGTCCCTTCGTTTCTCGTGAGGATGCCGACGAACTCACCATCTTCCACCTCATGGAAACATTCATGCAGCAAGGGGAATCCGAGATACGGCATCCCGAAATCTTCCCAGCGATGGCGGGCATGTTGGAAGCAGGACTTAGGACTGTCGTCAAAGACTCATTACATCAAAAGGACAACGAAGATGCAGTCGAGTTGAACTCTATTCCGAAGACAATTATTCAGTTCCTTACAGACGTGCATTCTCGAAGCAAGTCGTTCAGAGACTTCGCCGTGGACTCCCACTACGTACAGGAACTACTTTTCGTGCTGTTTCCACTGATCACAAGTGCCGATCGACTTAGTGCGTCCGCTGAACTAGCATCAGAGAGTCCGCTGAACTTCCAAGGTCGCGAAGTGGTTCTGCGACCACACTCCAATTCGCTGGGCGAGCGACCGGCAGTACTCCGAAGTGGTTCTAGCAGAACCTTGCCTACTCAAGGACGACCGAACCAACTTCAGATACCTCGTAGAACCTCATCTTTCGTTTTCGTCAACCCTACCGCGGCGGAGGTTAAACAGTCTACCGTGTCAATGCGCTTCAACGCGATAATGTCTCCCACGACAAGCAAACCAGTCAAGCTCAACGTAGGCAACGCTGTTGTTGAGTCTTTGCTTGAGCTGGTAGTCATGGTATACATTGAGCAGGTCTCTCAACGCAAAGACTTTGCAGGTTTCGGTCTATTCCTCAAAGTGCCGCCTGGTTTCCAAGAACACCAAGCATATTTTGAATCATATGTCCTGCTTCACACTATGCACCAACTATGGAATCATCTTCAGCTGAATCAAGAGTTGATGGTTGAGCCTAGAACTTTGACGAATCTTGCTCGGTACAGCTTACATATGGCCGAGGCTGTGTTTGAGGGCTGGTTTATTGACGGAGCCCAACCATTACTTGACTTCACTGGCAAGGCCTTGGAGTATTTGCAACAGCCAGCTGTATCAGCGACAAAGGGAGTAAGACTATGCTCGCAGGCTGTGTCGACACTGCGCTCAGTATTCCTTCGTGTTACTCTTCTTCGCTTGTCCGAACTTGATGAATCCGAAGACGATGCAGACGCCTTGGACTTCCTCAGGAAGATGACATACTGGCAAACTATCTTGTTCTCACCTCAGAATCAAGAACTTCCGTTCATAAGGCTGATTTGTTATCTCCTATACATCAAGATGACTTCTCCGTCATCTCCAGTACGGCGTGCTGCTGCCTCATTATGGAGGATGCTGCTTGTACAGAAGCCGACTGAAGCAGCTACCATACTGATACAGAACTCCGACCCAAATCAGCGACACATCTCTACCGGTTTGATCAAACTTGCTGCACATGATGATGACGAGCTTCTGGAGTGGATTGACCAAAACCGAAAGCCTCTGGACGAGTTCTTCCATGAAACCATGTCAAGATTCTGGGACGAATTTGTCGGTTCCGAGAACCAGAAGACAGAAGAATCTGCCAAAAATCGCCTTGCTAAGCGCAAAGAGAAATTAAAACATTGGAAAGCGACCGAGACTGATCTTGATAATGTTGCGCACCGATTCGAGGTATCCACTAGACACTGGCGATCGAATATCCATTCTCAAGAGCGACTGAAGTATCAAGGCGCACTTCAGGACCAACAGGAAAATTTGAATCATATACATACTGTTATTTCTAGGCTGGAGACTCTGTTGAAGCAGCCCTCAGGTCTGTTCCCTGAAAAAGGTCCGTTCAAATGGCAGCTCGATCAGACCGAATCGCGCAATAGAATGCGTATACGGATAGTGCCAGACACACGACGTGATCAAGAGGCATTCCAGCCCAAGCGCAAGGCCTCTGAGCGCGTGTCTCAAACGGGGCTAAGGATCGACACACAGTCTCGCCCAAGCTTGTCAGACAACATCGTCTCGGCAGAGCCTACTCCGACCCCAAGGACTCCTGCTAATCTCAGTGTACCTCAATTCGAAGACACTCCATCCTCGCCAAGGGACGATTCTATCTCTGGCTCTGCGCTTCTTGATGGCGAATTTGAGATGGTTGATGATCCCAAGGATGGCGAAGAGGGATTCGAAGATAAGAACCGTAAAGTCTTGAAGAGTTTGCAGCGTGGCGATCGTGTACAGAACATTTGCAATGTCTCTCGTGTGGTCGGTCTAGAGGCTTTCGAGGGCCTATTGATCATAGGCAAGAAATGCTTGTATCTTCAGGACGATATGTTCCAAAGATCTGATGGCGAGATTGTCAGCGTTGCTCATGCTCCCGATGAAGAACGCGACCCTTACGTTCAGCTGATCTCGGGCAAAGAGATCAAGACCAAACGAAGACAACGCACGGAAAGAGAACCTGCAAGACATTGGACTTGGCAGGAGCTATTGCACATCTCGAAGCGCCGCTTCCTGTTCAGAGATGTTGCGCTAGAAGTCTTCTTCACAGACGGTCGCAGTTACCTCTTGACATTCATGACGCCTGCGGCCCGCAATGATGTTTACGCAAATCTTGCAGGGAAGTCACCACTCGTGTACGGGTCACTATCGTCCCTGCCTGCCGAGGATGCTTGGAGACTCGACTCATTGAGAAATCCAGAAGAGACGCCTCAAAGCTTTGGCTACAAATTTGCAAATGTGTTCAACTCAACATCGTCCAACGCGGCAACACGACGATGGACACGCGGCGAGATATCGAACTTCCAATATCTCATGCTTGTCAACAACATGGCCGGCAGAACTTTCAACGATCTTACTCAATATCCAGTGTTCCCCTGGATTCTCGCAGACTATACTAGCGAGGAACTCGATCTGACCGACCCTCGAAGTTTCCGTGATCTCTCCAAGCCGATGGGCTGTCAACATCCTGCACGCGAGTCCGAGTTCCGCGAACGCTATCGAGCCTTTGCTGAAATGGGTGATGAACACTCTCCACCTTTCCACTATGGCACTCATTACTCCTCGGCCATGATTGTCTCCTCTTACCTGATACGGCTGCCGCCCTTCGTACAGTCGTACTTATTGCTTCAAGGTGGTGCCTTTGATCATGCAGACCGATTGTTTGACTCGATTGAGAAGGCGTGGTTGTCTGCCTCCAAGGAGAACATGACTGATGTTCGTGAGTTGACACCTGAATTCTTCTGCTTACCCGAGTTCTTGCAAAACATCAATGGCTACGACTTTGGTCAGAAGCAAGGCAGTGGTCAAACCATCAATGATGTCGTTCTACCACCCTGGGCCAAAGGCGACCCTCACATATTCATTGCAAAGCATAGAGAAGCTCTTGAGAGCCCATACGTCAGCCAACACCTCCAAGAGTGGATTGATCTTATCTTTGGATACAAACAACGCGGCGAGGCAGCACTCGAAGCCACGAACGTCTTCCACCATCTTTCGTACCAAGGTGCAAAGGATTTGGATACCATGCAAGACGAAGTCGAGAAGCTCGCAACTATTGGCATCATTCACAACTTCGGACAAACTCCTCACCAAGTCTTCCAGCGTGTGCACCCCAGGAGAGAGGAAGAGAAGCACAGAGTTGAGAGACTCGACACCATCGCTGAATCATTGATCAAGCTACCATTTCCCCTACTTGAGAGCCATGAAAGAGTCATGGCATTGACATACTCGCCTACCCAAGAGCGTTTGTTATGCTCTCCCCCTTGCAAGCTAAATGTGCCACCAGCCTGCAAGAGCTACCTGCAATGGGGCTTTGCTGACAACAGTCTTCGCTTCTTCACTGCCGACAACAGGAGAATGCTCGGCTTGTATGAAAACCTGCATATTGGACAAATCAGCACCGCTCTTTTTGCAGACTCCAAGACTTTGATAACGGGCGGAGCAGACAGCACAATTGGCGTGTGGACCATTGGTTTCACTTCCGAGTCTGCAGACATCCAGTCAAGGACTTATCTGTTCGGCCATCGCACGCCTGTCAGTGTTCTTGCAGCTTCACGCGCTTTCAGCACTTTGGTATCTGCTTCGGTTGATGGTCAAGTATTCCTCTGGGACCTCAATCGCTTCGACTGCGTGCGTGTCCTCCAGGAAGCTAATAACGGCAGCCACACGATTCAGTGTGCCAAAGTCAACAATCTGACCGGGCACATCGCCTTATGCAGTGGCGCATATGTCCGAATCCTCACCTTGAACGGCCACCTTCTCGTCGAACAAAAAGTCTGCGATGCAGAAGATGACGAAATCACCTGCTGTGCTTTCTACGAAGGCGCTGCAAACGAGTGGGTAGAGCGTGTATTGCTGTTTACCGGCCACAAACGTGGTATCGTGAATGTGAGTTACTCCATCCCTAATCACAGAACTACCCAAACCTAACAACCAACAGGTATGGTCATTAGTCACCCTCCGCGATGGAGCATGGCACCTCCAACTCATCAAGCGATTGATGCATGTCGAGCCCACGCGCGGCGAGCCAAACATCCAGGTACCGACTATTACTTGTGTGCTTCCCATGTCACAAGCTGTATATACTGGTGATGAAGACGGCAAAGTTGTAAGTTTTGACCACGTGCTAGCAACAGCAAGCTTTAATCTCTTTACTGACGTGTTTGGCTTTGTAGTATGAGTGGAATTGTGTGCAGAGACAGGGAGCGGGGCCGTTTGCTGGTTGGAGATGAAATGCAAAAGTATAGAGTTGGGAATGCGAGCATCGGACAGGATGATAAAAGGAGGGATATTCTCTTTGCACAGAAAAAGTACATCTGGATATGGAGTTTTTGCATTTTTTTGGTATTCTATCTCTATGTCTTTGCGACCTGTAACACAAAGACAAGTCATTCATATCGTGTCATGCGATGATTTTTGTTGACTCATGAATGTCTCGTCGAGCTCTTCTATGGCCAATTCAAAACAGGATAGCTCTCTCTACTCTGCCACCCATGGTCAAAAGTACACCTTAACCCTGTACCCTGTCTCGCAGCAATAATCCCTCTAGCCACCGTTCTAGCCTCTGTTTCTCTCTCCAACCATCTAGCCATCAAGCCCACAAACATATCCTGATACTGATTACAAGCACCACACTCTTGCCAACACTCACCTACATCAGCATCCGCATGACAATCGCCACAATGCTGTACTTCAAACTCTCTCTTCTCTGGATGCATCGAGATGTAATCCCTAACATCGTCTATGATTTGTTGATGCTTGACCCCAATCCTGAAATACGATTTTGCCATTTTCTGACGGAAAGAAGGGGATTTTAGAAACGTGGCGTTGAGAGGGAACCAAGAGGAAGCTTCTTGGGATAAGTTTAGGTAGGTGAGGTGGCGCCAGGCGCCGTTCCAATCGGGGCCCTTGAGGCGTTGGGTTTGCGAGGACCAGTCGTTGTCGCTGTCGTCGGAGTCGGTGGGTTGGAGTGGGAGAGCGTATGAACGATGAGTCAAAGCTGGGAGCCAGGAGTGGCAGCCTTGGAGATCGAGCCAGCGCAGACAGTATGTGTTTTCGGCTAGCATACGTAGGACTAGAGCTGATTCTTCAAAGTCGCGGTCGAGAGATGCGTAGGGAGATGTTGAGTTTGGCGTTCGTGTTGGGAGTGGCCAGTGGGCTAGGCTGAGGTGGGTTATGGTGTGTAAGTCCTTGGACAGAAGTAGGAGGTCTGTCCAAGAGGCAGATGAAGGAGGATGAGCCAGAGAGAGTTTGGTCAAGTGTTGTAGATTGTTGTTGAAAGGTTTGGGGATGAAGAAGTCGCTGTCGTCTGAGGATGAATCTTCCTGGTCCCATGAGTCCGCAATGTCGCTTTTCTGTTGTTGTGATTTTTCCGCTGCTTCTTTGGTATCTTCTGCTGACTTGTGGAGCCATTTCCTAAGTTCTTTGATAGTAAAGCCCCAACCCACCAAGCCTGATAGATCCAGTGAAGAAGCTTCGGATGGATTCGGGAAGAGGGCATGAAGGCCAGCCATGTCGATACCCTCCGGAGGTCCCAGAGTGGTCAAGTAACTGAGCAAGACAACACGTAGGTGCGCTGGAATCACATCGAGCCACTCGCCGCAGTCTTCCACGATATCCGACCAGTTCCGCGCAGCCACCTTGAGCGACATGTCCAGTAAGCTGCCAGGGATAACAGGGTTATCATTTGCCATGTTCAAGAAACGAGCCAGTCCTTGAGGCATATTCCTGATCGGAGTACCATTTTGGCCAAAAGTCCTTGGTTGTCGTTTTGCCAGGTAGTAACGATTTTCCAGTGCTTGTCTATGACTTGTTAGTCTCGACACCCAACTAGGCGGAGGGGCAGGGCCGGGCGTCCTCAACCGCACTCTCGATCTCTGAGAAGCACTGTTTCTCGGAGCTGGAGCAGCTACAGCAGTTTGGCCCAAAATACCCTGACCAAGACTTGGTGGTAATGACCTTTGGTTTGAAAGCTCAGCAAGCTGTCGCTTTCTTTCAAGAGAAGCTGGAGATGCTTGGGCGAGTCTCAGGTTGGTGAGGCGTTCGTTGACAGATAACACAGGTTTTGCCTGAGCATTCTCGCTGGTGCGAGGACTGCCCCCGAGAGAGGGGTGAACATAGTTCGAGCCTGGTTTGGGTTGGTATGTCTGTCTGTGCTTCTTGGGCATCACAGAGAAAAGAAGAATGAAAGGGTTGCTCCGGTGGAATCCTCCAGCGTCCGGTTCCCAGAAGTATGTATGGCTCCTGGAAATCCTTCCGATATCCTGGCTCCTGAGTTTTTCTTCCAATGATAGTCCTCAAAGTGGTGTTTCCTAATATGACTTATTACTCATAAGAGCAGTTGGTAAGCGCAGTCACCGCAGTGCTCCAATAGGCTCGTGAGAAAGTTGAGCAAGGACAAGGAGACGCCACCTGCACGTTTTCCCATCGACTCGCGAGCTTCCCCACGCGATCTCAACCACGTCATTGTCCACAGGCCACGACAGCAACCTTACGCCCTGAAACCTTGTGTACCTTAGACCCTTTATAAGTACAATGTGCTGATCCTTCCTGCTAGTCTTGTCAGAATAAACATGACTTCCTACTTCAAAGAAAAAATCACCGGTGCTCAGTCAGAGGTCGACAGCGGTGGTAACGCCAGTAAATACTTTATCCAAGTGTCTGCAGCAACCTCGTATGATGACTCCAAGGCTAAACAAGTCATCATCAATGGTGCACCTACGGAACTAAACAAAAATGCCAAGGTTGCTGTACGTATCAAGGAATACCAGGGTATTCCCTTGGACTCTCCGGCTACGTCTTCGTATTTTGAGGATCGGGCACATGCGAATGATACCTACAGTATAGCGGTCTCTTGGATCCCTGAAGAAGACATTGATGCAAATGACTTGGTCTGGGGTATTGAACTTATCAATCCAATCCGTGATCGCATACCTGGACGTTTTATCACTACTGCCTTCAACATCGTCAAAGGCTTTGTAGACTCAAGTCTCAAATGCGACCCTAATGCAGACCAACCCTGGCTCAACGGACCCGTCCTCTGCTCTACAGCAATAACCTTCAGCATCGGCTCCAAAAACACCTGCGAAATCCCAGCAATCCTCGCAGAAGGAAGTCTCTCCGACGACTCTTTAATCCGCAAAACCCACAACATTCCACCATCAGAATCACAACGTCGCAAATACTTCCTAGACGAGAAGAATCGCAAAGACTTTGTGTTTGAAAAGGGACGTTGTTATGCCTTTGATTTCCACAACGGCTACATAGATTGGAAGAACTACGCTCTCAAGCTTCCTGGTTTCTCGTTTGGAGTTTTGAAATACATCAACGATCGAACGCATACGACACGCTTCGTTCTCAAAAGCCGTAAAACTGGAAAAGTGTGTGTGGCAACTACTTTCCGCCTGCTGTACGGCGAAGAACTGGAAAAGGCAAAGAAGCAGAGTGTTGCGGCAGTGCAAAAAGGTGAGACTGAGGACGAGACTTCTCAGCATGGAAACACAACTGAGGATCAGCCAAAGGAGCAAACACCGCCACCGCAACCGCAAAACGGACACCAAGAAAACTCGAAAGGCGACAAGGAAATGCTGGAGCCGCTAAAGGGGCCTGAGCTGGAAAAGGTTAATACGGAAAAGCTGGCAAAGCAACCACTGCAAGGGCCTGAGGAGTCGGATGGTTTGTCACTGCAGGAATCTGGTGGTTCTAAGAGCCTTTCTGAGAGTGTGTCTGGAATCTCGCTTCAAGATGATGATGAAGAGCATCCTGCTGGCAATGCGGCGGATCAGGTCATTGCAGCATCTGAAGATAGGAGGAAGAGTGATCAGCTGAGGAGGTCGGTTGATGGGACGTCCTGATCGACTGCCATCGTCTGATGACAGAAATTGGAACTTGACGAGTAATGCGTAATGACGAGAAAGCATCTCACATATATAGGTTATGAAGTTCATAAAGTGGTATATAAGAGCGTCGATATTTTACATTTTGAAAGAAGTTTAGAGCATGCCTCTTCTCCAGGCACGAGTAGCCAGCTCCTTGATTGTCTTGACCTCAACAGGACCCTTAAGCTGCTCATCAGCCAAAGCTTCAACAACAGCCTCAGCAACCAGATCCGCCTTCAAAGGCTCAACACCACCAGCACCCATCAACCAAGTCAAACGTCCACCAACCAACGAGTTAGCCATAGCACCCATAAACGTCAATCCAGCCATGGGAACGGTAAAAGTCCGTGACGAATCATATAGGAAACCAGGACGAATAAAGACACTCCTCATGCTCGGGAAGTTGCTCGTAATCGAGTCTTCAGCTTCACGCTTCGTCTTGATGTATCTCGCAGGCAAGATAGGCGCACCACCCGCCGCAGAAATATACGCCATGGATTTGCAACCAGCAGCATTCGCCTCTTTAGCAAGCAGAACCGCAGAATCCCTATTCATAACCTCGTAGGTGATTTGACCGCCTTCATGTTGGGGCTCCACATCACTGCCCTCTCTTCTCTCCAAAGGGTTTTGGGTGCCTTGTTTTGTACTGCTGAAAGCTTTTTGCAAGCCGGCAATGATTGGTTCTTTGCCGGTGAGGACGCCTTTATAGTCTGCTTCTAGCAGGATTCCCATGCTGTGGACGACGGAATCGGCGTTTTCGAGGTGGTGGGCATAGGTGGAGGGTTGTAGGATGTTGGCGCTGACCCAGTTGACGTCGGAGGACCAGGTGGGTGCGACGGGGGAGGAGGTTACGGAGGACCAGGTGGGTTCGCCGGAGCGCGAGATGGAGGTTACTTGCCAGCCTCGTGCGGCTGCTGCTTTGCAGATGCGGCTTCCTGGTGGAAAGTGTTAGCTTGAAGGAGGATAGATTGGATTGGTGGTCGCGTACCAAGGAAGCCATTGCCGCCAGCGACGACAATCTTTTTGGTAGCTGCTTTAGTAGACATGATGTTTTGTGTATGCAGACAGTGTATGGACAGAATTGAGTCAAGAAAGAACGGAAGCTATGGAAAGCTCTCAAGCTGGCTCGATTCACATGCCAAAGAATGGCACGATGCATGACGTGCACCTCGTCTTAGCGCCATCGCCGAGCTTGGCTGCAACTTTGCGGGCAGGAACCACCCCGATTGGCTGTACGCTCGTCTTCCTTCTCCGACCCTCTGACCCTGTCTGCATCCATCTCTATACAATTCACTTTCATCAACCTGTGATCAACAAACTCTCATATCTCATCACTTCACAACAAACACACACCATGCCAGCCGCAGCGAGCAACAAACGCGTCAAAAACACGCGCATCTCGCGCCCTTTCAGTGCGTCCTCCCTCCTCCACTGCCACCTCTCACCTCCCTTCAAACAAACACTGACCATCGCAATAGTAATCGGCTCTCAAGCCTGGAACCTCGACCCAGCAACCCAAACAACCCCCATCCCCGAAGGCCACACAAAAGGCTGGCGCGTCTACGTAAAAGCCCTCGACAACGGGCCCGACCTGTCCACCTGGCTCAAAAAAGTCCAATTCAAACTGCACATGACCTACGCCGACCCCTCGCGCACCGTCGAAGCCCCTCCCTTCCAAATCCAAGAAACCGGTTATGGCGAGTTTGACATCGAGATGCGGTTATATTTCGACTCGAGCTCTGGCGAAAAAGCGCAATACAGAAGTCATAGGCTGCGGCTAGAGCCTTATGGCAGTGAAGAGCAGCAAAAGGCGCAGAAAGACGCGAATATGGTTACGAGCGAGACGTGTGAGATTGTAGAGTTTAATGAGCCGAGTCACGATTTCTTCGCCAAAATGACGGCTGAGGATCAGTTTGCGCATTTGCAAAAGAAGGGGGGTGGTGCTAAGGGTGGCAGAGGTGCCAAGGGAAGAGGTGCAAGGATTGAATATGAGGGTGGCAGAGAGCCTACTGCAAACTTGCCGGATAGAGGTTCGGAAGCTCTGCCTTGGAGTAGAGAGCTGGAGAAGAAGATGCTGGATATGCTAGCCACGGCGCAAAAGGATATGGATGTCGAGATTGAGAGGGAGAAAAAGAGGGCTGAAGACAGGCAGAAGAGGCTGCAAGAGATTGCCTGATTCCTCATTTCTTGCTGATTTGCCTTTCTTACGACGACTTTTATGATACCCCTTTTGCTGCAACCACACAGCATACTCTTATTCACCTTCTTCACAGCACTTCTCTTCTGCACAGTTCATGTGTCGATATAGTCTTCATTCACAGCAATGGCCAAAGAAGCCATCAAGTTCCTCCATAAATTACAGAAAACACCCTTCTTGATAGCAAATGATAGTGAAAAAACGCCACGCTCACCCATCCATCTTCAATCCCATCTTACTTCCCATCTTACTTCCCACTAATCTGTCCCTCAACAAATTCCAAAGCCTGTTCCTGGGATACGACATCAATACTACTGGTCTTGTTGATATAACTAACACCATAGCATTTCTCCGCCACAAGCAACATCTCCGGTCTGAACGTCGTACAGATGAACTGTCCCTTTTCAGAGCTTTCAGACAGCATTTGGGCAACAGCGGTACGGTACTGTGCGTCCAGGTTTGCGTCGATTTCGTCAAAGAGGTAGAAGGGTGCGGGATCTGAGGCTTGGATTGCAAACACGAGGGCGAGGGCGCAAAGACCTGTGGTAGTGAGTTAGTATATGGTAAGTTCGAACACAGTGGAGGAGGCAAGGCTTACTCTTTTGTCCACCAGACAGTTGCTGGATGCGTTGTTGTTCGTCGTGTTTGCTGTTGAAACTCACACTGATGCCGACACCAGTGTAGTTCTCAACACCATCTTTTCTGCCTTCATCATCACTCTCTTCTTCGTCATTCTCGCCGCGAGCAATACGATCAGTCCGGCGTTGAATCACCAAGCGACCCTTGCCAGCAGGAACCAACTTCTCAAAAATGCGAGCAAACTCTTTACTGACTTGGCGGAAAGTACGCTCGATAGCTTCGTCCTTGCGTTGATCCAATACATCAATGAGCTCTTGGATACTCGAGAGCGAGTTTTCAAGTTCCTTGCGGCGGGTCTCTAGACTCTCTCGTTGGCGAGTGAAGGAGTTGTATTGTTCGAAGGCCTTCTTGTTGACATGGCCATATCCCTTGAGGGCGTTCTTGACCTTGTTCAACTTTTTGGCTGCCTTGTCCCAGTTCATACTTGTGTAAGGTTCTTGGAAGGCGGATTCAGGCAGGACACCAAGGTTGCGAATGCTGATACCTACGGCCTCCTCCTTCTCCTTGAGTGTAGCACGTTTGGCGGTGTTCTTCTCCATTGATCTCTTCTTCTTGGCGATGAAGCGTGCGAGCTCTTCTTGTTGACGTTGTTTCTCTTCACGCGATGAGTTCTTCTCTGAGAGTTGAGACTGTGCTTGCTCGAGTGATGCCTCTGCCTCTTCGAGTTTGCTCATGACGTTCGACAAAGCTTCGTCTGCACGTTCAAGCTCTCTCTGCTTTTCTCCAAGACGTGCATTGCTACCTGCGACACCGCCTGCACCAAGTTCGGCATCTTGGGCCTGGAGCTGATCGAGTCGCAGACGAAGGTTCTCGCGAAGCTCCACTTCCAGACTGGCCTTGCGGCCTTCAAGCTCTGAACGAGCAGAACTCAAGTCGGAGAACTGCTTTCGTAGATTTTGTACAGTTGTGCTCAGAGTTGCCAGTTGACGCTCTTCATCTGCTGAAAGTGCTTTTCTGAACTCCGTGTTCAATTCTGCCTCATAAGCACTACCTTGCTCTCCCAATTGTCTTGCCGCAAGCTCAACATTGTCACGAGAGCGCTGCTTCTTTTCAAGCTCTTCATGCTTGGATTGCAAAGCATTTGTCTTGTTTCTGAGCTCCTGACGGAGAGGTCCGTAACTATTTTCTGCTTGTAGACGCTTTTGATCGATTTTCTGCAGATTACTGACGGCTCTTGTGACTTGTTGATCCAGTGCTTCGAGCTCACGGCGAATTTCATCACCACGGTTGCGGTGCTTCTCATACTCAGAACGCCAGTGCTGAACATTTCGCACGCCATCAAGACGTGATGATCTCGGGTCGTGGAAACCACCAGTGAGAGCACCCTTCTTGTCTGCGCGATCACCTTCTGGCGTAATAGCAGAGACACCATGACTGCGGGCATATTGTGAGGCGGTAGCTAGGTTGGGACACACGATGGTCTTGCCGAAAACCTGTTCAAAGGCCTTCTCATACTTCTTGTCGTAGTTGATCTTGGTCAAAAGATGTACTGCATCAGCAGCATTCGGGATGTTGACAGGTCTTGGTCGGAGGCGGTTCAGCGGCATGAACGTCACGCGTCCTGACTTCTCTCGTTGTAGGATCTCCAGAACTCTTGTGGCTGTATCGTCAGAATCAACTACGTAGTGGAACAGACTGTTTCCAGCAGTGACCTCGATGGCGGTCTTGTATCGGTCTGATGCAGGCTCGAAAAGCTCGGCAAGGGTACCGTATACACCAGGGATGTTGTGTTGACGAGCGATGCGACGGACAGCAGCAATGCCTCGACTTGTGTTGTGGTCTGTCATGTGAGAAAGGAAACGCTCAGCCTTTTCGAGCTCTTGCTGAGCATTCGTGATGACTGAATCGAGTTTGGCTTCTTCACGCCATAGCTCTTTGCGCTGATCCATCAGACGGTCTCGATCATCCTTCGCTTTTTGCACATCAGCTGCCATGGTCTGTGTCTCATCACCACGGTTGTCGATGCGGCTTCTCAACTCTGCAATCTCTGCTTCGAGGGTCGAAATCTCTTCCTGAAGTTCTGCGACATCGTCAGATGCCTGCATTGCGATGGCTTTCCTCGTGGCCAGAGCAACATTGATTTCTGCGATCTCTTTGCGCAGCCAGGTGTCTCTGTCGCGCTTGCTCTGGAATTGAGTTTGACGTCCCTGTTTGGCGTACAATCTCTGCCGTTGGCCCTCTGCCTCAACAAGCTGGTTCTTGATGGCGGCTTCCTGCTCTTTCTGTGCATTGTACTGAGGGAGTATCTGGGCCAATTCAGCCTCACGCTGCTCGATCTGGGCACGGACTTGTTGTAGCTCGTTGGCATGGCGTGTTCGAGCAGACTGTGCGGCAGATTGACCATCTGTAAGGGTCTTGACATCCAGTTCAACTTTCGCCTTTTCGCGAGATGCCTCCTTGCGCTCGTCTTCTAGTTGTTGTCTGTCAAGAACCAGGAACTCGATTTGCTGTTTGAGTCGGCTGATTTGGCTGTCCGTCTCTTTCAAATCCTCCTCGCCTTGAAGGAAATCCTGGCTGTGCTCGTCTGCTCCGATCACGTCGTTTTGGCGTTCCTCGTCGATTCTGGCCAGCCAGTCTGCGACTTCCTCTTGCTCGTTTCGGTAAATTGCGTATTCGAGACAACGTCGCTCGCGATCCTTCTCTTGGTATGCTCTCAGCTCCTCCTTTTCTTCTTCTAGTTCGCCCAATCGCTCGCGAATGTAGGCTAAAAGGTCGTCGATCTTTGCACGCTTGTTGTCCGTGTCGGTGACAATTTTGAGCGATTCTGTTCTGCGCGATTCGTAGACTTGAGTTCCGGCGACCTCTTTGAGCAGATTCAGACGCTCGCCGTCCTTCATGTTGGTGAGAGTTGTGACACGTCCTTGAGGAACGATGTAGTATGGGTTTGAGCGCGAGAAACCAGCAGATTCGAGTAGGTTCATGACATCGGCCTTGGTAGCATTCTTGCGGTCGAGTGAATATTCGTCCTTCTTCTGACCGATGGTTCTGCGTAGGACCAGTTCTTCTCTGCCAGTAGGGAAACGACCGTCGGTGTTGTCGAAGATGACTTCTACGTAAGCTGACATGACTGCGGAGCCCGAACCTTCCTATACGATTGTCAGAGGAGGTCTGAGAGTGTAAAGGCGCAAACATACGTGCAGAAGGGCCTGTCGCTCCTCGCGACCCATCTGGGTGTAGGCATCACTCAGGACGAATCTGATGGCGGCGAAGAAGTTACTCTTGCCTGAGCCATTGCGACCGACAATGACATTGTGCTTGGGCGAGAAGGGCTCAATGACTGTTTGGTCCTTGTAGCTGCAGGCGCGTTGCGTCAGAACATGGCATCCAGAGCAGAGAGTTGCGAGCGGATATACCTTTTGAAGCCCTGAATGATGATCTGTTTGATATGCATTGTCGCAGCTCATGCAATGCCCGACATGTACGTGCGAGCGGGCGGTGATGTGATGCAAGAAAGTAGTCTGCCGACACGCTCACAGAGTCGACGCGTCGGGACGTGTCAATTCTGCCGCACTTTCCCCGTTGATGGGCTGACCTTCTGACCACTTTCCAACATGCACAACACACACACGACCAAAGAGAAGACACAACTCGTTAATCACCTAGCACGATGAAGCCGATATCATTGACAGACATGGCATATCCTCATAGAATGATGTCTACATGTCTCTCTGCCTATATGACCATGCTTCACGAAGACGGTATGTCCGCCATGCCCAACTTCCAAGATCGGACATGCCGGCTCCGCTTCTACGACACTCTGTGAAATGCAACTCGACTGCCGATACGAGCAATCGACCCATGTAGGTTGGCATTTCATGCTTCCGCATGCTACCTTGACCTGCCAGGTTTCATTCTCGCAACCACCTTCATCTTTACCCCGCCTTTGACGATCACATATCCTACACTCAACATGCTCCATACCCCACCGCCAGCTGATGAAGGCATGATACCCGATGCATTTAGCCATGCTTCGCTGATCTTCTACCTTCTTGATCACAGACTATAAGTATGCATTACCACCATTCCACTTCCACTTGTTATCTGTAGTCCATCACAACTCATGTCTGCTTCAACTTCCTTGAAGCTCGCTGTGCTGGGCTTCCTCCCTCTAGCACTTGGCCAGGGAGGCCTAGTCATCAACCCAAAAAATGCTGGTCTGCAGGTCGGAAGTCATCCTGCATCTGTTCCAATTGATCTTTCAAGCATGGTGAACAATCGAGCTTTTGCCATGACACCTGGCGACGCCAACTTTGATGGCATCCACTCTGGTTATCCTGCCCAGTACTTGCCCGATAGCAATTTCACTTACGCTGGCATCAACTACATTTTTCCTGAATACAAGACTTCGGGCGACGATAACGTACTTGCCCAAGGCCAGGTCGTCACCCCTCCTCGGGGACGTTACTCCAGTATTTCTATGCTAGTAGCTGCTGAGTCTGCTGTTGCTACCGGCTACGTTAATGTCACCTACACAGACAACACTACCTCTTCCGGGCCTGTTCTTGTAGACCCTTTCTGGTCATGGTGAGTGCGAAGAATGTCTGCATGTTTTCTGTCTGACTAGTCCCCAGGCCGTATCCATATGGTGGTGATATAGTGTTTCCCTACTATCTGACAAACAGCAGTATCGACTACAATCGGTCCATGATCTATCAATCTGTCAATTGGCTCGACTCTACCAAAGAAGTCTCTAGTGTTACACTTCCAAACGTCACTTCTGGTGCGGCTACAGGACCTGGTGGCGCAGCACAGAACACTCGACTGCACATTTTTGCAGTCTCACTTGTCTCAGCAAGTGGTTCAGGAATCAGTCTTGAAATACAGCAAGCGCGATCGACGCAGCTATGGATGGAAGGCACAAACAAGACCCAAATATTTGAGACTATCATTGTGAACACAGGAGATGATTGGGTTCTAGCCAATAACAGCGTCAAAGTTATTGTCGAAGCTCCTGGCGTAGAAACTGTGCAGCCAGGAGTCATCAACAGACTTCGCCCTGGAGACAGAGCTATTGTGCGAGTTGGAGTCGTCAATGCTAATGGGACTGAGCCTGGCACTACAGGTGAGGCTACTTTGCGCATCACGGGTGTTGGTGTGCAGGCAAGCACCACCTTCAACGCAACATTCGGTATTGGAACTTATGAGGCGACATACGAGAGCATCTATACTCATGAGAGCCCTACTTGGTATACTGGCGGAAAGTATGGCATCTTCATTCATTGGGGTGTGTACGCTGTTCCAGGCTGGGGCAACTCTGGCAAGAAAGGTGAGTATCTCATCTATGTGACCCCACTGAGGATGGAGCCGGCTGACAACGGGCAGAGCAATACGCGGAGTGGTACTGGTGGTACATGAACCAAGGCATTGACAGCTCTAACCCTGCGGACTTCTATCAGTACAACCTTGCAACTTATGGTCCTGACCACGCCTATGATGACTTCATCCAGAACTTCACTACAGAACACTACGATCCTAAGGAATGGGTCGATCTGTTTGCTGATGCAGGTGCTCAATACTTCGTTCAGGTTTCCAAGCACCACGAAGGCTATGCCTTGTTCGATATTCCAAGCAACATCACTAAGCGAACGAGCGTGGCTCAGGTACCACACAAGAACTTGCTGCAGATGCTGTTTGATGCTGCGGATCAATACCAGCCTCACCTTCACAAAGCTACTTACTTCTCATTGCCTGAATGGTTCCATCCTGATTACAAAAAGTACGGATTTGGCGACTCTACTGGTGCGGCATGGCCTGGGGGCCTCGCACTAAACCCATACACCAACCAAACTCTCCCTTACACTGGCTATGTGCCAGTGGATGACTTTGTCTCAGATCTCATTCTCCCTGAGATGCAGATCTTGGCACAGATGGGTACAGAAATCATGTGGGTGAGTAGAACTTTTAAATCGTTCCCAGTGCCCAATCAGCCTTCTTACAAGTACCACAGTGCGATATTGGAGGCCCCAACCTTACCGCCGAGTTCTCATCCGAGTACTTCAACAACATGGCAGCACAAGGCAAGCAAGTCCTGATCAACAACCGCTGCGGTCTCCCAGGTGACTTCGATACTCCCGAGTATGCCCGTTACGAAGCCGTCCAAATGCGAAAGTGGGAGAGCAATCTAGGAATGGATCCTTTTTCTTATGGCTACAACCGAGCAACCCCAGTTTCTGCATACATCACACCCGCAGAGATTGTCACCTCGTTGATCGACATCACGAGCAAGAATGGTAACTTCCTGCTGGATATAGGTCCGCAAGCCAACGGCACAATCGTCGATATAGAACAACAGAATCTGCGAGCCGCGGGTAAATGGATCAAGTCTCATGGAGAAGCTATCTTCAACACTACGTATTGGTTCATTACGCCTGAAGAAGGAGATACCATCCGTTTTACGCAAACTCCTGATGCGTTTTATATCTTGACTTTATATCCACCTAATTCTACATTGGTTCTGGATAGCCCTGTTCCTTATGTCAGTGGCGATCAAATCACTGTTGTGGGTGGAAATATGAGTGGTAGTGTTGTTCCTTCGAGGTTGTTGGGTAATGGAAGTTTGGAGCTGACGATTAGTGATGCTGTTATCCATGGAGATGAGTATAGCTGGGTTTTCAAGATTCCGTTTGGAGCTGTCACAGCAGCGAATGTGACGTATACTGGGAGTCCTCCTCCGGCTCAGCAGACTACTAGTGGAGCTAATAGGTGGTCGTTGGAGTGGATGAGCTTGGTGCCGTCTGCTTTGCTTGGTCTTCTACTGTGGCTCGAGTAAGTAGATACGAGATCTAAAAAGATTGTACCTGAACGGATGGCTCGAGATCTTCCTGCTAGAAATTCAACCACTGGTTGGTGAATGTATGATGACGGAATTGAACTTGACCATCAGACTGCCGCCATTGTCTTGCGGGGATAAATATATGTTTTTGATATTGTGTGGACGGCCAAGGATACGGCGAAGGAGGTAAGCAAGATGATAACGACAAATGATGGCGACAATGGCGACATACAGTAGATGGTGATGATGGCGACAATGATGGCGACAATGATGGCGACGATGCTAACGTCCACCTCCAGAAATCCCGCCGAGACGACCACCGCCACGAGATCTCTTTTCCGAGGCAGTCAAGTACATGTCTAGATCGAAGACAAATAAGCCCTGCGTTTCACATAGATGAGACGCATCTCGTGCCCGTCATTCGCTGTCGGCAGACTTGCTTTCTACACCTGTTCTACGTTCCATCAACCGTCGTTCTGCGTCAGCCTCTTATGCTTCAATTGCACCAACCGAGACCTGGCCTACGTATGTACATGCGAACATGTGGAAAGCAGCGGCCACACGTGGTTTCCGTCATCATCGCGACAAATCATCAGTGTTTCTCACAGCAACTTGTAGAGACTGACCAATTGCTGCTCAAAGAATATGGAGGTACCTTGTACCTAAACGGGCATGTCTTGTCTTGTCTCAGATATCAGGCCAATCCTATAGGGCTGAGAATCTTGCAGTCATTGCTCCGAGACCTTCACCTTGTTCTCTTACGTCTTCGCTCAATCTCTAACTTTCTTCCCTTTCTCGGCGGTCTCACATAGTCAAAAATTTGAACGTCTCTGTCATCGCGGAGAACTTGTTGAGTGCAGAACTCAAATCCATTAGGCGGTCATCAGTCATTTGGGTCTACTTTCTAGAACTTTATGCAGAGTTCTTACCTATATCGTCAAAGCCACTGAACTCAAGATATGCTGCCAAATCAATATGGATCGAGCATATATAGCATGGAGGGCATCGCCCTCTCAAAGGTGCTCCACAACTTACTCAATCAAACACAAATCTCATAGCAGGCATCACTCACGAGAAGTAGCGTTCTGATCCATAATCATATCAACATGATCATCAAGCCTCTTTTATCGTTGGTTGGCCTCTCAGCACCTACCAAGAATATCTGGGCAAACACGACGAATGTGTAAGACGAAACTTCTGTTCGATCGCTCTTTCTTACATAAGACTGATTATCCTAGCATCGCCTTTGGAGATTCTTATTCATACGTTCTGGGCACATCAGGTCGACAGAACTACAGTTTCATTGGGGACTATCAGCATATTGGCTTTTCGAGCCAGCAGCTCTTGAACAACAAGATTGTGCAAAGTCAGGTATGCTCAGGTAGTCAATCAGCTGTGAAGATATACTGACTAATCTATGCAGACCAGCACAGCAGAAGGCGGACCAAACTGGCTCGAGCATCTTACTGGCTGTGGAGTCAATGCTGGCACGACTTCACCATTGGATTGCAACGTTCAATTATGGGACTTTGCTTTTGCAGGTGCAGACATTGGGACACAATAGTGAGCTTGCATCTTCTAGTCTCTTTCACTACACTCAGCTAACAAACCATCACAGTACCCCAAGACACAAATACTTTACAGTACCACTAGTAAACCAGACCCAGCAATTCCTCACCTACGCCCAACCAGCTCTCTCCAACATCACAACTCCCCAATCAACTCTGGCATCCTTCTGGATCGGCACCAACGACATTTTCGACACTGCCACCTCAACTGTGCCATTCAAGACTCTCTATACCAACATGATTGCAACTCTGTTTGCATCAATCCAGACCATCCACGATGCAGGCTATCGCAATTTCCTTATCATGAACCTAGCACCACTCGACAAAACACCTAAAAACGTGCTTAAACGCCACCCCCTACCAAATACTAGTATGGTAAACCAATTCAACTCCATCCTCGCCTCCTACGCCGCAAAATTCCAAAACAGCAATTCGGACTCGAATGTTGCACTTTTCGATACAAACACTTTTTTGAATGGCGTGTTGAAGAATCCAGCACCTTATGGTATCAAGAATACTACTGGGTTTTGCGCGGCATGGGATCAACCCAATGTTGTTGCTGATGCGGAGGCTTACGGGTGTCAGCCCATAGAGGAGTATTTTTGGTTTAATACGGCACATTTGACTTCGCATGTCCATGAGATTTTGGCGACGGAGGTAAAGAGGTTTTTGAGTGGTGGTTCATGATGTATGAATGATGGACAAGAGTATGAATTTGAATGCGACATACGATCAAGTAGACAAAAGACGTATATACTCTATGATCTTTAAAGCGCTTGAACTATACACCAATCATTCTCTCACGTTCTGAACTTGACTTTGAGCCCAAAAAAGAATTTTGGCGCATTGTAGCAGTCTCAGCTTCCTCATGGCCGACAACATCCCTCAAGAAGCTCCTTAATGCTTCTTGGAAGATGTCTTGGTGCTCAAAGTCGACGATCCCTTCTTTGTCGACGAACTCTTCTTAGTACTAGTAGTGATCTTCTTGGCAGAGGACGACTTTCCAGACGCTGCATGGGAAGAGGTGGAGCTGACTTTCTTGGAAGACGAAGAGGGCTTTTTAGTAGAGCTGGAAGACTTCTTAATTGAGCTTGACTTTTGCGTGGAAGTGGAATGCTTGGTGCTTGATGAGCTCTTTGAAGATGAAGTCAACGACTTTGGCTTGGTAGAGGTTGAAGTCTTGACGCTGATGGGTTTGATGGATGACGAGGTCTTGACGCTGCTAGACTTGGCCGAGGATGAAGGCTTCACACTGCTGGACTTGGCGGAAGAGGAAGTCTTGACGCTGCTGGACTGAGAGGTGGTCTTCGAAGTCGATGCAGACTTAGCTGAAGACAAGCTCTTCGATGTGGAAGAAGAGCTGGCAGAGCTGTGACTTGCGGACGTCTTGGCTGTGTTGAAGGAAGAGGTGCTGGACTTGCTCGATACCACGGAAGAAGCAACCTTGGCTGACGAAGAAGAGACCTTGATCGAAGAAGAGGAGGCAAGAACGCTAACACTGGATGAAGAAGAAGAAGCCTTGACTGAAGCGGATGAGGAAACAGTCGCAGTGCTACTAGATGCACTTTGGGAACCAGATGAAGCGGAGAGAGCGGAGTTGGTGCCAGCTGCAGCAGTGCTCGATGATCCAGGACCGAAGGAGCCTCCAGAACCGCCTCCCATACCGCCACTTGGAGCTGATCCCATGGATTGGCTGCCACTTGGCGCAGATCCCATAGACATGGATTGACCACCTGAGGGCGCACTGCCAGCAGCACCACTACCAGAGGGCATCGAACCAGTTGAGTTGGAGGCAGAGCCAGCTCCAGAACCAGAAGCGCCATCGGCAGCATCATTGGAAGCAACGCCACCATCAGCTGTCAAAGTAGCTGCAGCAGTGACAGTGTATTCAGCGGACATGTTGATACCGACACTAAGCCTCGTCAGAATGCTTTCATTTGCTTTTGAACAGTCGTAGCGACTTGCCTGATCCACATAAGAAGACCGTCAGAGATGTCTTCACCAAGGTATGCATAATCTGGGATTGGATCGTAGTTGTTGTCCGCCTGATCGGGAGCCCACATATCGTCGTCATTAGTGGTGTATGATTGAGTGTTGGTAGTGTAAGGATAAGTGTCGTACACAGCACTCTTAAGTGACTCGTCGAAGAAGAGTTGACCAACGTGCGAGACGGTGCCACCGGAGTAAGTGCCGTTAGCATAGACGGTGCCGTTCTGCTGGGCAATCAGATGAATATGAGTTGCTCTTCCAGCATAGTGTCCAGGGAAGATGGTGTCGAAATAACCAACACCATCGCTGTCCACCTTCGTTACACCACGGAGGAAGGTGGTGTCCTGAGATCGTCAGTTTGTGGGGAGATAGTGACGAGACTTCAGAAGAACTCACGAGATTGCTAGTATCAGCATCGTTACCGTTGCCGGAAGCGACAACACCGCTATAAACTCCAGTGCTGTTTGCTTGCCACGCTTCCAGATAGAGCCCTGTAGCAGGCTCGCATGTGCTGGTGTCGATATATTGATACTCCAAGTGGACAGGTACGCCTCCCTGAGATTCAACGACATTGGTACGATAGTGTTCTCCGATGACGAAGTACGGGCCGACAACTACCTCAGGCGTGAGGATGCAAGAGGCGTTCTTGTAGTTGGCGAACAGGACAGATGGAGCAGTAGAGTCGGTATAGCCAAGCGAGGTCAAGTTGTGGTTAACCTCCTCGAAGGATTCAAGCGCGGCAAGGTCACGTCTGGTCTTGAATGGGGCTTTGTCTTTGGTCAGTGTCGAGGCTCCACAGGATAGAAACAGGTACTAACTCGATTCATGAATACCACGAGCTTTCCTGAGCTGCTGAGCCTTCTCCCAGCGTCTCTCCTGACCACGCTTCTGCATCTCAAGGTACTTGGGATGGTTGTAGCAGTCTTCGAGTCCACGCTGAACGATGGCGGCATGCTCGGCTCTCTTCGAAAGAGCGTCGGCCAGCTCATGCTCCTCAGGATGGGCATGAGACAAGGAAAAGAGACTGGCAGTCAGCAGAGCTGCCGAGATGGCGTAAATCTTGACCATGGTATAAGTCGAAGTAGTTTTCAAACGAGAGTGGTGGTAAAGATAGAGAAGTCGTGTCGAGTGTATGGACAGAGAGGGTGATCAGAGCATACTTATACCATGTTGCCTATGACCGTGCGAACCACGAGCCCTCGAAGAGCGTCGCAATCCTGTTAACGGCTTGATTCCAGCTTAAGCATATCACTTTTTTAAACTTACGCCAGGCTTGATCAGAAACACAGCCAAGATTTCAAAGATTCCATGTTCGTATGGCAACACAGCTCAACTAGCCGTTGAGGACAGCAGGGGTCTCAAATGGAGGAAGAAGACATAGGAGACTAAAGCCCGATGTGAAGTTTACCAAATACTGACTTGCATCTCATTGATGATGGCACTTTCTATCCTGAATTTTGTTATATGCGCCCACTGATCTTGACAGACGGTCTACGATGCATCTCGATGACAATTCAGACGTATCTCGTTGGCTGGCAAGCATTAAGATGGCAATAGGGCATGTTGACCGTTGTATAAGACGTGCTGCTCAACGCTATCGAGACATGCGACGAGCAGGGAGATATAGTCAAATGAAGCGAGGCCAGAACAATCAACAGCTGAGATGACCGCGTGTGCTGTATTTTCAGATCGATTTATGCGAAATCTGGGTGGTCATATAAGCTTGGCATAACCGATCCGTTTCATGGTATGGAGAAAAGGAGGTGAAGAGTGTGGAGAAAGGGTGCAGAGAAATCGACCTCCCGACTGTCATTTTCAAGATTGTGATAAATTTAGGTTTATATTTTGGTAAATCTGGAGACTTAGTACGTACGGCCACAGTCAGCTGAAAACTGGGCATCCCGTCCGCTCTGCCATACATAAGCAGTTGAACGGCAGATTAGTACTACGGTGGGTGACCACGTGGGAATCCCTGCTGCTGTACGTTTTTTTTTCCTTTTTGCTGTTTCTCCAACCCCTGGCTCTAGAGTATCTTCGTTCAATGGGCGACACTTTTTTGCTCTCTCGATCGATGGGCTTCGTGCAGGTATCTAGGCTCTAGCAGTCACATTTCGGATTCTTTTTCTTGGCAAAATTCGCGTCTTGAATGATGATAGACTGGTCTCCATCAACAGCTAGTCAAGCTTATGAATCAAAAAGTGTATACTGAAACAATTTTGAGATTCTTGAAGACATCACTGTATCATTTTGATGAACTGCTAACCAGAGGGGATTGCATTGATCAATTAAAGGAGGAGAGGAGAGCAAACAGGGAGGAGAATCACCTACTGCAAATACTGAGACGGCAAACTACAAGCTTCAAAAATCTAGAAACTGGGATCATAACATGATCCAACTATCTACTGTACTAAAACTGATACACACAGTAGACATGATACTAAAGCCTGTATATACAGAGTTTGAGACTGTCCAGAGCTTTGGAACATGCACAATGTCGTGGGATAGTCGGATCGGGGTTGTTGAGAGTATGACCCTGGATGTATCATGCCGTTAGTCGCATCGCATCTGGGTAATCAACGCAAGGACACAAATGACACAAATGCTTTTAGGTTTCAGACAAGAAATAACACCCAATTGCAAGCCTCGACCTTCAGTGTTTCAACATCGGACCGCTTAGGAGAGCATATATCGATCAGGTTTAGCCTGTGATACCACAGATTCATAGACTAATATCGAGCATCTCGAGATGGATCAGACAGCTGTGTACGCCGAGAGACTGCTATTGACCGCTAGGCTAGGCATAGAAACGAGAAGAGCGGCAATGTCAACCTGGTCATGATCAGCAAGCTTCGCGACGCGCCATGATCCGGACAATCTTCGTGGGCGTGGCCAGGTCGTAAGAGCGGATCTTGTATCAGGTCAAATACTGAGCAGTCGTTATTGCACGATGAGCGGAACACATCCACTTGCGGGCATTTGCACTCAAGCTGACTCGGCCGGATCGTTTTGGTGTCTGTCAGCTTCCAACATGCCTGCTTCGAAATACTGACCGCCCCCTTGAGATTTGTATGCAAGGAAGAGACGGATGCACATAATATCTGATCGCATTGGTGCTGGTTCGGCGCCTTCTAGTCAACCAAGAAGGGATCCAGTCGACACGTAGACATAACTTTGAAGAAGTCGCATACCTTTGCATGCATGTCAGAGCCGTGCCGCCTCGAAAGTCCCCTTTTGGAAGGCATAGGTGACTGCTCGTTCTCATGTGATGGCAAGTCGTGGCTTGTGTTGCATAAACAGATTCGGTTACAGACAGAAGCGCGGATTGACCGCCGGCTGTTGAGTTACAGACCGCTTCGGTAGTTGTGAGCCCCAGCCTGCCGTCAGACTTCGCCGATTGATCTCGGGATCCTCTTTGACCATGTTGACCTTTCTACGACGTGTTGATCGAGAGTACTTCTTGTCGCCCAACAAACCACGTCAAGCTCAACCAAACGGATAACCACAGGACTTGTATGGATGCACTCACAACATTACTTCAGCTTCTCAGTCGTATAGCACTCAGTATGTCCATCTCGTACGCAATACAACTGCCAATGCCTGTGTGTATGAGTATAAACATCAGAGCCCCGGGATTGACCGACTTACCCTCGGGTGCTGGCATGGGAGACGTCAGCCAAACCTGGAAAAGCCTTCGATCTGCTGAGCATCTGCTGTATGAGTGACGTTCATGTTGTGCATATGTATTGGTTATTGCATCTGTGTGTATCCGATAGTAGACTCCATTATCATGAGAGGTACCGAGCAATATATTTGAATTGCTTCATTGTCGGTCGAGTGGTGTGTCTCGCTAAAGATTTTGTGACGAAGAGACGCGAATGGCTGAATAGACGCGATGGTCGCATCGGCGGCAGAGGTGGTAAGCGCGTCACGCATAGGTACGCAATCGCCGCGGGTTGAAGGCAGATATCTCCTGATAAGTGCCAGAAGAACACCGGGTGGTATCCTGGTCAAATTTGGGCTCTTCTCAGCGTCTGTAAGTATGTATGTACGCAGTGTCGTTGATATAGAGTTTGCTTCTCGAAGCCTGCCAAACTTCGACCTTGCTGACATGGTGTGCCAAGAACGTCAATGAGGCGGCTGCAAGGAAAATCTGCACGTCTGTTATGACCATTCTGTGTAACTTCAGACCTACGCGCAGCGAGGAATAGAACCCAGTGTCCTGAGGCAACTAGGGTGACGATGCGAGCGCGCTGATACGGACACAGCTGCTGTGGCGTGTTGCAGCATTTCACTAACGCCAGCTGATTATTGTTGGCACGATCCTTTTGCTGGTACGATATGCAGGCGGATTCGTGACTGGTGATAGTTGCGGATTACATCTTGCATGTGTATCGAGATCCATCAGGCCCGCTGCCCAGGTTGCGGCAAGACTTTCACATTAGCGATGACCAGGTTTCTTGAGTACTAATGTGTCGCAACAGGCACGCTCACAACAGGCTGCAGTCGATGGCATCTGCGAGGTACGTAGATGTAAGTGTGATGCAGAAGAAATGGACTACCGACAATCTACCCTGAAGGAAAGAGCAGTCTCTCGTAGAAAGCTCGAAGATTCACGTGCACGTAGGAAAGAGCTCAGCCCTGACCTGCCAAAGTAAATGAGAGCAACTGTTCAAAGAGCAGTTCCCGTGTACCTGAAGATAAAATAGGTAGCCGAGACAAGGTAGCAGGAGCAGAGGGGGAGGCTGTCACACTGTGAGCCAGCCCACTTGATGATCAGGCACCGTAGCAACTCTAGCCTGGTACCCATGTGTGTTATTTGACAGGAAAATTCTCCGGGTGGAGAGTGGAAGGAGGCACTACTGTCAAAAATATGCAGTGCGAGTTGTGTACAACCATTCTGACTCGCAAAGCCTTCCCGCATATGTCACCACACTCCTTGACAGCTATCTTGCACAACATCGCTGTAGGCGTGATTTGCACCATCAGCTTTATCTGTCAACAGTGCTCAACAGTGCCACGTCTGTGTCTGTCTGCCTTGTGCCAGTGTATAGCCTATTTCGCACAACCCTTCGCCGAGTCACGACTCACCTTGTCATTGCTCGAAATACCAGGATAGCCAACACTAACGTAACATTCAAGAAAATTGGTGTCCTGACGCTTTAATAGATACGACGTGTACTAAAGTAGGCATGGAAGGGTCCAATGCGACCGCAGATCAATGGAAAAATGAGCCCTCAAGGCAGCCCCAGTCTAATATACAACATGCCAAGCCTCAAAAGCATTCCGTAGTCCAGTAATTCCCGAGCTTAGATCAAGATCCATTATTTTGCCATGTTCTGAGTTTATACTGCGCTTGATCGTCATGCATATGTCGTGTTCAGCAACTTGGCTGCATGATATCGTCCGGAGGGACGATCAGATACCAAGAGGCTTGGAATCAATCAGCCAGCCACCAGTCTCACTGACCGGCTGGCTCGTGGGTGAAGGTGAGGTAGACCAGTCAAGATACAGTTGAGTACTGCAATATGGCCCGAAGACATCGCGATTGTCGTCGATGTTGTTGTCTGCCGAGAAGGAGATCGGAACGTTGAACATCTCTGCCGGGTTTCCATAGTAGGATGACGAATCGATGGGTAGAGTTTGTGGGAGCCTCTGCTGCATTGTGGATTCACCAGCTTGAGTAGTAGGACACTGGCGGAGTTGGTGTGGTCGGCGAAGACTGCGTTGACGTGCCGCCTCAGAAGAGGACGAATGGTTGCTCAGGGGAGAGGCGGCCAGCTGCTGACGGCGGACAGATCTGCGAGTTGCCTGCCCACCCTTGGCACCTGCCTGGACTCGGATCGGTGCAGGATTGGGATTGCGTTGCGTCTTGCGCTTGCTATCCTTGCGATAGCGAGTAGTTGAGCTAATGCCGTGCTCGACAGCATGCTTAGTAAGTCGCCAGTAACTTGTCTTCTTGGTGCCTGCCTCTTGGTTGGGCGGAGGTACTCTTTCGAACGCCTGCATCATGTTAGTCGAAGCCGATTCAAGGATCTGTCAGAGGGACCAACCGCGTTCATAGAGAGATTGTGGCGCACACTGTTTTGCCAGCCCTTATTGTCAGGATCTTGAGCTTTCGAACTGTGAGTGCGAACCCACTCGTAGAGGTCTTTGAGAAGCATCGTGTGATCATCTTTCTTCTCCATCAAAGCTTGTCTGAGCAATTCTGCATAGCAAGGATCTGAGTTCTCCAGGCTGTCATCCGTCTCGCCAGAACCCGCCAAGCTGTCAATCTCATCTGGCATGGGTGAGTCGGTCCATTGTCTACGGCCATGCACAGCTTCATCTGACATGCTCTCGTATTCCAAGGCCGGCACATCTGACAAGGGAAGAACCTGGTTGCGGATGAATGAGGTTGGACTGGTACAGCCGAAATCAACCAGATCATTGTTCGAGAACTGATCGATGGGCAGAGTTTGCTTGCTAAAAGCAGCTGGAGGCAGTGACGCCGATGGGATACATTGACTTGTGAAGTTCTCGGGCATGGTTTGGGTCGGTAGCGAAGTAAAGGGCATAGATGCCTCGTTAAATTGAGGCAAATCACTGCTCCAGTAATTGGGCACGCCTTGAGTGCTTTGGTATACATCGTTGACTTGAGCTGGTGCGAAGAATCCCGAGCCACATTCTTGCTGCTGCAAAGAGTACTCCGAAGCATGAACACTGCCAGAGCGGCAGTGGTGAGGAATGGATAGCTGGTGAGTGTTGTCGACAGGTTGATTCCACCAGTCAAACTGGGGATTGTAGTTCATCGCATAGGACATGGTGTAATGCTGTTGGGTATAGATTGATACTGCAAGCGCGATGTGAAAGATGCGACAGTGTCGCAACGAGGTGAGTCAACCAAGAGCTTTGATCTGGTGAGGACGCGAAGTGGATATAACAATCTCAGACACGTATTGTGAAGGATCGGAAGTAGCTCTTATGCAACGTGACAAAGGCTTAGAACCCCACGAGGCCTTGCAAGATGTGACCAGTCAGGGGAGATTCTACGTTCCTGCATCCAGTGATCAGACCGAACATGAAAGAAAGATCCCGCCAAGCTTTTAGCACATGTGTGTCTATTCCAATTCGCTGTCCTGAGCTGGCTTGGGAAAGTCATCAGAGAGTGGTCAGTTGCATGACAAAAAGAATTAGAGCCTCCATGTTGGAGTTTCACAATGAACAGCAGATATATCTCAGCAGGGACACAAAGAAGGCTTGGACACTATGGAGCTAAAGCGTCCCGTGATGGCACAGCCCATGGCACACCTGATGGTCCTGGCGAGGCTTAATCACCAAGACGTGGAGAGGGTAACGCCCGAATCTTCCGGAAGGCATATCCGTTGCGCTGTGTGCGACCTACTGGAATGCAGGTGAGCGGCTAGAAGCACATACGCACTGTTCATCAGCACGAAGTTTAACCGATAGCACGCATGTTCCTGAAGCAAGAACATCTGCCTGAGGTGCGATTTTACATCGGGTTGTATACGGTCACCTCTACTTGCCTTTCAACCATGTGAGAATCATCGTTTGTTATGGAGAAGTTTACAAATCTGTTTGATGTCAGAAAATGATTTGAGAGAGAAGCAAACTCTACACTACCAGATATTTCCTGAAAAACCATTTGGCTTGGGAATCGCGAAGAGCATCTGTCGTTCAATAACCGGCTCCAAGAGTGCGGACCGGATGTTGTCAAAGTGGCATTGGATCTTTGTTGAAAGCATGCGAAAATCCCAGGCACAGATATGCATGAAGCCGAGCCCTGCAGTAAAGGCGTTGATGATACACATGTTTCGGACCAACACGTGTTTCTTAGCGTGCATGATTTGGAATTGACATGCAACAGAGCGTGAAGTAGTGGTTTCCTGTCTTGCTCATTCAGAGTGGTTGATGATAAGTTGACAATACCGGTCTGCCAAGAAGATGTTGCGCAGCAATAGTGCAGGCGCTCACTTCCGATAATAGATCTTTTTGAATTGGAAATGCAGTTGGAGGATTCCCTGTGATGACACGTCAGAAAAGCTCAGGCTAATGCACTGTGATATGCACGGAATTAAGCTGATAATGTTGCAGCAGGGTGTATGCAAGAAAGCAGTGTGCTCTTCTTTCTTCATCAACCAGCATTCCAGCATGCAGTGCATTGTGTCTGCCGTCGGCAACGCACGCCTGGTACAAGGTGATGGTTGCTGAGGTCAAACAATAGCTGCAACCAGCATCTCCTCATTGAACATGTACCAGGAGACCCCTCAGATCGACACGGAAGGAGAATATTTTGACATACCTTATCAAAGCTGCTTCTGAAACCACGTTCACGCTTTGCGCTGTAATCCCACTCTTTGTCAACGATTCGGAAGGCGATATCTTCGTATGGAGGTCCAGCGATGAAACGAATGAGGCAGGTGTCCTCAGCTCCAGCAGGTGCGAACGATTCGCCTCGCTTCCGACCGTTTTCGCGCTCAATGCGAAAGGTGGGTGCTTTGGTTGTGTCGACAAGGTCAGGGTAAAAGATGTTGAACTTGTAGCCCTGAACAACCTTTGGAGGAAGATTTTCGTGGTCATAATGAGTCTGGTTGTACTTATTCCACTCATAGCCCATCTGAACCCTGTTGAAGTAGCGTGGTTTTCTAGGACGATATGTCTCTGCCCATTTAGGCCTTCCGGTCGAGACGTCCTCCTCGGCGTTGAATGCTTCTTCGTTGTCGTTGAAACCCCTCGCAGCCTCTCGGTCATACAATGCACTTGTGACCCTCGATGTATCGTCCCGCTTTGGTTCAGAAGACAAGGCGAGATCGGTACCGGATGTCTTCGTGCCATGGCGAGCCGGAATGTAGCCTAGCTTGAGGACCCTCCGTCTATCTTGAATCTGTAACTAGTTTAGCTCGACGCCTTTTCGTCGCAAAGAAAGTGGCCACAAACCAATTTCTGCTTGAACTCGTCCTCTTCTAACGAGGTTAATGATTTGTCCCCTGGATTCAAGCGTAGCAATGGCTCCGGATCCAAGGTAGCAGGTGAGTCTGCATGTGGAGCCTGTTCTTCTGAAGAGGCGAGCGAGGATGTTTTCAGGGTTTCTCTGATCTTGTTGCGTAGGGCCGACGCCTCTTGTTCTTGTTGCTGTCGCAAAGTTTCCAGACGAGCACCCAGCACGGACTTAGACACTTGACGCAACCTGGCCTTGGCCTTGTAGATGGACAAGCTCTTGAGGAGGTTTTCCCAGTAATCAACATCAATGTCGTCGTTAGATCTCAGCTTCGCTTTGACCTGCTTTTCCAACGTCTCGAGCTGTTCATGTGTCTTGGGCGCAAGTAAGCGATCGATCTCAGGCGTCACCGACGACATTCCTCGTGCAGTCTGCAACTTGCCAGGGGCAGCGCGGCGCCTGTCTTTGCAGATGACTTTCATCGTCTAGCAAGAAAGTCAGCGGGATGATACAGCAACGAAGGCGGATGCAGCACGTACGCTCCAGAAGTCGCGGTTACTTTTGCTATGCTCGAGGGCCAAGTAGGTATCGATTCCTTTGTCCAGTTCGTCGAGTTGAATGTCGTCGAGACCTTCGAAGACACCCTCGGGATCAACGGCGGGGAGTTCTCCATCATCGTCGTCACTGTCGTAACCATCGCGGGTGGCATCCAGGGCGCGTAGTGTGACTGCAAGCAGGTCGATGGGATCTGCTCTGCCAGCTCGAGCTCGAATGATGGCCTTCTTCTTGGCCTGCTTGAGTACAAAGCGATCCTCGTTGGCAACCCATGCTTCCTCTTGGGCATCGGCGGCGGATCGTTTGGCTGGAATGCTGGACCTGGTTTGGCCGCCGCGTCGCATGGCCCCGTGATCCATTGTCGTTGTGAATTTTTGCACAAGAACCGTCCTTAGCGATCTGGTGTGTTCCTCGAAACGGGACGAATAATTTATTCGGTAGCAAACAAGTCTCGTTCTATTCTTGTCGCATCTCTCAGAACGCGCCTTCGCTCTGACGCGCGCCAAGAGCAGTGAAGCTGCTCTTTCTGCCAGCCCTCTGTTTTCCCAGCCACACCGCTTTCACTCAGCCGGCTATAGTCCAAGTACAAGGAGCATTTTGTGCGCTGAATCTTCCCATGACATGATTCAACGACTTCAACATGGGAACCGAAGGGCGTTGGGAGCTCCTCAATCTCAACCTTGAGGGCTTACCCAAGCTCCTCGTCAAATATGTCATTGGCGCCGCCGGCTTCACTGTATCTATCACCGATCTTGCGAATATATGGATTGAGACTCTAACCAATGTCGATGTCATACGCAATGCCGAGATACAGAATTGCAGCATCAATCCTGGCGATGATGCAGGCCAATTGCGGATATTACTTGAACAGATTCGCGATATTCTACGCCACAAAGATGGCACTACTGTTCACCTTGCCCTACAGCCTCCTGACCATCTGAGACTTGCACTAAGAGCTCCTTTACCGCCTCCTTTGCCTCCGTTTGAATGGAACATGGTGCTCACCAAAGCCACATCGATCGAAGTAGTTTCTGAAGTCATTTCACCTCTTCTCTTACTTGCTCATCAACAGCAACAGCAGCTCAGTTTTCTGCTCGGCCAACTCAAAGACAAGGATCATGCCATGTCGAGATTACTTGATAAAATGGAAGCCACAAATACCGATCTTGGATCTGTTTTCCCAGGAGTATCGGCTGGCAGAAGCTCTCAAAAGTCTTTGAAAAGAAATCATGTAGCGAATCGTGTCCCAGGCCTCGCTCCTTTCCAACCCGGCTCTGAGCTGCAACACAGCGGAGATGCACCCTCTACCGAGACACTCTATGCTGTTCTTCGCGATGTGCCTGGTGATATATCTCCCAGCATAGCTAACACTTATGACGCATGGTGGCGGAATATGCCCAGTCAACAGGAAAGCATAGAAGTCAGTGTGCCTATGCCTTCGGCCCTAGATGACGTTGAAACAGACGATGATTTGGACTTCCAAGTAAGAGTTACACCCCCATCAGAAGCTTGACTGACAATAAACAGACACAGACGATACCAGAGCAATTGCAGCGACAGATGCCTGCGAACATATCCTCGCCGGTCCGCTCATCTAGGCGCGCGCAAAGGCACATTTCTGCTAACGACGACAGTACAGACGATGGTCGGGTCACGTCGTCTCCCCCTCTCCCCCCTGCTCTTGGTAACTTCCGTCTTGGCCAGACGGAGACACCAGCACCTGATAGTCCAAGCAAACGCTCGAACACATCGAACACACAGACAAGACGCATTGGAGCAATCGGAGCCCGATCTAGCTCTCAAGCTCTGCCGGCTTCCTCACCACCAAAGCCGTACGCGGATATTGAAACTGACCGTGGCTTGCGATCGAGAACAATGCTGTCACCAACCCCATCCTCGATGATGCCTCCTCAAAGCCAAGTGTCTCCGCGGAAACGTAGACTCGGAGGGATTGGACGTGGTAGCTCACAGATGCAGCCGTCACTCAGCAGATGGTCATCGCAGGCTCCACCTATTCTTGAAGAAGATCAACAGGACAACGCTGACCTTGATCTGAGACTTACTTCCACAGCTCGTGAGAGTCGTGAGGATACGGTCGAAGTTCGAAAGACTCGGGGAAAGCGAAAAGCTAGCGAGGAAAGGGAATCAACGCCAGAAGAAACATCGGCAGACAGGGCAGACAGGAAGAGGCAAGAGCTGAAGCAGAATGAAAAGTCGAAAGCGCCCGTCAAGAGGAAAAGGCGGTTCTAAGCTAAGTAAGAAATATACCATTGTGGTCAATACGTACTGCAACAAGCGCTGGTATAGCTATCACATGTGTGGATGTGAGAGCATATGTCTTGTAAGAGCACCGATTGCGAGGCAGAGTAGTCGTTGTCCTCACTCGACTTGCTCCGGTGATCAGCTCGGCGTGCATCGCGGTAGTCAATCACTATGGCGACCCGAATTCCGAAGTAGTATGTCCCGGTGTTGGTGCGCAGGTCACGAAGTCTTGACGATGCGTTTGCGCTTGCCTGTTTGTCTTTCTACGCGGTCACCCACCACGCGAGCTATTCGATACAGATTTACAGCATCATCACCAACTTCACAGCCATTGCTATTTGACTTCTCAAGGCCATGTGCCAATATCAGTACCATTATTACAGTTATTGCAAGCACCAAGAATTCATTCTTGTCAAGCTTTGTGAAAGCACCATCTCTCTAGCTCACTTCAACAAACACCAACCAACACACAACACAGAAGTCGCGACTGACAAAGCGCTTCCCATCAATACAAGTCCCGCGTTGTCTTTCGCAGCCAAATCCGACTCCTGCACTACACCATCCATTGTTTTGACAGGACAAGTTGACCATTCTATCTATCCATCGAGCAACATCATACACATCATAGTGAGGTTTGTTCTCTCATTCGATCGCACTTCTGATCTGCCAAATCTGACATGTTCCAGCGCCATGGCTCTCGACTCACACGGGATGAGGTTCGTATTCATCGTTGCCTTGCTGCTTTATGCAACAGTTGCTGACTACCACCAGCGACCATGAGCAGGAGTTTGCACAGGAAGCGGAACGCCGTTACAACGATATCATCAGCGGCGGAAAACCTCCTGCCTACTACAAAGCCATCGAGATTCAACTGCAGCAAGTGCTTGACAGAGTCCGCCAGCTCAGTGACCCCAGCTCTTCGGCAGCTGTAAGACTCCAACAACTCCATGAGCACAACGACCAGTCATCGAGTCAAGCATCCTCTATCAGCCCCTCGACCTCTGACCCCGTGCTTCTTGAGAACTTCCCTGCCCTCTCCCTCACAATTGTTCCTCGCAGCGATGCCACAACCCAATCCTACGCAAAGGTTGTTAAGAACTCTCTTCCGCAGCAGCCACCCCATGTCACTTCGGAACATGAGCCTCAGGATCCAGTTGAGCCTCGAACTGTGTCTCGGATCTCCTCCAACCAAGATGAAGACAGCGATTGGTGTGTCGTTGACCGATCGAGTCGTGGCACTCGCTCTCAGAAGCCGCGCGCCCTTTTCACTGAGCGAAATGCACGCAAGTCGATCCCGAAGGCATGGATGCAAGCAGACGATGATGCTCAGATCGCGCAGTCCATGACTGAAGATGCTTCAGTGGCACCTCAATCGAGTCCAAACAAGTCTTTGCAGCGCACCACTCGCGTCAAAGGCCCTCATACCCAGCTCGCCCAAACCCAGACCAACTCTCTCAAGTCCAAGCCAAGCAAGCCCACTTTGACCAAGACAACAGCATCGAAGACGCCAGGTTATGCCTCACCCACAAAGGCCTCCAAGCATCGCACTGTTGTAACATCTGAGTCTGCTAGATCACCTTCCCCTTGCAAGTCCAGGTCTGTGCGTGCCGACGCAATGTCCAGAGCAGCCATCTCTCCATCCCAACAAAGCTCGCCCACTCGATCTATTGCATCTGCAGTCTTTGATGCTTCTCGCCGTAAGGTTCTTTCTGCACATGGTAAACACCCTTCAACTTCGACACCGTTCGGTCTGGATGGCGCATGCGACATCGATCAACCCAGCACGTTGCAGACTTTCTCTGGCAACTCTGTACGCCCACCCAAGAAGGCAAAAGTCGATCTGAGAATCAACATTCCAGAGCTTTCCAGTAGTTTGCCTCGCCCAGGCAGCCCGTCTCGGATTCCCATCGCTGTTCCGTCAAGTTGTCCAGCTGCGGAATCTGAGCCTACAACTCCTGACCGTATGATTGAGCCCGCCGAAGCTGACAGGACTACTGTCAAGCCTGTCGATAGAGCAGCAATACTTGAGCCTATCAGAAGACGTCTTTCTAGTGCTTCCACTTCCAGCCAGCGACGATCAAATGCTTCTTCAATCGAACGACCACGCAAAGACTCTAGAGCCTCGCAGTCGAAAGAGTCCGCTCTAGTTGAAGGCGATCCTCAGAACGAGCACATCATGTTCGATGCCTCAAAAATGGACCGTACGCAGTCCAAGACTCAGCAGCCATCCAACACTGTTGTCTCATCGCTGACAGCTTCTCTCAAACCCGCCTCCGCGCTGTTGCTCGACACCATCAAACAAACTGCCGAAGCTCACGCTGTTCGACAAGGCAACAGCCAGATCGAAAGCGCTGCTTCCCCAATCAATGAAGCATATGAAGCAAAGAAGTTGCATGAATTCCAAGCAGCCTGCCGTTCGCAACACATCTCCTGCGCTTCATCTCCAGAGAAAGACCCTGCAGTGCTGAGATGCGGTCCAGTCAAAACTGAGCCCTTAGAAAAGAAGAGGAGATCCACGTCTGGCCCTGCTAGATTCAGCCTGCGCGCTACTGCTGCTCAGTTCATTCCTGCGACTCCTCCAAGTGATGGATATTTGCCATTGAGTGCACGTGAGCCTTCATTTGGGCTTCCTCTGCCACCTGTGCTTCCTGATCTCGTCGGACCTGCGCTTGGATTCGCACCACCGACTGTACCTGGGTTTCTCCCAATCTGTCCATCAATCCTTCCCATGGCAGTTTCTCAGAAAGCTCCCCAACAGCTTGCAACTCAGTGTCCTTCGGCTATCGATGGCTACTCGAGCTGGATACCCGAGGATGAGTGGTACGACCTTCCCTTTGAGGCCAGGACAGCAATTCTCAGAGAGCGAAAAGAGCGTAGATCCAGCTCTGTTTCGTCTCCTGGACTCTCTTCAGCCATGTTCTCCAACATCACGACCAGTCCATCTTTGTCCTCGCTCGGACCTGTCGCCGACACAAGCATGAATTTCTACAAACCGCAATGGGACTGGATGACCCCTGCTCACAATGGTGTCAGATTTGGCAGGGCACCTCTTCCAATCATGCCTGACTTTCAAGATGATGGCCATCATCGCAAAGGTTGGGACGTCAAATCTGCCGCTCCCGGATGGCGCTACGGTTGGCGTGGCGGCGATGGCCTGGAAATCTCATTCAAGGGACACGGTCCCGTCGCCGAAAGAAATCCAAATGCACCAGTCAACTTCAACGAGTACAACACTGACCTCTACGGCAAGCCTACTAAGAAAGGCCACAAGATTGGTGACCGCAAGATTGGTGACCGCAAGTGGTCTAAGAAGAACGGAGGCTCACCTAACAGTCGTGTCAGAGAATGGGCCAGGAACGCAGACTATCCCTCTGTTCCCTGTGGCAACTTTGAAGTCGTCCAGGCTACTGAACATCTTCCAAGCTTCTCTGATGCATGGTGTCACAGTTGTTTGCCTGCGCACATTTGAAGGGTGGCGGCGATTATCGAGTTGTCGCGAATGATCGAAGAATGTCGCTTTCTTGGTCTCCTATGTTTATTGTTTTCTTTGAGTATCATCACTGGAAATGAAGGGTGGGATGAGGCTGTATTATGGAGATGCACCAGAATACTGCACATTGTATTGCTGAGGATGCATTGATTGGTTCTCGTTTATCCTCTCATCTTCTTAGACATTGTTTTCCTCGTTGAGGTAGATTCTTGATGGTATCACGTTCACGATTCTGGTAAAATCCTTTGGTCCAGTGAGCAAACATGTGACTTAGTCTGTTGTCAACAGCATGACATCTTGGTTGTTATGGAATTAGTGACGGTTATGAAGCTTCGCGGAGACGATTTGCCGAGAAATGTGGAGAGAATCTCAAGGATGGGAGCCTCGACTTTGAACAAGGAGGATCGCACGTCGCGTGTGCTTGTATGAACTGGTTTACAGAGACAATCAATGCATCAGATTCTCGATGGGGTGGTGTTGGTGTAAGGGATTTGGTCTGGTGACCTGGACGGCATGAATCGAAGAGCGAAAATGGAGTGGAAAAGGCGGTTCGATACGAGCGGGATGATGATGGAACAAATGATCGACGTGCAAACACGCCTTTGCCCCTTTGCTTGGCCCTGCGGTGTGCGGGCAGGCGCATCCGCCATCCGCATCTCGCATTGGCCCTGAACTCTGACTTATTTTTGTCTCTGACGCCAGCAATAAGGCAACACGGCCTCGATCTCTGTTCTCTTCCATCCTGCGCCTCCACTCTCTTTACCTATTCTTAACCCCAGTTCAACTTCTGGACATTGCTATCCTGCTCGACAGCATCATTCGCTCGTTGTCACCACAGGCCAATCTTTACACGAATCGACGACTTTAGCGGCCGCGTGATTACGACGCCTCCCCCTTCGGCCCTGTCCACGACGCTGCTTCAGCCTTCAACTACACCGCTTGCTCGATTCACCCATCTCCATACGTGACGCAGACTCGTGACGCCGAAACCTACGAAAAATGAAGACGATACACGCTGTGGCCGCCGTGACTTTGGCTGCGGCCTCGGCCGTTCAAGCCATGATCACTTGCGACGCAAACAACCCTTGCCCTTCCAGCTCACCGTGCTGTTCGTCCTATGGATTCTGCGGTGTTGGCGCATACTGTCTGGGAGGATGTTACCCCAAGGACTCGTTCAGCATGGACTCTTGCATGCCTGCACCTGTCTGCAAGTCTTCCGACTACGACTTCTCCAACATGAATGGCTTTATTGAAAACACGGAATATCTTGGAGACCCATCCTCCGGCAACTGGGTCTTCTCTGGAAACCCGCTGATGTACAACAACGAGGCTGTGCTGCTCACCATGACTGAGGATTCATCAGGCACTCTTGTTAGTAGCACACGTTATGTCTGGTACGGCAAGATCAGCGCTACCGTGAAGACCAGTCGAGGCCCTGGTGTCGTTACTGCTTTCATCATGATGAGTGATGTCAAGGACGAAATCGACTTCGAATTCATTGGTAGCGATATTGAGAATGCTCAAAGCAACTACTACTTCCAAGGAATTACTGATTGTGAGTTACACGGAACCTTTACATCCGTGATCATGACTAATACAGTTACAGACGGCAATGAGAAGAACCTCTCTGCACCTAACACTGACTCGGAATGGCACACTTATACCATCGACTGGACACCTGATTCTCTCAGCTGGGAGGTTGATGGCCAAGTTCTTCGTACTCTTGACCGCAACACAACCTACAACGAGACCGCTGGCCAATATCACTACCCTCAGACCCCTGCGAGAGTCCAATTCAGTTTGTGGCCTGCCGGCAAGGCTGGCAATGCTCAAGGTACCATTGACTGGGCTGGTGGTGAGATTGACTGGAACAGTCCGTACATGCAGAATGGCTACTACTACGCCATGGTCAAGGATGTCGTAAGTTTGGACTCTTTTTGCTATCAGCATGCACAATACTAATTCTCTGGAACAGTCTGTTGACTGCTACAACCCCCCAGCCGGCTACAACAACCAAGGCAACAAGGCTTACTGGTACGAGAACAAGTACGGAACCAACGACACTGTTGTCATCGGTAACAACAACACCATCTTGTCCTCTTTCCTTGCCACTGGTGAGAACCCCAGCAAGGGTGCCAGCTCTGCCTCAACTGCAACTGCTACCAAGAGTGGCAGCAAGTCTTCTGCTTCGTCTTCTGCGACTAGTCAACCCGAGACCATTCCTGGTATTTCTGGTGGCGGTTCGCGCGAGTCTGGCAGTGGTGATGACTCTTCGTCCTCTGGCAGCAGCGGATCCTCGGGCTCGTCTGGCTCATCGAGCTCTTCGAACTCGGGCTCTTCCTCTGGATCAGGATCCAGCTCGTTCTCACAAGGTCTCGAGGAAGGTAGCGGCACCAATGACGGCAACAGAGTTGTTGCAGGCAGCCTTGTTGCGCTTGTTGCATTCTTTGCTGCCGCTATGATGCTGTAAACAAAAGAATGGATTGGATGTTATGATTAAGGCTCTTTTCTTGTCAATACTGCTTGCACTTGCTGCTATTTTTGCGTTTCCTTTATTCATATACGATCTAATACCTTGGAGGGTTCGAGGTGCATAAAGCGATGGTTTTGATCATTCAATCGACAGCATTTTCTGATATCAATATCAACAAGTTTCACTCAATACTCTCTCGCAAACCCATTTAGCATTAGTACTAAATGTCCAAGTGATTGGAGAAATGTGTCTGACTTGATGCTTGAGAGGTCGATGTATGCCTACCACCAAGGTCGGAAGAGCCGGAAAAACTATGTTCCAGGACTTGGACGACGCACAGGCCATGAAATTGGTGAAAAGGCAGGGCTTGGCGTCGAAATGGCTGCGGGCTGGGGGCAGCTGCGTGGGCTTTGACGAAGTCGAATTTCTCCCGTTCTCGCACCGCCGAACGTCGTCGTCTTCAGTCCCATTTTCTTTTCGACAACCCCCCACCTCACAACACCGTCACCATGGAGAACGAACGCGGAGAGCTTGTCGACCTGTACGATTCCCCCCATGATTCCTTGATTTTCGCCCTCGCAACGAACAGAGCGCGTCCCCCGAGCGCACAGAAAGAGAGACACACACAAGAGGAAGACAGGACAGACAAGGGCTGACATATCTCGAACGTGCAGTTACGTCCCCCGCAAGTGCAGCGCCACCAACCGCATCATCAAGGCCAAGGACCACGGCTCTGTTCAGATCAGCATCGCCAAGGTCGACGAGAACGGCAGATTCACTGGCGAGACTCAGGCCTACGCCCTCTGCGGCTTCGTTCGCGCCATGGGCGAGTCCGACGACTGCATGAACCGCCTCGCTCAGCGTGACGGCTACCTCAAGAACGTCTGGAGCGCCAGCCGATAAGCGTCTCGCTTAAAGACGGACCTGGGGGCTTTTGTGTGAGGTGAGCGACTTTCGAGGAAACCCATACGACAACCACAAGTGCTGATAAGAGCCCGACAAAAGGACATGAACAAAAAACACCATGGCATCACGGAGGACCCAAGGCTTTTTTACATGACAATGGGGACTCGGAGTTTGGGGTTTTCTTTGCTGGCCTGCCTGTTGTCCTAGCTGGCGGCTGGTTTGCGCGCGCGCGCCAATCACCTTCGACAGAAAGATTCCCTGGCTGGAGGAGATTGCTCAACATACGCGCAAAAAAGCATATTACAAGACCACGCAAAATACCCTTTCGACTGTGCTTGTCAACGAAAAGAAAATGATATTCCCTCCCAAAACACACAACCAACTTCATCTCACCTTGCGTATTGCTATGTTTCTTCGTCTTTTGGATTTGTCCATATGCGCCAACTACACCTGCTCAATCTGCGTGCTCGCCTTCGTCAGTTCACGGTATTTCTGTTCAACTTCATCTGAACGTCCTTGGCAAGTATAGCTGCATCTGTGGCTCTTACATTTCTCTGTCGCCAAGTGCACCGTAACTTCCTTGTTCAACGACCAAGCATTCTTATCTCACATATTCATTCGCTCCTACCCTTGCACTCCATCCTTCCTCCACTTACATTCTTAGTTCTTTTCTTTACGTGGCGTCCCTCCTCACTCTAAGAACAGCGACACAACCCACTGCCTCGTGTGTCATTCACTCCCATGATCAATGAGGCTAAACGGTGGTGACCAAGAAGAGACTATGGGTCTGGCTTTTTCTGTCCAGACCCTTGCTCTTTTTCCACCTTGTCGCTAGATCGATGCTTGAAAGCAACTCCTTTGTAAGTTTGCGGCCGCTTGAGAGTATAGGTCGTTGATACAGATACGGGAGGGACATTTACTGTTTTCTAATCGGTGTTTTGCATGATGGAGTGGACTTCAAGACCTCAGAAACTTGGGAACGTCGTCTGGCGTTCTTTTGCATATCTGACCATGCCTTTCTTTCAGTCTCGGCATTCATCATATCATAGCCAGCATTCCCAGGCCCTCATCGGCCATCTTCTTTGCATCCTTGATTGCGAACTCCAATGCCAGCTCGCCAGCTTCCTTCTCGAAAGCCTGTACCTTCTCTGCAAACTCTGAGCCTTCGTCACCGGCGTCGAGAATAGCCAAACTCATCTTTGCTTTGATCCTGGCCTCGAGTTTCTTGCGTCTGTCGTTGCCTTCGGGGCTCTCGGAGAGGATGTCTAGCACAAAGGTGACCATCGGGTTTTGGGGCTGCAAGCGTATCTGGGTGGCTAGGCGAGTTACTGCGGCTTTGATTGTCTGGTCGGCGATGTAGTGAGCCATCTTCTTGCCGCTTTTGTCATGTTAGCATCGACAGCCGGAATGCAGCTCCCAGGAATCCTTACTTTTCTGTTTGTCTCTTGTTTGCATCGATGCTGATATCGATCATAGTCGATATTCTCTCGCTGAGACCCGTGCAGTGCCTGGCCGTTGCCTCGTCGTGTTCTGCGCCTCTACTCTGAAATTCGAGCTCGCACAGAATCGTCGTGCTCATCAGTTCACTGTTGTAGCTTTTAACCTGGTCGAGGCACTTCTGCAGTACGGTGTCGTCCATGTTATCTGACAGTGGCTGGGGAAGTGTGTGCTGGTCGTTAGTGCTGAGAAGCAATTGTTGTTGTGTTGAAGGATAGAAGAAGAAGCAAACCGATGGTGAGTCTTTTATTGCTGCCGGCTAGCGACTGAGAGTGAGAACAAGAGAGACAGTGAGAATGAATTAATCGCTCCGATTTGAAGTCAACAGTACAGTTCACCTCAATGTCGGCACTCAACCAGGATAAGCAGTGCAACCTATCTCTGGGTAGAGACGATCTGCGACTTGATTCTCCGTTCAGTGCATGTGCCAGAGATAGATGATCTCTGAATCAAAGAAAGAGTGAATGTGAAAGTATTCGAAGAAGAGTCGAGTACTGATTGACATTGACACTAGATATCCAACTGGTTGACTCCAAACTGTCTCTGACCATTTCCTGCAAAGCCACTTCATTATGTGGCTCAGATCAAACTCGCTGCATCAATCTTCTACAAATCCACTCAAAACATTCACTCATCCTCCACAGCAAAGCAAGTCAAAGCCTGACTCTCAAACATCTCCTTGGCTTCCTCAACCACAAACTCCAAAGCAAGCTTCTCAACCTTGACTCTGTACCTCTCGAGCACATCCTCAAACTCGCAAGTCCAAGGGTAATCACCCAGACTGCCAATCTCCTCAGCTTCTCTCAATCTTGCTTCCAAATTCTTGCGATTGATGTCGCCGCCGGTGCCTTCGAAGTAGTAGCGTAATACCAAGACGGCGAGTTTGTTCTGAGGCGTGTGTCTGCGAGCTTGGTCTGCTAGTCTTCCCACGACTTCTGAGATTGCGCGGTCGGTCAGGAAGTCTGCCATCTTTCTGGCACTATTTCAGGATCGTTGTCAGCTTCGTAACCAACAAGGAGATTTATCAAAGTCCTGAGAGAAACTTACTTGTTTGCTTCCTTCTCAATGAACAGGAAGGATTCAGTAGACAGCTCCTGAGCTTTGAACAGACAGACATTGAGGTCTTGAAGGATGGTGGTGTCTGTATCTGTGTTTTTGAGTGTCTGCTGAAGGGCTTTGAGACTTCCGACTAGGTCTCTGGCGTCTTCTTTGCCAGCCTCAACGTGGTTGAAAAGCTCAAAGGATGTCATTGTTGGGTCTGATTGTAGATTTGTCTTTGCAAGGTGTTATTTATTGAGGTTGTCAGGTTGTTCTCCAAGAGACTCCATGGTTCATTTATGAAAGGCTTTACCACGTGCTCTGCTGTATCACCGGATATAGCTGCCACGTAGTTGTTACGTGCCATGATCACGTTGATATAGTTGCGATGCTGAGTGCCATCTTTTGAATTGTTGCGTTGGCATGCGCGCGGGATGCATTCGCTGACTATCCGGTTCAAAAGAGCACGAGCTACCGTGAGCGTGTCTTCAGCAGCGCAGTACGAGTGATTGAGGTCGCCAAAGAGGCATGATAGACAATGGAAACCATGAGGGAGAGGAACAAGCAAATGTTTCAATTATGATCAGCGTAATTCTGACAAGGAAAATGGTCTTCAACACGCAGACCGGGCTCGAGTGTTGTGTTATGGTTTGGCAAGCTTGGAAGGTGCGAGCTGCAGAAGTGTTGGAATGACTCATGAACATACATGCAAGAGCATGCTTCTCTGTCTATATTCCTGATGCAATGGATAGCAGCTTACTGTTGAAGTGACATTGTCTTTACCTAGGGTCGCAAATCCTTGTCTATAAACCTACTCTTGAACCTTCTCTGACAAGCAAAGAAGTGCTCTGCATGATATTGAAGATGGGAGTTTGAGCGACAGCACGCATGGTGTTATTGAAGAAGGATCCGATCTGGGGTATATGCACTGGATTAATAGGTTGATTCTTGCCGCTGATGATCGCCGATCTGCTCGACCTGTCTGTTGTACCATCGTATCGGAGGCATTCCCTCTATTTGAACGGCGTGGCTTCTTGCTCCATCTGGTCCTTGGTTCACACAGGTGCCACTACATCGGCCAGTTTGTTGCTCCGAATCCATCCATGTATTTTTTGTATGAGGATCATGGAGATATATAAATGTTGGTCGGTCATCCTAGCAAGTCGTGAAATCAAAGCACTGCTTCACACTCATCAACATGGTTGCCCTGGAAACAGTTCGCGCATCGAACGAAAAGATCGCATCCACCCTTCCTCCTGGACTTGTCGCCGTGTTCGTCGGTGCAACAAATGGTGTTGGAGAAGCTACAGTCCGCCAGTTCGCGAAATGGACAGCGGCTCCGCGAGTCTATCTGATTGGACGCTCGCAGGAAGCCGGCACACGCATTGTTAATGAGTGCAAAGCATTAAATCCACAGGGCGAATTTACGTTTATCAGTAAAGATACAAGTTTGATTCGTAATGTCGATGAGATTTGCGCCCAGATAAAGGAGAATGAGAAATCGGTGAACCTGCTGTTTCTCACCATCGGCACTTTGCAGACTGGTAAAAGTATGTTGTCAAATATTCAAGGTGACACAAGATCCTGATTGACTCTGTATCTAGCAACCGACGAAGGTCTCCATTACCCTGCAGCACTGGCTGTCCATGCACGCAACCGGTTTATCTCCAATCTCCTTCCTCTAATCAATAATGCCACATCCTTGCGCCGAGTCGTCTCAGTGTTTATTGCAACTCTCGAAGGAGAGATTCAAATGGACGACTTCCAAGGTTGGCATATGAAGCTCATGGCCAACAGAGATCACGCCGCTTCTATCACAACCCTCTCGCTGGAAAGCCATCACAAGGAAAATCCAAATGTGTCTTTTATTCACAACTTTCCTGGTGTGGTAAAATCAGGCATCACACGCGGTACTTCTGGGCCTGTCTTGACTGCCGTCAAAGCCGTAGTTCGTATCTTTGGCTCGCTGTTCTACATGCCTCCAGAAGAGGCCGGGGATCGTCATGTGTTTCTATCGACGAGTGCAAGATATTCAGCCGGCTTGGAAGATCCAGCAGCTGGTGTTCCGCTTCTTGACGACATCTCCGTTGCCAGAGGGTCTGATGGGACAGTCGGCAGCGGTGTCTACTCCATCAATGCGAGTGGCGAGAGTGCTGGACCAAAAGTAGAGGAGGCTCTTGTATCCTTGAGAAGCAGAGGTATGATGGAGAAAGTCATGGACACAATCACGGCAGATACGAACAAGGCGCTCGCAACTCACCAAGAGTCCGGAAACCGCAAATTTCAGGCAGAACAACATTACACCCCAGTAGAAAGACCAACATGATTATAGAATTATAGCATTCTTTTCAAACCTCTATGCGACGCGAAGCTGAATAGGTTACACTGATTCTTCTGGAACGAAGAAGAACTCGATCAGAGCAAGACGCCCAAGCTGTCATCAGATTCACTGCCTCAGTGGCCCTGAGTGTTCCTCCAATTGTCACTTCAGCTTGCACTCCGATTCCGCTATCAGTTTCACTGATTCATAAATACTTGGAGCTACGATCAATCACAAAAGCTCCTCTCTCATTTCTTTCTCACCTCCGATATCACTTTCACTGGCTCACACTCACAGCTGCGATCTATTATAAAAGCTCTACTTTGCTCTCCTATCATCCTAGAACTTTCAACACCAACACAGTCGCAATTACTCCTACACACTCGACTACCACAACTTTCCACATCTGTCATCGACCAAGAAGATGGATAAGGACAGTGTAAGACGCATCATCCAGGGTGTGGAGAAAAAACTCGAACAGCTCTCCGAGATCTTGGAGGATCACGAAGAGCGTTGTGAGAGAGATCCAGATGTAACCTTTGACCCGCGCCCCTGCCTGTCTCTGATTGAAAAGCTACGCAACGACCTTGAAGAAGATGGCGACACTGCAGCTGAAAAGTAAGAGCGCCTCGTAACTTGGAGTCGAGATCTGATACTGACAAGCCTGGGAAGTGCATCAGAGATGATTCACCAAATCAGCGACAGAGTCATCAAAGATACAGTCGATCGCCTGCCCGATGCAATGCGCTCTAACGCACCTCCCTTTCAACTCGCGAAAAACATGGCCGATCAATTCTTTGAAGGTCCCGAAGGCGATCAAAGACGCAGAAGCATCGAACGCAAACTGAAGGAAAAGTTTGGTTGGGAAAATCTCCATGATTCCAATCATTTTGGAGGTGCTTTCGGTCATTTCATGTACGAAAGTTTGTTCAAGGATGCCCTGATGCACTATGAGGCCGAAGTTAAGCAGGCGGCCCGTGAACATGCAGCTGATGCTCTTAAAGCAATGGTTGCCACGATGACGCTCACATAGGACGCTCAACCAGGATAACAGGCGATTACAGGTTGGGGCTTGAGCGGCGAGCTCATGAGTTGTACAACAGAACTTCAGAAGCCCAGCGGCAAGTCCGCCATCAGGAGACTTCAGCAAATATCTTCAATGAACTCCAAGCAAGGATAGGTACCTAAGAGCCAAAACGTGATATCAATGTTACAGACTCACTTCTCATTCGTGTAACAAACCTTTATGCAATAGTGTGATTTTCTTGTCTTCTACCTCTTTTTTACCTCCTTGGTTGCTTCCCCTTCAGTGCTGGCTGTGTAATCTTGCTGTTGGAAAAGATAGGGTGACGTGGCACAGCTTTAGTGCGTGCTATAGCTGTTAGGGGCAGTAGCACTAGCATTGAATCAGTCACTTGTGGCATCAATGGACTTTTCGATTACTTACTTGGAAACATCTGTCCATTCGAGGATGACCCTTCAACTCAGTATTGTTGCTTCTCAGAGGCCTTTGGACAGTATCTCTGGCATCTCCTGCACTTTTCCAAAGACGACAACCGAGGCCTCTCTTCTAGCCTGAGATTCGAAGACCTTGGGGCCAAGAGTCATGAGCATACCTTCTTCGAGCTGGAAGAAGTAAGCTTCGAGGCGAACCTTGACTTGCTTGATGAGGTCGTCGCGTATATCAGGCCAGTCTGGGGCGTGAACGTTGGGTGCTCCTTCGATGACATGATCTCTGGGAAGGCTATCGATCTTAGCTACGACGAAGTCAACAGCATGGCCGATCTTGGTGTCGATGGACTGCCTGGTATGGAAGGTCAGATCATTCTTGATGAGACAACGATGGATATAGTATGTGAACATACGCAGCAATGTTCTCTTTGGCTTGGGTCAGTAAGTTTGATGCTTCCATGAGGTCGCGATTGGTGTCTTCCTTGGTTTTGCTGGGGTCGTGGTTGTCGATTTGCGCATCGTGAATTTTGGCGAGTGCAGCGTCGACTGCTTCGTGGATCTTTGTCAAGTCGGGCTCTGATTTGGTGTTTTCCATCTCGGCTTGTGATGCAGACAATGAAGCGGTGGACGTGTGTAGTCGAAGGAGTGTTTGTTTATGAGGCAGAGATGCGCTTGCTGATGGCAGTATATACAAGGCAGGCACATTTTGGGAAAGAGAGAAGATGGACTTGCATTGAGTTGTGGCTGCCAGTTCTGAAAGTTTTACATACCGATTCAACCGATTTCCCTTCTCTAAGACTCCTTTCCAATTCCAAAACATGATTCAAGGCTGCATCCAAACCCGGCGCACACTTGTGACTGTCTTTCTTATCCTCTCCAAGTGCCATCCACCCATGACAAATTGCGCAACCATCCTTCTTTTTCCACAAAGCCTAGTATCCGGACAAACTGTCGACGGATCTCACCATTTCTCTCTGCACCAGACCTGCGAGAGCTGCGACGACATGCTTCTTGATGGTGATTTCGGAGTCGAGTGCCTCAAGGTTGGCTCTCTGAAAGACAGCGTCGAGGATGTCTTGCTTGTCAATCATGACAACTGCGGCTTGCAAAGCTGATCCAGAAGCACCAGTGAAGATTTCGCCTCTCCTGACCTGGTCGAGAGTAGATTTCAAGATCGTAACGACAGACTCCTTGACAACAGAGCAGACGTAGGAAGAACTAATCTCCGTCAGACAACTTCTTCGAAAACTTGGTTTGTGACTTGCCTGGTGTGGTTCATCTCCATCCGCTGGATGCATGTCTCAACTTGAGCCAATGCTGAAGTGACTTCGTTCTGCTGCCATTCAGGAAGAGGAGCATAGGACAGACGTGCGCGCTTCTGGGCAAGCAGTGACTTGATGCCTTGGAGATCGGTGTCGGTGCGGAAATGCTGCTTCCACTCGTCGCATTGTTCAGGGGTGACGAGTGCGTTGGCCAGACGCTCGATCTTGCGCTGGAGTTCCAGTGTTTCATGGTCGGTGAGAACGGTCATCGTGAATCTTGAGGTGGGTGCCTGAGTTGAGTGAGAGAGAGTTGAAGGAGAGATGAGGACGTGCTTTTCTGCTTCAGATGCCCGCCCTCGAGCAATGTACAAGGATACGCGTTCGGTGTTGGCACTTTCTAGACGCGTCAGTATTTATGTTTCTGCTATTGTCCATTGTGTTGGTACAGCCATTAACTCCCTTCGCATACGTGAAATTACAACCCAATTCCGGAATCTTCCTGTCCTAGCATGTCTCCATATCCTCCTCTACTATGCTTTGATGTGTGCAGCTACAGAACTTCAGAGTATGTCAAAGTCGGCGTCATCATAGCCCATGCCGTTGTCGGTGGAATTGTTCTTCCTTTTTAGCAACTCGGCCATGCGTCTCATAGTGTTTTCGACCTGACGCTTCATCTCATCTCCCAGCGGGGTTTCGGTGCTTTTCGTAGTGGTGTTATTGGCTGTACCGTCGAATGAGGTGTGAGAGGATCCTGAAGTTTTGTTGTGCATGAAATCAGTATTCTGGTCTGGACGCTGCATCTCGTTACCGTACTGGTGGATGCAATCATTGAGGTAGAGAAGATCGGTCTTTGCATCTTCCATTAGAGAGTCTGCTTTGTCGACAACGACTAGATCTTGTTCGCGATCCTTGATCAGGCCATACAGTTCGCTAACTTTTTGATAAATATCTCTGACTGTGGTCAATAGCTCGTGCATGTCGGCCATGGTATCTGGGGGAAGCTTTGGATTCGTGCTGGATTGAAGAGGTATTCGAGTGGATTGCAGGAGCAGTCCTGCGTGGATATGTATCAATTTGTAAAGTGTTGTTGGACCTACAATGCTAGAGAAATGCTCGCTGCGTGTTACTTTCACCTACATCGACTCTACTGAAAGCACAACCAATGATTGTCTAAAGATACAAACATTGTTGGAAGCAACACGTCAAAGAGATGGTCAGTATTCCTGCAAGTGTCCAAAGCATTTCCCTTTGTGCACGACATTCTTTGTGAGACAAAGAAAAAGTAAAGTATTAGAATGTGTCTCGGTCGAGGTATGGGCAAACAGTGTCGTATCTCTTCATTATCAGATCCTGAGATGAAGAAGCTTTGAGGAGAAAATGTTCTCATCAGGAAGTCCTCGTTCGTAGGGATGGTTCTTTGCTGCGCTCTGACCAGCAAAGAAGGTTGCTGAGTAGAATCAAGAGAGGCTTCAGGTGAAGTCGGATGGATCAAGAGCTTCGTCACCCCAGGTCTTGGCGTGGTTTCGAGGGTCGTCAGTAGAATCAAACATTTCCTCTTCAACTATTGGATCTGCGGTGTGATCTGCTATCACTTCTGTCTGACACATGCAGTCACTATCTTGCTGTGGTGGTCATCAATGGCCACGAGAAGCTCTTGAAGTCTGTGTGTAGTTTTGGATGATTCGGTGACGGACAGGTGCGGTCAATCGGTCAAGGCTTTCGCGAGTGCGACGCTGTGCCGAACTTCCCATGATTGCCCTCATGCTCCTCCCTTCCTGAAATCTCCACATTCGCATCGATTCTCGCGTCGGACAGATTTTATTCCGCCAATGGTACATCTCTCAAATTCTCCGTCCATCCCACTGATCTAAGGATGTGAGTGACATGTTACTTTAACCGGTTAGCTGCCGTCCATGTTCCCCATGTTTTTACCCCGTGGACGGGACGACACTTGCGGAGAAACAGACAACCTTGACGAGAGGCGTCATCTTGTATGAGGGTTCTCTAGACAGAATGCCTTCATATAAAGATTGTATCCGAACACACACCAAGATGGATCCGTGTTCATCACTATCTTTGCCTGTCTTGTCTACAACATCAAGATGCTGTTTCAACCTCTCTTAGTCACGACTCTTTTGAGTGCCATCACAGCTGTTGCCTCGCCGACATGGTCTGCCCAGCAGGAATACACCAAACATCTTCCGAAGAGTGTCTCTAAGCATCAAGGGACACGTCCAAAGACGGATATCTCACCCAAGAAGCCTTTCAAGCCATTCCCTTCTTCACCCTCCAGAAATAGAGTCTGTTACGTCAGCTCTCACAACGACGGCGTGACAGACGACTCGAACTACATTCTTTCTGCCATCAACAAGTGCAACAACGGTGGTCATGTCATCTTCTCGGAAGGTCAGAAATATGTCATCGGCACAGCCTTGAACCTGACCAACCTCAACCACATCGATATCGACATCCAAGGCTATGTCCAATTCACCAACGATACCGACTACTGGCAAGCGAACGCTTTCAAACAAGTCTTCCAAAATGCCACAACATTCTTCCAGCTCGGTGGAAATGATGTGAATGTATATGGCGGAGGCTACCTTGACGGCAACGGCCAGGTCTGGTATGACTTGTATGCTCAGAACATCTACATTTTGAGACCTGTTCTGTTTGGTGTTGTTGGCTTGCTCAACTCGACTATTCAGAACTTGAATCTGCGATACAGTCCGCAGTACTATAACTGGGTCGCCAACAGCACCAATGTCCTGTTCTCGAACATTTCAATTTCAGGATACAGCCAGAGCAAGAATGTGGCTAAGAACACTGTAAGAAGAGTATCTTGAGACAAGCCTGAAGAATCGTCGTACTGACTCTTTGCTCATTAGGATGGATGGGACACCTACCGCAGCGACAACATCGTCATCCAAAACTCAGTAATAAATAACGGCGATGACTGTGTCTCATTCAAGCCCAACAGCACCAACATGCTAGTTCAGAACCTTCAATGCAACGGCAGTCATGGCATCAGTGTTGGATCTCTCGGCCAGTATCCCACCGAGACCGACATAGTAGAGAACGTCCTCGTCTACAACATCTCCATGTCCAACGCCAGCGACGGCGCCCGCATCAAAGTTTGGCCAGGCTCCCCCGCCGCCCTCTCTGGAGACCTCCAAGGCGGAGGCGGCAAAGGCCGTGTCAACAACATCACCTACGACACCATGAACATCAACAACGTCGACTACGCCATCGAAGTCACACAATGCTATGGCCAGAAGAATTTGACTGCTTGCAATGAGTTTCCCTCCAAATTGACCATTTCGAATATCGTCATGAAGAATATTCATGGCACTACCAGCTCCAAGTACAGTCCGATTTCTGGATATGTGGTTTGTAGCAGTCCGAGTGTTTGCACTAATATCGAGCTGTCGGATATCAATGTTAGTAGTCCGAATGGCACCGTCAATGAGTTTTCTTGTGGCGATGTGGATCAGAGTTTGTTGCAAGGCATTCAGTGTACTTCTATCAACAAGGGGTACAACTGAACTCTGCATCTCGTATATAGTGACTGAATATACGAACTTTGGTCTTGATCAGCAGGACCATAACAGAGATGCATAATGATCGATTGAGGTTCAAAGATGTATATGACACTTGCAGTTCAGACGATGCTGGGCAAGTTATGAATTTGGTTATTGAATTGAGATGACAGCTATATATATATATATATATATATCTAACATCGTTACAACTTTGTCTCGCGCCCTTCAGCCAGTACATCCTTCCTCCAACCGACCTCTACTCGCCTAGGACCTTCTTTCTTGAACTCAACCAGCACCACTCTCTCCATATCTCCCTTCCTCCCCTCAGGCTCAGCCTCAGCACCAGGCTTATCAAGGCCCAACACTACCCTGCCATCCTCTCTCTTCTTGCCTCCCAACACTGTTGGTGAGATGCACTTCTCGCCCCAGTTACCCTCCTTGACGAATTCGAGCACCTGATCTCGTTGCTTCTGTAGTGTAGCCGCATCTGGTACTGGAGCTTCTTTGCCGACATCGCCAGAGGGACAGAGGAAGGGCGAGAGTAGGTACATGAGGAAGAATTGAGGCGGAAAGAGCACGATGCGAGAGGCACGGGCTAGACGTAGCCAAGTCGCTGGTGGAAGGAAGCGAGCAGCAGTGTGTTCGAGGCCGCCGTCGTGGGTGGGCACAGGGATCATAACCTCAGGTTCGTCTTCTTCGGCGCTAGAAGATGAGGAAGGCAGGTTCTTGGGCGTGTTGCTGAGTGGCAGGAGGTAGATGTACATCTGTGTCGTAAAGCGTTTGGGTAGATTGGTAGGAGTGATCCAGCGAGTGAAGGGGATTAGATTCTCTGCCCGAATGTCAGCATATTCTTGGGCAGCTGTACGCAAGACAAGCATCTAGCGTCAAGGACCTACCAAGGTCAGCCTTTGCATCCTTCTCATCCAGCCAATCTTCAAACTTGATCTTGTCTCCATGCACGAGCTTTCTAACTTTTGTCCTCTCTTCCTCGTCTACCTCCAACAGTCTTCCATCTTTTGTCCTCGCTAGCAGAATACCACTCTCCTCGAACGTTTCGCGGACAGCTGCCATACGGTAGACATCGCTATCGCGGTGGCGACTCGCATCTTCAGGAGGTGGTGGGTCACCGTCGTGGAAAGAGGATATGTTGCCGCCAGGGAAGACATGTGCGGAAGCGAAAGATGATGAAGTCTGTACTCGACGCAGTAGGAGGATGTGATTTTGAGGTGATATCAAGAGGACACTAGCAGAAGTATTATCAGCGATTGGACATAGAACAGATCCGTGCAAGGGTATATATCAGCAAGCGGACCATTAAGGTCAGGGTTGCACTCGCAGCATGATCCGAAATTGCCATTTCTTGAACAAACGAACAACGACTTCCGGAATGGCTTGACTGATTTTGCATCGAAGACTGATGGCGCAAATCCACTGAACGAAGAAAAAATAAAGCGTGCAGGAGCGCTTGTTGAAGGTGAATGGCGCAATCCCCAATATCAAAATCGACGAACCACAAATTGCGAACAGCACCGACGAACTCACCTCGAACTCGGTCTCGGAATGGCGGGCGGCTTCTTCCCCTTTTCTCCATTTCCTTCATATTGCTTTCCTAGAGCAGTAGTTTTCGACATACTGCGACTCGCTGGGTTGTTTCCGTTCAATTTCCGGAATGTCGAAGTATAAAATGGTCTTGAGGCACGCAGAGCAATGACGTCGACGATGGGTGTAGCCAGTGCTGTTGGCGCAACAAGACGAGCAAGATGCATATAGAGTGCACTAGCGAGGCGTAATCAGAGGACGTCAATGGTATGTTATCGATATAAGAAAGACTGACTCCGAGGGCGCTGCTCAAGGTCTCGGATGTGGATGTTTGGAGAGGAGGTATGAGTGCGGACAGCCGAGGCACATCTAACGCCCGTTTTGGAGGTGAGTGCCATACTGAAGAAGGCACCAGTCATATAGAGGTCAGAAGACTGCTGAATGACCTAGCGTAAATTTTTGTATCTTTTTCGATGGTAGTAGTACACATCAAAATGCCATAGAGTATGGTGGTGCCAATGCTGACAGTGTCGCAAGTGGTCGCAGCGACCGAGCGACGTTGGCTTGCATCTCGAGCCGCAAAGCTGGAAGCAAGCTGTCCTGAGCTCCAGATCCAATAGCTCAAGCTCCAGAGAGCTACAGCTGGTTCATATGGCTAGTCTAGATTCTCAAAATTCACGTAAATGGCAATTAGATACTATAGATTGCATTTAGCCGGGTTCTAGGTCGAAGGTTGCTTGCATCGATGCGCAATTCGAGATGTAGCCTTCGAGAAGCTTGTTTCAGCAGTGTCACATTAATTGATCAGTAGTTGGCCGTGGTTGAAGACCTGTCGTGTCACATCGGAAGCAAGGTAAACGTCAGTTGGTGTGGTCAGGATAGGCGTTTCTATTCGAGAGCCTCCCCAGTGTATGAGTAGAGGATTTTCTTGTTTGTTTTAAGAAAGTCTTGAAAGAGCCCCGTCCAATCCTGGCCATGTCATCGTCTTCCTTCCACATTTCGTCCCTCCGAGCGTCAATAGAAAATAATGTACACGTCGATGTTTTGGTTTCCATGACCGGGGTTGACTTTGAACTCCCCAAAAGACATCGCTCATTGCAGAGGTGAAGACGTTTACACGTACTTGCACATCATGGCAACCATCAGGTCGAAAAGACCGATGGCCTCGACGAAGGCGAAACCAAGAATGGCGTAAGAGAAGAGCTGGCCACGGAGAGAGGGGTTGCGGGCAACACCCTGGAGGAGGGCAGCGAAAACGAGACCGATACCGATCTACAATTCTCATGATTAGCTCCAACAATTAAATTGAAGGGAAGGAATATCAGTTGGGGTGAGATGGAAGAAAAAGGTTGAGCTCCAAAACACCCCAGCATGATATGTGTGTGAGAGAGTACTTACACCGGCACCACCGAGACCAATGGCAGCGTTACCCATACCAATGTTCTGGGAGACCTGGACGAGGGCGTTGGCCATCTCGGAGGAGTAGGCGCGGCGAGCGGCAGGGGCGACCTTCTGGACCATGGAGACGGTCTGGGGGCGGACGAGGGTGGCCTGGCGGAGACCTTGAAAGAGCGTCAGAACATTGTTGCATCAATTCAATTGGGCTTGCCATTGATGGATGGAAGGCTGATGGAGGTAGAGGATGGTTCGATGTTTCGATGGAGCTCGAACTGGGATGAGGTGACGTTGAGGTGGTGATGATTTACCAGAGAAGGCGCGCTGGGCGACCTTGGGCTGGACAGCGCGGAAGGCAGCAGGGCGGGCAGCCATCTGGGCGAACTTGGGGGCGATTCTGGAGGCCATTTCGACTGATTGGATGTGTGAAGGGGGATGGAGAGGAGAGTTGTTGATGAAGGATGGAAGATAAGGGTTGAGAGATCGGGGCGGAAGCTTTCCCTTGATGGACGACGAGTGAGAAGAGGTCAAGGGGGAAAGCCGTGGGAGCCCACGCAGAATTTTCTTGTACTGCCGGTCCGGTGGCCATTGATTTGGCCTTGTTTGCTTCGCTCGGAGCCAGGAGGCGTAGCTTAACCGAGTCCAAGTGGGTCTCTTCCACCGGAGGAAGCTCAACAATTGGCCAGTTTCGAGCAGCACACAGACCATCCGCGTCCGAATCCTGGCCGATGTTAGGAGTGTCAATTGCTCTCACGGCAGCATTGTCTGCGAAGGAAAACAGAACAATGTCGTTCAACTTCGTGCAATTCAGCTTCAGACCAGACGAAAATCATGTTCAGCGTGAGTTCATGGTAAAATATACAGATTGATACAAACAAAAAGTGACAGAAGTGCTGGCCAGAGATAGTCTAAATCAATAGCGCCCGCATCCGCGTCAGTGATCGAACTGGAGCTCCCCCAGCCAACGTTAGGCTGGGGTGTACTTTACCGCGAGTGAGCTCGTCATTAGCCAAAAGCTCTCTACTTGGTTTGATATTGGAGCCCAGTAACGAACGCTCGGAATTATCTCGAACAATATCTGTGTCTACGATAGGTCTATAGAAGAAGAGTCTTGTCTATTCACTGATCAAACGTAGACCGTCATAGCAATGACCACTACGATACATAAAGTCAAGTGGTCGGAAAATGGACGGAAGGAGAGGCATGGTCGCTCGGAAAGATGCTTCTCCGCCAGAGTACGAGCATTGTAATAGCAAGGCTCAGCCCGGTTACCATTCGAAAACAGGAAACTCGGTTGTTGAATGTCCTCTTTCAAGTAGGACACGAGGAAGAAAGCAATTGATGCATGGTGAGTTAAAGGAGATCCATCTGTGCAAGCAAGCAAGCAACAAAAGGACTAACCGTTCAAGGAAGGCTGCTAGCATGAGACAGGCGAGCCGTTCAACTGCTTAAACAAGCAAAGTGTCCCCAGGATGCATGAAGCATGGGCGCCAGACATTGAGCATGGCTAGCTATCATCAGTAGTGATAAAGACGACCAGTCGCCCTCTCCCGCAGGTCCAATGCATTTCGCAAATTTCGAAGACTAGACGACAAAGCAAACGGGAAAGCTTCAAACGCAGTTCCATGATCCATGTGGCCGGCCGGTCGAAGCTGGACATCGTGAGGTCAAAAGTCTTGTCGCCCGCGGCTTCCCGAGTCAACCCGACGATCGCTCTGAGCTTCATCAAATTACGCCTACTAACTTGGATGCGCCATGAGCCGCTGACGACGAGCACTCCTCCAGCGATATGCTCAGCGACGTCTAGATCCTGTGTTGCTTGCGTCTTCGTTGGTCTGCAGAGCCGTGAGGGCGAGAACCACAATAGTATGGCGGGTCTCGTTGGAGAATACTGAATTGATCGATAGACAAAGGCCTCGGTCCACCTCAGCCGACGTGGAGACACGACTGCATTGTCCAGCTTCATCAAGGTGCGTTGAAGGAGACATTGAACCCTGCAAACCACGTTCGAACAAACGCGTTGTACACATCACGCATGCAAACAAGCTGCAGAGAAGCAGAAGCGACTACCCGGTCCCGCTGTGTCACGATTCATGCTCGTATTCCGATACCTCCACCAAAGTCCTTCTTGACTACACTTGATGCGTCACAAGAGTGCTTAGTCGAAGCTCCTGCAGTGCAAAGAATGGATTCCCGGTAAGAGTTCGATATACATGCTGAGTGCTTCGCCTTTGAGCGGACACATCTATCAGCAGCCACAATGCCTAGTCGAATCATCGCTGCGGTAGTGAGCTGGTGCCCATTGAGCAACCAATGCGCAGTAGCGGCGTCCTATGCACAAGCACAGTGCACAATAGCTCAAAAACGAGTGCCTCAATAGTCTAGCGCAGAGGCTACATCACATACACGTAGGGGAGGCATGGAGAAAGAACAATTGAAGTATATGTGCAAAATATGCACAGCGTGAATTCATATTCAAATCTGCCCCTTCCCAGTTCATGAACGCCAAATGTAAATGCTTTCAATCGAACTCCGAAATGACTCCCATCTTTTTATCATAACAGACCAACTTTTCCCATTCAATGGTCTAATCCCTCTAAGCGTAGAGCTTCTTGTCGAAGCTGTGGAGGCCGTGGACGTTACCCTCAGCCTGGGCAGAGACGGTACGGAGCTCGAATCTGACCTCGCCGTCAATGACACCTTGGCGGAGAGCGGTCAAGCTGGTGACACCGATGTCCTGGAGGGAGTGCTGAACACCCGAAATGAGGTAGGGGAGGAACTTGGTAACGGATCCACGGTCGAGGACGGAACCAGAGACACCCTGGGCAACGAGCAGCTTGTCTCCCTCAGAGAAATAGCGGGCGGTACCAGCGTTGGAGGCCTTGGGGTCGTTGGGGTTGACAGAACCAACACCAGCCTTCTTGTCCTCCATAGCGTCGATGGAACCCATACCTCTGTAGGCCTTGACGAGCTGACCCTCACGAGAGACGAACGACTCACCGGGCGACTCGGTGGTACCGGCAAGGAGACCTCCCATCATGACAGTGCTGGCACCGAGAGCAAGACCCTTGACAATGTGGCCAACGTTTTGGATACCACCGTCGGCAATGCAGGGAACACCGAAGCGGGCAGCGAACGAGGTAACGCTGTGGACGGAAGCAGCCTGAGGACGACCGACGGCCATGACCTCCTGGGTGATACAGGCAGAGCCAGAGCCCATACCGATTCTGAGACCGTCAACACCAGCAGCGATGAGACCGGCGGCTTGCTCACGGGTGACAACGTTGCCACCAATAACATCGAGACCGGGGTGGGTCTTCTTGATGTACTTGATCATTTCAATCTGGTACATGGAGTTACCCTGAGAAGAGTCAAGGATAACAATGTCGAGACCAGCATCGACGAGCTTCTGGAGACGAGCCTTGTCGTCGGGGCGGGTACCGATGGCAGCGGCGGCGATCAACTGCTTGGTCTCGGGGAGCTTGGAAGCAAGGGGGTAGTTCAAGTTCTTCATCAAATCGGAGCGCGAGACAAGCGAAATGAGGTTGCCGTTGTCGTCGACGATGGGGAGCTTGCCCTTCTTGGACTTTTGAAGGATGGAGTTGGCCTCGGTGAGCTCAATGCCGCTCTTGGCGGTAATGAGGTCGGTGGACATGACCTTGCTGACCGAATCGTTCAGGTTGTCGTGGAACTGAATATCACGAGGGGTGATGATACCGAGGAGCTTGGAGCGAAGCTTGCCGGACTCTGTGAAACCATGTTAGTCGTGCTGTCCCAAAAGCGAGCTCAGACGAGAGGTTGGATCGTGTATGTTTTTTTTTCAGATTCCAAAATGTTTCTCCACAACAGATTGACTTGAATGCGGTTGAACGAAAGTTATTGTATTTGTTGAGTCATCCTCAAGGGGGCAGAGAAAAGAGAGAATTCTGAGCTTACCAGTGACGGGGAAACCACCAAAGCCAAGCTTCTCCTTGAGAGCAATGGCCTCTCCGACAGTGGTCTCGGGAGAAATGACAACGGGGTCGAGGATGAAACCGTTCTCGTAGCGCTTGACCTTGCGGACCATCTCGGCCTGGTCGTCGGCAGAGCAGTTGTGGTGGATGACACCAAGACCACCGAGGAGGGCCATGTGGATGGCCATGTTGTGCTCAGTGACGGTGTCCATAGGCGAAGAGAGGAGGGGGGTCTTGAGGGAGATGCGCTTGGTAACGGGTGAGTCAAGAGTGACCTCATTGGCGGAGAAGCCTGATTGAGAAGTAAGCACGCTGATAATGGTGCGCATGCGCATTCAGCGGCTCATACCAATGTAACCAGGGAGGACGAGGAAGTCGTTGTAGGTCAGACCACCGTTGTTCTTGGAGTCGAGGAGGGTCTGAACGCTGATACCATCGCGCTCGGGGTACTCCTTCTTGACAATGTCGAGAGCATTGTTGAAGTCAAGGATCTTCTCCTTGTGAAGAACGGGAACGTGAGAGGTCATTTTGGCGGAGGGTCGTGTGTCGTGGAATTAGAGGATAAGGAAAACAGATATGGAGAAAAGACAAATGACGCAAATGGGTATCTCAATTGAAAGTAGTACGACGAAGAGGTCGACGGGTTCAAGTGTGAATACTTTCCCCAAGAAAAGAAGAGAGAAAAGAGAGTTGTTCGAGATTTTCTGCGCATCCTCGACGCGCAAAGTTCAGCCAGGGTCTACAGGCGACCTGTGCGCTCATGTTTGCTGTGTTTGACCATCGGTCTTAACAGGACCCTTTCTCTTTATCACCGCCAGCCACTACAGAGGGCTGTCGTTGACCCGAGTCTTAGAGCCTCTACTCAATGGCAGATACCTCACGCCGAGTGTGTTTACGTAGTCGCAGGAGCCGGTTTTCATCAGGCAGCTGTACCACATAGTCCTTTCTCAGTCGTTGCCGGCCAACTTATCTCTTTCGAAGAAGTGGGATGCCTTGAATATAGCACCAGCCAGCCAGCCCGCCAGAAAGAAAACAAAGCATGCAAATCAGTCCTTGGGAATGCAGGAGGCACTTTTTCGTCCGGAGTGCACACCATCTTGTATCTTGATAGTCGGATTATTCAGTAGTCTGTGTCGACTGCATTCAAAATTGATGCAAGGTATAACAAAGTACAAGAGGGACCCTTGATCGGGTCTTTTAGTGTTTGGGTAACTTTGGTTTCGGGCTGCGGGTGGGTTTGTTGACACCAAGCAAAACAACAAAGTCGAGCTTTTCGGCTCACCACTTTCCTGCATACATCACGCCAGCCTGCTGCTCTGTCCAGCGCCAAACATTCTTCGAGGAGGCCGTGAGCATCTTGTCTGCCAGGACTGAACGGTCGTTTCAGAAACCTGTGACTCTGTTCCGCAAGCGAAATCAAGAACGGGTGTTGCAACGGGCGTGTTTACGGGGATTGAGCGTTGCAAAGCAATCGATTTCTGCCCTGCTATGCCGTCTGGTCTAATCGACGACTTTTTCCTTGTCTGTTGCTTGTACTGTCATTGCTAATAGCAGTGCTGCGGGCGACGTCGCCGCCGACTTTCCACAAGCCACTCGTTGTGAGTGCCGCCTGGACGCCCGACGAGCCGGACACCACCTTCCTTCCATATTCATTCAGGGTCGTCCCTTCCCTGGGACACAATGGCATATCTACATCAATCACGCGGGCAAGCGCCGGGCTCACCCTCTGTGCCTGGCAGCCCGCTCCGCCATACAACCAGCGTATCAACGAGCCATCTACACCACAAACGAGGACTCAGCGAGGCTACCGGCTCACCAAAGGCAAAAGGGTTCTGGGAGGCCAAAGAAGCCAATGCCGCTCCTGTTACGCCTGAACAATTCCGTACTGCTCTGAGGCCATTGCAACAAGCTCCGGGCACATCGCCAGCTCAATCCTCGCCGCATTCGCTATCACACACCCACTCACACTCGCGCTCCAAGAGTTTACACGACTCTAGAATGGATCCGTTCATCAACAGCACTCCCACTTCCGAGTCTGCCTCGCCCATGCCCACATCACCACCTTTAAAGTCTCGACCGCACTCGCTTGCAATCTCCCGTTCCGATTCTGTACGAGCCCCTATCCACGACCGCGGAAACCGCAATTCTGCCCACGTCCACTTCGCCTCGCCGAGTCACATCGAGAAGTCAGAGCTACAAGGCCTGCAAAGATCAGCCACGAAACATCTACGCACCCTTTCCAAATTCGCCCAAAACACCGACGATGATGACTTTTCCATCAAGTCTCCTGAGCAAGAGGTTGTTGGTCTCCATGGCCGGAGGAGGTTACAGCGTACCATGACAACGAAAGAGAAGAAGGGTACAGAAACTACCAGCAAGTTCACGAGCAGTTGGGAAGCCAGCAAGTGGATGGACCGCCAGCGTCAGTTCTTGCAGGCTTACGAGTATCTGTGTCACATTGGTGAAGCCAAAGAGTGGATCGAAGACATTATTCACAAACAGATCCCCGAGATCGTTCAACTTGAAGAGGCACTTCGAGATGGTGTCACCTTGGCTGAAGTCGTGCAAGCCATTCATCCCGATCGACCTATTCGTATCTTCAAACACGAACGCCTACAGTTCCGCCATTCCGACAATATTGCTTTATTCTTCCGCTTTCTCGCCGAGATGGAACTACCTGAGCTCTTCCGCTTCGAGTTGGTTGATCTTTATGAAAAGAAAAATATTCCCAAGGTCATTTACTGTATCCACGCTCTGTCATGGCTCCTCTTCCGCAAGGGACTCGTGGATTTCCGCATCGGTAACCTTGTCGGTCAACTGCAATTCGAAGACCATGAACTCGAAGCCATGCAGAAGGGTCTTGACAAGGCTGGCATTAGTATGCCCAATTTCTCAGGCATGGGAGCCAACTTCGGTGAACCAGAGCCAGAACCTGAGCCCGTCGAGACGGAGGAAGAACGGATCCAGAGAGAACTATTCGAACACGAGGCGATGATCGAAGACTTGCAATCTCAAATTCGTGGTGCTATGGTCAGGTTAACACTCGGTGACACTATGAATCAACTATGGGACGCCGAAGAAGCCCTTGTCGACCTTCAATCACGAATCCGTGGAGACTTTGCTCGCCAGATTTCAGATTACCGCATGGATATGAGACGATTCGCTGTTCAGCTTCAGAGCGCTGCTAGAGGCTTCCTCATCCGTAAGCATCGCAGCAACCGTGAGCAGACCTGGAAAAGCCAAGAGAAGCAAGTTGTCACTATTCAATCGCTCTTCAGAGCCCGCAAAGCAAGAACCGAAGTCAAGCGGATGCGCACTCACATGCAGAAGCAAGACATAGGCATCCGTAACCTTCAAGCCGCTATTCGTGGTGCACTGAGTAGACGGAATGTCAGTGACCAATATGAAGCCACGCGCGAAGCCGAAGAGCCCGTCCGTTGGCTTCAAGCCGCGATTAGAGGAGCGATCAAGAGAAAGCAAATTGAGCGCCAGGTCGAAGAGGGCCATGCCTCCGAAGAGCACATTATCTCTCTACAAGCCGCGATTAGAGGTATGCTCGAGAGAAAAGGGCATGCTGCAAATGCCGATCTGCTTAGAAAGCATTCGAGATCCGTTGCAACACTCCAACATGCCATGGCTGGCTTCATACAGCGTCGAAAACTCGAACACACTCGCATGTCCCTGGATGTCGAGACTCCCGCCTGGCTCGAACTCCAATCTGCAGCACGTGGTCAGAGTGCAAGGCGTGAGTTCAGAAAACTCAAAGCGGACCTACAAATACAATTGCCTTCGATCATCGCATTGCAGTCTGCCTTCAGAGCTGGGTGCAGCCGTAAGGACGTGAACACAATCAAAGATGCACTGAGTTACCGCGAGAACTCCATTCTTACTTTCCAGAGTTCTGCTCGTGGTCATATGTTCCGCAACAAGCATCACGCCGACATCAATGCTCTGTATGCTCAGAAGCCAGCGATCAGAGACCTTCAGTCTCTCTCGAGAGCTTATCTTGAACGTCAACGGGTTTTCGATGTTTTGTGCCAGCTTAATGAGCAAGAGGACCAAATTGTCGAGTTGCAGAGTATTGCTCGCGCCCTGCTCGGCCGCCGCGACATTGGCGTTCTCCTCGGTCAACTCGAAGATGAAGAGGATGCTGTCATGGAGTTACAATCTGCGATCAGAGGATCGCTTGTGAGGCAGGCGTTTGCCGAGAAGCAACGCTTCTACAAGGAAAACATGGAGAAGGTCATCAAAGTCCAGAGCATCATCCGCGCCCGTCAACAAGGTCAAGCTTACAAAAGCTTGACAAGCGGCAAGAATCCGCCTGTCGGCACTGTGAAGAACTTCGTTCATCTCCTTAATGACAGCGACTTCGACTTCGATGAAGAACTTGAGTTCGAAAGAATGCGCAAGACTGTGGTCCAGCGTGTCCGACAGAACGAGATGGCCGAACAATACATCGATCAACTGGATATCAAGATTGCGCTGCTTGTCAAGAACAAAATCACCCTCGATGAAGTCGTCAAGCATCAGCGACACTTTGGCGGCCATGTTGGAAGTCTTCTGAACAACACGGAAATCTCGTCCAAAGATCCTTTCGACCTTAAAGCCTTGAACAAGAACTCGAGGAGGAAGCTTGAGCACTATCAGGAGCTGTTTTTCCTCTTGCAGACTCAGCCACAATATCTTGCACGCCTCTTCCACAAGCTGAAAGAACAAGGCATGCCGGAGCAAGAGGGTAAGAGAATCGAGCTGCTCATGATGGGCCTCTTTGGGTTTGCACAGAAACGTAGAGAGGAGTACTACCTCTTGAAACTAATAACACGCTCTGTTCAAGAAGAGGCGGAGCACAGTGCTTCCCTTCAGGATTACCTCCGTGGCACTTTCTTCTGGAGCAGATTACTATCTGCCTATGTAAGAAGTCCCCGTGATCGCAAGTACATGCGTGATCTGTTTGGGCCGCTCGTCAGAGAAAGCATCTTCGAAAATGCAGACTTGGACCTTGAGAGTGATCCGATGCAGATCTACCGTGCCTCGATCAACAACGAAGAGCTTTCTACTGGACAGCGCAGCCGCAGAAACCCAGATATCTCACGTGAAGAGGCTATCCGCGACCCCGAGACCAGAGATCTCTTTGTATCGCACCTACAAGATCTTCGTGACATTTGCGATCACTTCTTCATTCTTCTTGAGGAGACTCTGCCCCGTATGCCTTACGGTCTGAGATTCATTGCTCAGCAGACCTTCAATACACTGGTGGCTACCTTCCCTGGAGAAAGCCAGCAGCATCTCCTTCAAGTGGTTGGCCACTGGTTATGGAAGGCCTACCTTGCTCCCGCATTGACTCAACCAGAGATGTGGGGCGTTATTGATCGAGGTCTGAGCCCTATACACAAACGAAACTTGGGAGAGGTCAGTAAAGTTCTCGGTCAGGTATACGCTGGTAGACTGTTCGGCGGCGACCACATTTATCTGCAGCCTCTGAACACCTGGGTTGGCGAGGCTATTGAGAGGATGGAGGAACTTCTTGTATCTTGTAAGTTTCCGATTGGTCTTGAGTTTTGCGCCGCTAACAATCTCTAGTGATTGACATTCGTGAGCCTGAGCAACAATTCGACATCGATGAGTTTAATGACCTCTTCGCTCGTGTCAAGCCCACGCTGTACATCAAAATGGCAGACATTTTTGCCATCCACCATCTTGTGACAAACGAGCTGTCGCATCTCTCCGATCCTGACGATGTTTTACGTGAGATCATCCGCGAGCTCGGCAGTGCTCAGAACAACGAGAACGAGATGATGGGTGTAGGCTCGAATGAAATCAGTCTGCAATTGACACCCAAGTTCCATGACAAACAAGATCCGGAGGCCGACCTCAAACAACTGTTCATGGAAACTAAGCGTCTCGTTTTGTTCATCATCAGGATACAAGCTGGAGCCAATCTACTTGAGATCCTCGTCCGTCCGATCGCACCAGAGGATGACGACAAGTGGTTCGCGCTTTTGGATGAGGAAGCTCTGCAACAAAGATCTAATCCAAGAGCGCCTTCGGCATATTCTGGTATGATGGATGACGAACCGGCATCTACTCTCCTGGACATCACGTCAATGTCATACGCCGAAGTCAAGAGTGCAGCTCTTGAGAATATCCTGATACTTGAGCAGCAAGGAAAAGTCAACAGACACAACCAGTACCAAGACCTACTCAATGCTATTGCTATTGACATTAGGACGAAGCACCGTCGTCGTGTGCAAAGAACTCGCGAACTGGATGGTGTCCGTGCTACCCTTACGCAACTCGACTCGAAGGCGTCGTACTTGGACGAGCAATTGCAGAGCTACAACGACTATATCGAGCAGGCAATGATCACGCTGCAGAACAAGAAGGGCAAAAAGCGGTTCCTGTTGCCTTTCACAAAGCAATACAACCATGAGCGTGAACTGGCTCGATCTGGGCGCACACCTAAATTCGGTTCCTACAAGTACTCTGCACGTTCTCTTGCAGAGAAGGGCGTGCTTGTTAGCTGGGACGGTTACGATGCGACTCAATGGAATCGCATCAACGTCACGATCTCCTCCGACGAAGTTGGTGTTTTCCACATTGAGGGAAGCATGGGAAGTCTTATGATGCCAGGCGCCAGCGCATCTGTACCCCTCGACGACCTCCTCCAAGCGCAGTTTGACAACCATCAATTCATGAACCTTTTCCGTGGAACTGGCGGCGAGGGTGGTCTAAAATTGAACGTCAACCTCTTCTTGCACCTGGTCTTCAAGAAGTTCTACCGCGAGGAGTAGAGAACGCAACGCGATCTTCCTGTGGACCGTCATAACGTGGACATGACCTTTTCGTGTTTCCTTCCCTCGGTTTCTGCTCATTTTCTTTTACTCTGAAGACGTCAAGTCTTTTTCTTCTGTTTATATAATACGACTCCCTCGAAATTCTTACGGCACACGAACAGGGTGAACAAGACGAATTTAAGACCCTTCCATATGGCGTTTTCTTTCTATGAGTTTGAGAAGAGTCATGGTTGTGGTTTGCAATTGTAGCAAGGTTGTTGAGCATAGAATACCCACTTGATGTTAATGTTACATTTCTCCATTTTCTCCACATGGCCTTGCTCTGCTTCATTGTGATTTGAAACAGAGTGTCGGCAGCGACGAATTATTCTTTTTCGGCTGCTACTATCGTGTAAGTCATGTTGAGAACGCTTGTAATGCACAAATTCGGGACGGGATTTATGCACACTTCTTGGCAAGGAGCACCAACGAGCAACGCCGACTGTCGGTGTTGTCTTTGTGACTTCTATCGGTGTTATCTGACAGATCTCTAGAACATGTGCGAAACTCGTGGCTGCGCGTGAACATTGTGCCCGAAACACATTACGGACTGAATCCTCTCTTGTTGTCGATCATACGTTTTAGTCGTCGCGTACTCTCGCGATCAGATGACTGCTACATTATAGCCCTCAGGATGTCACAAGTTGGTCATTTGCTCCCATGAATCCTGAACAGCCACGCAGAGCGGCAACTGTGCCTCTGCCCGTTCCTCAATCTCACCAAAATCCGCCTCCAGCTCCGCCTCTTCCCCCGCAACAGCGAGCTCGCAATGCTCTGAACAGGTTTCTAGGTTTTCCTGCCAGAGCTGCCGATGCAGACGGCGAAGGGCGCGATGGTTCTGGTACGGGGCTAAAGGATGTCCAGAGACTCCCTAGTTTATCCGCGTACAATGCCAGCGCTAGCCACAAAACTGGGCTAGAGATCAATTCCTTGTCCATCAACGACGAAGGCAGCCATGCTATTCTTGCTGGGCGAGACATCCTTAAAACAATCCGTGTTGATGAAGGAAGCTGCACAGAAGATATCAACATCCGAGCTGCCATTCGCAACTACAGTGCTCATACTTCTGGGAGATCAAAGGACAACATCAACATATCAGATGTTGCTTGGGGAAAGGGCAATTTTGGCAACTACATAGCCGCTGCGAACGCCAACGGACCCATCACGTTATACGACCTCAATCATCCTGGTATCGAAGTTGCGCAGCTTAAGGAACACCGCCGGCAAATTCACAGAGTCACGTTCAATCCACATGCTGGCCAGCATTTTCTTTCTGCCAGTCAAGATGGAACCGTCCGTCTATGGGATCTCCGCGATGTGAGGAGAGATGCCAATACCTTTCCAAGCAGATTCACTACCAGCGGTCAGAACGAGGGTGTGCGAGACGTTAAGTGGTCTCCAACTGATATCTTCGAACTAGCCATGTGCACGGATGGTGGCTTTGTCCAGAGATGGGACACTCGCAAGCTCAAAAGCCCATTGACGCGTATCGCGGCTCACACAGGCCCTTGTGCGACAATTGACTGGCATCCTGATGGCAAACATCTACTGAGCGCCAGTTCGGACAAGACGGTCAAAGTATGGAACATCTCTGCTGAAGGCAGAAGACACAAGGCTGTATACGAGATCAAGACGCCGTATCCCTTGCGCCATGCTAGATGGAGACCGTCTTGTCAATCATCGTGGCCGACAGGCCGGGGCTCGAGGCAGTGTACCCAAATTGTCACCTCCTACGAGCGCGACCATCCCACTGTGCATATCTGGGACTTCCGCAGACCATGGCTACCTTTTCGAGAGATGGAAGGCTACCAGACTGCACCAACGGATCTTTTGTGGCATTCCCAAGATCTTTTGTGGACGGTCAACCGTGAGGGCATGTTCCTTCAGCATGACATCAAGTATGCCAAAAAGGTCATGGATAAACGCAACATGCAAGCCTTCGCTATTTCCCCACTCGGAGAGTTCAGTCTGGCAACACAGAAGAGAGCGACTCGTCTCAGACCAGGTCTCAATCGTGGCGACAGCGAAGCGTTCATTCGCCACCGTCGAAACGGCCTGTCACCTTCTGAGACGATTGCGCATACCTCCAGTCGAGGATCTCATGATGATACCATTGATGATACTTTCTTAAGCAGCTCTTACGGCAAACGCCATGCAAGATCTCCTAGTGCCAAACTTGGCAAATCGTCTAATGAATCACCGCCAACATATGATGTGAGCTCCACTCGTACGGTCAGTCTTGAAGACGTTCTGAAAGCTGGTCGAGCGTACAAGCCGGGTCAATCCGCTGCCCGTGGCCGCCTGCCTGGAAGTCCAAATCTGTTACTCATTCAATACTTTGCGAAGCAATACACGACAAGAGTTCTTCCCGAGCCTCCTTCAGTCGATGCATTCATAAAAGTACACGAGGTTTTTGAGCGTAACGCAACTCATGCTCAGAAGGCATCACTGTATCGCTTGGCTCAGTCTTGGAGGATGATGGGTCAAGCAGTTATGACAGAATTGCTAACCAGAGCAAATCTCCACCGCGGATTGCGAGTGAAGAATGAGACTGGTCCTCGCAAGAGTTTATTAGATGAATCGCCCTTTGCTAGAAGGACAAGAAGATGGCTTGGATCAACAGAACGCAGGCTGAGCTCAAAGCCTGGTACACCATTGAGCCGACCACTAAGGACGATGGAATCACGCTCCACTGTTCAGCCCGATAGCACCTCGAATGTTCCTACGCCAATTGCAAGGCCTGTCAAAGATCGGCCTGAGTTGGAACGAGCTCCACTCAAGGAGATAGACACAGACGAAAGCCTTACGCTGCCCCCTTCACTCCTGACTCCCTCCGAAATCAAACAAAATATCGAAGAACAGAGTCGAGCCACATTACAGGCAGTCGATCATCGAGGTATAGAGCATCGCAACTCTTGGTATGGCTCTGTGCAAAATTATCAGGACAAGCGAGAGGCAATCAGCAACTGGAGACAACCCCTAAAAGAGCCGCTTAATCTGGAGGACGAATCTAACGAACGACCTAAACCTACAAGATACAACTCCGACGAAAGTTTTGGCATGTTTCCATCTTTGTCTTCTCGAGACGCTTCAGGGCCTGCTTCTTCTGTTGCTAGCAGATCGGACCTCATGGAAGCTGTGCAGGAAAATCTACGATCGGAAGGATCATATGGTTCGATGAACTTGGGAAGTAGCTCATCTTCTGAGCCAATGCTTAGTCAAAGCTATCAAGCCAGACAGGATATTCCAGAAGATCAGAGTCAAGGAAGCGTCGCTGTATCTTCTTCAGAGAGTGATCACGAAGGTGCTATGGTAGTTCCTGCTCCAAAAGAGAATAAAGATGCCCCTGCAAGAGACATACCTCGAGATATGCAAACTCTAGCTTTGAACAATCAGCAGAGCTTCACGTCCGAGATTGATGCCTTTCCCAGTCAACGGAATCATCCTGAAGATGTTGACAATATGGAAGCTAGTGGCACCATCATTCCGCACCGTCATTCAAGGCAGCTAGGACGGTCGAGAGAGGGATCTGTGACCAAGCCAACAGCCCTTACGCATGGCTCAGGGAGTGCACCAGCAGTGATGCCGTCAAAAAATGCTTCTGTTGACTCGACCAAAACGCCCTTCATCACTGCCGACTTCCTAGCTTCTGATTACAACATTGATGCCGAGAAGAACAAACCGTTCCGCGTGGTTAATATGCTAAATCACTTGCTCGACTATCATACTATGAAGGTTCCCGATGCACAAGCGGCCACCAACTTCATCTTCATGTTGACGCCCCTATTGCCTGAGACTCATGCACTCCCACAGGCAAGTATTGATGCGACTATCGCTGTATACAGCGAGTACTTCACTGCCATGGGATACAGCGATATGGAGATTTACAGTCTGTTCTCGACTTCATTCGAACATCTTATCAAGGCAGGACTGCAACCCCTCCAAGCAGAAAGCATCATCAGCACCTATCACAGCCAGTTGCAGCATCTTGGGTTATTCAGCAATGCTGCCTATCTGCGTCGTGTCAGCTATCCCATGTACCCATCAGTCTACGAAGGAGGGCTTAAAGACACTCAAGTTAGCTTCATGTGTGGCACCTGCAGAAAACCCATTAACACTCCAAATAAGATGCGTTGTGAAAACTGTACACAGCGCCAGGATCCATGTCCAATCTGCTGGTGTGACACGAGTCCATTCGAAGCTCCTGCCAAGATCAAGACACGAGCAGGAGGAAACAGAAAATCTGCCGTCGAACCCTTCGTTCGACCAGCAACTGCCGGAGACGATGATGATGAAACTCAACAAGACGACACGGAAGCGGCACAGTTACAGAAGAACGCCTTGTACTCTACGTGCTTGCTTTGCAACCATTCAGCTCATGCGGCTTGTCTGCGGACTTGGCACTCCCAACCCCCATCCCACGTCGATGTCTCTCCGACTTCTGTATCCACATCTGAGGGCGCTTGTCCTACTCCTGGCTGTTTCTGCGCGTGCACTCCAGGACCTCGACGCAACGAGTTGCTGGACACTGTTGAGCGGAGAGAGCGGGAGAAGAGTGTGCGTGAGGATGACTGGGTTGTGGCAGAGTCTAGGGCCGCGCAGACGGCTGCTACACTGGCGGGTGGCAGGAGCAAGAGTGGAGTAGGTGCGACGACACCAAATGAAGAGGTTGGCAGTGGCAGGCGAGAGAAGAGGAGCGTTGGATTCAGGAAAGGCTAGCTTCTAGATGGTGACAGTGTCAGTGTCTCGTTATGAGGAGAAGCGCAAGATAGCAGCGATACATGAAAGAGATGTCAACGACAATGAAGGATGCAGGCAATTCAGAGGCGTGTGCTGTTGACGCACCGACACGGTTCGATTCACTGCCGGATGGTTGAGGCTGCCATTGCGTGCACCTTCTCATTTGTGTGAGCAAATGCCTTTGAGCTAGTCGATCTTCGCGCCTTCCACAGTCAACGCTACCAGTCCTTCCTCGTCACTTTCATGTGACCAAGCCCCTCCAAGATAAAAGGCGCCGTTCTCGGCTCGAATTCTTTCCATCTTCGTCACAACACCTTCGCCTCCCACTATCTACCCATTCTCTGTCTCTCGCTGCCATGTCTACGTTCCCAGCATCTCCAAGCTTCGTTCGTGAAGTTGCCGACTCAGATTCGCCTTCAGCCGCTTCATACAAACGCAAGCGTGGTTCTTCTGAGGAATCAACCACTTCCAACAAGCGCAAGCGTAACTCATCAGATGAATCCGATTCGGAAGAGTTCAGCAGCGAAAACGAAGAAGAAGAAGACCTTGACGACGGAACGCCCGAGAATAGTCATGACAGCAGGGACTACACCGATAGAAGAAGCATTTGCCACCTCAAAGATCTTCTCGAGGAGACGAAGACCTTGCCAGAAAGCGATGAACGCAGCGCGAACATCAAAGACCTTGAAGAGCTCACCAAAGCTTTGGACTCGTATGACTTCAAAGGGTAATCCTCGCTCTGCAAATTGACAAATCTGGTATTGACTTGTCGACAGCTGCCGCAAATATCAGAAGTGTATCGATCAAAACGACCTCAAGGACATAATAGAAATGGCCGCGGGCGAACAGTTCGTCGAAAAGCTGATAAGGGATGGACTGAGACGCGCAGAATCTAAACCGCCAAAGAACGAGGATGTTGCGCGTGCTCTGTCTTACTTCATGGGTCCGTCCGGCGAAGCAGAAGTCAAGCAGCTTGTCGCTGCAGTAACCAACAAGATGTGTGCTCTCGGGGAAGACAATGATGAGGATATTCTCAGACGCAACGCTGAGCCCGAGATCATCGATCTGATCATCAACTGGAGGGACGAAGAGAGAAGGGCAGGGCTGGAGAAGGTATTCAAGTTCAACAGTGCGCTCTGGTGAGGAGTGTGAAGGAGCCGCAAAGATGAAATTGAGCAGACCTGAACTTCAGAAGTTGTAGCTAATTCGCTGCTCTCAACAACATATGGAGAAACCCCAAATCGCTTTGCCACTCACCAAAATGCACAATACTACTAGAGAACAGGCTAGTGACCATTAAGAAGTGATGAACTACTAGCTCTCGATGGGCACACCTCTGTATCGGTAAGCAACTGTACATTTTTCAAAGAGGAATTCTGCATTTTACTTCAGTGGGAGTACGATGAAAGCTTTGAGCATAAATGTCTTGGTCGCGTCAACTGTGCCTTCCATCTCTGCTTCTGCACTTAGTGGTCAGCTCCTTCCCAAAATGCACCCTCCTGAAACCACTTTCATGTGACGCGAGGGGCTGCTGCCTGATACCTTCTCTTCTCTTCCTTCCTATCTTCATCTGACTTTGTGTTCGAATCTCTTTCTTTCTCTTGATCAGCTGCATCTCAGCTTCAATCTTGACCTCAATCGACCACCTTGTCCATCGTCGCTTGCCTCCAATCATGTCTTCCGGTGATGATACTACCAAAGAAACCCTCGTCAAGCGCAAGCGAGCCGCCGAAGCCAACAATGCAGTTCCTCCACCCAAGCGCCATCGATCCGACGCCGTCGAACAACTTCTGGAAACGATGAGATTCCAGAATCAACAGATCAAGCAAGCCATGAACATCTGGATACGACTCAAGGGCGGCGAAGCCAAGCTAGGCGATGCCAACTCAAACTTCCTCAGTATCGTCAAGTCTGCGATGTACAGTGGAACACTGGCCATGAAGTTGGTGGAGAAGCAAGGTGCTGATGAGGATGATCGCGAGTAAGTCCTACCACTATTGCCACATGTTCACATCTAGGCCGATACTGACAAACCACAGCAACCAAATCGAAGAACGACTTTGTGAAATGGAAGTTTCCCTCACCTCCAAACAAAACGAAAACTTCGACATGCTTCAAGAAGACATTGAAGGAGATATTTATGACACCGCCACCGAAGCTGCCGAAAACCTGTTGCTGTCGACAAAGTTCGCTGAAGCCATTAGCAACGTTGTCGTCCAGGATCCAGACATTATCTGTGATGAAGAGTTGATCGAGATGAAGAAGTTTGTTCGTCGTCAGATGAAGGTTGCAAAGGATGCTCCAGAGTCTTCTCAAGATGTTATTCGTGAGCATGAAGCTGAGATTGGGTTTGAGGGTTCGGTGTAATAGGACTGTTGCGTGTCGTCTGCTGTTTGAGATGGGTTGGTCGAAGAAATGTTGCTTTGCTGTCATCTCTAGATTTTAGTCAGAATATGGATTCAACTTTGTCTTTTCAAATTTTTGTGTCAAGCATCAATCTCTCTGGATAGTGTTTGATATCCGAAAAGTATCTTGCATTTTTATAGACCTATATAATCATATTAGCCGGTATGAGAAGGAAAGGAAGGAGAGCTTTCCTGCTCGAAACAGTGGTCAATATATAGCTATGGAAATGCACAATCTGTTTGAGAAACAGAGATATGTCCAAAGAGAGCACCTACTGAACGTCCTCTCTCTGGGCACAACCTGTTATGAACAATCCATCGTGCATTTTTATAAGTTATCGTCACCCCATCACTTACCTGGGGAAATGCATATATCTTTATCTTACCACATCTCAATGGGACACCTACAAAAATCACACAATCACTCTGTATTTCGATAGTCAAGTCTTGGGGTATCATTACAATTCGGAGAAAACAACTACTTCACTACTCCTACACGCTCCATCTACGGCGACGAACCTCTATCGTGCCGTTGCTCGCAAGAAGCGAGCCACCCGACGACGACGACGAGGCAGAGAAAGCAGAGGTCAACCCCGTGGTGTCTGGGTTGTAGTCGACACCACGGGGTCCCTCGTCCTCAGAGACAGAGGCGGCGGAGAGCGAGGCACCCAGGTACTCCGAAGGAGCCGAGGGGGGCAGCGAGGGAGGAGCCAGGCCAACCACAGGAGGAAGGCGCCCGGTCAATGACCATGGGTTTCCTTGGTGGAAACCCAAGCCAGCACCCTCCTCGTAGAGAGAGGAGGAGGGGCTGTCGGGCTGCACGGTGTGTTGCTGTGCGAGGGCGGCGGCGGCGGCAGGGCGAGGGCGCAGGGGGCTCCTGACCGGGATGGGAGGGGGGGTCGAGGGTGCCAAGAGGAAGACCTCCGAGGCCGACATCTCCTCTTCCTCACTCTCCTGCTTCATACATGTTAGACTACTTGTGCTACAACTACGGTCGTAATGCACGAACCTGAACTTGAGGGCCAGTAGGCCAGCCCGAGGCGGGAAAGCATTCCTCTGGCTTGTTGACCGGAGGGCGAGACGAAGGACGAGCCCTTTCTTGGGCGAGCATGCGAGCGTCGTCGCGCTCGATCTCCTCCGTGGTCATAAACATCCCACGGCTGTTGCGACGCAGGATGGGAGGCTTGTCGAGGGCGGCGAGGGTGTAGGCTTGGAGTGTGTAAGTACCCGGTTCTCGCGCGCGCAGAGAGTAGGATAATATGCTTACGCTTCTTGGGAGGGGGAGGAGAGAAAGCAGATCTGCCTCGATTCATGACTGCTATTGGTAGTGCTGTGTTGTATAGGAGATGGTAGACGACACAGAAAGAAATGGTTGCGCAAAGACACGAGAAAGAGAGGTGAAACTGAACGAGTTGTTAGCCTGGGAAGCAAAGCGCAGGCGCCGGCGACATCATCATCGCATCGTGTACAGGCTAGCAACGACGAGCTGTGAAGCCGCAGCTCTCAACTTACCGAATGGGATTTTTGATTACCACCGACTTGTCAATCATGATGAGCGAGACAAGTCGGCAACATGGGATACTGGCTGCTCTCCTTGACCTCATCCTTCGTCCCCTCATATCGATGCCAGTTGCAGGCTCTCTAATCCAGCAGCTCCACTCTCAATTAGGTCCTCTGGAGCCGGTCCTGGAGATCGACGGCTTCGTTCTTGTTCGTCTTCACTGGATATTCTGACTTGGTTGGTTTTCTGGAGCCAGTCCTGGACGCGCCGACGGCTCTGTTCTTGTTTCGATGTCTACTCGATATCATCATCTTCGCTGTCTCTGCGGGCGCCGGGACTTCTGCTTCTGTTTCTAGACTTTCCGCCGCGAGCAGGACCACCGCGCGACTGGTTGCTACTTTTAGTAGGAGGTGGGCGCACAAAGGCAAAGTCGACAGAGATGGTCTGGTCGAGCAACTTGGTTCCGTTTACTCCTTCGACAGCAGCCTTTGCCTCATCCAATGTGGGGAACTCGATCAAGACGTAGCCCTACTTCTGCATCAGTATCCTGTCCTGCTTCTTCTACACAATGCCATATTCCAGGAACACACCTTGACGTAACCGGTTCTGCGATCCAAGTTCATGTGTAGGTTCTTGATCTCGCCATAGTCGCCAAACAGCTCTTGCAGGTCCTCCTCGCTTGCCTCTTCGTGGACATTGGTGGCTATGACAATCCAGCCTTCGAGGGAGCGAACGGCCACAGCTCCGGTGGCAGTGCGTGTCTCGGGTCCAGTAGCAGCGCTGCGCTTAGCTTCAGGCGACTGGGATGGTGAGGGAGAGCGACCGTCGTCCTGTGGTTGTTGCTGTTCCTGCTCCTCTTGCTGGGGCTGCTGGTCGATGTCCATCTCGGTGTCGGCCATTGTTGCGAGGATGTGATCTGAAGAGTCCGTGTGTTGATTGAGATACAAGGTAGGTGATACTGAAGCTGAATACTGATCGCGTAACACGCGTCGAACGATACAAACAGTATACTGGGTTGATGAAAGAAAGGCTGAGTGATTAGGTAGCTTGTTATCTTACTACAAGCGCAAATGGTTGTCGCGTTGCGAGAGCTCACTGACGAATTGTCGGTCATCGGTTAATCTTTATCTCACGAGTCAGACGCTCCGCCTCACGTGATCTGGATGTTGTGCGTGTTGGCGGAGCGTCTGAGAGTTCGATGTAGCTCTCTCACCAACGAGGACTTTCAAAACACGGTTTTTGGATAGTCTTTTTGATCATAACAAAAAACACAGGGAGTTTCCCCCTTAGTTGTTTATACCAAAATATTTGCAATATCTGTATTATCTTCCTATATAGCTTAAATAAGCTCCCCTAGTGGTGCGCGATAGGTTATATCAAAAAGTGCTTTCCCTGAAGATTGTACATCTGGATAGAAGAAAAAAGAAAAAAGAAAAATAATCATGCCCCGGGCGCAATAATTTTTAAATAATTTTTACTCGACGAAAAGTCGCTGGAATTTGACAAAAAAAACTGGACTGACCTTGGGATCGTACGCGCCTACCATGGAAATTATTACCCGCTACATCTGCGATATTTCGTTGTATTGTGTTGTGGTTTGAAAGTTCTACCACCAGTTTCGCGACATCGAACCCTCAGACGCTCGAACGACGCTTCGCGTATTTCGTCCGTGCTCATCTGTCGCGAGTCAGGAGTGAGAGCGTCTGATTGATGAGATAAGTTAATCTCGGCCCGATATCCGAGCATCTGGCGTCCCCTGTCACCCTGATCTCGAATATATCTCCTGCTTCTCGACCATCGTCGTCGATTGAACGTTCAGTATGGTCATGTGAAGGTTGGAACATAAATGAACATAGCTTGTGATGATATCTGGCTGACTACAGGATATCTGTGACTCTTGGTGTGCAATTCTTGTACTGAAGCCTTGGTTGAACAAAATCCTTGCAATGGAGCACGCAAACCACCACGACGATGACTAAGATATCAAAACATACACCGAGCCATCGACGACGACGACGACGACGACGACGACTAGGTATGTACAGCCTCCACGATGCTGATCGTACCTCCATGTGGTTGATCACAAATCGATGGAAGTCATTGACAGACCACTTGTAGCTGGATAGGTGTCAAGCGTCGTTCTCCCACTTAGGATTCAGGCAGTTCACCGAAACAACATGGACTGACAGCTACACGATACTAGAACACTCTGCAAACAACCTTGGAGGAGTCTAGTGCTGTCGCTACTTTGCACCTCACACAAGGTTCGAGCTGTTCCCTTGTGCGAGCCTGGCAAATGATCATAGGCTGTTTGTAGATAACGCTGCAAATTATGTATGTATCACAAGCTATCTAAATTGCTCAGTGTCTCCTCACAAACATCTGCTTGTTTCACACTCAAAGCCATGTCTCTCGCAGCGGATTCTTACGACTCTACATTGGCCCTTCCTTGCGGCTGCACTGCAACTTATGACTTGGTACGGGCAGAAATGAAAAGAGTACTCAAACCAAAAGAGCGATTGGAATATCGTGGCATCACAATATCGGCAATGACTGGGTTGAAGTTCGACAAGCCCTTTGGCATTAATATCGCTGAAGAACTGATCACTGCCGACTTGTACGACCGACGCGCTGTATCATCCGACGATCCTGACAATTGCTATCTTTTCTCTCAAGTGGCCGTGGCAAGACGGCTAGATACAACTCGGAATACTTCCAGAGCATTCGTGATATGCAAGAGACGGAGGAGTTGAAGGCTGCTCGCGCTGCCTATGTCCCCAAAACCATGGAGGAATTACACAATCAATACTTAAACTTCCAAATTCCCTCGGCACCCGAAGATCTGGCATTTGTTGAAGCGCAGCTGAGAGCGATGGCTATTGATAGTATTGCATGGTGGACTGAGTTCGTTAGAACTCAATCACCCGAGGACCAGCAACAATGTGGCCTTCGCAAGAATCGAACCGAGGTCTCAGAAGACGAAGCTGCAGAGCACCATTGCAAGGAGAGGGAGTCGGCCGATGCCCGAAAGTGTCAAACATAAACCTTTGTACGTAAGAAGAAAGCAAGTCTGTTCGTCATATATTCAGAAAGAAATACCAATTATCGCCAGACTTACAATTGAAGAGGACGCTATCTATGCTGATTGCTTCCTGTCCGGAATCATTGCTTTCAGCTTTCAGAGGTACGACAACGAGACGCTGTTAGTGATATTGGCTCTCTCAAATCATCGTTTCCCATCGCCAAGCAAAGAGAGCAACACTTAGCTGCTGAGCAGTCGCTTTCTGTCGAGACCATTCTAGGGCGCTGCTTTTGGCCCACCTTTGTTTCTCATCCATATCATAAAGGGTTTCGAAGACGCAGTTCAAGCATTGAGCCCTACCCCTGTGCATCAATCACATCGTCGGGGCCCCGAACGACGCCAGTAACGTTTGCCTCGACGGGGGCCAGGTAAGTTTCGCCACCTTTGTCTGGAGTAAAGGCATACCTGGGCATTTGGGCCATCTTTTCTTCAGGAGACACTTCTTGATCAGAATAGACGAGACGGGTGGCCTTCTTGGACTTCTTGCTGCCTCCTTCGGCTTCCTTTTCCGGAGCTGGAGTAGGCGTTGGCTGTTGTGACGGAACTGACTTTGCAGATTGCTGCGCTGCAGCGCCCGAGATGAGTTCATCCACGCTTGTTGCGTTAGCACCAGACTCTTGTGGAGGAGCAACAGGACCACCCATGTTTCCACTGTGCATTTCGGCGAGTTGCTCCCGGCTAACATGAGGAGCGTTGAAAGTAGGGCGCTGCGGTAGGCCTGGAGCTGATGGAAGGCTATTCTGACGCGTCGGCAAGTCCTGTGAAGGTGGACTCATGGGCGGAGCATGGCGGGAGTTTTGGTATTGAGGTGGGCTTGCAGAGTGCGGCGGGTAGGCGTACTGAGCAGGAGGAGCAAAAGGCGCAGGAGGGCCTTGACCGCCATATGGCTGTGAGGGTGAATACGATGGCTGGGATCCGAACTGACCTGGCGGGAATGGCCCTGGAGGTGCTCCGTACGGCGGTTCGCCATAATTGAAGGGCGGGGGTTGTTGACCATACGCAGCTGGGGGTTGGCCATAGGGCTGGGGCGGGTAAGCGGTGGGAGGAGGGCTGGCGGCTTGTGGTGCCGAAGGAGGAGGGAAGCTTGACTGGAATTGAGGAGGAGTGGCGACGTCGGCCTTGTTGACGAGTAAGTACTCAGAAAAGCTGGGTGATATGACAGTCAAACTTACAGGAGTGTCGGGAGCGCTACCCAAGCCCGACTTCTCAGCTGCCTTTCTTGCCTTGTGCTCGGCCAAGCGTGCCTTCAACTCGGCTGGTGATTCGAGCTTCGGCTTCTTGGTACCTGCAGCTCCTTGAATGGTTGAACCAGGAGCAGGATTACCTGAAGCAGCGCGACGGTCGGCCTCGGCGGCGAAGAACTCGTGGCTGACTCGCTGGTTGTGTTGCTGCATGACATCGTCGGGAATGCCTTCCATACCAAAGATCTCAATATCGGGAGCGGAGCGGTTGGGCAGAGCATTTTCCACCGTAGTCAGATTCTCCTTGTGTACTTGGTTCATGTGAACAGACAAACCTGCCCCCAATCAGTACTGGCCACATGTCTGGCGTTTGGGTGAACATACCTCCAGCTGTGTTGAGTCTACGCCCGCATCTGTCGCACTTGTAATGCTTTGCCTTTTGATGTGAGATGAGAATCTTTAGATCATCAAAGTCGCGCTCGCAGTAGTAGCACCAAGGACGTGCGAGAACCTCCTCGATGTCGGGGTGACCGCGCTTCTTCTTGCCCATTGTGTCTGTGAGGTGGAGGGCACTGGGATGAAGATGAGAGAGGGTGGATATGTGATATGATTGAGAGAGCAGCTATCGATGACCGCGTTCAAGGAAGTGACGATGGTCGAAGCTGTGATCAACGGCATGTCCCGTCTCAAGCTCGCTGCGTTGCTTCCTTCTCCGCTCAGCACCAAAATTTCCTTCTGCTGCGCTTCACATGCATGGCATGCCATGTCAGTCATTCTAGATTTGAGGGTGCTGTCATTCGTTCGTCCATGCCTGTAGGCCTATGGTAAGTACATGTATCAGTAGCATACGCAACACCCCAAATCCAGCCACTTGCTCCATTACCAGGACAATGTCGAGGTCTTTCTGCTTCGGTGGGAAGAGCGGTCTGTCTGGTTCGCGTCTTGCGTCCAGCCAATGCCGTGGGTTGGTATAGGGGAGGTGGAAAGCCTTGTGCTTTCTGCTGAAACGTTGCAAGACCAAATCTTGGTTGCCTCATAGTTCATACTTTCACCGTCCTCGAGACATCTTCAGTGGGAAGTATGACTCCTTGTGTACCCACACTCCGACATGCATATATATGTTATCGTGCAATGTTTATAGCGCTATGTGTATACCACTCTATAAACTAATCAAGATCGCATCAACTGCTTATCGGAAATGTTGGAAGTGAATCATGAAGCACATTGATGATGGTCAAAACAGTGGCACATTTGAGAGAAGAAGAGAAAATCAATGGGGGTATCAACATGATCAAAATTTTTAAAACTTTTGCAGGTTGACGAAACGGATGGTAGAGAGACGGGCGAGGTCGAATTGAAGGAATGCTGCGCTGTGCTGTGTGTCGCCGTAAAGAAGAACGCAGTACCGCATGCGTATAAGCGCAACCATGAGTTACATTTCCATGGCCGTAGCCAGATCCTCAACGCCGGCCCAATCCCCAAAGCTTTTTTGAAGTTGCCTTGTTACACCATCTTTTTGTTCATCAACCGCTGTGAAGGGAGAGTAATTTACTCGTCATCCTCCTCCTGCTCGGCCTCAAGGGTGGACATGGCGATACGGTCCAAGTCACGCTGGCCGGACTGGGTGATGCGGCGGCCACCCTTCTCCTCGTCGATCTCAAGAACACCGATCTTCTCGAGGGACTGGCAGACCTTGCGGTCAACGGAGCCGGAGGCGTCAACGTGACGGCTGGGGCGGGAGCCGCGGTTCTTGGGGGAACCGTGGACCTTGCGCAGACGGCCAACACCGACGGTCTTGCGCATGTAGATGTGACGGGCGACGGCAGCGGCGCGGACGTAGTACCAGTCAACGTTCTGGGGAGGAAGCTCCTTGGCGGTACCAGTCTTGACAGTGTCGACCCAACCCTGATATCGGAAATTTGTTAGTTGGACTCTATGGGCCCCGATATTTCGCGGGATTCAGGTTGACCCAATAGGTGGACTCACGGGAACGGCGAGCTTTCCCTGTCTCTTCAAGAAGGAAGCGTCTATTGTATGTTAGCCGATGGCCCACAAAGTCAAGGAAGGAGGCAGAGGAAGTTGTCGCATGAGACATGGTATTCGTCGAGAATATTCGTAGCGATTGGCGCTTTCAGAACACAGTGCAATCTCCCAAGCGGCACATTGCTGGACGTTGAATGAACTATCCATTGTGTCTTGTCGGTGAAAGGCCTTCTGCAATGCGCGAAAAGAAAACGACTTCCATCTCTTATGCGAAAACTCCTCTGCAGCTCCAAGAGTGTAGACTAACAGTTCTGGATGAACTTGTCGGCGGGGACATCGCGAACGGAGACACCGGGCATTTTGGCGGTTGTGAAGGGGGTTGTCGACGGTGAAAAGGTCTGTAGGCGTGCGATAAAGTCGTCTCGAGCGGAAGAGAAGGTCAGGCGTCGTAGCGTTGTGATGATTTTGCGATCCTCGTGTGCCGACTTGCGGAGCTAGCCGTTCTGCCAAGACTTGCAACTTCCCTTCGCTTGCTGACTGACTTCTGCCTCTCCAGCTTTCACCAGCCGCAATGAAACAATCGAGCAAGTGGTCTATCCATTGGATGTGAGAGAAACATTCGAAAGAGAATTGAACCAGTCTTGTTCGACTGCCTCTTCATTAACAAAATGCTATGCTTGACTGTTGCAAAATGATCCTTCCCAGAAAAGTGTCCAAAGAGACCGTGGGCTAAACCAAGCCGCGACAACATCCTGTTCGCCTCCAACCACAACGAGAATAGAAAACACCTGCTGAGTATCTATGAAAGTGTTGGCCTTCTCTCCAAATTTACCATGTAACGCACAAAGAGCTCATTCACGAAATGCTCGTGCCTAATGCCTGGTGCTCTCTTTTCTGCGAATTCTTCCAGCGCATCTTGTAGTCTCCATCCCAACCTCTCTACCATGTAGCTGACCAAGAAGAAGCCAGTTCTGTTGAAGCCATAGTGACAGTGTACAGCTATCACAGCTCCTTCCGGTTCCTCTGGCTTCTTGAGCTGCTCTCGCAAAGTATCTATGAGAGATATGAATGCAGCGACCTCTTCCACAGTTGGCGGCAGTTTGCTGACCGTAGGGAACTTGTGGTACTCGATTCCACCTTCTTCGAGTCCTTTGGGATCGTAGACAGGACTTTCGTGACTAATGTCAACTACCATGCGGACACCATGCTTGATACCGCTTCTGGCACCCCATTTCTTGACGTACACACGTGGTGTATGTTCTTCGTCGATTTCGCGTAACGTCTTCTGTGCTCGAAAAATGCCAGCGATGGGCTCCGAAACAGGGTTGATGGCTTGCCACTTCTGGAGATTCTTCACGTCCCATTTGCCTTCAGTGCTCAGATGTTGCAGTTGCCAACCGAGAGACAATCGGTGATCGATGTGTGTGGCGGCAAAAGACTGAATCAAGCCTGAGAGGACGCGCACAGTCGAAGTCGCGTACAGCAAGGCATGAGAAGCAGGTTGCGGCAGTACTGTGGTCTTGAGAACGAACTTCGGCTTCTTTGTGAGATCTGGTGTCGCACTGTCTTGTCGACTTTCGGACGTCAGATCCTGGCCAGTTGCAGTGAACTCGGGGACGAAGCTTTTGCCATTTTCTTCGATTGGAGTGTTGTCGATGATGGCCATCTCACCAGCAGAACTAGGTAAGGCGTCGTCTGTGGTGACCGTTTGCTCTCTCGGTACTTGACGTCCTAGCCACTTAGCAATCAACTCAACATTCTCAGGCGGGGTAACATGATCCTGTTCTCCGCCAATGCAGAATGTGGGAATTCGGAGACCAGACCAGACAGCTTCTCCAGGCAATCCTCCGACGGGCTTATCGTTCTCGTATTTTGGCATGGACCCGAGGGCCATGGCCATGAAGACTTCGGATTTGCTTTGCTCGTTGAAACGTAGTTGCAGTCGTTTGGTCTCTGCGTCTGCGTCTTTGCCAGCATAGCGAGAAACACTGGCGCTCTCAGCACCTCCTCGTCTGTCCCACCAGCGGAAGACTTCGAATAGAGGAATGGGCATGTAACGCATGTGCTGTAGACGCGCCACTTGGCTCGCAGTCAGGGTCTCAGCGCGAGGGCAGATAGCGATGAAACCAATGATGTGCTCTGAGATGAGACGAGACAATGGCGATGTTGATGATGCTAGCAGTGTCGAAAGGGAACATCCCATGCTGTGACCTATCAGAACAACTTTCTGACCATTTTCAGCGTCTCTATGTTGGGTGATGGCTTCGGCGATCAAGGCAGCCAAAGCTTCTGACTTGTATGCTTCTCGTGTTTCAGGGAGAAAGTCAGACAAGCCACATCCAGGAAGGTCGATAGCAAGACATGGCGCGGCGTTGATCAGCCCGGTCAAGAGCGGTGCGAACTGAGCAGCACTTCCTCCAAGACCATGAACAAACACCAGAAGCGGGAGTGGCGTAGGCTTAGTCGGGAGCTTGTCGGCCTGTGGGTGAGGATGATAGAAAGTCCTTATTGATGGGTATACAAATCCAGCGGCAGTGTAAGATCTTTGAGAAGAATGTTTTCTCAATAATCCAGGATCAGAAGCTGAGGAATCTAACGGCTCGTATAAGTCTGCTGCTTGTTCGAATTCTTTCATAGTAAAGCCAGGAAGCAATGAACCAGATAGAAAAATAAAACGAGACGGAGGAAAAGTAGAGGTGCATCGAAATGATTGCGGTTATGTATAGCCAACTCACCTTTGGCATTAACATCACGTTTTGCACTAACGAGTCGAGACAGGTAATATGCTGACGCAGTTGCGAACACTATGGTGCCCCCCAGGACCACGAGGGCAGTCATCTGCTTCCGACGCGCTGACAGGACTGGGTCCCGAAACCTTGTCGAAAAGTATGGTTATGCGGTTTGGGGAGCGAGGATATGTTTTCGGTGTGAAGCGAGATGAAGCGATGACGCAGAGGTCGAAGATTTTGGTCGACGCGAGGAAAATCGCAAGGCAGACGGATGTTTCTGGATCGATGCACGACGTACAAAGGCGCAACGACTGTTTCAGCTGATTCAGTTAGCACTAGTGTGTTGTCTTTGAAGACAGTGTTGAACGAACAGGTTCAAAGCGATGCGATACAGGTAGGATTGGCATGGAAGATGCGACCAATGAATGCGCGGAGTCAGAAATGTGGGCGGAATTACTGGTCGACCACCCTTCTTTCTTTAGTATCACGACAAATACCAAGTATCACGGCCGTTATGTTACTCTCTTTCTAGAACACATCACACCGATGCTGTTTCCATGTCCCCGGATAGAGCGTGGTCAATTCTGAGTGGTGGTATCGATTTGGCAGCTCATTGGACCGCGAGAAGACCGGCTCTGACAGATCCTCCCTAGACACATCGGTATGGACATCCGTCAACCTTATATGCACGTGTACCAATTCTGGAGCGTCTGTGACCAGGTTAGTCCTGACTCGGATCTGCTTAAATCTCTCAAGGCTCAAAAAACAGGATGAGCTGTTCTTTCAGGTACCCTCGATGTCCCCAGCCTTCTCAGCCCTGCTCTCCATCAATTGCACCACACGAGTAACTAATGTGCAGTCTGACCGCGTGTTCTGCCCACGGCTATGCCGTATGCATATTTCGCCAGCAGATCTGATGATACTGAGGAATTTGAATCAATATCGCTGTAATCTGCATCATATCCCGACGTGAACGATTGTTCGGAAGGCTTTCAAGAGGCTTGAGACTGACAGAAGAGCCTCATCTCCTTGCTTCGGTGGAAAGCTTCACCGAGTGCCCTCGGATGCCAACCGAGCGGCCGTCTTCGGCTTTGGACTGTGGGGTGCGCGGGGCATGACGAGAGGTGAGAAGGCCGACGATCCACTTGACGAATGAGACTTGAGAAAAAGGTCAAAATAACAACTACACTCCCTTCGACACGGAGTCATTCTTTCCATTGTTTGCTACAAGATTGAAATCTTGCATCTTGTAGGTTCCGAGCATCCAACAAACACTAGCCATGGATCCCGAGAATCTCAAAGCACAATTTCAGCCAGAAGAACCACGTCTTTTGAGCTTTCCTCATCTTCCTGATGATGCTAAATATGAAGATGGCACGCCAATCCTGAACAAATACTCTTCAACTTTGACTAAAGGTCATGACTTTCCCGGAGCTCAGGCAATGCTGTACGCAGCAGGAGTGCCCAACGAGAAGATGATGAAGACGGCTCCTCAGATCGGAATTGCTTCTGTATGGTGGGAGGGCAATCCTTGCAAGTAGGTCATCCATTTGATCACAATTTGAAGATATACTGACAGCGATCAAGCAACCATTGTAGGCAACATTGAAGACGGACACAAAAACAGGGGAACTGACACAGGAATTAGTGCACGATCTTGGAAAGCTTGTGAAGCAAGCAGTAGAGAAGCAAGACATGATTGGGTGGCAGTACGGCACCATCGGAGTGTCAGACGGTATCACCATGTAAGTCAATATAGAATGCTATCTGGAAGCAAAGCTAATTTTGAACAGGGGCGGCGAAGGCATGCGCTTTTCTCTACAGACTCGAGAGATCATCGCAGACAGTATCGAGACCATCACATGTGCTCAATTCCACGATGCCAACATCTCGATTCCCGGATGCGACAAAAACATGCCAGGCGTTGTGGTAAGTTCAGAATCAGTCAGAAGGAGCTTCTCGAAACTAAGCTATGTCACAGATGGCAATGGCCAGACACAACAGGCCCTCTGTAATGATCTACGGTGGCACCATCAACCCTGGATATTCCAAGACACTAAGAAAGACGATCAACATCACAACATGTTACGGTATGTACTCAAGCTTGTAACGCCTTACCGTACTGACATCAAGCAGAGGCGCATGGAGCTTACAACTTCGACACACTCAAAAACCCAGACGACCCTTCAATCACCAAGGATGAAATCTTGACCGATATTGAGAGAAACGCATGTCCTGGTTCTGGAGCTTGTGGTGGTATGTTCACAGCAAACACTATGGCCATGGCAATCGAGACCCTCGGTCTCTCTCTTCCTGGATCTTCAAGCACGCCTGCCACTTCTCCAGCCAAGATGAGAGAGTGTCAGAAAGCAGCAGAGGCAATCAAAATTTGCATGGAGAAGAACATTCGTCCTCTTGACTTGCTAACTAAGAAGTCATTTGAGAATGCTCTGGTAATGATGATGGCACTCGGAGGCAGCACAAACGGTGTGCTTCATCTGCTTGCTATGGCTGGTACCGCAGGAGTGGATCTTACCCTCGATGATTTCCAGAGAGTGTCGAACCGCATTCCGTTCATCGCAAACATGGCACCTTCGGGCAAGTACTTGATGGCTGATCTCTACGACATCGGTGGTATTCCTCTGTCATGAAGCTACTCATTGCAGGGGGCCTTCTCGATGGCAGCGTTCCTACCATCACCGGCAAGACACTAGCCGAAAACGTCGCTTCATTCGACTCTCTCCCTCAAGGCCAGGAAATCATCCGCAGCCTCGACAACCCCATCAAACCCACCGGCCACATCGAGATCTTGCGCGGCAACCTCGCACCCGAAGGCGCCGTAGCAAAAATCACAGGCAAGGAAGGTATGAGCTTTACCGGCAAAGCTCGCGTCTTCAACAAAGAGCACGAACTCGATGATGCACTCAACAAAGGCCAAATTCCTCGTGGCGAAAACCTTGTCATTGTTGTTCGCTATGAAGGCCCTAAAGGTGGACCTGGTATGCCTGAGCAACTCAAGGCTAGTGCAGCTATCATGGGTGCTAAGCTCACGAATGTTGCTTTGATCACGGATGGCAGATACAGTGGTGCATCGCACGGCTTCATTGTCGGTCACATTTGCCCTGAAGCTGCTGTGGGAGGGCCCATAGCTATTGTTCGCGATGGCGATATGATTACTATCGATGCCACTAACAACACTCTGTCTATGGATGTGTCGGAAGAGGAGATTCAGCAGAGATTGAAGGAGTGGAAGAGACCTAGGTCAAATGTCACTCGTGGTGTGCTGGCCAAGTACCAGCGTCTGGTTGGCGATGCTAGTCATGGTAAGTTGTTCGCATCGTTGTAGTGGGATTTTGTACTAACATCATTGTCATCTAGGTGCCATGACAGATCTGTTCTAATAGTACATAGTATCTCAAGCAAACATATATACTGGATTATGGGTCATATGACAATGCTGCCTATCATTCGAACTGAAGACGATGGGACTGATGAACAGGAACAAAATGCGATGATAGTGAAACTGTACGATGCATATTGATTGGACGGACACAGATCTCGTGGTGCAAGTCATTTCCCATCAAATCTGACATGCATGCGCAATGCCGGCACAACAAGAGCAAGAAGAGATCAACCTATTATCGAGTAGAAGGCTGGAGTGGCGTCCGCCTCTTCAGGAAACAGGATCCCAAGAACCTGGCATCGGACATTTTGTTTCTCAGCCTCTTTTTGTCACATTGATTACTCTTGCAGGAACAAGGTGGAAGAAAGAGCTTTAACATATCTCTATATGGGTAAAGAGAAACTGTCTATATGATGAAGCGCGAATTTGTAAAGCAGATGCTAACGTAGCGAGTGATGTGGGTATCTAAAGCGAACATGCAATGCGAAAGACGTCTTGAACCAGAAGCGAGTGGCAGAAGATATCATGAAACCAGAAACAGAGACAAGCTGTCCATGCAAGAAAACGGGAAAAACAAAGGACCAATGGCCAACGAATGGGAAGAGAAGCGAGCGATGGATGGGTATCTTTGATCGAGAAACAGTGAAACATCCCAAAGTATGATGCAGAAATCGTGAGGAGCGAAAGTAGCAACCAAGAAAACCAGGAACTCCGGAACGGATGCAGATGCATATGCAGGGTCGGAAAATCCATGACGATTGCTGATGCGAGTATGCAGAAGAGTGTTGTGCGATGCTTTTCATCAATTTCCAAACCAGGGACGACAAAGAATTGATGAAACTTGTTCAGAGAGAAAGCGCGTATCCATAGTTAGAAAAGCCTTCAGCCATGGTGGCATAGTGTGGTGTCGGTGTGTGTTGATGAGACGAAGGCGTGTGCTGCTGAGGCGTCTGGCCTCTGGCGTGCATGTGCTGAGGTGCTATATCCGCCCACTTGCGGGCGCAGAGTCTTGAAGGCCATTTTTCTTCAACACCAAATTCAAGCATCTGGAAAAGGCTGTTAGAAACGTCATTGAGGTCATAGAGGCGATTACGACTTACCTTTGCACTGATGATGTCCCATTTGCACTTCTCCCAGTACTCGTACGCTTGTCTCAACGCCTCAATGTCGCGCTCCTCCCAATTTCGGAATTTCTGTCTCAGGCGAAGGTACCGCATCTGCAGTGTAGCAACGGTGATTGACTGGCCCAGTTGATTGCTGAAACGAGCAGCAATCTCCTTCCAGGGTAGGGCTTCGTCTTCTTTCAATGTTACAAGAAGACGCTCTTCGTCATTGAGGCACTCCAGCGATGGGGTACGCTTGCGGCGCTTGGAATTTGAACGGAGCATGGCTTCTTCATCTTCTTGATCTTGACGGCGTTTTGAAACAAGGCCAGCAGGGTTGGGAGCGATGGACGGGTAGTGGCGTTGTGTGTCTGCTGAGCTGCGCCTCTGTGGTGGGCTTGGGGTAGCGAACTCTGCTGCAGGAGTTTGATAAGTTTCCGCAAGAGTACCAGTTGTAGCTGGGACCATTTGAGTCTCAGTCATGGGAAAGCGAATGCCCAGTGGATTTTCAGGCCATGGTATCTCGTTGAGCGAGGGTCCGAATGTGCTGGGGCTGCTGCGAGGTCTCTCGATCAGGCTGTTGTTTGTATGGCTTGGTGGAAGAATGGCTAGATCATTGTATGTCGGTGGTGTTGGCCATTGAGCTGTGCTGGTAGCGAATCCAGTCATGTCATATTGATTGAATGAAGGAAACGGTGTCATGAACGGAGTGTTGTAGGTAAGCTGGAAGGATGAGCAGATATTCCTATGTGATAGACAACTGTTGAAACATACTGGCGTCGGTGCATACCATGCTGTTGGGTAGGCATCTGTACACACATTCTTCTCACTCGATGTTGTAGACTCGAAATGGTCCATGATGAGGATGATGAGTCGTTGTTGTTATGAATGGAAGTTTGATGGCTTGGAAGACTGAGCCGGGAAAAAACAACAGACTCTAGTCTTGAAGGATTTGAAGAGATACTTGAATGTTGGTGGATGATGCTGATGCAGTGGGTTGTACCTGCCTGAGTAACAATGGACGGGCATGTCGGTCATTTTGTAGGATCGGTGGCAGGCTTGACGTTAGCATGCCGAAAGACGACGGACTGAGCCTCCATGTCTGAGCCTCTGCTGAACTAATGGAGGTGAGATATTTTGAGAACACATCGATTCCAGGACAATGTCTCTGAAGGATCAATAGACTCTCTGTGCGGCTGTTGGGCGAGACACAAGGACCATTGACCTTTGCAGAGAATTGCTACAGTGAGGCACGCCGACTTTCCATACACGCCCAGTGCATAAGCGCGCCATGTATCTAAATTGAAAGTGGTGGACCTCCCATGGTAGCGGGACGTGCTCGGGAGCAACCGCAGCACGAAGCTCCTGGGCGCAAAGACACGCGCGCTGTCAGAAGTCATTGGTCGTCATGATCTGACATGGATACTGTACTCCGACCGGAGAGCTACGTAGGCTTATGCGTCGTCGTTTTGCAAACCTACTTCAAAGATTGTAGACTGGGATATGTTTCTTTCGTCGGAACATGGTGAGTGGTACAGTACTCGTCGACCTCTATCTCGATTTCGGAGGAGGACCTGGTAGTCCTTGGTACCGAAATAGAATTAGGTAAAAGGCTCTGCAAAATCCGGTTTGACTACATATCACTATAGTAGTCGAATAGGCTTCGTAGCGCGTTTACCCATCTCGCAGACATCCCGGACGCGATCGCATACGATGATGTGCGGCGGGAGAGAGATGAACTGGCGTGGGGTCTATGTTCGATTGGAGAACCAGACATCCCACCATAACACACATTTTGCAGTGTTCCAAGGCGAGTGATTGGTCTATTCACGAGTGAGCAGCATCCGGCTGATCGACCGACAGGTCATGGTAAGGTGTGTAGCAAGATATGGAGGTAAAAATAAACTGCATTATGCGGGGGCATTGCCGCTAATTAGTAGTGTATACTGCTCTCAAAATAGATTGCATTGGAGAGAATATAGACTAATACTCCGTTCCTGGCTGCATGGCTGTGGTGTGTTTCAAGAATGGCGGTTAATATGTTACCCTCACCACCATCCAGCCTCTCGAAATTCCAATGAGACATATAGGTCATGCTTATGCTGAAACAAGGCTGATCACTGGTCTGGATGTCTCTATCTCAGAAAGTTGTCCGATAGGGAGGGCATCGCAAACTGCAGGAGAACGGGAATGCCTGACCGGTTGCCGGCCCCTTGGACCGAATACCTACCCTACTCAGTAAAAGCGGTCTGACAGCCTGCCGACGTATGTATTGCTACATAGGGAATTGGAAATGTCAATCCTTGATGAAAGCTTGTTAGATAAGAAGGAATATGCTATAGCAGGTAATTGCGCGAAAGAGGCAGGTGCTGTCGTGGTGGCTGGGAAGTCCTCCAACCTGCTGCCATTAGATCGGAACCTACAAACCTGATCACCAGATGATCCACATGGATGACTTGGTGTTTTTTGCAGCCGAGCTGCTCAAGACCGAAACTTTTCTTGCAAGACTCGCTTCAAGAAAAGGCACGAATGATGGTCCAGAGATTTAGCGCTGTAGAGTTGACGCCAAGTCAGACTGAGTCTTGAGCTTCATCCTTCCATCCAGTGTGGAGAATGCGCAGCCTGCCTGTCGGGGCGCAGTATACCGCTCTCCTGAAAAACAAGGCATGATGGTAAAATCTTTTGTAGGCTGTGCTGTCTGTTTCCCCACTCCGGGGGCGAAGTCTTTGATCGAATGTATAATTTTCTCGGTCTATCGTCTCGTCGTCATTTCGTTTGTCATGATGCTCTATATCTCGATATCTTCATGCATTCCTGGTCTTCCTTCGATGCCGTTAGCCGGCTCTTCTACGTCAATGTCTTCTCCGCCATCGACATCGTCCATGTCCTCGATGGGGAAAGTAAGGATGGCAGCAATGCCACCAAGACCTTCCAAGCGCTTGCCGCTTTCGTGCATGCTGCTGAGAACTTTGACGTCGCCTCCGTGTTCTTGGCTGACCTTATCGACCAGGGAGACCCAGCGCCTTCTTATCGCGACGTCCTGAGCTCTGAAGAGTGAGTTCGAGATGAGTAAGGCACCACCACCCCTCCCCACTGCACCCTTCTCAACAGCAGACTCGACTTCTTTTGGACCGTACCACGCGCGACCGTCGTCCTTCCTGAGCAGATCGAAGAACTTGTCCATAAGGGCCGTCTCTTTTGCGAAACGAGTATCGCTCAGCTTGGCAGTGACTGCGGGAGAAGCCATGACCTCAGCAAGCGAATGCAAGTGACCGCTAGCAGAATGTGCGACAATAGTCTTTGCAGCAAGGGCTGTCAAGTTCTTGTCGGCTTTTGTGGATGCGGTGGTCTTGATGTATTGTTGGAAAGCGGTTGCGGTGAAGCCGGGACTTGCTAACAATAATGGTTTCAAGTCGGCCATGTTGAGTTGACGGAGAAGAGATTCAAGGATGGTGGAGAAGAAACGCTGAGTGGCTTTGTCGTGGTCTGCGCTGGGTTTACCAGGACGTTTCTTGGGCAAGGCAGTTTCAACACGTTGGCGCAAGATAGTCTGGTGGTTTGTGACAAGACAGATGTTGGCAAGACCTTCTTGCATGACGACAGCCCATAGCTCAGCCTTTTGTGTTTGGTCGATCGACTCTTTCAGGATGTCGAGAGCGATGCTGTCCCAGCCATCTGCCTTTTCGAGAGTGAAATTGCGTTGCAGCTCGAGATCGAGGGTATGGTAGGAGCCACGCTTGACCCATTCGTTCTCTTCGGCGACGGTACCGCTGACGTGCAGCTGAGCAGCTTGCGGGTCAAAGTCTAGAGAGGTGACACGAAGCGTCAAAGTAGTTTGGACTCTTTTGGATGTGCTGGAACCCGTCATGGACTCGGTTGTGACGCGGCGAATGGCCGAGGCGCGAAGAAGATCGGTTGGTCTTATGAGATTGTATGCATGCCACATGTCTTCGGGCTCCTCAGGCAGCAGAGTTGCACTGCCAGAGCCATCCTTCTTTTCGATACTCTGCTTGATCAGTCTCATTTTGTGTTTGTGTAATTGTGGTGAAGAGTCAAAGTTCTGAAAGCGCCGCTTGATTTCTCCAAGTGGCCGATGACGAAGGTGGATTTGCGACTCTCATCGTCCTTCGGCGAGCTGCTCTAGTAATTCCAAACCACCTCGAAATGTCCCAAGGTGGTCCCACAAACCAAACACTTGCTCTGCAATTGTGACATGCTCAGCTCACATACTGTAGGTCCCACGCTCGTACGAACATGTTTGACGTGATAAGGTTGTGGTCATAGTGATGCTGTCTTATTGGTCGGAGTTTGTTCTCGCGAAAAAACGCGGCTCGTCGAGCGAGGCCGGAGACCCTTCGACTCACTTGCTCTTTCTTCTCAACATTTCCTTCTTGTGTTCGTATTCTGAAAAACTGTTCTCATCCCATCTCTCAAGATCAATTGAGCTCGTCTTCCATCACCCCCACGCTCATCGCACCTATAAAGTACGGACTGCAATAGTCATGATGTCAAACAGCAGGCAATTATCCATTTATCAAGGCCGAGGTACCAGGTAACGTAGAGCATGAACCGGTGTTCAATCGACTTGTAAAAAAAGTCGTTTGTTCTGAGAAACACGGTTGAACTTGATTTCAGGATAATACCTGCGAAAGAATCATGCTCTAGCAACTTCTCCCTCCTGTCTGTCTTGAGGGCTGACGCCTATACAGGAACCTCAACATGGACGAACAGCCTCAGATGAGAAGGCCAACCAAGGACCTCGAGAAAGATGGTCCTTCTCTTATGCCAACCGAAATCGACGATGAGTCCACTCTTGCTGGTGGTCCTTCTGGCTTAAGGCGACATATCAAGAACCTTGAGCACAGCCTAGCCCACTACAACCTTGAGGCTCGCGGCATCCAGCGCGTCATGCCAAATGAGCGTCACAGCTTGAGAAACCTGGGATACTCTCAAGTTGGTCTTCTGTGGTTCAGTGTCAATCTTGCTGCCAACAACATCACCCTTGGAATGCTCGGCCCAGCTGTTTACTACCTTTCATTCTTGGACTGTTCTCTGTGTGCCGTCTTCGGTATGCTTGTCGGATGCCTCCCAGTTGCCTATATCGCCACTTTTGGGCCTGTCAGTGGTAACAGAAGCATGGTCTTAGCTCGCTACACCATGGGCTGGTGGCCAGCTAAACTGGTTGTTATCCTCAACATAATCGTGCTGCTTGGCTACTGCTTGATCGATGCCGTGGTAGCTGGCCAAATTCTTTCTGCTGTCTCACCGCATGGGTCTCTCTCAGTCATCGTTGGTATCGTCATTGTTGCCGTCCTGACTTGGGCCGTCACCATCTTTGGCTACAGCGTCTTCCACTTCTACGAGCGTTACGCATGGCTTCCCCAACTCATCGTTCTTTCTCTACTCGCTGGTGTAGCCGGTCCGAAGTTCGATCTTGAGACACCCTCCACTGGCGAACATCTGACCATAATCGGCAATCGCTTGTCTTTCTTCAGTCTGTGCCTCTCTGCAGCTATCACCTACGCAGGTGGAGCCGCCGATTTCTTCGTCTACTATCCCGAGGAGACCCCTCGCTGGAAGATCTTCTCCGTCACTATGTGCGGTTTAGCTTTGTCGTTCACCTTCGCGTTCATTGTCGGCATTGGATTGGGCTCTGGCATCGCTACCAACGCCTCTTGGGGGGATGCATACAAGGTCTCGCAAGGTGCTCTTATCGTCGAGGGCTTCGCTCCCCTAGGAGATTTTGGTAAATTCTGTGGTGTCATTGTGGCTCTTGGTCTGATTGCCAACATGATCGCTCCTACCTACAGTGCAGGCATGGACTTCCAAGTCCTTGGTCGATGGATGACTGTCGTGCCTCGCATTGTTTGGAACACTCTGGGTGTCGTCATCTATACTGTATGCGCCATCGCTGGTCGTGAGAGTCTTGCAGCCATTTTCACCAATTTCCTTGCGCTCATGGGATATTGGGTATCGATCTGGATCGCCATTTCTCTTGAGGAACAATACATCTTCCGTACCTGGAGAGGTCTCGGATTCAATTGGAACTCTTGGAATGAAAAGAGCAAGATGCCTATTGGCATTGCCGCTATCATTGCCTTCCTTGTTGGTTGGGCTGGAGGTGAGTTCCAATCGTGCCATCATCACATGCATCTTTTGACTCGGAACAGCAATCCTTTCTATGGCGCAGGTCTGGTATATTGGTCCGATTGCCAAGCAAGTTGGAGAGTATGGCGGTGATGTAAGCGAACCCAAGATACCACAAAAACGAAACGTGCTGATATTTCTCAGATGGGCAACTACGTCGGATTTGCCTGGGCAGCACTGTTCTACCCCCCTCTCAGATGGTTCGAGCTGAAGAAATTTGGCCGTTGAGTAATCTAATTGGGAAAGATAGACTGAGATCTACTTGTGGCAAAGCTCGGTGAAAATGGACCCAGCTCCAGGCTGTCGTTGAACGATGTAGCGGCGGAGGTGTCGAAATGATAAAAAGAGAAGAGTTGCGATGGAACTAAGGCTCGACAGGGGTACAGTACATTATTGATCTTATTCGTGGAAAGGAAGTTTTGAAAACGTGAAGATGCAACAACCTACTGCGCCATTCCACTAGTTCGATGTGCTGAAAGCTGTTTGGGATCAATATGACTGTATGGTGGTGGTCGTCACTTTTGTTGGATGTGGACAAGGATCCTTGACGTTGTTCTTCAAATACGTTGCAGTGTTAAGCCTGTGGTTGACAGTTTTGCGATGCTCTTGTGCCAACTCTGTGCTTTTGGAAGAGAAACGAAACGGCTTTGCAACAGCAGGTGTTCGGTGCAGAATGGAAAGAGCGATCGAGCAAGGGAAACGGCTTGACTCCAGTCCATATGAAGCACAAGCGCAAGGGACAAGCTCGACACGAGGAAGGAACAACCAGACAATGCTCGACAGCGCCTTGAGCTATCATCGATAATGCAATCAAAGAAAGACGGATTGAAAACATGTATGCAAGTCATAACAAGTGGTATCATTTAGCTTAAAAACGAGAAAATGTGGTAAAATCACCTAGTGCTTGCCGCGAGAAGAACCACTAATGAGTTTCTTCTTGAGATGCTTTGGCATCTTCTCCTTTCTCTTCTCGCGCTTTTCCTCCTTGACTGCCTTTTTGTGTTCTTTCTTAGTATCTTTGTCTTCAAAACGCTTGCCTCGGGGTCTCTCGCCCTCGTTGCGCTTCCTACGTGGTCGGTCAGGGTCTTCAGATTCGTCTTCCTCGCTTTCTGAGCCCTCGGCATCGCCATCGTCTTCGGCATCCTCTGCGCCGATGGTAGTCTTGTTTGCGAGAAGGGCTTTGTAGACGAGATCGTCGCCTTCTCCTTTTTGTACTCGTGCGGCGTCGCGCTCGACATCATAGACTTGCTCAAGAGTCTGAGGAATGTATTGTTGTCTGAAAACTTGGTTGTCGACTTCCTCGTCGTCTTGGTTGCCTTGCTGCTCTCTTGTCTCGTACATTTTTGCGATGAGCTCTTCCATTTGAGTAGTCTCGACACCACCTTGTTCAGAAGTAATGAAGCCAAAGATGGCTCTCTCGGGCAGACAGTCGACACCCTTGCGAGCAAAGAAATCGCTGATGTTCTTGATATCCATACGCAAGAACTCAAGAGAGCGTGGGTGGTCGTGCTCGACACTTTGACTGACATCAATGACGAAGATGCGACCCTGGTGGTACATCAAGTTGTATTCACTCAAATCACCATGGACCAAGCGGCAAGTCTGGTACATGATGCGCATGTAACCAAGCAATTGGATGTACATCTCCCTCCATTTGGCAGCATTTTCTTCTTCTGTGGGTAGTTGGAAATCGACGTCTCTCAGACGAGGTGCAGGCCAACCCTTCTTGTTGCCCAGGAAACTCATGACCATGACGTGTTGACGGAGATAGAGAGGGTCGGGGCAAGGAATGCCAGCAGCATGCAGAATGCGCAAGTTTCTGAATTCCTTTTCTGCCCAGACCTTGACCATGGCGCGGTTGTCGCTCTTGTTGTAGCCACCACGGAATCTGAAATCACCAGTAACATACTTGTCGCGGTCTTTGAATACCAGAATACTTGTCTTGTAGACCTTGATGGCTCTGTGCAATGGGACAGCAGGCCCCTCAGAGTCGTCGTGATCCTCGGGGATTGTTGCAGCGTGGTAGACGTTGGCTTCCTTTCCAGTTGACAGAACACCGTTGATCTCGGATACAACGTTCTTGTTCAAGAGCTGCAGGAGAATCATGCGAGTTCTGGGATCCAAAACTTGTTCACTGGTGGCGCGATCGCTCTTGTCCTTGCCGCCTCCTCTTTCTTGTTTGCCGCCGCCGAAGCCAGACTCGAGGTTGTTGAGGCGCAGCTTGGAGGCATGTTGTGCCAGACTCTGGACTTGATCATCCACACTGGCTCGAGTGTTTGCAGTAGGTTTATGACCGGCGGGGTTGGTCTTGGGCTTTTGAGAGGAAGGGACTTGGTCGTCGTTGAGACGTCTTTGGCGATTGTATGATTTGGTAAAGTCGGCAGGGTTGGACGAAGTGATTTCTGAATCGTTGACCTCGTCGGCACTGTCCTCGAACAAGTCATCGTAGTAGTCGTCCTGTTCATCTTCGATCCCTTCATCCAGTAAGACGCCACCAGCTTGTTCTTGGTCGTTGTTGGCGTAGTCGTAACCTTGGTTTGGTGAAAAAGTGTGAGCTGGCTCTAGAGCCGCTGCTGGCGACTCGGTTGACGACATGATCTGTTTTGCCTCGTACAATGCAAGATATGATGTCGCAAACAGCTGCAAAGAAAAAAGATATTGGGCTGAAAGTTGCGTCAATCTCGACGGAGCTAACGGCGTTTCCTGATTCAGGGACGGGTTGGCAATGTCCATCCAGCACCATGTTTGCAACGGTCTAGAAGCAGTCTGATAGGTAGAGAACATGTTGCTATAGAACATGATATCGCGGCGGCTCTGTAACCAACCCCTCCCCCACGTTGCACAACAGGCCTCATGCCGACCTCACCCATCATCATATGTTGACTGTATCTTCTTCGACTTCAGCATGGCGACTATCTTGTACAGCTCGACAAGACGGCGCCATGATATTGTCTACCAAGATCTCTACTCGCTTTGCACCTATTCTAAACATTCGCCGCTGCTCTCGCCCCCACGCCACTTGCGTTCAAGATACGCCTGTTGATCAAGTCGATGTTGATCTGATCCAACACCAGCTCAACCTAAAATCTCCTGTCGATACTCTTCGATGTCTTCTCTTGAATGATACGCAACCGCTGTTTCGACAGATGCACTTGCGCTCTGTTGTCAAGGACTCCTTAAAAGTTGACTTCCCTATCAATGGCCAAATGCTCAACCACTCAGAATTCCGTCAGTATGTATTTATACATTCTTGAACAGTTTTTGTTTGCGATATATTTGCGTCTTGGCGTGGTAAGAATAGTGAGCTCAGACTGACTTGCTCAGACATATGGCTGTGAAGCAAGGACCCAAATTCCGCCGACGGCTTATGAGGGAGCAACTGCTGAGGTGTCAAACCACCCAAGACCTTATGCGCGTTCTTGCTGTAGCCTTTCAACGCAAGGAAACCACTCGAGACCTGGTAGATATGGATCTTTGCATTGTCCGAGCTCTCTACCGCGCCAGAGACACTGCAACCGACCACAAGATCTTTGGTGCTATCAGCACAATCGTCTCACGTTTTCGTCGGGAGAACCTGCCTCTTACACGCTATCTCTTAGCTGTTGGCATCAAGTTTGCTGCTCGGACACGTAGCCTGCCCGGCATGAAGAGGTATCTAAAACTTCATAAGGAACTGGGCTTTCCCATTGCGAAAACCTTGTTCAGAGCAATCATTGCAAAATGCAGTGTTGGAGTTCATGGCTATGGTGAGATCCGTAATGGGAGATGGTCACGTCGTGATCTGCTGCAAGTTCTTCTCGGATTCGAGGATACTCCTCCGGAAGACGAACATCACCTGGGTCTATTCCTTGACAGAACCGAATGGACTCAGTTGTATGGATGGCTTGTTGTCTTGTCCCGCTGCAAAGCATCCGATGAGCTCTGGAAAGAGTGGTTGCTGTGGCAGGATAACCCCTTGCGTCTCAAAACAGGCAGAGTGTCATCCCAGTTCAGCGAAAACAAGCTCAGAGGCGATTACTCATTCATTGAGATGATAGCCGATGCAGGAGACACCCGTCGAGCCTGGGATATGCTCGGCAACAGCGGAATTGCCTTCAAGGATTGTCGGACTCGACTGAGGCGTTCACTGCTTCGCGATATCGAGTATGCAACTGTTTGGGACGACCAAATTCCTGTCGACTTGCTCGCACAGTATGATTTCGAGTTGAAAAAAGTGGAGAATGCGTTAGGCGTGGAGTGGATCAGTCTCGGTGACGATCAGGGCTACCACAAACCTACGGAAACGATGAAGCAATCGCTCGAAGCGCTCTCGTCGCCATTCTTCAAACTAGAGCCGGACTTTGGTTATCCTCACGACCTCACTCCAGAAGGTGCGCTTCCATTTCTGTCGTTGCTGTGGACATGTTTACTCACTCGCTTCCAGAAATCAAGAAACAGTACGATGAAATGATGTTGCATGTCGAAGATATGTCGATTTATCTTCCAAAAACTACTCGCAACTCCACAAAGTGCAAAGACGGCACAACCTCCTCACGACGCATACATAGCATAACATAGCGTAGCATGATACCCCTAGCATGATTTAATCCTTCTTTCAACCTTAAACAATGTCCGCTTCATCTACCATTGACTGAACTAGGTCAACCTCGTCAGCTGTCTGTCACGCGGACAATAGATAAAATTGATCGATTTGACGATGAGAACCGAATCAGTAGCCGGGCCGATAGCAATACCATTGCCTTTCCACTCCCAACCTCTCAATCACGATCCAACGCAATTTCTGAATACCGCCTCTCGCCGTCAGTAACTCCACCAGGCCAAATTGGAGTTCTCCACGGGGGAGTGCGGGAACTTGAAATGAGTGTGTGATCCTTCTCCGCCAACTATACACGCCCTTGACGCCAGACCTGCAGTAGTGGCATGCCACCTCGGTGTCATTGCGGCGCTTTAAGCTTCTGTACACCAAGAGTTGTAACGGCTCACGGGATTCTTGTCAGGTTTGGTGAAAGGGGCGTTCGGGAGGCTTGCGGTATCTCGGGGCGACATCTTGCGGTCGAGCATCACGGACCGAGAAGGAAGCCAACGAACGACGTCTCGAGATTGGGAGTGGCTGCTTCGAGGCAACTTTTTCATCCTGTTTGCAAGCATCTTCGAGCGGGGTCACCTGGGTATGAACCCTGGTGCATCTCCATATGTCGTTGGACTGGTAGCGATGATCTTTCTGGGGGTGCCATGGGGAGCGGCCGGGTACGTTCATGCAACACTGTGCACAGTGCGAGGCCGACTCGCAAGACCCACCGACACGCAACGATTATTTTTTTTCTAGTTTGACACTAGAAAGAAGGATCAGCAGGCAATAGCACGCGACATCGGTACAAGCGCAAGATCTTGGAATCGAATCTCACTCCTTGCTTCTGTCGCACAAGACTTTGCTTGGCTTGCACTCTAAACGTCACGCTGGAGGGGTACACACTCATACACATCAATACGTATTCTGGTCTTCTCGATACGGCTACCGTCAGAACTATTTCCGAAGAAACATCCGACGAAGCTTCCATACTCGGCGCGACTCATGCAGAGAACCGCCGAGTCCTGGCTCGAACCCTACTAGCTTAGGGCACCATCCTCCCCAGACCGTATGAAGGCTTGGTCATGAGCTTACCCGGGCAGGAGCGTTTCTCCGCGCTTGGATATACGATCTTTTACTTCAGGTGTTTGAGATCTTGCCTATAATGACATACAGGCCCATCGAAAAGTAATTTGGAGTTGCCATGCGCTGTTTGGGCTGTCTAGATTTGGATTGAAGATGACAAGGTAAAGGTCAAAGCGAATTCTTGTGATCAAGCATGAGAGCGTGTGTCCGAGATACTTGCGTGTTGGTGTTCATGTATCGGGTAGCGTTCAACGAACGGCACCCTAGCGGCATGCCGAAGCTCAAGCCTCTGGGCCAGCTCGTACAGGTAGCTCCACAGGTATCGCTTCCTTTGCCGCCTCCCGGATCGTCCAGGCCCCGGCCTCCACATTCCAGAGTCTGGAGAACATGAGGAGGTGAAGCCATGGGGTGAGTGACCGTGCGTTAGTAGTCCCTTCCTCTTTTTCTGTTGTCTTATATAAACACCAGCGTATGCCCATTGTTCGTACTTTTCCATCATTGTCAACCACTTCTTCTTTCTCTACTCTCGCTGCTTCTTCCACAAAAGGACTTCGATCCTATCTACATTTCACAATGCCTATCGCCTTCAAACGACCCGAAGGCGAGGCCGGAGCCACTTGGCCCGCCATCGCCGTCGGTGCATTCGTTGCTTTCGGTGGTGTCCTCTTTGGTTACGATACGGGTACGTAAACCCGATGTACAAACACCACGACTTCGTTCAGCTAAGTCGTGGTGTTTCCACAACCAACGTTTGATATCTTGCTAACTGTACCTTCGCTTTATAGGTACCATTGGCGATATCCTGGGCATGGATTACTGGCTGAAGCTATTCGCTACCCACATCGACCCTGCTACCGGCAAACATGCCCTCACCTCGGGCCAGTCATCCGAGATCGTCTCATTGCTCTCCGTTGGAACTTTCTTCGGTGCCCTTCTCTCAGCTCCCACTGGTGATCTCCTTGGTCGCAAGATGGGTCTGATGTCATGGCTGGTTGTCTTCTGCATTGGTGTTGCTCTCCAGACTGCTGCCACCGCCATCCCCCTTTTCGTCGCTGGTCGTACTATTGCCGGTCTCGGTGTTGGTGGTCTTTCCGCCTTGATTCCTCTCTACCAATCCGAGACTGCACCCAAATGGATTAGAGGAACAATCGTGGGCTCTTACCAAGAAAGTAACGTCTTTTTGTCATTTCTATATCACTACTAACAGTGTATAACAGTTGGCAATCACCATCGGTCTTTTGCTCGCATCCATTGTCGGCAACGCCACCAAGAACCGCCAAGATACTGGATGTTACCGCATTCCTATCGCTGTTCAGTTCGCTTGGGCTATCATCCTTTTTGGTGGTCTGCTCGTGCTCCCCGAGACTCCCCGATTCTATGTCAAGCAGGGCAAGCATGCGGAGGCTGCTCGCGCTCTTGCCAAGCTCAGACGTCTTTCCACCGATCACCCTGCTATTGAGGAGGAATTGGCTGAGATCACCGCCAACCACGAATACGAATTGTCTCTTGGACAAGCTACCTACGTTGATTGCTTCAAGGGTAACCTCGGCAAGCGTCTTGCTACTGGTTGTGCTCTCCAAGCTCTCCAGCAATTGACTGGCGTCAACTTCATCTTCTACTACGGAACTTCCTTCTTCAAGCAATCCGGTATTGGTAACGGCTTCACCATCAGTTTAATCACCTCCTGCATTAACGTCGCTTCGACCCTCCCTGGCTTGTACATGGTTGAGAAATGGGGCAGAAGAAAGCTCTTGCTCTTCGGAGCCATCGGCATGGCCGTATGTCAGATCATCGTTGCCGGTGTTGGCCTCGCCCCTGTTGAGAACCAGTCCGCTCAGAAGGCTCTCGTCGCCTTCGTTTGTATCTACATTTTCTTCTTCGCGTCGACGTGGGGACCTTGTGCATGGGTGGTCACTGGCGAGATCTTCCCCTTGAAGGTCAGAGCCAAGTCTCTTTCAATGACCACCGCTTCCAACTGGCTGCTCAACTGGGGTACGTGATTTTCCTGGATTTTCTCCTTTCTTTGCAACAAGCATTCTAACCCTTGTACTATAGCAATCGCGTTCGCCACTCCTTACATGGTTGATGCCATCCACACCAACGTCTTCTGGGTCTGGGCAGGATTCTGCTGTACGTATAATGAGAAATACTGTTTTCTCAACGAACTTTGCTAACTTTCGTGATTTAGGCGCCTGTGTCGTATTCGTTTGGGCTTTCATCTACGAGACCAAGGGACTCTCTCTGGAGCAGGTCGACGAGCTGTACGGCAAGGTCTCCAAGGCCTGGCAATCCACCGGCTTCGTTCCCACTGTCTCATTCCAAGAAGTCCAGGACGTTACAGGCGGAGCAGACGGAGTCGCACGCAACCAATCTCTCACCGAGATCGAGAACAACGCTATGCGCAAGAAGAGTATTACTCACCAGGAGAGCTATGTGGGCGAGAAGATGTAAAAAGCCCTCGGCTTTCTCGGCACCTACCACATCGAGTTTTTCTGTTTTGACATCAACTATATCCCTTGCTTTCAGTATTTAGCTCACGAATTATGTAAAGAGGTCGCATCTGGCGAACAGTGTTTTTTTGTACATATCTGACAAAGACCATATTCTCACTCAATTCTTCGACCTCGTCTCCAAACCCTCTTCGATGGAAGAGAACATTCAAGAACGCGGTGCCTCTACATGTGATGTTCTCTTGGATGCAAGTACCCTCGTATCAGAGTAAAACTTACTAAGTGGTGGATCAGTTCGAATGCCTTTTGTGAAGAGAGGCTATCTTCACTCGCTTCAATAAGTGAACCTATAAATAGCACAAGTGAAGAATGCTTTGCTTCCTCAAATACAGCTTGTGTGGACAGTCATTCTGCACCATTGTCCCGCGATGACAACGATAAGGGCTTCGAGATACAAGTGGAAATGCAGGAGAAACGCAAGATGAAATTGGATACGGAATTCGAACAAGAGGAAGATGACGAAGATGTCGATCTGAGCATTCTCGACTGTGGTCCCGTTGACCGTCCACCACACTCTCGATATCAAAGGCAATTCATGTGAGACCACTTCAGGCAAACAGTACTAAATATCGGATCCAAAGCACAAAACTATTCATATAAACAGAGAAGACAAGAGCATAAATGCAAGTCTGAAGCAGAAAATATATAACACATTAAGTTCACTCCTCGGAGGAGCCTCCACGAGTACCATAGTCAGCGCCAACGCGCTTCACACCAGTGGCTCTTCCAGTGATATCCGACCAGGTGGCGCCGAAACGACGACCAGTGCTGGAGAGAAGACCTTCCTCTTCTTCTTCGGCCAGATCCTCGTCGAGCTGCTCCTCATCCAGACGAGGAGTGCGGAACAGCATGACAACGAAGACGATGAAGAAGATGCCAAGGAAAGCGAATTGAGCCCAGAAATCGACAATGCCGAAGAAGGGGAAGTTGATGGTGATGCGGTTGAGGAAGGTGCTAACGACCGAGGGTGTACACACCATACGAGCGACAGGGTTGTCAGCAGCCTCACGGCAAGCGCGGATGGCATTGTGGTGGTTGCTACAGTCAGGCTGCTGATCGGGGTGGTGGGTAGGTCTGTCGCAGTACGTCTGAGGGCCGAAAGTGGCGTATTGTGGAGCAACCATCATGGCGACAGCGTAGTTAATGGCGAAGACGATCAGAGTAAGCATGACGGTTCCCATCAGGAGAGCTTGTGGGGCGGTGTGACCCTTGCGAATCTTGAAGAGGCTGACCCACAAGAAGCGAATGCCAATAGTGGCGATGCCAACGACAGAGCCGGCGAAGAAGAGAAGGGTTAGTAGCAGGAAGATGACATAGTCGATGGGGAAGACCTTTGAGGTGACAACGAACAGCCAGTTGATAGGCTGGAAGATCTTGTTGTGACCAAGCAAGTAACCGCATCCAGTCTTGCATACCGAGTTCTTGATCTTGTCGACACCAGTAACCAACATGCTGGCCCAGACAACAAGCACAATGACGATGAGCAGAAGACCGCCAAGAAGCTTCAGGGGTCTGAAGACAGCCTCTGTCTTGAGCCAGACACGAATGAACCAATTCTGACCCTCGCCCATGTCTTCGGCAGCCAAACGTTCACGGCGAACAAGCGTACGTTCCTCTCGGATGAGAGCTTCGAGTTCACGGCGGTCGCGAGTGTCAAGACCATTGTCACGGCCTTCGTTACGGTTCTCAAGTTGTCGCTGACGCTCGCGATTCTGCGTCAGCTGAGAAGAGGTGGTGGCAGCTAAAGTAGGGGCAGAGATGCGAGGAGCGGTCTTGATCAGAGTAAGGGGCAAGAGAGCCAAGCCAGGGCCTGTGTAAATGCAGTATAGGAGGGTTCCGAGGGTCAAGAGAAGACCGACGCAGAAGGTCAAGGCACGCTCACCGTCTAATGCAAGTCAGCTATCGAACCAAGAGCAGAGAAACGACGGACTCACGATTTTCGGCCAGCAGGTCCTTGAAGAAGTCCAGATCAAGATGCTTCTGAGGCCTGTTCTTTGCAACGGGGACGAAGAAGCCTACGAGGAAGATGATAACGACGAACAAGATAAAGGCGATGGTGTACTTGAAAGCACCCCAGAGACGACCGGCGGCAGTTTGGCTGCCCTCCTCGGCGGCTACTTCATCACGTTCCTCGTACCAGAAGTAGGTGAAGGGAACGACAATCAAGCACAAGACAGCGTCCAGGCTGTAAAGAGTGTAGTAGACGATCTTAAGTTGGAACAAGATGTTGTCGACAGCATCAGGAGTAGCCCAGTCTTTCTTTCTGCCGAGTTTGGACGATGTAGTGGAAGACACAAGAGCGACATCGACGGGTAGCAATAGGACGGTAGCCAGCAGAGAGAGCACGGTGAGGATGCATACGATTGATACGACAGCAGAGCGTTCGCGAGGGGCCTGGTAGATGTAGACGAAGATGGATGCCACGACTAGCAGGATCGCAAGTGCGACGGCATATGCGACCCAGATGAGAGAGGTTTGGATTAGTGCCATGGTGTTAGGCAGGCAGGAGCTGTACAGTGGCTTCCTGTCGAGTAGTGGAAAAGTCGTAGGAAGGCAGCGCTCTTTCACACACGGCGCATTGCAGGCTTGCCAGAAGAAGGAGCTTGCGACAGCTTCACACGGCAGCAAGACAAGTCCAGAGGTTCCTTCCCTGATTGCTTCCTCCGCAATTGATGGGCAGACGTCATCTTGGCGCTTCGTCCCGCTCGTCCGTCCGTGCACTGATATAGCACGGACGGGAGCTTGGCATTGTAGCTCCGGCTCCGTCTTGTCTCGGGCGTGAGCTTCAGCCAGATATTATTGTCATCTCCTCGACATTGCATGCAATGCGCGACGACACATAATGCAATGCTACACCGAACTCGTGGCGCCCACCGCCGTCTCCAATGCCGTCGCCCTGCCATTTGTCGCTCCTGGTGCGACTAACCTCGTCGTCGCAAAGACCTCGTTGCTCCAGGTCTTCACTCTAAAGACCGTCGCAACCGATGTCAAACCATCATCTGCCAACCCCCGTCTCGACACTGGTGCCATTGAAGGCCCTGAAAGCGTCCATCGCGTTGAGAACACGGCAAAGCTAGTACTTCTGGGCGAGTACCCCGTGTCAGGAACCATCACTTCGCTGCAAAGAGTCAAGGCCCTGAACACAAAGACTGGCGCCGAGGCCTTGCTGGTCTCCACACAGGACGCAAAGATCAGTTTGATCGAATGGGACCCCCTCAATTACCGCATCTCGACAGTCTCCATCCATTACTACGAGCGCGAAACAACAAATACACTTCCCTTCGGCCCATCCCTTGCCGACACGCCTAGTTATCTCAGCGTCGATCCAAGCAGCAGATGCGCCGCTCTCAAATTTGGCACAAAACACCTCGCCATCATTCCATTCCGCCAGTCTGCCGATGATTTGGCTGATGAAGACGACCTTGATACCCCTCCACCCACAAAAGCGCCCGTCACCGGCACCGATGCCCAATTCGAGACTCCCTATTCGGCATCATTCGTCCTACCCCTTACCGCTCTCGATCCTGCTCTCACGCATCCTGTCCATCTCGCCTTTTTGCACGAGTATAGAGAACCTACTTTTGGCATTATTTCGTCAAACAAGGCTCCCAGCCATGGTTTGCTTGACGAACGCAAGGACATACTGAACTACACCGTCTTTACCCTCGACTTGGATCAGCGTGCCTCCACCACTTTGCTATCTGTTACTGGTCTGCCTTTTGATATTTTCCGCGTCGTCCCTCTTCCCTTACCTGTCGGCGGTGCTCTGCTTGTTGGCGCAAACGAGCTGGTACATGTCGACCAGGCGGGAAAAACAAATGCTGTTGCCGTGAACGAATTCGCCAAGCTAAGCTCAAACTTCGCCATGGCTGATCAGTCCGACCTTGGTTTGCGCCTGGAAGACTGTGTGGTCGAGGCTTTGGACCACACGAACGGCAACATGCTGATAGTCCTGAACACCGGCCGCCTGGCGATATTGTCATTCCGTATCGATGGTCGCTCGGTTTCTGGTTTGTCCGTTCATTTGGTAGATTCTACTCATGGCGGTCACCAATTGAAGACTGCTGCGAACTGCGCTGCCTCTTTAGGACGCGGTAGATTATTCCTGGGCAGCGAAGATGGTGACTCCACTCTTATTGGCTGGTCTAAGAAGACCTCACAGACGCGCAAGCGTAGTCATGCACAAATGATTGCCGAAGATGCTGAACTCTCAATGGATGAGGAAGATCTCGACGACGATGCAGATGACGACTTGTACGCCGACGAAGCTCCGGTTATAAAACAGACGACCTCCCAGGCTGCCGATTCTAGCGGCCCGGATAGCTACTTCTTCAGGGTGCACGACAATTTGTTCAGTCTGGGTCCTATCAAGAACGTCTGTCTGGGCAAATACGCCACTGACCTTTCTGAGAACGATCTTGAGCCACAACTTTCCCTGCTTGCAAGCGTTGGTCGGGAACGTGCATCGAAGCTTGCATTCATCAATCGTGAACTAACACCTAGTCCCCTTCGAACAGTAGAGATACCCCATGCTCAAGCGGTCTGGACCGCTTGTGCAAAGCGGGCAGCCCCTCGCGGTCTACCAAAACCCACAGATGGTACACAGAATCCTGAGGCGCAGCTTGCATCTGATATGCAGTTTGACCAGTATCTTATCACCTGCCACGCTGATGAAGATGGCGCCGAAAGCTCAAAGGTATTCAAGATTGATAACGAAGTCACCGACACCAAGCAGGGCGATGAAAGTATGAGTTACACCGAGGTGACTGGAACCGAGTTCGAGGGTGAAGGTGAAACCTTGGATGTTGGCATTTTGGCCTCTGGTACAAGGATTGTTCAAGTGAGGAAGCATGAAGTCAGGAGTTACGATGCAGGTAAGTCTCGGAAAGCTCTTCCCGTTCGCAAACCACCTTGCCCATGTCCAAATGTCATTCCCATCATTGCAACACTCAACACGGCTTTAGAGTCGTCTGACCTGAAAGAAACAACATCTCGGGGTATCTCAGATGCACAGTTGTCTACGGGAGCCAACACTGAGGATGCCGTATATGTCATCATGTGTACTATAGCCTTTCCAATACAAATCTGTCATCTTCCCATCACTTGCCATTTGCCACTTTATCTACCTGTTCCAGAGTCGTGTACTAATTAGCGTGCCTCTAGATCTTGGTCTTTCTCAGATCTTCCCGATCATCGATGAGGAGACCGACGCAGAGCTCACAGTTGTACACTCGTCATTCTGCGATCCATACCTCCTACTGCTTAGGGAAGACTCGAGTTTGCAGATTCTGCAAGTAGACAAGAGTGGTGACCTTGACGAACTTGAGCGTGGTGATGCCGCTTTAGCCTCGAAATGGTTGTCTGGCAGTGTATACAGGTCAGAGAAGACTGGTGATAAGGCATTAGTTTTCCTGCTCAATGCTGAAGGAGGTCTTGCTGTAAGCTTAGGTCTATGAACAACCCACAGACACACGATTTGCTAATACCATGGTCATAGGTCTTTGAGCTTCCGAACCTGGAACAGCCAGTTTACGAGGCTCCGAGTCTCTCAGTCTTGTCACCAGTACTCTCAAATGAGAGTGCGCCTCGTCGTAATGTTGGCAAGGAAACACTGACCGAACTCATCTTCGCGGACCTGGGCGATGCAACAGCCAAATTGCCATATCTCATTGTAAGCCCACCCTCTAGCGCTCAGAATCACACGCTTACACGTACATCTAGCTGCGCTCATCAGCGGACGACCTCATCATCTATGAGCCTTTCCATCATCCTTCAGCTCCTTCCATAGCTTCCTCGCCATTCACCACAAATCTAAAGTTCCGCAAGGTACCCGGATTACATATGCCGAAGTTCAATGAGGACGCTTCTCTTCAAAAGCCTGCTCCACTCAAGTTCTTACCCAACGTTGGTGGATATTCTACCGTCTTCATGGCAGGTGGCTCGCCAAGCTTTGTGGTGAAAGATGCTTCGAGCCTGCCACGCATTGTCAGCCTGCGAGGAAAGGGCGTCCTCAGGCTGTCTGGTCTCAACAGCCGCAAGTGCGAAGCCGGATTTGCATGGGTCGACACCGACGTAAGCCACAAAGTTTGTGCGATACCTAGCAATACAATACTGACCATGCCACCAGGGCACGTTACGTGAAGGTCAAATTCCCGATGGCACAAGATTCGCTTCCAACGGATGGTCCATTCGCAAGTTTTCGCCCTTCCCCGAGCATGTCGAAGTCCAGAAGATCGCATACCATTCAGAGCGTGACTGCTATGTGATCACGACTCAGGAAGAGGTCGACTTCTATCCTCCGGAGGACGACCCTAGGCATCCAGCGGCAGATGAAGGTATGCAAGTTGTGATCTGAAGCGAGGAACAAGACTGACATGATGCTTTAGAAATCACTCTTCGACCGAAATCGCTGCTGTTCCGCGTGCATCTGTACGACGCACGAGCAGATCGCATCATCGACACGTACGACATTCCCCCGTACGAGTTGATCACGTCGATGGAGGTCATGCCTCTCGAAGTCTCAGAAATCACACATCAGCACAGGTTGCTAGTCGCTCTGGGTACCATTTCACAGAGAGCAGAAAACTATGCTGCCAAGGGTTGCATCTACACCCTGGAGATCATCGACGTTGTGCCAGAGCCTGGCCAACCAGAGACAGGCAAGAAGTTCCGTGTCTTTGGTAGAGAAGAGACTAAGAGTGGCATCACCGCGTTGATGGGCATCGCTGGTCTTGTTGGCACTGCTCAAGGACAGAAAATTATGATTCGTGGATTAAGAGAGGACGGATCGTGCTTGCCCGTCGCTTTCCTCGATGCGCAATGCTACATCACATCACTAAAGACATTGGCGAGCAGCAAACTCTGGATTGCCGCAGATGCTTGGAAAGGTCTTTGGTTTGGTGGCTTCGGAGTAAGAAACGTGCTAAGCTCTTTGAGAAACATCACTAACACACTTACAGGAAGAGCCCTATAAGCTCTCGCTCTTCGGAAAGTCACGATCGCAGATGGAGGTGATCTCGGCTGAGTTCCTGCCGTTCGAAGGCCAGCTGTACATCCTCCTCATCGACGCAGATCTTGACATCCATGTGTTACAATACGATCCTGAACGTATGTATCATGCAATTTTCCGTCTCATACATTCATACTGACACTCACAGATCCCAAATCATTGTCTGGTCAACGTCTGCTCCACAGAAGCACCTTCCACCTTGGACACATGCCTACCTCGATGACACTACTTCCCTCTACCTTGTCACCATTCGCCGAGCAGAACCCCGACGAGGACATGGCAGACAGCGACAGCGAACCCTCAAAGCCAGCCACGCTCAACCACATCCTGATCACAACCCAAACCGGCAGTATCGCATTACTGACACCTCTTGACGAGGCTACCTACCGACGTCTCTCAGCACTTCAGACAACATTATCCAGTATCCTTGAACACGCGGCTGGTCTCAACCCGCGAGCCTACCGCTCGGTCGAGAGTGAAGGGCTTGGAGCTAGAGGTATTGTTGATGGTGATTTGATCACTAGGATCTATGAGTTGGGTGCTGGTAAGAGACTTGAGGTGCTTGGCAGAGCTGGTGCTGAAGTTTGGGGTATGAGGAGTGATTTGGAAATTATCGCCGGTGAAGGATTGGCCTATCTTTAGATTTGCTGAGAATAAAGATATCCAATACTATTCTTCGCTGCCTTTCTTCAGTCTCGTGTGCCGAAGACCGTCAATATGTGGTTGTAGAAATGCACAGTACTTCTAGAAAGCAGGTTATTTCCACTGAGAGTCAGTGTCTTATTGGCTCTCCTTGGTCATCTCCACAATTCAGAAACAATTGTGCATTGAGACAATGGAGATGTCCATGCCCCAAGGTGGGAGTAAGGTCATACATTGCGGAGATTGTGTCAGACTTCGTGATAAGTGGCTCCATCTGGAGTTTGGCATTTATCTATGACTATCGCGATGCGCAATGTTTCTGAGAAATATGTGGTATCCACTAAGAGCCAACATCTCTTAGGCTCTCATTGAATCATGAATGGCTACCAGGGTTTCTTTATCATGCTTCCATTTGTCCCAGTAATCAAATTTGTTCGGTTTCTAAACAATCAAGCTTGTGGCTCTCCGGCAGGACCAGGCAAGACTGCTCCTTCGGCAATCGGCTCACCAAGGATAGGAAAACCATCAGCCTCGAAATCAATCTTCTTTGCATTGGCATATCTATCTCCACAGCTGCCAGCAGGATTAGGAGAAGAATGATATGCCATCCAAGTTTCCGTGCCATCAGGGCTAGTAAAGAAGCTATTGTGGCCAGTACTGTACATGCCATTTGCTTGGCTAAAGTGAGGTCCAGTCTTGACCCAACTGCTTTGTTCGAGTGGATCACCACCGATGTATTCAAGGAGGCCGAGTGAGTATGAGGGATCCCAACAGAAAGACCCCGAGTAAGACAGAAAAGTGCGGTTTTTGCTATACAGAGCAAACGGACCTTCGTTAACCGGCATCTGTCCATTGCGTTCCCAAGCCTCTGTGGGTGAGGCAAGGAGATGTTCTTCTCCAATAGTGAGGATATCGGAGTTTTTGGCGATGCAAAGGGATTGCAAGTTTTCGCCGGTGTCGTTGCGAAAGCAGGAGTAGACGAAGTAGTTTTGGTTGTTGATAGTTAGAGGTGTTCCGTCGATTGACCAGGCCGGGGCGTTGATGGTGCCGTAGAAATCGAATGTGTCCCAGGGAGATTTTCCGCCGCGGAGGACTTGGGATTGTTGGATGGCGTTGTCGTCGCAGCCGCCGGCTGAGAAGTAGATGTGCCATCTGATTGAACGTTTAGTCGAGTGTTCGGAATGTCGCAGGTGTTTTGTGCAGTACACTTACTGTCCGTCCACGATATGTAGCTCAGGCGCCCAGATGTTGCATTGGCGTGATGGGTACTCGGCGCTAGGTGCCCATACTGTCTTTGGCAAAGCAGTCTTGAGACCCGCGAGAGTTGTTGCGCGTCGAACACTGATGTCTCGATAATTGGTTGCGGTAAAGTACCAGTACCCCTCGTGCCATACAATAGAAGGATCACCACCGTCCTTTGGCTCTAGTGGGTTCGAGTAGTTGGCACCGAGAACAGCAGATACACCGCTGAGGACCAGAAGTCCTAGTTTGGAGAAGAACATGATGACGAGAGAAAAGAGAGGAGGCTGAGGCAAGTTGAGAGTTTAAGGCTGATGCTCCAAGGCAGTGTACTTTGATCAATTGATCTATGCCATGGCACTTGCCTTTCTTTATACCTTTGAACCACATCGTTCCCTCTACACAAGCAACATGATGCTCGGTTGAACTGTTGCTTGGTAGTCATGTGCAGCAGAGCAGGAAATAGGGTTTCTGATTGCCAAGTCGAAGATCTCTTGTGCAGAAGTGACTGTCCGGCGGGAGAAGGATCCTTCGAGCCTCGGTCTACCCTATGGACTCCACAGGTACTCCACTGTGACACTCCACAGGGATGGAGAGGACGAAAGTCGCCCTTGATGATCTGCACGATATCTTGTGCTCATCTGATATTCGCCCATTTGCCAAGACTCACATTAGCCATGAAGGAGTGGTTCGGCTGATTACCGCCTACGGAAGTGGCTGGGGAGTGGAGGTGTTGACACCACTGCTCGTTCAGGTCAAGTATGCATCAAGCGAGTCGTATACATCGATAGCATAGCGACTTCTTCGTGTTAAAACTGAATGTGTAGAAGAAGTAGGAGACGTAGTTGGATAAATAGGTTGAATGTGTGCTTGGCCTACGCATGAACGCTTGGCATGGTTTCACCTTCATCAACCTCATCTCTCGACTTCCACAGTCAACCTAACCGCCATTGAAAAGAAATTCGTCCAGATCATTCTGATGTCTATCTATGACCATGGACTACCCCAGCCCCAGCCATGTCCATAACCGCCGCTGTTGTGGTTGCAAGCAGGGAAGCCCTGAGCACCTGGACCCTTACCAGCAGGTCCTGGCACAATGAAATCGCCGGCAGTAAATTCAGTCATGTTAGAACCGTACATTCCGCCATTGTACACTTGAATGGTCTTTCCGCCGTTTCCTGGCAGGACCCTCAAAGATCTGGTGTAGCCGACTCCATGGCCTTGGCTACTGACATTCTGCCATGCACCGGGATCTCCGTTCTGTGTGTTGAGGAAGAATTGGTCGTATGTGGAGTCACTCACAACGATGGTACCTGAAGGGCCGCCAGCGGGTGTCCAGACAGTGTAAGGACCTGCGCTAGAGACACCTTCGGGAGTCCTGAGCATGTTGTCGCCAACTGAGCCGAACTCAAGAGGTGAGTCTGCAATCTTGTAGTGGGTGGCATAGGGGGCACCGTCGTCGTTACCGGTGGCAGGATCCGACCAGAGACCAACTTCATAAGAGCACATCCATTTTCCGTTGCCGATCTGGGCGATGGTGATCATGCCTGGTCGCTGTGTGTAGTTCGCATAGGCGACATCGTTGACAACATCGCCCCACGACATTAGGTCTCCACTGGACTGGTGAGCAAGCTTTTGACCATACTGAGGATCGCGCTGGTCGGAGTAGAACACGTTGACTTGGTTGTCGTAGGCGAGAATGAAGGGCTCCCAGACACAAGGCGCGCCGTTGTCGGTGTTGGGAGGTCCACCATAGGCTACCGTTGAGACATACTCCCAGGATACACTACAGATGTCAGACTGGAAACATTGCTTTCTCAGAGATGACTTACCCTTTGTCTGTACTAGCATACAACTGAATGTTGGTGCTGGAGGAGTCGCCAGGGATACGGTTACCAGACAAAAGGATCGTTCCAGGCTGGTATTTTCCAAAAGGCTGGGCCAACTCGTACATGAAGGGTTGTAAGATGATCCCGCCACTCAAGCTAGCATTGCCGTTGAAGTATGCCTTGGAGAGTTCCGACCAGCTGGCTCCGTAGTCGGTGCTCTTATAGATGATAAAGTATTGGCCGTCTGGAGGGCTGTATGCCGCGGTGGCCAGAATAGTAGGCTCCCCTTGCTCACAGTCCTGATTGAGGAGGACGGAGCGAGCATAACTGCCACCCTTGTCTGGCCAGTTGGCTGGTGGGACGAACACGGTTGTGTTCTGGACAAACTGTGCTGGAGGTGCACTTGGCCATGCCAAGGCAGTCGAGGCCAGCAGCGTTGAGGTAAAGAGAGACAAGAGAGAGAACATACTGACCAGTTGCCTGTCAGATATTGAGAGCCTTGGTTTACCCTTCTATATGGCAACGAGCATCTTCTTATACTCTCCCAGCCAGCCCAAAAGCCCCTCATTTCTTCCTGGCCAGCCTCGTGATATACTGCATATTGTTATTGACCCGGGAGTACTTTTGGTTTTTGCCTGTATGCTGGCGGTCAACACGGTCCGGGTATAGGTCTTGTGCCCTTGACTGTTCTATACATAAGAGGCAGCATTTTCGGACCAGTACGGACGAGTATACCACCACCCCGCAAGCTCACCCCCGCAACACTACCTGCATGGCCATGATCTTCCACGGCCCCACGGCACGGTATGCATCACGTCTATCGATTTTCGATGTGGTGCCTGTTAGGTGCAGCATTGCTGCAAGTAAGATTCATGGCCATACCAGATCTTTTAGCTTCTCATTTAGCCTAAAATTTTCGTTGTCAAGTTCCATCGTGTATACCGCGGTTGTAAAACTTTTGCGGTAGATGTGGAGACAAAACGTACTTGCCAGATGTCAGCCTGAGATTTGACTGGCAATAAGTGCTTGACAAGCATTTCAGTGGCTTGAGGGGGCTTCTGGCACCAAGGCATTCTGACAAGGAGACAACCTTGGCGTTCACCAGGAACCCATGCACTTTGGACGGAATCTGCTTACAACACGGCAGGCACTTGACTTACAACGGTACATGTGATTGTCAACTGTTCATGTTCTGGCGATTGTTCAACCTTACTCGAGATGATCATGCTACTGTTCCTCTCACACACGGCATGAAATCAATCGAGTTACGGATAAATATGATTTGCTTGCATAGAGTGAATGGCTGGTTCCTGTCGATCATCGGCAATGCCTTAGTTAGTCTTCTCCAGATTCGACATCCATGAACTCATCATCTTCAGAATCAGTTTCATCTTGTTCGAAGTCATCTTCCTCCTCATCGGAGCCATCTTCATCATCTTCTCCTTCCTCAGAGTCTTGTGCGAGAAGACGACGAACGTCTTCAGTAGGCGCGTCAAGAGGCATGTCAGCATTTCGAATAAAACTGATGGGCACGCTTGGTGTCGGATCGTTGAGCTGAGTATATCCGATGGCGTCTAGGTTAGGGAATCGTCTGCTTCCAGCCACATGAGTGCTGGAGGCTTCCTCTTTGTGAGTCGAGGCTACAGTCCTCCAGGTTACGGTAGAGACGTAGTAGTCGAGCTTGTTTGGACCTGTCTCATCGCGTATCCAGCGGTGATGGTGCCAAGTTGCACTTCCACTCCATCTCATAATCTCAGGCTCGCAATTCTTCGCTGACAGCTCGGTATCATCCTTGCGACGGAAGACCCAACCCTCTATAGCCTGCCTTACTACATCGTCAATTTGATTTTTCTTGCGCTCGAGACTCTCGAACGCCACGCGAAGTTCCGTCAGGCTGTTTGGAAATTCACAGAAGCCGACCCAGGTGGCATCGAAGTGAAGATTGTTGTCGCTCTCCCAGAACCACCAATCTGTGTGTCTGATGGTGATTGTGATAACTTTGGGGTAGAAGAATCTGAGGTTAAGGATTTCCTGAAGTCTCTGTCCATTCTCCAAAGCGTACAACTGAGGGAAGACGCGCACGTGTTGTATGATGGGCATCGTTTGACTTCTTGAGATTGCTAGCAGAGTTCTCTGCATGTCTCTCGGGGTAGTTGTACGTGGCGGTCTACGATCTGTTGAAGTGAGGTAGAAGGTCTGCTCGGCGTTCGTCCATGGCAAGAACCAAGCTTCCTGATAGATGCGCTTGCATGTTCTCAGCAATACTGTGTCAGTCTTTCTGGGAGCGAGGTAATCTGGTCGCTTGTAACATGTTGCATCATCGTACAGCTGAGTCGTGTCTTCATAGTCGGCAAGAGCGTAGTTCCAAATATGGTTTCGAATCTCGCCAGGCAAGATCGAGAAGAGGGCGGACTGTAACTGTTCGTGTGCCGAGTCGGACGCGATTTCAGCTGCTCTCAGTGCGTTGCTGTCTTGGTTTGCCATAATGAACCAATTGATGATAGCTTTGAACATGATGCTCTGCGAGGTCTGAGTCTTCTCTTATAGTCGCTCGACGCCAGCCGCGTGGGCTGGGCGCTGTTGCCTGATTGACGAGTCACAGCTTCGCAGCATACATGAATCTCACCTAGGCATCAAACCCCTGATTTTGAGCTCCGAGCGATCTTTGTAGGACCTCAGAGAGCGCGCCTTGCGAGATAAACGCGAGACGTGGTTTTGAGTTCGAAAGTCGAATAGTCAACCTCCAGGTCAAAGGTTGGCACTGACGCGGGGCCGATGGGGCATTGGCAGCAGGAGTCTCAACCAGAAGGGGCAATATGAGACACTACCAAAGTATTAATGGATTTTCAGATCAGTAAGAATGGTCATGAAAGTTACGTGCTGTTCTTGGAGCTTTGGTTCTTGTCGAAGTTGTGTGAATAGCGAAATGTTGATCAAACCATGGATATATGGCGTTTGCTCGATGGTTGGTCAACGATAATGGTGAATATCATACTGTGCCCACAAATAAGTCATAATGCCGGATGTATTGCTAGAGTCTGAATTATGAGACCTGTAAGTCTCCACAGAAGAATAATGACCAATATTGAATCATAGACCAGGCAGGGAGAGCAGATATTGTTCGAAAGATAGTTGTTAAAGGGGCGACCTTGTCAGTTGCCAAGTCCGAGATGCGGGATGAGTTGAGGCTCTCGGAAGAGTCGAGAAAGATTGTTGCCGACTCGCCGCTCTTGTTACGACCATCTTTCCTATCGTTCAGCAGACGCAATACATAGTAACAATGGTTCGTATACTTCTTGCGCATGTCTGTGACAACTGCTGATCAGCTCGTAATTACAGGCGCATCGCATCATAACTCAAGTCTTTGTAACTGGCACCCGCGTCTTTGGCCGCGCCGTCGCCGAAGCATACCGCCACGCCTCTGCCTCACAAAAATACCAAGCCGCAACCGGAATCAAGGGAGCTACTGGTGGAGCTGGATTGACACTGGATGAAGCCTGCAAGATTCTGAACGTCGGCCCTCCTAAGGGCGGCAAGGCCAACATGGAACAAGTGACGGAGCGCTTTAAGAAACTTTTCGACCAGAACGACCCCAAGAAGGGAGGTAGTTTCTACCTGCAGAGCAAGGTGCTGCGAGCAAGAGAAAGAATTGAGATGGAAGTGCGCGAGGCAGCGAGGGCAGCAGAGAGGGAAGCGGAGCTACAAGAAGGATGGAAGCCAAAGGTTTACAAAGACCGATAGTCGTCAGATTGGACCTTTTTTGCTGAAATCATGGCAGCAATGAGCGCGGACTCGCACACCCCTGATCACGCATACATTGCATCTCGCCTTACCTCAGCCTTGCGCCAGGCCCCTTCCATCTTCGCCTTGGATCTCTCACATTTCGAGCCATCGAGGTCACTGTATTATTTCGGCATGTCTTCAAAGCAGCGCGGCGTTCATCTGTTTTCCCCCTCTCTTCCTTTTCAGGATCCTGTACAGTTTCCGACTTGCACCCTTGCGCAGCGCACTGCTGAGCATCAATTCTTTCTATCTCTCCCCTCTGTGGCACTTGGAAGCACGGCGTTGGGCAAACAAAAAGAAGAAGCATTGGAAGACTAAGAAGATTATATGTATATTATTATGAAAGTACCCATTCTGCAAACAGCGGACATAGACATGGAGCAAAGGATCTCTGTTTTCTTCAACACAGCACGTAATGCTTGGTCAATCTGTCGTGATGCGTCTTCGTAGCATGTTTACGATGGTATCATACTTGCACATTGCTCTGAGCAAGACTCATGCTGGTTTCTCACATTGTCAATGTAAGTCCAGTCCCAAGGATCTGGTGATTACCGCTCACAGGGCAGGTAGGTGTACGTACGATGTCCTTGAGACCGAATTGCTTTTGAACCATTAAAAGGGAGCGATTACCATGCTGGGTCCACCTCGGCGGAGAAGATAGTCATACTCGTGACAGAACATGGCATGCATATCAATTTTATGCAATACAACATCTTGTGCTCGCTAGATGAGACTATCCTCCAAGTCCATGCCTCAACCATTGCAGATCGTGCTACGGTATACGTGGACATCCAGGAGATGGACAGCGTGTAGATGATAAGCAAGTGCTAATCTCGGACGACAGCATGTGATGTGCGTGCTCTATCAATTGTTTGACGTGATAAGGACGTCCGTACGTATTCGTGGTCAAACAGTTTAACCGTCTTTGTTAAAAGATAGCGAATGCCCGGCAATCCGAGGGTCCAGAATTGACAAACGTGTCATGGGCAAAGTCAAATTTTCTGGTGAATAGAGCCGACGTTGGACCATCAAGATTCAAGACTCGGCTACCTGTGACCCGACGTCTCCATACCGGGTCACGAGACGGTCAGGCCAGAAGTTGCAATAGAAAACGTTTTCCTGCATGGGCCTGCAGGTTGCAGCATGAAGATGCGACACGTCTCGACAATCTGACAACATGATACATATGGATGCGGGCCTTCCTGCGGCATGCGAGTACGGTGTAGAAGAGTGAATACGTAGTGAGACGGGCGATTTATCGCCAGACATCGAGTTATGTATCTATGAAAGTGGGGCAATGATGCTTTGTTTGTACAGCAGTTTCATTTTTTATCTGGGGAAGAAGTCTGAAAAGAAAAACTCTGGTTCAGGGAAGAGAGCGCACTGGCTGCTCTGCAGTGGATTGACGAATGACAGCATGGGCATTAAGGTATGCGCTAGTCGGCGATTGGTCAAGCAGACAGGACCCGTTTGGGCGGAGGCCTCCGTGTATACCGACGATCCGGACAGGATGACTCTTCTCTCAAGGCAGCAGTGGGAAAGGAAAGATGGTGGTGTAGAGAATGGACGAATAGACAGAGGACTCGTAAAGAAACGGGACAGCTGAATTAACTGTAGCGGTCATGTAGTTAGAATAGTTCGAGGTCGCGTGGAGTTCAGTGCAAAGACCAAAGGCGGGCGGCAGGCGTTTAGCGTCTGCGCCAAGCAGGACTGACGGAGGATGGTTGGCTGCTTCTTTACGACCGACGACTGCCTCTAAACATCTTTCTCTTCTCCCTTCTTTTCTCGTCAACCTCCGCTTTCATACAAGACGAAGAAGTCGCCCATCACAACCACCCAATCCCACTCACCATTTATATATCACTCGTCTACCACAATGTCGCCGGCCGCCGCTGCTCACTAAATCCACCGCTAGGGGGCGCCTGTTCGTTCGGCGCCCTCTAGTCACCGGTCCTTCTCAAGAGCTCTTACCGAGATTTATACAAACATTCAACAAGACATCACCTACCACGAGTAGCACAAGCACAGTCTTGCCGCAACTCCATCCACGCTTATCAACAATCCCCCCCGCGACATTGCTGAAAACATAACGGCTACAAGATTAACAGCCGTTGAGACATACAACGACGAGTACGAACCAAACGAGGCCACCCCGCCCGTGTCCAGTTCCAACCCATCACCATTACAACAAGAATAATCCGATATTGATTCAACTCAACAATACACAATGGCCACTTCAATCAACCTGAACAACATGCAGCCTCCAGCCATGCCTCCCCCAACAAATACGAAAACCGAGGCTGCAAGCCAGGACAGCCCGCAAAAGCCGATGAAAAGTTCTCTCAAATCTCAGCCATCAACAGAAGGAGCCGACGAAGAGGGAGATGGCGAGAAGAGTGCTTCAAAGGAAGATGCAGACACAAGTGCACTTGTCATGGCTACACATATGAACATGTCAGGTGCTCTTCAACAAAAAATGTCGGAGCTTCAAGCTAGTGGCTGGAGACCGCCGGAAGAGTCCATTGAGAGTGACGACGACTACGATGGGGTCGACATGATTAGCAATAGCGATGATGAAGAAAAGAGTATGAGAAAAGCCGAGGAAAAGCTGATGGCTCAGGATGAGGACGACGATGAGGAGAGTAATGCTGCTCTGGCACGAAGACTTAGTTTGTCCAGCCAAAACAGCAATCAAGCTGATCTAGCTTATCTCGAGTTCAACGACGACTACCTGCTGGGAGATGATCCCTTCTCACAACCCTGGCTCGATGCTGATGAGATCATGGCTGCGCCCGAGTTCTTCCGCGAGGGAAGTCCCTTGACGAGAACCGAGAGCGAACAGACTGTACCTCCTCAACGTCGTGTACGTTTTGAGGAGAGAGCAGAAGCAGACATGTCTGATGAGACCGACTCGGATAACGACAGCGATTTCTTCCCCGACCTCTTCATCCAACAAGACCACCTCGATCCACGCTTCCGACGCTTGATCGAGAAGGATGACGACCATGAGTTGTACCAGGACGACAGTAGTAATGCCGGCTCTGAATGGGACTTTGAGGCGGATGAGATGAGAATGCTACTCATGGAAGAGGACGACGAGGATTCGGATTCGTCAGCAGGCTCTAGCGGCTACGAATGTATGTCTCGGCCGCTTTGCTTACACTTGACCACACCCAAGCTAACACCTAGTTCCCCAAAGCCGATGACGGTGACACGACCGACGAAGAACCTATGCCTCCTCCACCCAAGAGAGCCTCTACAGCGCCCACAAGCCCGAGCAGCAACGTCGCCACTCCCCGTCCTGCTACGGCAAGTTCTACTCGCATCAGACTGCCCCTCCGCAAGAACAAGAACAAGCGCACTCCTACACAACCTAAGATGGGCACCTTCATCATAGACCCTCATCGCCCTGTTCTTACCATTGATGGAGTCGGTGTCTCTCAGAAGAGCACTCTGTGGCCTGCAAAGATACAATCTGCTGCCGAGAAACAGTTATGGGAACGCATGCACATGCTGAGCAACACCAACAGCCGTGCTACTAGTCGTACCACCAGCCCTCGCCAGTCTGTCCAATTGACTCCCTCTGGCGAGAGCGACGCAATGAGCATCGGCGAAGAAAACGACTTCTTTGACTCATTTGGTGCCCTCCGTACCGATCAGGTCATCGGTCCACCTGAAGCCTTCACTCCCTTTGTTGATGTCACTGCTTCTGGTGCTGTTATCCACGACCATGACGCTGCCGTTCCCGGTGCTGAGGAAGAACAAGACCCCATGTGCTTCTTGAACTTCGATGATGACGATGATGAGGATCAAGACATGCCCGACGAGTCTGACCACGTCGCTTCTCCTACCACTCAATCTTTCTCTTCTCAAGTCACCAACACTACATCATCCCAACCTGGTGGTTTCGATCTGCTTGCTCATCTTGATCGCCATGGCGTTGTCGGATCCTTCCGCCGCAACCAACATTTTGCCAAACACGTTGGATCTCTGCCTTCGCATCCTGCTCTTAGAGCCTCCATGTCTGAGACGAACGCCATGCAAACAGGTCGTCGTGCTGCAGCCAACACACCTATCACGCCCTTGAGAAAGAAGAAGGCAAAGGGTGTTGGAGCACGCAACTCTCCCATGACCACAACTACAAGTCCTCTCACTAAGAGCCCACCTTTCAAGAAGAAGGGACCTATCAGAGGCGGTTTCAGCCGTAACTGATTACAACCTAAGCAACATGATTCACACATGTCAGCATGACTTATGAAGCAAACGGCAGGTATTTTACCATGGAGTAATGGAGTCATTTTCGCGCGTCAAGCGCCGCAAAAGCAACAACTCAAACCCAAAAGCAACAAAACAATCGTCTCATACATCTGACTTCCAAGACGCGATAGACTTACAGCAGGCGTTTTGCATGCTTTGCGTGTTTCGAGTATTGTTCGAGTTTCGTCTTTTCACTCCGTCGTTTCCATCGCTCTTCACTGCCTTCTTTTTCGTCCTTCCAACTCGTTATGGCGCCGGGTTTGGCTTTGTTTTTCTTTTTGCAACTCACAGATACCTCAAACAGCAATTTTGTTTATGTCGACACGTTCAGTGCTCGACCTGCTTTTCTTCGCTTTTTGCTTTTCGAACATTTTCAGCATCTGGCTGCTTTTATCTTTCTTGGTCTCCAGGTTGATTTCTGCACAGATAGCTTTTTTGTCCTTTTTTTCCTTGCTCAAAAGAATCTTCGCGTAGATGGATTGTTTCGATCAAAATGAAAGATTTTCAAACATTAATCATCTACTCTACTGTGACCTCTAGTCTTCGTGAACTTATGCCAGAGTCTCATCTACGAAGCTCTTTGTGTAGTCAGCTGCGGTCTGGTTGCGCCAGTCAGACCAGTCATGATTCAACAAGCCCCAAGTCTCATCCTTATCCTGGCCACCCTCACGAATATAGTAGCTTCCAGAGATCACCCACTGCATCCAGCCACCAGGTCCGCCAGGCAGAGAAGTCAAGTACTTCTTGATGCACTGCGCATAAACACTTTCCGACCCTGAAGTCTGATCGAATCCGAACTCTGTCAATACCACGGGAGCGATGTTGACCGCGGAGGAATCACCTTCCATGGCGTTGTAACCTTGGTTTCTTAGGCTTCCTTCGATGTCGCCGCAGTTTGTTGCGCTGTTGGCGTAGTTGTGCAGTTCCCAGACGATTTTATCTGCGTAGGCGTGGTCGCGTAGAGCAAACGAGGTTCCATTGCCAATGTCCTCACCATCCACGATCGTGCCCAATTGCGTATCATAACTCAACCCCGAAAAGAAAATCAACGGTGAGGGGTTTGCTTTGTTGATACCATCAGCAGCAGGAATCATATTCTCATACCACGACACCCAATTATCTCCTGTGCCGTTTGCAGTGGTGCGAAGTTCGTTGCGCAAAGACATGGATGTGAATGCTGGCCAGGATTTTGCATGATTGGCCATGAATGCTAGCCCTCGCTTCCAGTTTGAGACGTCGAAGTAGGTGTCGCCGAACCAGGCGTTGCCGTCTGTGTGGCTGCAGCACCATTCTCCTTTTGAGACGTGGTTGTCCAGGTGGACGTAGATTTGTTGGGTGTGTGCTTCTGCGGCTATGGCGTCGAAGACCTGTTGGATGTGGTTGTTAGGCATCAAGTCGATAAGGCGCTCAGTCGTCTGGGGCACTCACCTCCAGACGAGTGGTGTTCTCAGTAAAAGTAGGATTGCTGGCCAGGACTTCTTTCAAAACCTTTGTGCCATTCGTTTCTCCCAGTGCCTGAATGAAGGCGGTCTTCAGACTGCTGTCAACACCCTCATAGATGTCGTCGATCATCTCGATAGCGTAGGTCAGTCTGATCACATTCATGCCTAGGTCCTTGATCTTGGACATGATTGTGCTGACGGATTGGTACTGCAGGCCTTCAGGAATCATTACATTGGCAGCACCAGGCCAGTTGACTCCGGCATAGACGATCGTCTCATCAAGGCTGTTCTTCATGTTACGGCCAGAGGTGGTGAAGGGTGCATGCGGCCATGATGATGCTCGTGAGATGATAGGATTGGCTTGAGCGAGAGCACCCAATATGGGTAGAAGAAGAGCGGAGATACGCATTGTGACAGCAGCGTTGATGAACTGGGGAGAACATAGTAGAAGGATGACTTCCTTTTATATGCCAAGGGCAATCGTCCGTAGAACCTACTCAGTACTACCTCATACCTTCTCGGTGGCAGGCATGCATGAATCACGCATGACCTCGACGATCTTCCTTGTTAGGAGAAGGAGGTATAGACGAGCAGTCGCTCTCTGTCAATGGACAGCATTAGAAACTTACCCCTCTTGATGGACATATGCCCCGGTGTGTATTCTTCCGAAGGGGAAAGCAAGGAAAATATAAACATGCAAGACGGGTAAATTCCTGGATGTTGAGAGCGTCGGTCGTAAGGTGCCAATGCTAATGTGAAAGATCGTCGTTCTTGCTGTTGCGGCATACGAGCAGAATGCAACCTCGTCAAAGGCGGGGCAAGAGTGATGAAGTGACCTAGTTTGGCTTCTCGGTCACAAGCTCGCGATTGATCCATCTCCATCTCGGACTATGAGGGTGTTTTGTGCCATCAAAATGCACAATTTCTTCTGGAATATGAGTCTGGCCAGAGAACCAGCCTCGTAATGAGCTATCTCAGTGGAAAGCACGCTCTTTGCCAAAGTATCGTGTATGACTATAGCTGATTGTAGCAAACTTTAGCACACGAGGATGGTCCGAGTCTTGACAACACACTTGAAACCCCCATAAGTACCTCGGTCAGACCCACGTCTCCTCACTTTCAATAACACATGCATTGTCGCTTGCGACAATGCGCGCGCCGCCAGCAAGCCCAGCTTTCAAATCTTCCGTGGCGCAATTGGCTAGTGCGTTGGACTGTTTTTGTATTTCTGGTACAGGTGATGGCCAATGCAGATACTAGAACCAAAAAAATGTAGCCAGACAGAGTGTTGACTGATCGGAGGAAAGAAGAAAAAAAAAGAAGCTCTCCCGGACAGGCTTGAACTGTCAACCTCTCGATAGCTGATCTGCCGAAGCAAATCTAACAGTCGAACGCGCTAGCCAATTGCGCCACGGAAGATTTGAAAGCTGGGCTTTCTGTGGCTTTGGATGTGGAGGTGCCTGTCAATTAATGTTATATATTTTGAGATGACACGGCATAATCTCGGCAAGCCTGCGATAGAACATCTCACGATGGTTCAAGGCTTCTCTCCAAGACATCTTTACGCTCTCCATACTATCTATTCCCAGACTTACAAATAATTGTGACAGCCGACCCGTATCCGTATAGAAAGCTGCATATACGAGACAAAGCACAGAAATGACCGTCGCTCTGGTGCTAGGAGAATAATTCATTCGATGGTACTCACAATGTTACCAGATCTAGGACAATCTGCTTGAGATCAGTTGCCTCTAGAACACTTCTCCTGAATTGATTCCCGGTACTAGAGAGGCCAATGCACAGTTTGTAGGAGAAGGACATAGTTGCATCTTTTTTGTGCCTAGGTTTTCAGGTCACCCCATCCTACGCACAAGGGTGCCATGAACTCCGACTGCCAGACACACCTGGCCATGTCACTCAAGGGCCGGCTCCATCTTCTTCAACTTGTTTACTGCCATCAGTAACATGGCTCTCGCCAGCACTTTCATTCTCGGAGTCGTCATCGTCTTCATCGTCGTCGTCGTCGTCGTCGTCGGTGTCGAGCTCCTCACCATCCATTTCGTGCTCCTCCTCTCCCTCTTCCTGCTCACGCAGAGCTCTTATGCTGTCCGGCATAGCATCGTCAAGCTCGAGGGCGAGATGGTCGAGAAGGACACGGCTTCTCGCCAGGAGAGTGTCCATGTCAGTATCACATCCCCTTGGAAAGAGGATGCGCATCGATCTGTACAGGACTTCTGCCTCCTGTTGGAATTCCTGTCATCGTCAGCAGCCTTTCGTCGTGCATGTGACGGACCAATCTTACTTCGGCGTCATACCAATCGTCAACCGCAGTCGCAAGGGCGACGAGTGCTTGGATCCGCCAATAGCGTGGAACGCCTGGCTCACTGACAATGGCTTGCAGTATTGTGATGCAGCCTTGCTTGTCGTCCATCTCGAACATGTCAAAGGCGGCGTAAAGTCGCTGAGTCCAAGTAGGCTTTGCGAGAGATGTTTGCGCCATTCTGAGAAGATGAGTGCCTTGTCGTTGGCGCAAATCAGACAGACAGTGATGGTGGTATTAACAATGGCTAATGGTCCGTGCATCTCTGTATACCAAGCCGATACAAACAAAGTATCACGGAAGTCGTCGATTGGCTGGCCATACAAGGGATATGCCGAGATTGTTTCAGTCAGCCGGAGCTGGGCTCATTCAATGCAGGAGCGTAGGTCATGGCAGAAGTTGACCCTTTGATCTTATGCATAGGATGTTTTCATATTATACACGCCTGATTGAATGCGGAACGGAATCGCCATATCGGCACATCTCAAGCGAATGTGGACTCCTATACGGTGCTATCATCAAACTATCGCTATCGCAAATCAGTAAGTATTGACAAAGGAGCGTGAGTATCATAGAGATGCCAGAAATATATCCCTGGTCAAGAAGGTTGGTGAAGCACAGAGCAAAGAGTAAATCAGGGTGACCATGGATCATATTTGAAATAGTGGATTCCATTCTTCTTTGCAGTCTTTCTGCCCGTAGCAAACAATCTCCCCTACCCAGCATATATGCGGCTCGCCTCTACAAACGGGATATTCTGGTCAAGCTGGCTGTTGATATTGTATAACTCATGAAGTGGACACTTTATATATATGTCTCTGCAAGCTTCAAGCAGTACCAGATATTCAGTTCAAAGGAGACTCGGGGAGCCATCTATATTTAGTTGCCTGGTCGTCCGGTCCGGCGAGAAAGCAATTTTCCATTTTCGCGATATACATCAACAAAGCCAAACGCGTCTCCCAGCTACTTTTTTGCTCCGACCACAACAACTTTTTCTACACCTGATTTGCTTACAATATATGTCTCTACCGCACTGAAGAGTTTTCATCACATCTGTGCGAGGCCCACAAGAGTCTTATAAACTCCATTCACACTCTCACTCTACCTCCCAGGGAGGCAGTGAACAAACATGTCGGCCCCACCATCACCTCGAAGCGTGAGCTATCACTATCACACCTTGCCATGCATCTCGCACTAATCTTCTGATCAGCGCATTCCCGTCCGCTCGTCGAGCTGTCCACAATCGCCTAAACCACGACACTTGCGTCTCTTACACTCTGGTCTGATCACGATCCCTGAGGGCACCAGACAAAGCAGCGCAGATGCTATCTTGACAAGAATGCCCAGAGTCAGATCGTCTGATAGTCTGTATAAGCCCGTCACGGACAAAGTGTTGCCGCAGCTGCCTCAAGCTGAAGTCACTCTTGAAGTCACCCCTGAGGCTCCTCTTAATCCTGCTCTTGACAAAAAGGCACACTGCAACATCTGCGAAGAAGAAGCGAAGAACGAGGTCCAAACTATCGCTCCAGTTGTTGTAGAGACTGTGATATTGGAGGAACATGCATGGCAAGAGTTCTTTGTACAGGAGCGGACCCTCACGAGATGGACTATATCAACCAACCTCGAAGCCGCAATGGATGCAACCAAAACCCAACTCCAAAACATTAACACTGCACGTGTGAAACACGACTGCCTTGTTGAGCTCTGTAAAGGCATATCAGAGACCAATGCCCAACTCCAACCCCTGTGTCAACGAGCCATCGACCAGCATCAAGCCCTGGCCCAGAAGGAAACCCAGCTGTGCAATGCAAGCAACTACGTCCTCGAACGCAACGACGTCTTAATCACCAAATGTCGCCTCTTTCTCACAAACTCCGCAAACTCTTATCATAAGCTGAAAGCCGAGTACAACAAAGCCTTGGCCCACGCAAAGGAAATAACGAAATACAATACTTGTACCTGCGTCCCCAAGACCAACGATCTCGACAAGGAATTCGGATCTCTGACGGCTTTGAACAAGGACATTGGTATCGTGACCGAAAACATCACCTCTATCAATGGTCTGCTGGCTTGTCACAATCAGGATCTCGATAGTCAGATTGCCAGTCTCAATGCTGAGATTATCAAACTTGCGTCGAAGAAAGCATTCAGCTTTTTGGGCAAGGTATTGTGCTCTCGTTGAAGACGCCGGTTTGGTATCCAGTGTGCGTCCTGAGAGTTTGGTCAATCGTGATTTGATTTTTGCTCATCCTTTTCGTCTCTGGTCCGGTGGTTGCCTCGTGTTTGGTTGCATTGGTCTCATCGTACAAAATCCGATTTGGATTATGTTTTGAACGAGTTGTTCAATTGTGTGTGTTTGGCGTTTTGTGGAGCGGAGAGACAAAGTCCAGAAGAGTTCCGATTGGGAAGGCACAACCGCCGGCACTTTTTTCTTTCCTGCGCTTACCCTTCTTGTTGTCCTTTCCGTTGTTTCTGCAATTCAATCCTTGGTGCCAGCATACTTTGGATAAACGCGACGTAATACTCCGACAAGGAGATACATTCGCCGTGAACGCTGTATGAGTGGACAGCTTTGACGGATCTGTAACCTTCCACTCGAAGCGTTTTAAGGCAGTGCCTTTTAGGTTCTACTCTTGTGGTTGCTTTTTCCGCTAGAGTCAATGAAACGTTGAAGCAAGTACACAGGAACGAAGACCTGAATTTTCCTAGGTTGTAGCAAAGGGAAGCAACTATCCTATCCTGTCGTACACGTCTCGCATCCTAACCTTATCATCGAGTTCATCTCATCTCTTCCTCGTGCTCCCTTTTTACTGCTTTCTCTTATCGTAGCCATCCATAGATCTCTTAAATCTCATACTCAGCATTAAACAGATTCCAAAGACCTTTCTTGTTCTTCTTCGCCCTATCAGCCGTACTGTTACCCTCATCATCCTCATCCCCAACATCATCTGCTCGAGTCTTTTTTCTAGGCGACATAATCTCAGCTCTACTCTTAGATGGCGAGTTCTTAGTCGGCGAAACAGACATTGAGGGACCCTGCAGATGTTGAGCTAGGGACCGTATACTTTTCGACGGACTGAGAGATCGAGGCTGGGAGGTCGAAGGCGCAGCGGGTGGTGGAAATGGTATCGCCATACGTTTGGATGGAGAGGTAAAGAAGGACTTTAGTCACAAAATCGTCAGCACGAATACGAGAAAGACTAGAACGAGCGGACGAAGAGAGAAAAGATAGAAAAAGCAATAGTGTAGTGAATTGTGCAAGATAGTGATAGTGTGCATGCAAAAAAGTCTCAAGGACCCCAGAGAAGATCTTTGCGCACCTGATTTTGCTGCTCTTGCTGCTGCTGCGACGATGACATATCCAGCTGTGGCGAGGTAGCTGCCGTGGCGGCCGAAGAGTCAATTCCCAAAGCCCTCTCGCTTGCTTTCCTTCTCAACGAGTCATCCACAACGCTGTTTCCACTCTCTCCTCTTCTTACGGTTTCACCCAAGAAGCTTGCTGTCAATCCCTTCTTAGAGTTTGAGCTGCTGCGACGGCTGTCTAGACTCTTGTTAAGTGTCTTTGTTGCTTCGCTTAGATCACTCTGCTTCTTCATGCGGATGCTGCCTCTGGCATCAACCGATGAGCTAGCTACGGTGCTCTTGCCCAAGCCAGGTGTGGTTGGGGCGCCAGGCTTGTCTTCGGATGCATGCACCAAATACCATGTCAGCCCATCAGATAGGTCGAACGGATTGTCGTTCATCTCATCTAGAGAAGCAGCGTCTACGCTTGTTGAACCAATGCTACGTCCGTCGAACGATGCGGCTGGTTTCGACAAGTCGACGACGCGCTCCTCGATCTTTGAGATGCGAGCGACGAGCCACTCCCGACGGTTCAGAACCATGCCTTCACGTTCCCGGAGGAAATGGTGTGGTGCATTGATGTTGAAGGCAGCCCATGCGCCGGTTCGCTGACCTTTAGTTGGCAAGAACAAGGCAAGGTCACCTTCCTTGAAATCTCTAACCGCAATCTTGGCCGACGACTCAGCTTGCAAACGTGTGTTTCTCTCCTTGTACCCGCGGGCTTCCTTTTGCCATTTGCGAGCTGTGTATTCGAAATCGCGGAGGCGCTTGCTAATCGCCTCGCTGAAAATATCGGTGCTGAACAAAGAGACATGGTTCAGGAATTCAACATATTGAGACTCTTCCTCTGAGGGATCGCTAGCTTCGGGCCAGTGTAGGAATGTAAGAGACGATGGATCGTCAGCAACTGCAGATGCTTTGCGTGTGGGAGGTGGTGAAGTCATCGAGATCGCACGTGTCAGACTCGACGTCGGGTCGAAGGTAGTACTAGCGGTAACCTTGGACGCGCGCTCAATGATCATGTTGCCATCCTTGTGAGAAACAACAAAGCCTAAAGCTTCAAGCAGACGCAACAGACGTGCATTCTGAGCATACAATCGCTGAACAACCTCCTTTGCACGTAGACCACGCTGTCTGAGTTGTTCTTCAACAGAAGCGGCTGTAGATCTAGACTCATTCAGCTGCTTCTGTACACGCATGATCTCCACGTCCAGACTAGCAGCATGAGTCTGCGCATCGGATAGCTGTTCCGTAAGTTGGATTACTCTACCTTCCTCCTCCGAAACACGCTGGCGAAGCACATCTGCACCTGTTTCTCCATCGGCGAACTTCGAGCGAAGCTTGCGCAACTGCTCGCGTTCGTCTTCAAGACATGTTGCCAGCGACTCGGCGTGCGCTTTCTCTGCCTCCATCTCGTCTTGCAAGCGAATGAGCTCAGCCTCCGTAACAGCCTGTTTCGCCTTAGCTGACTTGAGCTCAGTCTTCTGAGTGCTGCTTTGTGATCGAAGAGATTCCGATTCGGATCTCGCGAGTGCGATAGCATCATTCAGCTCTCTGACATGATCTGCAGACTTCTGTGCCAGACCTTCCAAAGCAGGGACCAGATCCATGAACTTCTCTGGTGGTGAAGTGGTCGGTGACAGATGTTTGTGAGTCTCCTTAAGAACTCGGAGGTTATCCGATTCATGCTGTTGCTGTTCTTCTTGGCTCTTTCTGAGAACCTGAAGTTGCTCCTTCAAGCATTGATTCTCCTCTTGCTGTTTTCTGAGGGAAGATTGGGTCTCTTCGAGAACAGACTGGTGTCTCGAGTGTGCCTCTTCTGCAGACTGTTTCATCTTCTCAATTTCAGCCTCGAGAGTTTTGGCTCTAGCATCAATACCAGAGACTTCTTGATCACGACTGCCCAGAAGCCTGTCGATCTCGTCTTCAAGCTCCTCAATTCTGTGTCGTGCCTGATCCAAGTCTTGCTCCAAGACTCTGCGCTCATCTGCAAACTCTCTCTGCTGTGCTTCCATATTCTGCATGATATCCTTTTTCGTGGAAACGGCTTCGTCAATCTCACGCTGACCATCAGCATCCTTCTGCTTCCTGCTCTCCGCATCCTTCTCCAGATTGGAAGCATGTTCCTTGGCAGCATGTAGCTCGGCTTCCAGTGCTACGACTCGTCTGGCCAGTTTACCTTCTTCTGCGGCTAGGCTCGAGGAAGGACGTCTAGAGCCAACCGTCTGCCTGATCAATTCCTCTGAAGGCCTAGGTGACGACGGACTTGGGCTGGCCATCTCGGAAACCAGTTCGATTGAGGGTCTAAAACTATCACCCGTCGTTGGTCGGTTCATGTGAGCATGGCGGTGGAGGATGTCTTCCAGCCTTCGAACTCGACTTTTCTGTCCTTTGAGTTCTTCTTCGAGCTTGATGTTCGCTTCTCTAAGGACTTTATACTCGTCCTCACCACGAAGCATTAGGGAAGTAGTTCCGAAAGCAGCTTCGTGCATACTGCCGTTCTTAAACGTCTTGGCATGCTTGATTTGCTTCTTGGTAGGTCGGTCTAGATCTTTGAGGGCAGTTGACAAAGTCTGTACGACGGGATTAGGAAACTCTAATTCAGTCAGGGTCTGAATGTAGTTCTGCAGAGACTGTCTCTGTACGACTGGCCATTCGAGATCATCTGCCTGAAGGTTTACTTCGACACTCAAAGGCTTCCCTTCAAAGGCTTCAGTCTTGACTACATCATCGACGGACTTGAGCCATTTGGTCCGACGGCGCTCTTCCTCTTCCTGATAGGTAGCCATTTCTTCGGCGAGTGTAGCGGAGTCAGACTTCATCTTGTCGGCCCATTCACGACGACGCACGGCTTCGATCATGAGAGAACCATAGACGAATGGGAGCTTAGACAGAACATTGAGAGTGTCAAAGACTTGCTCATCACTCTGAGACATGTTCAGGTTTTTGAGACTCGAGTGCACCTGAGCCAGACGAGACTCGATGTTGGACAGAGTCTGCATGTGATGCAAGAAGTTTTGAGCGGCATTGTTACGTTGTTGGATCGTTTGACGGACCAGTGAGTTGAGCTCGAGGCACAAACCATCTAAGCTGGGCAGGTAGTTTCGAGTGTGTAAGAGGGCCATCTTAGAAGCTCTGGCAGCGTTTTGAGCATTATTTGACAAGGATCCTACGTGTTCCAGGTCGTTGGACATTTTGTTTACGATAATATCAACCTCTTCAAGTAGTTTTGCTGGCTCATCTGTATTATCGACTCGACTTTGATGTATTGTCTGGACAGCTTCAAGTAAAGCATCGCTGTCTTTTGCAGTTGCTTCTAGGGATTGCTGGATGTTGTGAACCCTTTGAGCAAAGTTGGTCATGATGGCCTGAGCAGATGATGCAGCCTGCTTGACATGATCGACCTGAACAAATTGCTGCAGAGTAACCTCAGACTCATGACCTGATTGTTGCAAGGGTATGACTGTCTGAGACTGGATGTAGCGAGCGAAATCGGGGTTTGCTGGAATGTGCTGGAGGATGTCAAGGTCTCTTTCCCAGCTATCGACGTGTGCCTCCTGCTGCTCCAGCAGTTTGTCAACCCACTCTTCCTCATGTTGATATTTCTGCTCGGTGGAACGGATGTGCAGATGCAAGCTCATGACAGCGACGTTGACGCTTTGTTCGATGATGGTTTGCTCTTGATGATATCGTTGTGTGTTGTCGACCAGGTCGGCGTACTGGACGCGCAGAGCTCTGGCCCAGTCGAGGCGACGGCGAAACAAGTCGTTCCATGACGAGAGCTGGTCATGGTTGGCGATCGAGTCAGGCGGAGTGTCAGGATTCAGAGGAGACGGCTCGGGGATGAGCGAGAGGCTGGTATTGGTAGGAGAGAAGGAGTTGGAGTCAAAGACGTAGATTTCGGGCTCGGTGAGTAGCGTCTGAGGTCTGACGGCCTTGCCCTTGGAAGTCAGGAAGACTTGCTTGTTCACGGGGATCTGGGCGGTGCGCTGGACCCATGCGCGCAGACTCTCGAGGCTGTTGACCTTGGTCGGCTCGGCGACGATCTTTATGCCCGAGTGCGCGACATAGATAATTAATGACATGCCCGCCAAAGACTCCTCCCTGGCCGATCTGTGGGCATGCGATAAGAATGTTTTGGCAACCACCTGAGCTTCGCAAAGGGAAGACGCGACTGACGTCCTTGTGCTTGTGTCTGTTCAAAAAGTCCGGGGTCGTGCCCATTCAGGTTCCGTGCTGTCATGCTGCATCATCCAACACTTTACCCTCAGTCAATCTCACCTGACCAAAGTCTTATTGCATGCAACTTATTGAAAAGAAATGCGGTCGCGAGACGGCCTTCCGAATACCATGTCTATGTAACCCAACCATTAGGATTATTCCTCTCCATGCAAAACTCCTTTGACCCAATCTATGCGTGAATTCTTTTTATCCTACGACGTGAAGCTCAGTTGAGCCCTCTTCCCCTTCGGAAATAATCATAACTCGTGTCTTCCTGGTCGCTTTCGCCAGGTGTATGGATTTCTCCTAAACGTAGAGGTCCATAACCTCCAGGAGTCGGTGCTGGCATGCCGCCCCTTCCCATACCTGCAGCTCCCGACAGAAGGTGTTCGTTATCAAGACGGCGATCGGCATTACCGATATCCATCGAGCGTACACTACTAGCAGGACTCTGATCGCGAAGTGCTGTCGGTGTCTTGTGGTAGCCCTGGGGATACGTCGTGCCCGTCTCCTCACCCATCCTTGTCGCTGCCGAGTCGCTTGACCCTCTACGACTGTCATAGTCTGTCATGATAGTGCCGTCTTGTGTCATCAGGGTTCCGTGCGATCCTCTACGGACCATGTCTTGAGGTCTACCATAAAGCTCTCCATCGCCACCTGCTTGATCTCTAAATTCGGGTCTGTTCTTATAGAACTCGAAGTCCATCTGGTTCTCGGATACGAATTCGAATGGTGCCGCCGACTCGCCCTTAGCGGTCTTACCAGGTTCGTCGTGCACCATAGAATCCATGTACACATCGGAATAGCCGGCCATCGGCACTTCCACCTCTGCAGTACGTCCCGAGTAGACGCTTGGTAGAAGATGTCTCGCTTTTTCTGAGACCATGGGTGTGATGAGAGGTTTGTAAAGCACAGGGTGACCGAAACGAACGCCAACGCGATCTGTACGTCTAGTCTTCATCTCTGCTGGGTTCTCAGTGTCCGCTGCTGTGACTCCAGTTGTGTAGAAGGCCAACTTGTTGTCGAAGTGGTATGCACACCACCATTTGAACGCCAACATGAGGATTGGCAGGGGAGCCAGAGCGCAGACCTTAGGCAGCCATTGTGTGTATCCGAATGTTGTGTTTCCAATGCATACCAAAGCCACCAGAACATCGGACAAGATGGTAAGGAAAATGTATCTGTTGAACAAGACCTTCCAGAATTGACCTCCAGACTCTGTCTTGGTGATGAAGACGTACAGAAGCAGATACTTCTTCAAGTATGAATCAACCCAGAAATAGAAGGCCGCGACAGGAAGCACCAGAGGTTGGACGTAGGCGAAACACAACGCGACTGTTGAGTAGAATAGGAAGTAGTTGTAGTATCCAGCATAATCAAATGTCGGTGGTGCACTCAACTCAATCAGCTCACGTGGTGTGGGATGCAAGAAGTGACGAGAAAACGACCCCCAGGCAAGGTTGACAATTTGAGCGAGATCAACAGCGGCACCTAGGTTGCGTTGAAGGAGCCAAGTGATCCAGTACGTCGAGACGGAGTTGAGAGCTCTTATACCCTTCTGCAGCAGATCACCATCCTTGATGGCAGACCAGGCGTCTTCCTTTTGACTGCTGCTGATGACCGCAGCGACGTAGCCCCAAATGGCAGCGAACAGCGAGAACAGGAACAAATTGTTAAAGACGAAGAACGTGTAAAGCTTGTGCATGACGTGACGCTCTCTGCTGGTCTTTGAGAGATCACCCGCATTGTTGCTCAATCGTCTAAAGATGGTAGGCAGAAAATAGTAGAACAGAGATGTGAGAGCAGGTGCTGCCACACCCTGGACAATAGCCCATCCCGTTTCATTATTGTGGAGGTTGGTGTTGAACGCCGGCCAGACGAGACCCAGGTTGGACAAGTTAGAAAGGAAAATGGCAATGAGTGCGTTAGGGGCAACCCAAGCGACGGTCAAGACAGCAACCCAGATATTGTTGATGAAGGTTTGCCAATTTCGTTGTTTGCTTGTCATGGGCAAATTCTTCCAGATGAGATCATGAGGCCTAGGTGCCAAACGAATGGAGGTCTTATGAGGACCCTTCTTGCGTGCCTTGTACGCAACAGTATGAGCATCGGCAATGGATTCATAACTAGCGAATCCATATGACATGGCGTTTCTCTTGTCAATGGATTCTCTGACCTCCTTGATCTGCATCTCGAGTTCCTTGATGCGCGCAGTCAGGTATTCAATAGCATCGACTTTTTGGCCTTTGCGGTAAGTTTGATCCGACTTGTTGACAGAGCAGGTTGGTCGCTTTGGTGGCAGCTTGTTGGGGTTCGATAGGTACTTGGCAAGGACCGACTCGAGCTTTCTCACTGTCTCGTTGTGTTCCTCGATGAGCTCTGGCAGGTCTTTGACATTACGTGCAATGGCAGTACGCGGATTCGAGCCAGTGTCTCTGGCTTCAGTCACAATCTTGACGAGTCCTTCATCAGTTCGCAGACCCCTCGGGATCTCGGTGATGAGCAAAGTTCGAGAATGCAGACTCTTCTGGTATTCGGGACTGTTGAAGTAAGCTCTACGCAGGCGTAGAACGCTCTTGTAGTTGCGCCAGAGGAAGAAGGCGATGGTCAAGTTTGCGAACCAGGCGAGCAGGACATAACCCCAGAGATATGTGCCTTGGACACCCTGCGACGTCAACTGTGTGAAGAAGTTTTTTGCCCCTGTGCTGCTAATGGAGCTGCGATGTTCGTACAAATTGATGGGAATGAGAATGGCGCAGCCCACAATGGTGATGCAGATGAAAATGTTTCGGCACATGTTTGCAAAGCGCAGGAAGATGGTGGCGTCAAGTCCAATCTTCTCTACGAGCTCCTGCTCTTTCGTCTTCATGACGGGTGCAACCCAGTCGAGTACACCCTTACCGACCGGCGGTGGGGCGTGTTTGGAGTCGGCATGTCGTGAACGAGGAGCGTAGACAACGCTGTTGTACGGACGGACGAAACAGAAAAGGCAGGCGATCAAGGCAGAGCCACCGATTGAAGTGCCCAAGGCAGACCAGAAAGCGTTCTTCTCGATCTGCAAACAAGCTAGTTAGCTACACACAAGTCTGGATCCGATGTGGTTGGAGACTTGCCGACTGTGCGAAAGGATTCGATAGCAGCGACACAAAGGTGTCGAGACTGCTCGTGGTCTTTTGCCGGGCAAGCAATTCGATTGTTTTTGTCGGCACGTCCATGGCGGCCGGATGTTGTAGCAATGGAATGCTCAGGAAAAGATGTGTGTCGCTGGCCTAAGTCAGGCGGCTTTGCAGCATCAAAACAATAGCTCGTATGTGCAGGTGCAAGAGAAAATGCGAGCGATGGTCGAGAAGCGGATGTATGAGAGCTTAAGGCCGCGACGAGTCTGAAACGATTGAAGACAGCGTCTGGTCGAGTAGGACAAAGAGATTCAGACACTCAACAATTTGACGGAGAGTGTGCGTGTGTGACAGCAGAAAAACCAGGAACAGGAACAGGAACAGGAACAAGAAGCATATGCCCAAGGCACCAGGGCCGCCAACGAGGTCATTCTTCGTTCCAGATCCATGAGACCCTTCTCTCCACGGCCATGACGAACTTTGAGCCTGCCCACCATCCATCATTTCTGCTGACGCGCGGTTCCCTAGCACAAGGCGGCTTCTGATACCGTCGTAAACGTATCTGCCGCCATTCCTTTGTTATCCGACGCACACCGTCTATATGTCTTTGGCTTTCATGCGAGAAACATGCTTTTGTGAACACGTGTAAAACGCTTTTCTTTGTCGCAGCTTCAACCAGCTGTTTATCTTGACTACACTCTGAGCTGGCCAGTGTATCAACTATCTAGACATGTCTAACACACCGCAAAAGTATGCTTGCGTTCGATACAAAGATGACACTGTTGTGTATCAACTCTCGGATGTAGGCGCCCCAACTTCCCAGACCCATAACATTTCTATAAAAAGCAATCCTCCCCAACATCAACAACCGTAAAACGAACACAAAGCCCTTTGAGCCGACCGACCCCTCTATCCCATTCAGGTCTCTGTAGCCGCGCAAATGCTCCATGAGACCACCGCGGTCTCGCATGGCTTGAGCCCGTGAAAACTCTCGAGGGATCCGCCTTCCTTCTTTGTCTACCTATTCTTTTTTTCACTTAGCCCGTGGCTTGCGTATGTATAGACGTTCTCGCGCTTGCCGATTGGTTCGGAAGCAAAAAATGTTTACTTTTCGTCCAACCAAAAATTCTCCGCTGCCAAAAAAACGAGACCACACGCGACACTTGATGCTAACTGCACACCCGTTACCTTGCGTGCAAGGCACCAAGGGATATCGCCGCATCGTTTGTCTGCAAAGCAGTTTTCCCTTGCTTGTGCTTGGATCATGTATGTCTCTTTGTTGTTGTCATTCCGCGTCAAGCGCTGCTTTGCGAGAGCACGAGCGCTTTGTAGAATGGTAAAATGCGTGTCATCGTGCATCCCCTACAGAAACGGTTGCGTGTGGCTGTGTAGACAGATCAGCGTGTTTGGTGCGTTCATCATCATCGACAGGAACACCCGGACGGATCACTGTCCGAGCTTGATGATCATTGCACTTTGCCATGACAGCATGACAGGTGGCTATCAAAATGCAGTGAAATCCAGTCTTCCGATGATGTCCAGAGAGAGCTCCGAGGACAGATATCAAGCTCATCCCAGGGGCGAATGAATACTGGAAAGACATCTATCAAAATGCAGAATATTGTTATGATGTCCAGAGAGAGCTTAGAAGAACAATGTATTTGTTGCACATCTCAGCGGCGACAAACTCCCGAAGGGTATCTATGAAAATGCACAGTAACAACTGAGAACTCAATACTGTCCAGAGAGAGCCCAAGAAACCCTCGAAAATGTGTTCAAAAATCGTTAAGTCAACTATCTGATTACTCACTATCCTTAGTGTTCGAGACCCGGTGTACTCATCGTTCGGAATCCGGGTGTCGACGCGACCTGCCTATACCTAGCGCTGCTCCTGCTCTCCAATGCTGCATTCTGAATCCTCGTGCCCTCATTCATCGTCATCCTCAGCATCATCGTCATCATCCTCCGAGAAATGCTCAGGAGGTTCTTCCCAAGGATGATCAACCTGATATTGCCAAACGAAATTAGCAAGTTCAACATCAGACTTGATAACACGGCTGAAGAGCAGAGGTTCCTCCCCCAGAATTTCATATAGACGGGTAGCAACGTCCAATCTTAACATTTTGCGCATCTTGCCATCAATCTTGGCATTGGTGGGCGAGTTCCAGAAAACCATGCGAGTCATCAAGAGTAGCGAGTTGGCAGCCAAAGGCGTCTGAACTTCGATTTTGCGGTAGATAAGTTCTTGAAGGTCGGTAAGTTCGAGTTTGTGGGCGATGTTCCAGAGGGTGCTGGCGGTGTCGGCGGCTTCCTCGAATTGGCCGGTGCTCTTGACACCTTCGAGGTGAGGGTGATCGCCTTCGATCAAGCGAGGGACGTAATCCGCGGTGTTGAGCCAAGTGACTATCGATTCGAATGCGTCTGGGTTCAGCTTTGCAAAGACTGCGTTCTGGATCTCGAAGCCATCCTTGTTGTCGCCAGTGATGTGTTTCATGAATGATGGATACTTTTGAATCAGAGCTCGATCCAGGATGAAGAGCTTCTTCTCGGCGCCGACGTAGATGTTGACTTTGAGAGGACTGCATTGCATGTTAGTACACAACGTTGGATATCATGTGGAGACGTACTCATTGACGGGCTCGAGAACTTTTGGCTTCTCAGGGGTAGGGGATTTGCCATCGCCTTTCTTGGTCCTGAGCAACTCAAGCTGCTTTCTGGCGACATAGTCGTTCGGATCGATCTTGAGTAGTTTGCCGCTGGGCCTCCATGTAGAGACTGCTGGCTTAGGGGCTGATTTCCTGGTGGGTGTGGGAGTGAAGGTTGATGAATGAGGCAGGTCGATATCACTGTCCTCTTCGCCGAATGGAAGTGAAGAAGCTGGGACCTTCTTCTTTGACGATGTTTTTACTTTCTTGCTGGGCGTCGGGCTGGGAGTTGGTGGTCCGGGACGTTGGAAGGCTGAGGAATAGGGGCGCTTCTTCTTGGTCACTGAAGTGATTGTGACCTCATCATCACTATCGCCTCGCAGTGAGGTGCGCTTGGTAGACTTGAAGAAATTGTCGTCGTCATTGTCGTCGCTATCGTCCAGAAAGATAGCATTGTCCTGAGCCATTTCTCGTGCTGCCTGTAGTCCACGGACCAAGTTGTGATAGTGGTCAAGATCATGGTACTCGAGAGCCTCCTTGAAGGCCTGCTCGCGTTCTCTGCCGGCACGGGTAGCGTCAAATTCTCTGGTCTCAAAAGGTTCGAAGTCGTTCAGAGCATCGCGACTTCGCCATTCGAATGTGTGGCGTTCCAGAAAGAGCACTGGCAGAGCGTCCTTGTGAGGCCGTGGCTCAATCATGCCCAGAGGTACTTGATGGTCTGGAAAGACGAAGCAAGGCCACTCTTCGCCTTCGAGCTCGGTAACGCGTGTGCTCTCGATGATATCTGAGTTATCCATGATGAGGTGGTGAGAGTAGTGGAAGGTATCGGTAGCAGGGAAGTAGTGGTGTGGTGTGTAGAAGAGAGACGAGGGAAGAGAGGGGATCACGTGAGGGTTTATATACTGCTGAAAACGATTGAGTGAAGGAGGGTAGGTAGACGAGTCTCTTGGGTGAGAGTGATGGGTTGAAACGTAAAAGGAAGGTACTCGAGTGAGGAGTGACAATGAGCAAAATGACTTGACGATTGGAGAAGAGTTCTGCTCTCTCTGGATAACGCGTGCAACCTGATTACATTCGTGCATTTTGATGGAACAAATCAAGGGAGGAAGCCGAGCAGGAGAGTCGATACCAGACCAATCGGACACTTACCTGGGTGAGCAAAAGTCAAGGCAACATCTGTTGCAAGTGAATGGTTGTTTACCTACCAGTCTTTATCTCAATGGAATGTACTCCATCTTGAACTCAAATGTGCATTTTTCAGAAGCATCCGGCCGGCATATTCATCTGGGGATACGAGCATGTCCCGGAAGTACCTCCGTTGGCATGGACAAGAAGTCTCAAGCAAGCCAGTCACGCATCCAAATACCGAGCTGTTGTCTAGCCATATTAGTTGGAGGCCTTGGATATGCATTGCTCACCGACTTAGCATGGAGAGAGTTGAAGAAGGAGCGGTGCGTTTCACCAAAACGGAGAAACCACGGGTCCCGGGCAGCAGCTCCGGCGATGGGGACAACCCAAGCAGCGGTGACGGTATACCTGAACATAGCAACAAACAACTTCTTCTGGACGTTCTCTCCCTCTACGCTCTCCTCCCCATACGGATCTTCGATTGCTTCAGAGGACCATCGGCCCACACACCAAACCCTCAATCATGGCGCACAACTTCGCACCCTACCAAAGCAGCCCTCCTGAATCAACACGCGCTCTGTCACCACCACTCCGCACATCGACCTCGTCACCGCGCCCTGCTGTAGTCACTCCTCGCGCCCAATCAAGCATTGAAGACCCTTGGGCTGCATCTCGCTACTCACAACTTCCCTCCCCGTCAGCATACGATGATCTCGAAGCCGCCAACACAACCCAATCGTCGCGGTTAAGAGGAGATGGTTACTATGTCTTTGAGACGAGTTTGGGAATACGTATGGACATTGAGGCTTGTCTGCCGTACTTACTGCTGCCGCCTGCAGGTGGTGTCGCCATGTTGATCTTTGAGAGGAAGAGCGACTACGTGCGGTATGTCAATTCCTCTGCACCATCAACAGGAAGAGCATGATGCTAATACAACGCGACAGATTCCACGCGTGGCAGTCGAGTCTTGTCTTTGCTGCTTTGTTCGTCTTGCACTTGCTGCTTTCGTGGTCTCGTTTCCTGTCTTGGCTGCTGTTTGTTGGCGACCTGGGTTTGATTGTCCTACTGGTCTTCAGAGCCTACCGCGATGGTGAGATTGCTTATGCTTCTTGTCCGCATCTTTTGTGCTAATGCCCTGGCCAGCCGAGACTCTCGACCGGTTCGAACTCCCCTTCTTCGGCCGCCTGGCTAGTACCTACGTCGATCGTGAATAGGCGCTGCCGTCCAGATCGACCCTTTCATGAACATATTACCCTCCCTTGTCTGATACGAACGATACCCCCGAACTTTGCATATACCGCATTTTCTTGCTGACCTTTCAGCATTGTACAAACAAGCCTTGTCGCTTACAATGCTATACCTTTTTTGTTCTTCACGACTTCTTATATCCCTGAATTGACCTTGCACTGTCTTGGGCCCATCCGTTTTCTATTGCTCGACGAGATCCCGTTCACTGTATTTGCCGAAATCGAACTTTCTCCGACGCCCATCACCCGACCCTGTCCTCCTTTCGTACATCGGTCGAATCAGTACACGAATCGCTTGCCTACAGATCGGCCGCCGACATAAAGATCTTCGCCAACTAGACGTCCAGTCTGATATTGGTTGTATGTTTGTCGAGCATCTGTTGCGCTGCCGGATATTCTTTGCCAAGAGCTGCTGCCTATCAAAACTCCCTTACGCGACCTCGTCCCTCCCACACCGACCCAGTCTTTCTTCCAACCTTTATATACGATGCTCTTTCTGCCCCATTTAACAAGCCAAGAAAGCCGTGGTGGTGCAGTGGTCAGCACACCCGATCTGGTATCCTAACTTCCTAAAACCGCTTACCTAAGTCCCTAAATTCGCTTACCTGAGTTCCTAATACCTTCTCTCGAGGATCGTGAAGGTCGCGGGTTCAAATCCTGCTCACGGCGCTTGTTGTTTATATTTTTGCTTCAAAGTTTGGTTATTCTGCTGTAGGGAGCGACTGGTAAGTCTGCTTTGCTTGCCTGTTACTGTTGCTATGTGTCTCCTGAATCGTCTCTACTATTTTCGCATGGTCCTTGCCCACTTTCTCCACGTATTCTACTGAATCTATCCAGTCCGATTACCATTCCAGCTCATTTCACAATCACCTTCGTCTACTTCTGACCGAGCTTTGATTTACTGTATGACAACAAGCATTCAGCCGCGCAAGGCTGACAGACTTCGCGCTCGTACTTTTATAGCGTTGTCGATACCCGGCTGATATTACGAGGGGAATGGCTAAAGGCAGATATCGACAGTTTTCAGTTGCCAAGTATCGTAAACATCATACTGAGTTTGCATAGCAACGAGACCTATATTCACATATGTCTATACTCTGTTCAAACAGTCTACTTGCTACCGTTCTCACTAGCAGCCTTCTCCAGCTCCAGCAAGCTCTTCACTGTATCAACCAGCATCTGCTCAAGCCCAATGAACTCGATTCCCAAGACCTTCTTCGCTTTTTCATTGCTCAGACTAAAGAAGTCTGGGAAAGCCTCGCCAGGGTTTCCCTCCGGCACCTTACTCTTCAGCTCAGGGAATTTTGCTCTGATGATATCGCAAACACGCTGGTAGGTAAAGTTGCCAGACGAAACTGCAAAGCGTTGGTTGGAAGCCTCAGGAAGCTCGTACGCTTTGAGGTGTGCAGTTGCTACATCGCGAACATCGACATAGAGAGGAAAAGCAGTGTCGCCGATTTCTTTGGTGCTGCCATTGATGAAGCGGTAGATGTCTGCGGAACTGGTGTTGAGCTTTGACATGTCTGGGACGGCATGGTGGGGAGGTCCGTAGACCATTGGTGCTGTTGCTTCTAATCAGCGTCCTTTCCAACTTGAGGAAGTGGTCAAGGGACGAGGGAGGACTTACGACAGATAGTGACCACATCAAACTTGACCTCTGGATCCTTTCCAAACTCCCAAGCTTCTCTCTCGGCAAACGCCTTACTAGCACAATAAGCAACCGACCCATCTCCCTTCTTCGCATCCTCGTAACTGCAAGGATTCCAATCTTTTTCGGAGTAGGTGTATCCGGGTCTTGTTCCTTTGCTCATATCCACGATAGCTGCAAAAGAACTTGTAACAACCACTCTCTTCACCTTTGGTGCAAACTTTTTAACTGCTTCCAGACAGCCCTTAGTTCCTTGGATCGCAGGCTTCAAAAGCTCTTTCTCGTTGTCTTTGACATCGAAAGCGAAAGGAGATGCGTTGTGGATTACGCCGTCTACGCCCTTTACAGCTTCGTCGAAGGCGTGGGGAGCTGCTATGTCAGGGACAATAGCGAAAGAGAGTTGAGAGACGTGCTCAGGGTGTGATTTCTTGACTCCTTCGGCGGACTTCTCAGAGCGTACTGTGCCGCGTACGTTGTAGCCTGCAGAAAGAAAAGAGGAGATGATGTGGGTGGCCATGAAGCCAGAGGCTCCAGTCACGAGGATGGTTTGCTCGGATGCGGGTTTGGACATTGTGGTTGGTGGTTCGTGTTCTCAGAGATATCAATTCGTTATGTTGCTTTAAAAAGTTGCGAGTGGGGTTCAAGGTGGGAAGTAGCAGAGGAAGGTATCAATATATGCTCATGCCTCGAATAAAAATATTGCCCGAACTGCATCATCGACCATCAATCGTCAATCACATTCGTACTCGTACTTGAGCTTAGAAATCCATCTCAAGGTGCAGACATATCGACTGGGGCTTGCGTAGCCAACGAAATATCGTCGTCATATCTCTAGGTCGTAGATGAAGGGTACAGTCCAGGTTCAGTACGGGGATCACTCGGAGCACGCATCCGCCACCTTGATGGGCTCCGAAGCTTCCGCTTTCTTATCAGATACATCCTCCACGTTGCGGCGAGCTCATATGCTGTTTGTTGGACCTCTACCAGAGCAGCAATTCTGAATTCCGCTGACCTTTGCGAAACATATCTGAGATGCAGCGCTTGTATAACGGTGTGATGATGGCTAGAGTTGGATCAGGCTAACAGGGCCACCCACTGGACACAACTTCATACCATCCAACATCACACACTTCGTATCACAACTAGAAATCAATGGCACATCTCTAGCATCTTAACAAAACAACACTAATCCAGCTTTTGTATGTTATCTAGCTCCTGACCTGCTATTACACTATAAAAATTCTACATGCCGTGGCCAGTGGTAGCTGTGCGATGTTTCTCGTCCATAGGGCCAACAATCTCCTGTCCATCCTTGACAACCACATTGCCCTCTTTGGGTGCGAGGCCTCCAAGGTGCAATGTCATGCTCTCTTCCTCGCCTGTGGGGCTCTTGATAGTGATGTCCTGTTGACCAGTTTGCACACTGGAGTCAGCCATTTGAGGCTTACTTTCGTGCTCAGTAGGTTCCTTGCTTTCAGATGCTGTTGCGCCCTGAACAGTCTCGGAAACAGACTCTGATACATAGTTCACCGCGTTGTTGACAGACTGGCCGATCTTCGAGACAAGACCCTCCCCAGAGTCATCGGCAGTATTGGTGTCAACAGACTTGCTAGCAGTGGCTGTGCTTTCAGTCTTCTCGACGTCACCCTTGAGTCCTTCTGGAGATCTCGTGTCCTGAGTTGCAGTCTGACCTGGGATGGGCACTTCTGAAGAGCGATCAGCGATCGATGGAACAACATCCGTCTCGCCGTCAGCAGGTTGCTCGCCGTGTTTCTCTGAGTCGGCAAGCGCTGCCTCGAAATCGGACTGAATGGCTGATGCACGCTCCATTGTTGGCTGTGACAGCTTGGGGTCAGGTGTATCACCGATGTGACCAATCGCTTGAGCAGGAAGACCAGAGAGAATAGCCTTCTCGTTGTCGGCGGCTGAAGATGAAGAGGCAGGGGAAGCACCCTCAGTGTTTGCTGCAGCAGCCTTCTCCATCTCCTGAGCACCCTTGGCTAGAGTAGGTGAAAGTTGCTCAATGGGTACAGACAAATCACCGTGCTCGTTGATCTGGAAAATAGTGAAGGTGGTACCAATAGACAAAGTTGATGCACCGGATGCGGCTGCAGGAGCTGCGACAGCTTCAGCGGCAGGCTTTCTTCTAGCGGGACCTCTAGCACGGCCCTTACGAGCGTCGGCAAGAGGAGCCTTCTCTTCAGCAGGTGCTTCGGCAGGCTCTTCGTGCTTAGGGGGAGCCTGAGGACCAGAGCCAAGACGTGCGTTCAGGTTCTCAAGGAAACCGGCTTTGAGTGCAGCGAACTTGTTGCCGCCAGGTCTTGCAGGGACTGCAGGCTTGGCCTTGACAGCTGGTGGTGATACAGCTCTATCGTTCGATGCACCATCCTGAGGTTGAGTGTTCTCAGACCTTGCTGGACGGGCAGGCACTTGAGGCTTAGGGCGCTCGGGAATGACAGGAGCTTGGTTACCGGCTGGTCTTGCCGGAACCTGAGGCTTAGTGCTCTCATCGGGCTCGGGAGTCGATACCTCGGAGAGCTTGGAAGAGCGAGCAGGACGAGGAGGAATTACAGGCGACTTGATATCTGCAGGGCTCGACACGTCCTCGTCCTCCATTTGTGGCGTCTCAACGGTAGTCTCAAGCTGCAGACTGTCAGGCGAATCTTCCCAGATATCTCTGCTAGGGAAACGGTTTTTGTAGCTGGGACGGGTCATGTCGTCGGCAACGCCAGGCTTGAATCCAGTCTTAGCCATCTTCTTAGCTTCTTGGGAAAGGAAATCAGCACGATCTTCAGGGTTGTTACCCTCCTTACGTGCTTGTTCCTTGTCAGGGTGTTCAAAAGTAGTAGAAGCTGTGAGCTCTTCAGGTTCCTGAGGACCGGACACCTCAGTCTGGTACTGCAGACTTTCAGGGACATCTTCCCAGATGTCTTGACTAGGGAAGTGGTGACGAGCCAAGTCAGGACGCTTAACCTTGTCAGCAGCAGTCAGAGGCTTTTGAGGCTTGTCGTCATCGTCGGGGAAGAGGGGCTCATATTCTTCAATTTCTGCAAGAGGAGTGCCAGTACCAGAAGGCTGAGCCTCGCGAGACTTGAATCTAGCCAATTCACCTCCGCTGCTGGTTCTGAGCTTCTCCTTGCTGCGTCTACGGGAAGGACCGGTAGCCGAGGAATCAGATGCATATGCATCGTAGTAGTCGCTGCCCTTCCTTTCCTTGGAGGGAGAGACAGCGGGTTGCCAGTAGACAGCCTCAGGGTTGTTCTTGGCGACTTCGTCGGAGGCCAAGATGGGTATTCCATCGCCATTCTCGATGACCCAACCGCCACGCTCAAGGGTGTTACCTCCCTCAGGGCCGAGGTCGACGGTAGGAGGGTCGTAACCACCACCGTGAATTTTGCTGTGGCGGTGGGCTGGGGGATCAATGTGGATAACCTCACCTTCGACCTCACCTTCCTGAGCCTTGTCGTTCTGAGAAATTTCGTTCAAGTTGAAAGACTCCTTCTTAAGAGGGGACTCGACAGTAGGTTGGGCGCTACTCGAAGGGCGCCTGCCGAGACTTGACAAGGGTTTGGGCGAGTTCATACGGGAAGTGTACGCCTCAGAAGCCATGAAACCAATCGACTCGTCAGGAGTGCCGATAGCAGCGGGCGAAGTACCTGTACATATTCACATCAGTTCAAAGTAGGGCGCACGATGATGAAGAGATCAGATGGCTTACCCATTCCGAGACCACGGCCAGAGTTCTGGTGAACTAGCTTGTTGAGATCTTCACTGCTCAAGGCCCAATCACCAGGAGCATGACCAGGATCGTAAGGACGGTGTTCCTTGACAAGCTCTTCGGGGTGCTTGGCATACCACGCCTTCTCGAACTGATCCGTGGGATCCTGACGATGGCCGTGCAGACCATAACTACCCGGAGGGCCGTGGAACTCTTGACGCGAACTACGCTTGCGGTGGTGGTTGCGAGGGGCTGCATCATTAAAGCTGATACTTGGCGTTCCAGCTTTCGACAGAGTCGGTGTGGGGGCTTGGACATCACCGGCATATTTCAACATAGGCACTTGAACACCAATCTCGGGAATGCCGTGTTCGTCTTCCTCAGTGGGCTCATGAGACAGGGAAAGATTGGAACGACTGAAGCTCGCCTTTGCTCTCAGCGGGTGAACCGAGTCTCCAGCTGAGCCGATTCCGTGGGATGCGGCTTGACTAGAATCGGTACGAGTCACGGTCTGGATTCTGGATTTGGCAGTCGACTGAGGCACAGATGCTGTGGGAGCGTGCATGGGCAAGTCAGGGGAGATGTTGCGGTGCTGTTCAGCAGCAGCTTGTTCTTCCTCCAGATTGGCGTACTCGCTACCTTCCTGACCGATTGAGGGAAGGCTGACACTCGGGGGACGAGGAGGCAGGTCCTGGGCCGAGAGGTTTCTCTGGCTGTACATCTTGCCATTGGCGTTGGGACTAGTGGTGGGCATGTCGTTCAGCGGAGAGCGAGTGTACTCTCCTCTCATGGGAGAGACGGATCTCTCAGTGCGACGCTGGGGACGAGGAGGAATTATTGGAGCATTCATGGTGGGATCTGCAGCCCTCTCCTGGGTGCGAGCTGGACGCGGAGGCACCTTTGGCAGTTCGGCGCTCATGTTTGGAGGTAGTGTGACGATAAGGAAGTGTTGTTAACAAGGAGAAACTGCAAGAATCGATCAGTATTGCTGGCCTTGCGACCTGAATGTTGGAGGTAAAGGGTCTTGGATAGACGGATAGATGATGATAGGTACTAAAGAAAGGTAGTCATGTCTCATTGGCTTGCTCAACGCCAGTGCCTTTCCCAGCAGCAGCAGAGGTTCACCAATGAGACTTTCTGCCAGGCTGTATCTGCCACGCAGATCTGCGATAAGCCAATGCATGCATGCAGACTTACCACGCTGGAAACAGTTGGTCCTCGTGTCGTCGTTTTGGACTTTACAGGACAGAGGTATTGAGGAAACGTCTATGTCAAGACAGAAACAATTGAGATGACTCGAAAAGAATACAAGGACACAAAGACTCGTGAGACGAGGACAATGGGAGAAAGCAAGTCCAGGTTCGTGACGAAACCCTCAAAAGACAAACTGCCCCCGATCGGAATCGACGCTAAAGGCGTGACGAAGTGCCATTAGCTACACCCGTCATATCATTGGCCCGCCGGTTGCACACGGTTCTAGCATGCCTGAGATATTTCTACACAAGGATATCCCTCACCGTCTCTTGAAAAAGCCCATACCGCCTTATCACTTGTTAATCTCTGCTCGTTTATACGAATGTCACAATACTTGCTTGACAACACGTTGCCGGGAGGGCAGCCTGACCATGAGCGCTCAGATCTCCATTCTGTCAAGACGGTAGACCCCATGAATGATGCGCTTCCTCGGAGCAACCAAGCCACAATGCTATGCCACACCTGCCGTCCCCGCGCGATGATACATTCGAGAATTTCCGCCAGCCCCTCTTCTATCCAGGTAAAATCCTGTTAAACAGGTTCCTGCAGCCAATTTTGAAACATTGCCCTGCTGTTGACCGAATTCCATCTATCCGAATAGCCATGTCACAGTAGCGCGGTGATCGCGGTGCCAGCCAAACAAAATCCTCGTATGGCAATCCTTGGTCATACTTGGTGGTATGACCATCAAAGCATGACCTTTGTCCCTTTCTGCCATGCGCTATGCACTGCTGTCGTAAGCACTTTCATCACGCTACGACTTGGCACCTGAGTGATTGATCCACTTGGTGACTTTCATCACCAACTTCGACGTCTTGCATAGCACGTGTTTTGAGCCTACAAGCGCCATACAGCCTTGATGCCACCGGAAGCGGAACCAGCATTCTCATGTTGCTAAAATATTTTCATTAAAAGCGGTCTTCGTATTGAATACATCCTGTCCCGTAGTTGGGACTGCTTCCTTCTCTGCATGCTCGATGCGCCTCGGTCAGGTACACAACAGCACCAGTGCTTTTGCGACCAAGTTTCTTTGTTGTTTTATTTTTTGTGTTCTTCTCCAGTCATATCGTACTCGCGTGTCCGCAGAGATGATTCTTGTCTACAAGAGACAGACTAGACGATCATTTGGGCGACACCGTGACCACCCAAAGTCTTGCTTCCGACAAAGTCCTGTCCTTTGACGCCAGCCAATGCATAGAACACAGCCGTGAATAGCAAGATTATTGCAGCGACAATAAGACTGGTCGTCTTGACGGCCAGTGAGATCCACTGGATGACACTCATCGCAAGGTAAATCGCAGCGCGCATGTAATTGGTCTCGAATCGGCGGATGAATGTGTCAAATGTGGACGACGTCGGGCAGACACGAAGGAGGAGAGGGACCTCGACAAAGAGAATGATGAACGAGCAGATTCTGGACACGAGGTTAGCGCGACGTATCGCTTGATCTGCAACTGCCACTTACAGGCATATCACGGCGAACAGGATGACCCAGTGGAAGAGGAAGATGTTGCCAATGCCGAGACCGAAACACAAGATCATGCTGATGATACCGGCCCTGTTGTGTTGAATTAGCATATGCCATTGCTATTCATTCTGCGTGATTGCTCGTACCATTGGCCGTATATACCTATGGCCAGTCAGCGCGCTGTGGAACAGGCAGCGTGGTTCACGCATGAGACTCACTGAAATTACGCGACCTAAGCTCTTCTGCGATCGTCATCTTGTCGGTCTACTGAATGTTGGGTTGATGCTATGTATTGTCGCGACGACGAAGCTTGCAAGGTTGTATGACGGTGAAGCTGTCGTGTTCCGAATACGCGATGAATGGCTCGGACCAAGCTGTAGTGCTGGATGGTGGCAGAGGTTCTGTAAGTCTGCTTGGAGTATTGTGGAATACAGTATTCACAGAGATAGGGTCAAAGACTCGATGGATGAAGGAGGACTTGTATTGAGGAGAGCAGAATACAGATGCCTACGGAGAATGAGAGCTTGCGACCAAAGCCACTTGTGATTCGCGTCGCGCAGCAGCAGCAGGAACGACCGGCGTCAAGACTGTCAACTTTCCCCGACCTGCTGCCAAAAACAGACCACTTTCAGGGTCCGTTGCGTCTGATCACCGTCTCAGATTCCACTTATTATCTGTTTGCGAGGACAGCAAATCTATATGGTGCTACTCATCTCGCTACACAGATTTGCTGCACCGCGGTGTGGTTTGTATAGCGATGTGCACCTTGTCAAAGACACAAGCGACAAAACAGTTTCATCTGAACATTTCAATGTCGCGAGTCGTGGATTTCGTTGGCCTGATATTTTATGACTATCGGCTCATCAATTGGATATCGCTCCTTCACCCATCAGCCAAATGGCCTGTGTGCATAGAGGAAGATCCAGTATTACATGACATATGTGCATCTTCTCCTTCTTCTTCTTTCTTTTACCAACATGCTAATTAGATCGCTTATGCGGCAGCGTAGACGAGTCTGAAGATGTCGTTGAAGACGTAGTAGCTGCCGGCACCATCGGGCAGAAGCTGGAAGGACTGGGTGTAGCTCATGGGTCTCTGCTCCTCGTCGACCTGTAGAATGGCGGTCAGTTGTTGTCAGTGTTTGGTTGCAGTCTTTGCTTGACGTACAAGAAGTCTGCCGGCAACAAGGACCAGAATACCACCGGCCTCGTTGGAGGGCTGAGCGTCCAAGCTAGAAACCTCGTGCTGAACCTTGGCGAAAGGCAGACCCTAAACGTCGCTTAGTCTCTTCTCTTGTGTGCCTTGGGACTCGAGCTTGCGAAACATACGACGAGCTTCTCAGTGATGCCAGCGGCACCTTGAACGGGCGAGTTCTCAAAGGTGAGCATAGAGTGGTCCTTCTGCAAATTCCAAACATATCAGGATGTATTCTTCTCTTGCAACATTCAAGTTCGGTGTGTTCGTACGTAGAGGGCACCGAGGGCAGAGCGGTTCTCATCGAAGGTCTTGTAGTAGAACTGAACGAATTGTTCTGAAGGTCACATTAGACTCGAGGGGTCGACTCGTAGGGTTTCAAAGTCTGCGCATACCAGCGATGTTCTGGAAGTCTGTTGGGAGTCCATGTCAGTCATTGTGTGCTTGTTTGCCCAAGGCGCCTGCGAGCAGGAGGTGGATGAAACACGCCGTCCTAGTGCTCGAGAATCGAGCAGACTTACCGGCCATGTTAATGGAATGTGATCTGAGAAGTGCAACGAGAGATGGATCTTAAGAAATAGAGGTAGACTACTTGTGAAAGCTTTCGAGATGTCGTCGACTCTCTTGTGTTGATGGCGGGGCTGCCAAAGCAGAAGCCCACTCGGCGTTTTCCGCCCGACGCATAAAGTCCACCAGCCCGACTTTTCTTGTTTTTCCTTTCCCTCAACAACCAATGCTGCTGTCACATACATCGTGGCAGCAGTCATATCGCTCTCTGTAAGTGCGCCTCTTCTTCTACACGTTTCGCGCCCATTATGATGAACAAAACAAACGATAACTTATGATATCCACGGGCCCTCTCGCCTCGTGTGAGACGCAAACCCGTGGAGCCTCAAAATGGACTTCAAACACCCACTTGAGGTTTCATGATTGTCAAACAAGCTCAACAGCCTGACCTACACCACTACAAATTCATCTAGTTACCGTCACTCTAATTCGAGACATTGACTAACATTATGAAGTGTACAGGCATTATCATTGCAGTCGTAGGGATATAATTCTAGCTAGCTTTTTTTTTTTATCATAATGCAAGCTTAAAGCTGCTTTTCAAATGTCTATGCACCGACCGACTGGAAAGACTTGACAGTGTCCTTGATCGAATCGTGAAGTGACTTGAACTGGATGCCCAGCACATCCTTGGTTCTGCTGTTGTCGTAGCTGTACACGCCGTCCTTGGGGTAGTCGCCGCCAGGAGTACTCTCGGAAGGCAAGTCCTTTGTCTGAGGATATTCCTTCTTGATAATCTCAGCGATCTCCTTGTTGGAAAAGTGGCCAGCAGTAACGAAGAATCTCTTGTTGGCAGCAGCTTCGACTTCGATGGCCTTGACGTGGCAGAGAGCAAGGTCGCGGACATCGACCCACAGGAAGGTACCAGTCTCGGGAATCTGCTCCTTGGCCTTGCCCTGGTAGATGTCTCTGATGCGCTGGTTGCTGGTGTTCAATGAGTCGAGCGAGTTCAAGTAGTGAACGATGGGGCCAAGGACAAGCGGAGGGTTCATGGTAGAGATGGTGAAGTTGGGCTTCTCCTTCTCAAGGAAGTCCCACGAAGCCTTCTCGGCAAAGGTCTTGCTAGCGCGGTATCCTGCAGCAGGGTTCTCAAGAGCCTCTTGGTGGGTGATAGGGTTGAAGTCGGCTTCGGAGTAGGTGTGACCAGGCCAGTTGCCCTTGCTGGGGTTGACAATGGCAGCGAAACTTGAAGTGATGACAACACGCTTGACCGATGGTGCACTCTTCTTGATCGACTTCAGGATACCGGTGGTTCCAATAACGGCGGGGTCGAGCAACTCCTAGGACATGGTTAGCAGATGAACAAAAGCATGACACTCTCGCGCGTGGCTCTATCAGATAGTATATGTCGAGGCGACTATGATAGAGTTGACCATGGGAAGAAAAGGATGCGACTAACCTTCTGGACGTCTGTGACATTGAAGTGGAAGGGAGAAGCAGTGTGAATGACGGCCTCGAAAGGAGGGTCTGACACGACAGCCTTGTCAAAGGCACCCTCTTGAGCGATGTCTTCGACAATGGCAAAGGAGAGCTGCTTCTCGGAAGCGTTGGGGTGGGCCTCCTTGATCTTGTTGGCCTTCTCCTGGGAGCGGACAGTGGTTACGACAGAGTGGCCATGCTCGAGCAGAATGTCAAGAACGTGGGCAGCGATGAAGCCAGAGCCTCCAGTCAAAAGTACGCGGGTCATGGTGGATTGTGTGATTGAGAAGCAATTAGGTTTGTGCAAAACGACGGTTGAGGGAGGGGCAATATTGAGATATATATCGTCCAAAGACACCAGCCGCCGCCGATGATAACATATTAGCTTAGGCTGATGAGACCACAGCTACCTATTGCCTATCTCCGTCGTCATAACTCCAGCATGGGAAGAAGTCCGAGCATTCTGCTATGTCATCACTACTCATCAGGAAAGTGATTTGCCGAATTGAAAGATACCCATGCTCATGTCACTGAGAGGGAGCAGTGCCAGACACTGAAATCCTATTGCAAAGAACTGCCATTGAGAGATAGTGAAGGAGTTAAGGTAGTCGGACGTGAAGAGGACGAGTGGGGCATCAATGTCCGCTTTGAAGCGAACGTCATCAGGGTCGCCAAGGCTGGAGTAAATGTCACCAAGGAACCTTGAGCTTCTTGCATGAACTCGACAAGATGAGTATGTTGTGAAGTATTGATATTGTCGCACCTAGTCAACCATGCCAGAAGATCGTCATCATCCCTCGAGACGGCGGTCACGCTCGCCAGACTGCTCAAGACGTGACCGTGACCATCATCACAAACGACGGAGCCGGTCTCCAGCCTCAGTACAATTGCCTCTGAATGCGCGTGCCCTGGTCAAACATGATCTGAAGCAGTTCAAGCGGTTGTTTGGACTGTACCTCGATATTCAGAAGCAGATTGACATAGATGATTTGGATGAGACCGAAGTCAAAGGTAGGTGGAAGTCATTCTTAGGAAAATGGTTAGTCTTCAAACTTCTCCATTCGTACCAAAACAGCGTTTAACAAACAACAGGAACCGCGGTGAGCTAGCAGAAGGCTGGTATGATCCCGTGACCAAAGAAAAGGCAGATCGTGCCGCTTCTGAAGCGAAGACGACCCGTCGTAGCCCGCTATCAAGAGAACAATCAGAACAAGATTACCGCCAGCACGAGCAACATGCAACTACTAGCCAGCCGGCTGCAGACCAGGACGATAGTGAAGACGAATACGGGCCTTCACTCCCGACTAATGCAAGTCGTGTTGGACCTACAGTACCATCCATCCAAGATCTCCAATGCAGAAATGGTAGGCTTGTGTCAAGTGACCCTCAGGCACGCAACTCAGGGCTTACAAGTTACAGAACTTGCCGAAGAAGATGAAATCGCTCGCCGACAAGACTTACGTTTCGACCGCAAGATGGACCGCAAATTGCAAAAGGAGCGCTTAGAAGAACTCAACCCACGCGCCGAGCCCGGCTCGCGCGAACGTCAACTCGAAAAGAAGCGCGAAAAAGCTGTCGCCAATCGCGCATTCCGCGAACAAAAATCTCCGGGAGCCGAGGAAGTTGGCGAAAATGATCTGATAGGTGGAGAGGATGGCATCAAGGCTCATATCCAAGCAACCCAGCGTAAAAAGTCGGAACGTGAATTGAGGAAGGAGGAAATTCTTCGCGCTCGCGAGGCCGAACGTGAGGAGCGTCTCGCACACCATAGGGCCAAGGAAGACAAAACCATGGAAATGCTCAAGAATCTGGCAAGACAACGCTACGGCTGATGTCTTTACCAAGACTACTAAATGCAGATTGCTCGCCGCTATGCATGTCGATGCGACTCGATGACCAATCGCTGCATCTCTTTAAGCGCCTCGCGCCTGTTGGTATAGCCTTATCAAAGAATATCGACCACGATGCGGCAAAGAGAAGGTCACGATGCACAATCGGTGGAAGAAAACTTGTGTCGCACAACTTCCTGATTAATTGAAAGCGGAATGTGTGAGTATTGACATGTTCTCTGCCACTGGAACTGCAACATTCGGCCACAACGAGATGGAACTCATCATAGCCACACAGCCTTTACGTCGATTGCAGCGGATGTCTGAAATATAAAATGAGCTGTCAACCCTCAAAAAGACATACTAAATCAATCTGCAACACTATCAGCGCGGTCCGCGAATTCCAACATGCAGAAGCACATGACGTGTAAGTCTTTTGACGCCTTAGGTGATCCTATGTTGTGCTGGCCAAATATATACTTTACCACGGATGCAGAGTCTGTTGAAGCTTATGGAGATGTATCTGATTCTATCGAATGGGGACTGGAAGACATTACCACTAGCAAGGAACCTTCAAGGACGTCTCAGATATGCAGCGGTCCACGCTTGATACCCAAGATCCGTATGCAAGACCAAGCTCTAGAAGCAAGTACATTTTCGGATCACGGTTTCAATGCAAGGGCTCGACCCTCCAACTCCAACTCATCTCTGCAAGGACACGTGGATCCCAATACGACCACTCCGTCTTCTCGTTTGACCCCTGAGAATGGGGTGTACCACAGTTTTGCCCTACGGGGTAATAGTTCAGAACAGTCTCAGAAGACCACATCATACTCTCCCATGGAACCCGCTTCCTCGGATGTTTGGCCGCCTGCGTCCGAAGACTATTGCAACTCGTCTCCATCAGCGAGTGGACCATATTCTCGCCTGCCCGACTATTTCACCAATGGACTTTACTCGGTTCCTGGTGAACAGTTCTTGTCCTATCTTCCCGACCCCAGTGATCAGAGGAATTCACCTTGGGCGCGCAAGTCTCTCGAGGCTGCGCAATCAGTAAACCCAATCGATCCTACTATGTTTCCCTCCTCGCTTCCACAAGGCAAGCGAAGCTTGACCCGAATATCTCGCCAGAGTCTGAATCAGATGCCACTGTCGTCGATTGCCAGTCAGAATCATGATTCCAAGAGGACATCGTTGCTTGACTACCTCAGTCTTCCCAATCCTGCCCTCTCCTTAGTAGAGCGCGTTATGGAGCCTGGGCCAAGTCGTGACAAGCACTTCTTCTTCGATGTACGCAATGTACGCAGCTGGTCTGATTTCAGCGTCGAAAGTATGCTTGGTGTACCAGAGTTAAAATCGCTGCTTTATCGCGAAATGCAGTGCGGCACCCTTTCGACGCTTCATCCTGTTGGCACCTCACCAGCCACGCGTGAGCAGTTGCACCTAGCATATCGTGACCATTTTGGAGTCAAGCTTAATGCAGCTCTCAAGTCATCACTTGCTCAATCAACCCTGCAGATGCACAGTAACACAGGCGACAATACCCATATGCTACCAGACTTCACCTCGACTGTCATCAAGAGTCATGAGCGGATTCGTGTCGTTGGGATAGTGCTATGTTACGAACAGTGGCGCAGCGATATGCGCCACGGCAGCCTCGCAGAGCGAGTGCGCTACCTATCAGGCCTGGCACGTCTGCAGCACTTCTTCCGCGAATACGGTTGCCGTTATGGCTTCATCATCACAGAAATCGAACTCGTGTGCGTACGCTATGGCGGCGACGACATGATCTACGAGTTCAAAAGATCCGAGTCTAGTCCCTCGTTCACAGAAATTTCGTCTTCTGCTCCCATCCCCATCTTTGGTTACTTGGAAGTCAGTAACGCTATAGCTTTATCCGAGCAACACACGCGAAATGGCAAGGACTTTAACATGACAGCTGGGCTGGCGCTTTGGTACCTGCATATGCAGGCTTGTGACGAACCACTTCCGGGACATCAACATTGGAAGCTAGAGATCGGCAAACCTTCCGCCATGACGAGGAAGAAACACTTGGTCAGAGATGCAGGGATGCCCAAGCCGGTCTTTGTGGAGACGAGAAGGGCGAAGAGGATCAGAGGCTGGATCTGGCCAAATGAAGAGTTCAACAAGAAGGAATCTGGGAAGGGTAGGCGATCAGTCTTGGGGAAGTGATAGCGTGAAGTTCCGAAGGTCTTTCTGTTCACGGCGTTGGTAACGGTGTTGCTACGTATCAATGCGCAAGGCTATATATATATATATGTTTCTTACTTGGATCCTCTTCAACATGCTGTGGGCTCTTCCTTTCACGGCGTCATGTAGCGAATTCTCGGATATCCCATGCTCTTCCATGAATTGCTGGCTCAAGACCGATCAATTTTGCTCCCCCTCATCACACCGTCCTCATCAAACTCTGTGCGATCTATGAGAGTATCCGCTGCCCCTATCAGCCAAATACCACTTTTGCCCAGAACAGTATACCCAGCATCCAGTCTAATCTCAAACCACCTCATGATCCCTTCTTCCCTTCTGAGACTGTCCATATGACTGTAGACCTTATCGCTCATCTCTTCGATACCCATTGTAGAGTCTATTCCCTCAATCGTGTTTGCAAGGAACCTGATATCGGATTCAGTGTCTTCAGACCAAAAGCATCGGACCAGAGCTTTATCGCGCTCGGTGGCATTGTTCCAAGCAACCCTGATCTCAGCCTCTTGGAATGAATCAACGATATCATAGACCGGAAATAAGATAGTATTGTCATCTGCCGTTCTCTCATCAATGATACCAAATATATCGTCTGAGAGATTGTCGTATGAGTTTTCGCCTTGTCCAAGTCCTTTCTCGCCAAGCCTTGTATCCACAAACTCTTTAATCTCATCTAAAGAGTGGTTCAAGAAACCAGAGTGGAAGTCTAGCGATACAGCGTTTGTGGGTTTGGAGAAGGTTTGTTGCAGGGGGTCTTGGACGATTACCCAGTGGTTGTAGAATCCTTCGCCTAGGTGTAGGTTTGCGACTTCCTGTTGGGCGCTGTAGAGGACTTTGTTGATTACCTTTTTGGGTTGTGTTAGAAGGGCTTTTGGGAGATTTAGGAAAGGATTTATCATGCCTCGATTGAAACGTTTGCGGTCACGAAGAGGGGAGACCATTGTGAGAGGCTCATGGTGCAGTATGTGGTTTGTTTGTAGGCAAGATCGATTGTTTTGAGATTTGGATTCTAATGGGATCATACCAGTCCTTCATAAGCGCCGTCATCTTGCCAAGCATATGGTGATTGGTGGTGTTCGAGTTCTGCCTAGGTTAGCCGCCGTGCAGTAGATTATATGCAGGATTTAGAAGTATGCCAAGTAGAGAGGCGCGTGGGAAGTGGGTTGCATCAGTGTAGTATTCCAACCTGACGGAACGAGACGTGACAAGATTTGATTGACTCAAAATAGTACAAAGAAGAGAATGCATCAAGAGATGACTAATACTACAAGGATGGGAGAATGAACATGATGGTACCAGTAAGAAAACAGAATCTGAGCCCTTTCAATCCCGGTAGAACGAAATGTGAACATGCAGGAACACACAAGAACAACCACCAGCAAATGCCACCAGCTTGAGGCCCGATTCAACGACGGCGCGAAAACAAGCGACGCAGGCGAGACAGACGACCCACAGGTGGCGAAGCGACCGAGGAAACTGGGGTCAGAGGCGATGAAGGGCCTCGCCAAGGACCAGAGAAAGGACGGCTGAGGCGACGAAGAAGACCAGGTACCAAGACCACACCGGCATCTTCTCGCTCTGATGGTGTAAATGAGCGCTGTAGACGACCACGAGGAGTTGCTGTGTTGTTCTTGTAACCCGAGAGATCTTCAGAAACTCGGACCTTGTCATCGTCGCTACTGTCGAGATCGGGAGAGAGAACAAATGGCGAAGGCGGAGCTGGTGAATGCGAGGAAGAGACGTCTAGCTCCAGAGAAGCCTCATGCTGAATGGCACCACGGCGACGACGACCATGAGCAAAGTTGGCGCTATTGGTCATGAGAGAGCGCTCTTCAGGTGACATGGTCCAGAGGTCTGGTGAAAACCTATCGCTGCCGATGTTCGAGGGAGGATCGGGAGAATACGCATGAGCAGCAGCATTCTGAACTTCAGAGTACGGAGTACAAGGAGATGGATGACCAGAGGAGATAGCGCTGCGATGAATGCTATCATTAGAATCTGAAATTATATTCTCGTCCTGGTCGCAAGGAAGATTGACAGTTTTCTGCACGGCGACAGCACTGTCAGGCTGCAGGTGTGGTTTTGAAAGGTTAAGCTCCGAGAAGGATGAGTAGCGAGGACGATCAACTTCATGCGCAGCAAGATAGTTGTCCATCTCGGCAGGCAGGAGCGGAGATGCAGTGATCTTCATTTCGAGTCTCAAGACGACGTAAAGAAGGTAGAAGAAGGAGAGAAGAAGGGCAAGGATCTTGTCTAGCAAGATGTGCCTGGTGATGATGTGAAGGAGAGCAAAGCTGGAGATGGTAAAGACAGAGATGAACAACGAAAGAGGCAGATGAGGGAGCTGCTTGTGAGGACGAGCAGTATGCACAGCAGAGAAGAGAAGCAGGGTAATATAGACAAGAATGCAAACAGAAATGAATGTTGTCCCCAACCTTGAACAGTATGGTATCAATGGCCATACAAAGTCATGAGATAAAGAACAAAGAAGGATCGAAGAGCAGGGAACGATGCCCACTCTATGCTCTCTACGGAACAAAGGAGTCTTCTGAAAGGCATTGTATCGTCGAACAATGTTACAGATGGTTACTAAGAAGAGTAAGACTGTTCCATGCTACTCAAGCATATCTTAGACAGTGGATGAGACTTAGATCAGAGGCATTGTTATGGACAAGTGCAGAAGATCCAGCGCCAGATGTCTTGGGTTTGGCTACAATAGCCTCAGGCAGGAGAAGACGAGAGGATACTCAGTGCATGACTTACTGGAGATCCAGCTGCGCTGTGGACCGCCAACACTTGGAGAATGCAGCATGCCGAGACCAGTTGAGCGTGGACCGCCCATGATAATCTAGGCGCCGGGATTTCATTTTCGATTCACATATGTTGTTGACCGTCAACGCGACCACAAGGAACCAGACAAGAAAAGGCTAACTGCGGTGGACAAAAGATGATTAAGAAAGGGAAGGAGACGATGTCCGACAAGCCCTTAGAGACGCCATGGGTAAACGTCGGTACGCGAGTCATACCTGAGCGCGGCGTCGCAAAGGTAAAGCGAGTCAGGTTCGCGTTTGCTACAGATCCAGAAGAGGAAGAAACAAGCCCTCCGCCATCACCTTCACCAACTACCACAAAGGCAGCAACCATGTCGCTGTTCGGTAACCTTGGTGCCAACAAGCCTGCTGGCACTGGTAACCTCTTTGGGGCTGCAGGATCCACTCCTGCATCAACTCAACAATCAACTCCCTCATTGTTTGGCACTGCGCCGACTGGAGCTACTGCTACTGGAGCTTCTGGAGGTCTTTTCGGTGGACAGCAACAACAGAACAACAAACCTACCCTCTCGCTGTTTGGCAACAACGCCAGTACTGGAACTTCGACTGCAACCGCCCAACCTGCAACTTCTGCTCCCAGCTTGTTTGGCGGCGCGTCCAATGCTACACAACAGCCTGCTACCACAGCACCAAGTCTCTTCGGCGGAGCTAGTGCGGCACCTTCAAACAGCTTGTTCGGCGCCACCAACAATGCACAACCCTCGGCGAACACTCAGCAGTCTGCCTTTGGTGGAAACAACCAAGGTGAGACACAAAAGTTCCTCTGTGGTCAATCGATCACCACTAACCAGAATTCAGCACTCGGCGCAAGCACCGCACCTACTGGACAGCAAGAGCAGAATGCCAGACCTGTATACTTCGACAACCTGATCGAGCGCAACATTAAGAGACAGGGAGCTGAGGCTGGCACAAACACTGGCATGGGCGCATTTGGAGAATTGCCTACACTGCAATTGGGCTTGGGTGACATTCAGAAGAAGGTTCGCGGATTAGGCCAGCAGTATACACCTGACAGCAAAGCACACTATCTGCTTGCTGCTTCGGGTGTCAACACAGGCGCCGCCCTACGCGACCTGAACCTCTTCACAAACAGCGCTGCCGCAAAGGCCCCTGCACCCATCGCTGCGAACGATCCTCTGTACGGCGATCTTGATACCTACGTCGAGAGTCTTTACCAGAAGGAGAAGAAGGATCTTTTCGACGAGTTCATGGAAGATTCAAAGAGAGATTTCGACCGTTTCATCGAGGACAACTTGCAGTGCAACTGGGAGCAGAAGCGCAAGGAAATCTATGAGCACTTTGGCATTACTAAGAAGTCGGACAAGACAGAGGCTAGCTTTGAGGGATCAACCACTGATGGCGCACGCGGCGCATTTGGTCGATCCAGCCGCAGAGCACCCTTCGGTGCATCAACTGGTGCTTCAAGAATGGGCTCCAAGTCTGTGCTCGGAGCCACCGGCAGACAGACTTCGAGGACCAGCCAGTTCCCCGATGTGGCCGAGAAAGCTCCTGCTGGTCTACAAAACGTCAGCGAGAACCGTATGCTCAGAGACAAGCAGGACAAATACTCCAACAAGGTCAAGGAGCTCAACATTGCTCGCATCGAGGGTCGTCTTTACCCGCTCCTGCACAACTTCGTCGAGGTCGAGGCTCAGCCTTCGGCCGAAGACACATCAAAGCTCGTCGATGCTTACAAGGCCCTTGCCGACATTGTTGGCGAAAGCCCCGAATTCCAGACCTCATCCGACCCACGCGCCATCAAGGAGCGTCAATTTGCACAAGACTACCTCGACGACGCACCCAACTCGCGCAAGGCTTTCGATCTTCGTAAACGCATCATCGACGGCTCCAGACGTTTCCTCGAAAAGCAGTTCCTCTCCCAGCTCGAGACAGCCATCCTCAAGAATGCTAAGGAAGCTGCTCTTGGAGGTGTTCCTTCAATCATCAACAAAGTTCGTGCCTACGTTCGTCTACGTGCTGCTCGCAAGGAGCTCGGCCCCGACACCAGCGAGCTGCAAATGATCAACGACGACTACCCCTGGGTTCTCATCTTCTACCTTCTTCGCGCTGGTCTCGTCAACGAAGCTGCCGAGTATGTAGCCGACAACGAACGTGCCATCAAGGCTTGCGATCGCAACTTCCCTCTCTTCCTCGCAAGCTACGCGCGCAGCACCGACCGTCGCCTTCCTCCGGAGCTGCAAACCAGAATCAACAATACCTACTCTCAACGCGCACAATTCGCTCCCGAAAACAGTGTCGACCCTTACCGCATGGCCTGTTTCAAGATCATCGGTCGCTGCGAGCTTGGTAGACGCACACTCGATGGTATCAACCAGAATATGGAAGACTGGGTCTGGCTGCAGTTTGTGCTTGCCCGTGAGGTCAACCGTGTCGAGGAAACTGCTTCCGAGGTCTTCGGCCTCGACGATGTCAGAAACGTCATCCATGAAGTCGGTCAAAGACATTTCGTTCAAGGCGCTGAAGGTGCTGCTGGATATGGCACCTACTTCTTCCTTCAAATCCTGGCTGGTCAGTTTGAAAGCGCTATTGCTTGGCTGTACCCCAACAACTACCTCAGCGCTGTGCACTTTGCCATTGCTTTGAACTACTACGGTCTCTTGCGTGTCAACGACTACAGCAATTCTGAGGATCTCTTGTCATACACCACAAGCCAGAAACCCCAGATTAGCTTCGCTCATCTGGTCGGCTACTACACCAAGGACTTCCGCGCTCAATCACCCACCACTGCCGCTGACTACATTGCTCTGATCTGCTTGAACGGAGATCTTGGTGGTGAGATTGGACAACGCCAAGTCGCACTCTGTCACGATGGTCTTCGTGAACTTGTTCTTGAGACTCGCGAATTTGCTCAGTTGCTTGGAGACATTCGTTCTGATGGTCAACGCATTCCAGGTTCCATTGAACAACGTCTCAAGATCATCCGTATCGCCGACGAGAAAGCATTCTTGCGCTACATCACTATCAGTGCTGCCCAGATTGCTGACGACAATGGCCGTGTCACTGATGCTGTCCTGCTTTACCACTTGGCTGAGGAATACGATAACGTCATTACCATCTGCAACAAGGCTCTGTCGGAAGCTATCAGTGTCGAGCTCGGCGATGCCCCTCTACGCCTGACTCCGCTCAAGCCTCGCGATCCTACCGCTGCCGAGACTTCAGCATCTCTCAGTCTGACCGCTGTCGAGGACCCCTACACACTTACCCGCAACATGCGTGCCTTGTATGAGAGCAACCAGCTTCACGCCGCCAAGATCAAGCAGGTCAACCGCGAGTCTTGCACTCTCCTCCTCGGTATGGCCGAAGCCAAGTCTCTTGTCGCCGAAGGCCGCTGGGCCCTTGCTCTCGATGCCCTTAACAGCCTGAACTGCCTTCCCATCTCGGCAGGCGGTAACATGAGCCTGATCCGTGCATCCGCCAATGCCTTCAGCAACCTGCCTCCGCCAGTCGCTCGCAACATTGGCAACTTGCTCATCTGGACCATTACTTGCTGTGGTCAACAGCGCGAGTACCTTCGCTCATCGCCCTCAGGCTTCGAGGAGCGTGGTCGCGAAAAGGTTGCTGAGGACATCTTGCAGGTCGCTAAGGACACTATGGTCTTTGCTGGCTTGATCCAATACAAGTTGCAGCCCAGAGTGTTTGAGGTGCTTACTCGTGTTGGTGGCGACGTTGGTGCTTACTAGGACTTTGTTCTATTTCGCAATGGATGGGTTTGTTCGTTTAGCATATGGAGTTTCAGAGGCGTTCTTCTGTACAAAATCAAGGGAGTGGATAAGTGGAAAGCTTTGGGACTGATGATGGATAAGAAAAGGAGGTTCTTCAAAGTGGTGGAGGCTATGTGCCACCTCGCAGTCTAGCTAGATATACAGAAGTGCAAAGATTGGTCGCCAGCTCTCTCTATGCGGAGTGGGTACAGGACCCTTTCTCACTCAGACTTCCTTAACTTTTTCTTGCTTCTTGTCTGCGGCTGTTCTGCAGTGACTTCTGTCCAAGAGCCTCGGCATGTGTTTGCAAGGCTTTTCACTGGCTGAATGCATCTAGGCATCTTTGGCTACTTGTGGCCTGGTTTTTTAATGTGATCAAAGCCCATGGTGCAAGAGGCTCTGGACCGTGATTCTGCCTTCAGGCGATACGCATCCCTTGAAAGTCTGTGGGACGACTTTCAAAAATGTCTCCCCAACCTTTGTGCCAAGCTCAGTATCGAGCATCCATATCTTCAAGATCCAATTCCTCCTCTTCATCATCATCGAATGCAGGGACCTCTTTCTCCGACTCCTCGTCACTCTGGACCTCAAACTGATAGCCATCACGCCCAGCATCTGCCTGGTCTTTTTGCAAGCGGTCGCGAAGATTAGGTGTTTTGTTGCCATTCATGACTTGTTGCACAGATTCATCGATACCAAGCAGTTTCATCTGCTCAGCTGACAACTCGACGATAGTAGGTGCGTACTCGCCTGCCTCGTCGTCTTCGTCGTAGGTTGTATTATCCATCTCGACTTCTTCGCCGTCTTCGAGACTCAGCATGCCTGTGCGTGCGAAAGACCCCTGTTGTATTTGCCAACCTAGCGTTTCTTGTGTGTAGGCGAGGAGGTCGTCTAGTTCGTCTACCACATCTGCGTGGGCGTCTCCAGGTAGTCTGTCCAGTGATTTTTTGAACCGTAGCAGGAGTGATTTGAGGAATGTTGCGCCGTCGTCGCTGAGGTCAAAGAGACCAGTCTCGACGTCTTGGCCGTGTTGGAGTTGGAGCTTGATGGTTGCAAGCGCACGCACAAAGAAAGATGGTTGTGTGGTGACTGCACTGACACAAGTCAAGATGAGGTCGAGTATTCTGCGCCATTGCTCCAGACACGAGTAGTTGTTCAACGTCAACACCATGACGAAGCAGAACTGCAACTCGCCGATGATTTGATTCATGTCGTTGTTGCAGAAGCGTGATGTGAGATCTGCAAGGGCCCATGAACGGTCTTGTGCGGCTTCCGTACGTTCACGACCAGTTGCTCCTTCACGCCATGTTTGTTTGAGATCTACGGGCAGAACACGTAGCTCACGCTCGTTGCCAGTAAGATCGGAAGCAGAAAGTCCTGGAATGTCGTCAAAATCTTGTTTAGCGCTGCTAGATGATGTGAGTGTCCAGTTCTCAGCGTCCACATCTAGTATCCGCGCCAAAAGCGATTCAGAAATGCAGTCTGTAAGTTGCACCCAGCGATTTGTTTCTTCTGTGGCAACTGAATCCTGCGAAGCGCTTTGTCGATACGGCGTCAAATTCTCTCTCCAGATCCGTCCGAGATTTGCTCGCTGCTGTAAGAGCGTCGTCGTATCTGTTTCTGGCAACAGTTCCTCACTATTTGTGTCCCATTTGCGGATGAAAAAGTCTGGAGGCCCAGAAGCTGGTAAATTTACTCTCATCCACACTCCGTGGCGGACAGAGAGAGTACTGGTAGAGCCGACGAAGACAAAATGTAATCCAGGAGGTATGTTCTTGATGCCTTGAAATTTTGGCGTTGTGGTGAAGGAGAGTAGGTCCATGCCACCCAGAGCCGAGGGTGGCAGGTTTAGTAGTAAGATAGCTGGTGTGATGGCGTCCATATTGGGGATCTTATTCTAAACGATCTTGAGCGGTGATTATGGACCGGAATCTGATGGAATGATCGTTCGTTCTGCCAACCAAAGCGACAAATGCTTGGTGCTGCACGCAGTAGACGAAAAGTTGTGGAGGTGAAGATGTCTGAGGATCTCTTGGTGGACGGCGAGTGCAACCACAGAGCTTATCGCTGGTTCGTACGAGATAATCGCCACTTGATCTTCACACTTCTGATCCGTGAAGTTACATGAAAGTTCTGACTGACATATCATGGAAAGAACGATGGGCGCTGGCGATGGAGACAAATACTCCCCCGAGTCATGTCTATTCTTGCTGACTCAAGCATCTGAGCGAGGCAAGTCTTGGCACCTACTGCCATACGCGCCTACTCTTGCTTTGCCTTTTTGGTCGATATTAATGCGAATAATCTGACGAGAATGTTGAATGTTCGTTCGCCTGCAATCTCCTGTAAGGCAAAGTTGACTTTGGGGTCTCGGGATTCATGTTTGCTGCTTTCAAAAGCACTTGACACGGAGGCTCGTCAGCCCCGTCAACTTGGTACTGTTCGCCATCTGAATATTCGCCATGTGATCACTCAGAGAAAGCCTTCTAAGGTTACCACTACCGAGAGAAGCCTTCCTCAGAAGACTATCAATAGTCGAAAACCTGCAAGACAAGCCACTGTGCCTTACGACAATTCTCTCGATAAGCGGACTTCAGCAGCACTGCAACATCACAAACACCTGGATCGTGTCAACGTCAACAAATGGCGTTCAGATCTCGTTCTACCGCCCGATGCCTTTTGGAAGAAGTGGGAGAATTTACTGAACCCCAGTGATGCTGGCGGGCTTGACACAGCTCTCAGGTTTGTGGATCGCTGGCAAGATGCATCAACTAAAACAAGTTTTCGTGTCGAAAGACATGAATTCTCAACTACTGGTTCCATATATGAGTGTACCTCCCACGCCTCGCTGGCTCTATTGGGAGTTCGCACAACAGTGTCCTATGGTTATAGTAAGGTACGTCTAAGACTGTTGGAGTGTCACGCCTACTGGAACTGATCACATTTTTCACAGCAAGAGGCATTTGACAACCAGCACCTTGCACGAGTCTCACAATTGTATCAACTTGGCGAGCTTGATACAATCTATCAGGGCACTATGGAATCAAGGAAGCTCATGGGAGTGCGTTCTCTGCCTTTCTGTACACCCTGTACAATTACTAAGTCAGTGTACAGCTATATGAGTGGGCTGCAAGGTACGGCTTGTTCCCAAGATTCGACATCAAAATGACCGACGACCGACCCGACGCTCAATATCGAATCACCTTGGCTGTACGAACGTGGAACGTCAAAGCTGTTTCAACTGCCCCAACATACATTGAAGCCTTGGCTACTGTCATAACAACATACGATGACTCTGTCAAGAAAGACGGTGTCAGTATTCCACTGACACCAGGAGCCACCTCAGAGAGGCTGGAACATCTGGACCTAGGGACCGCAGGCCGAGCTTTGAAATTCGTCACGGAGAAACTCCAACCTCGCGACTTCCGACGATGGACCATGAAACTCGACAGACCAAGGCCACAATGGGCTTACAGAGTTGTAGTCGACGGATGCTATAACCCTGAGATCCCGATGCTACGTAAGCGCGACGCATATTACGTTGGAACCATCACTGCAGTGGTGCGGATCTTGCAGCGCTTCGGTTTTGATCTGATGGAAGGGTTTGAGGAGTACCTCGAGGCAACCAAGAATGACGCCAAATCGAGGTCCTCAAGTGGAGAGGGAGAGGTTGAGATTGCTGACCAGTCTGACAAGAGCTCTTGCGAGGGATCTGACCACGTTTCCGCGCACGCTGTCCTTCAAGAATGGTTGAGGGTGCGAACGAAAAGATGACGGACACAGCTACACAACGAAGTGAGGCGAGATCTTGGGAAACCTTGAGAAATCACGTTTTCATACATGAGCAGGGTTACCCTGGCGACTTTTGGGAAACATGCTCAAGAATCGAGGCAACTCATGTTGTATGTGAGCCAGTGTGACCCCGGCTGGCAGAACGTCTGATGAACTGCTCTGCTTTGTATTTCTGCTTGACAAACCTTCTTGTATCTTCAGTGTATCCGTTCTTGACGAGCTCAGCATGTTGCCGACAAGAGCTGAACGAAAGCTTGAGCAATTTCGTGGGAGTTCTCTCGCACGGAAATTTTATCATGAAAATGACACGAAACAATGCGTTGTTCGTTTAATTCGAAGTGAATTTTGATATACATTCAATGTATCTATGGGTATAGAGATTGTCCACTCTCAATGAGGCGAAACAATCAAGTCATAAACATTCCTCCGCCATGATTACAGACGGGATCGAAAATTCGTGAAAAGTAGACAAGGCGAGACAATTAGGTGGACTTGGAGGTCTTGTCCTTGGCGGCCTGGTCGAGGGGACCGGTGGGGTTGCTCTCAAGACCGCTCAACTGGTTGTCCGAGGCCTTCTTGGAACCCTCAGAGGGCTGGGCACCGTGGTGGGCGTTGCCAGAGGTGGGCTCGGCTTGCTGCTTGCCGCTCTGGTTCTCGGGGTCGGGGGACTGACGGCCGGCGTTGGGTGCAGACATTGCTGTTGGGCTGTTTGTTAGAAACACGTCGTGTGATGGGATGCGTTGAGGAAGGTGGGGTTGGCATACTGAAGGTGTTTTGGGGTTCTGAAAGAGCTGTTAGTGTCTTTGCTTGATGATGTATCGATGCGAGAAGCTTACTTTGAGGGTTTGGGAGATGGAGAAAGTTGATTTATTGAGTGAGATGTTTGTTGACAGAAAGGAAAAAGAGCAGAGGTCGTGGTAGATGTAGCTCTCCCTCCCAGCCCGCCGATGATGTTGTTAGTGTGGGGCATCTTTGTGACGTCAGAGCTCGTTCTTTCCTTCAGCCTGATTTCCCGCTGTCGGCCTTCGCTCTTGCTTTGCTCACTTGTCGGCTTGAAATATTTCTTTGCAAATTGCCGGACGGCTTGCTCTACGGGTTTTGTGTATTCTCATAACATCTTCCGTCTGCAAAAACCGCGTGGCTTGCTATTCCAGGCATCTAGAGTCCGAATTCCATCTCCCGATCGTTCGACAAACCCCGCGATCATGGCGACATCACGCCGCAGTCTTCCCGAATTGTTGACATGGTCTTCTTCCTCAATTTTCTCGAGCTCGCTCTTGAACGACATGACATAAAAGTTGATACAAAGAAGACCCAGTCAAATGTGAATCATAAGAAGAAAATGATTTGGACCTTCTCGTCCAAATGTTCACGACAGCTTTACAGCTCACTCGCCTAGAGAGGCTGGAATAAAGGCCATGGTGAAACCGTAGTTGTGCTATGCTTCACAACCTCATTCGGGGAGTGGAGCGTGGTGTCTTGGTCTTGACATTTGCCTATGCATTTAGGAGACGAAATACCCTCAACCCCTCACTACTCATGGTTCACTGTCAGTGAGAGTTTCCGGAATGAATCGCACTGATAGAGAAAGGTAATTGACAGGCTCGGGTCCGTCGCGTGGTTTCTGAGTGAAGGTCAAAACACATTGCTCAGACTGACGCAGATTGAAATTGACTACAAAGACTTCAATGCACAACACCAAGGGCATATGATTCAGACGCCCTGATCACTGCCTCTACACACATACAACGACTGACCTTATCATCCTCTCATCGCTCTCAATCATCCTCTCATCGCTACAAGTACGGCTCATCGTGCATAGCATATTCGACCACGACGTTCCCTGTAGCGGTGAAGGCGATGAGCCAAGATCCGAATACCGTTATCGAAACTAGACCTATGCAAAAAAATGGAGCCAGCCAAAGGTCATTCCACGAAGGTATGAAAAGCCTACGCACACTACACGATGCTGTGTCTGACCACATGTTTGCTTCCAGAACACTGACAACCCCATGTCGGCTTCCATGCTTGCTCTCCCAGCTGAGATAATGTTCAAGATATTCGGAAATTCCAGTTTGACTGATAAAGACCTTGCCAACCTGCGTCGCGTGTGCAAATGGACCAACCTATGCGCAACTGAAGCATTCGCGAAGGAACGTTTCAAGAAAGGTCTTCGTCTGGACTTTTATGCTCAAGAGTTTGAGCGTCTTGCGGCCATTTACTCCTCCAATCTTGCTCCGTTCCTCGAGTGTGTACATTTCGTGCGAAACTTCGACCTCCCCTCGATCAGAGCCTACCCAAAAGCGCATCCAGACTATTCTGCACTCAAGAACATCGATTTCGAATCCTCCCTCAGCGACCCAGGCTCTCCGAGTGCTTTGGAGGAGTTGTTGGGACAAGCAAAGCACCTTGAGACTTTCTCATTCAGCACTTACAACAATCCCGGGGGTATCGACAGGATGGCTGGATATTATTATGATCGTGGCAGAGAGAGAAAAATCCGCGACCGCGAACAGGTGGACGCGATATTCTCCAAGCTTAATTCTGACCGTCTTACTGAGCTCAATCTTGCACATGTCATTTTTTCGGTCAGAACGCTCAAGGCTTTACTTGAGAGACATTGTGGTACCATTCGCAAGCTATCATTCCTTGCATGTGGCCTCAGACGCGGAAGCTGCGCTGGTCTACTTCTATGGATTTCTCAGAACCTTCCCTGTCTCGAGGAAATCGAGCTGCGAGACGTCTATGAGACCGCTTGGGGTGCATTCACATATGTCGTGGTGGAAATGGTCAAGAAGTCCGGCAAGGAGAGCATCAAGGCTTACGTCGCCTCTCTACAGAAACAGAATAAATCGTGATCATGGTCAATCAGAGGACCATGGAAACTCAGGAGAGATCTAGAGTTTGGACGAGCACTCTTAGCCAAAGATACGCAATCATCACGAACTGATTGAATGCACAGTATTTTACATTGCCTCTACAGCCACAGGGAGAGCGACTTTGAGGCTCGGGTAACAGCAATAGATAGGTAGCTTCCACAAAAATGCAATATTGTCCGCAAGGCGGAGCCTTACTCACTGAAAAACATTTCCTCGATCACTTTCGGCAGGCACGAGTCACTCTCTGAGTGAAAGGCGAGCCGAGGCGACTTGCCAACTCAAGCAAGCGCAACCCTTCAAGCACTTTCGACATCTACATGATCGACTGAAAGTTTGTCCACAACTCACAACGAGAACCACCAACAAGACCACTCTTTTCTCGCTTGTCGCATCCTCCATCGTGAAAACCTTCAACTCCTTCCATCATCCAGAGACCAAGCATCGCACCATCGTCAAAGCGGCGAAATGGCTACATCACCATCTCTCTTCGGATTGCCCAACGAGCTCCTTGCTATGATCATTGATAGTGACGATCTCACTGTCAAAGATCTTGCGAATCTACGTCTTTCTTGCAAGCACACCAAACACTTTGCTTCGAGTGCTCTCGGAAAGCGGATCTTCGTCGACTTCGATGTTCGGTACACGCGCGAAGCATTTCACTGGTACACAGCTCTTCTGCTCTCGGATCTAGGCGGCTATGTACGATCCGTGTCTTTGATCAGTTCTGGCCCTAGACTCCAAAGGTCTTACCCACTCAGGAAGTACGTTAAGAAGAAGATTGGAAATGAACCTACGTACTCGCAGCTGCAACACCTAACAATTCAGTGGTCTGGCGGACCTGTTCGTTCGTGGGAGAGGGCTGTGTGCGCGGCGAGCCATCTCAAGACCCTCAGACTTGCTATCCCTGATGAAATTTTCATGCAACTTGGAGTTTTCCGTCACACATTCGACAGAAATGATGAGCTTTTGGGTAGCATCAAGTCCGACTCCCTCAGTACTGTAGTATTGGCTCGCCTCCATGTTTCTGCCAGTGTCCTCAATCAGTTGCTCGACCTTCACAAGGAAACTCTCTCCACTCTCGAAATCAGAAGTTGTTTACTCGTGGATGGGAACTGGCTCGAGATGTTGGAGTGGATCAGGTTGAACCTCTCACATCTTCAGACTCTCTATCTTGACGTTCGCCATGAGGCTGTCAAGAAGAAGCTTTCTCGCTACCAGCAACACACAATTGGCATATCATACGGCAGTTCGTACCTCGAAAGTAGTCCGTATGCTACTAAAACATACGAGGCTTCTCTCAGACTCAGGTTTGGGAAACAAAAAGACATCGAAGATGGTTTGTTGGCATTTTTAAAAGCACAAGAAAGAGATCAGGCTCAGTGAACCTCTACCCGACTAGACCAGATTGTGGTGAGTGCTCTTCTCTCAACTTGTCCCGGAGAGTCATCGTGTCTTTGTCCTATCTGCTGACTCAGTCTCGACTCCTTATCAGCTGCAACGAAACGGCGCCAATTCTGGTAAGCCTGAGCTTTCCAAGGTGTGCGACATCCTACATCCGATGACAGTACTGTTGGCAGCTCATCGAAGTCCGATTCACTGGACTGCTCCATCACTCTCAATACACAGCACTTTTGCTTCTCTTTTCATCAAGCTTCCTGCCATATCTCCACCTTTCTTTACATCAACATCTTTGTACCCATACTTGCGATACAAGAAGTTGCCTGTGGGAGATGCTTCAACCCATGAAGGCAAGAACAAGAGATCCGCAAGGTTACAGCCCCACTGCAGCATCATAGATCCGATTCCTCTCCGCTGGTAATCTGGGTCTGTGAAGCAGATATGCAGTTCTACAAATTTCAGATCAGTAATCATAAAGAAACAACCAACAAACGGAGAGAGGATGCAACATTAATGACGAGGAATTCAAGTCGATAGCTCACGACAAAGAAGGAATGAAACTCACGACAATAAGGTTCCGTAAACAACTCCTTCCTCTTCTCCATAATATCAGCCATAACCTCCTTACACTTTTTCAACTGCTCGTGATTGCCCTCCAACCATGCCCATCCCATATCCTCTTCTTGATGTTCTGGCACATTACTCATATGTACCCTCCAATTACTTGCACCCACAATCTCTCCAGTAGCTTTGTCTTCCACTTTTATCCATATGTCGCTGGGATTGGAGTGGAGGATTTTTTGGTAGTGAGAAGAGAGGTTTGCTTGGCCTGAGGGAGTACCGGGACCCATGAAGAGATCGCGGATGAAAGGGTCGGTGAAGGTTTTGAATTCGCAGGCCACGATGCGGGAGAGATCTGTGGATGTTGCCCGCGAGAGGATGAAGGGGCCATTTGTGTTTTTTGTTGTGGCCATCTTCAATCTTCTCTTGATTTTCTCCCGACGGTCAAGAGTATTCTGGATATAGAGGAGATATCCGATGGGTCCAAAACTTTCGTTGTCTGATGAATGGTGATTGAAGAGGTGAGGGGGAGTCGCTGCTATATATGTTGCTTGTATCAGGCTTCATGCAAGTATCCGCGTGCAATTCCGAAGTTTGTGGCACAGCCGGGTGAATTGTTCTTTCCTGCTTTATAGAATCTCGCGAGGCAGCAAGTAATAAAATGGAAGTCGCATCATCGAGAAAGAGGCGTGTCATCACAAAGATCGGCAGTCAGATTGCCATTTTGAGTCAGCCTAATCAGGAAGGAGACGGTCATCCTATCTACTCAGGCCTTCTAAGAATCCTCCTCGAAACTGCCAACCATACAGATGAGAACCAAACATTTTTGGTCTGCTACTTCATAGGAGGTAACCCAACTTGACAGACAATCAACTTCTAAACGCAAAACAACTTTCACCACACTCATACCCAAACACATCCACAAACCCACACAATACAACAACCTCAACCCTCACACCGACACGACCTACCCACGACGGATATCAACAACCGGACCTTTGTAGACATGCCTTCCTTTGACAATGTAATACACGACCGAGATAATAGCCACTCCACCAAACATAACACAACCATAATTCATCGTCTGCACCGTAACGACAGCGAAAATCGGGAAGAAGCTGATGATAGCTTGCTGTATCATGTACAAGACAGCAAAGGCATTGATAAAGATCCCAGGAACACCGAGATCAAATCGTCCTTGTGGCAGAGGTCGTTTGCAGATCTTGCGCCATAGTACGCATGCGATACTGATGGAGTATGAGAAACCGCCAGAGCCGGCAAGGAGGCCGACGATTGAGTTGAACGCTGTTGTTGAGCCGAGATTGATGAGTGCGAGGACGACTGTGATCGAAAGCGAGAACGTGATGGCGTTGAGAGGAATCGGTGTGCCAATGGTCACAATCTTCGCTTGTCAGCTTGATCAACTCGTGACAGATCTTGAAGGTTTTTACTCACCTGTCTGAACCATCCAGAGAAAGGCATTCCTTTGTCACGAGCAAAAGAGAAGATCTGACGTGATCCAGCAGCGACAACACTCAACGCCGCGAAAAAGTTGAGAAGGACGAATAGTGTTGTCATAAGCGTTGCACCAACATCAGAGCCAATTGCCTGCTGGAAGATGGAGATGTACGGATATATCGCCATATTGTTTGCGACCATCGTCTCATAATCAGTAATGCAGAGGACAAAGGTAATGATTGAGACAAGACCCATTGCACCGTTCAGTAGGATGGTCGCAAGCATGACACGAGGAACCACATAACTCGCATTAGCAACTTCTTCAGCAAGATGGGCCGGAGCATCGGATCCTTTGACATGTCAGTAAGCTAAGCATTGGGAGAGTGATAGCACTAACCTCCAAGAGAGCCCACAGCAGTGAGCTGCCCAATTACCACCGCAGCTCCAATGCTGCTCCAGCCTCCAGTGTTGGCAAACGAAGTAAACGCTTCTTTCGCCGAGACCTTGGGAGCAATGACCCAAAGTGGAATCATAACAGCAAAAAATCCAAAAACGTGCAGGAACAATACGGCCGCTTCGAGCAGAGGTAAATGTTTTGCTCCTAGAGTGTTGACCATCACAGCCAATACCGCCATCGCAATTGTCATGAGCGTGCCATGCCAGAGTGCTGGTGTGTACGTAGGGTGCATCGTAGAGGCGAGTTCGAGGATGATGTTACCGGCAGCGAAAGAGGTAAGCGCGATTGATGCTTGCCATCCCAGTGCAGAAAGCCATCCGACAAAATAGCTAAGAGACTTTTGAAATCTTGCAGGAGCGAACTCGCTCGTCCCTGTTTCAAACAACAAGATTAGAGTGACTCCGAGTTGGGTATGTCTACATCATCTCTTACAGTGGTATTGTCCGCCTGAGGTAGGTGCCATGCTGGCCATCTCGGCAAGAGACAGAGTGACAGAGATAGTACAGATCCATGTCGCGATATAGGACCAGATAGACCCAGCAAGACCGCCATTAATCAAGCTGAAACTTGCAGATCCTATCAATGCTTGCCATGTCGCCATGCTTGAGCCTGGTTAGCTAGACCATAGGCTGGAGTAGGGTAGATGTGAGCATACAGAACACTAGACAGTCCCAGCATTGAAAAAGCATGGAAGTTTCTCTTGAACTCTTGCTTCTTCCCCAGTCGCATCATATCGGCGGCATCTCGAGCAGTCCCAGACTTGATCCCTTGATTTGATTGCATATCATATTCTTTCTCACTGAGTGGTGTTTGAAGCTCGTAGGCTTCATTCTTGTTGTCGAGCATACTGAATCCAACTACTTTGAGTGATAGAGCGGTGAAAGTGTCATACGGTGGGAGATGTGCCCATCATATACACGGGATGACAACCCGGTTAAATATCAATTGGGCGGCGATGCTCTTCTTTCTTGGTATTCTGCACGGTGGTCTTGATCAGTCAAGTCCGCGACCTTTCCGAACGCTTTGAACTGCACTTGTAGATTGCTGCACATGGCCGAGCTTTCCTGGGCGTCGCGGGTGCATGCACAATATCGCGCCTGCCGTAGCTCGTCAAGAATGTTGTACAGAAAGCGCATCGTATGGCGTGAGCAGCTGCTTGTGCTCGTATCAATGCAGCGATGCTTACAAGTGTGCATGGATGTGCGTGATACTAGCTTAGCGCTGCAGTCATCTGCGAACATTTGCTTCAGCGAAGACTTGATCACAGGAGCGAGTTCAGAAGTCAGGATGGTAGCGAACGTGGGACAGATGCTGTGCTTGCGTTGCGCAACCCGGAACCTGCACTCCGTTCCAAAAGCGAGATTTCTCTGACCATATTTCAGGCCAGCGATTTCGCATATCGTAATCCAGTCCGTCGTCGCCGAACGGAAGACGGACTACAAAGATCTTACATTTTCTTTACCGAAACAGTAAAAGTACATGCAATCAGAAGGAAAGACGAGCACGTCCTGGCTATGTGTGACAAAGCTGATACCAGGTGAGTGGTGCCTGTTCTACGTGAACGGATCAAGGAAGCACCAATTTCAGCAAGGCCGAGAACACAAACTCCACGTGCGGTGTTGCACGACCTTACGTTTGCCACCCTCTGAGAGACACGCGGTATGTCGCACAGAAGCTAGATAATCCACAGGATCGTGTAGCATCCAGGATGAGATTCGGCGGAAATTGCAATACCGAGTTTGTCTAGGTTCATCATAACCAGGAAAGCATTACGTCTAGGAATGCCACCCATCGTCCTTGACAGCTGCAACGGGGCGAACTACACTTGCCGCTTGCCGCTGGGAGCACAAGTTAACCTTCAAGTTGTGGGCACCCGTTCAGGTGCGCTTCCAAGAACTTGGGAATAGACCTTGGTTGCAACAAAGGGTTTTGTGTTTTCAAGTCGCACTTCTGGTGGGCGCAACCGACAAAGTCCTTCAGAAGTACAAATCGCACAAGCCAGCCATGTACTGCTTTGAAAGAGATGACTTTGACTAAACAATCTTGGCCTCGGTTTTCACTGCCCCATATAAAGGATGACTCGAGATGGTGTTCGGTGTTACGCTTACCTTGTGTTCAGGCCTTTCGTCCTTAAACCATGTCGACGCATGCATCTGACCTTCGCTACTTCGCACTGAGAATTATCCTCGCCGGATTTCATTATCAGATGGCAGCAGAAAATTTGACATCAAGGCCTGTCATCACGGCCACGAACCATTCTGCGTTCATTTTTATCGCAACAGCTCTGTGTCTGGTTTGTATGCTACTTTTTCTGAGCACTCGACTAGTCGTTCGATATCCATGGAAGCGATCTCTGGGACCTGACGATTGGACCACGCTTTCAGCTTCGGTCAGTCCGGAAGTCCGAAATCGAGGTAACCAAACTGACTTTTTAGGTGTGCGCGTTATGCCAGAGTGTTGTTCTGCTGTCAAGTGCAAAAGCTGGGCTTGGAAAGGCCGAATCAGAGCTGTCACCGTTTCAATTGAGAATGGCTCTCGAGGTAGGGCTCCTAGTTTGTTTCCGCCAATGGCTTCAACTGACCTGGGTCAGCTTCTCTATGTTAGCGATCTCCTTTACATTCCAAGTATGTTCCTCGCACAGCTCGCAGTCAGCCTCTTCTTCTTGCGATTGTCTGGCCCCGAAAAAAGTTTCTTCCATCGGCTCGCTCGCTTTATAGCAGGAGCGTCAATGGTCTTTGCAATCGTGTGTTTTCTCATGATCGCCATCCGAGTTGAAAATGGTGTACACGTGTGGGAAATCGTGGTGGTTGGGCATAGAACGATCGTGAGTATCGCGAAGTATTTCGCGGGAGAAGACAACCTGCTGACATTGCCGCAGCTTCATCGATGGATCGCAGCTGGTGTGTTGAGTATCTTGATTGAGATTCTCCTGATCATCTGTCCGGCATGGCTTTTGTGGACGCTGCACATGCCTACGAAGAAGAAACTGGGCTGTGCAATCTATTTTGGCCTCCGCTTTCCGTGAGTCCCATGGCTATTTGTTCTCAGATGGGCGCTGATGTGTCAGAACGATAATGGTGACGATTTTCCGACTACTTGCGTTGGTCAAGGCGAACAGGGGAGTGGACCGCACCTTCGACATGACAGTGCCAGCGGTTCTGACACAACTCGAGATGCACTTTACCGTTCTGGCGGCTACTATACCGATCCTCCGAAATCCTCTTACCAAGCTAAACTCTGGGTATCTCAATACAACGTTGGAGCGCATGGACCCTGTAGCAAGTGCAGCGTATGCATCGTCTCGATCAGGCAGCAGTGGTAAAGGGCCATCTTTTGCCCTGTCGCAGGTGACGGGTAGCGGACGGCGAAATGATCCAGTGATTGAGCAGAGAGAAGGAGAGGGTATCGAGACGACTGCTGAAAGAGGATCTGAGACGATCGAGGAAGGTCAAAGTGTGTTGTCTGAAGGCTCTGACCAGATCATGATCAAGCGAACAGTCATGATAGACTATGCGTGATTAAGTAAGGATTGGTCTATTGTCAGATGTTTAATCATGTAAAGCAGCTTCTCTTTGCTTAGCATTCTCGTGTGCGCCATGCGGTATTTGTTTGCATGTGCAGACGACAGTTTTGTCGGAAGCAGCAAAGCCGAAGTCATGTTAATGTCTAAAGAGATGGTCGAGGTTGTCGCGCACGCGCAATGGGAGAAGTCGGAAGGAGTTAACAAGGCGCGGAGATAAGCCGACGCAATCCGAGACCTACGTAATTGGCTTTTTATTCGAGGAATTGCTACAACCAGTCGAAGCAACAGCAATTGGCATAGTAGATGAATGAAAAGCTACAAGGACTGCAATTTGGTCACAATCTCTCAACATGCGCGAGATGAATAATAATGATGAAGAGATTGGTGGATGGATGAGCGTGGTTCGAGTCACTTGTGGTCAACTACCCCACTCTCGAGGCGCCGGGGACATGGAGGCAGCGAAATCGGAGGCAAACGATCCAGACGCTTGGCATGCAGGTCGCACTCCCGTAAAACTAAAGCAACAGCAAGAGGCCGCTGGCGAATATTTTTGAGTCATCCGTCCAGCCAGCCTCTAAGACACCACCAGAGGCGTCAACCAAGTCTTGTCTCCTCACACGCACACACACGCTGTTCGAGGAACAATTGATCAAGATGCTCTCATCACAAGCCCCGAACCGCGCTTTCCGCTTGTCGCTCCGTGCTCGCCACTTTTCCACATCGCGTCCTGTCGCTGCCGTCTCGCCATACAGATCAGCCAATCCTGCCACAAAGTCGCAAAAGAAGGTCGAGAAGAGAGAACAAAGCACTGCTGCCGCAGCTCAGTCTTCGCCAGCGCGCACCATCCCTAGCCCTGCCTTCAACCGCTCCGTCAAGGAAGATGTCCAGCCTCTCCAGGCCTTCAGACAGCCCGAGATGGGCCACTCGTTCGTCGGCATGAACGGTGGTCAGATCTTCCACGAGATGATGTTGAGACACGGCGTCAAGCACGTCTGTGAGTAGCCCACACCACAATTCGAACATGCCTTGGACACGCAACTAACACGCGCATACAGTCGGTTACCCCGGAGGCGCCATCTTGCCCGTCTTCGATGCCATCTACAACTCAGAAGCCTTCGATTTCATTCTTCCCCGTCACGAACAAGGTGCTGGCCACATGGCTGAGGGCTACGCCCGTGCCTGCGGTAAGCCTGGTGTCGTTCTCGTCACATCTGGTCCTGGAGCCACCAACGTTATCACCCCTATGCAAGATGCTTTGATGGATGGAACTCCCATGGTTGTCTTCTGCGGTCAGGTGCCCACCACCGCCATCGGATCAGACGCCTTCCAAGAGGCTGATGTTATCGGTATCTCAAGAGCCTGCACAAAGTGGAACGTCATGGTTAAGAACATTGCCGAACTGCCGCGCAGAATCAACGAGGCTTTCGAGATCGCTACCTCTGGCAGACCTGGTCCCGTCTTGGTTGATCTGCCCAAGGATGTCACTGGTGCCATGCTCAACCGCCCCATTCCCATGAGCAGCACTCTCCCTACTCACCCTAGCGCCGCCTCTCTCGCAGCAAAGGACTTGAGCAGGAAACAGCTCGACTCTGCCATTTCCCGTACCGCTGACCTCATCAACATGGCCAAGAAGCCCGTCATCTACTGCGGTGCTGGTATCCTTGGTCACCCCGATGGCCCCAAGCTCTTGAAGGAGCTTTCCGAAAAGGCTCAGATCCCCGTCACTACCACTCTCCAGGGTCTCGGTGCTTATGACGAGCTTGATCCCAAGGCTCTCCACATGCTCGGTATGCACGGTTCTGCCTTTGCTAACATGTCCATGCAAGAGGCAGATCTCATTCTTGCTCTCGGCGCTCGTTTCGATGACCGTATCACTGGTCACGTTCCTCGCTTCGCCCCCCAGGCTCGCCTTGCCGCTGCTGAAGGCCGCGGTGGTATTGTCCACTTCGACATCATGCCCAAGAACATCAACAAGGTCGTTCAGGCCACTGAGGCTGTTGAGGGCGATGTTACTGAGAACCTCCGCAACCTCCTTCCCCAGGTCAACACCATTGCCGAGAACGAGCGTAAGGAGTGGTTCGCCCAGATTGCCGACTGGAAGAAGCGTTTCCCCTGGGCTTACGAGAAGGAGAGTGGCCCTGAGTCGCTCATCAAGCCTCAAACCGTCATCAGTATGCTTTCTGACTTGACTGCCCACATCAAGGACAAGACCGTCATCACTACTGGTGTCGGCCAACATCAAATGTGGACCGCTCAGCACTTCCGCTGGCGCCACCCTCGCACCATGATCACTTCTGGTGGTCTTGGTACGATGGGTTACGGTCTTCCTGCCGCCATCGGTGCCAAGGTTGCCTGCCCTGAGAAGCTTGTCATCGACATTGACGGTGACAGCTCTTTCTCCATGACCTTGACTGAGCTTTCCACCGCTGCTGAGTTTAACATCGGTTGCAAGGTTCTTGTCTTGAACAACGAGGAGCAGGGAATGGTCACACAATGGCAATCCCTCTTCTACAATGACCGCTTCGCCCACACTCACCAGCGCAACGCTGATTTCGTCAAGCTTGGTGATGCTATGGGTGTTCAAGCCCGCCGCTGCACCAAGATCGATGACCTCAAAGACAGCCTTCAATGGCTCATCGAGGGCTCTGGTGAGGGTCCTGCCCTTCTTGAGGTTGTTACCGACCAGAAGATCCCCGTCTTGCCCATGGTTCCTGGTGGCTCTGCCCTCCACGAGTTCCTTGTCTACGACGAAGCCAAGGAGAAGGAGCGCCGTAAGCAAACAAGAGAACGCAGTGGAAGATAAGCTCGCTTCCTGATGCGATGAACTATCTCCTATCCTTCTCTTCTTGTGTAAATTCCTTCAGCCTTCCTTTCGTCATGACTTTGTGGTGTTTTTCGAGCATATCTGGCAGCGGAAAAAGAATGCGGTTTTTTGCGGGCGTTTTATATCTATGGTCACCTTATGTTTTGCTTGTTTCACTCTGAAAAGCAGGATCAGAATGCAAGAGCTGGATATCCGGTCCTTCTGGTGAACAAAAGTGTTATCTTTCCATCATTTATTCGAAATTGTCTTCCGCATTAGCGTTTGGCGAGAAGCAAGAGAATGCAAATGAAAGCGTTTTACATATCATCATCAGACATACTGTTTGCAGATATCCATCGCCTGCTCTATGCATGAATTTGGGACTACGTGAAGGTTGGACACCTGAGGTAGGGGTCGCACTTGTTTCGTCTGCAACTAGCTTTCAGGTTGGCAACGTCGGCCTGAGGTTTGCCAACTTGATCATCATCACCAGATTTGCTTACGGCAGATAATACTTGCAACGACTCTTTCTTCGAACTCATACTGGGCAGTCGTCAGTGTGACTCAAGCAACATGCGATTTGAGGTATGAGCAACTGCATACATTGGCGGGGCAACCAGGAAGGCACCACTCGCTCATGAAGTAGGCACCAGCATAAACATGAACAACAGCGCTTGCTTCAAAAAGGCTTCAGGTATCTTTGAAAACCCAAAATCAAACACACATACGTTCTAACCATCATGGATCAATTCTACCTGAAAAATGCAGCGCTCTACCAGACTTATGTTGACAAACTGGATCCCACTAAGTCTCCATCACACTTTATGAATCAGCCTCCTCAGCCGACAAACAAAACAGCAGACAACAGCAATCCAAATATGACCATCAGCGTTCGGATACGTCCGATGCTAGAAGACGACATTTCTTCTGGCTTTCCTTGCGCTATCTATCCGCGTCCTCATGATCTAACCGCCAAGCAACAAACCTTAGATCTTCATGATCTCTACAATCATCCTCGAAGACCTCGTCCCATCATTAAGTCTTCAACGCATAAACTTCAAAATGTTTTTGATGCTAGTGCAAGTACAGCGCAAGTTTACGATGAGGTTGTGCGTGATCTAGTCATATCTGCTGCAGACGGCAAACTTGGTACTTTGTTTGCATACGGACAGACTAGTTCTGGCAAGACTTTCACAGTGACAGAATTGCAGAAACTTGCTGTTGCGGACTTGCTGGACCGCCATTCCGAGCTCCATGTTACTGTCGTCGAATTAGCAGGCAATGTGGCCTTCGATCTCTTCAACCAACGTGAGCGAATTGCCGTTCTTGAGGACGCAACTGGAACCACGCAACTCGTCGGAGCCATCGAGCATCAAATCAATACCAAGTCTCAGGGCATCGAGTTACTAGAGAAAGCAATGTCATTCCGACGCGCAGCGCCCACACTTAAGAATCCTGCCTCGTCACGTTCCCACTGTATCTGCCGCATCAAAGTCACACAACCAGATGCCTCAACCCACGGCTTCCTCTACATGGTCGATCTAGCCGGGTCCGAAATCGCACGCGATGTAACAGAACACGGGCCCGAATTGATGCGCGAGACCCGCGAAAACAACGTCAGTCTGTCAGTTCTTAAGGACTGTATTCGGCAAAGAGCATTAGCGGCGACGAGCAAGAAGAAAGTCCATGTGCCGGTACGAGGAAGTACGTTGACAAAGATCTTGAAGCATGTGTTCGATCCTGAGGGAGGCCAAGAGTGTAAGACGGTGGTGATTGCGTGCTTGAACCCGAGTCTTGCGGATGTTGCGTCGTCCAAGAATACATTGAGGTATGCAGAATTGTTGGGCAAGATAGACTGAGTGGTTGAGGATAGGGGCGATAAGAACCCATATCTAGAGGTTTCGCCTACCAAGCCAAATCATCATCTCGCCTTTTGGCTTCCGCTAGCAATCTGACTTGAGAAAAACCCGGCCATGGATGAGGCATTTTCGGGTTATCCATGTTATTCGTGACGTATCCTTGAATAGACGCAAGCAATTTATGAGCAGTATCCGGATGGTCTGTCATCTAATCTGCAGTCCCAAGGACATCGTTGGCATAGTTCCGACCATCTTCGTGCAATTCGAGGTCATCCTCACTAAAGTCCTCACCGACAGATTCATAGAACCTCATTCTGAACAGTACACCTTGATGAATCGATTCTTTCATGCTGCTCTGCTGATTGAGGAAATGTTGCATATCGCATGCTTCTGCCAATCTTTCTCGCGAGGCTGCTGATATCTCTTCGTATAACGCATCCCGTGCTTCAGTGAACTCGAAGGCGAGCACACATCGTCGGACGAGATAGTAAGATTCAGGCGATGGTATCTCAACTGTACGTGTTGGCATGGTAGATCTGTCACTAGCGAGTTTGCGATGAGCAATGTAAGCTGCAAGAGCACTAGTGCAGAGATCGACGATTCTGCTCAGGTTCGGTAGCCAGAGATCGGCCGGCGGCTGCTCGTCACTGTCCATCGAAGCGCATACTCGTGTCTCCATGACTGCGTAAGATATTGCTTCTGCCGCTGCAGGTGTTGTTGCTGTGATGATTGTTTTGACTATGTGGTTGTCGTTGTTGTTTTCGAGCCATACAGCGCGCAGCAGCTTGTTGGCCATCGAGAGTGTTACTGCAGTCTGAATAGTTGGACATATTTTGTAGACTTCGATTAGCATGTCGTTGGGGAAGAACAAAAGCCTCGACATGTTTGCAAGTCGTAAAACCACTGAAAAAGGCCCTTTTAGTGATGTGGGAAGTCTCTTGTAGTATGCTCCTGCTTGTGAGATACGAAGAGTGTCAGAAACATCAACACTAAGACAGCACCTCAATCAAGACTGTCTTTTCAAACACTAGTCGTGACTCGGCCGGCGCTTCGGCCATACAGTGTTTCAGCCTTGATGGTAAAGGCTGATTGATGAAATACAGACCAATGCAGATAACCTCTGGACTCTTCTAGATTGGACTTCTGGTCTTCTTCGTCCCTCTAAGGCTCCAAAGGTAATGCGAATGCTAGATTACTTCATAACCCCCTACATTCGCCTTAACTGACTTCCAAGGCTTTTGTGTTCTCTCTTTCATGGACTTTTTTGGTCGTGGTATATGAGTTCCTACAGCTCATCATGCAAGGGCTCTTCAATGAAATATTGACAGACTGGATCGTATCTTTCAGGATGATCCCACATCTCTCGAGCTCGTCGTGCTGCTCCTACTGCCATAGCCAAACTTGGATCTACAGAGTTCCGGATCAAATTTACCAAATCGGGCGAGATACGACGGAATGCTAGTCTGACAGCTTCCGTGGAGCCAGGCGGAGGATCTCCCGACGTGACGATGGCCTTGATATCAGAGCGTAGTGGTTTGAACTTGGGGCCATGACGATCCGAAAAATCTTTCAGAACATTGTTTTGGTCCAGAAAATCGCTGACGTGCTTTCGAAGAGCATTTACCAAGCGTTCGTCAGTTGCCTATCTGTCACGTTAATGTAAAACGCGGAACCCGGCTCGCGAGTTACGATACCTCAAAGTGGTCCACTTTCTCCAGATCCGGGAACATTGACTCCGCAAAGATGTCTCCGCCAGACTCTTCGAAAGATAAAAGGCTCAAATTTAGCAATCCAGCATCAAAATTCAGCCATAGTGCTTCTCCATTGATATCATCGGGATCACATTCTTTGGAAAGGTTCACGGCCTCGCAAGTACCCAATTTATAGGCGTAGACGATTGCACGCTCTGGCCTGATGGTATATGAAGCGTATGTTTCTAATGGCGCGAGTAGATTGAGTGTCGAGAGAGCTTCGGTCACCAGATCCTCGAGTTCTTGAGGCAAGGCAGCGACGCTGAATTGTGCTTCCTGTCGCAACACTTGAGTCACTGCATACTGTGCGGCAAGTAGAGCCTCATGGAGGGCAGTGGAGTCAACTATATGTCTGGGACTACACGTTAAAATCAAGAATGAATAGAACGTACAACAATGCGAACCTGTTCTCCTCCAGAAGCTTCACCACTTGTTCGAACCAATCTGTATAGGGAGCGTCTGCCGAAACTCTGGCTATCAGTGACGTCGATCCATTTGCTAAGCTTTGGACGACAATGAGATCTCTTTTCGCAAGACTGATTCCCAGTATAGGTTGATCGTACGAGGCAAACGCAAAGACTGCGAAAGCCAGCACAAGAGTGCTGAGAAGCATCACTGCGTCTTGTACATGGAGGAAAGAGAGATTGTTTAACAGAAAGCAATGATCTAGCCAGCTTGTTTGAAATGTAGGCAGATTGCACCACTGATACTTTGCGAATCAGTATGAGGAGCCTAACTATTTCAAAGTATGCCAGGAAAAGACTTGTGGAGATCCTCAAAGATTAGAATCCTGCATGTTCGTCTCACGTCTTAAGAAGAATGATTAACGAATTTTTGTTGCGATACGTGATTCGACCGAGAGATGTAAGGCCTTTTACCAAGACAGAAGGATCAAACGACACCATTGTTTCGAGACGCGCTTGCCTCCATGGAAAGCAGAGGCGTCTGGCAATCCAAGGATACTTCTTGGTGTGTGCTTTGGGTGACTTCTTTCAATCTCGAGTTCGACCAACTATGCATCAAGAATAAGAGGAGGCTGCTTTTCTCGGTCGTGTTGTATCCATGAATTTGGGCTCGCGCGAAGATCTGAAACGTGATCGCATCAGAGGACGTGATTGCAGCAAATGCGTGCCGCTTTACATCATGGTGCAAGAGGCGCGTCCCTGAGGACCATAAATCCTTCGGGGACCATAAATCAACTGCTACCGACACTTAATCTCTGGGTTTCTGCAGACGTACACCACCGTACATGTAAGGCAGCCTTCACAACCCGAAGTTGTTCCGATGAGGAAGCATCCTTCGGGTAGATAGATGACATGCGTGGCTTTGATGTGCTCTAATGCATACATCAATCTTCCATTGGCACATCATGGGCAGTATTAATTTCTCATATCCAGTGAACAGAGAACCAAACATAGCGGCACAAAATTTAAGCTCAAGTTCAAGCTTTCCAGAGTATTTCAAGAAACTGTCGAGTGCATACTCGAGGCAGACTGGAGACTCCACGTTCAACCTGATATACTCCTTCTTGCAACATCTTCCAGCCGATGTAACCTTGAACGAGCAGTCGATCATCCACGACAATGCTGCAGGACCAGGCACAGCCACTATCGCAGCTATGTCGGTCCTCAAGAAAGAGCCAGCCAAAATTGTGGTCACGGATTTTACTCAAGGCATGATCGACAACATGCAATCAAGAATTGATCAAGAGCAATGGAAAAACATCACAGCCTCTGTCATGGACTCTCATGAGCTCGCATTGCCAGATAATACATTCACGCTCACAATCTGTAACGTTAGCACGTCGACGTTCAAAGATCCGTTGAAATGCATGCAGGAGATACTTCGCACTCTGCAGCCCGGCGGAGTCTGCATCAATTCGCAGTGGAAAAAATTTACCGTCAAAGACATCATCCACAAGGCTCAAACCAGCATTCGGCCAGACTGCAAGCTGTTCAATATGCCAAAGGCGGAGTTTTTGAATGATGGAGTGCTGAGGGACCTGATGTTAGACGCAGGTTTCGCCGAGGCTGCCCAATACGTGGAGACAACCATTATTACGGACGAGGCAATGGAAGGTCTCCGCGAATTTATGTGTGGTAATCTTACGGCTTCTGCGAGGAGCGGCTGGACAGAAGAAGAGGCAGCAAGGTGGCCTGCTGCCATTGACGCTGCTATTGAAGAGGAGACGGCAGATAATGGCGGCATTAAAATGGAGGCTTGGATGGTCGTAGCAAGAAAGGCAGGTTCATAAGTTGGTCGATTTTGTGCGATTTGGTCTGGAATCGTGCTTGTTGTATTGAATGGAGTGCGTCCTTGGTCGTGAACTATGTAGCAATCAGCACAGATGTTCGAAAAGTCGAAAAACCAAATGCAGCATACTCGCGCGTCTGTCTGCCAAGCTGGCGTCCGAATGTGTCCCGGAATCTTTCTGCGGCAAGCGCACGCTTTCTTCCGTCGCTGTGCAAAATGGGCGACTTCAGCCAGATCTTGAGCTGCATAAAATTGGATCAAAAAAGTTTCGTGCTCTCAAAGAGCAAAACGTACAGCAGCAGGGATTCCCACGTGGTCACCCACCGTAGTACTAATCTGCCGTTCAACTGCTTATGTATGGCAGAGCGGACGGGATGCCCAGTTTTCAGCTGACTGTGGCCGTACGTGCTGGGAAGCTTTTTTCGATGTATTATCAAGCTTGCACAACTGCGACTCGCGGTCAGCAATGAGAAAATGAACATGATGAAGCCAGACTGCGGCAAACCTGTGTGGTCAGCTTCGCGAAGTTGGCGTCAACGAGCCTCTTTCGACTTCGCGATTTCGTGACGACCACCAACGACCCTCAGGAATAAATCAGCGAGCACAAATTTGAGCGTGCTGGCTTCACAGCCTGGGATTATCACGCGATTCTCATTTGCGTGTCAAGGTGGATTTCGACTGATGTGGCAGTACAATGGACTTATCTCAAGTCGACCATGCAACTCGCGTTCTTTGACTTCGTCGGGCGGGTAACACGACGTCGAAGTATTTCCCAAGAAGGGCCTATCGATGTCAACAGTTCATCATATCGCGACAAGCGGACCGTCTGACTTGAGTCCGTTAGTTGCGATGCTTTCGTGGTCTCATCGCTTCCCCACATCGAGACGTTCACTGCGAGTGCGAGGGAAGAGAGTACCCGATTGGGAATGGCACCCCAGCTGGTCAGCCCCGCGTCGATCCCGTCTGGCAGACACAACCCTTAGAGAAGTCACGGCATCCAGAATAAAGGTACGGCATAATCGAAGATGGTCGTTTCTATATCTACAGCATCTTCCCACTGTAGAGGAGAGGGCATTCACATCATTCTTATCTATTTCTAGTCCTCACACTCTTCCTGCTTAAGACTCTATCATCGTCTTTTGCTAGGCTTCTGTCCACTTTTACTTGATATCTAGAGTTGCATCACTAGAACTCTAAGGGACGAATCCCGACCTTTCATCACAATGCTTTCAAAGATGTACTCGCCACGCGTGGTCATCATCGGCGCTGGTATTGTCGGTACCAACGTTGCTGACGAGCTGGTCGCACGAGGATGGACCAACATCACAGTGGTCGACCAAGGCCCCCTGGACATGCCTGGAGGTTCCACATCACACGCTCCCGGTCTTGTCTTCCAAACAAATGTCTGCAAGACCATGACCCTGTTCGCAAAATACACAGTTGAGAAGCTCAAAGCCTTGGAAGAAGACGGCGAGAACTGCTTCAACCAGGTTGGTGGTCTCGAGATTGCCACAGATGAGGCACGTTTGGCAGAAATCAAGCGCAAGCATGGTTATGCACAGTCTTGGGGCATCGAAGCGCACCTTATCAGCCCCGAAGAGTGTATGGAGAAGTACCCGTTATTGAACAAGGAGCAAGTCCTCGGCGGTCTTCACATTCCCACGGATGGTCTTGCCAAGGCTGCTCGTGCTGTTCAGCTCCTCATCAACCGTACTCGCAAGGCCGGCGTACAATACATCGACAAGACGCCAGTTACTGGAATTGCAAAGGCTGATGGTCATGTTACTGGTGTAGAGACACCTAACGGCACCATCCCCGCTGACATCGTCGTTTCATGTGCCGGTTTCTGGGGAGTCGAGATTGGTGCCATGATTGGCCTCCCTATCCCTCTTCTTCCTCTGGCTCACCAATACGTCAAGACTACCTCTGTGCCCGCACTGGCAAAACGCAACAACCCTGAAGGTGGCGCATCATTGCCCATTCTCCGCTACCAAGACCAAGATCTGTACTACCGCGAGCATGGTGACCAGTACGGTATTGGTTACTATGGCCACAAGCCCATGCCTGTCGTAGCCGCATCCCTAGGTGTCACTCCTGAGAAGGTTGACCACAAGAACATGCCCTCTCGTCTCGAATTCACCCGCGAAGATTTCGAGCCCGCATGGGAGCTCTCCAAGAAGTTCCTTCCTTGCATGGATGAAGTCGAGATTGAGGACGGCTTCAACGGTATCTTCTCCTTCACACCTGATGGTGGCTCTCTTGTGGGCCATGCACCAAACCTCGAGGGCTTCTACGTCGCCGAAGCAGTCTGGGTTACACACTCCGCTGGTATTGCCCGCGCTGTTGCCGAGGTTTTGACCACCGGAAAGAGTCAGATCGATCTTGGAGCTGTCGAGCTCAACCGCTTCGAAGAGGTTCAGTTGACTAGCTCCTACGTCAAGGAGACTTCCATGCAGAACTTTGTCGAGATCTACGACATCATGCACCCACTTCAGCCTCGCGAGTCTCCTCGCAACCTCCGCGTCAGCCCCTTCCATGCTCGCCAGAAGGAGCTAGGTGCTTACTTCCTAGAAGGTGGTGCTTGGGAACGTCCTTACTGGTTCGAGGCCAACGAGAAATTGGTCAAGGATCTGCCCGAGGAATGGAAGCCCAAGGACCGTGATGCATGGTCTTCAAGATACTACAGCCCAATTGCTGCAGCAGAAGCATGGAAGACGAGAACCGCGGCAGCAATGTACGACATGACACCGCTGCGTCGTTTGGAAGTCTACGGTCCTGGTGCTGTCGACCTATTGCAGCGTGTGAGCACTGGTGATGTTGGAAAGAAGCCTGGCGCCGTCACATACACACTTTGGCTTGACGACAGAGGTGGCATCAAGAGTGATGTTACTGTTGCCAGAATTGAGGATCAGTTGTTCCAGGTTGGCTGCAACGGCCCTGTCGATCTCGTCTTCCTCAACAAGGAAGCCGCCAAGCAGATGCAAGAAGACCCTACAAAATGGTGCACAATCCGCGATATTACTTCCGGAACCTGCTGTATCGGTCTCTGGGGTCCCAAGGTCAGAGAGATTATCAGCAAGGTCAGCCAGGACGACTTCTCGAGCACAGCCAAGGGTCTGCGTTACTTCCGTACCAAGCGTGCATACATTGCCGGTATCCCTGTAACCATCATGCGGTTGTCGTATGTAGGAGAGCTTGGTTGGGAGATCTACACCACAGCCGACCGCGGTCAAGCGCTGTGGGATGCACTCTGGGAGGCAGGACAAGAACAAGGCATCATTGCTGCTGGCCGTACTGCCTTTAACGCACTGAGACTGGAAAAGGGCTACAGATCCTGGGGATCTGACATGAACACTGAGCACGACCCTTACGAGGCAGGTGTTGGCTTCGCCGTCAAGGCAGGCAAGGTTGGCTACTACGGCCAAGCCGCCCTCGAGGGACGCTCAGTCGAGACAGCCAAGAAGCGTCTACGCTGCCTGGTCGTTGACGATGGTTCCTCGGTTGTACTTGGCAGAGAACCAGTGTTCGTTGGCGGCAAGCCCAGCGGATACGTCACCAGTGCAGCATTCGCATACACAATCGGCAAGCCTATTGCTTATGCATGGCTGCCAAGCTCGATCAACGAGGATGACAAGGTGGAGATTGAGTACTTCGGCAAGAGGATCGAGGCTACGGTTACTGCCGAGCCATTGTTCGATCCTTCCATGTCACGTCTGCGTGGTTAGTTCCGGGGCTTCTAGAAGTAATGATGGGTTTATTTATAGCATAGACATGGCGCACTTTAATGATCAAGCATATTTTTAACGTTAATCCGACTGTTTTCTGTCAAAGCATATCCTCATGAGTGTGCATGGTCCAAAAAGTGATCAGGTATCGTTGATGCCGGATAGCAGGTACTGCTTGAGTAAGGATAGCGATACTTGTAGCATACTTCATTGGAGAAGAGTACCTCCGTTATAATTTTTTATGCAGTGTTGAGCATGTTTGGGATTTTTGCGGTCACGTTGGCGCGGCCTGGAAGTAGTTCTCTGGTCGAAGCAGATTCAAAAAATGGATGATGAGATAGTGCCATGAATATGCGTCAAGAAGCTACATGATGTTGATGCAGAATACCTTCGATGTCTCTCTATACAACAAATATCTGAACTGCAAAATTGAAACAGTGTGAGTGAATATATTCATGTCCATCTCATTATAAGAAACCACAGTCAGGGTCGGCCCCTCGACGTGTCTCGGCTTCAATGTTCGAAGTGGACTGTGGCTGGCGTGTGCACAGCAAGCTTCTGACACGACGGTAGGCCGCGTTGTAGAGCCCTGGTTTGGTCAAAGTAATCTTGAGTTTCGTATCTCGGGTCTTGATGCGTAGGAGAACTCCATGTACGAATTAGGGTAGCATTCTCGCGACGGTCGGTGGGCGATAGCTTCATCGTGGGGTAGTGGTGGGGCAACAGGGAGCTGACACGTGAGAATGATGGATGAGACTTCCGTAATCGGAAGTGGATATGATGACCGTCTTGAGCATCCACACTTGCTAAACGACGTCGGCCAACAACCTAAGTCTTATAATAAACACAACCGGCAGCATGTAGTCGTTGTTCGTCATACCTTTCTTTCTACATTGAAGCCTCATACATTCACCATGGCCGACAAGTCGTACATCATCGTCGGCGCCGGCGTTTTCGGCGTCTCGACTGCTTTCCACCTGATCAAAAAGTACCCCAATGCAGACATCACCATTGTCGACCGTGATGCCTTCGACCAAGACACGCGTGTCGCCGCTTCGTGGGACTGGAACAAGGTTGTTCGCGCCGACTACGACGACATTGTATACTGCAGGATGGCCATCGAGGCACAAGACATGTTCAAGACAGACAACCTGTGGAAGCCCTACTTCTACCAGACCGGTATCTACTGGATGTGCCGTAGCGACTACGCTCAAGAAGTTGTCGACAACTACAAGAAGCTGGGCAGAGCTGCCGACCTCAAGGCTGTGCCCATTGAAGAGGCACGCAAGATGTACGGTGGTCTGTTCGAGGACGCCGACTATACCGGCGTCAAGGAGGTTCTTGTCAACAAGACCAGTGGCTGGGCCACTGCTGGCGAATGTCTGATTGGCATTACTCGTGAAGCTCTCAGACTCGGTGTCAAGTACAAGCAGGCTGAGGTCGCTTCATTGCTCCTCGACAATGGCCGCTGTACCGGCATCAAGACTGCAGCTGGCGAGACTCTGACTGCCAAACACACTCTTCTCTGCACCGGCGCATACACACCAAAGCTGCTCGAGTACTGTGCTCAAGCCAGTGGTAACAACAATCTTTGCGCTGGCGACAGAATTGTTGCTGGTGGTATCACTACCGGCATGACAAGGCTCGACGAGGATTCATACCGCAGATTTGCATCCATGCCTGTTGGTGTTCAAGGCTACACTGCCGAGACTGGTAAGTTTTTGTCCTCTGTCAATACCACCATCATGTGCTTACCATGACAACAGGACCTTTCATCGGCAGTCTACCACCCACTAGAGACAGAGAGCTCAAGTGGTGGGGCCAGAAGATTTTCAAGAACGACACAGAAGTCCTGCCTGGACGTACTGTATCAGCACCTCCTGCAAAGCCCGATTACGGCCAATGGGAGGTTTCAAACAGATTGAAGGAAGACATTCAATACGCCAACCACGTCTTCTATGGAAAGAAGTCGGCACACTGGAACATGGAGAAGCACCGTATCTGCTGGTAAGTTACACAGTCGCTTAAGCTTCTTTCACTATCTGACCTTTGCTAGGGACGCCTTCACATCCAGCTCCGACTTTATCATCTCACCACACTCCGCTGCAAAGGGTCTTTACGTTGCGACATGCGGTAACTTCCACGGCTGGAAGTTCTTCCCCGTGCTAGGCAAGTACATCATCTCCATGCTGGAGGGCACATTGGAGCCCGAGTTGGTAGAAAAATGGGGTTGGGACAGAGAACGTCCTGACCCTAAGTACTTCGCCGACTGGCCTAGACACGATATGAAGGATATGTTGGATCCCGTCAGGACCGCCAGGCTATAATACACTACACTACCTTCGACAGCTTGATATACATGAGGAAACGCTTTTTTAATCTCTAAAATTTGGCTTGGCAAGAGATCGCGTATGGTGAAAGACACACAAGTGTGAAACAGCAATACATCCTTATCCATTGCGACAAACCCTCCCGAAGCGACCTGACTGTTCACTACGAAAATCTTGACCTATGCAACACGAGGAGCCCTAGCAGCCAATGCGACCAAAAACATTCCGAACAGCAACACAATGGAGACGCACAAAAGCGCGCAGTAATTCTGCAGCAAAAGCTGGTAGCCATGATTCTCGTTGCGATACCACACTCGAATTGCATCTAGAAATCTTGCTCACAAGCAATACAGGCGTTACCAACTTCCACGCGTCCTCTCAGCTGAACGGAGGAAAGTCGTTCATAGTGAACTCAAAGTCTTGATTGAACACGAAGAACCACATCACCGTACTTTCAATGACCATTTTGCAAGTTGGACGTATTCTTGCTGCAAGTGTAGAATAGTACTCCACATTACTCAGATTCATGGGTATGGGAAAATGATCCTTGAAAGGAGCCCTGCTTCACGGCGATAACCACTTCCACCGGAAAGTTTGAATGCTTAAATGCTGAGAAACTGGTGCGAGACCGCGGTTTCGATGACCTACACGTTATCTTCGGTTGCGCACATTTCAAGTAGCATCCAGATCGTCACCACCAATCGAGGTGAAGCAGTGCATCGACATGCAGCTGCACAGCTGCAATCAGGAAAGTCGAAGTTCTTGCTGCATGAGGAAGAACGAAGCGGTCAGCAAAAGCAAAGATAATGGTCGCATCTTGACGGGAAAGAACGGAAGGCCAACGCATCTGCACAAACCACACTCGAAAGGGATCTCCATGCCATGAAACCATTTGGCGATCCCCAAGCACTGCTACATCCCGAGTCCCGAGCACAGTTGTATGGCATGGAAGTGCTTCGAGAAGACTTCCCTTCACGGACTGACTTCACAGTATCCGCAGCCACCATGTCGTTTGAGAGCCCATTTGCGAGGTATAATCCTACGCGAGAGCTGAAAAGAGGTTCCAGGCTTCTAGAATACATCTCTGTGTTTGGAGATCGAGACCACCTTGGCGGTTTGCTGTCGAGATAAGCTTACAGAAGTCACTATCCCAATTCGGTTGCAAGTTCCCCAAAGTCAGATTCAGGTTCCTTCTATCTTTGGTTTGGACTAGTGTCGTGACTTGCCTAATTGCCGGACTGCTACTGCCCCAGGAACGGTGGACTAAAATTGGTCAGCTCCTTCGCACTTGCACATTGATTGGACGATCATTGATCTGGTGTCATGATAAGGTCACTATGCACGAATAATGAAACGATATGGTAACACATTCGCAAAACCTGACCTCGTAGGGTAACCCACGACACATGAGGCTCTGCACACTCAAGACGTATTCCCCGCGTGCATACGTACCCGACATGGTAAAAGCAACCATTATGCCTAGATATCAACCAGGAAGATCTCTATCGAGGGACGAATTCGGTACACTTCTACAGAGAGTGACAGCATATTATTGATCTATCTTTCCTCCAAAGTCATCATCTCCGGACTCCAGAAAACCACTTTCTAATTATCTCCTGACTTTACACACATACCACCACGCCACAACAATGTACGCAGAAGCCCCACAACAACCCAAGCCTTGGGCATGGACACCTTTGATCGAGAGTCGACCGCTATCAGAAGCAGCAGGATGGTAGGTCTCTCACTTCACGTTCCCAAATCTATGCCCCACCCCATCGTACACCACCACCAGCATTTGACAACGATTTCTAAATCGCAGAAGTAGAGTCTTCCTGAAACTGGACAACCTGCAGCCATCCGGCTCATTCAAGTCCCGCGGTGTAGGCAACTACGTCCTTCAACGTGCCGCCGAACGCATCTCAGAATCTGGAGTTCCCAACGCAACACACTTTTATGCAGCATCAGGTGGCAATGCAGGCATTGCCTGTGTTCACGCTGCCAGAACACTTGGCTACCCTGCCACAGTCGTTGTACCCAAGAGTGCTAAGCCAGTCATGATTGCAAAGATCTGGGCCATGGTAAGTATTTCTTGATCTCGAGTTTGTGGCGGCTTAGCTGACGGATCAACAGGGAGTCAAACAGGTTATTCAACATGGATCTACAATCGCTGAAGCACAAGAATACATCCTCAACACTCTTTTGCCTGCCGATCCAACCGGTGTTTTCGTTCCTCCTTTCGACCACCAGGACATCTGGGACGGCAATGCAACTGTCATGCAGGAGATTGCATCTCAACTCGGTGACAAGCCTGATGTTGTCGTCTGCAGTGTCGGTGGCGGAGGTCTCCTCAACGGAATCATGCAGGAATTGGACCACAAGAAGTGGAATAACGACGTTCAGGTCCTCGCCATGGAAACCAAAGGAGCTGACTCGTTGAGCCAGAGTCTTGAGTCTGGTCAAATCATCACTCTTCCCAGAATCACATCACAAGCCACCAGTCTTGGAGTTGTCAGGGTCGCAGAGAAGACTTTTGAATATGCTCAGAGGCCTAACGTCACGAGTGTTGTCCTCACCGACGAACAAGCTGCCAAGGGCTGTTGCTTGTTGGCTGAGCACGAAAGAATGATGGTTGAGCTAACTGTTGGCGTCAACGTCCCTGTCTGCTTCGATGGCTTCCTACAGAGTCTACTGGCTAACAAGAAGACAATCACCAAGGACAGCAAGGTGGTCCTGGTAGTCTGCGGCGGTAACGACATCTCACTTGACATGCTCATGGCCTGGCGTATGGCTATGGTCGGCAACGAGACTGTTCAGGAGAACACCACAACCATGACCGCAAGAGTCGGAGCTACTGGAGTAACAGCTTGAGAGACTGAGATTGAGTTATGAATGAACTGATGGACACTGCCACACAGATTAATGGGATATGCACGTTTTTGGGTTTGAGTTTATATATATGCTATTAAATTGAGTTTGACTACATTTTGAATATTATGATCTTCACAACTGTCAACATATTTCGTGCCAGAGGATGTGAAAGAGATTGCGAAATCAGTACGCTCAACCCTTGATAGTGAGCATAGCACGTGAGTCAATGCAGAGCCTCATCGGACATTTGTTATCAAAAACGCATCGAAGGTTACAATCTCGATTTCGGTCCTTCTCTATCATTCCTATCATCTCTATCACGTTGAAAGTGATCATCGAAGACATATAGCAATCGCAAAGGCTGATTTGGGATTTATTTTCCCACGACATGTCGTCGTTGCCAAGATCGCCAGCCATCGAATAGAGTTGGGCCAGCGTGAAAGGGTCCGGCTGTGGGCTGACCCCAGATGAGATGAAGGGATTCGACTTCCCTTTTTGGTCAGAATGCACATTGATCGCCACAACCGAGACTGCGATAGCGCTGCACAAACGACGAGTGGCTGCGTTCCAAAGTCACAAAGCGCGACTAATCCTGGGTATGGAATCCTGCCGGTATCAGCTAATGATTACGCAAATCGAGCAGGTTTGTCTCTGAACGAGCTGGGTGACCATGGCCAAAACGAATGCTGCTATGCGTAGTCATACCCCACGGGGCTCTATGGACCGTCTTTCCTGACGAGTAGGTTCACACATTGTCCATATATCTAAGGGAATGTCGAACTTGCTGTACTCTTTCTCCTTTCCATCTTCAACCTTGAACATTCATATCAACCCTCCCCTTCCCTCTTGTTGAGTATTGCCATACTCCATTGCAATCTCTCCAACACACATCAATAAACATTCACAATGGCATCCTTCCTAAGTTACTTCAACCGCAGAGATAGCGGTAACACAACAAAACCTGCCTTGGACAAGCAGCCCGTGAGAGCACTCCCTGCATCATGGTACACCTCTCCCGACATGTACGAGCTCGAACGCCGTGCCATCTTCTCTAGACGTTGGCTCCTCATCACACACAAGCTTCGTCTCACCAAGCCTGGTGACTTCCTCCGCTACGATGTTGCAGGCTTCCAGTTCATTCTTGCCAAAGACCGTCAGGAGAACATCAACGGCTTTCACAACATCTGCCGTCACAGAGCATACCCCGTCGTTGAGAAGCAAGAAGGCACAGCTCGCATCTTCGCTTGCAGATACCACGGTTGGTCGTACGGTTTGAACGGAAAGCTCGCAAAGGCACCAAGCTACCAGGAACTCGAGGGTTTCGACAAGGAGGCCAACGGACTCCTGCCTATTCACGTCCATGTCGATAGAAACGGTTTCATCTGGGTCAACATGGATGCGAAAGCAGAACCTGAGATTGCCTGGGAAGACAACTTTGATGGTGTCGATATTCAGTCACGTTACGATTCCATCAAATTTGAGGACTATGTCTTCGACCACAAGTGGGAGATGGACGGACCATACAACTGGAAGATTTTGGCAGACAACTACAACGAGTGTTACCACTGCCCAACGACCCACCCCGACATTCCTGCTTTGGCAGACCTCGAAGCCTACCATGTCGAAACCACCGCAAACCACATCCAGCACGAGGTAGCCAGCACACCGGAACAGGTCGCCGTTGGCATGACCGTCATCCCAACCTACTACTTCCCTAACGCCTCTGTCAACGCAACGTAAGCATCAGCATTCCCCATCATTAACGCTCGAATACAGACTAACATGCAAACTCACAGACCAAACTTCTTCTTCATGCAAAGATTCGTACCCCACGGAGCCGGCAAGGCAACCATGAGCTACGAGGTCTACCGCAACAAGAACGCCTCGGATGAAGATTTTGAAAAGATCAACCAAATGTACAAGCGCATCATGTCAGAAGACAAGGTCCTCTGCGATGCAGCACAAAAGAACGTCAACGCCGGTGTCTTCGTCAGCGGCCTTATGCACCCTCGCATGGAGAAGGGACCTCTCTACTTCCAGAAGCTGTGCAGAGAAGCAGTCACAGAACACCACGACAAAGAAAAGGCTGCTGGCGCCAAGATCCACCCAGCTAGACAACAAATGTCTGCGGCTGAACTCCAGAGTGAGAAGGACATTGAGTTCTGCTCTGGATTGGCGTGTGGCGAGGAGCAGCAGGAGGCATTGGCCTGGTAAAGGAGTTTCGAGAAGATGTTTCCTTTTCTCAAAGAATGACATATATGCATAGCGTAACGACTTTTGGTCTGATTTTTTTTTTTTAGACATTTGGCGAAAACTTTTCTTTCGACCTAATACGAAATCGATTATCTACTTCTGAACTTTTTGGGTTTCCAAACTGACTTATATCGTACTTGGTGATTGTCTTGGTCTGCTGTTCTAGATTCTCTCTAGATCAATGAATTTCGAAGGATGATCAACTGTATCTGCTCAATGGGAAATGCTTGTCGTAAGTGTAGCTTCGGCATCAGTCCAGAAACTACTTACGCAGACTCGCGAGTCGCACCTGCCCGAGCAGCATCCTCATTGCCCTCAGTCTGCGCACCAAGGAGAGCACTTTCCTCATCAACAACTTCCTTCTTAGTCACAGCACTCTGAGAAGCCCCCTTCGACTTCTGCAACGCACTCCAAAGCGTGCTAGCAATAACAACGACACCTCCCACACACGACCAAAAGCCGGGAAAGACACCCCAAATCGCCCAGTCAAAGGCAAGTGCAAACAAAATACCAGTATACAGCATACTAGTCGCCTTGCTAGTTCTGTCCAATTGCAAGCCAGCAGTAAGTAGAAATTGCAACACGAAACCGAGGATACCGAGGAGAGAGAGAAGGAGCCATTCTCGTGCTCCGTTGGGCATGGTGAATTTCATGCCTGGGAGAACGATTAATGCACCTGCGGAACCAAAAGTGCTGATTAGGGCAAAGTAGTTTACTGAGATGAGGGCGTGGGCGCGAGAGCCGATGACACGGATTAAAGTGTATGCAGCAGAGGCGCCTAGGACTCCGATGACAGAGACAAAGATGGCAAGGAGGCGTTGTCCGGCTGATACTTGATCGATCTTGTTTGGCTGGTGAGGGACCTTGATGTCGTCGTCGACTCTGCCGAAGATGGCTGCTGGGTGAGCGATGATCACAACTCCGAGCAGGGCGATGACTCCAGCCAGAAACTCAGTCCTACTGAATGACTGTCCAAGGAACACCGAACAAGCCCATGCTGTAATAATAGGAACCAAGAAGCGGAAGACCGTCGCTTCAGCTAGAGGAAGATAATGTACCGAATCTATTCATCTACATAAGCCTTCTTTTCAACACAACACAAGAAGTTTCCTTACAGTATAAACAGAACAACCCAAAGAATCCAGCCAATGCTCTCAAGATCAACCATCCCCTAACAGCAGGTGCTCCAAGCGGGAAATCAGGGACTTTAGTGTGCCACATGTAAATCGTACTCAGCAGAGCCGTAATACTCATTCTCGCAAAAATGACTTGAAATGGATGCATTCCATGTCCTCCCTGTTGTAGAAAGCGGACAATAGCATCCATAGTGGATCCCGTGGCTTGAGCGAGCAAAATCAAGAAGACGCCTTTGTTGTTGCGCCAGATTGATTTGAAGGCATTCAGTCTTGTCTGAGAAGCATTGCTTGGCGATCTTGAGAGGTTGGCCTCGTCATCTTGCCCGTTATTAGACATTTTGTATGTACAATATTGTTGTGAGGTTCATGTTTTGTGTCGGTGAGTGTAGAGTTTTATATGAGTGCACGGACGGAAACTGGGTGTCCTAGAAAGGAAGTCGCAACCGGCTTCTAGGGTCACCTGGCTCCTGTCACAAGGTGACAGACAGGACAACTTCGAAAGATCAAGCGAACAGTCTTGCAGCTAGTTACTTGCATGAATAAACGCTTTTAGAGAGTGACGGTCTTAGCCGCCATGGCATGTCTTTTTAGTAATGTTATGTCTAACATTGCGAGAGACCCTTTGAAGGCTTTTTCTATCGTTCTTTCTCTTTCTCTCTTTAGTATAGTCCAAAGTCTCTCTTGACCTCACGGCCCTCAGCCTGCAACGTAACCTTGAACAACTTGTACTCATTGAAGATGTACATGCCGCCAGGCACGAAAGCAAAGTTTGCAGCTCCACCATCAACTGCAAAGACACCGAGCAAGACACCCTCCGGGTTCCAGCTATAGATTTTTTTAATTAGTCATTTGTTATAGGAAGGAACATGAGAATAGTAGACTTACACATGGATGCCATCTCCACAACCAGCATACACATTCCCCATAGTATCGCAATGAATACCATCAGGCAACCCAATATCCGAGTATGCAAACAACTGTCTGTTCTGCAATCTCTTTCCATCAGGAGTGATGTCGTATCGATAAATCGTCGAAGGCATGGTCAAGTTATCCTTGTTGGGGAAAGTATGCACACCCGTGTCGGTAATATACACATGCTTCAAATCAGGCGAGAACTCGATACCATTGGGAGCAAAAGCATCATCAGCAACTGCTTGCACCACTCCAGTGTTGGACTCAAAGCGATAGGCTTGGTTCTTGATGACTGGTGCGGGACGGAAGTATTGCCAGTAGCCGTAAGGTACATCTGTGAACCAGAGATCGCCGGTGACAGGGTGTTGTCGGACATCGTTGATTGACGAGAAGTTGCGGCCGAGGAAGTTGTTGATCAGCACGCGGCTGGTGTTTGTTGCTGGGTCTACGAGGACTAATTGGGCTGGGTTGGTCAAGTCGCCTTCGTCGCAGAAGACGATTTGTTGGCCTTCGCTGCTGTTGGCTGGCGAACCTACGGGGTACCACGCAGTGCCCCCGTTCGCTTCAGCCAGATGCTCGTAGTGCAGAGATTGGATACTGTTATTGCCGTGGATGTCGATGGCGGTGACATTGATTGGGTCGCTGAAGCTGCCATTCCAATTGCTGGTGGCATACAGCTTGCCAGTCGCCTAAGACATAGAGTCAGTCGCATTTACTATCAAGAGTGATGAGGCTGTGATGCAGCGATATTATGGATCGTAGGTTTCGTAACCGTGACAAGACCATGGAACCACAAGCAATTTCCTGCTCATGGCTTGGAGATCAGACTCTCAATGGCGGCAGTCATACAGTGATAATTGCTGCTGCATCTTCGCAGTCTCAGAATGTTGGGCTGCAGCCAAGAGAGGGTCCTTCGTTGCGGCTAGAATCGTAATTCACAAGCAGTTCTTCGACCAGACAAATTCTTTTGACGCAACGAGCAGAACTAAGAAAGAATACGTACGATGTTGAAAATGCCAGCCTCGTGGAACGCTTGGTAGTTATAACTTCCAACTAATTGCTGAGAAACATTAGGTCCAAGAATATCGTGAACGAATGAATCGTCTACCAAGTTTCAATTGTCAGCAATCCCATCCCTCACCACAGAAAACAACACTCACTATACGACAAAAACGAAACATCTTCAGTAGATGCATTAGCAATCCCATACAACTCATTAGCATACGGAATGCTCGTCGCCAGCGTCAAAAGATTAACGTGTGTAATATTGACCATTTTTGCGGTTCAGGACAAGGTACAACAAGCAAAAAAACAAACAAGGACTAAGTCTTCAACCCATATCATGACGAAGGAGCCTTCTTATACTTGTAACATGTTGAAGAAAAAGATCGTCCTTCTTGACCTTGGTTGTCCAGTTCCCCTCCTTGGCCATGACGATCTGTTGCACAGCCCTTGAAAATTAGCCTAAAACCTTACTTGGCAATTGATGGTCTTGCACTTCCCTAGATAGGGTCTTGCTGCTGTTGCGATATCCATTGCAGAGTCAGGAAAAACAAACTTTGACGAAGCACATCCACATGAAATTTATTGAGACTCAAGAAGAGATAATGTAGTGTATGGATGTATTCATTGGAACAACTTGAAAAATCTAAACAACGCCATAAAAGAGAAACGATCCTGTAGCCTTCACTCCCACCATAAGTCACCACCATAGATATTTATAAGAAAGGTTGTGGTTTGTAGAACCAACAACCATGTAAAGGTATGTTTTTACAGAGGGCGACCGCCAATGAAGCTGGCCCAGGGGCGAACCTCGGAGGGAATACCCTCGGGCTTGGGGAGCTTCTCGCTCATGCACTGAGCAAAGAGAAGGGCAGTCTTGGTCTCCATGAAGAGAGGGACACCGAAGTCGACGGCGTTACGGCGCATAACGTAGTCCTCGTCAACAAGACTGCTGGCACGGACCTTCGCCAAGTTGAAGACACCACGGATGTCGTACTTCTCGAAGACCTCGCGGAGCGCACGCTTGTCCTCCTTGGGGAACTCAATAACCTCGACCTTGACGCTACCGTCCTTGGAGTTGCTCTCAAGGTGGTTCTTGACCTCCTCGTTGGCAGCGTAGAGCTTGTAACCGAGAGGGTTGACGTAGTCGACAATCTTGGCTAGATCAGGGTTGTTGATGTCTCCACCGAAGAGGAGACCCTCGCCAGGCTGGGGGCAGCGGAAGTTCATCATAGATTGAGCAGCAGCCCAGTAGGCCTCAACGAGGTCCTTACCGAAGCAAGCCATTTCACCAGTAGAAGACATCTCGACACCGAGGTAAGGGTCGGCACCGGCAAGACGAGTCCAAGAGAATTGAGGAACCTTGACAGCGAGGTAGTCACGCTTCTCAGCCATGAGATCGACAGGCTCAGGGACGTTGGTGCTGGTAAGAGCGCGAGTGGCAACATCAATGAAGTTGGTACCGAGAACCTTGGAAACGAAGGGGAACGAACGAGAAGCACGGAGATTGCACTCGATGACCTTGAGAGAAGACTCGCCACCGTTGGGGCTGTCGGCATCGATAATTTGCATGTTGAAGGGACCAGTGATCTTCCATGCCTTGGCAACCTTGTCGGCAATGGCCTTGACGCGCTTGACGGTGCTCTCAGGGAGCTTGGCGGGAGGAAGAACAAGAGAAGCATCACCAGAGTGGACACCAGCGTTTTCAATGTGCTCACTGACAGCGTGGACAAGAACCTTACCGTCATGAGCGACAGCATCGACATCGATTTCGCGAGCACCTTCGATGAATTGAGTGATAACGACAGGGTGGTCAGGGCTGACTTCGGCGGCGGCGTTGAGCTTCTCCTCGAGCTCGGCTTCAGAGCGGATGACAGTCATGGCGGCACCGGAGAGGACGTAAGAGGGTCTAACGAGAACGGGGTAGCCGACCTTCTCGGCGAATTGCTTGGCCTCGGCGTAGGAAGTGAGTTCGCTCCAGGCAGGCTGGTCAACACCGATGGAGTCAAGAATGGAAGAGAATTGTTGACGGTCTTCAGCTCTGTCAATGTCCTTGGGGTCGGTACCGAGAACCTTGGCCTTGCCACTTTCCTGGAGCTTGAGAGCCATGTTCTGAGGGAGTTGACCACCGACAGAAACGACGACACCTTGAGCAGATTCAAGTTCGTAGATATCCATGACGCGTTCGTAAGACAGTTCCTCGAAGTAAAGCTTGTCAGCAACATCGAAATCTGTGCTGTAGGTTTCCGGGTTGTAGTTGATCATGACAGTCTTCTTGCCCTGCTCCTTGAGGGAGAGGGTAGCGTTAACGGCACACCAATCGAATTCGACAGAAGATCCAATGCGGTACACGCCCGATCCGAGCACAACAACACCGTGGTCATTGAACTCGACATCGTGAGAGCTTGCGTTGTAGGTAGTGTAGAGATAGTTCTGCAGATCTTTGTTAGCACTTTCTATACCACATTAGACAGATCCCGGTGGACCTACGGTGTCTGCAGGGAACTCAGCAGCGAGTGTATCGATCTTCTTGACGAAAGGAGTAATTCCGAAGTTCTTGCGGCGAGCACGAACCTCGTCCTCAGTGCTGTTCACAGCCTTGGCGATCTGCTTGTCGGAGAAACCTTGCTTCTTGGCCTTGTGCATAAGCTCCTTCTTGACGCCGTAAAGGCTGCCAATGGCTTCGAGTTCGTGGGTAGTGTCGACGATGTTCTGGATCTTGTAGAGGAACCATTTGTCAATCTTGGAGAGTTCGTGGACGCGGTCAACAGAGTAGCCTTCGTGAAGCATGGCCTGGCCAACAGCCAACCATCTACGGTCGGTGGGGTTTGCCAAAACATCGTCAAGGTTCTCGAACTTGTCACCTTGAACACCGTGGAATCTGGGGTCAACCTGACGGATAGCCTTTTGGAATGATTCTTCGAAAGTACGACCGATAGCCATGACTTCACCGACAGACTTCATAGCACTGCCAATGTCACGCTTGACGTTCTGGAACTTGCTCAAGTCCCAGCGAGGCATCTTGGTGACAATGTAGTCCAGAGAGGGTTCGAAGTTGGCAGTGGTAGTTCTGGTGACAGCGTTGGGCAGCTCGGGAAGGGTGTGGCCGAGACCAATCTTAGCAGCAGTGTAGGCGAGAGGGTAACCGGTAGCCTTGGAGGCAAGGGCAGACGAACGAGAGAGACGGGCGTTGACCTCAATGACTCTGTAGTCGAGGCCATCAGGCTGGAGAGCATATTGGACATTACATTCACCAACGACACCAAGATGGCGGACAATCTTGATGGCGGCGGTACGGAGCATGTGGTATTCCTCATCGCTGAAGGTTTGACTGGGCGAGACGACGATACTGTCACCAGTGTGAACACCGAGAGGGTCGAAGTTCTCCATGTTACAAACGGTGATACAGTTGTCGGAAGCGTCACGAACGACCTCGTACTCGGCCTCCTTCCATCCCTTGAGCGATTTCTCGACCAAGATCTGGGGAGAGAGAGTGAGGGAACGGGCAGACAGGTTGCGAAGCTCTTCAGGGTTGTTGGCGAAACCAGAACCAAGACCACCGAGGGCGTAAGCAGCACGGACAATGATGGGGTAGCCGACCTTGTTAGCGGCATCAAGAGCCTCGTCAATGGTGCTGACAGCGATACTCTCAGCAATGGGGATGTCAATCTCCTTGAGAGCTTGAGCAAAGAGGTCTCTGTCCTCACTGGTCTTCAGGGTCTGAATGCTGGTACCCAAGACCTTAACGTTGTAGCGGTCGAAGATGCCCATCTCGTCCATCTTGACACCCAAGTTGAGGGCGGTCTGACCACCGAAGGAAAGGAAAATACCATCGGGGCGTTCCTTCTCGATAACGTAGGTAACGTACTCGGGGGTGACGGGGAGGTAGTAGATCTCGTCAGCAAGAACGTGAGAGGTCTGGATAGTGGCAATGTTGGGGTTGATGAGGACAGATTGAATGCCAGCCTCTTTGAGGGCCTTGAGAGCTTGGGATCCTGTCACATTGTCAGTCATTGTCCTGCTGTCATAGCTCCAGGCTTCAACCAACCAGAGTAATCGAACTCTCCAGCCTGTCCAATGGCAAGACCACCACTGCCAATGACCAAAACCTTCTTGACATCAATCAGGTTCTGGGCTCCGGCAATGACTCCGCTCTCGAGGTAAGCCTTTGCACTAGGAGCAACCTGAGCATTGCTGGTTGCGTTGCGGACTTGGACGAAGCGGTTGGTAGATCTCTTGGGTGCGCGGGCAGCGCGGGGGTTGCTAGCAGCAAAGCTCGACTGGGTCGTCAGAGTACGAGCAGCCAGTCTTGCGGACATGTGCTGCTGCTGGCTCTGACGAAGCAGGTTCGAGGCTGTCTGGCGGGCCAGACGCCTGGAGAAAGCCATGGCTAGGGTTGGTAAAAGGTAAAAGTCGGTGATTTATGGAAATAATAGACCAGTCTCAATTGACGTTGGCCTTCCACAGGTGGTCGCTAATGTAGTCTTGAAAATTGTTAGTTTTGGTTCCTACAGCTCGGCCCTGGAGCACCGACTTGCAACGCTCGTGCAGAGCTTGGAGGTGGGAACAAAAGACTGACCTTGGGAGGTGAAGACGGAGGGCGCAGTCCGCATAAGGGCGAATCGCGTGCCAATGGCAGATGGGTGGATTGAGGCTGATTGCTCAAGATAGGAGATGTGTGACAAGAGAGGAACGGTCAAGAGAGCAGCGACGTCGACTTATTTTTCACGTCGGCCCTGCACGGCTCTCAGTCACACTGCGATAAGGAGCACAGCTTATCGCACTACAAGCTCGAAATGCTGATTTGCAATATTCCTGGTTCTACCATACAAGAGTGGTGCAAGCCGACACTGGCCGACCCAACAATATTGCAACTCGCTTGGGTCGGTGCTTTGGGCTCGGACATCCGGCGGAGCTCTATCGAGCTGCTTTATTCCCACCACATGGCATCCTCCAAAGGATCAGCCTCTATAGACTAGGGTAAACTCATGTTTCCTTCTTTGCATTTGTCACTCAAGCTATCTATCCAGCTTCTCTCATGCACAGTGCTGTAAGAATTGCGTCCTCAAAGCTCATACGCAAGCTCAAGCCGTTTTCCCTGCCACTTCTTTTTCCGCGTCGAACGCCCATCCCCGAGACCGGCTGCGGATCTTCACTTTGACTCATCGCAAAACATATCCAAATTTTGATGTCGTGACTCAATTGCAAGAATTGCCAAGCAGAACGGTATGCTCAACCAATGTGAAAAAATGTCATGTCGTATCAACTCTATCAACAAAAATGGTATAGAAACAAAATATCCTTGAACAGTCAAGCCAACACCAGTCCCTTATGCAATAGAAGCAAATGCACGCTTTTTGGTTCCCCTTTCCAGCTTCTCTTCTCGTTCTTCTGGTTCGTCGTCCATGCCGTGAACCTGTGCTTCCTTGATTTCTCTGCCCATGAGTCCAAGGGCAGCCATGTTGAAACCAAGCATGTTCTTTTCTTCCTTGACCCAATGTCCATAGGCTTCGAGCACCTCGCTCAATACATCCTTGAGCTGTTTGCTGGCCACAATTTGTGTGTTGTGCGTTTGTAGCAAGAAGTAGAACACGCGCCATGCTAGTTGTGGCTGCATGCGACGCTGAACAAAGACTGAAACAAACATGAAAAGGACGGGAAGGGATGAGAAAGGCACAACCATAAGAGCATCATTTAGAGATGCATTCGGAATCTTGCGAATGGTCTGCAAGACATGCTGTTCGGCGCTGATGTTGCCATAAGTGAATATAGGATTTCGCTGCGGCATTGCGAGATTTGGTTTTGTTGCCTTTTCAGCCTCATATGCCTGCATGATTTGGTAATCTGCATAGCCGAGTTCAAGAGCTTCCAAGATACGTTCACCGTATGTCAAGGTGGTTATCGTCTGCTTGGACGCGGCAGCAACATCATCCTCGGCGCCTTCATCGTCATCGGCATGGTCTTTGTCAAGTTGAGTGGCCAACGTCGATTCGTACATCTGTTCAAGCTCCTTTTCTCTTTCTTCTTCCAGGAAGATAAGGTCATCTGTGACATCCCAGACGCGGATACTCTTGTCGTGACTTGCTGTGATGACCTTCTCGCCAGTCCTGCTGACGACCATAGCCCACACTTCTCCATGGTGACCTTCCAGCTTTTGAATTTGCTCGAATTTGTCACCATCCCAGGTCTTGACAACTGAGTCTTTGCTGGCACTGAAGAAGAGATGTTGTTCTTCCTGCTCGACAGGGTGAGGGATGAATAAGACTTGCATAACACTGTCTTGATGAGCAAAGAATGCCTTATGGCAGTCACCAAAGTCCAGACCCCAGATGCGAACATTCTTGTCGGCACTGCAAGTAGCGATGAGTTTGCTGTCTGATGAGATGGAGATGTTGAGCACAGGAAGCTTGTGACCGTATAGAGTAAGGAAGAGTTTGAGAGTGTCGACAAAGAACACTTTGACGGTGTTGTCGAGGGTCGAAAGGGCGAGGAGGCGGGAGTCAGGAGAGAAGCAAACACTGAGAACATCGTCTGCGACCTTGAGGACGCGAGTCTGAGTCAGCTTCAACTTGGGAGTGGTTCTTCGAGTGCCAGGAATTTCCTCTTGGACGATGTCGAACTTCCAAAACTTGGCACATTTGTCTGCACCTCCAGTCACGACTGATGTTCCGTCGGGATGTACTTGGAGAGTCCATACAGCACCATCATGTGCCTGGAACTTGTCGATCAAGGCAGAAGAGGCGATATCGTATAGTTCAAGCTCTCCAGTCTTGGTTCCCACCAGGACAATCTTGTCACCAGGCAAGAATGTACAACATAGCGATTGGCCGCACTCAAGAGTTCTCAAACAACTCTGGGTCCTGACGTTCCAAATCTTGAGAAGTCCAGCGGATGCAGATGCAAGCATGCGGTCGTCGGAGCTCAGAGCCAGAGCGCGAATATCGGTTCTGTGTCCAGGCATGTCGACAGCCAAAGCACGGTTGTAGTCGGGAGCCTCAGCCGTAGCCTTCTTTGACTTCTCGCGGCTTGTGATTGTGTAGGACTCGATCTGGTTATTGGTGGTGGAGCAGACCAGCTCTACGTTCTTGGAGGATCTGCTTGCGGCCCAAGCAGCAGATCTAACCTTGCCACCAGTGCGGACAATGACATACGAGACAAAGACCTCTGATACATCGGGCGTTGTATTCTCCTCCTCTTTCTCCACTTCGGCGACGGAAGCACCAGCAGCGGCAGCTTTTTCTCTTCTTCTCTTTCTCTTTCTTGCCAAGCTCTTTTGTACTTCTTCATCCGACCTGATGCGCCAAATTTCGACAGCCTTCTCGGAGCCGTGAACGGCAATGTATTCGCCTTTGGGGTGGAAAGCAACACTCAAGGTTCGGTCCTTGCTCTGACGAAGGAGGATTCCCTGTGCAGTGAGAGAGTTCGACTGCTTTGCCTCTGCAATGTTTGCGCCAAACTCGGCCAGACTGTCCAGATCAAGCGACCAGACCTTGAGCTCACCGTCGTTGCCAGCAGTGATACAGCCCATGCCGTCTGGAGAGACACCAAGAGCCCAACACTCGCCATTTGTCTGAGCAACATGTGTTTCGATACAGTGAGGAGTCGAGAGATCCCAAATCTTGATAAGAGCGTCCTTGCTGGTGGAGAGCAGGTATTTTTCCTCGAACTCTTCGGGCTCGCCTGGAGCGGTGACATCGACGGCCCCATCAGTGTGAGGGGATTGACGACCAGAAGGACGGGTGCGAATGAAGTGTAGGCCGGTGATTTGATCCTTGTGACCTCTGAGACGGAACTCAGCAGTTTCGGAGAGCAAGTTCCAGATGATGATGTCGGTATCCTTGGAACCACTGGCAAGTCTTGCGCCCTCGGAGTCGAAGATCAGGTGGGTGATGGCGGAGCGGTGGCCATTGAAGCTCATAATAGGGTTGTTGGACAGAGCATCCCAGACCCTGATGCTGCCATCCTGGTATCCGACGGCGAAAAGATCAGGCTGGGCAGAGCACTGAGCGATGGCCGAGACCTGAGACTTGCAGTCGACATCATGCCAGCGACTCAGCAGCTCGCCCTTCTTCACATCCCAAGCTAAGATATGCTCATTCGCGCCGACATAGGCTCTACCAGCACCAGTGTTACGCGAAGACGACGAGACGAGGTTATCAGGGGTCCAGACAAGGTTTGAGAGGGCAGTGTTGACGAGACCAAAGGTGGCCGACTGCTCGTACTTGCGATAGGATTTGACCATGTTGCCGACGAGGGCATCCAAAGGCGATAGTCAAGGCAAAAAGTTCTTGAACCTCGAAAAAGTTGGGTGGACCAAGCGTCTTCGAGACGCCAAGAGGAGCAAAGTCCGGGGAAGGTCAGGACGTCGCATGACGATCGCGTAGGGCGGAGCGGCGGCCTCTCGTCGACCGTCCAAGCCACGCTTGAGCTGCTCTCGCTGCTGTTGCTACTGCAGCCTGTATACACAATCTCCGCAGTTCTTTCTTTCCACTAGTTGCCGCCATGTTGTTGCTCGACTACCAAAACGTCTTGATTGAGTCGCTGCTCAAGGACCGCTTCTCTGGGTAGCTACCCCTCGTCCCTATCGTCGTCCTGCGCGATCCAGCACACCAGACTGATCCCTTGTCTCTACAGCGCTACCCCCACTTCAATTGACCAGATTGTCTCTGATTTCGACGGCGTCACCTTCCACATCTCAACCCCCACATCAAAGACAAAGATCCTCATCTCCATCAACATCAAATGCTACCACGAGCTCATCAAGTATGGCGCCGAGCAGGTCCTCCAGCGTGAATACGACGGCTACATTGTTTCACCCGAGTCTGGCTACGACTTTTCCGTCGAGATCGACCTCGAGAACCTCCCTCAAGACGAACAAGCCCGCACCGACCTCATCTCCCGCCTGAGTCTGCTGAAGCGCAACGCCATGGCCGCTCCCTTTGAGCAGGCTTTTGACGAGTACCAAGCTCTACACGAGGAGGCTTCCAAATACACTTCTGAATCCGCTCCCCAGGGTGTCCTTGAGGGCGGCCAGGTCAGAGCTATTCACTATCGCGAGGAGGAGGCCATCTACGTCAAGGCCAGTCACGACCGTGTCACTGTCATTTTCAGCACAATCTTCCGCGAGGAAACAGATCGTATCTTTGGAAAGGTTTTCCTGCAGGAGTTCGTTGATGCCCGTCGCAGAGCTATTCAGAACGCTCCTCAAGTCCTCTTCCGTCACGACCCGCCTCTGGAGTTGCAGGGCATGGCTGGTCTGCCTCCCTCCGGCACCGCTGACGTCGGCTACGTTACTTTCGTTCTGTTCCCTCGCCATCTTCAGCCCGCAAGAAGATACGAGGTCATTTCCCACATCCAGACTTTCCGCGATTACTTCCACTACCACATCAAGGCTTCAAAAGCCTACATCCACTCGAGAATGCGCAGACGAACTGCCGACTTCCTTCAAGGTGGGATATTTGCTTTTACAAAATTTGTCTCTGTACTAACGCTCCAACAGTCCTTCGTCGTGCAAGACCAGAGGCCGAGGAAAAGGAGCGCAAGACAGCCAGTGGCAGAACCTTCAGAGTTCAGGCATAGATATACCCTGTTCATACGAAACAAAAACATTAGAAATGATCCATTCGACGTTCTGTTACACACTTCGACCGCCTTTGCTCACTTGATTCTCTCTGCATTATAGTGTCAACCCTGCCACTACACTGATACTTGGAATTTGACAAGCTAGCTCGTTGGGCTAATAACCCTATTCAATTGTTCCTCGATCAACACTCCTATGACCTCGATCAGATTGCATGCCTGAGCGAATTTCTCCTTCCACAACGGACAACTCATCAAGGCTACTGGTTGAAACAACCAGAGATACTTCCAAATACAACTTCCTGATCCATGTTGATTCTGAGATGTGTCTGTCGACATCAATCATTTCCCTGGCATGATAAGACTACATTTAAATTGACAAAGCGTCAGCCAAGATTTAGCAGGTCAAAAAGCAAGTGAATGGGAGTGCAATGCTCACGTGCTACAGATTTTAGATGTCACTCGAGAACACGATTGTAATGAACCACAGACGACTGCCGATATCAGTGATACTCAAATAGGATGTTTGCGGCTCTAGCAAAAGCAAGTAGTTCTAGCAATATACTCAAATCACCATGACCAGTCCAGCTCAGAAAGAGGCAGTGCTGACATGGCCCAGAACAGAAGAGAGGGGGTCCGAAAGCTAGATCACGCCTTCACCGTCTGTTCAAGGTCAAGTGTCAGAAGCAATGGAACTATTCCGCAGGTGTCTGTGTTTACCCGGAGGATCCGCCGTTGTTATGCATGAGGGGAGCCATGAAGGACAAGGCATGGCGTTAGGTTCGGCTGGCTCGTGGCTGCAATAGACGAACAACCAAACTGGAAGACTTTGGAGTTTCGAGAAAAAGCATGTCTGAAATTATTTGTCCCATCCATCCGAGAATTGTTTAGTAATTCGATGCGGCTCACACGATCGCAATGATCAAAGTATAGGGCAGACCGTGGTCACTCGTTCATGCCGTTCAACATTGGCTGAGATGCCAAGCGTACGAAAGGAGGTTGTTGATTGTGCTCGATATCCAGCAGCCCAGCTTGCACGCTGTGTGTGAGGGATCCGAGTACCAACAGCCATATTCCTAGAATGATACCTGCGATCCCACCAGAGCCCGAACAAGCGGACGATAGCAGTTGGAAAGTGTTCCTTCGTCAGCAGAGGGAAGAACGATCGTATCGAACTGCGTGCTGGACCGCGGTTCTTTTCCTCCAGCAACCTTTAGCGACTTGGCAAGTCGGAAGCGCCGAAGGCAATCTCAAGCGGCGCTGCAAGATGGAAGGTTTGTTCTTTCCCCTTCTCCACACTTTCCTCCAACTTCACGTCCCTCACTTGCAAACAGTAGCATGTCTTCATTCGTCAACAGTAAGATGGTTGGAAGGTAAGCATTATATTTGATATGTGGCTCACAGCCTCTTGCTGGGCAGAATGTCAAAGATACATCGCCTGTACAAACCCAAGGCGGAAGAAACATTCAGGTCGACTTCCAAGATCCAGCCTCCGCCACGATGTCCTTGGCACAGCGGCTCCTCTTTGGTGTGTTATGGCAAGGTTCGAGACTCAGAGTTTCCAAGTATCGGATCATGCACGTGGAAGTTGCATGCCCTCTGCAGTATCAAACTCTCTTGTCCCCTTTCGCCTACACTACCGTTGAACGAAATCAAATATACAGCTCCCAAGAACGTGGCTTTGCTTGGCCTTTCATCCGGCAGTGTTCGCTACCTCGATAGGCTTGCTTTCGATGCTGGGCACCGCTGACAAGGTTCCAATACGTCCAACGGCATCGACACGATCCACTTAAGGCGATGCGCGGCCTGGAGAAGTCCGGGGTGGTCTGGGGTCCGGGGTATGGGGTATCTGCTGTCTTGATAGCAGGGCAGTGATATATAAGATGCCCACCGGCCGTACCACTCTGTAGGGTAGATCTCATCTCAGTTTGACAGCGCTGATCAAAGGCATTTGCGTTTCTAACGTACTGTCGATCAACTCCTCAGCAGTCCACTTTCTTTCTATCTCTATCGTTCAATTTACCACACTCTTATCATGGCAATCATGACAGAAGAGAAGCACAACCCTCCTGTTCAGGAGAAGGGTGGTGTCGAACTCTACGAGACCATCTCAACATCGTCAGAGACTGAGCAAGAGCATCTTTTCGATGACAAGGCAACTGCTCGTTTGGTCCGAAAGATTGACTTGCGTCTGCTACCCTTCCTCGCACTGCTATACCTGCTGAGTTTCCTGGATCGTACCAACATCGGCAACGCACGCCTCGCCGGGCTCGAGAAGAGCCTCAAAATGGAGGGGCTGGATTACAACGTGAGTCTTCGCAAGAGTGGCATCCTTGGTTGAGCTGGTGACTGACATACGATGGCAGATCGCTCTTGCCATTTTCTTCCCCTTCTACGTCTTGGCCGAGATCCCATCCAACATGATGATGAAGCGTACTCGCCCTGCACTATGGATCCCTTTCATCATGGTTCTATGGGGAATCACTACCACCCTTCTCGGTGTGGTCAAGAACTACCACGGCTTGCTCGCTGCTCGTGCTGCCCTCGGTCTCGCTGAGGGTGGTCTCTTCCCTGGTGTCACATTCTGTAAGTATCCTCTTGGATCAGTTCAAGACTCTAGGCTGACATGTTTGGTATAAAGACATCACTATGTGGTACCGTCGTCACGAATGTGGTCTGCGTATGGCAATCTTCTTCTCGGCTGCCACGGCTGCTGGTGCTTTCGGTGGCCTTCTTGCTAGAGGAATCATCGAGATGCACGGCGTGGGTGGCCTTCCTGGCTGGGCTTGGATCTTCATCCTCGAAGGTCTTCTTACTTTCATCGTTGCCATCGTCGCATTCTTCTACATGAACGACTACCCACAGACTGCCAAGTTCCTCAACGAGACTGAGAAGAAGGAGATCTCACGCCGTCTGGAAGAGGACCGCTCCTCGCTCGCCGATGAGTATGGCACAAAGTACTTCATGCACGCTATCAAGGACTGGAAGATCTGGGTTCACATGTTCATCACTTTCGGCATCTACACCCCTCTCTACAGTTTCTCTCTTTTCCTGCCCACCATTGTCAAGACTCTGGGCTACAGCAATGAGAAGGCGCAGCTCATGAGTGTACCTCCTTACATCGTTGCTTGCTTCTGCTGTATCACTGGTGGATACTTCGCTGACCGCCTGCGTACTCGCGGCATCTTCATGATTGGTTTCACCCTTACCGCCATGCTCGGTGTCATTCTCCAAGTCAGTTCAGACAACCCTCACGTCAAGTACGCCGGTGTCTTCCTCTTCGCTTGCGGTATCTACCCCAACGTCCCTCAAGGTGTCGCATGGAACGGCAACAACATCGGTGGCTCGACTAAGCGTGGTGTTGGTATTGCCATGCACGTTGGTTTCGGTAATCTCGGTGGTATTCTTGCCTCCTTCGTATATTTGAAGAAGGACTCGCCCAAGTTTCACAAGGGTCACTTCATCCTTCTTGGTTTGATGAGTATGTCGCTGGTTCTCCAGTGCCTCATGACTGTCTACCTCCGCCGCGAGAATGCTCGCAGAGACGCAGAGTACAAGCGCCCTGAGGACTACACCCCCGAGGAGAAGAACCTCGAACGTGAGCGTGGCGACAATGCCAGTTTCTTCCGCTACACTGTCTGAGATACCCACAGGCATGATATATATGGTTATGATAGGGATATGGGTTTGGGTATTGGCACGAATATGTATGACTTTCTTTTGATATGATCTGTAGACTTTCCACCTTGTGATAGACAAGAGTTGAACTTCTATGAAACATCCTTCTTTGGTTCACCACCCTATGCTGATCATCCATGAGTTCAAATTGTGCCTGCCTCTCTCTTCGATCCGTGCCTGCCCGGATGTCCTCCTCTTCTTCGATCTCAATCAAGCTAGGTCAAATGTGCATGCCATCAGACTGCCTGGCAAGCAGAGTGTGCTACATAGGGATCCCCTGTTGTCCTCAGGCCCATGGACCTACTACTTGCCCTCGCCTACAAGAAGCCATCATCAAGAAACTTGAAGAGACCCCCACTCGTGTTGCAGGCGCTTAATCTCGAGCAGGCTTACGGGACTTGGTTGGTAGTGGTTGAAGATGGGATCTGCATTCTGAGTTGGTTGTCATAGTTGCAGATCAGGCAGATTTAGAAGTGTCAAGTGAAGCTTGGAGTCGATCCTGTCAATATGTCGATGACGATTTATATGCTCAGGTTATTGTGAAAGTTGTCAAGACTTTAAGGTTCGAGTGATGTAGTATAAATGCAATAGCCCTCACTGCTACTTTCTTGCATGCTAGACTGGATCAGAGATCATCTCACCAATCTCAACGTTTTCGAAATCTATGTCTGCCATGAAGTTCACAAGAAGAAAGCATATCGAGATCTACAGCCAACATCGAGACGGGCCTAGGCTAATGACCATTCTAGCCACAGATGTCGTTTGGCTTCTTTCTCTTGCTAGACCGGATTCACTGTGCTTGTTGTCAGCTGCTTCAGGAAATGGTGGTGTTGTACGAGATTTGCATCCCTTGGTTCCCGCTCATGGGCCTGCTGCTTGACCTTGTGCCCCTGACTTCTGGTCTCAATCGTCAAACTCCTGAGATTGTGATTAATCTGTACATCAGAAGGGATCGTTCTTGTATGATGTGCGATGTCTCTGACGATAGCTGTTGTTGTAGTATGCGAGGTAGTTTGGTCGAAGCAGTGTAGGGTCTCTATAAGCATTGTTACTTTTTGTAGTTTTTCTACTGCTGCTATGGATATTGTGACCTTGTCTTCCAATCATATTTTGCTGAATCTATGCATCGACTTCGAATCAGCAAGATGAACAGTGCAGAATATCACTGAACCCATCGGCAAAACAATCCCTAGATTGCACATTGAGTATTTGCTTGTATGTACATGATAGATATAGACCGTATGTCGTCTCTGCTCGCCACACCTTCCCCAGCTATCTGTCGTACCTTCACTCATAGTCGAAGATCGACAAGATCACCATGAAACATGGATGCATCGATGCAACTGTTTTGATATCCCCGCATCTTTACTCCACCGGGAGGAACACCGATGTGGGGGTTCAGATACACAGATGCGGAGGTATCATGCAAGCTCCTCCACATGACGATTGGTGATCAAACGATAATTAGAGAGAGACATGATGCCTCATCGTCCTCCCTCATTCCTTCAAGCACTTTTGGCTGCACAAACGTCTTTGGACAAAAAAAAAAAAAAAAAAAAAAAAAAAAAAAAAAAAAAGGTCCCTATCCACTTCGGTTTGTTTAAACATGGAGAAAGACATTCATACAGCAGCATCTTCTGCGTCCACCTCAGGGAAAGAAGACATAATGCACATCGAAGACACAAACATGACCAAAAGCGAGAAAATCGCTGCCATCGATGCGATCGCAGAAGATCCTTCTGTGACGCTCGAGAATTTTGCACACCTTGATATCAACAAGATATTGAGGAAGATTGACATGAGACTGGTTCCCATGTTGACTGTTCTGGTAAGTGTTAAGGCTGGACTGATGTAGAGAGAAGTGTTGCTGATATCTGGCAGTATCTCCTCAGTTTTCTAGATAGAGGTAACATTGGCAATGCGAAGATTGAAGGTCTAGCTGAAGATCTGCATCTCACGGGTGCAGAGTACAACTGGTGTCTGACTGGTATGTTTTGTTGCTCGTCGCTTATGTCAGTGATCTATCAGCTAATGGGTATGATAGCTTTCTTCTTCACATATTGCGCTTTCGAGGTTCCGAGTAACATGTTGTTAAAGAAGTTGAGACCTTCGATCTGGCTACCATCTATCATGGTAGCTTGGGGCATTGTCGTAAGTGCAGCAAAGATTGCAAAGGGTCGTCAACATTGCTGACGGATAAGCAGATGACCTTGATGGGCTTGGTGAAAGACTTCAATGGCCTGCTTATTGCAAGAATCTTTCTGGGTGTGACTGAAGCCGGTCTGTTTCCTGGTGTAGTCTTCTGTGAGTGCCTACTTCTAGAACGTGTCGTTATGGTGTGCTGACTAGTTTTGGTTCAAAGATAACACAATGTGGTACTGCAGATACGAAGTTCAGGTCCGCCAAGCGTATTTCTTTAGTGCAGCGAGTGTAGCTGGAGCTTTTAGTGGATTGTTAGCCTATGGCATCTCATACATGGAGGGTACGTGTTCCTGCCGGTCGAGGAACGCAACGATACTGATACGTCTTATGCAGGTGTTGGAGGATTGGCGGGATGGAGATGGTGATTTTCCTCACCTAGTGTAAATGAACATTGCTGACATAACCAGGATCTTCATCCTTGAAGGTTTACTTACCTTCCTTGTCGCAATCATCGCCTATTTTGTCTTGGTCGACTATCCCGAGACAGCATCTTTCTTGACGGTCGAGGAACGTGCTTTCATCACTTACCGCCTGAAATATGATGGTCAAGACGCCAACACAGAGCATGGCTATAGAGTCGCGCAGACCGACCGTTCTGACAAGAAGTTCCTCTTCGCCGCCTTCAAGGACTGGCAAATCTGGATCAATGTTGTCGTGTACTGGGGTTATGTCTGTCCATTATATGGCGTCTCGCTGTTCCTGCCAACAATCATAAAAGAGCTGGGATACAAGACGACAACAGCACAACTGCTGACAGTACCCATCTATGTCGTCGCATCTGCGATCACGATTGCAGTAGCATATGCGGCTGATCGGAAACGGCTTCGCTCACCATGGATCCTCGTTGGGTTGTGCTTCCAAGCTGTTGGCTTTATCATGTGCATTGCGACCAGTCATCCGGGAGTTACATATGCTGGCATCTTCATCGCAGCATGCGCGTTGTATCAGTGCCAGCCAAGCAACATCACCTGGCTAAGCAACAATTTGTCGGGAAGCTACAAAAGAGCTGTGGGGATGGGCATCCAAATCAGTGTTGGAAACCTGGCTGGCGGTACGTTTCCCTCTGCCCCCGTTATATTCTTGTCGTACTGATGATGAGAAGCCATGGCCAGCAATTTCTATAGAAGTGCCGACGCTCCGAGATATATTCTTGGCCATGGTCTAGAAATCGGCTTCATCTGTATGGGCGTTGTGGCTCTTTTGATCCAGGTGTTCAACTACTGTCGAATCAACAAGCAAAGAGAGGTTGCGTTGGCGGAAGGAGAGGCTGAAAAATACAGCCCTGAAGAGCTGGGAGAACTGGGCGACAAAGCAGTGACGTTCAGATACACTCTTTGAGGGCGGCTAGCATTCCAATGCAGGCATTGGGTATGGAAGTTATGAAGTTATGAATCCACACAAGAACAATAAGACCGTTGTTGAGAACACGAATCCATACCTGTTAGTGAGCGGAGGATTTCAAGCAAATCACATGTCAGGAAGAGGAGCACGCACGCCTCGCGACCAACGGCAGCTTATGCATCCGAGCTGCCGATATTGATGCCTGGAGCAGGAAAGCGACCTATCCGGAGTGCACCACGAGGCGGTGGATAGCAGGGCAGCTTGAAGTTATGTGTGTAAGAGATTGTCATAAGAGGGGAAATTATGGTGATTCTCGATCAAGGAATCACGAATACGGGATACGGCGAGTGAGGGGTTGTGTCTTTGGAGCTTCGAGCTGTGCCAAGCTTGAAGGTGCAGCTGTGATGCATCTGACCAGAAAGCCATCAGGTAGTCGTGTCGGGCAGCTATACAGAATACGGGCGCTGCTATACAGGACGCAGGTGTCTAGAGATGGATCATGTAGATCACGACGAAGAATCTCGGTGGTATTCCGCAAATGGAAGTTCGAGAAGTAGGTCAAAAACTGGCATTGGGTGCCAAGAATTGATTCGTGACGTAGGCAGGTTCAGCCCTCGGAGCAGCAGGAACAAACAGGCGGCATGGTCGGGGAGCTACTCTTCTACAGATACGTAACAGGGACCACGTTGAGTGACGACGACCCATAGAATTCATCTGCTTCTTTCCAGAGCATTTAGAAAGGAAAAGGCCAAGCGACTGCAACAAAGCACGAATCGAACCGATAACTTACTTGGTAGCCTTACCGACGGCGTTGTGCACAGATCCTTCTCTTAGCACCGGAGTGACAAGGAAACATTAATAAATACGACAATGGTTCTTGGACATAGACGCCATTCCGCTGCTAGTTCGTACAAGTTTTTTACCCTCACAAAATGACTCTGGGACTGAGAAGACACACCGCAGGCAACAGATCGTCTGTCGAGGGCGACCGTCCAGACACAACCGCTGACGATGAGACGGTCGTTGACCAGGACCAGGGCAATGTCCTGTCACACATCATCAGCCAGCTGCGACCAGGCGCCGACTTGAGCAGAGTGACACTGCCTACCTTTATTCTCGAGCCGCGATCTATGCTCGAGAGAATCACAAACTTCATGGCACATCCTGAGGTTCTTCTTACTCTGCCCACCATCGATGACCCCGTCGAGCGCTTCGTCGCCGTTACCAAGTTCTATCTCAGTGGATGGCATATCAAACCTCCGTGAGTTTGTTCCTTATATAGCCATGGTCGATCGGGCAGCAGCTAACAGACTTACAGCGGTGTCAAGAAGCCTCTCAACCCCATTCTCGGCGAGACCTTTACCGGCTACTGGGACTACCCAGACAACACACGTGGATACTACATCTCCGAACAGACTTCTCACCACCCTCCCAAGTCGAGCTACTTCTTCATGGCTCCCGAGCACCACATCCGCGTCGACGGTACCCTCAAACCACGCAGCAGATTCTTGGGCAACTCAGTCGGCAGCTTCATGGAGGGCATTGCAGTCATGCGTCTCTTGAACCGCAAGGAGCGATACTTCATTACACAGCCCAACATGTATGCAAGAGGTATCTTGTTCGGCAAGATGAAGTACGAGCTTGGTGACCACGCCTACGTCCGCTGTCCTGAACTGGGCCTGGAAGCTGAGATTGACTTCAAGGTCAAGGGTTGGATGACCGGAACATACAACGCTATTGGCGGTCATATTAAGGACACCAAGAGTGGAAAGAATCTGTTCGAGTTCAGCGGTTACTGGGACAAGGAGATGTACATTAAGAATTTGACGGTAAGCTGCATTCACCCTCTGGCATTGTATACACAGATGCTAACAAGCACCAGACCGGTAAGAAGGAGCTCATTTTCGATGCCACTCACGCAAAACCTTCGTACCCCAAGGCCCGTCCTCTCGAAGAGCAAGGAGACCGTGAATCGCAAAGACTATGGGACAAGGTCACAAAGGCCATCAAGGTTGCCGATCAGAGGACTGCCACCGACGAGAAGTCTGCCATCGAAGACCGCCAGCGTGCAGAGGCTGCAGAACGTGGAGAGTCGGAATGGCAGCCCAAGCTGTTCCGTAGAACAAGAGCTGGCGCAAGTCAGGGCCCGGGAGACCTTGACGGCGAGGAGAACCTCGACTGGGTTATCGATGCTACCATGTGAGTTTTCTTGTTACGTCAACGCCAGCTGATCACAGTCACTGACAAGCTCATTCTAGCGACGGCAAAACTCCCGACGAGATTGTAAAGCAGGTCCTCGCCATCGCACCTATTCTACCGGGTCAGAAAGCCCAAGCCAAGTCACAGCCTCAACCTCAGGCACAACCTAGACAAGAGGCTGCTCCGGCCGCTGCGCCGCAACCACAACAATCCCAGCAAGCTCAGCCAGCCCAGAAGACGCAGACACCCCAGCAATACCAACCTGCTCCGTCATCGGGATCCAGCAATCTTGTCGATTTTGGTCATGCAGGTGGTGTTGCACCCAGTCAACCAACCGAACAAAAGCCTTCGCCTCTGAACACCATGGGCGACCTCAAGGAACCACTGCAACCCGTCATTCACCGTCAAGATAGCGTCGAAGGATTTGACGAGGAGTTCCACGATGCCGACTCATAGACTTGCAAGATCAGGAAGTGATGAAGAAAACGGTTGATTGATATGGTCGTCAGAGCAGATGATGACATTACACACAAGGGGCAGTGGGAAGGATGTGTCTCTACGAATATTTCTTCCTTTCTTCGTTTGGTTCTTTCCTTTTTTTTCTTTCACCAAATTTAACAGCAAGTAGTACCCAGAAGTCTTTCTCCTTCAACAGATGAAACAGTACAAGTCACAGTGGAAAAGTTTTCTCTCCTTTCTCGGATTTTTTCAGCCATTACAGCGCCCTTGACCAGTTCGTGACTTACTTGCAGTGTTCAAACAGAGATGCACAGAGAGGTTCTCCAGCATAAACGGGCTGTGATGTTGAGTCCGTACACCACTGGAACCAACATGAAGTGGAATTGACGTGGACATGGTTGTGCGAAAGCGGCTAGGCTACGTATGCAAGGTCAGCAAAGCTACCTTGATGAATTGACATGAAGAAGAACAACTTAATAGTGATAGACGCCTGAATAAAGAGAATATCACCTGGTCTGCACTAACCACTCCGGGTTTTCTCGGATGCAGTCGTAAACTGAGAATTCAAATCTGTTTTTGAGTCGGTCTTGACTCCGAGGTTCGTACATGTATTGTGATGGTATACGATGATGAAAAGGGTCGATCAGTGGTTGGGTAGAAGGAATAGCAAAGGCGGGGTATCACAAATCACGACGCGGAGAAAAATGGTCAAGGAGAAAAAATGCACTTCTGCCTCGTTTTCATATGTCAACAACTAGTTTGGTGCTTGAAGAGGTTGATTATCTTCGTTCTTCCTTTCTCGGGTTCATGTCTCGTATTCTATTTTGTCAAGTCAAAGACGCTTTGGTGGGAACGACACGCTTAAGCCTCGCCAGCGGCGGTGATGGTGGGGGGAGCACCGCCACCCTTGATGGCACCAGAGCTGGAGCCGCAAGCCTCGATGGACTTGACGACGGACATGGATGCGACGTCACCGGCGGGGACCTGGCCGAAGACGACGTGGCGGCCGTCGAGCCAGCTGGTCACGACGGTGGTGATGAAGAACTGGGAGCCGTTGCTGTGAGAGAAGTTAGCTTGCATGATCTGTCAATGTTTGATGAATCGCGACATACGTGTTGGGGCCGGCGTTGGCCATGGAGAGGAGGAAAGGCTTGTTGTGGGTGAGCTTGAAGTTCTCGTCGGCGAACTTCTCACCGTAGATGGACTTGCCACCAGTGCCCTGTGAAACATGGTCAGTTGGGTCCAAATCGAGCTATGGACGAGCTGTTCACTCACGTTGCCACGGGTGAAGTCACCACCCTGGAGCATGAAGTCAGGGATGACACGGTGGAACTTGGAGCCAGAGTAGCCGAAGCCCTTCTCGCCAGTGCAGAGAGCACGGAAGTTCTCGACGGTCTTGGGGACAACGTCGTCGAAGAGCTCGAAGTTGATGCGGCCAGAGCGCTCTGCAGAAGTAGTCAGCTGGCTGCAGATGAATTGAGCTCCGCAGTCCACAGGGGACTTACGCTTGATCTCGCGGTCGGTGTTGGTAGGCTTGCCGTTGGAATCAACGTTGACCTGAGGACCGGTCCAGGTGCAGTCGAAGTAAACCTTTTGAACCATGTTTGCGGATGAAGCGGAGAAAAGTCTGCTTTGTTGTTTGAAAGAGTTGTTGATGAGAGTGGTTGGGGTCTTTCGGAGAGAGAACATGTGGAAAGAAGTGTGGAAGAAGAGCTAGAAGCGGCGGGGCAACGAACCCCTCCTTTTGGTGACCTCAGAAATCTCCACCCTTTTTCCGAAGAATTACCGTTGGTACTTTCTGTCACTAGCCATGTGTTTCCAGTGAATGTCTGCCTAGCTATGAACGTGCCGTGCTGTTCGGATACACTATAGCTTTATTGCGTGTCCATATCCGTATGGCAAACAAGCATGTAGAGCTTCTCGTCCAGCACTTTGAAATCTGCAGCTCTTCCGGGCAGCTTCGAAGCTTAGCTCATAACAAAGCTAAGCCACACTCATCCTGCACAGGCAAAACATTGCAATCATGGAGTTTTTGAAACTTGTTCAGTCTCAATGCGACAGGATTCAGTATCAAGAGACTGTGAATGCCATCATCAGAAATTGCATTGCCAAACGCTGCGACCATTCTGTCCAGAGCAGGTCGATGACGCAGGAGTTTGGGCAGGGTTGTAGTGTCAACATGGAATGAGAAGATGCAAAGGACAGGAATACTGCATCTATTTGTATGAAGCCTTGCTGTCTCAATAGAGCAGGTTTTTTTGACTCGCTCTCATGAATTAGGACTAGCCAATGTAGATGTTGTGTCGTGGAGAGGAATTGGATAGACGCTTGTTGGATCTGTCAATGTGCCTGACAGAACCAAGAATGTTGTCACCCCTGTCTGGTCGTGAACGAGTCGGATCAGTTATTATTTGACACTATGCCGACTTGATTTCCACGATTGAAGAAGCATGTTCTGCACAACTGTGTATACCCAGCGAAGTTTTGCGATCAAGAGGAATGTACTCATCGTCTTTGTGATGAGTTGATCGCAACGGATCCAGGTTGAGCACATATTGGCGTTGTCGGCGTTGGCAACACTTGGCACCTCCGTCGAATCCGGGGACGCCGCGACGTCAATAAGTCGAGCGCGACCAGCGGCGTGTCACTTCCATATCGAACAGCAGTAACGTAGCAAGCCTCTGCGCAAGATGGATTTCGAGAGCTTGAAGAACCAGGTCAGCAATCTGACACTTTACGACCTGAAGGCAGGTGTGCGTAAAGTGCAGAATGGTATGTTCATGGTATAGCGACCAGTTCAGGAGGCTGGGCACTAACAAGCAGTTAGCTGTCATGAACTACACAGAAATGGAGTCCAAGGTCAGTCAAACATGAATGGCTTGCTGTTGAAACACCTCCACTGACTAGATATAGGTTCGAGAAGCCACCAACAACGAGCCTTGGGGAGCATCCACCACCATGATGAACGAGATTGCCGCCGGAACCTTCAACTAGTACGACATCAGCATTCTCTGATCCTCGAACTCGTCCTTTCCTGACCAGGTCACAGTCAAGTTCTCAATGAAATCATGCCCATGATCTACAAACGCTTCACAGAAAAGACCGCCGAGGAATGGCGACAGATCTACAAGGTGAGTCTGGCTGCCACGTACCTCAGAACATATCTAAGCAAATATAGGCTCTCCAATTGCTCGAATTTCTGATCAAGAACGGCTCTGAGAGAGTCATCGACGATGTCCGATCCCACCTTTCCCTCATCAAGATGCTGCGCCAATTCCACTACATCGACCAGAATGGCAAGGACCAAGGCATCAATGTTCGCAACCGATCAAAGGAACTCACCGAACTTCTCAGCGATGTCGACAGAATCCGAGCTGAGCGTAAGAAGGCAAGACAGAACAAGAACAAGTACGGTGGTGTTGAGGGAGGTGCTGGTCTTGGAGGCTCATCCTTCACCTCTACTAGTAGATACGGAGGCTTTGGCAGTGATTCCGCCCCTGGAGGCTATGGTGGAGCTACAAGACAAGTCTACGGCGATGGCGGCGGCTTCGGAGGCGAGACGGTCCAAGACGACTGGGAAGAGCGTAGCCAGAGCCGCAGCAGGGGTCAAGACCGATTTGACGAATACGACGAGTACGATGAGGGTGCATCAGCAGCACCACCGAGAAGAAAGATCGAGTCATCAAGGGCTGGAACCAAGACGTCAACAGCAGCAGCCAAGAAACCTGAACCTCCCAAGCCCAAGGAGCCCGAAGTTGACCTTTTCAGTTTTGGCGATGACGAGCCCGCAGCACTTGCGGCACCTTCTTTGCCCGCCATGTCCTCTAACGGCAAGCAGCCAGCTGCAGCTGACGATGGATTCGGTGCTCTTCAGTCAGGTGGTGCTGATGACGACGACTTCGACGACTTCCAATCTGCTGCCCCAGCTGCTGCTCCCGCTCCTGCAATTGCAGCAGCTCCCAAGCCCAACTACACCCCTAACTACACATCAATCGCACCCCCTGTATCGACCGCCACACCCAACACTCAATTCGCACAGCCCCAGCCAAGACAGGGCACTAACAACGCTGCCTTCAGCAATCTCTTCTCTACCACATCACCCGTCACTGGTGCAGCAGCTCCCCCACCACAAAACATTGCATCGCCAATGTCGACGAACCAACCACGTGCAGGTGGATACCAAGCTGCTCAGCCCAACTACTTCACATCTGTCAGCGCCACTCAATCTCAGCCAGCATCGACAGTGGCTTCTCCCGGTGTCAAATCGCCTATCGGAGGTGCTCCCAAGCCCAAAGCTAGCGGAGACGCATTTGCCTCGCTCTTGTCTGGTACTAACATGAAGAAGTCTGGCGCGCCCAGCAACAAAGGACCTACCATGGCAGACATGGCCAAGCAAAAGGCTAGCGCTGGTATCTGGGGAGCAACTAGCTCTTCTAGTCCTGCTACACCAGCTGCTCCTCAGTATGGCGGCCAGAAGACTGGTGGAGTTATGGATGATTTGCTTGGATAAGAAAGTGTGTAGATGGATGATTGAAACGCATTAAGCCCGAGAGAAGGAGCACAAAAAGGATTGCAACAGACTGTGACTTTTTGACATGATGAATACAACAAGCATTTGCCTAGAACGGTTACATTTTTGAAATAAGTGCAAGAAGTGAAGTCGCAAAGTGAAGTTGTGGTCTAGAAGGTGGTTGCCTCATTCGGATTGGGGTCGGCAGAAGCGCGGGTAATTCCGTTGGCGCACAGAATTTGCGGCTGGCCGATTTCTCGAGTGTGGATTTGGCGCAGACTCATTCGACCAGCAACGAAGCGACACCCTCTCCTTCAACTCCCCACCGTTCATACTAATAAACAGTCAAAATGGGTCGCGGGTATGTGTGCAACGAGCTACGGCGACTGCGAAACAAGTAAAGAAATGCTGACGAGATTGTCTTCTACAGCCGTGGTTCCACCTCCGGTAACAAGCTGAGAATGACCTTGGGTCTGCCTGTGTACGTCGAAAAGAAAACCCTTCACCTCCTCCATCGTCAGCGCATCGCTTTGCCTTCCGAACGCTATTGCAATCGTCCTCCGATCACTTTTTGAATCTTTCGAACAATCACCACACGACATACCCGAACATGCACAACTCCGAAGAAGGAAAAATACAGAAACATGGGGCTAACACGAATTTCTCTACAGCGGTGCCGTCATGAACTGCGCCGACAACTCTGGCGCCCGTAACCTCTACATCATCTCCGTCAAGGGTATCGGTGCCCGCCTCAACCGTCTCCCCGCCGGTGGTGTTGGTGACATGGTTATGGCCACCGTCAAGAAGGGAAAGCCTGAGCTCCGCAAGAAGGTCATGCCCGCCGTTATCGTCAGACAGTCAAAGCCCTGGAGACGCGCCGATGGTATGTTCCTCTACTTCGAGGACAACGCTGGTGTCATCGTCAACCCCAAGGGTGAGATGAAGGGTTCCGCCATCACTGGCCCCGTCGGAAAGGAGGCCGCTGAGCTTTGGCCCGTAAGAGATATCCCAACCTGGACACGAAAAGGACATTCGAGACTAACACATACTCTAGCGTATCGCCTCCAACTCTGGTGTTGTCATGTAAATTCTCCTATCAATCAAAAAGAGGGTTCTACTAGACAATGTTTCACGGTTTGGGGATTAAGCTGACTTCGACGAACGACTTTTGCACTCGATTTTTTCTGGGCGTTGATGTGAACTTGCACGGTCAAAGGAAAAGAAGCGCAGGGGGGCTGTGTCGAATGGACAAAAAGATGAAGGAAGCAACATGTCAGGGCACTGCGAGACCCTTTCCAGGCAGTGCGGCATGTTCTTTCTTAACAATCACCCGTTCTGCTCTTGAAAACCAAAAGAGTGGAAGCATGGGTTTATGAGAAAAGCAAACAAACTTTCACCAAAAAAACACACTTGACGTCTATCACCGACTTTCCCTGCTGGCCTGTACATTGATGATCATGCTGCCTTGATGATACTGCAGTCTTGATATTGTGAAGCAGATACGTGATGTCGAGCCTAGAACATGTCCACATCATCATCTTAGAAGAGATGGGGTCAAGTCATGATGGATGCCGGCCGGTAGCATGTGGACCAACAGTGCAAGATCTAGACACGGAATAGAGATGAAACAGATGCACGCTTATGTAGGTATTGCATGAGGCGTGTAGACGAATGGGCAGTATCAGATGATAAGAGGCGGTGAATTGCACTGGGCGTCCTCCCTTTCTTGGTTGTATGCATCGGGTCGGGAGTACAGAGTGCAGTTGACATTCGCTTACAAGACGTTGATGGTGCTGATATGAAACGCGTGTGCTCGTACAGATTGGTGCTACATTGAGGATGTGGACAAGCAGTCTTATCTGATGAAAACGTGTCAAGTAGTCATGAAGGAAAGACTGTCTGAGAAAGACAAAGATGACATGCAAGGATACGAAGGCATGTATGATATGCTTTTAGCTTGTGACTCGTGGTATGGGAAAGTGAAACAGAAGGACAGTTCTTGGCAAGGCTTCAGAGCAGGTGCAAGACCAGGCACAGGTGCAATCACATGTAGACTGTGCAGTGGCAGATAGACAGAATGGAAACCAGAAGCACGGGATGGTTAATGGCAGATATGTAGAGTCATGATCGGTGGATGGTGTCCAAGTTGTTGTCATGCGGAGTCTTTTGACAGGGCTTGGTGTGGGCTATTTTGGTCTTTGGGCCGTCGTTGACGGTTTTTGGCGCTCGGAGGTTCATTGGCTCTGGCTCTGGCTCTGGCGTTGGCTTTGGCTTTGCTGCTGCTCTGTCTTCAACAACGACAAGCAGCCTCCCTTGTCGCCTTTCTGAATCCCTAACGGTTTGCGCATCGTGCTGCCAACCGTCCTTCTCTCCTTCTTGTCACGTCTTGCATGGTTGCATCTGATTGGAGTCTTGTCTTTTGCGTATTACCCCCTCTTCTCTCTCTTTCGGCTCCTGCTTCGTGGGGGCTTTCTGAAGGTTCACCAAGGTTCAAGGGTCAGGTACTCGGGGACTGTCACTGTGAGAAAGTCCGATTGCTGGACACGCGCCTCCCTGCCACACATTTCTACAGGACACACACACACACCGCACACTGTATACAACCTTGTCAGGCCAAGAGGCCTCTTATTGCGGCCCCGCTTCAAAACAAAAACAGAGCAGAGCTTTGTCAAAGGATCAGCACGCCATTGAAGCCAATCCAAAGCCTTCGGAGAATTACAAGAAAGAGCAGGGGATTTGTCTGGACACAATGACGACCCAAGTCTTGTCGTCGTCGTCAACCGACACGAATATGAGTGCACAAGCGCAGGCGCACCCGCAGCAACCACCTACTCAGTCCGACCTGCTACAACCCGACACGACATCTCCGACACTAGCCACTACCACCACCACCAACAACCCCGCCCTGTCAACTTGCGCCAACAGCGCCAATACCACCCAAAACAACAACAACCGCCAGAGTCTTCGTCGCAGCCTCATGTCGACCCGCAGTCACACATCCCAGCGCTCCAGACCCGCATCATCTGTTTTCCCCATCTTCCCCTCATCACTCTCCTATGCTCTGGTCCGCGACTTTGCCTATCCTCATTTTCATCCTCTCCATTTCGGTCCTTCACCAGAGCCTGCTAGTCGTGCCTCTGACGACACTTCTGCCTTTTCGTCCAGCAGACGTCTCAGTGATCCTCCTATCGGTAGCTGGGATTCTCGTGGCTGGGGAGCAGGGCCTTGGGGTGGTGACGGCGGCGCCCATTTCACTTCTGGCGATCAATTGCCCTCCACAAGCTTCGACGACGACGTTGATGACGACCGTACGAGTTCTGCCAAATTGGCAAAGAACCACAGAAAGAGCAAGTCGGCGCACGAGGAACCTAGGGGCAGAAGTACTACGCAACGCGGGCCGCGCAATCAAGTACCCGGGCTCGACAGCCAAGGCTTCTTCGCTGCAGGTCCAGATGACGATGAAGAGGAAGAGGACGACACAGAAGATGAAAGCAATTACCACAATAGAAGCACTGGCAGCACATTGCCAGCGCATCGCTACACACACTCTCCAGAAGGCCTCTCCAGCCGCCATCACGCCCGCCTCTCAGCACTCGAACCTCCCTTCTCAGATAGCAGCGACCCAGCTGATGCACCAGGCGGCCCTCTACATCACCTCCACGACGGTCACGCACACCGCCCTACATCAACCTCGCTGGACGAATCTTTTGCAGGTCCCAGTCTAGCCCTATACAATTTTGTTCCTGAGAACAGCAACGAGCTTGCTCTACGCGAGGGTCAGATTATCCAAGTAGGTTACAGACATGGACAAGGCTGGCTAGTAGCCATGGACCTCGAGTCAGGCGAGCAAGGCTTGGTTCCCGAGGAATACGTGCGTCTGCTTTCCGAGATTGAGGGGTGGGGAGAACACCTCGAAGGCGTAGAAGAGGAAGGAGACGAACACAGTACCTTTGAAGAAGAACTAGCACAAGAAGTGCACGACGAAAGCAAGGAAAGGGATACGAATGTCAAGGCTGCTGCTGTCGCTTCGCAAGCTGCGAAGGATCTGCCGGTACGAGACAAAGATGTGCGGTAGCCCACATCAAATTGGCTGCTCTTGACCATCTTGCAAAAATATGGCGTCTTTGTTGTTAGCGTTGTTATTTTGTCTCTTTTCCATCATTGTTAGTTGTTTTTTGTTGACTGTTCGTCTTTGAGGACCCATACCCACACAGCCTCGAAATGTACGCTTTTTTTTCCTCTCACATCTTTTTTATTGGTTGGCTCGCATGTGAAACCTATATATTCCTTCTCCCGCCAGTTCATCTCACCTCTCCTTGGGTCTGTTTTCACACTCCCTGCCCCTATGTATAGTATTATACTGCTACACTGGTGGACGAAGTCATGGCTGTGCTGTTCATGTGTAAGCAGTGAGAAAGTAGCAATCAAGCAGCTCCAATACGCGCTGCCTTTTACATGGTTGTTTTCTTCTTTTCTTTTTTGCGCACCGATTCCTTCACAGAAGCTGATCAACAACTAAAAAGAGGAGGAGCAATCAACTGGGGAAACAAGAGATTTGGTATTCAAAAAAGCAAGCACGATGCTCGTTGTCTAGCTAAACATCTTGATCGTGGAAACTGCTCATTTGAAGTAAGCAGACTTCTCTTCTGCCTCGTCCTCTCCATTTTCCGCGCCTTCACGCTCGAGAACTTCTCTTCTGTGCCTGTAGAACTTGTTGAGGCAATCAGTCTTCCTCTGCTCGCTCCATCCCTCAAGCACAAGTGCAAACTCGGTCGCATCCGCAAAGCCAAAGTATTCCGCCATAGAACAGAACAATCTCTTCCTCACATACTCTGGCGGCTTGTACTTGTACGCGATCTTCCTCTCGTCGTCGAAGCTGATGTTGGCATCTTGAGACTTCTCGAATGCGTACTCATTGGAGAGGTCAAAGTCTGTACCTGCAGCCATGGCGCGTTTCGAGAGTTGGGCTTCCATCTTTGAAGACCCGACTACATCGTTGTTGTCATGCGTATATTCCACACCTGCCATGTTGAGGATAGCTTGTATGGCGCGGGCTTGCCTCTTGGTCTCTGAATCTTGTTCGCCGTCATTTTTCTTCTTCTTGCCGCCTTCGCCAGTGATCTCGGCTGCGAGTTGAGACATTGCAGCATCTTCACGATCCTCAAGGTTATCGTCATCATCCTCGGAATCTTGCGATGTATCCAAGCCGACAACACTGACACCAGCCTTGGACTCGGCAATGTTTGTCTTGTTGACAATGTCGCGGAGGACCAAGTTCTCGCCCTCGTAGCTGAAGAGGTTCAGAAGACCAAAAATTTCACCTTTCTTGTCTGCCGTGTCCTGAACACCACGGAAGTAGCGGCGCTCAGTAGATGCATTGTAAGCAATGTTTGCTTGCTGCTGCTTGTAGATTTGACGAGCATAGACAATCTCTTCGACAGTGCCAGCAGAAACCAGACGGAAGACCTCGACGTCGCGGGTCTGACCGATACGGTAGGCGCGGTCTTGAGCTTGGAGATCCCAACTCGGGTTCCAGTTCGGGTCAAAGATGACAACCTTGTTCGCAGACGTGATGTTCAAGCCCACACCACCAGCTTTCGTGCTGATGAGGAAGACGAACTGGGTTTCGTTGGCATTGAAGTCGTCAACTGTCTGGGTACGCTCTTCGTACTTCATACTGCCATCAAGGTAAGAGACATTGTAGCTCGTGGTTGATTTGAAAAGCATCTGCAGCATTCTCAGCAGACGGACTGAGTAACTGAAAACGAGAACCTTGTCTCCATTTGAGTGCCAGAACTTCAACAGCTTCCGGAGCACTTTCCACTTGCCACAAAAGTCTGCATTAGCGTAGTTGGTGATTTGATCGCGGTTGTGATACATCTCGAGCCAAGTATCAGGCAAGGCCAACTGTAAATTCTCCAGCTCCTTGTGTTGCATCTCTTCAGAATCCTTGCTTTGAGGACAGAGAAGGGCGAGATGATTTGCTAGCTTTTGTAGCGTCATGAGCATGGGAAAGACGTGATGCTGCCATTTGCCACGACCAGGAATTTCCATGTAGCAGCACCAACCTCGCTTCTTGCCGGATGAGCAGTCACAAGGGTCGGAGGAGCGTCGAATGTAGTCGATCTTTTCGCTGTCAACAAGATTCATGTATGCTTCTGATTGGGCGTCTGAGAGCGGACAGAAGACCACGCGATCAGTCTTCTTCGGCAGTTGATGTGCGATCAGAGACTTCATTCGACGTCTAAAGTGTGGCGGTAGCAGGTTCTTCACCAGCTTTTCAGCAACCCGTCTGCACATAGCAAGCTGTGCAAAAGTGGTGTCGTGTGATTGTCCGATCTTGAGTGGCCCACTGACACTCTTCCTCCACTCAGCCATGGTTCCGAATTTTCCAGGGTTGGTCCAGTTGAGTAATGTCCAGAACTCGTCGTACTTGTTTTGTACAGCAGTACCAGTAAGGCCAATTCTACACAATGCATTGACTTCGTTCATGGCCTTGCTGATTTCGGAACTTCGCTCCTTGATGGTATGACACTCATCCGCGATGACACAATCCCACTCAACCATGTTGATGTCGCCTCGATGGTTGCGATAGGTAGTGTAGGTTGTAATCATGACTTCAAGTCTGCCTGCTCTGGCTGCAGAGAGTACGGCTGAACGACTTGTATTGCTTCCATGGTAGGTGTCGTAGTGCCAGAAACCCCATCGGTCGAACTCGGACTTCCAGTTGTCCATCAAAGATCCAGGACAGATAAGCAAGACTCTAGGATACCAATGATGGCTGCGTCGCATCTTGCGCATGCGCTTGTAATCTCGCTCATCTCCAGTCTTTCCGAAAGCAGCTGTCAAGAATGCGATGACCTGAATAGTCTTGCCCAAGCCCATGTCGTCACCAAGGATGCCACCTTCTTGGAATACGAAGAGCTCATGCAAGAACCTGACTCCGTCGATCTGGTAATCCCGTAGCCATTGAGCGATAGGGGCTGGGATGATGCCGTCCGATTTTGGCATCTCGATATCCCTGTAGGGTTGGGAGGTCTCAGCATCACGCAAGACAGGTCGTTCCTGCAGCTCTTCCAGCCTCTCGTCATCACTGAAGTAAACTCCATCATAGTCAGGAGGAACCGAGAAAATGGCTTCTCCTAACTTGCCACGATCTTGATTCCACTTGGACTTTCGAGCTCGGAGGAATTCAGGTAAGTTGTCTTCAGGTGGCTCTTCCTCAGAGTCTGTGCCATAGGTGTCGTTCTTGAATTTGCGAGGGTTGGGCTGTTTTGTGTCGAGAAGAGCTCTCTGCTTCTTGCCAACGATTGCATTGGCTTTTGCCTTTGCCTTTTTGGTACGAGCGGCTGTGGCTTTGCGTTGATCAGACTTGCGAGATTTGAACTTTCTGTAAGCTTCTCCAGCATCCTCATCATCATCGAAGGTGACGCGTTCGCCGTCATCATCTCTCGGACGCTTTCGACCAGCATTCTTAGAGTCGTCGGAGTTCAGGAGATCACTGTCTGTGCCATCGGATCTCTGCAAGGTATCGAGCAGATTGACTTGTCTGGCAGTGTGTTTGACTATGTCGAGATCACTGATATCACTGGCTTCTCCTTCGTCCATGATCTCGATCTGGCGATCGAGTTGATGATCACGCATGTGAGAGCGAGTGGCGTTCTTATATGAAGCCATGGTGGTGGAAGTGGAAGGGAAGAAGAAGAAGATGGGCTTTTCAGGGTGGTATATGCTGTTTGATTGGTGTTGGAGCACAGCACGATCGCGTAAACATCATGTAAACATGCCTCGTCAATTCGTGAAAGTGTTGGAAAGAACGAGCTGTACAAAGACCAAGGCAGCATTCGAGACGAAACACCAAAGAAGCGCGGGTGACGCGACCTGCCGAGGTTCAACCGCCAAGTGGTTTGGGACAATGACGACAAAAGAGAAAGATAAATTATTAGCTGAAGGAGCTGTCGCATTGTCAAACCACACACACATAGACGCAACAATGCCATTGGACACCTCGTCATACACTCTTGCGCACCTGCGCCTGGACGGAAGGAGATGGAACGAACTGCGACGATGCCATGGACAAATGTCGACACAGGCCGCCGCCGACGGTTCCAGCTACCTCGAGATGGGCAACACAAAGGTCATTTGCACAGTCACTGGTCCGACAGAGTCGCGGCGTTCAGGAGGTACCGGCAATGCCGAAGCAAAGATTGAGGTCGAGATTGGTTTGGCTGGCTTCAGCGGTGTCGAGCGCAAGAGACGTGGAAAAGGTGACAAGTGAGTTGCCCTTGTCTATACTGCTATGCAACGACATGCTGATCTTGTTACCTACAGGCGCACGAGCGAGATGCAGCACACAATCGCCTCAGCTTTTGCCGATACTCTCTCAACACAACTGTACCCTCACAGCACAATCACCATTAACCTGCACATTCTCTCTCAGGACGGCTCATTACTAGCTGCCTGCATCAATGCCTCAACTCTCGCCCTTATCGATGCTGGTATCCCCATGACCGACTACATTTCAGCCTGCACAGCTGGCAGCACAGCATCCTACGCTTCAAACGACGAACAAGCCGACCCTCTACTCGATCTGAACGGCTTGGAAGAGCAGGAGCTGCCTTTCTTGACTGTCGCAACTCTGGGCACAGACGACAAGATCAGCGTTCTCATGATGGAGACCAGGGTCCAGCTTACTCGTCTTGAGGCCATGATTGCTGTTGGTGTTGACGGCTGCAAGCAAATCAGAAACACTCTCGACGCTATTGTTCGCCAGCACGGCAATGCTTTGCTGCAAAAGACCGTTACCTGATCATGATGCAATGCAATACCACTCTCACGACTCTGTCTAATCCCCGATGCTTGACGCTCGGTCACGACAAGGAACATGTACCAGGCCATCATCGACATGCCACGGTACGGATATATCGCCAGACGAAAAGCGTCTGATCCACAAGATACATGGTACGGAGGGTATCGAAGGATGCTCCAATTGTATCGCAGGATGCGCGGCTAGAGCCACGACGCTCGCCGCATCTGGTCTGGACTTAACATAAACCATTACCAGCACGGAAGAGAATAGCCTAGCTTGGAAAGCCACGAATTGAGGTCTGATAGTCCAGATAATCAAGCTGCAGCTTTAGCAAAATCAAGATGATCGAAATCACACTCCACTTCAAACCACGTCTTTCGTACAGTCTCCATATATGTACACCCGATATAAGCTCCCAGATCGAAGATGCAATCAAAAGTAACCCCCAAGAACATCCCATCCCTCTACCATTACGTATCATCCATCCCAATGCATCCTCCAACCAACTCCAAAGTCCGAGAGATCATCCAATAAAAACTCCAACCACAATGCGATAGTACCCCTCCCTCTTATCTCCTCCCTCAAGTCCAACCAGCCAACCTCTCAATCTTAGGCACCAACTCCGCAATCCTAAACGGTTTAGAAATACTATCATCCATCCCTGCATCCATAGCCAGATCCCTCTGTTCCTGTCTCGCATTCGCACTCACCGCAATAATAGGAACATGTCCCGTCAACAGCCCCTCCTTTTCCAGTTTCCTGATTTCTTTGGTCGCTTGTAATCCATCCATCAACGGCATTTCTATATCCATGAGAATAACTTCTACAGAAGATGCTGAGGGAGAAGTATTTGCCCGCCAGTGTTTGGTGTGGCGGAGTTTGGAGAGACAGTCTAAGCCGTTATCTGCTGTTGTTACTGTAAATCCGTGTTTGGAAAGTTGTTGGCGGAGCAGTTTTTGGTTTACGGCGTTGTCTTCGACGACCAAGATGTTGATGTCTGATTTTTTGGTTGTGTAGGTGGGGTCGGTTTGTTGTTTTTGTTGTAGGGTTAGATTGTGCAAGCTGGCGATTACAGGGGCTTCGGTGTGTCTGGTCTTGACGAAAAAGGCAAATGTGCTGCCGACGTGGAGTTCACTGGCCACACCTGAGAATCGGAAGTGTTAGTAATGCACGATGGGTCATGAGATGAAGCAGAGCTTACCTATCTCTCCACCTTGAAGTTCTGCCAGCTCACGCGAGATGAAGAGACCCAGTCCTGAACCTCCATACTCCGACTCCGTACGAGGAGTACCTTGTGTGAAACGAGCAAAGATACGGCCCTTTTCGTTTGCAGACATACCGCGTCCAGTATCCTCTACACTGAACCAGAGGTAGAAGCTCTGAGACTCGAATTTGGGATCGTCATACACGGAATCATGCAACGAGTGCGCGACCACAAAATCGATGTCGGGAAGAACGTTCTCCGAAGGTCGTATCTTGGATGCACCAATACGTATGGTGACTCGCCTCTGGTTCTTCTTCTTGCAGAATTTGATTGCGTTGGTTAGAAGGTTGATGAGGACTTGTTGGACTCGTCCTGGGTCCAGCAGTACCCAATTGACTCCCATTTGCTCGAGTGAGGCGTGGGATTGGGTTACAAGTTGTACGTCGCTTCGTTGGGCTTCGGCTTCAAACATCTTCTCGACATCGTGTAGTAGGGTTGTTACTCTGACGGTCGAAGGGTTGATCTGTAGGAGATTCGAGTCGAGTTTGGAGAGCACAAGGATATCGTCCACAATCCTACCAAAAGGGTCAGCACGGTTCTTGAAATACAAAATTATCACCGGATGTACCGACCTCTTCTGATGTTGCGAGCAGGAAATGATTGTGCTGACAGAATCGACACCGCTTGCGATGAGCTCATGCAGCTGTTGGCCAATCTTCGACTCAGCAGTAGAAGCTAGTTGGTTTGCGAGCACTGTCATATCGGCCAGAGTTTCTTGAGCAGCGTCAGAACAATGGAAGACTGCACCAAGAGGATTTCTAATCTGCACAAGTGTCAGTTATCTTATCTCACGAAAGCCTACATGTTTCGTATGGATGTACCTCACTAGCACAAAAAGTCAGCAAACATTCATCGAGTATATCGAGGTTGTACTTACTGCGATGTCATGTCGATGAAGTTCGAAGATTGTCGCTTTGCTTCCAAGGCTTCCTGAGCTTTCATCTGTTGTACCATCTCTGCAAACTTCAATGCTGAAATGTCCAGCATGGTGCCGATCAAACCCTTGATAGTTCCATCTTCGTTGTACTCGGGTAGCGCATTTACAGTGACCCATACCGGACCGATGGTCACTCCATTTCCGTCAGCCCAGCTGCGTCGTAGTCTAAATTGTGCAGTCGTGGGTTCGTTGGTGCTGAAGACTTTAGCCCAAGTGCTCCTGACAAGCTCAATATCTTCCTCGTAGACTATGTTCGTCCAATCAATCTGATCGAAAGGTACGACAGGATGCCCGGTCATTCCGAACCATGCCGGATTGCAATACGAAACCTTTTGACTGTCCTGTGTTGCAAAGTAGATGGCGATTGGAGCCATCTCAGCGAAATTTACGAAGCGCAATTCCCATGCCTTTGCCCTTTCAAGCGCTTGCAATCGCTGTACGGATTCCGTTTCCCTCAACTTTGTATCGTGGATGTTTGTGATGCATCCAGATATGCTCTTGACGATACTGTTCTCGAATACTGGTATTACGGCTGCAAGAACCCAGAGAGCCTGGCCTCCGGGAGTCCTGAACCTCATTTCGAACGTACAAGGTGTACCACCGAGCGCGCAATGCCATTTCGATAAGATGTATTCAGCATCTTCCGGGAATGTCAACTCGAGGAATACCATCCTATTCGCATTCATCATCTCTGATGAACATCGAACCATAGCCTTGAAAGCATCATTGGCATATATTAGCCGACCGTCGGTGTCGTACTCGAAGATGCCAACGTTAGCCATATCCACAACCTTGAGCGTGCGTTGGTATTGATCCGTCGCCGCAACAGCTTCTCTGTCGCGATTTGCTAATGCGGCTGCTAGAAGTTGTTGTTCTCTGGCTACCTGTATCGCTCGGTAGTGTTGCTTGCGCTTCTCTTCCTCAGCCAGGAGAACGTTCGTTGCAGCGTTACTCAGACACCTGGAGAGTTCATGCATCCATTCTTGGTAATTCTCGTTGTAAGGTCGTTTTGGGTTGGTGCCAAGGAACAGATAGGCAATAATCTTTTCTGATCGATTCGAACGTATCGGTACCAGGATGCAATCTTTTCCTAAACACGACAAAGGTGATCCGCTAGCCTCACTCTGTCGGACCAGTGTAGGGTCTGCGGATTTCGATAACAAGCTGAACTGGTCGGAGCTTAGCTCTTCTGGTAACCTAGCAGTGATAGTCGCGTCGCCAGTAGATCCTGCAAGCTTAAATCGCATCTCATGAGCTGGGTCCGGAGAAGTGTCAATTGAGCTCTCTGCATCCGCACGGGGCTCTGCAGCATAGAGAAATGCGAAAGGAAAAAGAGACGTATCCAGGGCCGAACTTCCGGTAATACTCTGCCAAAACTCGCGAGGCTCCTTGACAACATCCCAAGCAGCGTTAAGTGCTCGGAGAACAGCTCGCCTCTTCTCTGCCAATGTTGTCTCTGTCACATCAGTCAACGTTACATAGAAGCCCGGGGTTGATCCAAGCAACGGTATGACCGTCCACGACAGAAAAACTTCTTCGAGAAAGCCATTACGCTCATATATTAGCGATTGATCATGTAGATCCACCCCTCGTCCCGTAGCTTCCGCAGTGACCAGAGGCACGTCGACCGCATATGCCGCAATATCGCCCCAAGCTTCGATAATAGGTTGGCCAAGGATGCTTGGATGCTTGTCACCGCACATCACAGAGTATTCCGCATTGTAAAATAGCACACGCTCAGATCCCAAAATGAGAAGACGTGGTTGTGGATCCAGCATGCAGACGTGGCAGAGTTGTAAAAGGTCGTGAGGCCATGACTCCAACGGTCCAAGAGATGTCGAGGCCCATGATACTTTTCTGATGTATTCTAAATGTTTGTCCAATCGTGGGTCTCCAGTGTGCGTTTTCGATAGTATTCCATGTCGCGCGAGCTTCCCATCTACGGCGGGAGTTTTCTCTGCCGGAATGGCAGTATTCATGATTGTAGATCAGCGAAAGCGCCAGAGAAAGACGCAGGAAGTATTTCTCCAGTCGGCGGACGATGTTTGCGTATGATCTCGTCGCGAACAGGGAAGTAGTGAAACGGACGTGGCCCTCGCTGGTATCAGTTTTGAGGCGTGCAGGCTCGGCATTTCGTCCGAATCTAGGCCCTTCCAGATCGGGATCGCGTAATAATAGAGACGATTTGTATTGTGCAAACCTTGAAAACAGCACAACAGACAGTATACACTTGCTTGTAGATATAAACCCGGTCATGATCTTGCTATGCGATTCATCTAAAGGATTCTATACCAGGTATCTTACTCCGAGTACGTCCCATGCTGACCCTCCTCCATAGAAATAGGATTTGTTGACAGTGCAAATCTCAGATCTGACAAGCGCTAGCGGCCCACCGCGGCTCTCCATGTTGTTAATTAATCATATATTGAGTGTTGGCAACGTCTTCATGAGTCAATAACGGGACTCACCCAAAGTGTCCTATACCTTTCCCAACCATCTCAGATCTGCGATTGAGTCGCATATGAAGCCATACGGTATGACAACATCTCTGAGTAGCAAGCAAAAAGCAGCCCTGTATTGCATGTAATGAATGATATATTGTTCTTTAGAAAAAAGACGCAGACTGAACGTAGAGAATGTCACAAAGGCAAGTCTTCATTCACGAATTGATCAAGTAAACTCAATGTTTGATCATTAGAGTCATGCTTATGTGCTATCTGGGTCTATAGTGTGAATGCCTTGGGTATACTCAGAATCGACGATCATTTGTCTGAAGTCTTGACAATTTTGCTGCGAGGAAGGTCGCGGCAATGTGGACAAAGCCACTCGCCCTTTGGTTCTGCTTTGAGGTCGACACAACCCCAATGGAACCATTGATGTGGACAGTCGTCGTTGTCGCAAGCTACCATGTCACCAAATGATACGCGTTGGCAGACACAATAGACCTGGGTGTCGTCCTCTTCTCCTTCAGCATCAGGTTCGGCGTCTTCTCCTTCCTCATCAGATGCTGCAGATGCTGCTCGGGTACCACGTAGCCGCGAACGTGATTCTACAGTACCATCTGTTCCAAGGGGTAATGTTGATGGCGTCGGACTGACACTGCCTCGTGAAGAAGAAGGTGTTGGTGATGTGAGATGACGCTTGCGATCTCCTTTCTTCAGAGCTGCGTTGCCAGACCGAATGCGCTTTCTGTTAGAACCGGGGGCAGATGCTTGGTGTGGCGCGATTTTCTTGTTGTGAGGTGCTTTCTTGTTAGGTTGAGCAGATCCAGCACGACTAGAACTTGGAATGGGAGTGCCGGCTTTGGGAGTCCCAGAAGATGGACCAAGTGATGACTGTCTGAGGTTCGAAGCAGTGGTAGGAACGTTGCCGGACATAGAAGAGTTCAAGCGACGGCGTTTGGAAGCATCAGCACTGCTTTCTCGTTGTGATCTTGCCGAGGGGCTGTTCAAATGAGCTTGATTGAGTAAAGCATTTTGAGCATTTAATGGCGATGATGTTCGTTGGTTGACAGCATGCAAGCGGGCAATGGCAGCATTGGCAACATTAGGCGCGCCACCAGACTGAGCCGAATTGATGGCAGCAGCGGCAGAAGGAGTGCTTGTGGTAGCAAGGCTCCCAGCGTCAGGCTGCAACAGAGATGGCAATGTCGGATCCGGAGGCATCTGTTCACTGTTGACGAGATCGCGTAACTTGACATCAAATTTTCTGACATTGCGATCAAGCTGGAAAAATCAGTACTTGGTCAAGTTTGGAAGGTTGGTAAATTTCAGCATACCAGTCTCATAGCCTTCTCACTTAGGCCTAGCTTCTCAGCTTGCAGAATTTCGATGCGATCAAAGTTTGCCATGATGACTTTGGTGAGACCTTCTTCCTTGGGATTTTTGACATGACCGCCTTGGGCTCTGACAAAATTTTGGATAGACTTGTCGCGTGTGTTGATGACTTCCCGCAGTTCTTGGATGTGTTGGTCTTTGGCCTGGATCTCTTCCAGTAAATGTGCTATCTCGGCAGGCAAGTTTGCGACTGAGAAAGCAGTCAGTTCGCGATGCATCAAAGAGCAAGCAAGATATATTGTTACCATCGTGGCAAAATTGATCAAGAACGGTGGCAGCGTCGTCTGTACCGATTGCTGCCATTTTGAATATGGTTTGAGGACAAGATGATGTTCTTTGATGTGTTGTGGTTGACGGAGGGTGAGGATGGAAGAAGTCGCGATTTCACAAACGGAAGCAGAAAGTGAAAGGACGAAGGACGACAAACAGATATTTTCCAGATCGTGTCTACTGCACGGAATTACTTCAACTTTTCACACACCAATCGAACTGGACAAAATTGTTGGATATATACCTGAGCAGCATTTTCAAACGAGCATCGAAGGTGGAAGCGACAAGATGCGAGCAGCGGCGCGCCAAGCCCAGCTGCGCATCGCCGAGCAGTCTCGCGCCGAGTCATGTGGGGACGACGACGATTCGGATGTTCGAGAAGCTCCACACGATGCCTTCATCCCTGTCTGACGACAGCGATGGAGAAGACGATGATCATCTGGACAGCTCCCTAGACGACAGCGACTACTCACGCGACGACGACGAATATAATGATACTCGATCCTACCACCTAAGAAACGACCGCAATCCTCCTCGAACTCCCCAAGCCAGAGTACCCGTCGGACTGCCGCTTAGAGTCGCGCCAGCAAACCACAACTACCTGGTCCAAAACTTCAAAAGTAGCTCTAGAAGACTTCCTCTCAGAGCTGCCACCATGTCAGCACGACAGAGCAACGGTATCCCTCGCCAGAATGCCCGCGACGCCATAGTACAGCAATGGGATCCCTCGCGACGACAAAATGGCCAGGCACACCCCACGGGAGCTCCTCCTACACCACCTTTGAACGATAGCGAAGAGGAGCACGCTGAAAGACAGAGGACTTTGCGCGACAAGATTATGCAGCAGGTTGAAGAGAATGGAATCGAGCGTCCACAAGGTTACAATGTCTCATACCACTACAACCGTCGCGTCGAGAATATGCACTTCGGTCGCACACATCCCATGAAGCCCTGGCGCTTGACTCTAACCAAGCATCTTGTCATGGGTTATGGTCTGCAGTTTGCCATGGACAACTACGATGCTCTCCCCGCAAGCAAAGAGACTGTCGCTGCTTTCCATGACCAAGACTATGTCGAATTCCTCTCAAAAGTCTCCCCTCAGACTTTCCAAGAACTATCCCAAATCTATGAAGATCGCATCCCGCAGAGTTATCCTGGAGATCTCGTTAAGCTCGGTCCCTTCAACTTGTCTCCATCGCCTGGTGCTGATTGTCCTGTTTTCGATGGTATGCAAGAGTACCTCTTCTTATATACTGGTGCCACCATGGAGGCCGTCTCTGCTCTGACCAACAACCAATCCGACATTGCCATCAACTGGTCCGGCGGTCTTCATCACGCTCACAAATCCGAAGCTTCAGGCTTCTGCTATATCAACGACATTGTTCTGGCAATCCTGGAATTACTAAAATGTCACCAACGTGTTCTATACATCGATATCGATGTCCATCACGGTGACGGTGTCGAGGAAGCATTTGCAAGCAGCGACAGAGTCATGACGCTTTCTTTCCATCGCTACGGTATTATCGACGAGGACTCCAAGGAGAAGCATCTTTTCTTCCCGGGTACTGGCGCTCTGAACAGTAACGGCAACGAAAATAGCGTCGGTAACCACTTTGCTCTGAACGTTCCTATTCCTAAAGGTATCGACGACGACCAATTCTTACACCTCTTCGAGTCTATCACTGGTCGCACACTTGAGCACTTCCGGCCTCAGGCAATTGTTCTCCAGTGCGGTGCTGACTCGCTCGGCGGAGATCGTCTAGGTCAATTCAATCTTAACATTCGCGCTCACGGCGAGTGCCTGGCTTTTGTCAAGAAAGCTGGCGTGCCTCTTCTCATTCTTGGTGGAGGTGGTTACACAGCTCGCAATGTCGCTCGCGCTTGGACACACGAGACCGCTCTCGCAGTTGGCGCAACCCTCAACGAAGAACTTCCCATGCACATTGTACCTCGTCCTCAGGCCTTCATGGGCAGAGAACACGGTGATGGTCGTCTCTACCCCGAACTCGCCGGCTTCCACAAAAATTACGTCACGCAAAAGGAGTTGGACCTACTGGTCGAACATTGCCACGAAGAATTGAGGTATATCCAACACGCACCCAGTGTTGTCATGGACCGCCTCCCCAGCCGAGCCCAGATGGAAGCTGCAAGGAGACAGGTTGACGACGAGATGGAAGCAGACCGTGCTGCCGAAAGCGGCAGAGGTGAACGCGAAAGACGCAGACGTGAGAGGGGCACTGGTACTCGTGGAGAACTCCGATAAGAAACCTGCCGATGTAGATGAGGAGATAAAAGGCGTCATTGGCTGTGAAAAGATAACGTGGACATGCATCTCTGGCTGGCGTTTTTGTTTCGTGGGTTTGCCTGGTGAGATACCCCCTCCTTTCGGGCTCTAGTCTTTTGCTATTCTTTTTGTATTGTTGTATCGCTATCATCCAGATTTCATACCTCGGGAATAAATATTTGACTACTGTTATTAGTGTCCAAGAACAAAATCTCAAAAGCAGTTGTCCAATGAGCGAAAGCAAGCGAATTGCAAAAGTTGATCGTGAATTCATTTGTGTATATCTTTTCCCTCTTGTCCTATCATCCATCATCATCCACCATTTCATCAATAACCGCAACAAGAATAACAAGAAGCTGTTGAAGCAAAGAACGGAAACAAAGCCGTCGCCGCTCGGAAAGATAAAACACCCACCTTCGCATAAGAGAAAAAACCAGAAAGAGAAAACCCACCCACGCTCCAATACCATAGACCCAAACTTTTTACTTCTTCTTTTCCTAAGCCATGAAGCCTTCAGGCATATCCAAGAACCCATCCAATGCCCATCCCAAAGAATCAAACGGCGCATTAGCCGCGAAATTCAGATTCTCCCAATTCTCCAGACCGCTGAGTGTCAAGTCTTGGTCAGGGGCCATGGTAGACGGCGGCAGCGCATCACTAGTCTCTGCATTAGGAATAGCAGTAGGAATAGTAGGATGCTGAATAGCGCGATCGAGGTTCTTGGATGCGCCAGCGCCGACATGGTCTTTCCATCTCCATACACTATCGTAGAGCAGACTCATGCTCATTCTGCAGCGGACTTTGAGTTGGAGGGATTGTTCGGGATCTTGGATGAAGTTTGGCGAGTCGGGGTAGAGTTTGTTGGTTGAGCCACCGCCGTTTGCTTGCCAGAGTTGAGCGAGGACTTCTGCGAGGCGGAGGGGGAGGTCGTTGGGTGCGACTGAGAGGTTGCGGAGAGCGGCAACGGTTTGCAGGAATAGTGTTCTTCCACTGGTCACATCGACTTTGTTGGCGAAGAAGGAGTTGAGCAATTTCATTAGGGTGAAGCCTGCTGCCAAGAGCATTTGCATCATGTAGTTGGTCGCGAAGCATTGGTAAGGTCCTGAAAGGTGCTCGCCGCCAGGAGTATGCACTCCAACGTTGGGGGGGAGAGCCAAGAAAGACTTGAGCACTGTTGTCGCAGCGATGTACAATGTTGCAAGATCAGACTTGTACGTCGGAGCCGAAGGAGAGCCAAAGAAGGCGGTCAGGCGAAGATGGAGACATGCAATTTGCGCGTGGAGTAGATCGATGTGAGAGGCGTGGTTCGCACGTAATGATGTCTCGAGCTCTTCGTACTCTCTTCCAAGAGTATCGATAAGCAGGAAGCGTTGAGCTTCATCGCCAGCAACAAACTCGTCTCGTTGCATGATGTAGCATGTGCGTGTAACCTTGTCGACAAATCTCTCGATCTGGATGCGATTGCGGAAGGCGCCAGAGATGCGATCGAGATGCAAGCCGTGGGTGTACCAGTTCCAGCGCGAGATTTGAGGCATGCCATAACCAGTGGATGTGTTTTGTGCTATCAAGTTCACAGCAACCCAAGTATGCATGCGGTCCTGAATATCCTCTTCACGCAACTCGATGCGATTGCGTGAAAAGTCTTGGGCATGCGAAGGACGGTGCAGACCAAACTGCATAGCGAGTTGAACCATGGTTCCACAGAGCATCATGCTGGGGTCATGAGATGTTGAGCTGCTGGGCATGGGCCATGTGCAAATGAGAACCAAGGCCTTGACAATGTGGTAGGATTGCGGGTCCGAGGCAATTGTAGACCACATCAGGTCTGTGTAGGAACGACGGAGCTCTTGCAAGAGACCAGGGCGGCCTTCATAGCGGCGCATGGCGATTGTGAGGATAGTCCAATGCAATAGAGGAGACACTGCAAAGAAGGATGTGTAGGGCGTGTCGGGAGACAGCAAGGGGAGATAAGGATGATAGCGCGCAAAGTAGATTCCGACAAGATCCATGACTTCGTTCTCGGTCAGAGTCACTCTTCCTAGCGTGTGTAGCGTTGGCTCGCGTGCTGGGTAGTCGATGCCGCCTTGTGCCAGGTCGAGTAATGATCGTGAAGCGGCTGCTTCGTTGGGACCAGGGAAGGGATTGTTCGCAGTCGCGTAGGGTGGTTGCGGCGGGAAAGTGGCAGATTGCGTAGAGTCTGACCCATTGGACATGCCTCCTCGTGTGATAAGCAGGCGCAGGTTTGCGTTCTCGGTCTTGAGCGTCTCGAGCTCACGCTCCATCTCGGCATGGCGCTGTCGCTTCTCCTGTCGCTTGAAGCCTGGGTCGATGGCGCAGGTCAAGTTGTGCTTGATGCATCTTCCGCACGGCTGGAACTCTGGTTTAGTCTGGATGTTGCATCGTAGCTGTCCTTCTTGTCAGTGCCTCTAACCAGAACGCGTCGAGTCGCGTGTAGAGTCTGACCTTCTGCTGTCGACACTGGTTACATGCGCGCTTCACAGGATGCGCCTTTGCCAGGCCTGCTGATGCGTCTGCCTGCGGACTGTGGTCATCTTGGATCTCGCTCTTCTTCCTCTTCCTCGGCGGGCCTGCTGTCGTCGATGATGCGGGTGTGAGCTGCTGTTGCTGTTGCTGTTGTTGCTGCTGTTGGACCTGGTGCAGCGGCTGCGGCACGCCCTCACTGAACGGTGTCGATGTCGGTGATTGATGGAGACCCGAGAAGTCAGCACCGCCTGGCCATGCCATGACTACTGCTGAGTACGGACGAGTTGCAGTATGATCCTCCGGTACCGCAATGCGTCGACACCTCAGTAGTATTAATGTCACCGGTTTCGCCGTGACTCATGACCATGAGCATGAGAATTTGTGTGTCAGGATGCGGGGTTGCCTCGTGTTGCGGTCTTGGCATGACACATCTTGCGTTTTCTTATGTGGTTTTGTTCAGGCGATCTTCAACAATTGGTTCTGTGGTGTAGTTGGTTATCACTTCTGTCTAACACACAGGCGGTCCCCGGTTCGAACCCGGGCGGAATCATTGCTTTTGCTGTTCTCCAGCATTCTTTTGGTACATCGATGGCTATGGTATAGGCGCCCAAGGTGGATTGCTGCATCTCATAGAATTTTGGGCAGGTGCGGGTTCAGCTTCGCGGCGCTGTGCGGCTGCAGCTCAATCACCGACGCCGACGCTTGCCCGGCTCCTTGCATCTTAACTTCACGTCGTCAAATATCGTCTTTATGATTGACTGCATTGTTTCTTCGACCCTCCTTGTTCGTCAAATACCCTCACTCTCAGAGGGACGTCTGTCGAAATTGAGGGATGTATTCGAAGGCCATCTTAGCAAATTCCACTCTTCATCACTAACATCTGGAGAGTTGTTACACGAGCTGCTTGAAATCAGCTCAACAAAAAAAACGAGGACAGACATTCGCTGGAAAGGATCTGGAATTGTATCAGTGGAAAAGGTGGGTTCCACAACAACTACGTTGGGCATATTGTTGCATTGAAGACCTTCGCTTCGTACGAAGCACGTACCTGCATACCTTTTGGCGTGTCATCGTCATTGTGAGAGAGAAAGACGCCGATCTGAGTGCTGCACTAACTACGTTGGTTGCGATCAGACGGCTTTCACATCCGGAACATTGCACAAAAGATGTCCGTTGAGATGGCAACATCGTTAAAGAGCAGGCGCTGGTATGAGAACCACACTAACTACCTTGGCTGCGAGCGATGTACTTCAAGACCAGGGACATTGCATGAATGGCACAATCTATGGATATTCGATAGGACGAGAGCAACGACTCTGCGCTGAATGTATCTCTCAGATCGTCTTGTTTTTCGACGCCGTAGCCTTCACGAGTTCCACAGTTTCGAACAATCCTCAGGCAGCCACTCAATTGTCCGAGAGTCATGGGATCTGTCTCAATTTTCTACTAAATGCTCGCGTACGAGAGCCGTGCTTTCGACGCCGTAGTGCTCACGAGTTCCATAAGTTCGAATAATGCTCAGGCAACCGCTCAGATGTCTTGAGGGACATACATCTTCTACTATGACACTTGCGCCAGCCGCCGTGCTTTCAAACAGGCGTCGCGCAAGCTACGGATCATGCTCAGGGGTTCAAAGGGTGTTGGTAGTTTGGATATAGTCGTAAGCTTCTACTAACTGCACGCGTGTCAGGTCACCAGTTGCTACTGCCGTGACGTTACAGAAGTTGTAGAGTACGAGTCTTGCCCATGGGATCGAAAGGGTGTTGGTAGTCTAGATCTCGCTGCGAGCTTCCACTAAGTGCACGTACGTGAGGTTGACAACTGCCGATGCCGTAGCTTTTCAAGAGGTGTACAAGCTACGGATCCTGCTCAGGGGTCCGGTCAAAATGTCAGCGGGTACGATTTCGCTAGGAGCTTCCACTAATGACACCTATGTCAGGTCGGTAACTGCTGGTGCCGCAGCAGGCCATGGGTCGTACAGGCTACAGATCTTCCTGAGGAGGTTTGGTCGAATGTTAGTGGGAACAATCTCGACGCGGGTCTTTACTAACGACACTTGCGTCAAGTGGACAGCTGCTGATGTCGCGGCAATGCATAGGTCGTACAAGCTACAGATGTCCCTGAGGCGGTTCGATCGAATGTTGGCGGGAGCGATCTTGACGCGAACCGCTGCTGATGACACCCACGTGAAGTGAACAACTGCTGTTTCCGTGCAAAAACATGCAATTTTCATTGGTTTTATTGGAGTGAGGGGATTATACGCTGAACTGTATAGGGCAAGAGCTGAGGCTGCTGAAGCCCGCGGCAGGTGCAGCATCCCAAAGCAATGTCACCTCTGCCAGTGATACCACTGATTCTTCTGCTCCTTCTGCTCAGACAGTTCATGCACCTGGTTTTCTGCCACTGAGGCCAGAGACTGAAAACTCAATTGCTTTTCCTGTTTTCTCGTCTGTTGTTACAGCCGACATTACTCCTATTCAGCGATTTCAGACTGCCTCTCGAGCCGCCACTGCTCTGAACTTCGCCTGCTCATCTGTTGTTACCGTCGCCACTGCTCCCATTCAGCATGTTCAGCCTGCTCCTCCAGCCGCTGCTGCTCTAGAATACACACCCTCGTCTATTCATACAGTCGACATCGCTCCTGTTCAGCACGTTGAGACTGTTCCTCAAGCCGCTACTGCTCTCGATTCCGCTTCCTCATCTGTTGTCACAGCCGGCTCTGCTCCTATCCGGCACGTTCAGACTGTCCCTCGAGCCGCCACTGCTCTGAACTTCACATTCTCCACTGTTTGCACAGCCGCCACTGTTCCTGTCGAACCTACGCCATCTGATACAGTTCATATCCCTCGCGCAGCCTTTGCGGCACACGCAACCCAACTTCGTCGTGTGTTTGAGATCTTTGAAGGCATGTAAAGCTTAGTTCAACCCGCACATCCACCACATGTGTCACAACACTACCCGGTCAGCCCCTTCGCATTCCCGATGATTCTCGGCTTACCGGATGTGCTACGTCCTCAATACGCTACTAACGAGTTTGTCTCGGGAACCCCCACGACATTTGTCCACCAACAAACTCCTGGATCTAGACATGGCATGTCCACAAATCAGGTCGTACAGTCAGCGTTTCAAAAGACGATTAAGCATTACGCTGCACACATGCGTAAGCTGAGGACCACGACACATCAAGTCGGCCCAGTATCTGCTCCTCATAAGTATGGCGCGATGGCCAGATCGTTCAAACTCTCATGACCTGCTAAATCAGCAAATCAACCCTTGAACACCGTTATCTCCTCTCGCGGTGCCATTGTCTTTCATCAACCACACGAACTCCAACTTCTCCAAACAGTAAGACCAACTTCAGCAGAACTTGACACCTTGCCAAGATCAAAGGCTAGCACTGGGGCCGATGTGGATGCTGGCGCAGTAGAGTCAAAGGTCTATGTGTTTCTCAGGGTCATCGCTTTGTTACTTATACCGGGTAAAAAACAAAATTTCTTCCAAGCCTATGGCGTTACGTGAATCACACCCACTTCTGTTGTGCACCAAGGTATAGAAGTATCTGGAGAAATGTCCGCATACAGCAAAGAATAACGAGCAGAGCTCGTTATCTGGCAAGCTGGATGAGTACCCATGGAAGCCATGAATTTCAATCTTGCAGTCCTACCAAGCGCTTGTGTCTGAAAATCGCCACACAAATGTGATAGTTGCTGTTTGGTGAGAAACACAAAAAGAATGTCACTGAAGAGATCTGGATTACAAGACAGTATGAACAAGGAATGTTCACTCCTAGCAACAAGATGCACCCGGAGATACTTCTCATAAAGCTAAGCGTGTACTCGCACCGGCAAATGCGAATATCGATCTCGCAGTTCTCGTACGCGCATGCCATAAAAGTAGACATGCACGCTTGCACTCCTGCTTGTTGGAAGAGAAGCTGAAACGAGTGTTTTTGAAAAGGTTTTGAGATTGGTGTCAGTATAAACAAGGAGGAATGTTCACACTCAGCAAAAAGCCACTTCTCAAGAAAGCGTCTCTGAAAGCCAGGTGTGTCCCACCCCACGCAGATGGGATTGATCTTAGCAGATTCGCAAGTAAGCACTGTCATTGAAGGATAGTACCATCACAGAAAATCTGCTGCGCTCGAAGAAGAGAAAGTGGAAGAAGTGGGAGAGGAGAGGGTTTATATAGTCCTTTGAGCTCCAGATCGCTTACCTCAGCGAGGCAGCGAAGCGGTCCACGCTTTGAAGCCGGAATCTTCTACCAGTATGGTGCCTCACGATTGGCTGGCCGAGAACGACGACATCATACTGATTCGAGACTGCTCTGAGCTCAGTAGTGAGTTGGGTGAACGACAGAGATAGACTCTTTGAGCCCCATCACACGAAGCTCAGCTGCTTCTCGTGCTTCACAGTTTCTCTTCTTTCGCTTTGACCTGCACACTTGCGAACAATCAACCACAAAGGTTAGTATGCTCCCTCGCGTTTGTATCTCTACTGACCTTGTTCAGCAAGCCCGAGCATTGTTTCTCAAGCAGCCATGAAGTACGTTAACTCCAGGGAAGAACTTGACCAGTCCAAGCACGCTCTCGACATTCCCGAGGTTACGATTGACCCTGACCTTGACAGATCGAAGAAGAAGGGAAAGTCGAAGCAGAAGACAAAGACACAGGAGATGGAGAAGATCCCTGGCACCACCACCGGTCAGAAAGACTACTGGAGCACCAAGAAGATTCTCACGTTCTCGGCCGCCGAGTTCTTCAAATTCCTCTTCCATGCTGTCGAAGATGGCCAAGACATCACCTACCTTGAAAAGAAGTACCTCACCGGATCTATCAAGCACCCCGAAAGAATCGTCTTCATCGAAAAGGAGGACTACGAATTGGTGAAGGAATGGTCAGTCAAGTACGAAGTCCCCGCCATCGTCAGACGTGTCCACGAGATCGTCAGTGCTCAGACCAGAAAGACCATCGACAAGAAGTACCACGAGAGAGTGGTTGAGTGGATCTTCGAGGATGTCTCAGCCATTCGTGACGACATTCGTGATGACTTGAAGGGCAGCGAAAAAGTCGAACGCTACGACAAATTGTTCGAAAAGCTCTCGATCCTGGTTCTCGAGCTTGCCCGTTGCGATCTTGCCTTGGAGACTGGTAACGTTAAGAGGGAAGATGTTGAGACAGGATACGGTGAGGAGGTCGACTGAGAAGCTGTTGGGCAATTGCACAGTAAGTACAGCACGCCAATGCTCCAGCGATCGCCTGGCCATACTGTATCAGTAGAAGAACATGACGGGGAGTCACAGCCTACTCCTTTGGAACAAATACAGACGTCGTCGATGAAGGATGTTTGTTAACGAGTATGCCCGGGTTGGTGGTTCCACAAACAGTCTCGACTCTCAGGTAAACATATAAGCGTGAGGTTCATCGCCCATGCTTACCCCTGAGATTTTTCTATCCAACTTCTGTTCTACCACAATTCCTCAAGACTCATCGCGCTTCCTTTCATGTGTCAGCCTGAAAACATGATATTGTCGTTGCAAAGCATTTGGACCCTAACATACTCACTCTTTACAGCAACTTGGTATGTACTACCAAGTCTGGATTCGGCTTGTCATGAGAGTCGAGGGTAATGGACAGGAAACCAGGCCAGATTGCTTGTCTCTGTAACTTAAGTGGTTACTCTAGGGGCTCGTTGACCAAAATGCCGAAAAGACGGTCGTTGGACCAAAGTGAGTGAAGTTGGTACGAAAGCTCGCACACTTCAGTTGATGTGATAGCTTCGGGGACAGTTTCACTCACCACCATTCCAAGACGCGACTCGTTGTCTCAATCTCCTCGCAATCAACAACATTAGAAAACCAACCTTTTGCTTTCTCCTCCAGCACACACACACCTACACCAACATCAGCCTTGAGTCCAGATGTCTACCAACATGAACCCTGACAACATCGACCCTGCCATCATGGGCCCCGCCATCATGCAATCTGTCGACATGCAGCCTGCGAACGAGACCAAGATCCCTCCTATTGACCGTGCTAAGCTGGCTGAACACGCTCAACTTGGCGAGTTGTGGACTGTAAGTGATTGAAAAATGTGACCGCCGCTGTTTCTTACTGATGCTCTGAAGGCCAACCAGAATGCCGAACTGAACATCCTCGGCGCCATGAACGCCTGTCAGTCGCACTTCGATGACACTACCTTCTGGGAGCGCGACAACAGATGCGGCTACCACAACTACCAGATCAATGACCCTCACGCCTGTCTCGTCGCTCGTCAGAACAGCATCAACAACATCACCGCCAACAACAAGATGTATGCTGACATGAACGACTTCCATGCCGAGCAGCAGAAGGCCTACGACAAGTTGCACGCCTACAACTCAACCAAGTACAGCAGGGAAACCATTCAGGGTGCTAACCGCCAGAAGGCTGCCCGTCGTGGCACTGATACCCGCAGAGCCAACAAGGCTAAGCGCCACGAGGAGATGGTCGTGGGCATCGTCGAGGAACTCGTCGCTCTCAGAGACTACTCTGGCGTTTTGGATGAGCAGTACAAGAAGCGCTTCGACAGAGTCGCCAAGGAGGTCGTCGCTGCCGCAAAGGTCAACATGACTCCTGAGATCACCGCCAAGCTCTACTACGGAGTCGCTCCTCGCCCCAAGCCTGAGTGATATACTTCACAGCTAAGTAAGTGTTGGGGGCTTGGATTTAGAAGAAACGGAGCTTCTATGCTTCTTTCTTCGAAAATGGCCTAACTCCGGCGTTGAGTTTACTTCTTCAGTCAAGATTCGATGGATTGAAGGAAGAGTGGAGAAATTCACAGGGTGTTTGCAGAAACTACAAAGGAAGGAAAGCTCAAGAAGAGGAGGGCGTAGGTAACTTCCCAAAGCAGTCATCAAAATTCAATCGTCATTCGCATCTTTTCATTTGCCAAGTTCTACTCAAGCAAAGCGCGAAACGTGGGCAGCTTGGACTTTCCCAGACTTCAACCACAATTGCTCCCCTTCCTACAACACATACAACGGTATCAATATCACTGTCATCTCCAATCGAATCATTATTACTATTGTTCGTTACCAATCAGCAGAAATCGCAGACATGCAACAGTACGCCATCATGGAGGGGTACGCCGCCCCCGAAGCATACCTCAATATGGAAGGGCATCCCGAGCTGCAAACCGAAGTGTACAATAATAGAAATCTTGTCGTGACTCAGGATCGCATATTCCACTACGATGATGGTTTTACCCGCACTCTCATTTCCGTGAGCACCTCACGCATACCGTTCCTGATCGACTCCACTCTAACCATCCGCGAACAGTATTCCCGAGAAAGTGCTCTGAACATCCTGGAAGCACTAAACTTCGAACAAGAAATGCTGGCCAACAAAAAAGGCATATCGACTGTCTGGCGATGCGTTGGAGGCAGATACTATCCTCTCGACATCAAAGATGGCCGTTACCCCACGACGTCCCCAGGAGAACAGCGTATGGTATACCGTTGCGCAGTGGCGGCAGCCAACGCTCTTAACCACCGACTTTACATGGCCATGGATCCTGAGACGCATTACGAGGAATTCACAATGGCTATGACTTCCATGGCTGAACACAACCGGATGATGAACGAACTCTAGAAGCAGCCCGAGCACCACAGCAACGAGATGAATACCAGTCGACCAGGCCTTCACCAAGACAGTATGGAGCCGCAGGCAGATAATGACACCGAGAAGAGGCTGTGGGAGCCCCAAATGCCTCCACCCCCAGGCTCAGTAGTAGCGATTTGCCAGAGCCTTGAGAACCTGCGTGATTGGCGTATGACTAACGTTCCGAGCTATAGACGGGGCCAAGAAAATCTTCTCGTTGCCATTGAAAAGGACATTGCAGAGGCAAGCGCCTCGAGATTACCATATGCCGAGGACCGGAATAGCAATCGTTGAAGGTTGTGCTCAACTGAGATGGTTGCCTGTTGCTGATGGAGGTTGTTGCGAGGTAGAAGCAAGTCACTACTATCCTTTCATTCGTTTCTAGTTCACTGAGGCCACTGGCTAGCAATCAACGCTCACTGTTTGATAAAGACGTCTACAAATTCTCGACTCCACATTTCTCTTTTTGCCACAAAGGACCTCACTATACACATCTCTAACTAAGGAAGGCTTTTGAGGCATCACACAAGATGTTCCAAGCCTCTCATTCAAATGAAGCCATTGAAGAGATCGATTTGAGCACCACTTCCGAGCCCAGACTGGCTCAAAACCAGGTGGGTGTCATCACTTGCCTTGCAGGGGCAACCAGAAACTGACAATGCAAGCTACAGGACCCTCACTTTGATGTTCAGCTTTACGTGCTAAACCATCGACAGAGCCGGAAGAACAATCTCACAGTCTGGCATCGTAATGCCGTTGGCTCCTTCCGGGCGGTCGAGTGGACAAGTCGTTTCATGTATCGCCAGGACCGTGAGCCGTACTTGGACAGAGATGGCCAAGTCGATCAAGAGTGGCCTGATGAGAAGTGGCAACAATGGTCTGAGAGAGACTTCCATCCTGCTGTGGAGGCATACAATGACTACAATGACCCAGCGCCCGAGATTGTTGTACTCGAAAATGTTAAAGAGAGCCTCCGAAACGTTAGTGATGCTTTCAGAGATTTTCAAGCAAGGCTTTCTCAGGCTCAAAGAGCTCTTGGACTTTCAATCCACCCTTCAGGTTTGCACGACTCCGACCGTCTGCTAGCTCAGACGAGATATGTCTTGAAAGACATCTTCAGCGACATGGAAATCGATCTACGTACCGTCAACGAAGCCCAAAGACAATCAGAAGAACAAATGAAATCGCTGGGATTTGCGGTCAAAGCACTCATCCGAGCAAGAGTTATTTCTGAGAAGTCCAAGAAGAAAAGAGAAGCAGATGATGAGAAGATGGTTGACACAGTCAAGTTTCTCAAAGAATGCCTGAACAGCCATTGTCGACTTGTTGACCTTGTCCTTGGACGATCAGAGCCTTTGGTACAGCAGGGTACTGATCTCATCCAAGCCATGCTATCTGAGATGTTCGGCCTGCCTACCGACGAAATCATCGCAGAAAACTTAGAGCCGGAGCTCGCACCCATCTTGGAAATGGAGGCAGAGGAAGAGTCTGAAGTCGAAGTACTCTGGGAGAAGACCGAGACTGAAGATATCATGGACATCGACCAAGACAGCGAGTCCCAAACACAGTTTGACATGAATGAAATTATTTCAGTCAAGGACCCGGCCAAGCTAGTCTCGAGTGCTAAGAGGAAGAGCAGAAGACTGCTGCAAAAGGAGAAGCACGAGAAAGCAAAAGCGGTTCTGTACCAGAGATTCGGCCTGTCCATTGTTTCCGAGCCCTCGACAGATCAAGAAGAAGCAGTTGAAGAAAGGTGCAACAAACTCAAACGTCAGAAGAGGATGACCGATACGCTCTGCGAGTCACCCGAAGGAAATCTCGCCCCGATCAAAAAGCGTTCAACCTTGAGACAAACTACTCTCCCTTTCAACAAGGTTCGCAAAAGCAGAAGACTGTTCTCTCGCAAGGAGTTGAGTGAGAAAAACACAGTCAAGGACGTTGAAGAGGCAGAAGAAACATCTCCAGACTCAGTCAGAAGATACCCTAGAAGAACTTCTGCCAAACGTCTAGACTCTCGCGAGAATGGCTTGTTCATGTACGGATGGAAGCTTGAGTAACCAGAAATTTCCTAGTCCTCACCAGAAAATGGTCTCTGGTTGAGGTCCGATGTTGAAAAGTAGCGAGCACAAGGCTGCAACTTCGACCATGATAGCGAGTATCTGAGAAGTGGGAGTGCATAGATCAAGGCCATGGGTAATGGGGTGGTAGGTATCGAGAGAGAAAGAAGAGTTGATGATCTTTGCGATAAAGGTGTATGTTATAATTGCTGGACAGGAGAGAATCAGGCTGAGTCAAATATGGAGATGTGCGTGGGAAAGCATGGAAAGAGCATCGTAGTGACAGCTGTCAAAGAATTATCAATAACCAAAGCAGAAGTTACATTATCCTTAACTCCACAACTTCTTCCAATCATCAAGATATATCCTCCTCATGAGGTGTATAGATTAGGCTGTAGCGTACTGTTGGCAAAGTTGTTGTACACAATACCCGTCCCACTGATGCCATCGCCAGCACTGTCGATCAAAATTCCAGGCGCATCCATAAAGTAAGCATATCTAGCCACATCGGGCTGCTGATCCAACCATGGCATGGCCTGTTGCAAGAAAGCCTGTAGCTCGGCATCAGTATAGCTGAAAGTACTATCCAGGCCAAACTCAGTAATCCAGATAGGTCGTCCGCCAGCAACAGCACGGGCAGAATTGACGTAATATTCAAGGTAGGAAGCACCAGCGTACTTGTTGCTATACCAGTGGAGGTTGATAAAGTCGATGGTACAGCCTGTGCAATTGCCCAGGAAGTATTGGAGATATAGTAAGCCCATAGGGTTCGTGGGAGTGCCACCAGAGTTGGTGACGGCAGGGGCGCCAATCAGGGCTTTACCGGCAAAAGGCTGCATGTATCGTTGATGGTAGTAGACTGCCGTAGACACATTCATGCAAGCACTGCCAGACTGGCAGAAGTCGGGTTCATTGAACGAGAAGAGTGCAGTAGAACCGTTGTCAATCGCAAGCTGAGCTGCGGCAGGCCATTGAGATAAAAGATTCGGATCGTCGTTGTAGAGCAGAGGAACGAACTCAAGTGCTGGGTTAAAGCCACAGCTCTGTACACCAGCAGCGCTGCATGGTGCATAGAACCAGTCGTAGGCCCAAGAGACCTGACTATCTTGCCCACTGAGAGAAAAGGGCATGGTAAAATTAGCCTGATTGTAAGACAGCCCACGTTTACCAAAGTTACGGACAGGTGTGGGTGTTGTATGTCCTGTGGAGCTCGTGCTTGATGATGAAGTGGCAACAGAAGAGGATGGCGAGCTGGAGCTCATTGGGGTGCTAGACGAGCTGGTTCTGGAGAGAATTGAGGACGACGATGACAACGACGAAGGCGAAGACGAAGGCGATGGGCTTGCTGTGGATGTGACAGAGCTCGTTGAGGCACTGCTTGACCTTGACGAAGTCGAAGATAGCGAGGTAGACAAGACCATGGAACTGGAGCTGCTCGACGCAGTTGTGGGTGATACGCTCGAGATGGATGAACTATTAAGGCTTGAGCTCGATGAGGAAGCTGCATTTGAACTGCTTGAGGATGATGAACTAGCACTTCCAACTGTCAGCGAGTCGGTCTCCTACCCTAAAGCATCCAGATATACATACATGCTTGTGGCACCCGAACTGCTTGAGGGGGTGATACTTGAAACTGTAGTCTGCCAAGAAAGTGCCGCTGTTGAAGACTGTAAGGTGAGCGAAGAAGAGGTAGATAGGTCGGAGGATGCAGGAGCCGTCGAGCTACTCGATGTACTAGCTGAAGGCTCAGAAGAGGTTGCACTAGTGATATATACGACAGTATCAGGACCGGTAGGTAATGGTGCGTCTTGTGAAAGATGTTGAGAGATGTAGTCGGAGATCTGCGACGAGAAACCTGCGGCAGAGCTGATGCTGGTCGACGTGGCCATATTTGGAGTAACATGAACCACTGTATTGTCACTTGTAGGGACTGGCGCGTTTTCTGAAATCCTTTGAGACAAATGCTCTCCGATAGCTGACGAGTATCCTATGGTCGCAGTACCGCCAGTGGGACCGGCAACAGTGGCTGTGGTGACGGTACTGGGACTTGCGAGAGCGGCCAGAACAGCGACATAATCGCCCCTAATAGCTGCCACAGCTCCTTCGGTGTTGATGATACTGTCAATTGCGGACAGCAGAGTACACTCGCCAAGAAGAAAAGCAGATGCCACACACTCGGGCAAGTCCGCACAGGATGCAATACATGCTTCGAAGGAAGGAGCGCTTTGCTGACGTTTACGACTGGGCGTGATGACATCTCCGCCATGGGTTTGACCACAAGCAATTTGATATTGCGTTCCATTACCTCCAGAGTAAGGCTGTCCACAGACTGGTACGGCTGACGGCGTTGCAGACGAGATGCTCGATGCTGACAGAGGCGACACAAGCGAGGAGGTTGAGGCTGATGCTGAAGGTGCGCCCAAAGGTGAAGAACTTCCCAAAGTCACAGAGCCTGCATTGGAGGAAAGAACAAAGCCTGATGGAATCAAACTTTGAGATAAAGAAAGATCCGAAGTTGACGAAGTCGTGCCAAACAAGTCGCTAGTACTTGAAGCTGTGCATGCAGACACATGAGTAGTAATTACAATGGTTGGTGTGATGATTGCTGGTCGCTGGTCAGTTCTCTGCAAGTCTTGTAGGTTGCAAAAGACATACTTTGGCCGAAAGCATTCTGTAAAAGGAACGCAGATCCTACCAAAAGCCCGGATGTAGTCCTCATGTCTGGACGTTACAGAATAATCATACAACTACTGTCGCCTGGCTCTAGAGCATCGATGAACAGGAGAAAGAGAATGATCGATGTAAGTTGAGTCTAGTTCAAGCAGTATAGATGGCTGCCAGGTGATGGAACGAGTGTGGAATATCAAAACGAGTGTGGCTGCGAAGAAAAGCAATGGAGCGCAAGAACCAAAGGTTGCGACAAGGACATGATCAAATGGAGTGCATCGTGGTGTCCGCGGTATAGGATTCCAGAGCATGAACGAGGAATGTAAACACGGCGATAGAGCGTGCGCTTTTTCAGACTGACGGAATGCATTAGAGATGACAAAGAAGACGTTCACATTCTAGGCTCCTGATAGACTAGTATCGTATGTATATCAAGCGATGGCCTTGACGGGAGGGCGGTGTTGGTTGAGCGCATCGAGAGAGTGCCGTCCCTAAGCTGGGGCCGAGGCTGTGGAGAGACAAGCATAAACTCATTGTGAGTGTTCTTGAACGATCTTCTCGAAGCATATATTCGAGCTAGAGATAGGCCATTTGACTAACAAACTCAGAAGCCAATGACCTCTGTTGTACGACCTTCTCGTATGTCAAATGTTGTCACGACGTGGCTGCACAAATGCATGATACTTTGGTTAAGAACGTCGTCTCCACAGAGAGACCTCATCAAGGGCTCTCAGTCCCCAGAGTCACATATGAGTTGTGACTGTGCATTTCGATAGCGTATAACAAACCTTTTTCACGTTATGAAGGAGGATTCAATGTCGAGATTGTGATGGAAGTGAATGGAGTGGAAGGCGCAGCCACGTGTGGCTGAAATGCGTGTGGCTGTACGTGGTTGATTGCCAGAAGAGTCGACCGCTGACAAAAGAGTCGCCACGCGCGCGCGCTGCAACGCTAGGAAAGCCGACGACGAGCTCGAAATCAGAGAATCGTCACATATCACCTTCACCAAGACTCAGCGCATTTCTCTCAAGCACATCATCATGGCCAACTATCTCGCCTCTATCTTCGGTACCGAGCAGGACAAGGTGCGCATTCCCCATCGTCTGCAACCACGCGCAACTCGCAACTAACAAGCTGTCGTACAGGTCAACTGCTCTTTCTACTACAAGATTGGTGCATGCCGTCACGGAGACCGCTGCTCGCGCAAACATGTCAAGCCTTCATACTCGCAAACCATCCTCCTTCCCAACCTCTACCAAAACCCCGCATACGACCCTAAGAGCAAGATGAACCCGCAACAACTGCAAAACCACTTCGACGCCTTCTACGAGGACTTCTGGTGTGAGATGTGCAAGTACGGCGAGATTGAGGAGGTTGTCGTCTGCGACAACAACAACGACCGTATGTGCTCCTTTCCTGTATTCTTAGACCAACCACTAACCAAGAAACAGATCTCATTGGCAACGTCTACGCCCGCTTCAAGTACGAAGAATCCGCCCAAGCCGCATGCGATGCCCTGAACTCGCGCTGGTACGCCGGTCGTCCGATCTACTGCGAACTGTCACCCGTCACCGATTTCAGAGAAGCCTGTTGCCGTCTCAACTCAGGAGAAGGATGTGTACGTGGTGGTTTCTGCAACTTCATTCACCGCAAAGACCCTTCACCCGAGCTGGATCGTGAGATTGAGCTGGCAACAAAGAAGTGGCTGAGATTGAGAGGAAGAGATGAGAAGAGCGCCAGCAGGTCTCCCACACCTGAACCCACCAGAAAGAGATACTAGGCATTACCGCTCAGGTTGGAAAAAGAGCATGAATATGGCGTTTAGAGGCGAGTCTATTTGGGGTTTATCAGGGACAAATACCCTTGTTTTTGGGTTTGCACTTTTTGCAGCTAAAGAAAGAGGCTATGATCACGTAACGCCTACTTATGGTATACATGCACGAGAACTTCTCGCGAGCAGGAGTTTATCACAAAACTATTCTCAATTTTCTTCTATATTGCTAACACTGTGGACTGGATCTTAAGGATACGTGCATCATTTCTCAGGCAGAGCGAAGTGCAGAGCAACCAGGTCGAGGCTCTGTTCAAAACCGAACTAATCTACAGCAGTTTGCTTACTTGCCCCTCCATCCAGCGATGCCGGCATTTTCCCACCAAGACAGCTGTATGTAACTATAGCAGACTACTCAGATTGCTGATATGTACCTGAAATTAACGATAATCTCTTGAAGTGGTGGTGGAGAATCGTCACTATCTACGAAGGCAGGGTCATACTATCAACCGGTATGCGACGATCATCCTCGGCAGACAACCTCACCTCGTGAACACACTTTCACCCATGTTTTCAATTCCTATAACACAAAGTACTCATCAATAAGACTCACGTTCTCGACCCTTAGCCCTTTCCCTACCCCTGCAGCCTACAGCAACGAGGAAAAAGCAGGCCGACCGAAAACAACCGGAATGGTGTAATTTTGGCATGGGTGTTTCAGAAATGCCTCAGACTGCCACTTGCGACGTGCAGGCCGTGAAGAACTAACTCTCCATGCTTGATATATCCTTGCACGCGAGCGACTAGCATGACTCCGCAGATGCTGGAGGAGTTGCAAGTAAGTCGCAGGTTAGTATTGATGAAGATAGCGTTCGAGATGACTTGCCAGTACATTTCTACAACTTTGCCATGTTCCTTCCTTTCTTTTTCATATGTTCCATCAATTCAACTCTCTTCGCCACTTCAAAGATCCGATCGACTCGGTATTTTTCACGTTCGTTTCATTGAGGCCCCCAATACTGAACACGCGCCACGAGAATACCACGATTCACGATTTCTATTCTTTCACATTCCTCAGGCCTGCCCGAAGCTGCCAATCTCGAATTTGCCCAACGTGACGCGCGACAAACAAGCTTCAATTCATACAATTCTGGGAAACTCTTTTGCAAGGCAACAACATCTGCTCAATTTTGAGGACATACGTCAGACATTTGCAAGGCCTACCACAGAAACAACAACACGAGGTTGCCATATCAATATTCTTTACCAATACAAGGCTAGGAAAAGAAAGGCATCGCGTCAACAAAGATCGCCGGACCCCATCTTACTATCATCAACCACTTTCGCCTCGACTGTCAAAGCCATTTCTATTCCCAACGAGAAACACCACCAGCAAGCTGAACCTATTTATCGCCAAAGAAGTCCAAACGGCGCACAACGAGCCCATCCACCAAACTTACCATCGTGCCACCTTCTACCAGCAAGCATAGTCAACACTTTGAAGAGGAAGAGGGACCTGTGAGGTCAAGACAAGGAAAACCCAAACACAATGGCCGTCCCTCGCGACCCGAACTTCTGGAAACGTTTCAGCTACGCAGTACACCAAGACGAAGAAGCACAGTTAAATCAAAAGTAAGCTTTTTCTACCATCTCCTCCACCTCCTATCTCCACCTAACCCCTTCCACGATCTCCTCATTCGAACATCTCAAACTAACCCTCACCTTTTGAAAAAGATCAGAAACCTGGCTCAACAGCACCCGCCGCAAAAAACACCACTCCTACGCCCGCATCTGTTGCCTCTTCTGGATTCTTCTCATTTGCATCATAGCAATCATCGTAGTCGTCTTGTTAATACTCGTAAAGACGCATACATTCCAAAAAATACACATAGGCGGGGATGGTCATGATTTGGACAACAGTGTACAAAATTGGTTAAACCGGTTATTTGGGACAGGTGGAAAAGGGAAGGAGGGGAATGATGGGTCGTGACGGAGGAAGTCGTGGAGGAGAAGAGTCAAGAAGGATACTGGCAGTAACGCCCCAAGAGCAGGTACTCTTTGGATTCAAGAGAAGAGAAATGACTGTGTACGAGGACGAATATCATGTTGAAACTTTGATGTATAGCTGTAAGATCAAATGAAACAACAACAGCCGACCGTTTTAAGATTACATGATGGTGTTTCCTTATCGCCGTGAAGACGAAGAGAATCTTCGAACACATGAACAAGACGTGAAGCAGCAACATATGATTACCATTTCTAATCACCGTCATCACTCGAATGTGTTCACACAAGACGAGAAAGCACACACAAGATTGAGCAAAGATATGGCATTCGAAGCTATAGACAGTGTGTCCCCATCCAAGAGCAAGAAAAACCACCTTCCTCGCTTCAGATCGCCCTTCATGTTCAGGCAAATTTCGAAATCAAAGACGCAACACCGCTAAAAGCTCCGTGATCAGATGTCAGTTTTAGCACACATGAGACACAACGACATGCGTCTCAGTAGAAGAGTGTGTAGGCACACCAAATTAGTCACCATCGCAAAGTGAAAGTGAGCAAATTCAGCAGTGCCAGCGACACTTCTCGTTGCCGCACTTGTTGCAGATCAAGACCAGGTCAGGGTTGTTGATGTCGTCAACAATACCACGCCACTGAGCGTTGAAGTTGATGCTGCAGTCGTTGCAGGCCTTGTGATCGAGGTCGTACTCTTTCAGTGCCTTCAACACCTGCTTGAGACGTCCATTGCCACCGGAGGGGCGTTGATTGGGAGAGGCTTGACTGGCGGGACCTACAAATGTTAGCGTCAGAAAAGGAAGTTCATGTGAGTCACTTACCAGTGCGAGCATCATCCAGCTGTCTCTGGAGGAACGTGACTCGTGTTGTCAGCTGCGCGATAACCCTGTCTCTCTCGTCCGGAGAGTTGTTGCCCTGACCATTGGTGGTGGCACCAGAAGCGACAGTGGGTCTGACAGGAGCGGCAGAAAGAGCGGCAGGGCGAATGCCAACAGGAGCAGCCGTAGGAGTGCCAGCGGAACCGGCGGGATGACCGCTAGCAGAGGCGACACTGGGAGTGACCGCGGTACCGTTCAGACGAGGGGCAATGTGCTGAGGGGTGCCATTGACGTGAGCAGCGACGTGTCGAGAGGCGCCGTTGACGTGAGGCCCGGCGGTGACACTAGAAGCCGTGGAAACAGTGTGAGTACCTCCGTTGATCTGAGGTGACTGAGGGCTAGCTGCCTGGCGACCGAGAGTGGCATGAGGGCCACGGGTAGCACCGTTGGCAGGTGAAGGAGCGTTGGCGGTGACGGGGCTGCTGATCGACAGGGTAACGCTGGGAGAGCGCATAGGCTGCTGAGCGGTGGTAGACTCACCACGCACACTGATGGGCATACTGAGAGGAGTCTGGCTGGAAGTGGAGCCATGTTCGCCACCATGAATACCAGCAGCTCGGGAACGTTGAAGCTTCTCGAAGAAGGAAACCGGTCCGCTAGAGTTGAGGTTCTGAGCGGCAGGAGTCAGGGCCAGACGAGCACTGGGAGTAGGCGATGTAGGGGTGGGAGGGGCAGCGGCGGAGGCTGAGTCTGCAGCGATGCTATTGACAGAAGCAGTCATCGAACCAAAGCCATAGATCGGGCGCTTTGACTCAGCAGCCTCAGAGGACTGAGTGGGCTGCGAAGCACGAGGGCGGGAGGCAGCGCCGTTGATGCTGGGCTGAGGAACGAAAGCTGTGTTGACAGTGATAGGCTGTTGAGCATGGATAGCCAGCTGAGCCTCGAGCATCTTGATCTTCTCCTCCGATGCAGTGAGGCTTGACTGCAACTTCTCAGCCTTTCCGAGAGCTTCATTGCGCTCCAGCAGGAAGGAGATGTTCCCGGGTTGACCAACACGCTTCGAGTTGATCTGATCGACCAACACAGCACTGCGCTTGTTGGTGTCAACAAGCTTGCGTTGGAGATTCTCAATCTGCTCGTCCTTCTGGTCGAGCTGAGACTCGAGGTTGTTTATGATTGAAGACTTGTCGGCGTTCATCTTCGCGATGCGAGCCTCAACATCAGTCGACGAGGTCTTCTGTTCGATAGATTGCTTGAGGTGGGTAACCTCCTGCTCAAGAGTCCTGATGTGCTCTTCCTTGGCATAAATGAGGTTGCGGGCCTCGGTGAGTTGACCTTCGAGCAGGGCAGCACTCGAAGAAGCAAAAGCAGAAGAGGAACTGCCAGCACCAAGGGTGGAAGCAGGCAGGACGACCGACGTGCCATCACCGAAAGAGGCTTGACGCTTGGCCAATTCACGGTAGAGACGAACAGAAAGCTTGCCGTTGTGCTCGAGGACAGTAAGAAAGTTTGTGTTCTTGGCCAGGTGCTGGCAGTGAACGAAACACTCCTTGACGAGGTGGTCGTAAAGTAGCTCGGCAGGGCCAGAAACTGAGTTGAAGACGGCCTCCACAAACTTAGGGAAGTCGTCCTTGTCGAAAGCACCAGAGACGTACCCGCCAAATCTCTGAGCGGCCTCGACCATGAGGCGATCGATGTCCCAAGCGCTAGCGGCTTGGTACACCTTGACACTGGCCAAAGCCTTGAGTAGGGTGTCTGAGGTGCAAGAGTGGGCAGTGATGTGTAGGTTACGCAAGCCCTGAACCAAAGCAACATCCTGATGCTCTGTAGAAGCGTCGATCAATCTGTTGGCCGATGTGGGCGAAGCGGGGGGTTCGACCTTAGGAAAAGTCAGGCCCTCATCCTCATCCTGGTATGTACCGTCGTAGAGGAAAGAGATGACTCTCCAAACGGTCTGACCATCGAATTCGAGACGAATAGGAGTCTGAAGATTTATGGAAAATTAGCGATGCGTAATGTGACTGGCAAGATGGACAAAGGTACCTTTGCACCGACAGATTGGGCGCGGATAAAGACCTCGAACTTGCAACCCTGGAGCCCTTTGATGAAGAAAACCCAAGTGTGGAAAGGAATGACGAAGCCGTCGAAGGTCATCAAATGAGTGTCAGCGTAGCTGTCGCTACCCTTGATCACAGAGAATGACATCTTCTTAGGACGATCCATCGCTTGCACAAGATCTGAATGCTGACCGCAGTGAAAACCGACCTGCGCACACGTGTCAGTCCAACACCAAATGAAGGAAACGTTTGAAGAGAGTGAGCGGCGAAACGTACTGCTGGGCAACTGAGCAAGATGCGAGAACCTGAAGAGGAAGTCGCAACGCTCAGCTGTATTGCTCTTGTGGCGGCGGTGAAAAGGCAGGAACAAGTTCGATTTCGAATTGATTTCTCGAGTGTGGGAGTGCCGAGAGCACGACTAAGCAGAGGTCTTGGAGGTACACGAACTGGAGAGGAGTAACGAAAAGCGTGGGCCGCCTAAGGAAGTTTGTCTGGTCAACGCTTTCATTTACGGGAGCAGAAAGAGCCTCGAGGATCAGCTAGAGTAAGGGAGTTCATGAGAGTTCTTTGGACGAGGAAGTCGCTGATACTGAGTTGTGTGTCGCTGTGGTGGCGTGTATAGAGAAAGAGCTGCGCAAGAGATCAGCGCCTCAGGTCAGTTGAATCATTACTTTCTCTTGTCGCAAAATGAGCCTGCTTGTTGATGAGAGTAGCTATAGTGAGAGGTGATTGTTTTGCAGTCAGTTAGCACAAGGCACGCGCTGGTGACAGGCAACTACTCTTTCAGGTACTTCTAGCTGTTGTTGAGGAAGGTACGTGTGGTCGCTGTCTCCTCTTTTATGAGGTAGTAACTTGTGAAGCCAAGGTCATCGACCTTTTATTTTCGCCCTGAGATCGAGACATACAGGTGAACGATACCTGCGTATACATACTGAAAGTTCAGACATAGATAGCCTGTCAAGTTGACTATTCCAGAGCTCGGGAGCTAGTGCGAGATGGTGCAATGTTCTTCCAGAGAGCATACCGTATGCTCACTGGATCAATAAAGCTACATAAGCATATGGTCCTGCGAGCTTGTGCTCTTTGTTAGAGATCACAGCAAGCGAACCGCACAGGTGAGGTTAAGAGCTGCATTGCAGATCCCGAAGTTCTGCCATGTTCATCGTATGTGCCAGCTCTTACTCTCTTTGGGCACGGCTGTGCTCCTGGAAGTAATCGTGACTTCTTGTAGGGTGAAATCTGTTCATAGCATTGAAGGAGAAGGGCGATGATACATGCTGGAGGAGAAGACAAGCAGACCACAAGAGTGTAATCAGCAACAAATACCAACGAGGTGAATGAGCTTACTTCGTGGGTATCTATATACCTTATTCAGGAGTCGTTTGTATCATCCACTGTTCCACATCTCGACTCTCAAGCATCATTCAGGACAGCCTTGAAGGCTGCGAGAAGATCCTTCTTCAGGTCCTCTACATTCTCAACACCGATACTGACCCTCAGTACTCTTGAGTCAATCTTCGCATCACTCATGCGTCGCCACTCGATCAGACTTTCCACACCACCAAGACTGGTGGCATGGTGGAAGAGAGCAAGCTTGCTAGGCAAACACCTAGCAAACTTCTCTTCGGCCATCCAGATGGCAAACACAGGACCGTAGCCACCAGGCATTTGCTTCTTCAACCAATGCATGTCATCTTTCTGCAGACTTGCATGCTGGACACGCGAGAGAGCTTTTTGAACAACTGCAACGTCTTCTTTAGGACCTTCGCCGGCTTGGAGTGAGACAAGCCATTGAACCAGAGCTGTGGTCGTTTCGGACTGACGTTGGACACGAAGTTCGAGAGTACGAATGCTGCGGACACCGAGCCAGCCTTCCAAACTTCCCATGACGGCGCCCAAACATACTCGCTCATCCCACATTCCCCAGTACTCTTTGGTTGCATTTGGGCGAGCGGGGTTGATGGCAACGATACCGCAAAGCATATCGCTGTGGCCGCCGAAGTACTTGGTTCCACTGTGCATAACAAAGTCTGCACCACAAGCGAAGGGATCCATAAGTGGTGGTGGCGCAAATGTAGCATCGACTGTCAAAACAGCACCTCTCTCGTGTGCCCATTTGGCATATTTCTCAATCTCGTATGCCTCGCCAGTGGGATTGAGAGGCGTCTCCAGGTGCACCACATCACCCTTGCCCAAGCCTTCCCAAGTATCAGGGTTGTGGACATCGACAATCTTGCATTGTGTGAGTTTTTGGAAGATTTTCAGTACGCCGTGGCAGCCGTGATAGCCGTCGCCAATTGCGACAACCTTGGGGTTCAGTGCGACAAGGAGAGCGTGGAAGGCAGCAAGACCAGAGCTGTAGGTCAATGCGGGGCCTTTGAGGAGGTGCGAGAGGATGGTTTCGAGACGAAAAGTATTGGGCGCAGCCTCGCGGCTGTAGATTAGAGGATCAGAACCGCTTCCTGGCTTCAGAGGGTCACGACCAGCCATCTAGAGAATCAGTGAGCTGCTAGCAAAAAACTCTCATGCATGCGACAGTATCATACCACATCGTCCATGCTGAAGGGCACTAACTTATCAGGGTCCTCGGGATAGCGGTAGGTGGTCGAGACATGCATGGCAGGCGCAACATCTGTGGAATCATTGAGCAGATCATCGCCGTGGACGGCCAATGTCGAGGCCGAGTAATGAGAGTAGTCCATGCTGGGTAGTGCGGTTGTGCAGAAAGAAGAAGGACGGGAAGATGATTGAAGCTGTACAGAAGCAGGGTCTCATAGTCTTCCGAATACCTACCTATCTCGAGGCGAAGCCCGTTGACTTAGCTGAAGGTAGTCCACAGCTGAACATGCGTCTTTTCAAGCTTATGTAATGACGCTACAACCCTTTTGCTCACCATGACTCTTCTCGGTAGGGCAAGATGTTTGCGAAGATGGTGCGGTTTGACATGTCGATATCACGCCCTTCGCGCGTCGAGCTGTCGCCGAAGCTTGAAAGTCTCCTCAAAGAGGAAGGTGTGGCGGACTCGGCAAAGTCGGAGCAAGAACCATTTCAACGTATCACACTTTCGAAGATTTGTTGCGAACCGAAATTTCTGTAAGTTGTGTTCATTCAATCTTGGATGCTATGCTATCTGCTGGCTTCTCATCATGCTCATGCCAATGCTGTTTGGAACTTAACAATTTTCTCGCAGCCTCCTCTTCAATGCAAATGCAGCATCCCCCGAAAAAAAAGGCCTCCTTATGTGAGGCTCAAATGTACGCCTCGCTCGCCTAGAAATCAAGACCCGCTTGAAAACGCTTCAAAAATCATGGGTATAAGCCTGGTTGCATGCTTCTGAAAAGAAAATGCATAGAAGTTTGGAAAGAATAGTCATTTCACTCACTGGCCATAAGCGCCGGCCTGGTGAGGAACCTTGGTTGTGGCCTTTGTAATGGTCTTCTCACGACCATAGGTGTCGACGACAGGGAAGCGAGCACGGCGCTCAAGATCGTCAAGATCCATGTGCGAGCGAATGTACATGTTTCTGCTGTCATCGGGAACGTGGTAGTCCCAGCTGTGGAACTCGCCAGTCTTGAGAGCACCCCAGACGAAGCGGCGACGACGCTGCTGGGCAAAGACGTCCTTGGTAATGGCATCAAAGTCCCACTTGGCAGCCGCTTCCTTCTCGAAAGCCTCAAACATGGTCTTGGTCTCTGGATCTTCACTGGTTGCAAGATTGGTGAGCTCCTTGGGATCGGTGGACAGGTTGAAGAGTTGAGGTGGATCAACGGGGCAGGTGATGTACTTCCAAGGACCGCGACGAATCATCATGAGAGGAGCAACAGTACCTTCACCCATGTACTCGGCGAAGACAGTGTCGTTACCCTTTCTACCTCTGAGGTGAGGCATCATCGAGTGGCCATCCATAGGCAGACCGGGAACAAGCTTAGTGCCCACCATATCGCAAAGGGTGGCAGGAAGGTCGAGGGTTGAGACGTTCTCGTAAACACGGTGAGGAGTGTATGCCTTGGGGTAGCTGATGAGCATAGGTACACGGACGGAGCTCTCGAAGTACGACATCTTGTACCACAGACCACGCTCGCCAAGCATGTCACCGTGGTCACCACTGAAGATGATGATGGTGTTGTCGCGCAACTTGCATCTATCCAGGACGTCGAGCAGTTTGCCGATGCAGTCGTCGACATATGAGCAGGCGCCATAATAGGCACGCTTGGCCTTCTTGATCTGCTCAGGGGTGAAGTCATAATCCTCAAGGTCGCAAACGTGTTGCAGGCGCTTGCTGTGAGGGTCCTGGTCTTCCTTCTTGATCTGAACTTCGGGCATGTCAATGTCGACATCTTCGTACATGTCCCAGTACTTGTCCTCGATGGTGTAAGGGTCATGAGGGTGGGTGAGCGAAACAGTCAAGGCGAAAGGTCTGGCATCAGGACCCTGGCGAACATAGTCGTACAGGTACTGGGTACTCTTGTGCATGCTTGCCTCATCATAGTCAAGCTGGTTGCTGCGCACGCAGGGGCCTGCCTGGAGAATGGAGCTGCTGTTGTGGTACCACTCGAGGCGAGTGTCGGGCTCATCCCAGTTGACAGCCCAGCCATAATCGGCAGGGTAGATGTCAGCAGTCAATCTCTTCTCCCAGCCATGCAATTGGTCGCCAATGAAGTGCATCTTGCCAGCCAAGACTGTCTCGTAGCCGGCGTGGCGAAGGTAGTGTGAGAAGGTGGGTGTGTCGGAACTGATGGACGAGGCATTGTCGTATGCGCCGATCTTGGAAGGGAGCTGGCCAGTCACCAATGACATGCGCGATGGTGCGCAAAGGGGAGAGGGACAGTAGGCCGAGTCGAAAATGACTGACTTTTCAGCGAGCTTGTCGAGGTTGGGTGTCTTGATCTGAGACTTGTCGTTCCAGATCTTGAGTTGGGGAGCGGCCAATTGATCGGCCATGATGAAAAGGATGTTGGGAGTGTCGGGCACTTGAGGAGTGGATGCGCCATTCTGGCCCAAGAAGCCAGGAGGTGGTGTCTCTGGTGGCGTAGAAGTCATTTTGGCGGTTTTGGGTGTGTGGTGTAGAAAAGAGGATGGAGAGGCACACAATCTCCTTTGGCGGGATCAATGGAGTTTAAGGAGGATCCTTGGGCTCAGAAAAAGATCTTGCAACGTCGTCTTTAAGGTTGACGAAGAAGCGGTGATGAGCAAAGCAAATTCGATCAAGTTCTTTCACCGACTGCGTGATAGACAATAATTCAAAACAGATAAGGCGCGCGTGCTCAATTCTGGACTTGAGTTGATAGCGAGTTCCTTATCATGTGAAAGTCAGGGGAGTTGTTGACGACACGACGCGTTAAGAACGTGTGGCTGAAATAAAATTGACGATCGAATTGATTGACCTGCAGGCAGCAGAATAGAAAGAGACAAACAAATTGAAATTGAGGAAACAAAGGATGCCGGCGGACAAGAGAGCTTCTAAGTACTTTCTTGTCTTGCTTACGAGTTCAGGGAGGCAATGCGGCTATGTATGATGTGAGGCAGGAATTGCGTGCTTTCAGTTGACCCTCACACCATCGCTTTGAAATCGAGCATGCGAGTCTCGAATCTGCGACGGTGTCATCCATCTTGTCCGCAACGGCCCCCCGGAAGTTTACCCCGTCATAAATATGCAGGCGCCCCGGACCTGCATCTTAGCGCGCCTTCCATCGCAATTGCGAAATAGCACACCATCGATCATCGCCTTCCCCTCCAGTGATCTTGCTGGAATTGAGCCTCCATGCACAAAATGGCATACTTGCACGCGAGTGAAAAAGTTGTAAATTCTGGGGTACCTCTGGCCTGCTTATAGCTTCTCAAAGAAGACGGTACATGCAGCAAAGTTCCTTGAGATAGATAAGATCCGAACACATTGCATGATGGAGGTAGGACAAAAGTCGTGGAATATGGACGCACGGACGTAAAATTTGCCATCCGGAAGGCACGCGATGCGACCAAACGCCAGACCACGATGATCTGACCAGCCAGCGCAGCAAAGCAGAAAGAGGAGAAAGGAGAAGAATGGAGTCACGCGCTACAGAATTGCCCTCCGTCTGGGCCGTTGCATTTGGCGCTTCCGTCGTCGCAGGCCTCGCAGGTTACTTCTTGGGCACTGCATCGTCTATCGGTGTGTTTGGCAGCAACCCCCAGCAGCGCGTCGTCAGCAGCACAAGTGCTCAGCATGAAAAGGAGCACAATGGCAGCGAGAACGACGACGACAACGCATCAGAGTCCGATCTGGAGGACTCCGAAGATGATCAGGAGGTCAATGGGTTCGAGGATTCGACTGAGGAATGCAAGCTCGTTCTCGTTGTTCGCACTGATCTAGGCATGACAAACGGTACGTATCACATTTTCGCTGCTATCAATCAACATCACACGCTCTCTGTTTCCCCTCACTCTTTTTTTTTCAATCCATGATATGCAGGTTGTGTATCTTCAGCCGCTCGCATCCCATGGTTTCAATGCCCCGAAAGAGAAAAAGAATGCATACCATGATAGCCATTGTCTGACAAATCGATTTCTCTTCTGCTGCGATACAGGCAAGATAGCAGCCCAATGTTCACATGCCACCCTTGCATGCTACAAGACACTTTTGCGTCAGAACTCGCCTATCCTCAAACGCTGGGAGGGCTACGGTCAGGCAAAAGTCGCCGTGCAGGTCAAGAGCGAGGAAGACTTGTTGATCCTTCAAGCTCAGGCTATCAGCTTGGGTATCTGTGGACAGATCATTCACGATGCTGGTCGTACTCAAATCGCCAGTGGTAGTGCAACAGTACTTGGAGTTGGTCCTGCTCCCAAGTCCATGGTCGATCAAGTCACTGGACATCTCAAGCTTTTGTAAACAGACAGACGCCGAAAGATGTCGAACGTCATGCTATCACATGACATCAACCAAAGTCAAATTTGACGGGTATAGCGGAAGACATCACGACTGAGACCATACATAAAATCGTCGAGCGACGTCACACACGAAAGGATCAGCCTATGGTCAGACCTCATACCATGGCGAGCATTATTTCGCGACTGAGAACCACATGGCTGGGACATACCTGCCTTCTCCATCCAAGATTTGGGAAGACCATCGCTTGGGCCATTTCTGACGACCCCGTTGGCAACCAAGGGAGTATGCTCAACGTTCAAGCAATCAATGGAAAAAGCATCATACAAAATGCTCGAGAAAATATCTATGAGTCAATCAAATTTTCTGACAACAATTTCTCTTTGCTAACGACATAATGTTCCTACTCCTGTGGCCGTACAAACTTTTTAGTCGCAAGTGAAAACAGTAAACTCCAGAGATACTAATCTTAGCGCCTTCATTTGTACCCTCTTCAGCATCTCGTTGTCGCTTGTTGGCTGACATCAAGAACCAAGCTTTCCAGTCAGATGTGGATTACTCTGATTACGTTGTTATTGTCAGCTCACGTCTTTACAAGTATTGACTCTTGTGCAGCCGGTACAATATCATATCCATTCAGGTATCGCAGAATACTCGCCGGAAGCCCCAACATGTCTCAGCTCCGATCCGAACCGCAAAGCTCTCGCTGTGATTTACACGACCAAGAACTTTTCCTTACCCCCCTGGACGCCTCACAACCTTCGATACGACTATATACCATAACGACCACAAGGAATATGCGCCTCATCAAGGAGATAACAACAAAGAGGCCCCAATAGCAGGGACCCAAAAGCAAAAAAAACCAGTTTCCCAGAAAAAACCCCTGTTCCCATCGAAGGGCCGAGGCCAGCCGGTCGTCACCGTACTTCCCAGACCACATGGCTGTTAACAATGATTTTTGTTGGCGAAGCGTGACAACTTACCCACTCGACTAAAGGCGTCCCTAAAGCTCATGGTGTGGCACGCTCGCTGGGAGGGTCGCGAATTTCTTGAACCTAAAGCTTTGCGATGGGGAGACGCGCAAAAGAGCAGAAACAGCGAAAATACCATCGACTCTGCTGTGGACGTGCCTTTTTGATATTTGATATTTGCTTTCCATAGTATGTATTATTGTGTTGGTCTTTGGAAATGTTTTACTCGTTGATAAAGACCGCCAAAGAGTCACGACTAGCTTGCTTCTCCGATGATCTCTAGTGATCCTATTAGCTGATAGAATGCACAAACACTTTTCCAAGGAGACTTGTCGCTGTGAAAGCGATCCAAGCTATCTGCTTTCTATGGATGGCGTTCTTTTCTCAGATACTATCGTGCATTCGGATAGGTGCATACTAATAGCCTCAAGCGCATCAGAAGGTACGGATTGTTGCTGAAGCTATTGAAAGGGTTGTACTATTGAGCAATAAAGAGCAATCGGAAGCAAGAAACTACTAAGGAAGCACTGATTCAACGAGCTTCATGCTCAATCTTCTTTCCACTCCGGTAAACTCCTTCTCATCTTCCATCTCAAGAGGTAAACTCTTTCTTCCAGTAGGCTGGCAGGTCAGTACGACTCGGGGTGGTCTTCATGGAGTGGAACATCTCCAAGTCGAAGGGACCGATGTTGCTCTTGCCCTTAGCTCTTGCAGCAGGCAGTTGTGGACGCAGCCAGAAGTCTCCACTGGTCTTGTCCCAGGCGATACAGAAGTGACCGGTGTTCCAACAGGTTTTGCAGGCATAACTACCCTCGTCTTCGGTAGTGAGGTAGCACTTGCTCTGGTTCCAAAGGGCGGAACGAACGCAGCCAGATGTCTGAATGTTATTGGGCCACTCTGGGTTCTTCTTGTTGAACTCCTTAAGTTGCTTCTTCCATTGCTCGCGCAGCCGTCCGCCATCCCTTTCCCATGCCTCAGAGGTTGCTTTGTCTTCGTCCTCAGCAATCTCTAGTTCGAGGTCGTCAGGATTCAGCCAGATTGTGACGTTCGACATGTTGGCGCTCGGATACAGCATCTGCAACGCGGGATTGATCGATGGTTGGAATATGCTTGTGACCCTGGTCGGAGTTGGAGGCGCTTTCAGTCTTGATACGGCGTGTGGACCTTCCGGGGTCATCTATGCCTACATCAGCCCAAAGCCATACGAAGACGGATGTATTCAACTTACCGTCGACGACAACCTTGCGCTTGATCTTGGCGCTCGAAAGTAGGAAAGTCTTGCGGCTGGGTGTACTCGAGCCCGTCAGCAAAGCAATGTGTTGAATCTTGTCATTGAGGTACTCACGGCGTGGTGTCTGGTGCGTCCTCTCCACTGAAGATACCAGAGTCTGGCTGGAGCAGTTGCTTCTCGGCTTTCAAGCCATTGATCTCTTGAATGTAATTCTCGGTCTTGATTGCATTGAGCTTCTTCAGCAGCTCCTGATGGGATTCTTGCAGTGTATCTAGGCGTTGAGCGAAGTTGCGCTGCTCATTCTGTATATTGGTCAGAAGAAGGGTTTTAGGTGTTGCTGGATCTGACTCACCTTGAGGTACGCGATTTCCTTGATGTTAGACTCGATCTTGGCCTCAGTTGAGGTAAGGTCAGTCTCGGGCTCCTTAGCCAGATGTGCGATTGATGGAGGCATGATGTGATGGAATAACTTTGAAGGAGGAGGAAGAGCTCTTGTGGAATTGAACGAAATCGAAAGATGGAGTGGAGAGAGGAAAGAAGATTGGAGTGGGTGATGCGCAGGCCTCAAAAAGCGCTGTTCGGGAAGGTGCGCTTTTGTCGTCGCTGCCTTGTTGAATGAAAGTGCGGAAGTGAAGCTCCAAGTCTGTCTGAACTATGGCACACAACTGTACACACTGAACTCAGTTTGCAGCTATCCGACTTCATTAATTTCCAAAGCACAGAATGGGGAGCTATTCACGAAGGCGAACCGAGCATCTCCATCACCAATCTCAATATTTGGGAAGTGATTGTGTGGCCCGACAGCTCACAATATCACAAGACGCTTGCCTCAAATGGGCAGATGATACTTTCTGAAGCAGATTTGCTCTTCCCTGCTATCACAGAAAAGGCCCCTCGAGGCGAGAGCAACCACATAGTATCAATACGGACATTTTCCCAGCGATGGCATGGCTAGTTGATTCATGCTTGGTGTCGTTTGAGCCACCCAGATCTCCTCACACGATCATCTCTTATCACCATATCGTGTCATGAACTTCTAGTCTTGTACTCTCGGCCATCATGCATTGTACTGGTTGAGCAAAGTCCTGACTTGATCCTCATCGTTCGCCTGCATCATGTTTCCCATCGCGTGCTCGTTCATGTGCTGTATCACGTTGGGAGGCTCTGCTATCGGAGCAGTGTTGAGTTTGGCTCTCATGTGACACACGTCATCGTACTGCGGAAAATTAGCAGAGTAAGGCCTCAGAGCCCATAAGGTACTAACCAAGATCTTGGCTTTGGGATAGATGTCCTTCAGCGGCTCTATCATCATCTGACAGACCAACACGGCGCCGACTCTGTTCTCCTGGCCAGGTGCTGAGTAACCGATCTGATCAGGTATGAGTGTCAGGATCTTCGCACATTGATGTGCACAACCAGAGATGGCTGCATCATGTACTGGTTTCGCTAGGCCAAGGTCTAGCACTTCTGCCCACATCTTCGTCAGCTCGATGGCATGCGACAGGCATTTTAATCTCATATTCTGTGCGAAACTCAGAGGTGTGTTCCGCAGCGCAACTTCAGAAATACATTCTTTTGTTCCTGACACGGTCAAGCGATGCAGGTCAAGTTTGCATTGGAGTCGCCAGGTATGGAGCATAATATAACTCGATAGGCCTGGCGCATACATTCGTTGTCGCAGATGCGCTTTGTCCCATCTGATGTCTGTAGGGATTTGCTGCTCAATTGCATCTATTGCAGAGTCTAGGCGGAGGAACTCTTGTGCCGAGGTGTATAGACTCTCATCTGTGGACAAAACTCGCTTGGTGAATCTTCTCCATGTTAGCCTGATTCAACTCGTCGGTGGAACAACATACTTGTGAATTTTGTTGCGTAATAGGTCCAACAAACGAATGGTATAGGCAGATTCGTCCATGCCCTTGGCGTTGCTGACCGGTACGCCCTCCTCGATTTGAGGACGAAGTACCTCTGTGTCGGTACGCTGTCCGAAGCCGAAAGCTCTCTCGATAGTGGGGAGACGGATCTGCATGTTCTCAGCAGGGACCAAAATCAGCTCGTCAACACCGCCGGAACAGAACTTGTCGAGGACAAAGATAGACCACATGAGGCGTCTTCTAGACTCTTGCTCGACTACTGACAATGTGGAGTCTTCGTAATTGAGACGCTTTGCGAATGCAAGACGGGCCGCCAGCCCAAGTAACATGAGAGCCTTTGTTGAGTGTACGTGATAGGTGAATTCGAAGAAGGCAAGTAATGTTAAAGCTTGCAAACGAGGAATGGTCAGATCTCCGAGATTTCGAAAAGCATCAAATTCTGCTTCATGCATCCATCGTGCTGCTCGCTCGTTGTCTTCTTGGGTCGTTGATAATACTCGAAGGGCACACCCACAGACGACTTTGAGCAGAGAAACATTCACGGTATGGGTGTGCCATTGTCGTAAGAAGGTCGGTTGATGCAAAAAGCTCATGCAACCAACAGGATATACAAATCGGAAGAAGGCTTCTATGTACTCGGCGATGACTTCTCTGTCTAGATCTAGACTGTTGGAGTTTCAGTCATGATCGTCATGGTCTAGTAGTAGTTGTCAACTTACTAGTAGTCGCGTTTTATGGCTTCCGACACCAAGTCGGGAACTGGTTGACGGGCCATAGGGGCCGGGGCTTGGTAGATTTGACCCGGCTGCAAAGTTGACGACGGCAAGTCATGAATTTGATTGTGGCCAGGAACATCATAACGAGGTAAGCTGGTTTCCCAATTGTGATTGCCATCATCTAATTGTCGTCTAGGATATACACATGATTGATCGCGTATGGCACAAGCACTACAGGGCTTCTCTCCAGAGCAGCGAACTTTCTGGCGACGACACCAATCACAAGCTACTCGTTTGGGGGCACGGTCTTTGGCCTTTTGAACGCGATTACGCGGTGTGGCGCGTGGACGTGGAGCAGTGGCAGTATTTGTGATGTTGGAGCAGATGTATCCATTTCGTACACAACTGCCACAAGCCTGGCGAGGATTCGCGGCATCTGTTTCGCAATGTAGTCGTCGCGTGCGACACTCGACACAACCAACGGAAGCAGTCGAAGTTGCATCAAGGGTCCTCCCGGATTCTGCCGGAGTTTGGTCGGTGGACATGGTGATGGGAGATGGTTGTTTAGCAGAAGGACGTCGTTGCTTATTAATGGCAAGAGTAACAGGTTGGCTGCCAAGAATGGGGCTGGGGAACAGTTCGTGCGCCCGACCTGTCCGATCAGCAACCACCAGTCGTTTTTTCTATCGTGTTGCGACAATTTTGTCTGGTCCAACGACTTCTGAAGTTGCTAGCTACGATGTCTCGAGCTCGTCTTCTGGCCTTGTTGACCAGAGGTATCTGAATGGCTATGCAGTGCCTTCCGAGCCACAAACAAAGAGCATGCTGATTGTACTCTTAGCCCTAGGTAGATCCCTTTGACAAGCTGGGCTTCGAGTTCATTTTTGCAACAACTTATGCAACCAATGCCTCAGCAAAGGAGTTTGGATTCAAGTGATGCGTACCGCTTACAAGCATTCAAAAGGTCCAATCATCTCACCGTGGAAAGGAACGGTTTTACCAGATAGTGCTTAGGCTACCTCCCTCAGCACATCATCCGCCCTCTTGAAGCCTACCAATGGCACTCAAAGTTTCAATGCTATGCTCTCCATAGTAGATCTGTCATTCCACGCAGAAATCTGGAATCACTGTCTGAGTTAGTCAAGCTTTCAGAGCTAACACTTCGATATGAGGTTGTAGCCTGCAAAGTGCAAACAGCATGACCCGTAAGGTTACAGTCTATGAATGGCTTCGATACGAGGAGAGGGCACCAGTAGCATAGGCTATCACAGGTTTCGATACAACAAGCTAATTTCCGGATCAGTAAACATTTTTTCCTGACAAGCTCTGCAGATGTAGTCATATATCGCTCAAGATACTCTACATCTTAAGAGCTAGATTTAGGTATCTTCTTTCGTTCCTTTCGTCTAGTCGTTATAGAACAAAGGTGAACTGGGTTAATGCGATCGGCATACAATGGATTCGCAGATCGTCGAATGAGCTGATCGTTCGTGCGCCGAGACAATTGTTCACGACTTTGACTTCTCGAGAAGCGTGTCAGTGACTGCGAGCAAGTAGCACATTCGCTCCCCAGACAACAACACTTCACCACTGACGTGCATCTGGACCAGAAAAATATCTTTCAGCAGACACCAATGCATCTGGAAACTGTGAAGGAGTCTGCCACTGCATCTCGACTGATCTTTGCTTCTCGCCAACGTACCAAGGCTCTTTGCAAGCGTCGTCTTTTCTGTGAGTGTTTTTCGTGAGAACGTGAGATCTCTCTTCAAGCTCTGCTGACGATCAAGAAGGCAGTCGCACCAAGCAGGCCGAGCACGAGGCAGAAACTCTTGCTTGGTTGTGGTTGAAGTGCCGCTTCAGTCTTTGTGCTTGAGCTGGTCGCGCTTTCTTCTTGTGTACCTGCAGCTGCGCTCAGAATTGGCTGCGCAATCCTAGTCACCATCACTTCTCTGTCTAAGCCTCCCCTTCACCATCACTTCTAGTCGAGCACTCCCTTTCAAAGCATCCTCATTTCAACAATACTATGAAGATCATCAAGCATTCACCAGTCCCGTCCGCCAGTGGGAACGCCAAGTATGATACACTCCCCGACGACTTTGAAATGCCCGCCTTCATTAAATTCATTCCTGTATGTTGCATATTGAAAAGACATCAAAAAACCTACTGATTCGTGTTCGCAGCTTCGCCAATGTCCTCGCATGCAAGACACGCTGGCCTGGATGAACGCTGTTCAAAGCGATCTAGATGACTTCACCTCGTGGGATCGCTACCGCAACGGCGAGTTGTTCACACGCACGCACTCAAGTCTCCGCTTCTGTCAGGTTGCACGCATCACTCCTCAGACCACCTTCCAACATACTATCAAGCCAATCAAGGATTACATCAAGGAAGACCTGTTACCCGCCATCCGCCTCCTTACCAAGGCAAACAGAGACAGAATTGCGCAATTTACAGAATTACACGAGAAGTGCTACTCAGAAGAATTCATCATCACGAAGCGCAAGATCGAAGAGGACCAGCAAGAACAGCACATCACCAAGAAGAGGAAGCAGGACAACGAGAAGAAGATCGACAACATTGTGGATGGTCTTCACAGTCTACGCAAGTCTGTCAACGAGCAAGTTGGTGAAACTTTGCCAGGCATTCGCTGTGCTTTTCATGACTTCGAAGGAGAGATTCTCAAACTCATGGCTATGGATGTCTGAAGGATGGCAAGAATCTGTCAAGGAGTCAAATTGAACAAAAGAGATGGTGTCGCTATTAATTGACCCGACGTTTTTCTGTCTTATACTTGTCAATGGTTCTATATTTTGCTAGTATCCAAATAAAATGTCGAGGCCGTCTCAAGGCATCATCCTCAAAGCTAGCTCATTGTCGCGAAGAAATGACCAAAGTGTGTGTGCTGTAAAAATGTACAATACTAACAGAAATCAGACTAACATCCACTAAGATGCGAGTGATCATGAGCTCTCTGTGGATATGGCTACACTTAATAAGACACTGTGCTTTTTCACAGCGTAAATCCTGCTCCCTACGTAGTTTGAGGACGATAGATTGAATCAGCAATTACAGACTTTAGCACATGAGACGATTATAGCAGCTTACATCGGGTGACATCCCAGCATAGAAAAGCAGATTTGGGTCTTCGGAGAAGTGATTCTATGCTCATCCGAAGCCATGTAGTCAGTCATCCAAGAAGTCACAGTGTCTTCACCTTGATCACATCAATTGACAATTGACATCTCGAATTATGCCAGGAGCAGCGCCTCTTCTTGAAGTTGTCACAAGAGAGTGGTCCATGGTCTCGTATAAAGCTTTTGTTCAGTCATGAAGCAACGGTGACTTTATCGTAGCAGCTTACATCGGTTGATATCCTGAGATAAAACAGCAGAAGCTAGCTTTCTTCTTAGATGAGCGATAAACAGTGATATCAAGCTTTTAAACATCAGAGTTAATGACGTTATGACAGAAGCGTGGCAGTAAAAGCAAGTGGAAGGTTTCTTATAGACGTTTGACGTTTGAAGTTTTCATAGTAACCGCAAGCTGTGACATGAGCTATGTGTGCTAGTATCTGCATGTTCTTCTTCTCCTTCTTGCTTCCCGTGTTCTTGCTTCTCTTGTTCTCGGTGTACCCCTCCGATCCAGCTACCCCAGATGGCCCTAACTATAGTAGTTGAGGGGTACCACAAATCGCGCGACTTAGTAACCATGTGGTGAGAATCACCACGGCCACTAACGAGTGAGAGGTGACCCCAGAAGAGCTCCTTGGTCGGGAAGTTGACGTTACAAGGGGTACAGTGCAATGGAGAATTGGCATCTGCCAAAACCTGATCATAACTTTGCTCCAAGTAGATAAGCGCGCCAAGAGCATCCGGAGAGGTAGCAGAGCACATTGAGCAGTTCTTGATTGCCCCTGACAGGTCTTCGGCCTCCTCGCACATGCGTTGTTGTACGTGACGGTGGAGAGCGAACTCATTGAAGTATCCCTTCTCGCAACCAAAGGGACAATGATGACTGCTTTTGTCGTAGAAGCGCTTGAAGTGAGCATCATCTTCCATGTGCTTGTAGAAGCTGTCGATTGTGTATGACTGGGCGAATACCGTCTTGTAGTTCGGAACTGGACAGGAAAGTACGACGCCGGTTGCAGTACTAGCAAAAGCATTGGTGGTGCGCCGGTTAATTTGCCTGGTGGATGGTGGCATGTTGTTGGCACTGGAAGTGATTGCAGCGGCATTGGCAGTTGTAGAAGTCGAAGGAGCGGAATTTGGAGCAGCAGAAGTTGACGCTGTGGTGGAAGTAGTTGCGGCAGGAGCAGTGTTAGCCTGTCGGCCAGACTCATATTCGTGACATTCGGAGTCGAAATCGGGTGAGAGTTGTCTCTTGCGACTCGGTCTTAGCTGCTTGATGGGGATGCCATCTTCTTCATCGGACTCCACTTCTTGGTTGCGAGACACGAATAGTCCATCGTTGGTCTGGAGTGAAGCTTGGTTACTTCTATCAAGACCTGGATGGAAGTGATCGGCGGACTGCTCAGATTCTTGGTTGTTCGAGGCTCTTGGGGACGACAAGGGTGTATCCGGGTCCTCGATGTGCTGAAGAGGTTCCTCCACGGGTTGAATACTGTCTTCAATTAGTGCGGCAGAGTGTTCGGCATGCTGAGGAGGCTCTTCTTGATTGACTGCATGACGAGAGCGCATGGTGTATGTAGAAGACTCTTCGGCTGGTTGATGAGACTGAGCGGTGTGTCGAGGAGATCTCTGGGCTGTTTTGAGAAAGCCTGCAGTGTGGTGCAGAGAATTCTGGACTGCTTGACGAGTATCTTCGGTTGGTGGAGCAGCACCAGCGGCTGCCTGGCGAGAGTAATGTGTTGGTCGGTAGTCACAGGCATTAAGAAGCGATTGAATCAAAAGAGATTGCGCAGGACGAGCAGGAGGAGCAGCGTCGTGAGCAGCTTACGAGGCTTGCAGAAGAGGCCTTGGAGCGGCGTCTAAAGCAGAGGTGAAAGATTTGCCAGGTTGCACGAAGTCGAGAAAGAGTGGAGTGATGAAGACAAGAAAGAGTTGAGGCTGGTGCCCTTCTATTGATCGATAATATATGACCTCGTCGCCCTACTTCTTGTTCTTCCTGTCATAGTCGACCACATGTCGTCTTTGGTGCTGTCTCGCCATCTTCCATCGGACATAGAGCATGACAGCATCCTTGACAACCACGAACAGACATCCTCCTACGACACTTCTGCCCCATTTGTTTTGAAGTAGACCTGTGGCTCTACCTCTACCCATGCCCCATTTTGACATCGGAAGAGTGGTCCATGAGCGTGGCAGGATGTATGTGAGTAAATCACCAGACACCGATGCGATTGTGGGGAAGAGAAGCGCGGACATGATAGTTTGAGCGAGTGAATTTGTGCTGAAGGAGAGCAAACGCTCTTCTCTGTTTTGCGGCGGTGGTGGCGGACGGATCTGCTGCGGTCGAGGTGGTTGAGGTTGTTGTGGTATGTTTTGGTTCTGAGGAGGTAGCGGAGCATCATCAGGCAATGGTGGTGCGTTGAGTGGATGAGCTTGACCTTCCTGCACTTCCAATAAGACATCATCGTCCTCGCCGCCTGCCCAGTCTTCCCAGATGTTGCCATCAATTCTAATTTCAAAGTTGTTGTCTTCCTCGGCAGCCTCGATCTCTGCATCGACGGCGACTTGAGCGTTTGCGTCTGCATCCTGCTGACCACTTCTGGGTTGAATCTCTTTGAGCCATCTCTTCTCCCGTTCCGACCAAACGCGTTGATAGTACGTGTTGTAGGCGGATCTGATGTAGGGGAGGACGGCAAAAGTCATACTTGCTGACGGCGGCCAGGAGATCATGTCGAGAGTATCGGAAGTGTCGCCTTGGGTGGCGAAGAAGACGATGGGAAGTACGGGAAGGAGAGAGTCTGCGAGAGTGGTTCGTGAGAGAATGAGGAGTGGTGTGATGAGAGGAAGGCCGATTCGGAGGCGCCAGTGCTGCATGAAGTTGCGCAGCTGATCGATAGGACGAGTTGATGTCCAGATGTTGTCAATCAGGGGCTGGAGGATTCGTCTCGAGTCTTGGGGACCGAATATGGAGGTGACGGTGTAGAGACCGTGAACAGCGCAAGCGTGGACAACAGCACTGAAGGCAACTGTCAAGGCGGCTGGGGCTACGGCTTTGGCAGCCAGTCTCTCAAGCGCTCTGACAACTTCGACGATGGGATCGCGAGGGCGTACTAGTTGGATACTAGATTTACACTGAGGGCATACGATGGCGGGTGGACCGAGAGTGCGTTTGCGGGTGGTGGGAGACTCCATGTCGGCGATCCAGTCGAGCAGACAAGCCTCGTGTGCTACCAGGGCACAAGGGCAAGGGTCTCTCCAGGCCGACGTCTCGGGACCATCTTCACTCTCGTCTGAGAAGCAGATCCAGCATTTCTTCAGGTCGTTATCGTCTGGTAGTTGTGGGGTCGAAGGCGCTTCGGGTGATGGACGGTCGACTAGCACGCTGCTTTCTTGGAGGGAGGATGTGGCTTGTGGCGAGGATTCTTGAGGACTGTGATCGTTGTTCTGGCGCTGCGACGGGCGGCGCGACATGGACTCCATCGTTACAGTCGAGAGTTATTTGTGCAGGAATGAACGATGATTCTGGCAGCCTGAGATAGAAAGAGCGATGCGCGCGTCATGCCCCGCGTGCATCGACCCCGCATCGGGAAGGCGCCATGAGACATCACTTTTGACGACCTCCTTCCCTCACTTTCACTCTTGTAAGGGGAACTCCAGAATGAGACCGCTTCTCCAGGAGTCCGGGCTCACTGAATCGAGATGATCGCTAGAGCGACCTCAGACCGCGCCTGCGACAGCCAAGATGTTGCAATGAGTTATTGATATTTCGTGAACGACGATAATGGCAAGGCTCGTCACATATATTCCATCTTTTGACCTTCGATTCTGCTCAATTCCTCAGCCCGAGAATATATCTACTTCATCATTGGAAGATCCAATAAGCAAGTGAACAGAATTGTTTTGAGCAGACGAGGGTCTCTTGTTCTATCAGGTCTGCCAGTGAGTAGAAATTGGGCCCTTGCAGAACTGACAAGCAGCCAGATAAATAGATATAGGTATTGTCGGACTGGCAACGTCAGTGTGTATGTCGGCTTCTCACTTGCCTCCCGATGATTTCACCAGATCAATGGGCCTCCATGCTTCTCACTCGTGCCTTTCACCTCGAGTCTCACTCTAGCAAGTCACACTCAACAGTGCCTACTTAAGACCTTTCCTTCCCTCCATCTTTCTCCTTCAATTTCCAACATCTCCTCAGACTCTGCCTACCTTCTGCCTCAGGCATTGAATCATTCATCTTTTCTTGTCAACAATCTTATCATCCTTACTCATCTCAAGATGGTACCCAACATTCCCTCCAACTTTGGAGATCTCGTGCGCTTCATGAACTCTCTCTCACCGGAGAAAAGAGAAAAGATCATTAGAAAATATCGTCCATCAGCACCAAGAACCCCGCACGACCCTCGAAACCTGACACAGCGCAGCATCATGTATGTCTCACGCTTGTTAAATCATGTCATATGTACTAACAACAACAGGGCACGTTCAATCAAGCAGCCTGTGAAGTCTCAAGCAGAGACAGACGAAGAGAAGAACCAGGAACGCTACAGGGAGTTCACAGAGTTACTTGAGAAGTGCTGTGACGAAGGCATTTGCTTTTGCAAGCATAAGTTGCCCGAGAACTACGGAAAGCGTTGTCGTGTGCTAGAGCGCATCATGCGCGAAGCCAAAGAGCAGCCTACTCTTTACTCATCCTGGTCGGTCGAGAATCTCCAGACTGAAGTCAGAAAACGCAACATCGCTCTGCCCAAAAAACGCTCTAAGGCCGGCCTTACCAAGCTCTTACAACAATCTGATTCTTCACGCCCTTTCCGTCTCATGCACTTGCCTGTCGAAGTTCGCCTGCGTATCTACGGTATGGCCTTCGACGGTGGTAGAACTGGAGACTTGGATGCAAGCTCCCGTGCTGATATCGCCGAGCCTGCCCTCCTCCGAACATCTCACCAAATTCGTGATGAGGCTACTGCGGTCTTCTACGGCACACCCTACTTCCGCTTTCATCTGCCATGGCTGGAAGAGGCTCGGGAGCGCAAGGAATGGTTCGCAGGTTCTGAGCTGAAATGGTTGCAGCACATCAGCCCTACAAATCTCAAGGACCTACGCTATGTCTCGTTCCGTCTTTCTCTCCTGTTCGACGTGTACGATATTCAGATTGATCTTGCCAGCCGCTCTGTTGACGACTGGCTGATACCATATGGCAGCATGCGCTTGACGTGTCCTTGTCAACGCCAGAAGAGATGGACGCTTGCGGAGTGGCGCAAGAAGACTAGCGACATGGCAAGACCCGAAAACCAGGAGATCGTCAGCGCCAATTTCGACGAGTGCGACAAGATTGCCGACAAGGCCATCCAAGACTTCCACGCTCTCTGCGGTCAGGGTGACAAAATTGAGCCCACTATTGCTGGTCTTGCCATCGTGGCTGAAGCTGCCCACTTCATTTTGGATTCTCGCGACTTCTGGATGTTCGCCTGCGTGGATTGGGATCATTATTGAGATAATCACGGCGACTGAAAAATGGTCAATCACAAGAGTGTGAGGTACAATTGTTTTCTCTCACCAATGCTACGACTAATTCTTCTCCAGCCATCAATCCCAACAAGAAGCTCGAGATAGGAGCAAAGAGTATCAACACCTAGACGAAAAATAACAACGACGAGAAACCACAGGGACCACGACTTGGGTACGTCCACTATACGCAGGATTGAAGAGCACAACAAGGAGCATCGAACGGGAGGGTCCTATCATCAGGCGGCGAGCAACACGTGGCGATTTAGAAGGGGTTTTCGGAACTCGTGGCCGCAGCTCTTCTAGTTTTTCTTTCTTTCTTCTTTTTCTTCTTGTCTCTGCTTCGCTCAGATCCTACTTGACAGCCAGAACTCTGGCCAATAGATGCAGTATATCAGTTTCTTTGATCTGATGTTCCAAGTCACAAAAGCCGTTCGTGAGAAAAGCGTGAAGTTCCTGTAAAGCACAACTCTTTAAAGCCTCTTTCAAGATTGTGACGAGCCAGCACTGGGGTTTGAGGCAGACGCTGTCACATGTAAGAGTGAGCGTGATGCAATGGGTAACAGACGAGGAAGGCGCGTGTCAAAGGCTGTCTTGGATCTTCCCTCTCGCCGAGCCATTGAATCGTCGACCGTGAAAATGCACGATAATGTACTGTTTAAGGATCTTTGTTCAGTGAGAGCCCAAACATTTGACTCCCTCTCCGAACACACTCCCACATCTGAAAATACTGTGGATTTACATGGCGATGTCATCTCAACCGTTGCCACATGAGATGTTATGATGTGTTGCGATGTTTGTATGCCTGATCAACGATATCTTCTTTCATCACATCCTCCTTGAAACACTACCAAATTCCATAGTAATAGCTTTTTGAGTTGTCTAAGAGAGCCCGACTCCTGCAAACTCTCCGTGGACAAACATAGGAAGTCAGGTATTATCTTGACACTTGATAGCCTCCTTTTATCAAGAGACTGTATCGGAGAAGATTTCTCAAATCAGATATGATATCTTCCATGCTCTGTTAGCTTGTTTCTTCAGAAACGAATTGCCCTGTCCCGTTGCTTAGTCTGACAAGCTTGCCATATAGTGGTAGCGCCACCCAGAAGATCACACAGCTGGTTCTAAACCAAAATCATGGACATATAGACTTATCATGTTTGTCATGAGCATCACCATCTACGAATAGTGGTGAAAGATATCATCGTTCACGAATATTCGACGCGTGTATGAACATTCCCTAGCCTCATGTGCTCAACCTATATAAGCTAAAAAGTTCAGGACCAGATCATAATAAAACGATGATGGCAGTCGGTTTAGTGGAGTGGTCTGGCCAGCCATGAAATTAATCCTGTCTAGTTTTTCCGGAAATTCGCTGGGGGCTCGCTTTTCTATCTAAGTACAACCTGCTGACTGTACACCGTTCCAACAACGGACCATCGTTCTAACCACGATACACCGTACCACCTGCTAACCGTATGAACTGATAACTGGCGGATGATAACGTTTTTACTCCATCTAAGCCTTACTACTTCATCTACTCTTCGTCTGTTCACGGCAGGTCAAAGATGTTTCGCGATTACTATTGGGCTTTGGATAAATTACAGGCGTAATGCTAATGGTCGAGGGTTCAATTCGGGGAGGCTTCATTCTTTGTGCTTTCCCTCACGACCCTACATGAAACTCGGGTCTGTCTGATCGCACAACGTGCATGGACGATGATGATTACATTTTCAGACTATGTTGGGCATAATGTCTGATATCCTAAGGAATAATCATCATCAGACAACATTGGATGCCAGATATGGTATCGCCTGAGGTGCCTGCATGTCATGCGCCCGCGAGCTCTCGAGAGACATCTTCTCCCGACTACGATCATTGACCCAATCAAAGCTATCGAGATATACATTTACGTCCTCAGTATGATCTGGACACAGATAAAAGCTTCGATAATAGATGCCTTGCGATCAGCATCAGTAGTAGATCTTAAATTGACTGTCAGGCATGCTGCTTCATGCAAACAGCAAACAGCACTCGACCCAAGACAATCAACGAAATTTGCAACATAAAACTCTCAGCATCCAACCTGCAGCCCAACTCTCAGCGGTCTGAGACAAAATAGAGCGCCTATCTCTCTGACGCGATAGATCGACCCTTTGGGCTTCGACTCTCACCGCCCCTTATGCGATCACAACCCAGCGACTCTTAAGCCTGACCTCACCTGTTTTTGCTTTTATGATTCAACACATTCAACTGTGGAAAGCCTCCGAATTATCTGAGGAGCTCTTTCTACCCCAGATCTCAAGTTCAAGCAGCCTGGGCCTCGCCTATATCACGACTTTGGATTCAGGCTCGCAAAACGCATCATGTCCATCTCCACCCAGAAATTGATTCTATATGACCCTATTTACAAGCCTTGCCTTAAGACCACCGAAAAGAGGCCTTGGAAAACGTTCAAGGAAGATCTCCAGGCAGCACAGAATCGCTTCGATACGGTCCTCGACGCTCAAGCTCGGGGAGTGGATCTCATGAACTTCACACATCATATGGTATGTCATCCTACTGAAAGACTCAGCGACAAGTATGCCCAGTTGAACTTACTGAGAAACCAGATTGCGGAAATGGAAAAGTACGCTACGTCAGTTCATGATCAATCCTTCGACGAAGTCAAAGAGGCCATATCAGCTTCATTATTTATCGCAGATGTACGCGCAAGAGCTCTGTTTCTGTCACACTCAAGGATACTCAGCTAATGTGATGTATAGAAAGTCATAGGGAACGTCTCGAAGGACATCAAGAAGATCGCAAAACTCGTCAACGACGTCAAACGCGACCAAAAGGTTGCCAAAACACTCAAGAACCTCGATGCTGGCATGTTAGACGTCGCTACTCCTATTCTCAGCCTCCCTAGGTCCAACGTGTTTCGCGAGACCATGATCAGGGGTTCGCTTCCTAAGTTCGACAAAATGAAGGATGTTCTTTTGGCCAAAGTCAAGGAAGCCCAGAGGTCTGCGACATGCAAGCAAAGAGCAAAATCTGGACACTCTTGTGTGTTTGTGTAGTTGCGGCTTATATTGCGACGAGATGATGCTGTTCATGCTTCTAACGATTTTCCTCTGTATAAGTCCGACGAGATGGACCAATAAGCCAGAAAAGACTTGGGGTTCATAGACCGACACAATTGATGCAGGTTGTCGAGAAATCTTGAGTCAAAGAGGTTCCAGAGGATCGGTAAAGAATGGAACGCTCTTCGAATCTTCGGGAAGCTTTTTGTATCGACATGGATGAACAGATATTCATTGAGTTAGGCTATGAATGATCCAAAGAAAAGATATGTTGTTCCAACAACATTGGCTGACATCCTGCTCGGCGGAAGGTGATGGACATATATGACCACTAACTACCTAATATGGATCAGGTAGACTGATGACGGTTTTGAAGACCAGACGTGTTGTCATTGTAAGATCGGTTGACACCCTACTCTATGAAAACCGTCGCATATTTATGACTACCAACTACCTGTTACAAGTCGGGCAGGCAGTGCATGGTATCAAAGACTCATCATGTTGCCTCCGTCAGATCGGTTGACATCCTAACTTTAGAATCGCGCTGCTCACTCGTTAGGCAACTCGTATCTCTATCTGAATCTAGGATCAGCTCAGGATGTTCAATGAACAGAATTGCTAGAGTAATAAATCAATTGACATCCTATTGTTGAAATAACGCCTTTCACCAGCAGTCAGCAGTCTTTACATCGTATCTTGGGCCAGCTCCGGATGTATAATAAGGAAAAGTGCCACGCCAACAATATCGGTTAACATCCTATTGTTGAGATGACGCTCTTAACCAGCAGTGAGCAATCTTTACATTTGGATATAGGGTCATCGGCGGATATGCAATGAACAAAAGTGCCAGACTAGCAACATCGGATGAAATCCTGCTCTGTAAATAGGGCTGGTCGCCCATAGTGTGTCCAATCGTGTGATTCGAATTGGGAGTGGACTCTGAATGGCACGAAGATCAAAAAGGAGAAACCAATTACATCGGTCGACATCCTCCACTGTCAAAGCGGAGCAATACATCATACCTCCAGGCTCCAAGTCCATCTTCGGAGAATAACAAGCTCAGTGGAGAAAATCGCCTTGCCAACATACCTGCCATGTCGTATCAGAATCTCAATTGAGGAAGGGTGTTGGTAACGTCCGATAGCTTGATTGATTTAACGGGCTATATCCTACTTCTTTGCCGGTGCCTTTGTAAAGAAAGAGCTCAGTTTCATCATACCGGTCGTGTTTACTTTCCCGAGTTGTTTTACACCTCTGCTCATGTTTTTCTTCTTTGCCTCTTCTTCCTCCTTTTTCCTTCTCTTTGTGGCTTCCCTCTCTTCGGCCTCCTCGTCGTTCATGGTGCTGCGTTTGCGAGAGATGTTGTCCGAGAGAGAGCGAAGCGCTTGGGCTCGGCGTTTAGCGTCGGCAATATGGTCGAGATGTGCATCGAGAGGAGCAAAATCCACTGGCGAAGAGGAGGATTTGAGAATAGTGTTTAGCGGTGTGTGAAGGGTGGAGGGAATATAATTTGAGAGGACCATATTCAATGCCGTACGAAGACGAAGAAGATTCGTTACGTTGTCGGGAGTAGACTCGGAAGCCGAGGTGAGGGAAGTAGCTTCAGTCACAGCTGAGGACTGTGAAGGCTGGGATTGTTCTGTGGCGGCTGAGGGGGTCGAAGAGTCTGTGTCAGGCGTGGGAGTTGGCTCGTCTTGTGACTCTGATCGTTGCACAGCTATCATGGGTATACGAAGAGCTTCTTGGACAAAGTGGGTTTCTATGGATGCAGGGAGACCATTGACAACGACACGTTGGGCCTTGGTGACAAGCTCAGCTAGCAACTTCTCGTTGGACAAACGGAACATCTTCTCATGACCAAGGTCGACATTGTCGCAAACAGCATCGGCTCTCTGCTCGAGGGATTCTTGTATCCTGGTCGAACGAAGTAAATGGCTCAAATGCTTCGCTCTTTCAGCTAGCTTGTCCAGGTGGTCATCGATTGTGAGAAAGAGTTGGTCGTGTGATTCGGCGGCAGGAATCAAGGCGGGAAGGAGGACGAAAAGAGGGTCGATTGGGGTGGCGATGTATATATCAGCATTCTCGACGGTATAGCCTGTCGAGACGATTGAGGCGTTCTCATGTGTTTGGGTGGTCGAATGGTCAGGAGCAATCAATAAACTCCGAGGCGTCTTTTTGGGTGCAGTGATCTTGGTGAATTCGAAAATTCCTTTTTCGGGACAGAACAGGTATCGACTGGGGATCGAAGATGCTGGGTTCGGTAGAGTGACAACGCGAGCGTCTGACGAGGCACCTTCTGGCAAGACGAAGGTGAGCGGAGGGTTGTTGCTGCTGGGCTCAAGGCTGGCGCTTTCAAGATGGCTCTCCTCGCTAGGTTCAGCAGCCTTAGCTGACGTCTTTGTTGCTCGGGTCTTCATGGCGATTTGTATGTGTGTCTTTGGTGCATAACAACAAGTATTGCAGAAGTCGACGAGGAGACGCGACTGTGCCCCAGAAAGCTATTAAACTTCCCAAAACAGACAGGATTGAGACGCGTATCACGCTCTCTTGGCAGGGCCCCCAGACCCTGGATCCGTCGGTTCGTGGGCGATGCGATGCACCTGGTCATGCACCGTTTCTGCATGCGTAAATTGCTCTGGACATCATCATTACAAGGCCAATATTCATTTAATCGCCGGACACTCATCCGAAGAAAGACTGAAAACTCCAGCTTGATTGATTCATGTGCTGCGGACTTCTGAGATACAAATAATCAAGGTTATCCGGTGGCTTCGAAGGAGCCGAAAACCAGCATTTCCTGGTCAACATCCCGGCGCATTGTGTACCACGCTTCACTGCGGTTACACTGATGCTCGACCTTGCATCTTCAACCGGCCGTTGTCTACATATGTCATGACGACCGTCTGTCAAACACTTAGCATCCTCCTAGCGACTCCCTGAAAATGCAGGTCCGACAATCTCCCAAAGCCAAAGGTATTCATGCTCCGAGAAACTTGTGTCGTTCGTCCACCATGAACTGCGTCAGTGCTGACCACTCCACAGCCATGGCTTCACAAAACAATATCAATTGGCCTCCAAAGTCTCCTCTCGAAGCCCTTCTCAGCTCTCCTAAAGGGAAACAACGTTGGCAGGAACACAGAGACCGCATCACCCAGGACCGCGACCGCGACATATCGCCTTCTCCTCGCAAACAGCCGCCTTCCTCCAGCAAAGCCCTACAAGACATCATGGCCATGTCCGACGACAACAGCGACGACGACGAGGAGATTCTCCAACTTCAACTTCAGGCTATTCAAGCAAAGCTCAAGTTGAAGAAGCTCCAGAGACAAAAGTCGTCGCAAAACACAAATGACGAAGACTCGAGACCAAGCTCGGAGAATTCAAATTCACCACGCAAGAGACAAAAGACCCATTCAGCAGCCTTCGACCCTGCCGTTCAAGTCACCGTATCACCCATCAAGAGCCATATGCCGCCTCCCGCCTTGCCTGACCCAACGTCGCCAGCACGCGTTCGCCTAGGCATCGACAAAGGTCTAAAAGCAGCCGACGTTTCGTTAAAAAGAGCTAGGAATGGTTCCACCTTGTCAACCAAGAACACAGCCAGAACAACTCTGCCCGCAGAGCCTGAGAGGCCAAAGCAAAGTTTCAGCGAGCGTATTGCGGCAAATCGTCTATCCGCAGAGCAACAACAAGCCAAATACGAAAGAATCGAGAAGGCAAGATCACAAGGCTTCGGACTCGCTGCTCAAGCTACACCTCGTGCGACCAAAGAGACGACGCAATCAAGACCACAACTATCACGCACGCAGAGCGATAGAACAACCAGACAACTACCCACCGAAAGCAGTACTGGCAGCTTCAGTCGTTCAATACCTACTTCTTCAGCCTCACAAAGCCCTTTTCTGTCTCAACGCGCTAGCCAACAACCATCATCGTCAGCTGAAGTCAGAGGCCGCTCATTCCGTCCTCCTGTAGGATTTTCACACGATGATACGGCCACTTCGACCACAGACGGGCCATGTTTCGAGAGCTTCTCGTCACTTCATCTTTCTAAGAGGAAGCTGCCACATACGACCTTGGCTCGCGCTTTAGACGGTAAAGAAGTCTACACCCTGCCTCGATTGTTGAAGGAAGTAGTAGCACCGATCTACGAGCCTCCAAGTTGCGAAACTGACTTTGTCGTTCTGGCTGTTATTGCTTCAAAATCATCTCCTTTCGACACTCGACCGAAGCATAAGCAGACCTCATCTGTCGAGGATGACGACCCGAGTTCGACGAAGTTCATGGTTATGACGCTTACCGATCTGCATTGGGAGGTTGATTTGTTCCTGTTCGACACCGCCTTCGAAGCTTTCTGGAAGATGACCCCGGGGACGGTTATTGCTATACTGAACCCGTCAATTATGCCCCCGAAAACCAATCAACATTCAGGCAAATTCAGCTTGAAGCTTGCTAGCTCCGAAGATTCTGTCATGGAGATTGGCTCTGCACGAGATCTCGGATTCTGCACAGCCCTCAAGAAGGATGGCAAAGAATGCCACGCTTGGGTCAACACACGCAAGACCAAGTTTTGCGACTTCCACATTGAGCTAGCGGTTAACAAAACGCGTGCTTCACGCATGGAGGTCAACACTATGTACCATCCCAACAGCAAGTACAAAAAGAACTCTCATGTTCTGCCAAAGGGACACCTTGAACGCCGTAACGATCCTATGAAGAGAGATTACGAAAGCAATGAGCGATACTTTATGGTTCCAGGCTCTCGCACCACCGCCTCCCTTCTCGATCAAGACGATTATGGCAAAGCAGACGCCCTGCGTCGCCGCCTGAAAGACAAAGAGAAGGACCGCCTGCTCGCTGAGAAACTGGGTCAGATGGGAAATGGCATCGGAGCAGAATACTTGAGGACTACAACAGGTGCCCCGAATGCCAGCAGAGATACACATATGGACAACACCGATGAAGATGCACCTTTATACAAGCCATCGGCCGCAGAGCTTGGCCTAGTCAACAAGAATGCCTCCCAGGTCCGCCTCAGTCCGGCCAAAGACCGTAGAAAACTCTTCTCTGTCCTCCCTGGTGGCACAAAGACTACAGCTGCAGGTCCGGAAGCCATGGGTTGGGGAGGGCATGCGAAAAGAGGCTTAGGTGAAACATCTCGCAAACGCGATCTCAGTCCAGAGAAGGGTCAGACGAGGCTCCATACACACACACGACCTAGCTCTATTGCTTCGTCCATGGCTGGCGCTGGCGCTGGCACTAATTCTGGAGAGAAGAGTCCGAAGAAAGCTAGATTCCAGCTTGCAAAAGGCATTCGAGAGCCAGGAAGAGATAGTCTGGATGCTAGGGCTGTCCTCGACGACAGCAGTGATGACTTGGAAATCATCTAGACCTTGCTTGCACCAAGACTGAAAGCTTCATTATCAGTTGGTGGGCCCTTCCATATCCCTTTTTCGTCACTGGCTTGGGAATGTCCCGATTCACATTTGTTTTCCACGACTTTGTTCTATACCCTGCCAATTCATAGGCTTAATGAGTACAACTTGTTCCTTAAATCATTCTCGGTTCCTTTGGTCTGTCGTGTGTGTAAAAACCATATGCCAGACCTCGTTCAGCCAAGGTGTTGGCTCTCCACTTTCGGAAAGCGGATGCCCAAGAATCAAAATCCGCTGCAAGCTGGTCAAAGTCCGGGACCCGACGCTGGTGACCCTGGCATGACGTGTTGGTACGACCTTACTCTATCTGCAGCTATAAGCTCGTCACTTCCGATCACTCGAAACAGAAGCTTCTCACTCCTAGCTCAAATTTAAGGATTGTTCGAAACACAAAAAGACCTAAATCGCAGCACAAGGCCCCCCAAACCATTATTGAGTCCACATCACCAGAAAGCCATTCACAACCCATAAAAGGGTCGCACTATCGTCGAGAAGATCATATATCACAAAGCAGAATCACAACTATGGACACCTCAACAGCACTCTCTACAGCCAAAGTTCTCGGCCCAACCATCTCACTCGCAACAGCAGGAGCAATTCTATCAATCTCCGCTTTCTCCACACCCCTGCTCTCAAATGATGCTCGCTCCCAATCCAAGGACAAGCCTTCGCCTAGCTCAACACTCCCAGCAATCCGCTTCATCTTCTCGCGAGGCAGCCACATTATCCCAGAATCTGCTGCTGTGGCAGCTGCTAACTTTGGATTTTTGGCTTATCATGCACCTAGCACTGTCGTCAATGTCCTGGGCATGGAAATTGGAAGCAGAGCTGGCTTTATCGCGGCGGGAGTGCTGAGTATGGCTATTGGACCTATTACTCAAATCATGTTGCCGATCTGCAACAATCCTCTGAGAGAGATGGGGGAGAAGGAGAGACAAGGCAGGGGAAATGAGATTCGTGAAGATGAGCTGAAGGATATGGTGCGCAAATTTGAGTATCTGAATTATGTCAGAGGTGCGGTGATTCTGGCTGGTGGTATGCTTGGATTGGCTGTGGCTACTGCTTGAGCATGAGCCATGGGTATCGAAGCTGGGAGGCGCTCGGAATGGTCGATCGACGAGATGTTCTCTTCGAAGAGCGGTGCTTGCAGATATGACCTAAAATGAAATGACACCAGGAGGTGCTGAGAGAAGATAACTATGGTGATGGTTTCTAACCGTCTACGTCTTGAAGCAGAGTCAACTTCAATGTGACCTATATCACTATCATTCACCTATTCAAGCTGACGACGGATCTCATATGACATGAATGACAGAAACATGGTTGGAACACTGCTCTCGTCAAGAACCCAGCGCTCCTATCTAGTTCACTTACCTTATGTACCAGCACTATCGCGTCCGTCACACCTGCCACCATCGCTCTACCGACAAGCGGTGGTTGGCCCAGCGGTCTTGCGCTAACAACCTTGTTGGCGACCCCCGCTGGAAGGTCTTCGGTTCGACCCTCGTAGTCGAACCAATCTCGAAATGAAACCAGGTTCAACTGGTGGCTTTCTCCCCGCTATGAACGGAGCATTTGTTTTGCCAATTTCTTCCTCCTATCAGAGTCTTTGATTTGATTGTGTTGTGGTTGTTGTTCTTTCCTAGTTGTTGTCTTCTTTTTGTTATGTCGAATCTGGGACCTTCTCTCTTAGGCGACGCCGAGCTCGTGAGAGAGCATGCATGGCTGGTCAGACAGAGCCTTCACATACCGGATAAGCAGTGGAGCTCTCTCTACTACATCGCAGAAAGACCTTTTTGACAAGATCTCGCTGATTAAGAATTTTCCCATGTTAGGCAACAGATTGGCGTACTGTATCACTCACTAACCGGTTCTCAGATCCTATTTGCAGTGTTACTCATGCCCTACCGATACTCCTCTCGTAGCAGCACCATCGGCGTCCCCACCGTCTAGAGTCTAGCCGTCATTTTGAGTTCCCTGATCCATTGATGGGCTGCTTATGATACTCCTCCGCCAACACCTTTTCCTTGAAGCCTCCCGACCGCCAGCATGTGTAATGTTCACGACTTCAAAACGCACAACGATCTCCAAAGCAGGGTGCTGTAGTCATAGGACTTCGATCTGAAAGTGAAAGGCTCACCATCAGAGGATTGAGGACGACCCTGTCGCCGCTTCCAGCATTATACAACCTCTGCCACATTTGGTCTCGGAAGAATGCTGTCTCTATATCGACACAGGACGGTGTTACCCAGCAGACAACGCTGACGTCCTCGAAGTGTTGCAACGCCTTTCAAATGCCTGGTACCAAGATCTTCCATTGGTCTACAAGAAGGGTAGTCATTCTTTCTTTCGGGATTGCAAGGATCAAAATGCCGTCCAGATTGCAACAGCTATGAGATCTGTCCGTTCTCAAGGTCTTTTTTTAGTCTCGTTGTGCTTTTTACCTGGCGCAACATACCTTATCTCTATGCTCGACTCAAGGAAGCGTACGGTTCGCCTAACGAGACTGCCGAAGACCTTTGTCAGCATCTGCACATTGCTCACGACGACATCGCCACCACTCTCAATGGTGGAGATCGGGAAACCGAAGGTACATACGACTGAAGTCTTGAGAAAACAGCAACAGTTCTGGGGAGGGGACATTGGAACTTGGGACACGCGTTCTTTGACAGCTTTGCTTTTGTTTTCTAGTTGACATTTACACACACCAGAAAAAAATTATATTGTATTATTGTAATCTGATGTTCCATATCCTGTGCTTCCTTACCCTACATAGCATCACAAGTTATAACAGTTAGGCACATTCGACGTACCGAGACAGCTTTGACTAAAAGGACTCGTGATAAATACCTCTCGACGGACAAAACACCTGCCCAAGAAGTGTTGTGCAGTGTTATGGCCTTTCAACTCACAATCTCTAACAATGTGAGATGCAGCAAAAAAGCAAAAGTATGGACGACTAGGGGATCGAACCCTAGACCTTCAGCATGCAAAGCAGACGCGCTACCACTGCGCCAGACGCCCAAATATAGCAGATCTGCGGCGTTGTCAATATATAACCTTCAAAAGATAGTGGGGAAGAACAGGTTTCGTGCTATCTTTTGTCCGAGCTTCTCGGTGGTCCAAATCGACTTCGTCACTATCCATTTGAGTAAACATGAATCTTCAAGACACGATCCTCCTAATAAGGAGAGCGTCGTGCATCACTTTCAACTCTGCTCTGGCAATCATATTACCATGACTTCCCACAAAGCTTTGAAAGCTGCTCTCGTAGTCGTCGATTTGCAAGAGGACTTCTGCCCACCAGTGAGTTTCCCCCCACTATGTATCCATGCAGCGCGCTCAGGCCCGCGGCTTTATTATGGCACAAAAACTTGTCGCATCAACCTTGTTCTTCTGAGCTTCCTTTCGCTGTTTCTTTTCGAGCTTCTCAACGCCATTGTATCTCATATCTCAGGCTCTGAATTTCTCTAACGCCATGTAGAACGGCAGTCTGGCAGTGACTGATGGCCGGTCCATTGCTCCTGTCATCAATGACCTCTTGAAGCTCCCATGGACCCTCAGAGTCGCTTCTAAAGACATGCACCCCGATGATCATATTTCGTTTGCGTCCAATCATCCTCCGCCGCACAACAAGCCCTTCGAGTCGACCATCACAATCTCCAACCCTGAAAACCCCGACGAGACGCAAACGACAAAATTATGGCCAGTTCACTGTATCGCAGGCTCACCAGGCAGTGACCTCATACCAGAACTTGACGCCACTCGGATAGACGAAATCGTAGAAAAAGGACAAGATAAAAGAGTGGAAATGTACTCGGCCTTCTGCACACCTTTCCTCGATCCGAAGATTGTGGAGACGGGATTGGCAAACACACTCAGAGAGAAGGGTATCACCCATGTGTTTTGCGTTGGCTTGGCTGCAGACTATTGCGTAAGAGAGACAGCGGTTGATGCTGCCAAGGAGGGCTTTGAGACCTTCGTTATCCGAGAGGGTACGAAAGGTGTTGAACAAGGCGAGGAGGCTGACAAGAAGCTTGCACAAGAGCTGAAAGAGCACAACGTCAAGATGGTCAGTGTCGAAGGACCTGAGGTCGCCCAAGTCAGAGACCTGCGGTAGACTTGCGAGGTCTTTGAACAACAAAGCCAGGTATGTGATTACCACTTTCCTCATCTTTTCCCCCCTTCCCACTAGCATGATGTTTTAACACAAAACGAAAATCAAAATCCATGAGGCATGTCATGATTATTACTCTGACAAGCCGCGGATTACAACTTTATACTCTGATACTTTCTTCAATCACTCAGCTCTTTGTTGAACTCGTTGAATATGCGACAGAAGCTGACTTGGGCATAATCAGACAATCTTTTTTCCATCAATGCTACAAGCCAAGCATCCCGCCCGGCGGATGCGAACAAGAAGGGCAATCAACAATGTAAACATAGTGTGGTAGCTTACCTGCATCGAGAGCGATACTAGGGCCATGAGACAAGGCTCCTGCGTGTGTTGCTCTCAAAGGCGGCTTTGATCAGCCAGTCCTTTATAATGATGCCGAAAACAAAACTCAAGCACATCTCAATCTCTTGAGCAGAATCGGTCGATCCCTGTCGTTATGATGTTTGACAATATGCTTTCACATTCGCTCGTGATTCGTTCTCAAAGATGGACTTTGTCTCAAGTATCAGGGGCAAGAAACCATTGTATAGAGAAGTCGAAATCGCTGTGCTACAATATGATACAAGACCGACTGATTGAACTGTTGCGAAGAGACACGCACATGCCGCGACCTAGGTTGAAACACAATTCGTTACTTGACCAAAATTCTGAGACGTGCTTGAGAATCCAGTACATAGCAACCCTGGTGCAAGCATTCCGCTTACCTTTGAAAGCATGATTCAGCTGCAAGTGACTTTCGAGACTACACAAACTGTGCTTCTCCGATCAAGGGCAGACTGATACGCGAACATGTCTCATTTAGGAAGCTGTAGCCAGTGGTAGACTCGAAACTTCCTCAACTCGATGCTATGCGGTGATACGCAAACGTACCTGTTTGTGTCTTGGCAACAGAGAATACTGCCTTCATACTTCCCGGGAACAACGACGTCGAAACAAGAACGATGCAAACTGATGCGCCGATGCCGTCCCGCAGGCACCGTACATAAGAAGCGCAGACAGGGACTCGGAATTAGGTCCATGATTTCTGCCCTCCAGATCGAAGATGGAGTTTTGCTCTGAAAATGCGCTCGAATGATCTCGATGCCACGATGCAGCAGACGAGCGATCCTAGAGTCTCGTGCGCCCCTCAACGGACAATGATGACAAGCTGTCATTGAATATAGGCAACTTGCTGCTCTGCTTTCGGACGAGTATGACGCAGGAGACATCAACGTTGAATGTGTAGTGAAGGAGGCACCAACAAGACCAATGCTTAGAGGACAACAGCACAGCCATCGATGCCTTGGCACAGCAGGAGAGTAAGCAGAGTAGAGACACGATTGAGTGCGTGCTAGGAGAGCCAAAGGTCTGTGACATCATGCCCTCTGACTTTCAATCACCAAGCTAGCAGCTATAATAAGCTTCAGCGGTCAAACTCATTTGTGGTGGACCCAGAGGCCCTGCATCGCTTTCCGTGAGCAGATTATCCTCAGAGAGCGTTGAAGACGCCTCTGGCCTGTATACCACTGTCGTGCAACGAGCCAAATTTGAGTTGTAGACTCGTGAGGAGCGCCAGGTGGACATGGAGTGTACGACGAGGGAGGATTTCGCGAATTCCGTTTGTGGCCCCTTCAAGGTTCTTCTGAAAGCGTAACAGGTTTTCTTGCTTGCTCGTGGATGGACCCACGTTGCATGGAAACGATCTCGGAAAGCGAGTCCAGATGTGTTCGACAGTCTTGATCGAGTGCGAATTGACGTGTGTATTCTGGGATGTCAGAACCTGTTGACGAAGTTGCGAGGTTGATATCAAAGATAAGGAGATGACAAGTATGGATCGCATTCGGCGGTACGACCATAGTACTGGATTAGATGTCAAGGGAGACACGCGTGGGCGTGGCCTCTTTCTGTCAAAAGAAGGAAGATAATTACGAGTGATGTAACCAGATCGATGGGACGATCCGACTCTTGAAAGTGCCTCATCTGCTCAAGGACGTAAATCCGTTCCTTCCACAAGTAGCAGGTGTAGTTCGATAAAGACACCAAGTGTATCCCAACCTGTCGTGCTTGAGGGGCTCGGACTTGAGAGGCAGTACACAGGTATCGTAGAGTTGTGACGTTCAAGTCCATAGTCGTGGGGGGAAAATGGCTTGAGAAATCTGGATCCTAAGGACGACACGAGCACACCCTGAGCGGCATGAGACGAGCCATACGGGAAGGAGCTCAGGACGACTAGAGGTCAACTATCAGCAGTAGGTCGCACGAGCTTGATGCTCTATGTGCCAGTAATCGATTGCGGGCAGCACTCAGTGAGCCATTGTTTGCTCAACGCATCTTCTTCGGCGCCTATACTATATGACTGGGCTTATAGCATGGCGCGTTCATGTCTGATTGTCATTGGTGACAACAACGGTCTTGTGGCTCGGTGTAGACGCTGCGCGATTGATCGAGATTTGGTGTTTGTGTCTGTTGGTGACTATTGTCGACTCAGTGAAGCTTTCGAGAGCTAGGAGATTTTTCGGGAAGTGCAAGAGTCAGCGTGGTAGCGCTTGGTGTGTGTCTTGGACGTTGAGTTTCGCGGCTCGCAAGAATCAGCTAAGGGATGCCGACACCGCAAGTCGAATGCCCTTACGTGCTTAAGCATCGGAAGAGGATCAAGGGCTAAGTCTCATCGGTCTTCTCTTGCCAATGAAGACCGCAACACGAATCATGACATGGATGTGAGGATGCATCAAATTCAATGGCTCAGTTACGTGGCGACAGAACATCAAAGAACTCGGCCCGTATACTGCAGCCGCGGAGTCGGGTTGGTTAGAAAAAGAGTACTCGATGTCGACATGACACGTCCTGTATTGTGTGATTCGCTCAAGAAGCATCCTGAGTCCTGACTTGCCGTCATGAGGCATCCCTTACCAGGATCCTCAGTCACGCCAAGAAGCAATCAATCCAAGCTTACACGCGAATTCGAGAAAGGCAAGTGGTCGAGATCTCGAATCAACGGCCTTCTCGTGGCCAGAGGCTCAAGAAGCACAAATGTGGTCACCGTCAAGATAAGCGTGAATCATTTCCGAGACGTATTCGGCAAGCTTTGTCAAGGTTCAATCATGGAGCCTGCGGAGGAAATCTTGTTGAAATAGATATCGTGATGCCCTCATAGGTTCGACCAGAACTTCCGTCTAGCAGAAGGTATAAGGTTCCATTTTGGTAACTTAGTTTCTTGTAGAAGTCTAGATCATGCCATCATGGCAGAGATGTAGATATGCTGAAAGATGGTGTCGTAGCATGATCATGCAGATTTACGGAGAGCGAACGTTAAGGGACTGGCCTCATGTAAACGCGAGACACTCTCGCCAGCGTCCTTTGCTCACCTTAGTTCGGATCTTGGCCTCAATTTCAGTTGCAACGACACCAAACTTTATGGTCAGCGACGTACAGCGTTGCCCTAAGACCAGGAGACGCACGCAACAGTCATGCGGTTTCCGAAACTCTCGGATCATAGAAACCTCTGGATTGGTTGAACATCCCGACAGGAGAGTTCCGAGTGTGCAGAAGATCACAGGCGGACTTTCAGCTGTCGTTCGATAATCCTAGCACAAGCTCCACTACGCCTCCAGCAAGCGGTGAACATGTTCCGTGTTGCCAAGCTGTCGGTTCATCATCGACGATTTCTGCATGTTGTTTTCCAATCAGCTGTGGAACAAAGTCCTGGGCCTAGTTACATCAGGAAATAGTGATTTCCATCAACCAAGACTTGTGCCTCATTTCCTGGATCGGCATTGTGCAGACCCATTGATGCGTGACTTACGGTCGATACTGCTGATCTCTGTTACAAGCCATCACAACTGTGTGGTGTATGCAGAGAGTGGTACATGGACTGAGTATACGACGTACGTGTAGCCGTGATGGCCGAGATGGCATCTGCGTTAGCTCACTTGAAATCTGGTGATGCCTGTCAGCAGACCGACAAGGCAATTTCGACAAGGCTCTTGTGCGTGCACTTGTCATTTACCTAGCCACAGGAAGGAAAAGGCCCTAGCGGTGTCGCATGAACTACGACACGTTTGTTGCGAGTAGCTAACCGCCCGTGCCTGGACCGGCTCGATCAATCAAAAGTAAGCTTTCGTACTCTTGCTGATCTCATTACCTTCTGGACGCGTTAGCCGAGTCAGGGTCAGCCTCCAGAACAGAGAAGACAGCAAAGAGGAAGGAGCCAACAACGGGACGATCTGGTTGGATGACAGGCGCAGAAGAGGTTCATCTTAGGTGCCGAAGCAGAAAACGGTCAAGACGACGCACGGAAATGCTCCCGAACAATTGAATCTGCAAGCCGGCCGTTAATCCTCTGAGGTATGCAGCACGGCAGATCACACGTCCAATCTAGATTGCCACGCTTCGCCGGACGGGAAGATGTATCGTTGCGTTCAAAGAGGAAATTTACTGCGTTGATTTGGTAGAGTCGTAAGTAGCAGGGGACATGTCTGAGAATAATCTCGGAAACTTGTGGTCGGCAGTCGCAACTGGCAATTTGGCCGTGAAAATCCCAAGCGAGATGTCGTCGCCGAGTCGCGGGGACCACGCGACTTGGGGCTCTTCCGTCAGAGCGCCTTCGCCACGCGGTGAGAGCAGCCACATTTCCGCTCCTGACAGAACTCTCACGGGCCATATCCCGTTCCAGACTTAGCGACCTCCTCTTGTCAACCTGCATCTACCAGTTCGATGCGTTGCTTGCCGTCATGGCGCCATCCCCAGCGCCATCGACCCTCTGATCTTCCCGCTCCGATCACGGTGCGACACATAGGGACCCTCATTCGGATATCCGCATAATCTCTATTACTCTTGGATCTCTGCCATGCTGACCATTGGCAAGTCTATGCCGACCACTGGTAAGCCCTGACTGATGGCGGTCCGAAAAGCAAAGTTAGATACACTGTGTCAGAGCACCAGGAGTGGAATCGATCCAAGACCCTCAATATTAAGGCCTGGACGTGAGAGAGACGAGCCGAAACGATCATGTAAGGCTTAGGACTAGTTCTTTGCGTGTGTCCAAGGGGGCATGTTCATCTTTCTATTTTCTGTTACCGTCATACCAAGACACAAACACAGCCACAGGTCGCTTCTTAAGCTTCTCCACAACAACCTGGACTGGGCTCGTCGTGTTCTCGAATCACAGCATAATAATTGTCGTGTGGCAGCACAACCGAGCCGCTGGTTAGCGTGGCTCAATTGCAGCAAGCACAATGCCCGTTGTGCCCATGTTTCACGTTTTCACAAGGGCAGCCAGCCAGGACATGACTCTCGCAGCGGCCACTTCGCGCCGAGTATAGCAACAAAGCCAAAATCCTATGGCCATTCCATTGGCATCGTTCAGGGCAGGAAAGGCGCGTGTCCGAAATGGTTTTGCCGTCTCAGCAAACGTCAAACAAAGCAATTTCTCGGCATGTACTTGATGGTGCATGCTTCCTCGGTATCAATCTGGTGGACGATTCTCCTGCTCTCTTGCGTCAACTAGTCCACTCTTGCACGGTCTTTCTACCGATATACGTCGTCCCAACTGTGGCAACTGCTGCTTCGCTTAGCCACATTTTATCGTACCGATGCTGAGCATTGAACCCCCGGTTTGCACACTTTCCCGGATATTAAGGTGAGCGGTACTCTCTCTGAGGCTGATCAAGCTGCCCACAAGCCTTATGTTTGGACTCAACCTTATTCACACCACCCTGGACAGATTTACTTGCATCAATAGTAAACCATAACGATCACTCCCAACCGACAACCTGGCGCTCACTCAACGACCGCTGGGAATAAAGGAAGCTGGAGCATATTTGAGTGATCTGTCATACTCCACCGCAGTCCTGGCGAATCCCTACGGCAATTACTCATTCCAGTATGGAAGCTCGACGGCGGAGGGGCAAGACAGCCAAGAACAACACCAAACAACAGGTCCTGTGTATGGGCACGCATACCTAGACCATGGGTACTCGACATTACAGCCTTCCTATTTTCCGCTTCCCATGCAATCGGAATATCATGTTTTGCCTCACCAGCTGCAGCCTCCCATGAACACTCAACCGACCACCAGCATTCCAGCCCATAATCCGGAGAGAAGCAGCATCGCGACCTCAATCTCAAGTCAACTGAGCGGGTCAACTCAGTTCGACAATTCTAGAAGGCCTTCAGAATACGGTCATTCAGAGCCTTCATCACGCAAGAGAAGCCGTGCTGACGACTTTCAATCCGACCCTCAAGAATCTCCCATGTACAACTCTAATCTAAGTCTTAATATACCTGTCATGATGGGATCGACCGGGCATCAGACTCCAAACCTTGTTTCCCCGTTTCAGTTTCGCGCTCCGCAGCTCCCACAAGCAGCTTCTACAGACCGATCACCCATGAGCGACACACAGCACCTACAGTCACATCAAGAATACAGTTCCGCAGACGCTTTGAATTCGAACCAGCACCATCACCATCACCTACCGCCTCATTCTCCTATACTCAAGCGAACAAAGCAGGGCGAAGAGCTTGGAGGCGACCCAGGACCGCCTAGTATGGTCGGAAAAGAAGGAATGCCGGAACCTGCACCCAGACCCAAAGGCCCGAAACTCAAGTTCACCCGTGAAGACGATGCGCTTCTTGTCAGACTAAAGGAGACCAAGAACTTGACCTGGAAACAGATTGCCGAATTCTTTCCAGGTCGGAGTGCTGGCACATTGCAGGTTAGGTACTGTACCAAGCTCAAGGCGAAGACCACTTTGTGGAACGATGATATGGTAAGTGACTTTTTTCCTTGTCTTGATCAACGTGCTTCATCTGGAACGGCATTTCGGACACCCTGCAAGATCATGGAGCGACAAAGGACACGCGGCTTCAAGAAAACGGCATCCAGTATACAATTCTACGACGATCACGCAGTATCAACCCCCACGGGCACTCGCCGACAGCAACTGGCTACAGATAGCTCCCGCTCAAGACGACACACTATACCCCTGACGACCAAAATCAACGACCGTTTTTACTCGCATGCGCGTGTGTCCCCACGTGTAGTATCACCGCACGCTCACACAGTTCACGGCTCTCGAGGACGTGCACACAGCCTTGGTCTTCCTTACCTGATATTGCGCTGCAAACTAATGGAGTCTCCTGCCAATTGGTATCCACCAGCAATCAATGCGTACACACAGCTCCTTCGTTGCCACAGCACGCTCTTGGGCCCTTTTCCTACGGATCTGAACCACTCACGAATACACCAAAACCAATCAATCGCACACGAAACGCTTTGCCACGCAACAGTGCTAATCCTAACTTTAGATTCAACGTCTCCGCACGGCAATGCAAGACTACGACAACGACCGCTGGCGGTTCATCTCGAGCAAAGTCGGCAGTGGCTTCTCTGCTGCAGCATGTAAAGCAAAGGCAGAAGAGATAGAGGCCGAAGACATGAGAGAAGATCATGGTGCATCATCTGGCTCCGATGATGATCAACAGGATGGTGCCGATGGAGATGATGCTGAAGAGGAGGATGCAAAGGGCGAGGTAGAGACATAACACGACGGTGTTCCTGAGAAGAAGTTGCATTCAGGAAAGAGCTATGAGATAAGAGAGGGGCATTTACAGTTGGCCAAGTTGAGGAAGTGGTAGAATCGCACGCTGCTGCTATTTTATCTCGGTGTCAGCATTTCGCAGCTGAGCGGCTCTCGCGAAGGCGTAGCGTGGTAGTGACCAGGACTCTCCTCTTTAGTACGAACAACACAGCTTGTTCACGCGTCACCACCGGATCAGCCCCATCTCCGTCGTCGGATGATGCGTGGTATCCCCGTCTCTGAGATGCGTCTGAGCATCTGACCAAGACAAGCGCTTGCGCCGAATGAACACAGCTAAAAGAGAACCCCATCAGCAAGTCGAGCATACTCAATCTTTGAAGAGTGTCTCAAACCACCGGAGGCTGTCGATAGTCATCGCTTCAAAGATGGACTGCGTGTTGCATATGATCGGGTGGTGCTCTGGAAATTACGCTATGGCGATTGCCAAAACGGCAGGAGCCACTTGCGACTACGCACCCACAGAGAGCATTGCGTTAATGCAAAATTTTCTATTGGTGCACTGCTGCTGCCCAAAAGTTCTCTCTCATTCGTGACTGTAAACCTGTTTTCCTATTCATCTCCGCAAACTTTCTCATTTGTGTGCACACCTAACCCAACCCAAGCTTTTTGGCTTTTTATGCCCAGCCTCCAATCTGGGCTCTATCCCCCACCGACCTGCCAGCTCCGCGGCAGTTAAAGTTTGTGTGTGCAAGGTTCTGAATGCCGGTTGATATATTTGATTGAGTGCGAGTATATTGGTGCGATCCGCGATCTTTTCTAGATAAGATAAGAAGTTGATATATCAGATATCTTGCAGACCTCGACCCCTGAATATGCTAGATGGCAGAAACAGAAAGCTCATCCCCTTCATTGGAAACGAGGAAGAATTAAAAAGTATTGTGACTTTTGGCAGTTACTGTAGGCTGTGAGTACGCTGTAGAGAGAGACGCGATGTTTTGCGCTCCGCCATGACCGCCTCGGCTGTCCTTCCAGTGAACAGTTGCCTAGAGACTATTCCCCTTACGACGATGCGGATTGTTCCTACGAATCGGATGCGTTCAGAGTTGAACAATATCCGTTGGCGGCTTGGAACAAGCTATGCGGCTATCCAGGCGAAGCGTCAATCCGGGATGAACAGGCGTTCGGCCGAACTCTATTGTGACTGCATTCAACCAAATGCGTTCAACGTGTGGTCTGGAGAGAAGAGCTTCGTCGTCCATCATACAGTGAGGCGTAGAGTTTCCGTAGAAGCAAGAGGTTGAGTGCAGGAGCTGTAGAAATGCAGAGTGTTGTTTGAAAACGAAGAGAGCCCACCGAGAGCAGGAGTCGAGCAAAGAGCTCCTGAAATTTCGAGGAGGTCCGTGTCTGCAATAGCCTTGCACTTGCCAGGAGTAGACGAGGAGGCTGTTTGCGCGTGGCTAGTATCAGTCATCTCTGCTTGGCTGCCAGTGTGACATATTTAATACTGACATCCCTCCCCTGCTTCGTAGCTTTCTCACCACACTTAGGAGCACTATCAAAAACACTTTCTACTTACATACCTCATACACTTACCTTTACTTACCTACTCCCAACAACTCCCTCTTCATCAACTTTTTTACTACACATCACAAGATGTCTCAGGGGTTTACACCCGTGAATAGAAGCAACGCTTCTCAGGTCGAAGACGCCCCGAGAGCCAGGCGCAGGTCACCAAAGCCGACGGATCTTGCGCGAATGCAAGAAAAGGTCAAGGCTCTCAAAGAGAGCCTTGCTCGTGATGGCGACCTTGCGATGCCGCAAGGTATCACAACTCAAAACACCGTCATCGCCAACATCCTCGAGAACGGCGTACCCGAGGCTCAATCACACGAGAAGAGGATTTGGACTGCCGATGAGAAAAATTTCGTCTGGCATGCTCTTGGTTGGGACCACGGTGTTATTGCGGCCTACTTGGGCCGTACGGAGCTGGCATGTCGTCTAAGGCGACACCGCGTGGTCAAGGAAAGAAGGAGCCGTAGGCAACGGGGCACTAGGGCCACGCAGAACGCTGCTCTGCAACTTCCAGCACCCGCCGCTGGTCCTTCTCGCTCAATTGCTGCTTCTGACGCAAGTCAGGAGTTTGAACAGCTTGTTCAGATGAGCAGGGAAGAGCTGCCCCGCTGGAGAAACTGGTCTCCTCTTCCTCCGATTGGCTCGCCGTGTAAACCAGAGCATGCCGAAAGGCAGAGTGTCAAACCGGCACCAATGGAGCCTCCAGCGAGAACGACCTTCGACATGCAAGCAGCTGCTACCAGAGGGTCAGCACCGGCAAACTATGTCACCAGGGCACCCGGTTTGGACATATTGGCCGAAGCTGCCGCCCAGCTCGCCCGGGCCGACAATATTGACTCAGAGCACGATATTGATTGATCATAATCGGCGTACGGAGTAGAGGGGTATTCGGTTCGGGATTTTGTGATTATGGCGTTTGGGAGTTTGGCGTTCTTGTATATTTCTATTGTGTGCCTTTTGCTTTTGCCATTGTACTGTGTTCATAGACGAGAATGCGAACGAAGAGTCAACATGTAACGGGGAAAGCCACTTGGCCGGTGCGAAGATGTGATGCTGAAACTATTTCAATTTGTCGAGGCGCGCTGAATTGTGATGTTAGGTTCGAGTGTATTCTTTGCGCGAACGATGAAGGAGCGATAGCATGGTGGCCATACTGTAATACCGGTCGACGAGGCGAGGGTGTCATCTTGAAGAAGCTGGGACGTAGAGAGTGCGTCCCAGGGACTCGGCGGCTCTTGTGTGTTTTATGAAGTGGAATGAAAGAAGCGCAATGCTGAGTTGGAGGGACAGATAATAGATGACTTCGTTGTTGCGAGATCAGAACGATGTATCAAATCCATAGAAGGCACTGCGTCGATGAAGTCCAAGTCCAGCTCGGTCTATCTGGAAGGCGCACCAAGATTTGACAAGTTACTTGCTTGCACTGTGTCTCATCTAATTTTGATCGAAGAGCAAAGAGCAATATCCCCCTTATCATATACATCGATCGTGCAAATCAAAGGCCTTTCAATGTGAAGGGTGGATCTCGCTGTCCTGCTGCCGCTGGGATTCAGGTGTGCATAGATACGCAAGCCCCTGAGAAGATTTGAACCAGGACCTTCGCTTGTTACCATACTGTAAAGAAAATCTTACGGTATAGGCACTCATCGTCCAAGGCCAGAAGACATCAACACAACACAACATTGCGATGCTGGAATTTGTTCTTCCTTGCGTAGCACGAAGATAGCCCCATCGTCTTCAGCAGGTTTAGAAATCATGACCTCTGATGGAGCAAAACTGATTTCTCAGAACAACGTGACGCGTTAATACTTGGGTTTCCCTCCCCGTATTGCTGTAATCGCCGCCATGCCACGTCATTTTTGTTGTGAGCTAGATACCGTTGCGCCACCCTGTGTTGAACAGACAAGCCAGAAAACCCGAGGTAGCTTTGCCGCTGGGAGGACTCTGTTTCTTTGAGTATATAAAAGTAGAGGCTTGCTTGGCAGTGAGAGTCGCTCTTTTCCCTTGTGGTGCATGTTCAATAGTCTCACTCCTTCCTCTCGTTGCTGGAATCTTTTGCTTCTACATGGCAGACGCTCCTACCATCTTTCGAGACGGAGTTTCTGGTTGCAGCAAGCGCAATGGCAAAACTGGCATCCCATAGTTCGAAATGCAGTGCTTCATTTTGCTCCCCATTGCAACGCGTTGCTTCTTGCATCGCTTTTGTATTACACAACAACCAGAAATACGATCGCTCACCAAGGCGAGATATAGTCTTGAACCCCTTGAAACGCCAAAAACACATTTCTAGGGATGTTTTCAAGGTACCTCGAGACTCCTTGATATCGCGACTGATTGTCTGCACCGAAGGTCCATTGTCGACAGATGCGTGCCCAGGGTCCTTTGGCTTTCCGGATCTCGTGGGTTAGGGGAGTGTCGGCGGCCGACCTGAACCTTGCTGCCGACCCGGCTCGATTCAACCAATACCAGGAGCCAGGTAATTGCCGTGTAAGCCATACACATGTCCTAGGAGTCATCGACGCAAAGCGTCCTCAACGCTGTCGCCTTGGTGCCTCCCATGAGCATGTTTACTGCCGCAAACGCGCTGACCGACATCAGCACGATGACTCGACACATCTTTATAAGAAGGCTGGTCTTGCGTGAGAGTCTCTCCTGTCATCCACAACTTGGACTGAATTTTTACTGATTGCCAGCAACTTCAACGCAGTTCATCGACACCAGACACACCGATTATCCCTACTGTGATCAACCACATCTCCCTTGCGCATCCAGTAGACTTCTCGAATCTTGACGATACTCATCGTGTGCTTAGGAACGTTTCTCATCGGAGATTGTGCAGTTCCATCGCGTTTCGAACCCAGCGATCCTGGTTGAGGTACCGTCGCAACGCAGGTACATCGAGGTCCTTCCGCGCAAGCCCAAGATAATTCGTAAAAGTAACATGGCTCCCTTCAACGGCGACAAGACCCAAGAGGTCTCCAGGAACATCCTCAGCGCCTCAAGCAGGCCAACCCCGAACGTCGAGGCCGGCCCACGCGTGGTCAAAAACAAGGCCAAGAATCTCGCACCCCAAGGCAGCGCCCCCTGGGATGACGACCAGCGACAGCGGCTGATCGATTACCATGCCTCCCTCGAGACCTGGGATGGAGTGGTCAAAATGCTGAACCGAAGCAATCAAGCAATCAGGCTTGAGTGGAAAAAGATGAGAGATGGCATCCGTGACCAGGGGAAGCCAGGTCACTGGCAGCAAAAGGTCAAGGCCTGTGAAGAACAGCGAGAAAGAAACTTCCTTCCGAAAGGGTCGAGGGCCAGAAACACTTCCGCGACAGCACCTGCTGCTGGCAGTCCCGCAGAAGACAGCTCCACGACACCCTTCAGAGTCGTGTCAACAAGCAGCAGCCCTGCTTCAGAGACCAGCAGCAGCGCAACGCTGGGCATGAGCCCCGAGCCAAAGATCGGGAGCGACACTGTGCCGATTTGCAAACGGTCGGTGGAGTACGAGATCTCTACTAGCCATGAAAGAACCGACATGAGTCAGAAAGAAATGCGTCTCGAAGTGGTCCGTCGGGAAATAGCCGACGAACTCAAATATAATACTTCGATAGACATCACCGACACGGACATGACTGGCATGGACCAGACCGATACGAGAGACGACGATGTCATCGCCGAGGCGATGAGGTACCAGAGCCTAGGGTCCGTATACTGGGGAATACCATCCCGAGAAAGCAGAATGCTTTTTAGGGAGGCAGCATGGACGAGACCTAGGAATGGAAGGGTGAGGTACCTACATCCCTGGGGCTTCAAGAGATTGCCGAAAGGCCGTGGTCAGTTGTATCCAGACGTGGACCTGAAGGAGCCTGATCAGATCGCCGAGAGCTGTACAAGGCTACCGGGGAGAGAAATCAACGCAGACCTGCGTAAAATGGGGATAGGTCTATGACCAGATTGGCTCAGGAATAGCAATCTTGCCTATCTCCAGGAAAGTACTCTAAATCATGAGCCTCTATCGCAAGGCACAAACTTATCCGGAAATTCGTCATGTCCAGAGAGCTCGAGGCACAGATGGTCTCTCTTTGGATAGAATGATCCGGCTTGAAATTGTTGTGCCTTGCGATGGTAACGAGTTGATCGGAGCTCGGTCGATGAAGACCCTCGGAAGTGATAAAAAAGACGCTCTTGATGCACAGTCGTCTCTTTCGATACACATTCACATCTCACGATAATGAAGGCTGATGGCTTCGCGAAGGTGAAGTCGGTACGATAAAGAGGAGAGGGAGCCAGGGTACTTTCATATGGATTTTCTCCATATCGTGCTCATTGTGCGATGACAACTTGCAATTGTCGCCCCGTCTCTACTTCATGTGGCTATACCACTCACCCCAGTTGTCGTCTTCAATATTCCAACGCCAGCTTGCTTTTCGCGTATGGGAGCTTGGCACTCTTATTCTCGTGTGCATAAGTCATGGGGATGGATATACAAACTACATTTTTCGACAAGATGCATCTCGCAAACCGATCAGTTTAACATTTCCGTGAAGCCTTGATGTAGGGCACAGCTTTCTTTGCAATTCTTCATGTCTTTTGTATGGTATAAATATGATTATTTGTTTTCTTCAGAGTGATAGCTAGATTTCTTTTGACCATAATGCTCACTGCTGGTATTCCTTCCATCTTCCATCAATTCGAAGCTCCTAGGCTCAGAGGTGATTTGAGGTATTTCCCTCAATCAGTTGATAGCACACGAGATGTTTGAACGTAGACATTGAGCCCATGAAGAATTGATTCTTCCAGGAGTGAAGACAAGTACTGGCCAACCATTTTGACCAGATGATCATCGGCGGTCGCATATCATCGAACAACCCGCCTTCCCGATCAAGCAACATCCCCCTCCAGGACATATTCTACCATCTCCAACGATCTTTTCTGCTATTTCGCATGATAGAAAGGCATCTCTTGAGCTTTCACGTGGCAAATAGCCGCCATCTCTCTTTGCTGCCATCCGACAGAATCCGAGCCAAACAATCGGCAGTTCATTTCTACAACTTCTTATCTTAACCACGAGATATTCCGCGGACTTAAGACTATTACCAACGGCACTTGGGGACTCAAGCAAAGCAATCATTCACATGTGCACTTCCCGTTGGTTGAATCGATGATTTTGAAGATGGCTGAGGTTTCATCTGTTAGTTGCTTGCCCGCGGACTGATAAGCAGCACTTACCCCAAATCTGCCGTGTCTCCAACTGATAGGGCGATAATGCATGGCACTTGCATATCACATCCCCAGATAGGCATGTCAAGTCAAGATATGCTTGCCCCTCATGCAACCATCCATGCCTCTCGTGTGTCGGCTATGCTGTAAGAGGCATTTCTAATAGGCGGTCCAACGGTGGCCATATCTCTCTATTGGCTTACGGAGGTAACTCGTCAGAAGAGGCGGAGTTCTTTGCGATCAGGTCAGGGTGGGATTCGATATATAGGTAAGGAGCTCTGATCTTCCGTCTCTTTCCCTTTTACGCATCTATATTCTTTTGCACATATTTGCGACACCATGTTTGAGCCTCATGACAAAGAGAAGGCGGTACACGCTGCACCAGAAGAACTTCCAGAAGTCGAAGTCGGAGAGGTGAAAGATGTCAAGAATGCAGATGCTGCACTTGACTTTTTACGGCATGAGGGCGAAGGAGTAGAGATGACGGCGGAGGACGAGAAGAGATTGGTGAGGAAGATCGATTGGATGATTATGCCGTTGATGTGGTGTTGCTATGTTGCGCAATATCTGGACAAGACTTTGATCAACTACGCTGCTGTCATGGGCTTGTATGAAGATGCGAATATCACAAAGGCCGACTTTTCGAACTTGGTAAGTCCTGTTGGTCAGAGGTTATTGAGGTTTACTGACCGATATAGGCTTGGATTTTCTATGTTACATACCTTGCCTTTGAGTTTCCTCATGGCTATGGTATGCAGCGTTTCCCTACTGCCAAATATCTGGGTGTCATGGTGCTGTGCTGGGGTGCCATCGTTACTGTCACTGCTGCCTGCCACTCGTATGGCGGCCTCATCGTCACCAGAGTTCTGCTCGGCTGCTTCGAATCTGCAGTTGCGCCTTCCTTGATGCTCATCACAACCATGTGGTACAAGAAGAACGAACAACCTCCTCGCACTGGAATATGGTATCTCGGTACTGGTACTGGCACGATCATTGGCTCTCTGCTTTCTTACGCATTCCAACATGTCCACTCTGCCTCTCTCTACTCTTGGCAAATCCTTTTCTTGGTTGTTGGGCTGATCACCGTGTGTATTGGTATCACTGTCATCTTGATCTTCCCTGACAACCCAATGACATCTCGTCTCACCCATCAAGAAAAGATTTGGGCTATCGAGCGTCTTCGCGCAAACCAGACTGGTATCGAGAACAAGCATTTCAAGTCCAACCAAGTCCTCGAATGCTTCATGGACCCGCAAACCTGGTTGCTGAGTTTGATCACGATAGCATCCTCAGTCCCCAACGGCGCCGTATCGAGTTTCCAAGCCACGCTTATCAAAGGATTTGGCTACAACAGCAAGGAAACTGCTCTGCTGCAGATCCCTGCTGGTGCGTGTAGTGTAGTCTCTATCTTGATCGCCACATACCTTGCCGGACGATTCGACCAAAGAGGCTTGAATGTGATTACCCTTCTCATCCCTGGTATCCTTGGAGGTGCATTGATGGCTTTCCTGCCTGGCGAGAACAAAGCAGGGAAACTGATTGGAAATTACCTTACCAACTGCATTGGTGCAAGTTTGCCATTGTTGTATTCGTGGGTTGGAGCTAATTATGCAGGCCACACCAAGAAGGTACGCTTCCTCTTTTGTTCCTGCCCTACCTATCATTTCTGCAATACTGACATCTGTGATTTAGGTCACTATGAACGCTATCCTCCTCATCTCCTTCTGTCTGGGCAACATCATCGGCCCACTGACCTTCCGCGCCGCCGATGCCCCAACCTACACACCTGCAAAGATCACCATCATTGTCACTTGCGCTGCTGCTGTGGTGCTTACTTTGATGCTGAGATTCTACTACGTGTGGGAGAACAAGAGGAGAGACAGAGTCAGTGAGCAAATAGGCCAGACACACAAAGCCGATATTGAATTTGCAGATGTCACGGATAGGAAGAATGCTGAGTTTAGATATCGATTGTAAGAGAAGGGGTTGCCACAGTATTAGTTTAGTCTACAAGGAGAAGGGCGCAATGTTATGTGTTATGATTAGAAACGAAGTCTTGGTTTGGCATCTTGATGACTTGAGGTTCAAGGAAGGTACATCTGTCTATACTAGGGTGTATGTTCACACTGTACGAGGAGACAAACCCATGTTCCTGCAGGAGGAAGCAGGTACCCATCCAAGCCACTGCCTCTTGAAGCAAAACTCAGGAGTAATACAACTTGTCTTGTAGACAGTATAACAACAAATTCGACTATATTTGACTGCATACAAGAATATGAATCTCTTAGCTCGTTTTCTTGCACATTCACACTTCTGCTTGTAGAATGCTCGTCATACAAGAATTTCATAAACTTCGGCTCCCGACGCACCCATCTCTTTTCTTTTATCTACTCGTCACCATCAAACCTCACAACAATGTCACACACCCGCCCATTCACAACCCTAGAACTTGCTTTCACAATCTCGGCAGGCAATTGCCGATATAGTAAAGTCGATCGTCGGTAAAGCCAGAAAACCAAGATAAGCTCCACGATCTTCAGCTGAAGCCTCGCACACACTTCCAAGATGCGGCTGAGGTTAAGGTTTCCCGAGGCGACCTGAAAGACACAACCTTGAACCAACATCCAACAAGAGTTTCGCGACATGTCAGAAGATAATGACATTCTTCCCTCGTTTTGCTGACCACCATCTTCTATTTTTTCCGCTTCAGGGACCATTTCAAAAGCTGACGACGAAAGTGTGGCTTTGTCATTTTGGATTACAGAAGCGAGGGAGCAGAGAATCTTTGAAGGACATATTGTACTCGTAGCGAGCCGTTTTTTGTGGATGTGTTCTGGATGCAGGGTAGAATTTGGCATGCGGAATAAACTCGTGGAAAACATGTTTGTGTCGGAGTGTTGAGTCATCTCGCAAAGACATTGCCCCTTCTGGACATTTGTGGTTGGAGGAGAGCAGGACAACGGGCGACAACAGTGATGAAATTCTTGCTTTCATCCTTCCCAGCGGTGAGTATGAAGAGAATAGAAGATTAGAGAAACAAACAACCAAAAAGACGATTATGAAAAGAATATCAAGTAGGGAGAAAAGCAGTATACCCATGCTGTGATTCTGGTGAACATTGCCAACGTCCCTCCCCTACATCAAGGAAAAAAGATGCAAGAAAACTCCCTGGCCTCTGATACAGCTCATTCCAGACCGCTGAAGGAGGCCTTCCTGCTCGCGATAAACAAAAACAAAGGTTCCGAAAGATGACCAACCCAGTCCAAATCATGTCCGTCGTTTTCCCTATGAGTTCCCTGTCCCTGTATTCATTTCCCATGGTCGGCAAAAGCAAAGTCGTGAAAAGCCATGCATAGTCCTCCTCTTCGTCTCACCAAATTAGAAGGGCTCTCTCCGAGGCAGCATCCCGAGAGTCTCAGCTCTTGGTGCCGAAATGTTCTTTGGCATATTGCTCACAAGCCTATGGTTCTTGTCAATAACGTTTCATAAGTAGATGAGATGTGCCGCAGGATATGAAATCATAATACACGAGCACAGGTAGGGAGAGCAGACTTACCTTAGCAGGTTTGCCGACCTTCTGTCCAATGACCTTCCACTTGCTCTGCTCGTATTCTTTGATGGCAGCGAGAAGTGCCGCGCTCTGTTGTCAGTGTTAGCGGGTCAGAGATAATTATACAAGGATCAGAGAGGCGGACGAAATGGCTGACCTCATCTTCCGCGAACTCAGCGTAGTGCATGTCCTGTTTTCAGGGGAAGGAGATCGTCAGCAAGTATGTTCATATTCTCGAGGACGAGAGATTGGCGCTGGAAGAGAAGAAGACGCTGAGAAGAAACGAAGGGCTGTGGGGGAACACCGCATACCTTGTACCAATGCTTCTTTACACTGCCTTCAGTCCGTGTAGGAAACGTTTTAGCGATCTCACTCCAGCTATTACCAGCATCTCTCATAACCTTCAACCTCTGTTCTTCTGCTGGTGTCCATGGTGTGTTGGTTCGTCCTTTCTTTGGTCGCGCAGGCGGAGTGTCGTGTCGAGGAATCCCCTGATCACCTGGCCCCGTGCCCCCGGTCGATGGTCCACTCAACACATAGTTGTTCTGGTCGCTGTTCTGGCGATCGGGATTGCCAAAGATACCATGTTGGTCAAGGCCATACCCGCCAAGAGAAGAGCCAGAAAGAGAATGAGGATCGAGTTCACTTGCACGTCGCTTCCGCGGGTTTAAGGGTGATTGAGCGATCTGAGGCTGTGGTGGTGGTGCGAGAGGGTGTTGCTGGAAGGGACTGTGTTGCTGATGATGTTGAAGGTGAGGTGGTGGATGATAGCCAAACGGCGACGTGCTTGTTTGATACGGCGATGTGTGATATGGGTTTGTGGCATAAGAAGAAGGAGGTAATAGTCCGGCTGTCAGCGACAGCTGTTGTGGTGACGCCGATAGAGGTAAGCTTCCAACTTGTTGCAAGCCTCGCTTCTGCTGGTTTTGCGACAGGTTACTGTGTGATGGGAGAAAGGTATACATGTTAGTCTGGGAGGTATAAATGGTAGTATACGGCCGTATATAGGCGCGACGCTACATGAGGAGGTATCGAAAGCTTAAGCTTTGGGAAATGGGGACATGTGAGTGTGAAACTTACGACATGTTGAACTGGTCGTGAGGGCTAGGTACAATATCCAGGTATGTACAACTGCTAGGATGGAGAGGATGTATTTGAGTCATGAGACGCCTGTTTGCTCGCGCAAAGAAAGAGCGCTGTAAGAAAGGGAAGGGTGAAAAGAAAAGAGGGCTGGCTGCAGGCAGGGCAGGCTTGGACAAGGCGAACAGATTGGATCGGTAGGGTAGGGATATGCAAGCTTTTCTTGCTGGCAGAGCGTGCGCGCGTCAAAAGTGAGATTAAGAGCCGCAAAAGGCGATAACAACAATAATAATAGTAGTGGGCAATGTGGTCGTCGTCGCGAAAGAGTAGTGGGAGTTGGGCAAACAGAATAGATGGGATTCAGATCAAACTTGGCGGGTTGCGAGACGGCAATACTTGAACTTGTAATGATGTATCTGTCGCGGCTTTCATGGTGCTCGAGAAAGGGAAAAGGAAAACGAAAACGGGGAAACATGAACGGTATGGTGAGTTCAGAGGGTGGGGGGGCAAGGACGGCGTCGGCAGCCGATGCACCGCCTACAGTAGCTAGCCAGGCCAGCTCGGCCGCGGGGGCGGCATGGCGCCTTGGTCCTTTCAAAGAGAAGCAGCGCTCAGCGTGCATGCTGAGCACAGTCAGCGTCCTTCAAGACTGGCCCCAGTGTCGTATGCGGCTTGCAGGATGAGAGTCGTCGTGATCATCCTGGATCACTTCCCATGTGCGGGGGGGTGAAGCTCGACACACCCGTTTTGCGGGGAAACCGCCCACTCCGTGCCTTGGGTGCTTGTCTGGGACCACGGCTGCTGCTCTGATTCGCTGCCAACCACGAAGCCTTTATTTTTCTCGGCCTGGCGAAGGCAGCGTGCGATGCATGTCACATGGGACCCGAGAGTCTCTTTGCTACTTGCACGCGTACGCTTGCCATCACCCGTAAAACATGCAAAGATCATCCTCTCCCGCACGATCGCTCCCTGCCCATGACGTCTGTTCTGTTTGATGAAGCTTGTGCTGCGATGCATTGTGCTGCATATACTGCATGGGCGCAAGCGCCTCTCCAGAGGGCTGAAGAAGAGGATGATCTTGAGATCGTGCGTGCTTTGAGATGGTAGGAAACGAGTGATCGTCATGCGCCTATCGTCGGCAAACGTCGAGAATCAGCATCATCACCGACAAACGTCAGGCCTGCCTTTTCGTGAAAGAAAAATTGTGTCTGGCATCATGGTACGTAGCGATCCCCTGCATCGCAAACAAGAGTGGATTCCCACCATCAGGCACAAGAGAAAGAGTCAGCATGCACTTCAATTGTTTACCATGCTTCTGTAGGCGCTGCCGCTCGAGAATTGGCTAAACGTGGCGCTCTCCAAGGGCTGCCGCAAGAGCAAACGTGCCAGTTGCTAATGGGCCTAGCAGCGAATCCTTCCGCCTAAACGGGCGGCGCTCGCGGAATGGAGCTTGAAACGCAATAGATCCGATAAGGTCGGACCACAGTTTCGTCGACAAAAGGACCGGGCTCCGAGAGACACGATAACAGAACTCTGTCAGGTAGGTCCTTTTGGCTTGAAGGCAGAGGCAGAAGACATATTGGGAGATGGAAATTGTAAGGGGCTTCTTTCAGAAAAGAAGAAGTCCCATGTTTCACTGATAGTACACAGGGGTGAACTGGGGTTCTCACGGGTACAAGACGCCATATCTCGCAGGTGTTCAGATGTGTCTCACATGCAGCGATGACAGCACAGTGGTTAAGCGTGCCGCGCCGCCATCCGTCTGCATGTCATGGAGAAAAAAAGCTCAGTCCTTGATGGCCCAAGCTTTGCACAACTTATCAAGTATTAGGGCGGCACACGGAGGGCTGAGAGCTGGAAAGGATGAGAGTTTCTTTCATTGGGTGCCCTCCTTCCATCCAATGGGTATTAACGCAGCAGCAACCTGTTGGACACCACGTTCGGTGGCTAGAAGATTGAACTGTGAGGCAGCATTACGCGTGTCTGCAACCTCTAGACGAATGCCCAGGTCGCTGATATGCTTTCGCGTCTCAGGCGATACTGGCAAGATTGAGGGACCAGTGCCCAGAATAAGAAGATCTAGACGAACATCAGTGATCCCTGAAAGTAGACATGGGAAAAGGGGGTCTGCTAACGTACCGGGCTTGGGCCACACTGCATCGAGCAAACCCCAACTGTGCTCGGCCACCTCCCATTGACCCTTCTTGTTGCGCAAGGTGCCTCCAACACTCGAGACACCCTTAACGTCGTCGCCCATAGCGCCTTCGCCAATGGTGCCTTCCTTCCGGCCCTCCCTGATCCAAGGCTTCCAATTGAAAGCATCTCCACCAACAAGTAGAACACCAGAACCAGCGATCTTGAGGCCCGAGTTGAGAGCAAAGCCGTCGTGTGCGCAAGCGTCAATAGCGGTTGTCGGAGCGGGCGTATTACCAAGCACGTTCATGGCAGCAAAATCAGTCTGGGTGTCTTCTTTGCTCGCCGGACCGCGATCCTTCGTTTTTGGCGGACCGACTGGACCTCTTTTCGATGCCATTGCTGTGGTCGTTGCGTGCAAATGCCTGCATAGTCTCGTGTTTGGCTGCCGGAGGAGCGATCGAGAGGTGTGGAGCTGTTCGAGAGAGGTGCGCAAGCAGCCTGCAGCCGGCCTGAAGATGCTGGCCATGTTGAGCTGATGCGTAACAGAGTAGGATTGTGCAATGCCCGGTTGTGTCTTGAGTTTCGCCTTCTTGGATTGTTCCTTCTTGTTCGTCTGGTCAAGGATACAGAAGCTGTGGAGAAGCTCGGGCGTGCCTTTGTCTAGACGTCATCGGCTCCTGCCTGATCTGATTGGTCAGTATCCACTGTCCAGTGTCCACTCTCCATCCAACTCCACCGTCGTGACTCGTATCTCACTTCGCTGCTCAAATTCCAAATCTCAACTTGTCATGAAGGATGCGACCCAAAGGCCCCCTTGTTTCAGTCTTTGGCTCCACAGGAACATACACGGAGTCTTTGTCGGCACGCGGAGATCTTGTCCTGACTTCTGATCCAAAAGCAAACCAAGTCATAGCAAAGTCCTTTGACCCCTTGGCACGCCCATCACCCTTACTAGATACCAACATCACTGGTTCGAAGAAAATCGTGTCAAAATCTTCTTCGCAATGAGAGTGTGTTGGGCATCTGCGTAGCCTTTCTCTCACCTCGTATCGGATTATACTCCTTTCGTTTCTTAGCCTTGCTTACACCGGGCACGTCAGATCACACTGCATTGCCAAGCTAGCGCCTTGTGGCTTCTTGTCTTGCCAGTAGGCTGTTGCTGCAGCGGCCATGCTCTGTTTACAGAATCCAGCGTGCTGCTTTTCCATCAACGAATGTTGAGACATTCCCTAATCAGGGCATCAAATGCGAATCTTATCTTCCTTCTTAGCAATTGGCGACTGTCCATCAATTTGCGGGACAGACGTCGCGTCCCAACACACGAACACACTTCCAAACTATACAGTCATCCACCGACATGTTCCTTTGCGAAATGTTCGTATAGAGCCTGATACTTACTAGATCTCTTCAACAGAACACTTCCGTGGGGGTACTCTTGAAAGGATCGAGAAAGAAGTCAAGAGTGAATCTGCAATCCAAGTCGAATCCGCAACTCCAGGATCAAGTGCCGTGACAAATAAACTGACCGTTGACCTGGCACATCCATAACCTCAGCACGTGCACGGGTATGCACTGACAAACTGCTCAGTCCGGGAGTAAGAACCATGCACACAATCGACTGCCGAGAGATGGATCGTCGTCGAGATGGCTTTTGTCAACGGGCCCCACTCCATCGTCAAAACACGATCAGCAACACCCATGTCGGATCTAACAATCCCATCCTGGCCATCTGGGAAAGTTCGTTCTTGATCGGCTCAGGTTCTCCATTGACACTACGAAGACAAACTGAACCGACCAAACTCGCGCGAACTCCTCCATGAGCGCAGACATATACTCAACGCGACTCCACCGACACTACGAAGACAAGCTAAACCGACCAAAACCGAACTCCTTCATGAGCGCACAGAAACATGCTCAAAGCGACTCAAGCGTGAGGATTACAAACCTTTATGCATTTCGGGCTTTCCTCCGTGTGTACTGAAGACAGTCACCATCTTGCGACTAGTCAGTCATCAAGAGCACAACATACTTTCTGAAAGTATCGTACATCTCTGGAGGCACACCGTGACAATCTTCAGCGCACGGGGAGATTAGTTCGTCGTGAAATCACTAGCTGAAGTCTCTTCCTCGGTGCCTCCGAGAGTGGGATCGATTTTCCGCTTGTTACGAGAGATGCAAGGATGGCTTAGAACAGCCAATCCTTCAAGACAAGGTCATCAGGAGGAGTAACAGCAGAGCCAGAGGCAAAAGAGAAGAGAAGCAGAGAAAAGTCATTTCATAAGCCAGCAACACAAAGGCAAAAAGGTATCTCGTGCTAAACTAGCTAAAAGAGCAACAAGAAAGAGAAAGCAAAATTCAAAGCAAGCCATAATGCATGGTATCATATCCGTATCATCGTCATCCTCATTTCCGTACCTTCGTCCCCTCCCTCTCTCTTTCTCTCATCGTTCCTCCTTCCTCTCAAGCGTCCATGCCATCAATTCTCCATGTAAACAGGAGCCCCAATTCTCTCCTTGATCTCCTCTCTATACTTCTCCCTCTTGACTTGCTGCTTCCTCTCCCTCCTCCTAACCATCTTCCTCCTCAGCCCCCTGAAATTCCATCGTCGTTGCTGTCGCTGACTCAATCGCCGCAAACTCTCCGTACTCTGCGCTGCTGCCCTCAACAAATCCGTACTCTTTCTTTTCTTAAGAGTTGGGAAAGAGACAAAGAGTCTCGTCAGAAGAGATCGTTGTTTATTCGCGGGTTGCTGGTGTAAAGATCTTGGGTGATCGTTGTTGGCGATGGAGACGTGATGGCGACGCACGTTGGTGCCATGTCTATCGATGCCTAGAGAGTTGCCTAGCATGAAGCCTCCTTGTCCTCTGAAACCAGGTAACCTCACGCTCAAGCGTTTGGGTCTCCAGCCCCTATTCTGCTGGAGAGATTCCAAGCTTTGCACGTCAGACGTATCTCCACCTAGAGGCAACTCGTCATCAGAATACTCTTCCTCGCTGTCCGTGAAGTCGTCCCAGAAGCCTCGAGGTCGCCAGAAGGGATGTAGAGTTGTGTCTCTGTCTTGTTGACTCTTTGGTCGCTGTGACGAAACACTATTCCGTCTTGAAAGAGAGGTTGGAAGGAACGGTTGAATCAACGACTCAGAATACCTTCGTGCCTTCTCGACAAGCGATGGTCGACGAAGTGGTGGTGAGGGAGGAGACGGCGTCTTGCGGAACTGAGACGATGGAGTCGCAGGACTGACAATGACGGCGGGCAGACGTGGTGATTGTGGGGCTGTGCGCGGGTTTCGGAGAGGAGAGTCAACGTCCACACGATCGGGATCTTCGAGCTTAGGAGGTGTTGGTGTGTCGATGACAGCCTGGAAAGTAGATTGCGAAGTTTGAATGACCGGCTCTTCTTCACTCTCGGGTGTTGTGAGAGCCTCTATACCTCTGGCGCCACTCATATTCTGAGCTTCTGCCAACCGTCTTTTAACCACATTTTGAACCATCAACAAGGATTTATTCTCATGCGAGTAAAGACTGATAGCTTTGGCCTCGGTCAACTCCATTGAATCCGTTCGATCGGACAGTTGTGAGAAAGGACTCGTGCTAGAGTGAAGAGTACGAATGTCCCTGGATTCAGACGATTTGCGAGGCGAGGTCTGCTGGGCATAGTCAGACAGCGCTTGAGATGACAAATTCTTCTGCTGCGAAGGTAGCAAGAGTCTGTCGTCGATTGATCGAACATGTTCCACGGACAGCCTCGGCGAGTGTTCCAACTCGGGTGATTCAAGTTCGGCGTCGAGAGAGTGTCTCTTCCAACCTTGCTGTGGTCCGAGGTTTATCTTTGCATCCTGGCCATTGATGCGACGAAACGCGCCACTCAAAGCATTGTTCGAAGGGTCAGCACTGTTTGTGATAGGTGCAGATACATGGCGCAGTTTTGTTCGCGGAGGTTGATCGTTGTGAGCTGGAGATGCATAATCGAGCCAGATGTCACTGTCAAGATTGACCTCTTGATCCAGCGATGTACGCGGCGTCTCGCCTTCCATAAAGTCTTGCTTCAGAGAAACGTGGTTCTTCGGGTGGTGCAGCCGATTCTGGCGAGAAGTAAGCAAATGTGTCTTGTCAGTCACCTCAGTAGAGCGAGATGAGCGGCGCTCAGGGATGATGATTACCGGCACTTTGATACGACCAGTCTCGGGGTTGGAAACAGATCGCGCTGTGTCAAGATTGCCATCGACCAGATGCTTTCGTCCAGACAGGGCCGATGGTCTATGACTGGAAGTATGCTGAGACTCGAGTGAGCTTCGTCTCGAAGAAGCATCTTCGCGCAAAGTATCGACCCTGCTGACTCGTCGCAAGGCTGGCTGTTTCTGCTGTGGAGGCGGACCTGTAAGAACAAAAGCTTCGATCACAGTGGACGTGGTGGATGCAGCAGAAAGACGTTTCGAACTCTCATTCGGCATGTGTCGGTGCAGCTGATCATTGTGTGTCTCTGGCCAATCGAGTGTCTGTCCATGCTTGACTGTAGAAGGGCTGCCATTGATTCCCTCGGGATCAGGCATGGCTGCAGATTTTGTTATCCTGTGATTGCCAACGAGCATGTCTTCACTGGACGCTGTTTGTTGGTGAGGGTGGCCCGCACGCTTCTTGCGAACAGTTACATTCCTCATGAAATTGCCAGCCTCGGACTCGGGGGTAGTAGACGAATATTGCCTGTCCAGGTCATCCGGAGTAATGTATTCAACCAGATTAGAAGAAATTGCCGGCGCAGGAAAAGCACGATGTGTTTCTTGCGTTGGTGTCGTCTCTCCAGAACCAGATGAAGCGTCTCGCTGTGAATTCTGCAGGGGCAGACCGCTCAGTCGCATGCCTTTTGTCGCATCCAACCATTTATGTGCTGCTTCTGACTTGAGCGGAAGACTGGCCTGGCTAGTGCTGGCGCTAGCACTAGCTTGACTTTGAGTTTCTCTTGCGGTCATAAAAGATTCAGCGCGTGAAGAGGTAGAGTGTGGCATGGTAGGTCGTGGCGGTGCAAGGTCCTTGGTGCGAAGATTCGGTGGAGTGAGGTCGGGGGTCGGAGGTCTTTGCTGGTTGGGAGGTGTATTGGTGCCAGCTTTTTCTCGTGGCAAAGGTACTAGGTGGGCATATGTTGCGCTCACATTGCGCGATTGTGTAGGCGGCGTGGGAGGGAGTGTAGAGTTGCGGCGCATCAGAGAGATAGAAGGAGCGTCTCTAGGCCGATATCCTTCGTGCATGCTAGCATCTGAGAAATCCGAGTCATCGTCGTCGTCTGAGAAGTCTGCATGTCTAGGAGATTCGGCCTTTTCGGTCGTCTGTCGCGAGGGCAATGCCTTATATGCTTGCAGGAAGTTGGCATCTCGGAAGGATTGCTCCAGTATAGAAAATGCCTTGTCAAACTGGGAGGTAGGCATGTCGAGAGGCGTAAGTGGTCGTAAAAACATGAATTCGTGGCTTTCGAATGGTTGTGTTGGGCATTGGCACGCTCAGTGCATATCGTAGACGGCAAGAGAAGGTCGAGGTGGATTCACTTAGATTGGAGTCGCGATCAAGTTAAAGCTGGACCGAACGAAAATGTCCTACGACAGCGATTATAGTCGTCGGTTACACGCGCGGCCCACGGTCACTTAACAATAGAAGGTGGCCGCGGTGGTCAGGATTGGTTGACAGACAACGAATGCAAAGCGCATGCACAGCAAATCGGCTAAGCCATGCACCAGAGTCCGGGATCTTGCACACCGAACGGCACTGTCGTCACGATTGAGGAAAAGAACGATGCGGCAGCCCCGAGTGAGAAGGAGAGACACAGTAAAGGGGGCCAGCGTGCAAGACACAAGACGCGCAGAGAATCAAAAAAGTTGGAAGTCAAACCAGGATGCAGTGCGAGCTGCGAGCCTGCGACACGCTCGCGCCGGCAATGAAACGTCACTCCTCCGCTCCTTCTTTTTGCTGGAAGCTCAAGCGACGACCTCTCTCTCTCTCTCTTGCCCACCTCTGGGATATCACATGGAAAATTTCTGTATTTTGCGAATAATAACACAAAAGACTTGCTTTTCTCTATTCAACAAAGGACAACTCCTCGATTTTATGTGCGACCAAGCAACATTTTATGTCTACATGCCTTCGTTAAGCGGAGTCGTCTTCCAAGTTGACCCCCGATACACGATAGAAGCAACGTTGACCTATCAGAACTGCAGCCGACTCTGCATATATGCATGGTCGCTAAACTCATCACTGCCTTCTCTGTCGCAAACTTCTCCGGTACCCTTTCTTGATATTTGAATCACATTCTCCCTGCGATGTGGTGAAAATGTTGGTGGTTGGTGACACCCTGTTCCCGAAGCTCGGGTCTTGTTTCAGTGAGCCACCTACCTGCGCTCGAACCACATGTGCCTCCAGTGTGCCAATGTTATGGCTGAGCAGAGCTGGAGTCTAAAGATAATCTGGAGCCTGTAATTCTCTGTACTTTGGCGGCTGGGCTGTTTTTGTTCATGTGTTATTCTCATGCAAACGTGCATAGCAAGAGCAACTGCTGAAACAGACAACCTTGATGCTTGAAGTCTAGACCTATTCAGATCGATATCGGAGCCTTCGAGTGCTGTTGTACTCCGCATTACTCTATTCTGGTCATTTGACAATTCGGGATGATCACATGCGGTGACTGCGATGGTTGTTGGGCTGGCCAATCGATTTGAACGAGTTTTTGATTCATCGCATGCTAACATGACCTTTTCTGTGCCCTCCGACCGTCCCTTAGAGCCCTACGACAGATGATATCGATGGGCTCTAGGCCAGAGCAAGAAAGCGTAGACTTAGACGCCGAGCCCTTTTAAAATCTCCACATGCATTTTTGCCTTTTCTCAAGTCACAAACTCGTCTTTGATTCCATCGAGACTTTGCGCCAGCATTCAACCGAAGAAAAGATTTTTCATTTCAAAAAGAACAAGGGGGGAATCGTTTAGCGGCGGGCCGAGTTCTCCTTGAGGACCTTCTTGACGATCTTCTGCTCCTCGATCAAGAAGGCGCGGACGACGCGGTCCTTGACGCAGTTGGCGCAGCGGGAACCACCGTAGGCGCGCTGGACGGTCTTCTTGGGGCGAGAGATGGTAGCGTACTCGCGGGGACGGAGGGCGGGAACCTGAAGAGGAACCAGGTTAGTTTGGTGTATGGTTGGAGACTTGTCCAAGAGATTCGTCGAGATGGATGCGGAAGTCAGTGAATGGTCGAAGATGTTCAAGTCGGCATGTCGGAGAGTGGTCCAGGTAGGTACGTAGGTCGAAGGAAGGTATGTTCGAGAATCTCTTGGACGATTGAAGATCGACTTACGCCTGCAAGCTTGACACCACAGTCACCGCACTTGGGAGCGGTGCCCTTCTTCTTGATGTGAAGGTAACGGAGCTCGCCACCGGGAGTCTTGATGACTCTGACCTTGTTGGATCTGGTGTTGTAGCTGGAAGCAGCTCATGTCAGCGCGACTGTTTCCTGCCAGAATAATTGTACGGTTGTGCGAATTTCGAAAGGTAATGAGCGATCGGAGAGAGATGTTTTGCGTTGTTGTTCGGTGCGAAAGCGTCTCGTGTAGTTTGTGTGCAAAATTGCGGTGTTGACTTACGGTTGCCTGCGGCGCTGCGAAGAAAGTCAGTATTTCAAAATTGCAGTAGACAGCATGTCTGTAGAACGTACGTAGGTGAGTCTGTTGGAGGGCATCTTGACGGTGTTGGGTGTGTCGCTGGGTGATGAATTGTCGTCGCTCGCGAAATCGTTCAATCGTCGAGCCAGAGCAAAAATCCAGAGTGGAGGGTGCGCTCGGCTTCGCGCCTTCTCTCCGTGGTTCTGCCGCAAAACTGGCAGGTACGCCAAGGCTTGATCGTGCTTTCCTTGGACGCATCTCCAGCTTCATCGCGCCAAGTCGACGGTCGCCACGACTTTTACAGACTCAAGCAGTTCGAAGCCATCGGCATCACTGCGCGACTGATTGACACGAGAGGAGCTCTTATATCGACGTGTCACTGCGCGCACATTCATTCGCCCTACTACGGATTCTACTCCTTGAGGACGCGATCTTACAGACATCGCGGTTGGGGAAGCAGCATCAGCTGCCGTGATTAAATCACCATCCCCATCGCTGCGACCATCTACCTCTTCGCCGACGGACACATCGCATTACCATCATGTCTGCACCACCGCCACCTCCTCCAGGTTGGGACGCTCCTCCCCCGCCACCACCTGGAGCTGCTCCTCCCGGCGCTCTTGCCCCTCCTCCGCCAGGATACAAACCTCAAGCCGACCCTCAGATTGCCAAGTTCGCCGACAAGAAGCAGAAATGGTTGCGCATGCAGAGACAACGTTTCGGAGAGAAGAGACGTGGAGGATTTGTTGAAACACAGAAGGCTGACATGCCGCCCGAGCATTTGCGAAAGATTGTGAAGGACATTGGTGATGTTTCGCAGAAGAAGTTCAGTTCGGACAAGAGAAGTTATCTGGGTGCCTTGAAGTTCATGCCGCACGCTGTCTTGAAGCTTCTGGAGAACATGCCTATGCCGTGGGAGAGTGTTCGCGAGGTCAAGGTTCTGTACCACGTCAACGGATGCTTGACATTGGTCAACGAGATCCCTCGTGTCATTGAGCCAGTCTTCCATGCGCAATGGGCTTCCATGTGGGTCGCAATGAGAAGAGAAAAGAGTGACAGAAGACACTTCAAGCGTATGCGCTTCCCTCCCTTTGACGATGAAGAACCGCCACTCTCATGGTCTGAGAACATCGAGGACGTCGAACCGCTTGAGCCTATTCAGCTGGAACTGGACGAGGACGATGATGCAGCCATCTATGAGTGGTTCTACGATGCTCGCCCCCTGCTGGACACGTCACATGTCAATGGACCTGGATACAAGAAATGGAACCTTTCATTACCGCAAATGGCTGCTCTTCACCGTATGAGCACCCCTCTTCTCAGCGATTTGGTTGATAAGAATTACTTCCATCTGTTCGACCTGCCCAGTTTCCAGACTGCAAAGGCTCTCAACGTTGCCATCCCTGGTGGTCCTCGTTTCGAGCCCCTATACAAAGATATCGACCCGAATGACGAGGACTTTGGCGAGTTTAACGCTATTGATCGCATCATTTTCCGTGCTCCCATCAAGACTGAATACCGCGTCGACTTCCCTTTCCTTTACAACTCTCTTCCTCGCAGCGTCAAGCTTAGCACATACTCTCACCCTCAGACTGTTTACCAAAGGACGACGGATCCCAGTCTTCCTGCATTCTACTTCGACCCTGTCATCAACCCCATCTCTTCGAGAGCCGTCGCTCCCAAGAACTTGACCGTAAGCCATGAGGACGAGATCTTTGGCCCTGGCAACAACGAAGATGACGAGTTTGAGATGCCTGGTGAGATTGAGCCTTTCTTGTCCGATGAAGATCTCTACAACGACGAGACTGCAGCGGCCATTCAGCTGTGGTGGGCACCTTACCCCTTCGACCGCCGCTCAGGCAGGATGGTTCGTGCCGAAGACGTCCCACTCGTCAAGCAGTGGTACCTCGAACACGTTCCTGGCGGTCAGCCCGTCAAGGTCCGAGTCTCCTACCAGAAGCTGCTTAAAAGTTACGTTCTCAATGAGTTGCACAAGAAGCCACCAAAGGCACAAAACAGACAAAATTTGATGAGCACTCTCAAGCAGACAAAGTTCTTCCAGCAGACCACCATTGATTGGGTTGAGGCGGGTCTTCAAGTCTGCAGACAGGGCTTCAACATGCTCAACCTGTTGATTCACCGCAAGAACTTGACTTACCTACATCTTGATTACAACTTCAACTTGAAGCCTATCAAGACTTTGACTACCAAGGAGCGCAAGAAGTCGCGCTTCGGTAACGCTTTCCACTTGATGCGTGAAATTCTTCGTTTGACCAAGCTTATTGTCGATGCTCAGGTACAGTACAGACTGGGTAACATTGATGCTTTCCAGCTTGCCGATGGTATCTTGTATGCCTTCAACCACGTTGGCCAGCTTACTGGTATGTACCGTTACAAGTACAAGCTCATGCACCAGATCCGTACATGCAAGGACTTGAAGCACTTGATCTACTATAGATTCAACTCCGGCCCTGTTGGTAAAGGTCCTGGTTGTGGTTTCTGGGCTCCTGCATGGAGAGTCTGGCTCTTCTTCATGAGAGGTATCATTCCCCTTCTTGAGCGCTGGTTGGGTAACCTTCTTTCGAGACAATTCGAAGGTCGTCACAGCAAGGGCGTTGCCAAGACAGTCACCAAGCAGAGAGTCGAGTCTCACTTCGATCTTGAGCTGCGTGCCTCAGTCATGGCTGATTTAATGGACATGATGCCTGAGGGCATCAAGCAAAACAAGGTCAACCTTGTTCTCTCACATCTGTCAGAGGCTTGGAGATGCTGGAAGTCCAACATCCCCTGGAAGGTGCCTGGTCTTCCTGCACC